TCCATGTAGATGACTAGCCAGCCTTCAGCTAGCATATCTTCAAAGATGGAGTTCATCATCTGTTGGAACGTCGAGGGCGAGTTGCATAGACCGAAAAACATGACCGTGGGTTCGTATAGTCGTGGTGGACCCTGGTTGGATCCGGGAACCGCGAAAGCTGCCTTCCATTCATCACCCTCCTTGATTCGGACATTGTTATAGCCGGCGCGCAGATCCATCTTGGTGAAGATCTTTGCGCCTTTAAACTTGTCCATGAGGTCCGAGATCAGGGGGAGGGGGTAGCGGTCTTTGACCGTATTCTCGTTCAGCTTTCGGTAGTCCTGACAGGGTCTCCACGTTCCGTCTTTCTTTCCAACGAAGAAGAAAGGACTGGCGATCGGAGAGTTGGAGGGTCGTATGTAACCTTTCGACTCGTTCTCTTTCAAGAACTTGTCAAGTTCCTCGCGTTGAGCATGACTGAGAGGGTAAACCTGGGTCTTCATCTCCGAAAACCCCGGTTTCAGGTTGATCTCGTGGTCGTACTCGGTGTGCTCTGGGAGTCGAGATGCCGTTACTTTGTTGAATACCGGGAGGAAGTCATGCAGATAGGGAGGAACAATTTCCTCAACCATCTTCTGCTTCTTTCCAGCCCACTCAGAGAGCGCTAGCTCAGTGGCCGTGGTGGTTCGTCCGATCGAAAATGCCGTGGGGATTAGTGCGCCGGTGCCGGTTCGTATCATCCGATTGATAGCATGCCTGGACGGCAGGGGCTCTGGGGTGTCTTCATGTTCCTGCGTCAATGGTGTTTCAACGAAAGCGAGTGTTGCCAAGTAGTTTGCACCAGGGGCATACGATGCCAGGAATTCGTCAGGGTCCAGATCTTCGGTCATGGACCGGAGTCGTGCTTCATAATCTTCCTCGCTCTCGAGCGGTTCAGGGTGTGGGTTCATAGGGGGGAAGTTGGGGAGTTCCTCAATTGGCTCGTCCAAGAGAGAAGTCTCCGCTACAACTTCCTTCTGAGGAGCATCAACAGCTCGCTCGTGTTCTTCTTCGGGAACATCCTCGACGGTCACTCGTCGAGGTGGGGTTGGTTCACGGGGTTCTTCGGGGCTGCAGGCCCGATCGGGTGGTTCCTCAACTTGTCGGCGGATCCGATAGACGGGAGCGGGAGGTAGCTCCACTTTGATAGTTCGTAGGATTTCCGCCTTGCTAAGCTGTTCGTTCTGCTTGCGTTTGGCCCAGTACGTCTGGTCTTCAAACTCGAGCTCGCCTGTCTTCCAGTCGATGATGGGGTTCTCCTTCTGGAGCCATTCATGGCCTAGAATGAGATCCTGTCTTCCGATCTCGGCAACGTACGCCTTAACAAGCTTGGTTGTTCCCTTCCATCGATAGCGAAGGGCGACGGCGTGCGATATGGTTCCCTTCTTGTTGGGAGTATCGTCTACGTTGAAGACCGGGATGGGTCGGACAAGGGGTACCGAGGGTAGGCGTAGTTTGATGACAAGACGAGGGTGGATGTACGTGGCCATTGCGCCACTGTCGATGAGAGCTTCCGTTTCGATGTCTTGATGCACTCCGATCACCATGAGAGGAAAGTAAAGGGCTTTGAATTGCGTGATTCCTGTTACTACATGGGATATGTGGAGTGCATAGGTGGGGTCTGGGCGCATCGATGACTCAGACCCACTCAAAAATCCTTCGACATTTGCTCAAAGAGGGGGGCGCGTTCTTCGAGCGGAAGTTCCTGGAAGACTTCTCGTACATAGGCGGGAGTAACTTCTCGCACGTGGGTAGAGGAGGCGGGCACACGGCGTGGGGAAGTTCGGTTGCGCTGGGTGAACTTCGGGTTCTGTCTCTTCTCGGGACAGTTCCTGAGGAGATGTCCGGGTTTGTGGCATCCGAAGCAAAGGCCCAGTTCCTGGTGACGTTGCCGTTCCCTCTGATCCATAGCATTGATCTCCATAGGTTCGTCCAATCGTCCGCTGCCTCGTCCAGAGGGGTAGGAGGAGCGGTGGTTGTTACCTCCGCTGTTCCCTCCCTCGTAGTAATTGGTATTGTAGATCTGGCGGGAGTCGAGTCGGAGGACAAGGTCAAACCACCCTTGCAGGGTTGTGGGTGGTTCCATATTCATTGCCTTGTCAAGGAGATCACGGCGGATTGCCCTCTTGAAGAACCCGGAGAGGGTCTTGTCAGAGAGGTCAGTCCTGGACGCGATGGATCAGAATTTGGGGATGAAGGCAGGGGTGGGAGTCTTTCCTTGCTTTAGAGTCGTAAGCATTATCGAGTCTCTGTCTCCTTCGGCATAAACGGGGAACGCCTTCAAGAAGGCCTCCTTGAAGTCTTTCCAAGACTCAAACGCATGCTTGCCCTCTTCTTGGGCATCGGCTTCTCCGTCCATGTGCAACTTCTTCCAGTAGAAAGCATCGCTGTTGTCGTCGATGAGGAGGAGAGCGTAAGCGATCTTCCGTTGATCGTTGGCATCGGCGTTGCCTGTTGCGCTGTAGTACATCTCGAGACGTCGGATAAACGGTTTCGCATCGGTAGCTTGTCCCTTGAACTTGTCAGGTGCGGGGACCTCAAGCTTGGTAGCCGTGCTCGTGCGGGTGGTAGACATTGCGTCGTCTGATTCGGGTTCGTATTCGGGTTCGGATTCGGGTTCGGGTTCGTTCGACTGCGTCTCGAGTTCCGGTTCGAGAGGCTTCTTTTCGACACCTGTAGCGAGGTTCGAGGAATACTGGGTGAGGCTAGATGTGCCTACTTCGGGTACAACGTGTACCAGGGGGCTAGTTCCTACTGCGGGGGAAGTAGCTTCGTGCTTCGAGAGTTCTCGTCGGATAGCCGCTGGAGTCGCCGGCTTCGGTCGTTCGTCTTGGATCTTCCTGATCCGTTCGGCAGCCTTTCCTTTGGTGTCTAGGTAGGCGCGGGTCTGTTTCTGTTGCTCTTCGAGGGGAACAGTGTCGTGGAAGAAGGCCCAAATGCGCTTCTCTCCTTCTCGTTCTGGTTCTTGCACAAGCACAGGTCTGTGCTCACCGGTGTCCTTCTGATACTCGAAGAGGCGAAGGTCGTCGTTCCACCAGAGGTTCGGTAGGGTTGGGAGCCCGTAGGTGACGGGTTCGATCTCAACTCGGTAGTCCGTGGTGGATGGGGAGTCCCCTAGACGGAGGGGCACTCCGGAAGCGTGTGTGAAGATGTGTGGGCTCTGCGCCTGAGCAGGCGGAGCGTAAAGATCAGTTCGACCTTATGTTACGCGAAGCGTGACACCTAGAGCACTAGCTCTCAACCTAACCCTAAACGTAGGGACCTTAGGTTCTAATCGTCCTTGGATGGGGAGGATGGTCTGAGACGCTGCTAAGTCCGTCTAGCAGGTCGAGCGGGGAGTTTCTGATATCCAAGGAGCTGGTGAAGCTTCAATAGATAACCAGGTCGAACTGAGGTTCGACCACTACTGTACACAGGTCTTATATACATGGGGAGTTCAGGGCAGGTCCTGAACGAGTCACAACTACCTAGCCAATAGGAGCGCAGGGGAGTGAGTCATGACGAGTCAGGGATCGAGTCATAAATGATGAGTCAAGTATGAGTAAGGGACGAGTCATACTGAGTCAGAGATCACGTGAACTGCTCCGGGTTGGGCCGGAGCAAACAGCGAAGGAGTCCGAAGACTGGAACCGTAGCGTCATGGGGTTGGGCCCATGCTAGGATAGTACAATGTTCAAGTGAAAATAAGGGAAAACAAACGTTGACGTAACAGTAAGCCTGTTACTTCTCTTCTCTTAAACTAGCTTGTACAGATCTAAACAAATGCGGAGAATTCAGTGAATATTATCAAAAGCATAGACAATGAATTGAAAGGCTCCAATTGAGAAGAAAGACTCTATTTCATGTTACACCTTCAATACATCTACATTGGTTGCTGTATCATCAGCCCAGTGCTTACAGAAGCAATACATTAGGCTCTAGTCACTGTCTGTGTGGCACACATACTCCCACAGATGCTAAGCATGTATCATACATGCAGTGTTTAGTCAGAGGGGCCCAGATGAGGTCTATGAGTGTGCTGTTCTGTGTATTGCCATAAGTAGTAGACAACCTGCCCAATAAGGAAACCACAGCTGATACAGGGCAAATGGGCTTGTTATGAGCTTGTAAAAATGTGCAAAATCCTGATAATATAACAGGAAACTAAACGGGTACAGCTGGTCATCATAAATGACACAAGTCAGCGATAGACATGACACATAAGCAATTATATGCACACTAGTGGTCAAATTGCCCAATATTGCTCATCTTTGCTGTGTCACAGAAGCAACTGACACATACAAAGTCATTCAACTGCATGAGGTCACTGTCCTGATGATTCAGTGAGTATCTGGAGCAGACAGAGGTGCTTTGACTTATGCAGAGGCACATGTGAATTTTTTTGTTTTGCACTTTCCAGCCCAACCAGCCACTGTAAGTGCTTAGGAATATTACTGTATACTCTTTGAATGGATGGCTATCAGATGGGCATACTATGTCTACTATTGTTGGCTACTGATTGACTCTATACAGTGTGAGTGCTGGCCACAGCAGCTAGCCAACCTGTAAGTCACATGATGAAAGCCACCAGTTGCCATATTGGGCGCCACTGGAAGGTGTTTCATGGGCCCTCACCCCAGGACAGAGCAGCCAGCCACAGCATTTATTTGTATCTGTTGGTGCAAGTCGTGTCATCTGGGAGTTTCAAATTTTAGGTCCCGCCAGTAGGACATTAGTATCAGTTACTTATCTTTGCTTATCTGGGCCTCAAAAAGTCACGTGGACTCCTTCCAAATCGGGTGCCACTGTAAGGTGTTTCATGCCCTCCAGTCATAAGAATGATTCCTTCGTACCTCAGGGATTGTAATTTACTAGCACGGACAATCTGGCTTGCTACACCGTCTACAAGGTCTCCAAACTGACCAAGTCACCGCATGTGGATGTACCAGCGGTCCTGGACCAGGTAGGTATCATTCATACACGGTGAGTACAGACGTACTAACATGATTGAAAATGAAACAGATACTGAGATGGTAATCACACCCAACAATGCCGACTTTTGGCCACCATGCCCTCGGAATGGCATTCAGTTCAATGCCATTAGGGCCGGTTGGGAGGAGCTCAGTGCTCCTCTTCAAAGCTCCAATCCTGAGATAATCAAATTCTTGACATCCATAACTCGCCCACTCTCAGAGCATGCCATTATCAAATGTGGTCTGGAGATGTGTCATTACTTGGATGTGGGTTTGAAAGGCTATGCATGGGCCAACACTTAGGAGAAACTCGAGGCAGTACTTGCTCGATGCATAGCTGCTAAACACCAGGACACCGCTGCTTCCTTTGGCATTATGCTCAGTCGAATTCAACTAACATGCAAGGTCACAAGGTGAGATTTGTTTGTCCTGGAACACCTGTATGGCTGACAGCCTGACACTGAATGCAACAGTATGCTGGCAGACAAGGACAGGGCCTACAAATTGATGCAGGTCATATGGGACGCTTGTCTGGGGCACGTTGAGGACGCACCAGTTTATAGAGAATTCAATGAGATGTGTGTGCCTGGAAGAAAGTAGGCACGGTTGGCGGCAGGAGGTAAGCAAGTACTCAGGCGGACAAGGTACCAATTCTGAACATCACACCAAATATGGCAGGGTCAATCTATGTACTTATGGTGATCACTCTTTGCAACCAACAATGGACTATCCATAGGGGCCATGTCAACCTCTCAACAGACATTGGTAACCTGCTGAGATGGCCTGACGGTGCGTTGAATCTCTTCACAATGGCTGGATGGAATCTGAACAACGCATAGATTCAGAAGAAGGGAAAATGATCAGGGAGTCTATCATACCCATGGTTGCACTTCTAGCTCGCACCTGCCCTATCAAGATCGGGGAGATCATGCAAGATTCAGCTCTGCTCGAGCTCAATGGCGTGCCTGCGGAGATACTGTGCAGCAACCTAGCCGTATCTGACAAATTGTTCAAGAGTGTCGGGTCCAAGTGAGTGCTTGAGCTTACAGCTAGCCCCCAAGAGTACTGATTCTGGTGCTTACTAGTTCATTTGCACTAGTCCCTAGGCACAATGCTGTGTGGGCGCACTTTGATAGCATTTCCAAATCCACTCCCCCGCCATGTGATAGGGAGGAATCTCCATTAACTGTATTCTCGGAGGAATCTGAGCCCAGATCCATAGATGCTCAAGGGGACTGGTTGGCGTTGGCTGTGCCAATCCCTACCAAGTCAGCGGGCGTGCAAGTGCAGACCATTGCAACCTCATATGATCCCGGACACACCGATAACTCACGTTTCCCAGCTTGTCAAGATAGGAACAATAACAATGAATGGACAGAGAGAGCTCGTGCAGAGGCATGTGGAGGTAGCAAACCAGCAGACCTCCAGGAGCTGGAGACCATGGTGAGTACACTGAGTTGCATGAATACTTAAATAGTGACGTGCGTCCCATGCAGTTGAGCACAATGTATGTCCATTCCCGAGGACACAGCCAATGGAGCTACATGGAAGTATATAGAAAATCAAGGAGTGTTGTAGAAGTGTATAGTACATGTCCTTGACTCATTTACACCTGTTGGAGTCTGGGTTATAGTTAGTATAATACTTACTTCAAGGTAACCAGTTACTTGAAGTCAAGCAATAGAGTAGAGGGTGTCTCCTTTGTTACAGAGGAATAGTAACGAAGTTGAATGGTTGAATGAATAGATTACCGAAGTATTCAATACTTGGTAACTCGGCAGGAAGTGTTGGTACTATACCCCTAACACTGCCGTGCATGTCCACAACGTGCCACAGAGGTTCTTCACCGTTGCCGACATTTGGCACCACTCTAACGTACCAGCCCACTAGGTTCCCAAGCGCGATCATGTTGTCCTCTGTTAGACTGTTTGACTGCGCTCCACATGCTTTGTAGTCCGCAAGATGCGTCTTGACAAGGTCAAATTCCTTGTCTGTGAGGTATGACTTATCTTCGCTGGTCGCAGGATCACAGCTTACTGCCGCCCCCTGTGCACACGTATAGCAGATAGAGGGACAACCACAATGCTCGATTGTTACTACACATACCTCTGTCAAATCCTGTGTCTCTTCCAGTTTCGAAGTGCTTGAAGACTGTACCAATTAGTGAATTAGATGTGTTTTGGTTAAGGGTAGCAGTTCCTGCTCTGCTCACAGGCTCGCCTGCTGTCTTGGCATCTGTGTTCTGCGCCTACACATGTTGTTAGCACATGAAGGAAGATTTGGACAGAAACGGCGGACACCCGACACATTGGGGGACTTTTTGCACTGTGTAGTTCTGGGTACAGCCGCATACAAGTGCAAAACACACACCTTTTTCGACAGGTATGCCATGTACATAGCAGGCAAACGCACTCCCTTTGCCTTGTAGCCTTCAACGACCTTTGAGCATGATGTCAGTATGTTGCAAGGTACAGTGACATCAACATACACAGTGCTTGGCTAGGGCATACACCTGCTGCCCAAGAGCCCTGATGGCGTTGTTGTACCCCTCAGGTAGAGCCATTTCATTTGCAGCCTTGATTTCCTCATTTGTCTTGGCACTGAAGTACGCATCAACGACTGCTTTCCCATACACGTTGGTGTTTCCGTGGTCCCGGGCCCATTCCATCCAATTGATGTCTGTTTGGATTGATTAGCAGTACATATGTGGTTAATAGAGATCAACGTATGTTGTGGATCGCAACCAATCACTGGCTCCACGTCCATTTTGCGGGCCAGAGTGAAGGCGTCTGGGTAATGAGAGAGGCACACTCCCCAAAGATGTCACACTCCCCAAAGATGTAGAATTGGGTTGAACACCTTCTTCTCATCGGCCTTCGCATATTGGAGTGCCAATTTGCAGATCCCAATGCACGTGTTGACCATCCAGGTTATTACCTTACAATAATGCCATATGTCTTGGCCATCGGTGATGACTGCTGGGCGGTCAGCACTAGAGGCCCAAGGGCAGCCAACGTCCTGCATGCTGTTTGTTGCCTCATTGATGAGGTAGCCATGGTGGGCTCATTGATGAGGTAGCCATGGTGGGCTCATTGATGAGGTAGCCATGGTGGGTGATATACCTGTTGAGGAGGTGCATTACAATCCCTGAGGTACGAAGGAATCATTCTTATGACTGGAGGGCATGAAACACCTTACAGTGGCACCCGATTTGGAAGGAGTCCACGTGACTTTTTGAGGCCCAGATAAGCAAAGATAAGTAACTGATACTAATGTCCTATTGGCGGGACCTAAAATTTGAAACTCCCAGACGATGCGACTTGCACCAACAGATACAAATAAATGCTGTGGCTGGCTGCTCTGTCCTGGGGTGAGGGCCCATGAAACACCTTCCAGTGGCGCCCAATATGGCAACTGGTGGCTTTCATCATGTGACTTACAGGCTGGCTGGCTGCTGTGGCCTGCCAGCGCTCACACTGTATACAGTCAATTAGTAAGTAATCATAGTAGACATAGTATGCCCATCTGATAGCCATCCATTCAAAGAGTATACAGTAATATTCCTAAGCACTTACAGTGGCTGGCTGGGCTGGAAAGTGCAAAACAAAAAAATCTACATGTGCCTTTGCATAAGTCAAAGCACCTGTGTCTGCTCCAGATACTCACTGAATCATCAGGACAGTGACCTCATGCAGTTGAATGACTTTGTATGTGTCAGTTGCTTCTGTGATACAGCAAAGATGAGCAATATTGGGCAATTTGAACACTAGTGAGCATATAATTGCTTATGTGTCATGTCTATCACTGACTTGTGTCATTTATGATGACCAGCTGTACCCGTTTAGTTTCCTGTTATATTATCAGGATTTTGCACATTTTTACAAGCTCATAACAAGCCCATTTGCCCTGTATCAGCTGTGGTTTCCTTATTGGGCAGGTTGTCTACTACTTATGGCAATACACAGAACAGCACACTCATAGACCTCATCTGGGCCCCTCTGACTAAACACTGCATGTATGATACATGCTTAGCATCTGTGGGAGTATGTGTGCCACACAGACAGTGACTAGAGCCTAATGTATTGCTTCTGTAAGCACTGGGCTGATGATACAGCAACCAATGTAGATGTATTGAAGGTGTAACATGAAATAGAGTCTTTCTTCTCAATTGGAGCCTTTCAATTCATTGTCTATGCTTTTGATAATATTCACTGAATTCTCCGCATTTGTTTAGATCTGTACAAGCTAGTTTAAGAGAAGAGAAGTAACAGGCTTACATCGCTTACTAAGTGCCCATTAAGCGCCCGTGTGCCATTCAGAGTTGCATCCACCTGGAATTTCCAGATGGATGCAACTCCATGTGGCAGGGGAGAGATGCCGATTGGCTGATAAGCCCATTTCCTTGCCCTGTTAAGGCAGGCCTGCCGATGTTTGGGCTGAGTTTAAAATTCAGCCACAAGGCCATTAGTAGCACAGTCACTCTGTGACTATAGGCCAATAAAATCCGTAAAATCTTCAAAATATTATGCTTTGTAGCCCTCACACTATAGAGTCTATGGCTAGTCTTACCTTCTCATGCACTTCAATACTCAGGGCACAATTCACAAAATAAAAAAATCACACAAATGCCTCGGTGATATGCTTGTAGTCCTTTGCATCTGGTAAATGATATCTAAGAATGCAATTGTATGCCTATAAGCACCTTTGTGTCTAGTAGTGTACATTACAAATCACTTGCTGTTGTTTCTGGTATGTGGCTCCACCTTTGTAGATGTAGAGGCACATGTGAGTTTTTTTGATTTGCATTTTGTGGCTTTGCTAGCCATTGTATATGCATAGCATTCACATTTCATCTTGCAGTGTAGTCTCCCAGACTCTGTTGCAAACTGCTGCAAAGTGAATGGCCCTTAACAGGATTCACCATTCTCAGCCCAGCAACAAGTTTCATTGAATCCAAAAAACCTCGAAATATTCATGCTAGTAGTCCTCATAGTAATATGCCAATGAGCATGCCATCACTCAACATCAAAAAGAAATTAATGGGTAGAGATTCAATGAGAACACTGGCTCAATAGGGGAAGTCACAAATACATGTTCCTGGGGGAGATGGCCTTGGAGCTCACGGAAGGAAACTGCATTGTTTTTTTCATTACCACGTGGCTACATCTGTTGAATGTTTGTAGTGTGTATTCTGTCTGGTTATCATTCCTGTCAACAATTCAATTATCATCATTGTTTGCTTTCATTGTATCATTACCAAGATATTTGGACACTGACATTTCAATGCTTTGAAGCACTTAACAATGCATATACTATCTGGACTGGTAGTGTGACTATTTCCCAATTTCTACTGTGTTCCTGCTCATTCCAGTTATCATAAGATCCTTCAATACTGATATAATTGCTGTTGTATGCTTGGTAAATGATGATTATATGAATCAATTAATAAGTTATAATGGTAGACTCCATTTTGGTCACCATGTCACCAAGCATTACCACGGTTTACATAACCTGTTACCATTTTGGATGGCTCAAAGAGATCTTTGTCACTGAGATTCATGTCCCTATTGACAGTCCCTATTGACAGGGTGATTAACTCTGTAATCAGCTGTTTACATTTGAAGCAGGAATACATCACACTGGAACTCAAAGATGGCAGAGAACCTAAAAGAATATGTTTATTGACATCATCACTCACACTTGGCAGTTCTCTTATGACATCTGTTTGATCACCAATGGTCAATCATAACATACATATATGAAAGCCATTAATATGCTGATTGTACTGTAGCAATCAGTGACTGATAAACACATCATAAGTCAACCTCCCTGTGCTCTAGATATGCCTGAGCCCAAGGGGCAATCATAGGTAACTGAACTGTTCTGACACCACATTGGCATGCCTATGCACCCTCTAAGATTTGATGTTACAATGTGACACCATCAATAACTGTTCATGACAACAATTGGCAGTAGCATCTGCTGAAATGGAGTGATTACTTGCATAGAATGCTGCTAGATATGACTGGCTCACTTGTGAATTCATTACAATCATGTAATTCATTTTGGATAATACATGTCAGCTACCATGCACCCAACAGCCATCACAGGCACAGATTATAAACTGGACAGAGGACCAAAATTGTGCAGTAATCAAAACAGAGGTTAGAGATCACATATGCAGTGAGGAGCAAAAGATGATTACCAAAGCAATGCTCTAGCCATAGGCAAGGCATTTGAACTCACAATTCTGTGGACCCATGTAGAGTAAATGGTGGATGATGAGCTCAATAGTTGTTGGTACGTAGATGGTACCATGTCTGTAGGGAAGCCTGGATATGTAAGTTCAATCATTGTGAAGGTCATGAAGAAGAATAGTGGGGTTATCAAGGCATTGTTGGAGTCTGGGTTAGGATTAGTATAATACTTACTTCAAGGTAACCAGTTACTTGAAGTCAAGCAATAGAGTAGAGGATGTCTCCTTCGTTATAGAGGAATAATAACGAAGTTGTATGGTTTAAATGAATAGATTACCGAAGTATTCAATACTCGGTAACTCAGAAGGAAGCGTCGGTAATGCTTAAGTCCAGTAGAGCAGTTACCGAAGTGTCGGTAATAAATGATTACCGAGAAGCAATGTTAGAACATTGATCAGTATGATGAACCTTCTCCGATGAACCCGACTCTTGTAGTCAGTTGAAGTTACTTAGACCTTACTAGTAGCGCGAGGACTGTACTAAGTAAGGTCTCACAATCACAGGTCTTAGAGCGCGTCGGTAAGAACTCAGTGAGAGTGGTTGAGTGTCTAGTATGGCTAACTTAGCACTTGGGGCGAAGCAAGTCTTCATGTGGCACACAAGGTGAATTTCGGTAAAGAGTGTAGATGTTTATTGCAGTCCTTTGTCTCGTCTTATATACATTTCTGAGCCCTCAAACCTGTACACTACAAGCAGTCCAAGGCTATCCTATGTACCTTACTTGAGATGTGTCTGAGCCCACAGCATAAGTCCTCTCTGTGCCAAGTCCGAAGTATCAGCGCAGCCTTTCCTCGGTGATCCTTCAGTGTTCCCAATACCGACGGTCAATAGACTTTGGAGACTCGGTCCTTCCATCTGTCGGTATTGAAGTCCTAATCGGGGTTTTGGCAATTCCCGTGAAAGACCGGACATTACCAAAAAGCGTTCTGGAGCCATTGTCAAGTCCTTCATTGTGCTTACATAATGAAGGACCATTCAATGGCGGAGTCTAACAATAGAAGTGTTTCCTGGGCATATATAGCGGACTTCAGATTGTCAATACATCCATAACAGACTTGCTGGGGAGTGGGCCATGTCTGGCAATACGATCCCTTCAGTTTGAAATCTCAGAGCAAGCAGGCAACATGTCTAGTACTGTCACATCTGTAATACTACCCCCTCAGCTCCAGACATTCAATCTTACATATCTCCCACTCTGGATTCTGACTTGTGCATGCCTGTTATGGGAATATCTCCGAAATCCCAAGTCCGCCTTATATGCCTCAACTCACAAGCTATTGTTAGAATCTCCACTATTGTCGGAAGGGTCCATTAGATAAGCACAATGGACTCCTAGACTATTGGTTGAGGACGCGCCTCGGCAATAACCGGTAATCTACGGAGTTTGCCGAAGTGCGCTTTAGGACTTCAATACCGAGGGCAGGAGGGATCGAGTCTCCGAAGTCTATTGACTACCAATAGAGGAATCGCCGAAGGATCACCGAGGACTACTGACCATCGGTAATGGGAACACCGAAGGATCCCCGAGGAAGGCAGGGTTGACACTTCGGACTTAGCTCGGTGAGGACTTAGGCTGTGGATTCTGACATGTCTCAAGTACCGTACGTAGGATAGCCTTGAACCGCTTATAGTACACAGGATTGAGGACTCGGAAATGTATATAAGACGAGACGAAAGACTGCGGCAATCTATCTACACTCTTTACCGAAATTCACCTTGTGTGCCACACGAAGACTTGCTTTGCCCCGAGTGCTAAGTTAGCCATACTAGTCACTCGACCACTCTCACTGAGTTCTTACCGACGCGCTCTAAGACCTGTGATTGTGAGACCTTACTTAGTACAGTCCTCGCGCTACTAGTAAGGTCTAAGTAACTTCAACTGACTACAAGAGTCGGGTTCATCGGAGAAGGTTCATCATACTGATCGACGTTCTAACATTGCTTCTCGGTAATCATTTATTACCGACACTTTGGTAACTGCTCTACTGGACTTAAGCATTACCGACGCTTCCTTCTGAGTTACCGAGTATTGAATACTTTGGTAATCTATTCATTTGACCATTCAACTTTGTTACTATTTCTCTGTAACGAAGGAGACACCCTCTACTCTATTGCTTGACTTCAAGTAACTGGTTACCTTGAAGTAAGTATTACACTAACTATAACCCAGACTCCAACAAAGTCTACCAATGTACAGCTCTCCTCCTCAGTGAGGAGCAACATAGCTATAACAATGTCAATTTGCTACAAGGCTGCTTGCTGCCTAGCCCAGCCCCAAGCTGATGTAATTGTGGACCTGCCATATCACGTGACACATATTGCAGTACGCGGTATATATTGTGCGAAGGGTAGAGTACGTACAGCTATAGATACAACAATGAACAACTGTTGAAAACAATGAGTGAGTGATGGACCACAAGGGTACAACAAGACAACAGCAATAGGACAGCGAGAATGACCACAACAACCACAACGACAATGACAACCCGACGACTGCAATGACCACAATGACCTGACAACTGCGATGACCATGACGACCCTATGACCGCGACGACAATGACAACGATTGTGACATCGATGTTTCGAGCAACAGCCAGAGGGTTCAACGTAGTCCTTGTCTTGGGCGTCCTGCTTACGCTGACCGGGTTCCATGGCAGCATCCGTGTTGTACATTTCCACATGTTCCATGGCCTGCTCATTGGCCGGGTCCGTCCACTTGTGGTTGGTGAAATGGAAGCTAGGCATGGGCAGGCTCTGGTACCGTGGTTTCTTGGTCAGTTTGCCATGGAGCAGATCATGGTAAATGTTGAGACTGCTTAGTACATCCATGTCTGGCTCAAGAGGATTCAACTCCGAGCCAGAGGGAACAGCAGGGGAGGGAACAACAGGGGAGGGAACAACAGGCTTCAAGCCAGAGGGAATGATGGACCGGTGGTCTTTGTTGCTGAAACTGTCGTCGTTGCTGGGCCACTTATTGAGGCGGTAGGTGGCCATGACGACCTTCGCTATACTGCTCCCCGGGGCAAAGACACTGTGAACGTTTTTCTGCCGCCATTTGTTGCGTGGCTTCGCAGAGAGCAAACCCCAACACATTGATCATGTCCTTGAGACCATAATCTCCTTGGTCTACATCCTCAGGCAGCTCTGCAGCTGATGCTGAAAGCCCAGGGAGCACGTCCCTCTTCCACGTGTTGATCTCATCTCCTTCAAATTTCCTTCAAAGCCAAGCACCATGGCAGCAGCAATTCCTTCATAAATCCTCTGCAGCTTGCGGATCTGACTTATATACTTGATGCAGACAAGAGGCGGCATCTGTCATGGTTGACATAATGGCATGAGAATTCTACCCCTCCAGCATGGGTGACTATGCATTTGTAGTAGGTAGAACTGTTGTGGCAATCATATTATGTGAATTAGTCGGAATGATTAATGATATTTAAACTCACTAGGTGCAAGACCAAGGCCCATTGGGTTCAGTGGCAGCGGCAAGGCGCCGGGCATCGAGAGCGGCTTGAGAGCGCACAGTGTGAATGCCCAAGAGATGGGTGAAACCTGCTTCCACCCGGTGTACCCATTCAACTATGACGTCTGGATACTGCTCAGTGCCAATAGAGGGATCCATTCACAAATAGTAAGGCTGAACTGATGATGAGCGGGTTGTGGTTTGTAGTGAGAGAAAATTTACTGAACGCATGGCCTCACTTCCCCAGCATCTAATTTTGAACTCCTATTTTTAGGCTTTAATCTATCTGTAGCGGTGCAAGCACGGATCCCCAACTCCTCTTGGGAAACTCAGACTGCATAAGGTTCTAACAATAAGGCCTTAGTACTAGGAAACAGTCTATTAGAACAATACCACTATGCACCACATAAAATATTGTGGTACTGAGCCAGCATCACTGTCATTCAATATTGTCGATGCCTACTGTTGGAACATACGGCCGAGCACGTGCCCAAATGCCAACGCGCTGACATGTTGCGATATGGCACAATGTTACTGTACCCGCCGCCGCCCCTTAATGTACCCTCCCCATCGATGATACCCCATACATAGGTCTGTGACTGCCTGTATTTACTCTTTGCGTGTTTGCCTCCCCGCCCCGAGGACGAGACAAACTGCTTCGATTCTATTGTGTTCCCGCTGATCTTCTTGCTTGTTCTCACGTGATGCGACCTCACTTCAACACCTACTTACTAGTGAGACTCACTTGGATGCCGCCCGGGCATCTCGGGGCCTCTAAGGCAGCCTCTGTTGAAGTAAGCGGTGGTGGGGCATGGGAACGAGCAGGTGGAACAAGTAAGCAGCGGGAATCAATAGGTACTGGAGCGGTTTGTCTTGTCCTCGGGGCGGGGAGGCAAACACGCAAGGGTAAAATACACAAGGATTGTGAGTAATATACGAGTCCGTAATTGATGGGGAAGGTACATTAAGGGGAATGGTGGGAACAGTAGCATCACACCGTGATGCAGCGTGTTGGTGCATTGGTATTCGGGCACGCACTCAGCCATATGTTCCAACAGCATCCACTTCGACCTGAACTGTCTTAGTCTATGTTACACCACACCCAATCCTTTGTTGAAAAGAAACTGGAGACGCAACTTCATAACACACTTTTATACATACTTGCAGAGACATTGCATTGAGATCCAGCCAACGGAGCCGGGATGGAGTGGAACTACCTGCTATATGTGGAAAGCACATGTGCTTGGTGCCGGGACTGCACCTTGTTATGGTAAGAGTTGCTCCTGTTATGGAAAGTTCTCCCACGTGTATGGTGGCATGCTACGGCTTGTCGATGTTTCATCTTGAGAAAGCCCTCCTCCCTTTGGGAGGAGTCAGGGATCCATTTATGGTGCTTGTCCCCTTCTATACATTGATAAGTACTCATTCCTCATCCATATTCTTTGTGCGTGTTGGGTTGATAGTTGTTCTGCCTGACAGGTGTAGGTTGTGTGCATGATGTTACAATAATATTGGGGCGAGTGAACGTAATATTTGCAACAAAGAGGGGGGTTATAATAGCAGCTGGTGATGACTTGGATGTGCTCAATACATTCCCAAGTGCTCCTCCACCTGCAAGCACACTTTGTGTGTGGCCAGCATCATGTCCACACCCTGCTCCCACAAGTTGTTGTCCCATCCAAGGAGACTTGAATCCTTGGGATAGTCGTATGGCCAATAGTAGAAATAATCGGTCCACACTTGACCGAAGTAGTCCGTGTACGCGGACATGTACTTGTACGCGCCATTTGGGAGGCGGACCACCCAGGTCTTGCACAGCCCGCTGCTTGAACAGCAGCTAAGGGCGCTATGGGTAATAGATCTTTACTAGGTCTTGCAGATATGCGCAGTGTTTGCAACTCTGCCATCAACCTTCTTCCACTTTCAATGCACACTCAGAGCCCAATTGAGGGCAACTTGTGGTCCCTGTGGCATCAGGGAGATTGAGCAAGAGCGGGTGCCGTCATCGCAAGGTAGAGGAATTGCTGGCCTGACCGAGTCAAAGGCTGGGAGGGACAGGCGGCGGCTGCGGACTGGGCACCACTGCATTGTGGACGTCAAAGTTAGGGATGTTCAGATAGCAGTGGCGGGGGTTTTGAAATAGTGATGTGCTTCTTTTACATGCGCTGAATGCTTCCGTTGGAACACGTGTATCAATTCCGATCATTCTGGCAGTCAGCGTCTATTGGTACAGTCTAGAACGAGCCATTGTCCAACTGCCAGTTGTACCCCCCTCTGCTGATACCGTAACTGAAATACTGTTCGTACTGGAACTCTGATCTTCCCCATGGAGTGACCACCACCAATTGCCAGGTGACCATGGTCGTCACGAGATTGAGTTGAATGCTTGCGCGCATCTCGCGGTCAGCACATTGGTCGTAGTGCGCCCACACGAACTCCACTCCATCGGGCAGGACGTGGATCCATTCTTTGTAGAATGTCCTAGATTGTGCTAAGTCATTTCGGGAGCCAGCTGAGAAATCACCTAAGCCTACATGGTCCGGTGAAATGGATTGTCGGCTTGTCCATAGTCTTCGACGTAGGTGATTGCATCACACTGACAATTTGTCCAGATCTCTAGCCCAACCATCCCGATTGGCATCTCCCGGGACACGACTCCCTCAAATGGTTCGACAATGTGGATGATCGGTTGCGTAGTCGTGGTCAGCTTGGGTGCTAGGAGAATATAGGGCATGGTGCGTGGTATAAGAGGCAGTATAGGTAGGGCTGAGTTGTGGCACAGAGTAAGGTCATGAGGGACAGGTCGCGGTTGGGGCATGCGTGAGTATAAATATACAGTGATACGCCCTGCATCTTTCTGCAGAGCCGCTAACACATGTTGGGATCACAGCTAGGGCCTTAGCTTCACGAAGCTTCGCAGGCTGTAAGTCTCAAGCACTGTGTGAATTGAGGAACTTGAAGTCCGATAACAATGGAACGTGTTTGCAGTCTGGCTGGGTCGGCAGATTCGATCACCGATCTGCGTCTTGATGAAGTCATGGCTCTTGTCCCCTTCTATGCATTAGTAGGTACTCCTTCCTCATTCATACTCTTCATCACTATTGCAATTGTACTATCCAAGGCCGGAGTCTAGGCTGTTTCCACAATCACTACACTGGGACCCACAAGAAAGCGCAAGTGAATCTGAAGAATCAGATTCAAGATCCGAATCAAGCGGAATTGATGAATGGGTGTAAGATTCGCAGAAGCTAATCAAAATGCACTCACACGCTGTCACACATGGCACATCACATATACCTGGGGATTCAGGTCAACACCCACCATCACAGATCACTGGAATCTTCCATAACCACGACCACATGCTCCTTGATCCCAACTTCTTTCCCAAGGTGCCTATTGAGTATCTTGTGCTGGCGTGACTTGGATATGAAACATGCGACATGCGGCTGTATCCCCCACACAAGTCCTCATCCTCAACATTGTGCGTGTCAAATTTGCCTCATCAGTCCTCCGGTCGTATGGATGGGTTGTCATGGACATCTGTGGTCCAGTCCACCTCACGCGGCCGATACTCTGCATGGCGCGTTGTGCTGGCCTTCCAAGGCTGGTGCCTTAACCTTGCCTATCAGGCAGACACTAACAACTGCGCCGACTTCAACCCTTACATCATATACCTTCCCTGCTCCTGCTTCATGGAGCCAGTTGTTCCACAACCTGCGTGTACCTGGATGTACGTCTGGGAATCAGTCATCAGTTGCTTCAAGTCCATGAGCTGGTACGTTCTTATCATTTCTCCACCCCTCATGGCAACAAGGACATTGCATTCTAAACATGGGGGTGGATGCCCAACTTGCAAAGATCATTGCTAATGGAAAACATGTACCAGCATTTGCAGTCATGATGAAGATACTGTCTTTGACTCAGAGGTTGAGATGGGCAGCATGGGGGAGAGTGGTGAGATGGGTATCTGAGGACCAAATTGCTTTATTTGTATAATTCATGGACTACATAATAGACAATGACTGCAGTTTGATTGATCTTATTTGAGGGAACAAATAAGTGAGTAATATACTTCAGTAATATGAACAATGCTACTGCACTTGTGAGAGATGTTCCATCATGTCCTGACATATAGTGCTACTGTCATATTCCTATTTCCCAGTGTACGCAACACACCTGTTGCTGTTGCTTTTAATTGTCCCTCATTTGTACATTTTTACCTGTCTCTCTTCCATCATTGAACCATATTTTGCCATCTGTTGAGATAATGCGGCAGGTGAAATGAAATCCTCCAAAATAAATTACTCCCACCAGACGGTAATCCACTTGGCCTTGTAAAGTGGGCAATGTGAGCTGCTTACTGAGTTTTGTATTGTCTGCTTGGTATACATTGAATGCAATGAAAAAGGGTGCTTGCAGAACTGTACATTCATGGATCATAGTTGCATTGCAGACTCTGCATCTGTCAGGCAACCTATGTTTCAAGGCTGCCTTAATCCATTGGGATATAGTCCGGGTCTCTGATGGAAGGCCACGTGCTATTCTAGAATTCCATAGTGTTGCATCCAGTGCCCAGAGCTTGGTGCTCAATATCAGCCATTTTCAATGTATTGTTGTCATCCAGCCAACCACTTGTATGGGCAATGTGTTCAACTTGCTGCATCTGAGCAATTCTCCCTAATGCTCTTTTTTCTAGAACACCCCAGTCTGGGTCATAGTAGATGGCACCATCATCTCCAGTAAGGCTATTCTGCACAATGTCTGCGTAGTCATCTGCATCTGTATCATGCTGATCTTGTTCATCATCATCATATCCAAAGCTGTTGCCCTCAGTCTCCCTCTGCTTAGAGAATCATCTCTGGAGTCATTGCATTCATCCTGTATATGGAAGAAATTCATGATATCCATCTGACGGGAAGTGAACTGGTGTGCAGCAAATGCATCATCCCAAGATTGCCCAGATTGCTTCAGGTCTGTACCTATCCTCCATGGCTTGAACAACATAAGCATAACAAGACAATACTCTTCCCTGTTTCCTTTGTCTTTCCTTGGAAGACTGCAACCTACAAAGTTAGGGACCCTTGCACAATGCTCAGGCTGCATGACTGCCATGTGTGTCTCATACTGCGGATGGGTTGGAAGAAATCGACTAGGCTCATGGAACTGTTCAGCAGCATACTTCTTTTCATCCTCTTCTGCCTGAAGTGCAGTATCCTTGGTAAGCAACATTTCATCGTCACTATCAGTCTCATATTGTGTGGTGGATCCACCACCATGCCGTCTGGGCAAAGGCTTGATGTCCCGGACTCGTTCAGCTTTCACATGTTGTGTCAACTGGGTGACCTTTTCATTGACAGCTCTGAGCTTTTGTGTTGCTTGCTTTTTTGACCCATGGTCTATTTTTCAGCCAGTCAGATCCAGTCATATAGGCTAACATGGTCATATTTTGTAGGCCTGTGGATGTAATCCATCTGCTGGGACATGCCAACAAAACTGTCCTTGCTCTTTCCAATGACCACCTTGGCAGGGTTCTGGTCAGGATTATACAATATGTCTTCCTCAGTCCGTGCTTTCATCACTTCATACTTGTAGCTGCACCAGTAAAACAGTTTGAATATGTGGCTAGTATAATGATCAGGATGGTTGAGTAAATACATACTGTTGAGCTCGAATTTATTCCGCATTTCTGCGGTTGAAGATGAAGTGTCATGCGTCCTTGCTGTTCCACAGTGCCATAGTATGCTGCAGTTTTACCATATAGCCCAGGATGAGCAGCTCCCACTCCTAAGACATGCTTGATGAATAGCTCCACTATAACATGGAAGAAGCGTGCACCAGCAACTGGGTTTGAAGCAATTAACCTTGTACGGGTGTCACTATCCAGTACTAGTTCTGGCTTGTATGTCTCATTTGTGTCAGCAAAATACAGGCAAAGCGGATGTTTTACATCTGCTGGTGCAAATGTAATGAACCATGAGGGTGCTCCAAGATATGAAGTAAGAGCCCATATCTCATTTCTCATGTATTTTCTGTTGGTCAATGAACCCTGAACTTTATGTGCAACATGGTCAATGTCCTGTATGAGCTGGTAGCAATCTTTCTCAGCCTGTGTCTCTGGCTTGTAATGATGACCGTCCTTTAGCTTATCTGTCAGGTGTGGAAGCACAGTTTCATCAATGGACAGTATAGTATCTGTTTGGCAATCTCTGGAAATTTCTGTTGCTCTGCAAGAAGAAATCCTCCTGTTGTACTGTTTTTGGTCTGTTCATGATTGAAGGCAACTAGTGGAAAGGATTGCTCAAACTGAAACCGCTTGTCATGATACATCAGCAACTGATGTTTCCTCTCTGCCTCAGATACCTCTGCATATCCACGGGCATTGCCAGGACCACCAAGTCCATATGGAAACAGCCATGGGAACATCTGCGGATACAATTGTGGGTTGGAAAACAAAGACTGCGGCTGGTCTGACTGTCCAATACCTAGCGCCATGTTCTTTTTATTCTTGAAATACTGTAGTGCATATGCACAAAGGGCATTGGTACTCATCTCAGATAATTGCTCACCCACCAGCCCATGAACAACAAATGGACATGGCCCTTCAGTGGTGCCTTCATTGTCATCTGTGTCATTGGCAGCCTTAGCCTCTTCATCCTTTCCTCCATCACCAGGATGATAGTCTACAATGACAGGAGGACTGTCCTCAGAATACATGTTCAAATTCTTGTAAGATATGGTGAGGTCTGCATAGTCTATGTGATTGAGCTTGAGCCATTCCAGAGCATTGGCCACTTTATTGCGTCTCACTAGCAGTGGAGTGCAATGATGTTCCTTGGCCAATGGTTTTGTTGGGCCAATATATATGTATGCAAGCACTTCATCCAGCTCCTCAGGGCTAGGGGGTAATGCATTGTATACCTTTGGCATAGGTATGGTATGGCTTACTGCATTGGCTATCATTTTACTCTGCAGAGAGCCCTTGACCCAAACAACACATCTGTTATGGTTCACTCGGCTAATGAGAGTGCGCTCAGCCCAAGTCAAGTTCTGCAACTGCACACGTACCTCTCCAATCCACAGCCCATTGGCTAGTGCCTGTTGTGGTGCTGTGCCATTGTCCAATGTCATCTTGCAGTTCTGACAAAAATGTAAAGACTTTGGGAGAAGAACAGGCCCTTTTAGTTCCTCTACATGATCACATTCTGACTGTTGTTCTTTTCTTGTCACACCTGTGCCATCTGTTTCAAGGATGTGCAATTTGTGAGATACTGTTGACAGAGGATACAGTCTTGAAAATGGAGTCAATAAGCCACACACTGCACAGCCAGTTTCTGCATGTTGTAGTGGATGAATGGCTTTGGAGTAATCAGCTATGACTTGCTGTATCAGAAGTGGGCTTGGTGGTGGTGGTGGGAAAGGTATGCTGGATGATGCATCAAATTTGGTGGTATTGCGGAACTTCTGCACCCGTGCTGTTGAGTTCACATGTCCACTCCATTTTTGGAGCAGTGACACACATGTACTGCATTGACTTTGACACTGGTGAGACAGTACTGCGGTACGTCTGGTGGTCACTGATGATTTCAATGGACATTGAATATTGTGTAGCTTTGTTATGATTTTTAGATGCTTGTGAGGTAGTGTAACCAATTGCTGCATCATACTGCCACATTTTCTGGTTGTTTTGTTGGGCTGACCAATCTTTTGAATATATGCTCATGATAGACAAAATGTTGCATAAATGACTGCACATAGTTGTAGTGGGCACATTGATGTATAAGCAGCCCTGATATCTTTGCAGAGTAGTCATGTGAAAACATCATATTGCGGGACAGGGCAAGTTTAATCTGCTGGACCAAAGGTTCTAACATGACACGTGGCACTACAAAACGTGCCCATGAGTTGAACCAAGGGTGTGAACAATGTTGGGTTTTGGATGTCAAGTGGATGCAGATTTTTTGGAAGCATTTTTGTAATGGCGCTATCCTGAACCATCCCTGTACAGGGTGCAGAAGTTTTGGGATGTGTATCTGCAAGCACACAATGGACAAGGATAAACATCATGTTGCCTGCATACAGGCAATTTGAACAAGTCATGTGATATGAAAATTGCATCACATGTAATCAAGTTCAACCATATTTTGGCATCTAACATTTCTTCCTCCAACCACCATGATGCTGTCCATGCAATCTGCATTTTTTACTTTCACAGTTCTTCTGTGCTGGGCATGTGCTTTCATCAGCTGTAGTAGCAACATTACCACCAAACAGCTCATGACAGACACCTGGAATGGCACAAGATACATCACAGTCCATTGAGCAGTGGCATGCGATTGGTTCATATTGCACACATGTCCTCAGGCATAGCAGCATATTCATACATTCATAGTGTCATACTGTGCATATAAGGCATACACATTGCAATAAGTACATGATCAGTTACCCCGAGCCTCATTCCCAACCAGGATGACAACACCAGCAACATTGAGCGACAGATTGGTAGGCTCACCCGCACAACCATAGGTGGACACAGTGTGCAGCACAGCCACAACAGAATGGTGTGCTGGCTCCTTCTCAACAATAGGACAGTTGGCGGCAATTGTCTCAATGTCAAAGACAGGGGCCTCCTGCTGCTCAAAATAGTGCCTGGCATCCCAGATGGGTACTGTGAAATCACAAAAATAAGAGCGTGTCCATGATCATCACAAAAAACATACTCTTCTGGTTTGAAGACACTGCTACCTGTGAGCTTGATATTTCCGCAGGCCGGCTGCGGGACTTGGGGTGCTTGGAGGCAGACAGTGAGGACACCTTGTCCTTTATGGGGCTCTTGACGACCTTAGTCAGGTCAACAAAGGACTTTCTGGAGTACGATGGGCGGGATTGGGATTCATCTATTGCTGTATGAGCAGGAACATCATGAATATAATATCATACTGACCAGATATCTTGGCTGGCACGGTGTTAAAGGACATGTATCCCTCGGCCTTCTTGAAGGATCCCAACATCAGATCATCGTGACCCAGCACACCAGAATCCCCACGCAAGATCAAGCTCCACTGCAAATAGCGTGATGGTGATCCACTTGCTCTGCCTATCATGAATATAGTCGAGGTGGCCCTCCATCAGATAGCTGAACTCTACAAGGCCCTGGGTAAAGTTGACGACAGGATTGCCGTTGAAGGTGATGACTGGACGAGTGTAGCCAGGTAGGCTAGTGGAGAAGTTCTTAGGGCTTGCACGGGCAGGGTTGACAAGCCAGTTGCCAGTGAAGGACCACTGGATAGTGCGCTTGAAGTTCCTGTGTTAATTGGATCAATGGGCATAATAGCACATATGTGTGTCTGGATGATTATCAGAAGCATGATCATATTCTCAGACAAAATCCATACTCAGATGGCTGCTTCCCATGCTTGAGGGTTGTTGGTATCTCAATGACGGTGTCAAGTCTGTGCCCTAAAGGTTCATGGCCATTCACATGAAAATGGAGATCATTTACCAATTGCTCCCAATGAACACAGCCTCCCTGTATATCACAGATGTCATCCAATTCATCTGACAATGAATAAATCACATACTTGTTGCTTGTTCCAGCAATGAATGGATTATCATCTGCATCCAAACTGATTACTGCCTTTTCCTTGCCTTTGCCTCTATTGCTGTAAATAAGGTCAGTGATTGATCATATTAACCCACAATATAATTTACACTGTAGTACGTGACTTCTTGGTTGGGGATGCAGTTGTTGACTCTTCTTCATCTGCAGCAGGACTTGGTCGCTCAATGCTACAAACACTAATATCAGATTGCATTCTCATGACACACCATACAACCTACCGCTTGGCTCTCACTTTATCTTTGCTGTTAAAGGTCAGCATGCATATATTTCTACATGAATCATTCAAACCTTGGGGATGGTGTTGCAGGAGTGTCTGGCGGACCCGTCAGGTTTGTCCTATCAATAAATGAGCATGGTCAATAAGCTGCCATTGTACTGCTCTAGAACATACCTTTTGACGGGACTATCCGGGGTTGAACCCACAAGTCCAGTGTCCCGGTCAGGGCTGATTGACATGAATATCAACTCAGTGAAACCAGTCACTGTCTACACACACCTTGACCTGGACATTTCACTGAAAACACATGAATGAGAGACAGCATATCAAGAGAGAAGCTGACAACTTACAGGATGGAGCGACATCTTCTCAGTCTTGAGGTAGAGGCAGGGCCTCTGGTAGATCTAGAGGTCATTTTGTCAGCAATGCATTAATGAGGTTATATCAAACCACTTACACAACAGGCTCATCATCACTCGATACAATTGTAGCCACATCTGCTATCTCCTGCTGGTCATCCTCTTCATCAGAAAGCTCAACAATATCTTCATCATAATGGTCTTGATAATTGTCAGTGCCCTCAATCCCTCTGGCCTCCCGTGCTTCATCATCAATGAAGCGGCGGACTTCAGCAGCGCTGGCCTTGGCCCTTGCAGATGGACTGTATATGTAATGTATAGTGAGTGAAAGACATAAGATCAATTGATAATAACACACTGCTTGGGAGGTCCACGCTTAGCTGGCTGTCTGCTGTTGTACATCATTACCTACATCAGCTTACATAACAAAGACAATCACGTACGGCTTCTGCTTTGGCCTTGGGACATAGTCATCTCCACTGTCAAATACCTCCTCAGGTTCAATCTTGCCCATCATAGCCTTGAAGCTGAAAAATGGAGTATACATATAGTTTAGTACAGTGAGTGAGGTCATGGACAAAGCACCTACAACTGGGTAGCAGCACGCAGCTTCTTAGGGGTGTTTGCAGCACCACACTTTGTAATACTAGATCTGATACAGCTGCAGTATGAGACACCCAAGCCACAAATAGACATACAATGACTCACGTAGACATGACAGGTTATTGGTATGAATGGGATGAGGTACTGGGGCTGCTTGGAAAAATTTCAGACTACTTATACAGAGAGTGAGGGAGTTATCTATCAGTGGATCAGTCAGAGACCCAACAATTGTGTGATCAGTGTGATGCTGATAGTTGCCATCAGAAATTGAAGCATACACAATATTTTGGATGCACAAGCCAGCCACCTACATGAACTGCTGCATCCACTCTCAACAGCTACATTTGACAACTCAGGCAACACACAGGTGCATTAGGAGTCAACATAAAACTGAGGGAATTCAAGTCATCATAGATGACAAAGTCCAACCATCCTGCAGAAGTCTGATGTTCCATTGATTGGCGCTCATGGAAGCATCAGATGTTTCAGATGCATGTGTTGATAGGAATATAGTCAGTCTTCACAATGATGATTGCTGAACACATCGGCGTGCTAGCTGGTATCCCATTGCATCCTTTCGTCCTGCACTCATGGCTCTTGTCAAGCTGTAATGATGCATCTGACAGTACAGTACATTCAGCTGCAGCTACATCTCAGACAAAGACTCACAGACTGAAGGACAACAATTACACAATGAATTGACCCTGGCTCAGAGTGGCAAGAAAGCATCAAAGCAACTTGTGACCATGGCTGCTGTGTGTACCGACATAACACATTATTATTGGGCTAATAATGCAGGCATTACATAGGCTGATCACTTACGTGCATCTGCAGATGTTCTGAACCATGGGTCTGGCAAGGACAAGTTGCTTGTCTATGGAGGACAGGAAGACGCAGTGGCTGAAAAAATGGTACTCAGTATTCAAGGCTATCTGCTGAAGACCAAGTTACCACCCATCACAAAGGAGTCTGAGCACACGACTTACCCTACAAAACATATAGTATATCTGATCATATTGTAGCATAGCGCAGACCAAGGTGCGCATTGGAGGCCTGGCAGATCCACTCTTTGACCAGGGAGCTGTTGCGGTTCTTGCAATTCATCAATTCCTGGAATCAAGGCTTGGGTCGGGGTCGTTGCAAGATATGGATGTCAAGCGAGAGCAGGGACACATTGTTCTTGACTTTCATAACCGGTACCTCACCCCCCGTAGTGAAGCAGCAGCATCCCATTTCCCAATGACTATGATCCAAGACACATCTTGCAAAGCCAGGTTACAGATGAGGTCTTCACAGCCGATAATGCTGTGCAGTTCTATGAGCGGGTCAAGCTGGATGGATCTAGTTGCAGGTAAGTGTATTATTTAAGACATTTGTACACTGGCTCATGAATAACACTGTACCAGCAAGATCAGTTCAAATAATCTCATCCAACTGCCTTGAGTGTTGGACAGCTTGTTGAGATCCAGACATCCTTTGCTGTGGTTCCAAGAGGCAAGACAAAGTACAAGCTAATCAACAAGCTACAATCAATCTGTGTTCTTGACCGGAGCATTGAGAATGTACGCACAGATTAGGCTGACTGTATGTTTTATTGCATCTAATCTTTATACAGGGGATCAATCAGGAACACATCCAAGCAGCCTTGCGGAAGACTTCACCTACCCAGAGAGTAAAACGGAATGTGTGCTATGAGGATGATGACAGTGAAGTTGAGGAAGCCAGAGAGGATGTGAGATCAGCAGATCAGAATCTCCGTAGTTATATCTGTGATACTGTGAATGCAGACCATTCACATAATAGACAGCTACATTGGGATATACATGCCTGGCAAAGTGGAGTTGAATCCACGTAATAATCAGACTGGCCTCAAGCCCTTGCATAGTACAACTCTTTTGCCTGAATCCCATCATCCTCAGGAGCATCAGCATCAATGGATGAGGCCACCTCCCCATTGTCAGGATCTATGATATCCAGGAACCATTTACTGTTCACCTTGTCCACCAAGGTTGCATCCCTTGGGTCATAGCTCACAGATGATGTTCTGAAAACGAATGAAAAGGTGCATGACTCACGTAGTATGGCTCGTCCTTCAACTGTTTATCTTCCCCATGGCACACGGGGCATATGAAGCTCCACACATCCTGTATGGCAGAGAAGTCCAACCACCCAAGACACTGGGCACAGACATCCCGGGTGCAGCGGCAACAGGTGACAAGGCTGCCACCGTTATGGCACCGGTAACAGTACTGCAAATGTGTCATTCATCCGCTAACAATGGTACAAACAGTGCACACACAATGCTTGACTGGTCATGGTCTGTAACATTGCTCTCTTGCTCAGACTCAGGCTTGTCCTCCTGCTCATCCAGCTCCATGTCTTCATCGTCTGTAACACCATTGATCAGCACCAGGATCTGCTCCCTTGACAGGTTGCTGCGTTGTCAATAATCAGACAATCCTACACTCTTTGATGTGTTCTGTGTGGTCCGAGCCATGGTCTGCAACAACAGTGAGCATACAGCCAGACAACAAAGAACGTACCCTCAGCTATGTCCAGTGGGAAGATGGGGGACACAAGGAGTGATTCCACACTCACGGTTGCATATGTGACAAATTGCATTGGACCTGTGATTGGGATTACTTCTTTGATTGTATCAACCAGCTGTGGAAGGAAGCATATGGCTTCTTGTCAGAGCCCATCAATCTGATGCGGATAGAAGCAGATAGCTTTGTGTCCGTGATCATCAATTTGATGCTAATAGAAACTGCTGCGGAAGGAAGCATATGGCTTTGGGTCACAGCCCATCAATATGATGCAGATAGAAGCATATAGCTTACTGAAACCATCAAACACGTGACACATGGGGTTGATACAAGACAGTTCCTCTTTCAGCAAATTCATCACATGCATTGCCAAGTCTTAGTCATCAGCTAGTCCCAAATGTAATAAAGTGGAGGGATCATTCATGAATGCGCAAAGACTGGCCATGTCTTTGAACAGCCATGAATGAGGTGAAGGGAGTGAAGCCAAATGAGTAATATCCTATGATAGGTGAAATGGTTGTGTGACAAGAATTGCGTGGAGGTCCCTGAGGAAGAAGCCATGTCAGTGAATCACAATCAAAGCCCCAATCAGTTGAATACCTACCATGCCCACTTCTTGGAACCCATGAAACAACTAAGCACCTACATAGGCACCATCCCCTAGATGTCAAATTGAGTAAGGTATCTTCTATCACAAGAACACATACTGGTGAATACAAGTGTACAGACAATCACAAACAAGATGGGCTACAAAGCATATGAATCATTGACATGTGGGTCCTCAGACATGCAACATGACGCACACTTGTCTGGGACGGCATAGCCATTCAATCCCCCAGAATCCACAAGACAAGAGAGGGTACGATGCAGATGAATCACTGACATGTAGGTCCTCAGACGTCCAACATGACATATGCTTGTCCAAGACAACATAGCCATTGAAGCCCCCAGAACCCACAAGGCATATGGTGGTGCATCTATGCATAGCAAATCAGTACACAAGAAAAACAAACTCCTACATGGGCCTCAGGCAAGATCAGGCACCCTGCACGCCCATGGCAACATGCAAGGGGTCTGGCTGTGCACATAAAAGTTGTGTGAAGGTTCAATATAGGCGACAGTGATGGACATGATGAGAGCAGGGAACAAAGGGGATGAACGCTCAAGGTTGATCTTTATGTGACAATTTCGGGTGCTTCCTAAACGAGGCCAAGCCATGTGCAGCACATAACAAGTCGCTGGGCACTTGTGTACACAGCCTAGAAACAATCAGTTTCATGCAGTTTGGAACAGCGCACATAACAGAATTACGATCCCTGAGGTACGAAGGAATCGTTCTTATGACTGGAGGGGATGAAACGCCTTACAGTGGCGCCCGATTTGGAAGGAGTCCACGTGACTTTTTGAGGCCCAGATAAGCAAAGATAAGTAACTGATACTAATGTCCATTAGTGGGACCTAAAATTTGAAACTCCCAGACGATGCGACTTGCACCAACAGATACAAATAAATGCTGTGGCTGGCTGCTCTGTCCTGGGGTGAGGGCCCATGAAACACCTTCCAGTGGCGCCCAATATGGCAACTGGTGGCTTTCATCATGTGACTTACAGGCTGGCTGGCTGCTGTGGCCTGCCAGCGCTCACACTGTATACAGTCAATTAGTAAGTAATCATAGTAGACATAGTATGCCCATCTGATAGCCATCCATTCAAAGAGTATACAGTAATATTCCTAAGCACTTACAGTGGCTGGCTGGGCTGGAAAGTGCAAAACAAAAAAATCTACATGTGCCTTTGCATAAGTCAAAGCACCTGTGTCTGCTCCAGATACTCACTGAATCATCAGGACAGTGACCTCATGCAGTTGAATGACTTTGTATGTGTCAGTTGCTTCTGTGATACAGCAAAGATGAGCAATATTGGGCAATTTGAACACTAGTGAGCATATTATTGCTGATGTGTCATGTCTATCACTGACCTGTGTCATTGATGATGACCAACTGTACCTGTTAAGCTTCTTATTATATTATCAGGATTTTGCACATTTTTACAAGCTCATAACAAGCCCATTTGCCCTGTATCAGCTATGGTTTCCTTATTGGGCAGGTTGCCTACTACTTATGGCAATACACAGAACAGCACACTTATAGACCTCATCTGGGCCCCTCTGACTAAACACTGCATGTATGATACATGCTTAGCATCTGTGGGAGTATGTGTGCTACACAGACAGTGACTAGAGCCTAATGTATTGCTTCTGTAAGCACTGGGCTGATGATACAGCAACCAATGTAAATGTATTGAAGGTGTAACATGAAATAGAGTCTTCCTTCTCAATTGGAGCCTTTCAATTCATTGTCTATGCTTTTGATAATATTCACTGATTTCTCCGCATTTGTTTAGATCTGTACAAGCTAGTAAAAGGCTTGCATCGCTTACTAAGCGCCCATTAAGCGCCCGTGTGCCGTTCGGAGTTGCATCCACCTGGAATTTCCAGGCGGATGCAACTCCGTGCGGCAGGGGAGAGATGCCGATTGGCTGATAAGCCCATTTCCTTGCCCTGTTAAGGCAGGCCTGCCGATGTTTGGGCTGAGTTTAAAATTCAGCTGCAAGACCATTAGTAGCATGGTTACTGTGCTACTATAGGCCAATAAAATCCGTAAAATCTTCAAAATATTATGCCTTATAGCCCTCATACTATAGAGTCTATTGCTAGTCTTACCTTCTCATGCAGTTCAGTACACAGGGCACAAGTTACAAAATAAGAAATCACACAAATGCCTCAGTGACATGCTTGTGGTCCTTTGTGCCTGGTAAATGATCTTGAAGAATGCAATTGTATGCCTATAAGCACCTGAGACCTGCTATTTGGAGCATCTTTGTGTCCTGTAGTGTACATTACAATCTACTTGCTGCTGTTTCTGATATAAGCCCCACCCTTGTAGATGCAGAGGCACATGTGAGTTTTTTTGTTTTGCATTTTGTGGCTTCACTAGCCATTGTATATGCATAGCATTCACACAATATATCCTCTGAATGAAGGACTTTCAGGAGGGTATAGTATGCTTGTATCATTTGTTACTGATGTGTGCTTTGAAGGCTTGTAATGATTCAGTTTACATTGTGCAATAAGTGCTCAATAAGCGCCCATGCCATGCGAGATTCACTCGTTGACAGGTCAAAATTTTGACCTGTCAACAAGTCATCTTGCAGTGTAGTCTCCCAGACTCTGTTGCAAACTGCTGCAAAAAGTAATTGTCCTTGATAGGATTCACCATTCTCAGCCCAGCCACAAGTTGAAATGAATACAAAAGACCTCGAAATATTCATGCTAGTAGTCCTCATACTATAGACTCTATAATGGGTATCAGTTTGCTGTAGTGTCCATTACTCATGCCACAATATGCAAAACAAAAAGTGCACAAGTTGTCATGGTTTTCTTTACTTTGTTCAAATAAATAACACAGCATATCCACATTTTTAGACCCACTGGATAGTGTATCATTGCTAGACTGCTGAATCAAAATGCAAAACTGGGAGATTGGATCCAGGGCAACTTTCATTAGACATACAGTTCATGAGGTTCCTTAGATAATATCTATGCAGGATAGCAATGACACTCCCTTAGCATACTGCTACTTTTGGTCAAAACTGCCCTTTTGAGTGTTACTGCTCTTCCATGGCCATGATAAAATCAAAAATACCCCAAAAATCCACAATGGTATGTGTCATATCATAGATCTGATCTTGGGTATCACTTTACCATGTAGCTCGAGGGACTTCCGACTAAATTTGGTTTCTCTCCCACTTATCTGATTCATATAACCAAATAAAATACTCACAGACATTCCATCAGAGTATCTGGCTACTATATTGGGCAGAAGGATTTCCCTGTGAGTTGGTGGTTTGCTATTTGATCTGAGCTCAATAATCATTACAAAATTGGGGCATGCTTGACAATTGTTGTGGTGTTGCTTCACAACAGTGACAGCTTCTTTGCAAGTCATATGACTGTGTTTGCTGCCCAATCCAATATTCAAGCTGACTACTACAGTGCTGCTCATGTAATATCTTGTAAATTATTGGTTGAAATGACTGACAATGGCTATATAGTGCTGTACCCATATTGACAAGTTGAAATTTGTCAACAACTTCATGCTGCCCACATTTTTGTTGTGGCAACACCTCTATGTAGCATCCAATGAAAACCATTGAGTGATCACTGACTTCACTACAGGGATTCCAGCAGCTATTTGTGTTGTACCAGGCAAAATGAAGCATACTTACATGTTGGATCAATACTATATAGGTACTACCACCAGAATACATCTCCACATTCCTATTCTGTCCAACCTATGCCTATATCACCGCATAAAGGGTCACTCAGCATTGTGTACTTTATGCCAATGTGCATGCCATCACTCAAAATCAAAAAAGAATTGATGGGTAGAGATTCAATGAGAACACTGGCTCAGTAGGGGAAGGCAGATGACCTTGGAGCTCAAGCAAGGAAACCACATTGTTTTTCCATTAGCAAGTGGCTACATCTGTTGAATGTTTTTGATATGTATTCTATGTCTGTCTATCTTTTCTGTCAGAATTTCACTTGTCATCATTGCATGCTTTTATTGTACTATTACCAATATATGTGCACACTGACATTTCAATGCTTTGAAGCACTTAACAATGCATATACTATCTGGACTATTATTGTGACTATTTCCCAATCTCCCAATCTCTACTGTGTTCCTGCTCATTCCAGTTATCATAGGATCCTTCAATACTGATATAATTGCTGTTGTATGCTTGGTAAATGATGATTATACTAATCAATTACTAAGTTATAATGGTATACTCCATTTTGGTAACCATGTCACCAAGCATTATCAGGGGTTTCACAACCTCTTACCACTTTGAATAGCTCAGAGATCTTTGTCACTGAGATTCATGTCCCTATTGACAGGGTGATTGATTTTGTAATCAGCTGTCTACAATTACAGCAGAAATATGACAGACTGGAACTCAAAGATGGCAGAGAAATTAAGAGAATATGTTTATTGACATCATCACTCACACTGGGCAGTTCTCTTATGACATCTGTTTGATCATAATGGTTGGTCACAACATACATATGAAAGCCATTAATTGTTGATTTTACTGTAGCAATCAGTGACTGATAAACACATCATAAGTCAACCTCCCTGTACGCTAGATATGTCAGGCATACACTTAAATAATGAAACCATATGCCTGAGCCTAAGGGGCAATCATATGCAACTCAACTGTTCTGACACCACGTTGGCATGCCTATGCACCCTCTAAAATGTGATTTTACATGTGACACTATCATAACTGTTCATGACACCAATCAGCAATAGCATCTGCTGAAATGGAGTGACTACTTGCAATGAATGCTGCTAGATATATGACTGACTCACTTGTGCATTCATTACAATCATGTAATTCATTTTGGATAATACTTGTCAGCTACCATGCACCCAACAGCATCACAGGCACAGATTAGAAGATGGACTGAGGACCAAAATTGTGCAATAATCAAAACAGAGGTTAGAGAACATATAAGCGGTGAGGAGTGAGAAATGATTACCAAAGCAATGTTCTAGCCATAGGCAAGGCATTTGAACTCACAATTCTGTGGACCCATGTAGATTAAATGATGGATGATGGGCTCGATAGTTGTTGGTATGTAGATGGTACCATGTCTGTAGGGAAGCCTGGATGTGTAAGTTCAATCATGAAGAAGAATAGTGGGGTTATCAAGGCATGCACAAGTCAAAATCCAGAGTGAGAGATATGTAAGATTGAATGTCTGGAGCTGAGGAGGTAGTGTTACAGATGTGACACTACTAGACATGTTGCCTGCTTGCTCTGAGATTTCAAACTGAAGGGATCGTATTGCCAGACATGGCCCACTCCCCAGCAAGTAGTATAAAGGATTGGAACAGCATGACTGTATGATATTGGCATAATGAGGCTTTACAAGTACACTACACTTTGAAGTATGTACCACTACGCTTCAATTTACACAAGGCATGTTCCAGCATGATCACATCAAGATTCATCCTAGACTTCACAGCAGCAGGCAGCTTGGCTTCAAGATGATTATATGCAAGCACAAAGGCTGTGCACACTTCACCTTCAGTAGCAGACACACCGCTGAGAAGTCCAAGACGAATGAGACCAGCCCGTGCACCTAACTTCAATGACGCAACCACATGGCCTATCTCAGGCACTGTTGGCATCTTCACCTTTCCTGCATACACAAGTCTGATGCAAGAAGAGTGGCAGTAAGTGGCCCACAGCCAGGGAGGAGCTTCCGGGTACTGCCTGGGACACGGGGCTCGAGTAAGAACTCCTTGCGGGCATCAAGGAAAGGAATATTTGGGTGGTCAGAGAAGAACTCCACAAAATGAGGTGCAGCCGCAAACATCGCCTCGCCATGGCTAGCTAGCATCATGGCCCATGGCATGTGAGCCATACGCATTCTTGTTGCAGATGTAGTCAGAGGGATGAGCGTTGCGCAGGGCGACAAAGTCTTCCAGTGTGGCAAAGAAGGTAGGGGAGTGATAGGAAGCCTCTGCACCAAAAGTGATGCAGTGGAAGATAAATGCACTTGCAATCCCTCCTGGCTTGTCGATGTTGGTAGGATGGAAGGGACCCTGGATAGATGTCACCGCTCGGTGACCATGGGCAAGCTCCCGGAATGGCAAGTACTTGTCCTTATTCCTCAAGCACCAGTTCTGGAGCCGAGTGTGTGATCTGCTTACCATTTAGAAGATGGTCCAGCACGCCATAGCAGTTGATGACAAAGCAGTGGAGCGCTTCTAAGCCTGGTGCAGCAGAGCTGGAAGGTTGCAAGGTGAGCTGAGGTGCTGGCGGAGTGGAGCAAGAGGATGCAGAGGACAGTGGTGGAAGTGAGGAAGAACAAAGCCAAAGGAACTCCGCAAAAGCACAAGCATCTGGCAAGGTAGGCTGGGAGAGGACTGGGAGTGCACGGAGATCATGGAACAGAGGATCTAGATGGGTGGAAGGGAGGCGACGCCGGCGGTCGTCCAGGATGAGAAGGGAAGACTCAGCGCGCTGGTAGACATCCCAGACACCGTCCAGAAGAAGGACATCTGAGCAGCCAAAGGCCGAGATGATAGCGCGTATGAAGAGGGAGCGCACATACGAGGAATTCTTCGGGAAGTCCAGCCATGTGCGCAGGGTGCGCTGAATGAAGTCAATGGATGCAGTGTAACGCCGATCAGCGGTGAAACGAGCTCTTGGCATGGTGATGGAATGGGGGGGGAGATCAGGAAGGAAGTCCTGGCGCAAGAGTGACCAAGTCATACGACTTGAAGCCATCGTTCACTGCAATGGCAAGATGGCCAAGCCAGTCATTGGCAGCAGCGGAGGGAGCAGAGGATGAGAGAAACCTTGAGCAGTAGTTGACAGGAACACAGTCCAGCCAGAGCCAAGCATAGTAGTTCATCATCATTATTTCAGACCTAAGAACCGTGCACTTGAGGTGCTGCAGGGAGTCATCCCGCTTGTACCTTGTCTGCGCAGACCAGTTCTGCAATCATTATAAGTCAGAAATGCAACCTAGACATGGAACAGAGACACATACACGTTGCAGCAAAACTGCAAACCCAACAGAGCACGCAGCTGCAGAGTCCTTGCTCTCCATAGCATCAAGCAGGCCATCGAGAAGCTGGCGTGAAACAGATCTGGCAGCTGAATCCTCAGACTGCAGAACACTGGCAACATTGCGCAGCATCTGGTTTGCAGCCTGGAACTTTGCTGCAGTGAACAGCGAGAGAGCAACCGCATACGCTAAATTGAACATGAGCCTTGGTGTCCAGAAATAAAAATAGCAACTCACACTTTGCACTTGCACTTCCTGATGACTGAGCTGCAGGAGACAAGACAGGAGCTTCCTGGCTCTCATCCTCGTCATCTTATGCAATGAACAGAGGTCAGTCAGGACTTTATGCTGAGAATGCAAAAAAGTGCACCTTCATCTTCGGACTCAGACTCATCTGCAGTGCGTGCAGACAACTTTGGAGGGACCATAAGTGCATCCAGAGGCACATACAGCAGGGATTGACCATCCTCTCTGTCAGACACTGTAGGGTCTAGAGGGAAAATGAATAAAATGAGGCACTACTTTACAACAGACTTCTTACTGGGACCACGCGGCCGCAAAGTCATACCCCCCCCATGCTGAGATGGCCCAGCAGAACTGCTAGGCTGATCTACAGCAGGTCCGTCCACAGCCATAACACGTGTAGCACGACGTGGATGGCCTATAACTTTACGGGCTGCAAGGAAAAGGTCAGTAAAATATAAAACCGAACAAATCTCGAAAATAATCGTACCATCTCCATTTTCTAAGTCCAAACGTGCTGTAAAAACATGAGATGAAGTCCAAACCATGACAGACAAAACTCTTACCTCGTTGGGCAGGTCTCTCATCAGAATCCATACCATCCTCCACCTCTGCGCGAGCGCGCTTCTTGCCCTTGGCTGGCTTGGACTTGGGCTTAGGCTTTGCCTTCTTGCCCTTGGACGGCACAGGAGCTTTCTCTGCAATGTGTATATGAGCAGACAGGCACAAGGAACAACAAAAAGACATACTGGGTTGCTGGGATCCTGCAAGAACAGTCAGAAAAACAGTAAAGTTGAATAATTGCAGTACTTACTTCCGGGACGTGTAACAGGAACAGGCGCAGGGTTCTCAGTCCCCATCTCTTTGCGGAGGTCCACAATGCGATTGTCATATGTGGCTCGTGGAATGACAGCCACATAACGCAGCTTGTGCTCCTTCCACTCCCTCCAAGCCTGAGCACGTGCAAGGATGGTTTCATGCACATACTCAGGCTCATCAGGCCGATGTTCAAGGACAGGGACCAAGTCCGTGTCAGTGAATGTGATGCACTGGCCCTCCTCATCAACCGCAGAGAACGCGCTGAAGAACACGTCTGGGTTAAGAGAAGGACCAACATTGGCTTGACGCCAAAGATGGAAGACAAGGTTATACAGCTGGCGCACCATGAAAGACGCAACAGTGTGCCTGTCCCCAATGTTGAGACCATCAACAGCGTAGTTGAGGTAGTTACTGTAGATCTTGTGGTCGTGGTCATACCTGCATGCACATGAGCAAGACTGCATAAAAATGAAGTCAAGACTTACGTTGGATTGTACATCTCAGGCGGGATGTTAATGGCCTTCTGCCCAACTGCACCAAGCGCAAGCATGGAGTTCCCATCCATGACACGGCTCATGGGGTACATGACATGGTTCAGACGCACAGCGTCCTGCGCAATCTCCACCGTATTGTCAGAGACATACGGGCTCATTCCCATGTGCCAATGAAGGCCAGAGAACAAGACAGAGAGTAGGCTAGACCTCTCTGACTCATCCTCTGTGAACCCGTCCGGCAGCCGCACGAACGCGTAACACTCAGGGAAGAGGAAGAGCCCGGGGCCGATGCCCGCGTGCAACTTCGAGAAAACGGTCATGACAGACATCGCACCTATGGAGTCATGCTCGTCTTGATGCACGCCGCCAAAGAAACCCAGACTGTCAGACAAGTCCATGGGTCCTGTAGTAAACCAAGCTAAGTCATCACAAATAACAAAAAGGCAAAAAAAAAACAGACCTTTCTGGAGCTTATCAAGGTAGTCAGGTGTAGAGACATTCAGCTGGCTTCCACCAAAGCAGACATTGCTCATGGTCCCAGGGCGGAAGTACCCCAGGAGCTTAGCATGCAACTCCAAATGGTGGTAAAGCTCAGGCTGGACAGTGCGGATAATGTGTACACCCAGCTCACCGCCCACCTGCAGACAAGTCAGACAAGTCCCAAGAAAGCAGATAGAAGCGTACCTTTGCAAGCTCCCTATGGATCTCAGCATCCTCACCATCCCCTCCAGTGAATGATTTAGCCTCCACATTGGGTGCCAGAACACCATTCTGCACCTGCTGGGACTGCGTGATGGCATAGATGCGCTTACGGTCCTTGGTACCCTCCAGGCCCTTGCTCAGCACAAGTCGCTCAAACTCGGTGCCCTTGATCCACTCCCCATTTGCTGCCTTGACAGGCGCCTCACGCGAGCACTTCTCACACGGCCCCATCACACGGCTGCAAGAGTTGAGGTAACGCTGCACAAGTGGGACAGGCATGTCCCTGCAAAACATCAGCCATGTGCATGTATCAGAATGCCATAATGACTCACTTCTGTGCCACAATGGAGGCACGCACCAAGGCCTGCAACCAGAAAGTAGCACATTGTGACACGTTAAGGTAGGCAGCAAGGCCCAGCATCGTGTCACGGCCACGCAGACGCAACCATCCTGCTCATACATAAGCTAGGGCTGCATATAAGGCACACAAAACTCACCTATGTCCAACGCATGCTCCTCTGCGACATGCGGTAGGTTCCACTCGGTTGGCTTCTTCGCAGTCGTGGCAGCAGCAGCAAGCTTGCTGTTGTCTATGATGTAGAGGTAGCAATTGGCGGTGGGATCTCCCCGGGGGGATTGAGAGGGTGGTCGTTGAGACGGAAGATGGGAGGATAGGACTCCGGACGGTTAGGGATGCGCACCCACTCGCCTGGCAGCTCAGTGATGACCCAGGCAGGGATCCCATACAGATATGCCAAAGAAAAGCTACAGAAAGGTCAGTGCAAACCAACAGATAGTCCTATTCACTACTCACTACACCCATTTGTCCTCCTTGTACTCCAATCGCCCAGGAAAACCATCAGGTAGGTTAGGAAAATCCGGCATGGGCTACAAGTTCCAAAAGTCGGAAATAAACAGGCATTTAGCCCAGTGACTAGTGACAGGGATACCGGCACGAAAACTGCACGCTTCCGCGCAATTGAAGTATCGGCCGATTTTCCTGATACAGGAGAGTCGGACGGTCTTGGATTCGCGCGGTTTCGTGAGGTGCCGCCTACGCAGCAAATCCGCAAAGATCGCATGCGCGCCAGCCACCCACCACCTGCTGCTCCCCCCGCCGTTCCTCCTGCCGGCAGCAAAACCGCACGCATGTGGTATCAGCAGACTCTCCTGATTCAGGAGAGTCGGACGGTGCAGCATTTGTGCGGTTTCGTGCTGTCCCGCCGAGGTAGCAACCCCGCCAACATTGGTTGCGCACCCGCCACCTGCCGCCGCCCCCACCCCTCCTCTCGTTGTGGATGATACCGCACAAATGCGGTATCTTCTAACTCTCCTGATGCAGGAGAGTCGGGCGGTACTGCTTTTGTGCGGTTCCATGAGGTGCCGCCGACACAGCACGTCTGCCAACATCAGCCGCGCGCTGGTCGCCAGCGCCTAGCTGGTGGCTGCGTGTCCGGCACTTACGCGAAGTACAACCATTCTCTTCTCATAGGCTCCTCCCCTTGTCCCTCCCGACCACCCGACCACCATTGTTCTGGAGTGACACACTGTGGCCACCACCTCGGCGACACACCCGCGTACCCGTCGTCAACATAAATAGACGGGCCGGAGACTCAGATGGACATGACCTACAATCCGGGTGTCTTGCAGCTGCCGGGCCCCCCCGGATCAGTAAAACTACAGATTGCTTTAACTGGCTTAGGCGGCTTCGTGTGGCTTCGCATGGCTTGACAACTCACTTGATGTGCTTAGCTGTCTTAGATGGCTTACCATTTGCAGGCTGTTACTACACCAAACTTGACACGCTAAGCCATTAAGCATCATTAAGCACCACTGTAAGTACACATGTGTTTGATGTAAACTAAGCCATTTGAAGCACCACAAGTACATGGGCGTAGCCAAACAAATATGACCGGGTCACCCCAAGCGACCCACGTCAATTGGGATTTTGTGCAATTCTTTTGACAGCCCTGTCAGGGGCTTCATCAGTCAGATGAGGATCAGACATCTGAGCAAATGCCACCAAGCACTAGACAAGAGCGCTTAACAAGGGCAATTTTCCTAAACTGGCATCTACATCTATCATTAAAGTTGCACTTCCATAACACCACAACATTGATCCTCCCCGGCATCACAATTCCTGTGGCTATGTCTGCCCCCACGCCCATCACCGACCATACCGCCGCCATGGTCATGTCAACAGCTCAACCCACGCACGGGACAGCTGGGCCCTGGTATATGTATTGGGTCAATCCAGCCACTATGGCGCCCATACAGAACCCATTCTTGTCCTTGTACGTAGACAGGACCACTTGTAACAATGCCAATAGTATGTTTATGAATGAACAGCAGGCACTATTGGGACTACCACAATGCTACTGGCAGCAGCAATGACAGTGGATGCAACTTCAACGCAATGGATCAGGAATCAGTAGATGAAGACATGGTCAACTCCCAGGCCAAGCCTTTTGAGTGCATGCCGGCAGAGGCCTACGAGGGGATGACTGACGAAGAAATCCTGGAGACCTTTGACCAGCGGCTGAAGGCAATGGAGGAAAAGTGGATGCAGCTGATGGCGGAAGCAAATGAAGATATGACTGAAGAAGAAATCCTGCGGAACCTTGACCAGCGGCTCACAGCAATGGAGATGTGGGCGCAGCTCACTGCAGATGCAGAGGATGAAGTAACAGATGAGGAAACCCTGCAGACCCTTGATGAACGCTTGGCAGCAATGGAGGAGCATTTGATGCAAATGATAGCACGAGCACAAGCTCATAACTAGATAGTCTGGTATAATCTTGCTATACCCTGGATACCTAGTCCCTCTGCTTGCTATAGTCAGATGGTCGCCTATGTCACTCTCCTCAAAGTCATGTGTACAAATACAACACTCTTTGGACATGGGATAGCAAGGTTATAGAAGGAGCTCCACAATAAAATGTATAGTTGATTACTGATTGACACTATAGACAGCCAACAGAATGTGGCCACTGCCATGGTAGCCAGCCAGCCAGCAAGATATATGATTGCTGTCCCCAGTTTCCATATTGGGTGCCACTGGAGTGCGTTTCATGGCCCCTCACCCCAGGACAGAGCAGCCAGCCACAGCATTTATTTGTATCTGTTGGTGCAAGTTGCGTCGTCTGGGAGTTTCAAATTTTAGGTCCCGCTAATAGGACATTAGTATCAGTTACTTATCTTTGCTTATCTGGGCCTCAAAAAGTCACGTGGACTCCTTCCAAATCGGGCGCCACTGTAAGGTGTTTCATCCCCTCCAGTCAGTCATAAGAATGATTCCTTCGTACCTCAGGGATCGTAAATGCAAACTGAAGCATCTTATAGGTTGAATTCCAATGTGATCGCGAGGCATGTTCTCCTCCGGCAACTCAAGCTGCGCGAGCCTCTCATGCCACGCAGGGAGTAGCTTCGTTGTCGAGTTGATTTGTGAGAGACGGCAGTTTTGTCAACTCGTGATCGGGGGACGGGCTGCTGGTTATCCTTGAACTATTGGTGACCGCTCCACGGTCGGGTCGTATTCATCACGTGAGGCTGAGGAGCCGTGAGCTGGCGAGCAGCTGGATGTGACGATTGGTCTTGTGGGAGCGAGGAGCCCACGGATTTGTAAGAGGTCGTGCGGGGGCGAGGAGCCCGCGAGAAGGTCGTGCCCGAGGCGAGGAGCCCAGGGATGCGAGTCGGCGAGGAGCACAGCTCACTAAGTCGGCGAGGAGCTTGACTTAAGAAGTCGGCGAGGAGCCGCTCCCAGCGTGGCGAGGAGCGCACGCTTGAGTCGTTGCGCGAGGAGCGCACTCGACAGGAAGTTGCACCAGCTCGGACGGTGCGGTCAGTCGCATACGGACGAGGTGGTGGTAAGAGAGTAAGTTAAGATGTCTATTCTTCGTGCACGCGCGACTTACGTAATTACCCTGGAGGTTACATATATTAATACGGAGTGTAATTATGTACATGAGCAGAAGACGTGCGGGTCGTGATTCTTGAATGCCATTTTGTAAGTGGTGGTGTACGCGGTCTTGATGCGCTCCACCGCGTCCGTAACATGATTACACCGAGAGCGAATTTGCGCAGCTATGGGAACAGCAAGATAGGTAAGTATACTACAGTCATATTTGAATGAATATTAACAGACTTTGACAAGCACAAGCTTGACGGGCCGTGTAGTGGCCTTGTGCTCGGCGACCTCCTCTGCGGACATGCGGTCGCGCTCATCCACCCACCCCTCAACGTCGTCAAGATCCGCTCCGTCCATATCCCACTCGCTCACATTGTCATCATCATCATCGCCCCCACCCGCCATCTCAAGCTCTTGCGCCAGCTCTTGCAGCGCAGCCTCTGCAGTGTCCAAAGCCGCTCCATTGGTACGCTTTGATTGGCGCAGGGCGACGTCGAACTGCTTCAACAACATCTTAACGACGAGGTTCAGGATGTGATTGAAGCACCGAACACGCGCACACTGCCCCCTGAAGGTCTCGGCCAGCTCGGCCAACTCATTGACCATTGTCGGCTGTGATTCCCAGGATCTATGCATGTGTAAGTTCTAGTACTCTCAGTCCAGCACTTGTGTATTTGTGAATACCTTGTCTTCGATGCCGAAGCTCCTGAGCATCTCCGCGAAGACGCTCGCAAGGTTAATGCCTGAGTGAGACTTGGCGAGCTCTATGACGTCAAGCACCATGCGAATAGGTGCACCCTCATGCTCGAAGTGTATGGAAATGGCCACCATGGCCGCCACCTCAACTCGTGCAACGATTCAAACGCAACACTCAACCTCGTTACTGAGCTGGTAAGTCTTTCGTCACCGTCATTACATCATCCAACCCTGACATTGACTATTCATAGCTGCAGGACATGGCAGATCGTACCGGCACGCAGTCGGTGACATTCTCTGCCAGGGACAGCGCGGAGGCGTACAATCGGCCCCGCATCATCTTCACCACCCCACATATCCCCGACTTCTTCAAACTCACAAACAACAACACCTCCCTTACCGACTATGTGATGCAACTGGAGGCCTTCCTCATCGGAGGCTTCGATCGTAAGTACCACTCTCAATACGAACCTTCCTAATACTGATGCTTGCTCCGTCAGTGATGCTTGGGAACTATAGCAAGAGGACCTTGAATTTGAAGAAGGAATGTGTTGGTTTGATCCGGGATCAACTTTGTAAGTCTTATCATCTCCTGCAAGTGATGTACACGGCTGACGTAGAGAACTGATAGGTACGGCGACGGGCGGACGCTGCAACAAGATGAACTACGTCAACTTCGATACCATCACAGCGGAATTCGGTGTTGTGTTGCAGGGCTGGCCCCTGAAGACATGGTGCTCCCCGAGCGACATCTCCTTGCAGTTGGAAGTCCAGCTCTTGCTGAACTACCTGCAATCCGGGACAACGCACTTCCGCAAGCTGACAACGGACAAGTTGAAGGAGTGGAAGATGGTGCGCGCAATGGGTGCAGTGGCGGCGACGATGCAGGTGAGTACTCAACAAAGCAAGATCCGGGTGTATCTAACTGTACACAGCCCGGGCCCTCCACCAAGCCCATCATGGAGTCTGCCCAAGACGTTGGCGATGTCTCATCCACAGCCACTCCCGAACCTGTACCTACCGACAACCGTGACGGCGATGACGGTGACGACTCTGTGACGCACAAACGGAAGAGGGCGGACACATTCATCAATATCACCGCCGCTGTGGTCAATGGCGCCAACACAATTGATGGCTCGCAGCTGACAGTAGCAAAGAAGCAGCGGAAGGTGCAGAAGGACAAGGGTCAGAAGCGGGGTCCGAGGAAGTCGTCGAGCAAGGCTGCAAGTACGTCTCCCGATACAGATACTACCATGGGACTGACTTCGATATGATATTACAGGGGATCCTACGACAACGATGACCAATGGTTCTTCCACCCCGGCCACAGCTACTACGTCCACCGCCCCTTCCACTGCAGCCACGGCTACACCGCCCGCCGCCCCTACCACTACACCCGCTGCGTCCACGTCCGCAATCGCCTAGTCCACGGCCATGCTGGTCACCGTGACCACCATGCCTGCCGCCATGCCTGCTGTCGGCGCCGTGTACTAGAGGCGAGGTCATGCCTTACCAATACTATACCTTCCATGTTGTGCATTCTCTGTGTTGGAGTCTGGGTTAGGATTAGTATAATACTTACTTCAAGGTAACCAGTTACTTGAAGTCGAGCAATAGAGTAGAGGATGTCTCCTTCGTTATAGAGGAATAGTAACGAAGTTGTATGGTTTAAATGAATAGATTACCGAAGTATTCAATACTCGGTAACTCAGAAGGAAGCGTCGGTGATGCTTAAGTCCAGTAGAGCAGTTACCAAAGTGTCGGTAATAAATGATTACCGAGAAGTGATGTTAGAACGTTGATCAGTATGATGAACCTTCTCCGATGAACCCGACTCTTGTAGTCAGTTGAAGTTACTTAGACCTTACTAGTAGCGTGAGGACTGTACTAAGTAAGGTCTCACAATCACAGGTCTTAGAGCGCGTCGGTAAGAACTCAGTGAGAGTGGTCGAGTGACTAGTATGGCTAACTTAGCACTCGGGGCGAAGCAAGTCTTTGTGTGGCACACAAGGTGAATTTCGGTAAAGAGTGTAGATGGATTGCCGCAGTCTTTCATCTCGTCTTATATACATTTCCGAGTCCTCAATCCTGTGTACTATAAGCGGTTCAAGGCTATCCTACGTACGGTACTTGAGACGTGTCAGAATCCACAGCCTAAGTCCTCACCGAGCTAAGTCCGAAGTGTCAACCCTGCCTTCCTCGGGGATCCTTCAGTGTTCCCATTACCGATGGTCAATAGTCCTCGGTGATCCTTCGGCGATTCCTCTATTGGTAGTCAATAGACTTCGGAGACTCGATCCCTCCTGCCCTCGGTATTGAAGTCCTAAAGCGCACTTCGGCAAACTCCGTAGATTACCGGTTATTGCCGAGGCGCGTCCTCAACCAATAGTCTAGGAGTCCATTGTGCTTATCTAATGGACCCTTCCGACAATAGCGGTGATTCTAAAAATAGCTTGTGAGTTGAGGCATATAAGGCGGACTTGGGATTTCGGAGATATTCCCATAACACTCTCATGGTGAACTTATGTTGTAGAGTAGTGAAGCTGTTGATGTAATACTGTCTCATGCACACAAAATCTATCCTTGTTCTATGGGAAACATTTTCTCCTGAGGAACATGTTGAACAAGGAGTGAAAAGGGAGTGGCTAGTGTGAAGGCAACACTTAACAGACTACAAGACCAGTTAAGGACAGCAGTCAATGGAGGGCTTGCAAGGTCTCAAGAGACTGAGAGGGAAGACTCAGCAGGCGTAAGACAAGAGGAGAGACCGATACATTTACAGGGGCATCCAGCCCAGTATATATACACATGAGAGAGTCATCACATGATCGTACAGTAAGCGTAAGTAAGCGTTATGTGTAAGCCTGTAGCAGGATGAGTAAGGCGTACACACGTCGTGTCATGATGATGCAATATAGTGCAATGAGCGAATACATCAGGATGATGTGATATGGCACTATAGATAGAACATGCTGGAAGGCACTGGAAAGGACTGGACAGGCCTAGATCAATGATGTGATCAATGATGCGAAGTGATGTGATCAAGGAATGTGATGGAACATCAAGGAATGTGATGGAATATGATGGAACCATGTGGAATGTTCCATACAGGTCTAGAACAAGTCATGTGCTACAGGTCTGGATCAAGTCCATCAAGAATGTACGTAATATGTAGCAATGAAGAACATAAGTCCATAACGGGTAAGAATAAGTCCTATCCCGTGTGATAACACCTGAAATAGTCGAAGTTCAACAGAACACAGTATATACATTGGGGAAAGTACCCTTGACTGCGAAAAAACGCGCTCAAAATGAGCCAGAATAAGTGAGGTACTTGAGCTCGCTGTGGGCGACGGCGAGCGCGAGTGATGGCGCGACGCGCAGCGATGAGCGCGCGTCGGCCTTGGGCGGAGGCGCGTGACGCCACCAGAGCACGCGGTGGCGGCGAGATCATCGTCAGCGCCGAGGCTTACCTCAGTGATCGCGGTGGCTGCCCAAGGTATCTTACCCAACTGGGAAAAAGTGACGGTCTTGAAGGTTTTCCTGGCAGTGTGCGAGTAATGATAGATCTATGCTAGTAAGCTTGGCTCAGGGGGGGTACGAACCAAGCTTATTAGCTTAGGTTCACGTGCACCCCAGGTGGATGTTCGTGCACTATGGTGTAGGGGGAGCCCCAGTTAGCATCATGACCAAGCCATGGAAGCCTTGCAAAAAGAAGGTGACAGAGGAGAGTGAGCCAGTGCAAGAGCAGGCACAGCCCTCAAAAAAGTGTCGCAAGACTAAGCAGACCAAGGAGGTCGAGTCTGCACATCGACACAAAGCATTGTATTTTGCTCTCGACATATCCCTCTTCCCCCCCTGGTGGATGGGAAGGAGCCTGCTTCTACTACTGACATCAGCTACAGCTTTGTCGGATTTGTGTAGTCCCTGGGTGTGTAGCGCCCATTTGTACGCAAACTTTGAGGGTGGCTAATAAGTACAAGATCGGTACTACGAGGCAAAAACCGCGGACCCTCCGATCTAGACGGCGTGGGACAGCTTTGCAAACGCGTTCAAAGCTGGGTCAGCCACAGTAGCCCATCCTGTACCATCCACAATATATATGTGTCATTTCGTTCATTGTCATTTACATGTCAATCCCGTCTCAGTGCCCCCCGTTCACTCCGTTCACACCATTTACTTGACTCAGCGCTGCATCCGCCTGGCGGAGATCACCCTCGCTCAAACTGTTCGACTTGCCGCCTCCCGGCGTGCTCGCGCCCGACATGACTGAGCTCGCGCGTGACCGCACCTTCATGACAAGAGGGCTGCAGAAGCAATCGCAGCATAGTGTCAGTCGTAGAACAGAACAAGATGGGATGTGGACGCACAATGGATAGCCTTCGTCCTCGTCATCAGCCTGCGACGGCCAGGGATGGCCACGGTAATCGCTCGTGCCCAGCGCCTGCATCTAAACCACGACAATCGGAGGTCAGGTCTTCACAACCGTCGGCGACACGGAACACACGTACCTCCTCCGTGAGCGTCCCAATATCACCCGGGGTCGCGATGCCTGACATCCTCCACCTCGGGCTCGCAGGGACCGAGTTCGGCATCATGCGCTCCATGCCCATCTCGAACTCCTCCTCCTCGCCCTCCGCGCCCGCGCCGTAGAACGCGTCCGGGTACGCGCGGCGCAGCGCGAGCTGGCGCGCCTTAGAGTACTCGATGCCGAGGTTCTTCCAGTCGAGCAGCGGGCTCAGCCGCTCGACGCGGTTCCGCTGGTTGATCCGCTGCCGCCGCGTCTTCTGGCAGAAGCTGAAGATGCAATCCGTCAGCTGGCTCACGGAGTCCTCGACCGACTGCGAGCGCCGGTCGACGATGTAGCACCCCTCGTCCTCTGGTCGCTCGATGAGGTCTTGCATGAAGCAGCCGAAGCCGGACAAGTTCGTCGTCACCGAGGGAATACCCATCTGCAGACACTCAGCATGCAGGACTCTGCAAAGATCCTATATACACTCACCACCGTGCACTCCGCCGGAGTGTACCCCCATGGCTCATAATAACTCGGGAACACACCAAGGTGGCATCCGCGCACGAACTCCTCGTAGTCAAGCCCAAGGACAGGATTGTTGGAATTCAGGAAGTCCGGGTGGAACACGATCTTGACGCGATCGTTGTCGTTATTGAACAACTGCACTCTGCGGATCTGGTTCAGGATTGGGTCGTTCGCGTCGTCGGCCATGTTGTGTGTCGTGACTGGCGGGAGGGCGTTGCGCTTCAAGGCGAAGATGCGGCGCTTGAGAAGCACCTTGTCCTCTTCGGAGAGGAGGTCGTCTGGCGTTGGTAGCGTACCGTGCTCGCTTCGCTGGGAGGTCAAATCTCAAGCATAATTAACAGGAATGAGGAGCGCACCCATTAGACCGGATAGCGTGTTCAAATAACCGTGCTCCGATCCTATTCTGAATCTCCGCGACCGTATCCCGCAACTGCTTCGTGACGGCTTGACCCTTGAGCGCGTCGATTGTGTATGAGTGCGTCGCGGCCGGCATGATGATGAAAGCAATGACGTTGGCCTTCGAGCCCGACTTCTTGAGACGAAAGTTGAGGCCTGTGGTAGCGATGACATGGGCAAGTCATAAGAATAGCTAGCGAGTCACACTCACGAGCCAAGGCCTCGATATACATGTCTACACCCTTGTTGCGATACTCATACCGACCAGCAGTGAACATCTAGAGAAGCCGTGTCAGCTCAGACGGTATAGAGTGTACGAGAGGAGCTCACGTAGAGCGTATCGTCAAGACTGAAGTTGAAGTGGCCATAGAAATGGCCGCGCGCGAACTCGTGGATCTTCGCCTTGGCCGTCTGGTGCAAATTCTGGAACTCGTGCATCGCCTGGAATTTGACGACATTGAGACCGTTCGGCAGGACGCCGTCGGGCTTGCGCTTGAGCAGGTGCTCCGACTCGTAGGCGGTGATGTGGGAGACCGTGGTGAAGACATCAGCACAGTGCGCGGCGGAACGTTCTATGCAGTACCGATGGTAGATGCCGCGCTTGCCAGCCTCGTGATCGACGTCGAAGTACTGGAGGTTGTTGTAGAAGTCGACGCTGCCGGCGCAGAGATAGCGGCCAAGCAGCGTCGCGTGTGTGGTGAAGACGGTGGTCACGTCGACATGACGTTTGCGGCAGAGCGGGATGGCGAGTCCTGCTTGCCATTCGTGGAAGTGCGCTACGACGGCGGTGTCGAGCTGACGCGTTACGTACTGCAGCATATTGTTGAGAGATCACGAAAAACATTGATAGCAATCGCGAGACGCACCTCGCCTAGAAACCATGCAACGATATAGCCAAACACAATCGTCTCGTTCGTTTCGTGGTCGTTTGGTGGGGTGGGGATGCCGGCGAGGTTCCAGAGGTCGCCTTTCCACTCGTCGAGACGCGAGTACTGGCTTCCGGTGTCGAAGAGGAGGACGTGGGGTGCGCCCTCGATCAGCCATCGGCCATAGAGGGCCTTGACACCGGCACTGCGCATGTTTTCGAGGGTGGCGGCGAGGTGGGGATCGGTGGGTTCCTGGGCCTCGACCTCCATGGGAGCGGTCTTGTAGCTGAGAGGCCCGATGAGACAGTACCTGTCGCCATACTCGGAGACGGTGACGGGGACCTTGGTCTTGATGACGGTGTAGATGCCGCCGACCTTGTTGGCGACTTCCCAGGCGCACTCGAAGAGGATGGGCGAACGAACGTCGCGCTTCGCGTCAGTCATGCTGGGGGATGGGGAGGCAGACGGGGAGGATGTGGGTCGCGACGACGAGAGACGGGTGAGACGCGTCTGTGTACTAATATATGGGGTGGAAGGGGCGGGAGGAGAGTGGGGAGCGCGTCTCCGATCAACTTAGATTCCCCGCGTCGCGCGTCTGGACAATCCCCGCACCCATATATGGCAGGTTCTGGGGCTTGTCTGCGCGAAATGGCCGAGAGCGTCCCAGAATGGATTTTCGCTGGCCGAGTATGGACTTGCAGACGGGCAGCGCGTCCCTGGCTGCACCCTGACGTCAGTGCACGTGGCTCACGCGGGCCCGGCTGCACCCATCTCGCGGCTCGGCACCCCACGGGGCAATCGTCCGTCGGTGGCGGCCAAGTGGCGGCGTCCCTTCCACCTCAACCCACACGAGGTTTCCGAACGCCCTCAGTTGCCGTAATGTCTTCAATCCCATCAGCAGCAGCACAGTTCCGCAATGTGTCACCGTATGCCTTGTGACCTACCACGAGGTCACGCTGCCTCCTACTCCGCCGCTTTACCACCCCTTTTGCGTATGACGATCGCACTTTACTGCATCGAGGCCCCGACGCGGATGTGGCGGACAATCCAAGCAACCCTGTCAATCGATTGTCTCCTTTGTCTTCATCTAACTTAGCTCGAGTAGGTTCGGCCGTTCGAGACAGCTTATCTTGCGTTCTTACGGACATTATCTCTCAGTGTTCAGGAGCCCTGTCTGCAGACACGGAACGATGAGTCATGCGTTTGCGGCTTGGAACGGCGTCGACCGAATCCATGTCCAGGGCCAGTGACTGTCACTAAGGGATGGTCCATGGAATCTCGTGCCTTACGTCGAGTGCATGGGATGGCCCATTACAGTACTAAGTTTCGTTGACTTACTCCCCCAACGGAGCAAGAAGCCAAGAGTGACAACCGGACGCTCCAACCAAGGACTGCCGGTTGCCTTTTTCCTCGCGTTGCCAGACAATCTACCAACGTACATGTCGCCCTCGCCCCAATCGGTCCCGGAATCCCTTCCATACATGTAGGTTAAAACAACCTCATCCGCATGTCACATAGTATGTGTCTTTCGTTGTAAGGCGATACAGCACGATCGTCTATGTCGCGCATGACGATGATCTCTGCATTTATTAACGTTAACCGCTACAAGCAAACATGTGCTAAGACGCGCCACCTAGGTCGTCGTCCAGTTCGGGGCTGTAATAGAAGAGTAACATCTAGAAGAGTAGGTAGCAATGGGTCATTTTCGTCTATGGTCTGTAGTAGCATCCATGCAGTTCTGTTCGTCAATCGTCTGCCGCGTACGACAGCGACGCACGTGAAGGAGAAGAAATAATATTGATAAAGTAGCCTGAAGCGCCGAGTGGCTACAGCACTTTGCCTCGTTCTCAATTTGTTCTCAATTGACTCGTCCTCAGGGTAGAGTAAGTCATGCAGAGTCTTCAATCAAACGGCTTCTCATCGTTATATCTCCTAGGTTTGCTCACAGTCATGAGCGCAACCAAGGCTACAACCACCGTAAATAAGATGGCCCGCCGGGTGCCCCACCTCATGACCCTCGCCGACCTGTCCGTCAGCCAAATCGACGCCTTAATCCTCCACGCTCGCCACCTCAAGTACCGCGGCAGCTGGCTCGAACGTCCCAACTCGCTCGACCCTAGAGCGTCTGAGGCAAGGGTGCTGCCCTCCTTGTCCCTGCAACACAAGACCATCGCCCTACTCTTCTCCAAGCGCAGTACGCGCACCCGGCTCAGTGCAGAGACCGCCACGACCCAACTCGGCGGGCGCGCCCTATTCCTCGGCAAGGACGACATTCAGCTCGGGGTCAACGAGAGCGTGCGTGACTCAGCCATGGTCATCAGCGGCATGTGCGAGGGCATCTTCGCGCGGGTGGGCGACCACTCTGAGATTGAGGTCTGCGCCTTTCCTCTTCCCCTTCCCTTCTCGCACGCCCCTCACCGGTATGGTCTTTTCCCAGGAACTCGCACAGTACTCGCGCGTCCCCGTCGTCAACGCGCTCTCCTCGCTCTGGCACCCGATGCAAGTGCTCGCTGACCTGCTCACGCTGTGCGAGCGGCGCGACTTCCTCAAGGATCCCTCCATTGTCGAAAGAGACAGAAAATGGACACTAACCCACTCCCTCAACGCGCTGCGCCCGCTGACCGTCGCGTACGTCGGCGACTCCGCGAACGTGCTCCATGACATGCTCGTCTCGTACCCGCGCCTAGGCCACCAGCTGCGCGTCGCGAGCCCCGAGGATGCGCGGTATCGCGCGCCGAAGGCGGTTTGGGACCGCGTCGTGGCTCTGGGATGCGACAAGAACATCTTCTGGACGAAGGACCCGCGGGAAGCTGTTCATGGTGCGGACGTCGTGGTCACCGATACTTGGTATGTCACTCTGCCTCGTCAATCTATTTTGGTACGGAAGGGCCAATGAACTGACTGTTAGTGCAGGATTTCCATGGGCCAAGAGGCGGAGAAGGAGCAGCGTCTCAAGGACTTCGAGGGCTACCAAGTGACTGAACAGCTCTGTCGAGAGGGCGGCGCGAACCCCAACTGGAAGTTCCTCCACTGCCTCCCGCGGAAGCCGCATGAAGTCGACGACGCGGTGTGTTTCCGCTCTTACCCGACCCCAAGCTCCCCAAATCCATACCCTCATAAGTTGCACCGTGTTGATAACGTCACCTCCCAGGTATTCTACGGTCCCCGCTCGCTCGTATGGCGCGAGGCCGACAACCGCAAGTGGACCACCATGGCCGTATTTGAGTGCGTCACTATCATTCTCCATTTGCATCTAGGCGCTGACACCGGTATCATCGCAGCCAATTGTTCGGGCGCTGGATGCTCCGGGGCCGCCCAGCGATCTCGAAGCGTTCACATCCTCTGCGGGATGGTGGTGACATGCAGAACGTAATCGAGACGTTAGATAAAATCTTAAAGGAGTGAGCCTCTGTCGTCCGGTACCTGTTGCAGTTGTCGCTGACTGCGCTGGTCATGGACAGGCCGCAGATCTCGCCACAGCCGGAGTAGACGTATGTGCTCCGCTATCCCAGCCTCCCGACACCAAGATATCACCGAAGACCTTGCACAGTGCGATATATAGTACTCGTGTGCATACCTTGTTCCGTGTATGTCAATGACAATCGTGTTTGGCTGCGTTCACACAACCGTCAGTACGCCGCCCGTACTTTCCAGCAACAGGATATCCCAATAGCGCAACATATGATATACTTCTAAGGGTACCATTACAAACGGGATATATCATGACAGCAGCTCCTCCAGCTCCTTGTGAACCGAGAACGCAAGTCTTCTCTGCGTCTTTTGTGCCCTCCGGCCACCCGTCCGCCTATACGGGATGAACACATCAGCAAATCACACCCATGATACACAAAGCACGGCCACCCACTGTTGCTCCTGGCAAACAAACGTCTCCGGGGCGGTCTCCCACTTCTCGAGGACGTCCTTGCTCCACATATCCTCGCTTCGCTCCTCCCTATCCGGGGGTCCAAACAGGTCCAGCGCGAGCTGCGTATGCGCCACGCCCGCATACGTCGTCACGCAGCGGGGGTTCACCATGATCCTTGCGGGCAAGAACACCGAGTTCGGGATGCTCATCTGCATATCGCCCGCGCCGTATTCCGGCGGGGGCGGGGGCGGCGCCTCGAGCGGGAGGTCCGACGCGTCGTAGTCCGAACCCGCGTTCGCGTCGGGGTCCGCGTCCGCAGGCTGGCGCACCTCCTCGTGTATCTCGTCCTGCGCCGCCGCCGGCCCGCGCGCATCGTCGCCGTCGTCCGCGGGCTCGCCGCCCTCCTGCTGCTGCGGCGCCCGCTTGTGGTGCTGTGCGCCGTTCGCGTGGTGGCGCACCTCCGCGCCAGCAACCACGCTTTCGGACACGCCCTCGTTCTCACTGTCTGCGGAGAGCGCACGGAGGCCCTCGCGCGCCTTGTGGATCCAGAGGTCGCGGCAGAACCAGGCCTGCGTGCTGTCGAGGCACTTGTCGTCCGGAAGGCGATGGGGCGCATCCACGGGCGTGCTCGCGTTGTGGAAGTCCGCGCCGGCGCGGTAGGCGATGCCGGCATAGTACGACTGTGCGGGGTCGACGACGTGCGTGCCGGACTCGCAGCAGAAGACTTGGAAGGGGAGGTGCTGCGTGTAGCGCTGTGCGCCGACGACGTCGCGTGGGGGGACGGAGGTGAGCGGCGAGTTAGAGATAGAGGAGGATTTGGACTGGCGGAACTGGTCACCGTTGATATCGCGTGTCCGCCAGCTGGAGTACTATGAGTGGCAGATAGATGAGAATCCATGAGTGGGCTTACCGGTCAGAGAAGATGAAGAACCCGTTGAACTCAGCCCAATCCATCCCGCAGACCATCGCGGCCTCGTTCGCTATGCTGAGCTTGATCGTTTCCAGGATGTCGTTCGGACATGTGAAACCCTTCAACCAGATGACACGATGAAATTTGATTGCCCTCCTCTCGTACAGTTCGTGCAAGGGCTCCAGAACGAGGTTGCGCGTATACGCCTCCTCCAGCGGGTAATATGCTGCGATAGGGTCCTCCGTCATCCCAGGCACCCTGCGAATACGGAAAGGGACACCAAGCAGCGTGAGAACGGCTTCACAGAGGTCTGTCAGCGTGGCAGTAGAGTCTGAAGAGTCATAGTCCAACATGGAAACGAAGATATTCGAGCTGCCAAGCCGCCGTGCCAGTTGTACGATGACGGCAAGTTGGTCAACAAGAAAGTGATCCGCGGAGTGAATGACCATGCCGATGAAGTAGAGCTGCTCCTGGCCGACAAGCTCAGTGTACGCGTCGTCATGCCTATTTTGGCCAAATGGTCGGGTGAGCGTTGGACAGAGGGCGGCGACCCAGCCGTTCAAGGTCAGAAGCTGCTCGATAGCCGAGAGAACGGACTGTTCGTCCATGTGTGCTGTGTCATGGCCAACGATGCTGCACAAGATCAGAAGATACTCGAAGGCAAGACAGAACTACTCACTATGGCTTCTGGAACCGTTCCCAGTAGTCCAGCACGCCGTCCTTAATCATGTCGTGGAACAGGTCCTCCCTGTCATCCCTCCCAAGCCTCACCTGCAAGAACTTGTGTCTTCGTGCATCCAATGGCTTGTCTGAGCGCGCTACGAGGTCGAGCACATTCTGTTTGCGGATTTCGCGAGAGTCAGATGCGGTCGAGGTTGATGACGGGAAGAAGACGAGCTTGACGACTGTGCAAAGAATGACGAAGAGGAGGATCCGGATGAGGCTCCGTCGCCGGAAATAGAAAGCCATGGTGGTCGGGAGGTGACCTGGCTGAGTTGGAGACAGCCAGACAGCACAGAGGGGCCGACACGAACAAATTCCTGCTCAGGCGTCGAGTACGGCCTGGCGGAGAGCCCGCTCAGCCACCGCCAATGGCACACGGATCACGCCAATCTGATCGACAGATCTCGGAACGGCGTCCTGGCCCCGTCCTCTCCCACATCCTCCTTCTCATTTCCAACCACAGGCCATGATCAATTTCAAGACTCGGAGAGACTGTAACGAGTAAGGTATCCAGGAAATGGCATGACTTTGACGTCTATGTCTGCAGTTTACGAACCATGTATCTTTTCCTGTTGTCGCACAGCAAGCAGTGACGAGCGAAAGCTGGTCCACCATTCATTGCCCCAGTGTCCGGTCACGACTATACCCTGCCTGGTACTATACGCTGCCTGCCAGTGGTGTGGGGTGAGCCAGAGCGTCGTCGGCTGTCTCCAGTGCAGGCGTTTGGACTTGAGCGCCGTGGACGGGGGATGGCGGTAAACGCGTTGCATTGTTCGCATGCTTGCCGACTACATTCACCGTGGTCTGCGCGACTAGACCAGCAGGTGAGTTATCCGTGCATTGTTTCGTATCAAAACTTATTGTACTTTCTACACGCATAGAACCTATTTGTTTGCGGGTAGCACGTAACATGCGAAACCGACCTCCTGCATATCATTCAGAAACCCATATTCCAGATTCGTACCTCCCGTATTGCAGCACGACGCGGTCACGAGAGTTGATATGTAGCCACGTCTCGTGCTACTGTGGCTCGCGCACAATGTACTGTCGCGTTCGTTTCCAACTCGTCCTCTCTACTACCACCATAGCCACCCAGGTCATATCGGCGTCCTGTGGTATTCACCTTGGTCTCAACTCCTGCTACTGACCTTTACCATCCGAAACCCAAGTATGGATGGTGATCCCCTCATGGCGTGGAAGGGGGGCCTGTTCCGCACCCCCGTATATCCTGTTCGTATTATCCACAGCTCTCGATCTCCTGACCACCTCACAAACCGTTGCATGATCATGTTAGGTAGCAAGACATCCCAGTTTCAATAATGCGCCTGTCGCTGAACATGCACTGGGCGGCCCCAGAGGCGGTATGCAGTCCACACCTCATGCATATGCACACATACGCTGACGTCGCCCAGGTCCTGACCATTCAAATTACGACGTCTGGCCCACCACCACACTGTGGGCACTGCAACCCCCTCAAGGAGGCAATGCCTCTCATGCATGGGTCGGCCGCAACCCTCCCCCGAAGCGCGGAGCCACACCAGTTCGGCAGGAGTCGAATGTGATGCCTAGGCACCCCGCACGTACCATGCCCGTCGGAAGCAAGCAATCGATGAATGCGGGACGCTCAGCAATCGACCGTCGTATTCCTGCCCAGTGGCAGCATACCGCAGTGCCACATACATCATCTCTCACGCCTACGCCCATTCAAAATACAGACGGTGACCCGAGCTCTTGTCATGGATCTAGACAGACCGAGCTTGCTGCCGTTCGAGTCGCGCCCGCTCAAGATCGCGGCGCGGATTTCAACCCTCATGAACCCGTCGGGCGCGACTTTGCCCGGCTTCGTTCCGTCTCCCCGAGTGCCTTTGTAACACAGCAGTCCGACGACGAGGACGATGCGTGGTCCGACTCGTCTGCAGACTCATCGTGCGACGTGCCGCTGGCACTGCTGTCTGCTCATACGCAGGCCGATGCGTCACTACCAGCACCGCAAGTCTACGAGCAGTTACGGGATGACAATACTACTCGCCGCGACGCCTCTCCAAGTCCGCGTGCAGCGTCGTCGTCGACTTCAAGCCCGGCCATCGAACGCAGTCCGGCTCCTTCGCTGCCGGCGAATGCGAAGAAGATCCTCGCTTACTGTCCCTGGAGCCTCCGGGAAGCCTATCTTCTGGTCTTCATCATTACGCAGCTCTCTCCGGGACAAAATGACTGGGAGTCCATTAGCGACCTGTACAACTATATGTTGATGGGCCCGGACCTCCATATCTGGATGCTCAACACGGCGTACGACTTGCGCGTCCATGGCGAGCGGCAAGATGAATTTTGGGCCCAATTTTGGATGCTCATGTGGGAGAACAAAACCAGGTGGGATGATAGCGGGCGGCATCGGAGCGAGCGAGCGAAGACCTTCCTTCAGAGCGTCATCGACAAGGCATATCGACAAACGCGGCCTCCCGAACGTGGCGACGTCTCTGGGGTCACATCCATGCAGCTGCTCTCGTCGGAGCTGGCAGGGATGGCGCATCTCTTCAGCGAGGATCGTTGGTACAACGTGGACTTCGATGAGTCCTCCCCTCTCCGCTACGACCCAAGCCTCGCCGGGGCGCTGTTGACGTTGACCTGGGCTGGGGTGCCATCCACCCACGTGGGACAAAGTGCAGCGTTGAGGCCGGCTGCGGTCGAGGCTTTCGCCTGTCTGTATGGCTTGTTGCCAACGGGACCGCGGTACCCGCTGCGCGCGCCATGGGAGTGCTGGTATCGGTGGAATGTTCGCCTTTGGAAGACAGTGAGCAAGAACGAGGATTACACGATCGACCGATCTGCGGATGGTGTGATCATTATCCGCCGGGCGGGGACCACGGACACGAACCTCAACGTCAACCCCGAGTTGGCCAAGGCTGCTCGCAACCTTGCGAGTACAGCATACTCGGGAGTGGCGACCGCCACTGCCGGCGCAGACGCACAGACAAGACGGGCACCGGATGAAAACGCAAGTGTCCAGCGCAAGGTTCGCTTTGCTGACGTCAAGAACACACCCCAACGGTCGTCGGAACAACAGACGGGTGCCAAAGTTAAGACTCTAGACGGGACGTCGCAGTCCTCCGCCTCCAAATCCTGCATGAAGAGTCGGGGTACGTACCCGAGCATGTGCAGCGACGAGGTGCTAGTTGATCCAAGGCATCTTGTAACAGCGCTGTGTCCAACGGACATCAGGACAACAACGGGAAAGCAATGATCTGTGAATGTCCCAAGACAGATCGAGGAGGTTGGACTTGTGCAAGATTCTCGTGTCGTGAGCAGATATTGGAAACGTCACGAAGGAGACGCGAAAGCGAGGGGGAGAGAAAGAGAGAGTATGGAGAGGAACTCATGATGGACACAATATCAAAGGTTTCGGCTACTAAGCCATGCCGACGAAGGACTGTACAGTATATATGTTGCCACTTGTACTCATGTTTCTATGCCTGTCTCTGTACACTCGATCGTATCACATGTATCTCTTTGCCATCCAGCGAAAAAAGGTCGGTATGCACGCATCGAAGACCAACCAAGACGCAGTTTACTTAGTCTGTAGTAGTACTACTACTTTACATCTTGGCATGTTATTGGACGTCGACATCCGAGTTGATAGACTCAACTCGCGACTCAATTGTCAGACGTCGATGACTGTCATTACTGATGATACACAAATGACCGATATGTAAGTAGCACACGGACCGTCACCGTATGTGCATTCATTGTGTCTGTGCGCCGTATCCACGAATATTCTCCGCAAAGTCCCAGGTCGTGTCAAGCTTCTGGGTATCAGATATCGTGACACCGGCTTCCGTGACTGTAGCAATTTGGTACTACACGGAACGATATCTTCTTAGAATGGGTCAGCTCTGAGTGGCTCGTGAGGCACGCACCTTGTCCAAACTTCGCGCATCACGGTAGTACAAGACGCGCATGCAGTTCCTGAGGATCTCGCGTGCTGCCTCCTCCGTGACTGCGTCCGGGTTCGGGTCGATGGACTGGCGGAGGAGGGGCAGGGCGATGTGCGCGCCGTACCCAGTCGCCAGTGAAGGCGCCGAGTACGTCGTCCCCAGAAGGTCGACAAACGCGAGGAACCTACGATTCGTCAGATCCCCCATACGACTCGCGACATGTACTCAAAGGGCACCCACCGCTTGCCGTTCTGGAAGCCACCAACCAGGAGCGAGTTCCAGAGGGGGTTCATCTTCGAGCGGCGCGCGTACATCCTGCGGGCGAGGAACTCGTGGATCTCGGCGGGCCCGAGCGAGTTGCCGTCGCCGGCGGTGAACTCGTCCGTGACGATGTCGTCGAGGACGCGCTGGATGTGCTGGAAGTCGGACATGTCGCCGGACGCGCCGATGACGGTGGAGGTGCCGACGGCGTGCAGACGGGTGATGTCCTTGAAGCGTGCGAGGGAGCCGTAGGATGCTGACCCGGTGCGTGTGAGCTTAGAGACAACGAATTTGGAAGGCGAGCGTACGCACCGAGGTTGTCTGCAGCCATCATAATGCCGTCTTTGTACTGGATGGCGAGCACGCTCGTTCCGGTCACGATCGGTTGTCTGGAATATCTCAGTATAGTCTGCGGTGCTTCAGTCGTATTACACGCACTGTGTACGCTGGACCCCATTCGCGAATGTATCGGTGTGGTTGGCTGGTCGTTGGTGAAGCGGGAAGGTGTTGTACTGGTCATCGAGCTCATTGCGCTACACAATCATCAGTGAGACATCGTTACACATACTGAAAGACATACAGGGCGGCCCCAGTGGGTCGGGAAGTGGTCCATGGCGAGAGTGTGTTTGAGGAGGAGGGAGAGATGCTGAGGCGTGCGTGTCCCGCGCGGGCTGCAAGTCTGACGCCCGACGCGCGTCGACGCGTGTTACGTAATCAAACGCGCGATCCAACGCTCAAGCGCTCACAAGAGGCACGCGAAGTGCGAGTAAGGACAACATTGGGACAACATATGTATAATTGAATTCATGACGAGAGTGTGAGCACAGAGGAGTAAGGACAGTGGTTGTATCGTCGTCCGACTCTGTTTATTAATATGTACATATTTGTCCGTGGCGAAAAAGAAAGCGTCGTCAGACAAGGACGTCGACATCGCGTCCTCCCATAAGTACTTTTGCAGTCCGCGACAGAGGCCAGGTTACTTGCCGCTCACCCACGTCCTGAGCATCCGCGACCACCCCTTGCCAGAGCCGATTCCGTCATCTACCGCCGCCTCGGCATCACAGACAAGGCGCACGAGCACCTGCGAGACATCTTGGGCGACGCGTTCGCGTTCACCGAATCGGCGCGCGACGCGAACGGGAAGGGCGTGTCCACTGCTGCAGGTCGCGTTCTCCAGCCATCGTCGCGGCGTAGTTGATGGGGCGGTGCGCCATGTCCCTGAGGACTCCCTTGTGCCGATCATCCAGCAGACAAGCTGCGCGTCCTAACGCGAGCTTTTTGAGCCAAGGGACATGGAGAAGCAGCTTCCAGGGGATTGCAGGTTTGTCGCCCAGAAACGTAGAGGATCCTCTCGCTCTCTGCGTGGATGAGTAGACCTTGACCCAAGACCGATGTCCGATGCTGGATCGGCAAAGACGTTCAGTATGCCAGGTAGGAGTCTCGGTGTACCGTAGATTGAAATGTAGGAGTCGAAGAATAGATACTTCCCAGTGCGCTCGGGTGCGGCCCGCATATTGCGTGGACAAGTTCGTGCGGAAGACCGGTGCGTGAGGCAAAAGTGCGTAGTGGTGAGTCGAACTACCGCGTGAAAATAATCTCGGTATTCCATTCTGGGCGATGTTAGGGCTGAAAAAGGAGCGCACGGGGCCTTAGTCAGGGAAGTTCAGGGCAGGCGGTGCCTAATAAGGGAATGGCCATGGGCGAGCGTGGCTGGAATTGTGGACTGGGTCAGTCTCGACAACCAACATCCGCCTCCCGCCTCTCAGCCTCGCTGGCACGTCGCGCAGTCCAAGCTGCCCCTAGCCAGCACAGACCCGTCTGCGTCCGGGCCACGTCGCTCGACGCCCTCGCGCTACTTACACCCGGGTACCGTAATTACAACCACCAATCCGCACCATGTCCAGCGTCTCTGGACTTACCCCGTCTCTTACACCGGGCTCTTCTCGCCAGTCGACACCAGAGCCCCCGGTCCAGCCTGACCATTTCTACGGCGCAGACAACAACGCAAATCTCCCCCCGTCGCCCCGTTCCGACGGCAGGCCATGGCTCCACCCCGACGACGATCCGTGGGCGCACCTCGGCATCCCCGTCTTCAAGCCCACCATCGAGGAGTTCCGCGACTTTGAAGCGTATTTGAACCGAGTAGAGCCGTGGGGCATGAAGAGTGGTATCGTGAAGGTAATCCCGCCAAAGGAGTGGTCAGTACCCATCGCTTGCTGCCGACCGGAACACGCGTAGCATTGACCGCGACCTTCGACAGGACCGACTCCCTCCCGCCACTGAACGAGCAGCTGGGCCAAGTGAGACTCAAGAACCCGATCGAGCAGCACATGTTCGGCCACGGCGGCCTGTTCCGGCAGGAGAACGTGGAAAAGCGGCGCACCATGAGCGTGCGCGAGTGGGCCGAGCTCTGCTCAAAGGACGAACTGCGCGCACCCGGCGTCGACGACGTCGGCCTCCACGCCCGCTCGGCCAACGCGTCCGCGGGCGCGAGCACCCGATCGCGCACCCGCCGCACGCGCAGAAACACCAGAAGGGAGTCGGAGACTGCCGAGCCTGATCGTGAGTCCGAAGCGCACGCGATCAAGCTGGAGGACGTCGATCCACCCGTGCACGTCGCCCCCGACGCCGCTGAGCAGTCTCTCGCTTCTCCTCCCAACAGCGCCGCCGCTCTGCCTACGCCACCCGCCGCTGAACCGTCTGCAGAGGCCCCGCATGCCATAAACCAACAGGAAGATGCCGCAAACGAGCAGGTGGCAGAGGAAGATGCGCCGCACGAAGATGAAGAACTAGCAGAAAAACAGGAGGAAGAGGAGGAGGAAGAGGAGGTCAAGCAGCCCAAGGGTAAACGGAAGCGCGCCACACAGTCGCGGCAAGCACGGGAGGCCAGCCTGGCCGACCGGGCGGCCAAGGATAAGGTCTTCCTCGAGTCATTCGACCCGCACTCCGATTGGCTTCCCTCGAATACCACACCCTTCGATTACACGCCCGACTTTTGCAAAGAGCTGGAGAGGAGGTATTGGAGAAACTGCGGACTGGGCAAGCCGGCATGGTATGGCGCGGACATGCAGGGTGCGTCTCTTATGCTGCGCGTCGCGCACGCCGTCTTGACCGTTGCTCGCAGGTTCTCTGTTCACGGATGAGACCCAATCGTGGAACGTCGCTCACCTGGATTCGACGCTGTCTCGCCTGCTTCCGGCGTCGTCGAAGGGCCTGCCTGGTGTCAACACACCCTATCTATACTTTGGCATGTGGCGAGCGACGTTCGCGTGGCACGTCGAGGACATGGATCTGTTCAGCATCAACTACATCCACTTCGGTGCCCCGAAGTTCTGGTACGCGATGCCTCAGGTGAAGGCGCCAACCCTCGAGACCGCCATGAGAGGTACGTTACCCCATTTCACGACGCATATAGCAGGCCTTACATGTTGTCTTGTACACCTTTAGGCTACTTCCCCTCGGACGTATCCCACTGCAAGCAGTTCCTGCGACACAAGTCGTTCCTTGCGTCACCACAATTACTATCACGATCGACATGTCGGCCGAACACGCTCGTCCAGCGTGCGGGCGAGTTTGTCATCACCTTCCCTAGGGGCTACCACGCTGGCTTCAATCTTGGGTTCAACTGTGCGGAGAGCGTGAACTTTGCGCTTGACAGCTGGATAGACATCGGGAGGAAGGCGAAGGCGTGTGCCTGCGTCAACTTCAGGTACTGCAGTCAGCGTTGTGAAGCATGATCTCCTTGGCTAACCAACGTTGCTAGTGTCCGCATCGATGTCGACCAGTTATTGCACGATCGCGAAGCTGAGCGCATACAAGTCGCTCGCACAAAGCCTCGGTCCACCGGCCCGCCCAAATCCGACAAAGCAGCGAAATCGAAGGTTTCGCCCCTCAAGCGGAAGGCATCGGGCGAGGAGAACCCCAGCCCGCCCAAGAAGCACAAGTCGAGCAAATCGAAGAAGAGCGAGAACCGCTCTGTAGGCGCGGACGCCCCCGCGTCGGGGTCGGGCAGCACGAGCGTGCCGACGAAGGTGACGCTGAGGCTCCCGCCGAAACCGAAGGAGCCGGACGTGTTCCCGTGCTGTCTGTGCGTGTCGATGGCGAAGGAGAACTTGCTGCGGGTGCATGACCCTCCGCTGTGGCAGATGGAGGGCGAGGGCGGGTCGAGCGTGCAAGCGAGCGGCGGCGTGTGGATGGCACACGAGTCGTGTGCGAGCGTCGTGCCGGAGACGTGGGTGGACGAGATTGACGTAGGGGAGATGAGGGCGGATGGGAGCCGCGCGAAGGAGAGGGTCGTCTTTGGGGTGGATGCGATCGTCAAGGATAGGTGGAACCTGGTGGGTGGTGATGTGGTTCGTGCGTCTGGTTGCTCGCTGACCTGTGGGCGACAGAAATGCTCTGCGTGCACGAAGACGCGGTACAAGGCGCATGGAGCTCCGATCCAGTGCACGAAGGGCAAGTGCCCGAAGGCGTTCCACGTATCGTGTGCGCGCAGCGGTGGCGACAACAATATCGTGTATCAGGAGGTCAGGGAGGTCGAGAAGGAGGTCGTCTTGTTGGACTCGCGTCAGCCCAACGCTGTGAATATTCCGCCCGGGGCACCCAGTACTGGTGTCGCGGGCACGGAACAAGCTATGCCGATTGACCCAAGCTTGACAATCGCTTCTGCGCTCGCCACGCCTAGCTTTGCACAATCTGAGCCCCGTGTCTTAAAGCTCATCAAGAAGATCGAGGTACAAGTTCTATGCCCGCAACACAACCCTGTATGTTACTCTCGCTTTCCCTTCATCGTGACCAGACTTATGTCCATTTGCTAGGCTGTTGCGGAAGCAAAGCGGGCTGTCAAGCAGGAGAAGATTAGGAACGACTTGCTCGCTCTGCCGCCGATGTCGCGGATCAAATTGCGCGTAAGCGCGGGCGTGTTCGAGGTCTCCCTCGTCCGTATCATCGAAGAGTCGTCCTCGGTGGAGGTACTCTGGGACCGCGGTCTCAAGCGAGAGTTCAAGTGGGGTAGTGTTGTGTTCGGAAACGTGGAAGGGGTGCCTATTGGGCAGAAACCGTCAGAGCCCGCACCCGAACCAGATCGTGAGTGCCGGTTTCTCTTCGCTGCTGAGAGTTGTTGTTGACACTGCGCTTTGAAGCCAACGCGCCAAAGCCTTCATCCAGTCAATCACGGTTCCGGTTTGCTCCTCTGTCATCCGTAGTGCCCACCCTAGAATATCGATCGACCCGGACCCCGGTGTCAGCAACTCCTGTTGCTGGGCCATCTACTACCCCTTCGGCCAGTGCTCCTCCTGCACCCGCACCCGCACCTGCACCTGCACCTTCGCCCGCGCCCGCAGCGCAACATCATACTCATTCCCAGGCACCTCCGTACGCCACTGGTGCCAACTACCACTATGCCCCGACGAACTGGCGGTATCACCATCCCCAGTCGGCCTCGCATTACGCGCCACAGCCTCCCACTTACTCGTACTCCAATCCGGCGCACCAGCCGTACTCGACCACGACATCGTACGAGTCGTACTCGATGTATGCACAAGCGCAGTCGTCGCGCGGGTTGCAGTGGCAGCGCCCGTACACAGGCCCGAAAATCACGCAGCCTGCGCCCCAGACGACGGGCCCAGGAGTTCAAGGGTCTTCGTACTACATGTATCCGCACGGTCCTACGGGTCCGATGGGAGCATCCACCCACCAATGGTCGACTGCGTACAATCACACCTCTCCGGGACCGCCCGCCTCGAACAACAGTGCTGCTACACCCGCCCATATGCCCGCCGCAACACCTGCGCCTGCTGCTGCTTCGACTCCTGCTTCTCAGTAGTTTCAATGGGATAGGACACTCGTGAGGTCGTATACATGTATGTGTGTATCATTATTTGCTTTCTATTGCGGACACCGTGATTGCTGTCTTCGTGGAATGCTCTGCATCGGGGTATTATACTCGCTGTTGGTTGGACGTAATCGAGTATGCAAGTCCGCATCTAGATCTATATGTTCGTGCAGAGTGACGTACTCGGCATGACCACCTGTTTTACAGCGAAGTCGCAATTAATGCGAGAGTAAATGGTAATGACACTCCGTTCAGCAGGGCCAGGTGACGACAAGTACTGCCGGTGAGCCGCTATGGTAGGCGGTGGCCCTGATAGTCGCTCGAGTGTCATCTCACCACAAAGTAGGCACTGCTGCGACGGCCATCCATACGCCTTGAAATAGAATATGTTACATGTGTGACTATTCCGTGCATATACTCTGGTAGACAGAGCAGCAGAGCAGCCATAGCACAAACGAAACGCTTGCGTGGGGATCGACAGTACAACCTGCAAGACAACTACTAATCTACAGCCAAGCCATGAATCGGCTCTACATATCGCTACCGAGTAACAGATTACAGCATGACTATGCATTCAATATGCTTTCTTAGCACGCTTGGATGGGCGGTCGCCTTTGCCATTAGACGAACTCTCTGGTGGTGCATTCTTGCGGGACCGCTTGTTGGCGATGCGCTGCAATGCGCGCTTCGTCTCGGTGCCATCTGGGAAACTGGACAGGTCGAAATAGTTCGGAGCGTACTCTAACAGCCTGTGCACAGACGCCTTAGCTTGACTGCAAAAAGGGAGACAACGTGCGCGGACTCACCATTCAGGCCGAACATCTGTAACCGTCCGGATGTACGGCTTGGTCGTGAGCACAAACTCGTTGAAGATGACCCATTCGGGTTGGTTGTCCAGCCCGCATGACGGGTGCAAGTTGACGACTTGGTTGTCCTTCACCGTGAAGTACTGGCCCTTCTCGCCCTCCTTGTGGCCGACCTGCATGAAGAAACCGCACACAAGCGCCTGCCGCACATTCATGTGCAGCCGCTTCGGGTCGGCCGTCGTGACGAGGTCGATCTCGAAGCGCTCCATGTTCCTCTGCAGCTGCGATCGTACATTGTCTGCCTGTTGCAGTGCACGCTGGGAGAGATAGTTGTTCCATGCCCAGCCCCTGTCGTGCGAATCTAGGCAATGCGACGTGAGCACGAGCATTCCCGCATGATACGAACTAAGGGATGTACTTTGCTGATAGTTGTTGTAGACGTTCATCAACGTAAGATGGTCGCCATCGGGGACCGTCAACATGGCCTTGGCAGCGTCCGCTTCTTTCCGTTGGTTTGGCGGCCGCAGCCAGACGTTCGGCACTGAAACACACTGTTAGTACTGTGCACTCACATCAACGAACACACAGTCTCACCCGAAAGCATCGCGACGATGGTGAGGATCTCATTGCTGCAGTTGAATTCAGGGCTAACAATGAGCATCTTCGCCATTTGGGGGTCAAGTGGGAAGTCGGCCATGATGGCACCGAGCGGTGTGAGATTGCCATCGTCATCAAGCGCAGCCAGGTAGTTGAGCAGTTCAAGAGCACGCATGAGTGTCTCCGGTGCCGGCGCATCGACGTAATCGAACTTGACGAGATCCTAGAACGCGAACGTGTATGTTGGTAACAAACCAACGGTACGGTTCTAACGACGCACCTTGATACCCAGCTTGACCAACTCCAGCACCGTATTCGCGAGGTTACTCCGCAAGATTTCAGGATGTGTCTGCTCCTCCAGCTCCTTCATGAAATCACGCTCCGTGTACAGCCTAAAGCACTTGCCCGGGCGCGTACGACCGGCACGACCAGCTCTCTGCTGTGCCGACGCCTTGGAAATCGGACTGACGAGCAGCGAGTCGACACGTATCCGTGGATTGTACACCCTCTGCTTGGAGAAGCCGGGGTCAACGACATACACAATACCGTCGATTGTCAGCGACGTCTCCGCGATGTTCGTCGATATGACGATCTTCCGCCCGGGAGGGCCATCCGGCATACGCGGCGTAGGGGCCGGATCGAAGATGCGCTGCTGCTGCTGTGGCGGGAGGGAAGAGTAGAGGGGAATGCAGACGAGGGGGCCGACGCTGTCGGGATCCTGGTTAAGCAGATCGTCCGCCTCAAGCTTGATCTTCTTGCACGCGTCCTCGATCTCTTCCTCACCTGTCAAGAACAGCAGGATGTCGCCGGGTTCCTCCGCGCGGTGGATCATGAGCACAGTACGGATTGCGGCCTCGACATAATCTGGCTCCGGGTCTTGCGTATAGAAGACCTCAACTGGGTGTGTTCGTCCAGGAACCTTGAACAAGGGAGCAGGCTCGCCGCCCTTGCTGACGGAGAAGTACTTCTGGAACTTGAGCGCGTCAAGGGTCGCAGACATGACGATGATTTTGAGGTCGGCACGGCGCCTTGCTAGCGCCTTCAATAGACCCATCAGGATATCCGTGGCAAGCGTGCGTTCGTGGGCCTCGTCCAAAATGATGGTCGAGTATCGGGTCAGGTCCGGGTCATTCATGGCTTCCCGGAGAAGCATACCATCAGTCATGTACTTCAGGAAGGTGGTTCCCGGTTCTGTCATGTCCTCGAATCGAATTGAGTAGCCGACCTGCTTTCCCAATGGCACTGAAATGACGTCAATCCAATGCATCTGCGGCAGGGCAAGGCGACTCACTGTCCATCTCATCTGCCACTCGCTTGGCTACGGACATAGCAGCTACTCGGCGAGGTTGTGTACACGCGATGAGTTTGCCTTTCGTATGAGGGAGGTCGGAATAACAAACGAACTGCGGGATTCTGTTGCGCCAGTCAGCAAACGGCAGGTCCACTGCGATACGATAATGGGTTTGTGAAGCTCTTACTGTGTTGTCTTTCCTGATCCAGTCTCTCCCACCATGACTATGATCTGGTTGTCGCTGAACTTTCTCGGACATGGACATCAGCTACGTTCTTTGGCGCTGGGGGGTGCATGCCTGGAGCAGACTCTGACCTCCCCTCATGACCGTCGAGAGCTAGAAATCACTCACCATTCTCAAAAACTCGCTCATCTGCGCGAACACTGGCAACTTTTTGCGCGTCTCGAGAATTTTCTTGTACTGAGCAGAGTGAGGTTGCTTCGTGAACGGGTTCACATCTCCTGCCTGAGACTCTCTTAGCTTCTGATGAGACATGTAACAAGGCTGCTACGCACCATCGCCTTCTGCACTTGCTCCGCATTAATGCGCCTAGGCAGCCATCCATAGAAAGGGTCTTTGTCACCAAGAGCCTTCGACGAGCCGGAGCCTAGCGGCGGGGCTCTCGTATAAGGGTTTGCCATCGCTTCCGTGTAATATCCACAGGAGAAGGGGTTGTCGCGAAGGTGAGGTGAGGGAGGAGGACAAGCGGGTGAGGCGGGTGGCAATGGCACGCACCAAGTCGATGTCTTCCCAAGATGGAGAGGGCACAAATCTGACGTAAGCGACCCGCCTATCCTCCGGAGCGCTGAACCGTTTACGGAGTACTTACTTCTAAGTTATCCTTGGGGGCCGTCTCTAAAATATGCATGCATACACTACTGCCTAGTATTCAAACATCCTCGTCACTGCTAGTGAACAGGTCAGTAGCATTGCGCGCGCGGCGCCTGTCGCTGTACATTCCTATTTTGGAATGTGCTATAAAAACCGAAGGCCCGACACGCTCACGTGGGCATCTTGAACGTTCTTGAACACTTGCCAGTGAGTCGACTCCAGAATGGCCTACTCCTACTGTGCAGGCATTACTCCTTTTCTCCAAGCCGTGGATCCCTGTGCCACACATAGTCAATGCAGTGGACATTTGTCAGATGCTATTGGGATCAAGACGCCGCCACCTGCGAATTTGCCCTGTTAGGAAGGTGTAGCGGTTCACGCAGGTTCAAGCTGGTTCAAGCTAGACCGAAGGCTCGCCCAAGGAGGCCTCCCAAGTTACCCATAGTTCCTCTGCTCAACTACAATGTGACTCAGACTCTCGAAATTCACGCAAGCGATCTCAGACTGGATGTCACGGTTAGACTAGAAGGCGCGCCCTGCGAAACGCAAGTATTTCAAGTCCTTTTGTCAGCGGAGACTACCGTGACGTCCTCCGCGGTTCAGGTTGGGTAGTCACTGGTGGCAATCCCACAGAATGCTGTGATCTGTCCGGTGAAAGTTCTCTCACTCTCTTCAGAACCTTACTAGTCGTAAGTAAAAGACGGCTCTGTGAGGCCTTTGTAGTACTACATATCTGGCAGATCGCCGGTGACTCCCCGGCAAGCCGTCGGAGGCTGGTCTTCCGCGGGAGAACCTGAGGCATGCCCATCCTCAGTCAGTATGTGACACTGCGTTGCTACGTCCGTGACAGTTGCTCCCAAAAAGTCGTTAGTAACACGTACTTAGCGAAGACCGGGTGAGGGTCATATGAGAAACCCGCACGCACTCACGACGCGCTGCTCGGGCTTTGTCCTCCCGATCGTTTTTCACAAGAAGACTGCTGTGCGCAGGTCTTTAGCAACCTTACTTACCCGGATCGTGAAGTCCGTAGTGACATGAATACGCGATAGGAAATTTGCCGTGTACGCCGGCCGCGTACAACAAACCAGACTTCGGCCGAGCTTGACATCGATCCCTACTGCCACACCCGAGTGCACCCCAAGTGCACCCAACCCTGTTCCAGCGTGCGAATAATTCATCTGGCTGATCTGCAATACGTTCCGTTTCAATGCAAATTCGTTGTATACCAGATCTATCGCTAGCGGGTGACTAAATGATACAGTGCGTACTATGCTAAAGGCTAGAGATGACCGTAGGTCCCAGGAATGTCTAGGCTGATCTGTGTCGTGGAGAATCGTAATTAGGGATGCGTGTGACGTAAAAGCACGGAGCAATGGGTAGTAATGTCAGACCAGAGAGTAAACGGGCCTGATTGAACCTATGACAGGCGGCCGCGATGCAAGGCGTAAGATGCGTGATGGGCATAGAGATGCGAGTGGCGATGACAAATATGACGAGAGCAGGCAGCTTCCAGCCCGAGGCGGGCGAGCCAACACGACGATCGAGGATATCTCTAGACGTTCTCCACTGCCGGGTCCGTCGGCTTTTCCTCGAGGGGCACGGTCGGCGGCTTCGTCGGGGCGTACTTCGACTTCTTCCTGATGATGTGACCATACTTGTAAAGCACAAACGGGATGGGGGCCAAAAGGGCGGCGATGAACCCGAGGAGAGTCGACGCCCAGCGGGGATTAAGCGTGTCGAACATCTGGCCGGCGAACAGCGGGAAGCCCGCACCGAAGACCGAACGCACGACGGTGGTCGAGGCGAGCGCGGAGGCGGCGACGAAGAGGTAGGCGTCAATTATGTAGTTGAAGAGCGCGAGGAAGATGTAGACGATGCTCCACCCGAGCGGGAAGCCCGCGATGAGTGGCGCCCAGAGGCTGATCGACGGGTACGACGTCCAGCCGAACCAGAAGAACGAAATCGCGAACATCGGCGCGGCGACCATGGCGAGCTCGAGTCGGTGCTCAGGTGGGACCGGGTCGGGTGCGTAGTGCTTCTGCGCACGGATGTAGCGCGGGTTGAAAAACAGCAGGTAGGTGACAACACCAGCAACACCGCCCAGGAAGATCGGCAGGAACGTCAGGCCGAAGATACCAATGTTGAGGTTGTGACCCTCCTGGAATACAATCGGGTAGGCCTCGAACAGGAGGTAAATGCAGCCGTATACGAACTGTTGGTACTGTCAGATCGCGGCAAGGGGAACGAACGTATGAAAGCACTCACACTCATGTAGAGAGTGATGGCGATGAGCATTGGCTCCAGAGCAAGCACAACGAACGGACGGCCTAGGACCCGCTTGAGATGCTGGCCAAGTGTGTCCGTGTTGCGTTCGAACGGTGCCCAATAACGATCGTCTCCTGTCTCCTTACGTAGCCGTTTTGCCTTGCGAACGACGAGGATCGGGCTGGGAGCAGGAGTTTAGAAACACATTACAACGACACAATGGAGATCACTCACAGGAATGTCTCAGGGAGCGTGAAGATGATCAAGATCAGACATGCACCAGCGAAGAGGGTGAGCACCCAGAACAACCACCGCCAGCTGACACCAGCATTTGCCATAAAGCCCGACACGACAGGACCGATCGTAGGGCCGGCGAAGGGCGCAAGCGTGAAGAACGCGAGCGCCTCTCCGCGCGTCCCGGCATCCCAGATATCTGAGATCACAGCGCTGTACTTCAATCAGCAACCACAACAAGGCGCTAAAGCGTTATCCACTCACCCGCTGTTAGACAATGGTGCAGCTGCGAACGTCCCGCCCAGGAAGCGGAAGACCAAGATTGATGCAGTATTCCGCGAGAGGGCACATCCCACTTGAAATCCCGTGTAGAAGAGGAAGGAGATGATGAATACATTTCTCCGGCCTATTTGCTCCGACAAGGGACCCCAGACAAGTGGTCCCACACAGTAACCCGCGACGAACAACGAGATGGTCAAAACGGCGACTTCCTCACTAAAGGTGAAGTATTCCATGAGGTCCATTTCAATGCCTTCTGGCGCTGAACTCGCAAACGTTCTATGTATACATGTTAACCGACGCAGGAGAGGTGCAACGGAGCAGGCAACGTACGCATTAAGCACGAGAAGACCTCCGAGCATCGTCAGATACCACTTGTATGGTCTCGACCAAGTTTGCGGATTTTCTGGGTCGTCCGGACCTATGGTGACCTCATACTTGTCCCAGCCCTTCTCCCCGGGCCTGGGGCCCAACGCCTCACGCTCAAACTCTTCTTCGACGTTTTCAGGGCGCTCAGGCATCTCGCCGTCGACGACAGTGGATGATCGTGAACCGGTCTCGGCAGCGGTGGTAGCGGCGCTTTCTCTGTGTTTCTCTGTTTCTGACCCTAGGGCGCCTGGGGGCGTCAAGGACGAAGAGGAGGCGGTGGTCGTGTTCTGAAGGGACGTCATAATTGAAGGAGGAGGAGGAGCGGGAGCGGGAGGATGGATAATTGAGACGGAGCGGACTGGCTGGTGGGCAGCTGAAAGGGGCCTCACGGTACTTTGTATGCCATGGGGGCGTGCGGCTGGATCGGTCGGGGTTTCGCATGTTGTCAGCACCAGGAGTCAACCTCCTCTTTCGTGGAGGAGTTTAGCCACCTGATAACGTCAAATGCGTGACGCCCAGTCACATTGTCACGCTCCCTCCGGCGCCTGTGGGATGCGTGCCGCCCCCCGACGCATGGCCGGGCGCACACGCATGTCGGCCCCACTAACAAACTGATTCAGCGTTCCACATCCTGTCCCGCAAGTACATTGCACTCACCGCATCAGTGCTCGTCTGGTGCGTAGCATGACTTAGCATCACCTCGCCAAGCCAGCGTTCCAGGACGTTTCCGCACGGACCCGCAGCAATATCCGCTGGGTATCCGAGCAGCGGACCACTCGATTCGTCGTTGTCTGAGTAAGCACCGAAGTAGCCAGAGCAGTTCTCCCGCCGGCCCAGCACTCGAGACCCCGCTGCGCACGGGATTTCGCCGGCTCCGTCCTCGACGTCTGTAACTTACTTGGCCACAGGGCTTCACATGAACACCACAGGCAACCTGAGAGTAACAGGCTCCACACATGCTCCCGGTATCCCAGAAGCATGTAAGGTGCCTTCGGCCCGTACCTGCGGCGTCCACGAACCACACTCACATAAGGATGTCCGACATACCGGAAATGAGATCTTGAGAGCCCGACTGGCGGGCCCAGCTTTGTCAAGCCAATGTCAGGCAGTATCAATCGGCATACATCACGAATGTGTGGACCAAACACTGTGTTTGTTCGCTCTATCATGCTAGCGTCGTCCTCCGGGCGGGCGGGTGGCCCGCGAGCCTGTGCGACGTGAGCGGACGGTGGTGGTGGTCGCTGAGAAGGGGTTCAGGGGGTGCAGAGCGTCGGCGGGAGCTTATATGACAGCACCGGCCTGGCGATCTGATGATGGCTTCCCGGAAACGCGTTGTGGACGCCTATGGGCGCACGCCAAGTACGACGCCCACCGGCGTGATTGCCACATGTATACTCACCGCAGTGGGGAAGCGATGATGGAGAAGCATCCCTCTCCTTATGGGGGTGTACTTTCAGTCCACCGAGTGCTGTACTTGATGCGGACGGACGTGAGCCTCGGCGCCTCCGCACTGGCAGGCGCCACAAACGCCGGGACCCGAGCCCTCACGCGTACTCACGCCGTAAAGTTCAGTCGAGACGCCCAAACCTCTGGGTTGAAGGTATATTCCAAAAATTGCACTGTCGAAGTGTCGGGAAGTGTCCGAGAACGCAAACACAAGGAGTGGGAGTTTGCTACGTATTCATTACAAGTAATCAAGACAATCTATGCACAGGAGGCAGGAGAGAGGGCGGAGACACATCAGTCGCGGCTGTAGTAAACCGACTCGGGGTGGGGGGAGAGAGAGCAACGTCAAACATTAAGTACACCGGCGCCGTCCTCGCAGCATGCAAAGCACAACAACATAGTCGGAACAGGTCAGTACAGCACGTACGTCAAAAGTCGTCGAAACACCAGTATACCCCTACACATGCCCAAAAGAACGCGCTCGCTCAGCCACGCGCGACCGCGCCTCGCCAACGGAAACACCGGCCACGCTCATACCGGCGGCGAGCACCCAAAGCTGGTCGCCTGGCTCGTCTGGAACGTCAGCTTGATCGCTGTGCCGCTGCCATACATGCCGAGGCACGCCATCGACAGCGCCGCGAGCGCAAGGATGAAGTTGAAGATCTTGAAGGCCACCATGCGTGTGCCGCCGCCGAAGAAGCCCGCGCGCCAGTCGACGAGGCCCGTCGCGGGGTCGCGCCCGTGCTTGAGGAAGTAGAAGCCGAAGATGAGCGCGGGCGGGAAGGTGTACGTGAACTGCATGATGCACACGGCCGCGACGAGGCCGGAGATCGTCTGCACCTGCGGGATGGCCGCGCCGACGATGAAGGCGAGCGCCCAGTAGAGGATAACCATGCCTGAAAGTGCGGATGACAGTCAGTCAGAGTCACGCGAGATTGTCAGACGTGTCACGTACCGGTCCAGATGAAGCGACCCTTCCGGCTCACGAGCGGGGGACCGTTGAACATGTCCTCAACGATCGCATAGTACGCAACCTTGATACCGATATTGCCATACAAACCCGCCGCGATGATACCCGTGACGAGACCCATCACGTTGCCAACCGTCTGCCAGCCGTACTTGCTGACACCCTGGTACGCGATCGAGAGCGTGAACTGGCCCTGGTAGCTGTACACGAATAGGCCTAGACAAGTCACGTCAACACTCCAGTCGCTGGAACTCAGAGAGAGGGCGGAACACACCGTAGAGCAGGTATGCAACGAAGATCAGCGCCTGCGCGCAGCACATGCCCTTCCAGAAGTCCCAGGGGCGCCGCATCTCAGCGAGCATCTCGGGGAAGATCATGGCACCACCGTACGCTGTCCAGAATTACATCAGCGATCGCCCGTCGAACGTCGAAGCTCTAGACGTACCGAAGACCATGTTCATGATGCCGTTCACCTTGTTGGGGAGCGTCTGGCTAACGAACGCAGCCGTCTGGACTGGGCCAGCTACGACGCCGTATGCAGCCTCCGCGCCGGCGTAGTTTGGTGGCGAGTGCGCGATGAAGCCCATCGAAATGAAGATGATGCTGCACGGACCCACAAACGTCAGCCGGTCATTTCGCGCGGAAGACAAATTCAGACTGACGAAAGGTTAATCCATACGGCGCTGTTCGCGAGCCATCCGTAGTTCTTGAGCGTACGGATCTGGCCGATGAACATACCCACGAAAGCCCAAATGACGATGCATACAGCGAAGCAGAGCTAGGGGTGCGAACGAGACGCCGTCAGCCCGGTTGTTCCGGATGCACGAGTCACGCCAGACTTACTTTCTCCTTCGTGATCTGGCTGAGCGATTGGCCGTTACTCAAGCAAATCGTGCCGACGTTGATGATCAGCTGAATGCTCTGGAGAACGCTCGACATATGGCGAGATGCTGAGCCGAACACCCGCTCCATGAGGTCGGAATACGTCTTGACGGGGAACACGTCCGAATCAAGCTTCATGAACAGCCACCAAAGCAGGAGTCCGGTATAGCACGCGGTAGCGCCCATCTAGAATGCATAGAGCCACATGATAAGATACGGCGTGACGTCAATTGCGGAGTTCTGAGCGCTGCTGATGGAGACTACGCACGACGAAATAGAGGATGACGCCGGGCGCGTAGCCAACTTGACTGATAGCGTATGGTGCGTTAAAGGCTAGACGCAGATATTGAGCACGCACTCTCCCAGCGGCAAAGACGAATAGCTGCGCTACTTACGACCAAGGATATCGGTTGTGATCAAGTAGAAGACAGCCGCCCACTAAGTGAGGGTTAGCTCCGGACAGCGAGAGACGTGAGTCGAGACTAGGACTGACCGAGGCACTGCGAAGAGCACGGCGAGCATTGATCCGCTCCTTCTCCTCGGCTGTCAGTGCGGCCTCAGACACCATAGCAGGCGCCTTCGTTGATTTTCTGGTGCAGTAGGGTGGTCAGAAGACATGGAGAAGCGAACCCCGCGTGCGACTCACTCCGTATGTTGACTGTCCGCGGACGCGGTGTCGGGGCTGGACTCGCCCTTGTACTGGAGCTCCTCGTGTGCACGTTGGCGCTCTGCCGCGACGAGGTATTCCTCAAAGGTAGGTTTCATGCCTGCACGAAGGACAACATGAGACTGCCGAGTCGCGATGGTTGGGACGGCGATGTACTACATACCATGGGTGGCATCGCGGTGCGGCTCGAGGAAGTCGCGGCCGGCTTCCTCCTTCTCCAAGCGGGGGTCGCCCTCCAAGTTTGCGTTGTTGTACATGGCGAACGCGACCTGGTTCAACGGGTTGGACGTCGAACGACGGGGACGGGAGGTGCGAGGGAAAGATGCGTGCGGGAGCCATGGGGAGGACGAGGTTCTTATTAACGCGCGGACGAGCGCGGGAGCATGTGCTCGCTGTCCACGGCGCATCCCTCTGCGGAGCACGCTTGAAACATCCCGAAAGGTGCTGATAACCCCAGCCAGCCAATCCCAGCCCCCGCCCGCCCCGATTATCCCCGATTTGGACTTGCCGATCCGTATTCCCCAAGAATAGCCCGCCACAGATCGAGATCGATCCCAGGCACAGCCGTCGGCCGCACGCCCGCCACCGACGCCTCCGCCACCCTCAGCCTCCAGCTCACCTCGCACCCGCACGGCCAGCGAGGCTACGCGCAACACTCGCCCCCTCGACGCTCACCATGTGGCACAGCACCGCCGCATGCTCCAGAGTGATCGCGCGGCCTCCGAAGCCGGCGAAGTTTGCATCCTCGCACCGAGTCGCACCGGATGTGGATTCTTGCGCGCCTTCGGTGACTTCCGCCATATGCCTTTCTGCCGGCCTGCTTGCCAGCCCCTGTCTGCGCGGCCTCTCTTCTAAGCACAACCGACAGCTGCGACGCATCGGCGGCATGTATCGGGCCATTATGTCAGGGCGAAACAAGCTGCGCAGATGCTGGCGAGAGCTACACTCGAGGTACACTCACTCACGGCTCCATGCTTCCCGTCGTGATCAGGCCGCTACGAGACTTCTGGCTCGCCCCGCATACTTTACCAGCGGCCTCGCTGCTCTGCACCTGATGAGTGTCCACGTCGTCCCCTCGCTTCTTACACACACTGTCATCAGACCAGGGCTGTTGCGCGGGCGCGTCTATAAGTACGGCGGGTGCCATATGGCTCGCAGATGTCCACGATGGCACCCTGATGCACCTGCCAAATATCCATCTAAACATTCCCGCCGCGAGGCCCGCGACGCGCGCCCGAACGCAAACGTCCCGAGCCCACACCTTTCTCTCCCATGCCCCGTCTCAAGGCCACACACGCCACCGCCGTCGCCACCGTCGACCGAAAGCTCTCGACAACCTCGAGATCTCAGATGACTAATCAGGGCCCCGCTGACTTAGGCATGGCGGGCGTTGTGGGCGCTGTATTTGACATCCGCGGCTACCCTCGATTGCCGTTTTCCCGAGGATGTCGGACGGCCCCTCCGCGTCCGTTCTCCCTCCCACCTATCCACCCAGCTGCACCACTCATGCCTCAACGTTCAACGTTCAACGCTCAACATCGTATGTGCCAACCCAGTGCAATTGCTGTAACTTACCCGTCTGCGACTTACATGAACAAACAGCACCACCGCGGAGCCGCAGCGTCATGCGCAGATCTAGGTGCGATCAGCCATGTGGTGCGCCCCCCGGCCGGCGAAGGTTGATAACGGAGCTTGGCGACCTCGCCACGGAGGCAGATAAGCATATTTGGCCTCGAATATCTCTGGGCATCGTTCATTGAACGACGGCGACGGTGGTTAAGATGAGTGACGGTATGTAGTTACCATTTTCATCTGTGCAGCGGAATGACCGTCTTCTGCCGCGATGCGGTCGAGCAAATTGGCCGACTGTCGGCGAGGTGCCGGTGAGTCTTCCCGATATCACTGCGAAAAACATACGTCATTGCTGTAAGTTCTAGAATGCTGGTCCAAGAACATAGCAGGCCTATACCGTTTCGGTGAGCAATATACAGCGAGCGAGTTTTCGCAACTCTGAGCGCAGTTTTAGACGGCCTCGACGCCCCCCTCCGTATAACACTGCAGGTAAGTATTCTATACAGTGCCTTTGTGTCCGCTTCATACACATTGCTCATAGCAATTCATCCGCGTCGCCGTGACTCAACGATTAGTCTAAGACCGCGCCATAATGACCCATGCAGGATTATTGTACGTCCCCGAAGTGAGTACGTGCTCAGCTATTTAACGCTACTGTCGGTAATAAAATTGTCCGCGTTTCGGCGGCCAAGACGAGTATAACGACTCAGGAAAGCATACTTAAGCGAGTATGTACTTTGCTGTCGCGGTCACTACTCAATAGTCTCCACGCTTAATCTCTGAACGAATCATCACTCGGTACGTCAGGATATCTCACACCTCAAGTGACGTCGAACGGGCTGATAGTCCCCCTACAACTCCAGCTCCTTCCTACGCCTTGTAATCTCTGTGATGCCCGTGCAGTAGATCTGGACCGCAGCGGCGCGGGAGGTTGCTTCATTGCAGAATAGACCTCGAGCCGCACGCTTGCGTGCGTCGTATAGTTTTTTTTTTACGTCCCAAAGCAGTACTTTGCGTCGAACCCTCAGGAACAAGCCTAAGGGCCGGGACAAACCCGCGCGGATTTATTGTGGTGCGCCTTCAAGTTGGCGCAGGCCGACATCATTTCGGCCTGCGGCAACGACGATAGTTGGCGGCATCAGAGTACCCACCCTGGAGCTGTGTAGCTTGACGTGCGGCACTTGGCATTTGACAATTGGGTGGCAGCGTCGGTGGTGTCTAGCAACTAGCTGCCACTACTGCCGTCACCCCGTTGTACATCGACGACGACGACGACGACGACGAGTTGCCCTGCGACCAAGGCGGGTGAGCATGCGCCAGCAGGTGGGAGGGCAAGCTTTGCAGACAGGGAGTGAGTAATAACGACGTGCGGACGGCGTGCGGACGATTCAATGTCATCAAATCATGCAGTAACCATCCGAGTGCGAGGGTCTTTGTGGGGCAAATCACGCTGATGCGGAAGTCTTGAAAGAGGGATGGCGAGATCAAGGGAACATTGACCATACTAAATGCTGCCCATGACCTTCCCCGCGGACTCTGACTGAAAACGGACTCGGAGTCTGAGCGCGTCTGTGTAGCCCCTCATGCACGTGATCGTGTAGCCTCTTGATATGAAATGCAATGGCGTCCGCGTCCAAGTCGCGACTTGTCGGATACAGTATTGGCCGCGACGTGCACTGTGCAGTTCTCCACCAGTCGTCCAACTTGAATCCGCCAATTCCGAACCAACCTCAAAGACAAACATAACTCTTCCTCCAGCAGTACTCACTGTAGACAAGCGACAATGAGCCTGCAACCAATCAATCGTACTAGCATTCCCTTCCTTTGGCGGCACGAGGACGAAGCGGAGATCATCAAAGAGTATATCTTCACTATTCAACAGGAGCGCCAGCAAGGCGTAGATGAAGATGAAGCCGAGTTAAGCGACACTGAGACGATCTACTCCGATGCCACGTCTGCGGATGCATCAGACGACCCAATGGACGTAGATGAAGCCGAAACGGAGAGGAACGGAGAGAAGGGAGAGAACAAGAGCGTTGGCACTCACGAAGAGGGAACGGACGGCAATGGCGTTGGCTCCTGCGCCACGAACGAGGACCCGAAATCCGAATTCCCCATCGGTATGTACAACAAGGACGAAGAGGAGGTTCGCGAGTCGCAGCGTGCGTGGGACGCCGTCGCGCTCGGGTCTCCGCCCTTCGATAAGAGGGAGTCACTCGTACAATGGCACGAGTACCTCATGCGCGCGCTGAACGAGATGGACGAAGAGCTTGCGAAGAAAGAGGGCACTCCAAGCCTGGCGATAAAGAGGCGAGAGCCCGCCATAGGACTCGAGGAGGGAGGTATCATCGAGAAGGTCTCCGACAAGCTGCGGATGCGCTCGACGATTGAAGTAGAGCACGCCCCCATCGAGAACCTCCGCCGGGGACTGGTTTATCTCGCACGCTTCTCATACATCCGAGCAGCATCTCACCCTCCATGTCACCATCTGTGCGACGTCCCAAACAATGCTCAACATCCTCGCTATCGTCTCGCTCTCCATTCTGTATCTGCTCGCTGCCTCTCGCCCCTTCAGGCATTCGTGAATAGCTCATCCACTGTTACCTTTCATCTAAGTGAGTCCGCCGGCACGATAGAAGCATGAGGGGGGACGCAAACTGAACCTGGGGCCGATAGGTATACAACGGGCAAATGGCGCGCCAAGGAAACATTATATCGCACTCATCATCATGCATTGCAATCACGATCGGAACAACAGCTCACTGTGGGGCAGAAGAGCTTCCAGACGAATGTACAAGTCGATTGGCTTGATCACTGCGCCGATAGGCGACTTGAGCACAGCTGAGGATGAACCTGACGCGTTACGGCGAGCTGAGAGATGCGCGTCGAATATCCGCTTGTACAATATTGCAGCCGAACGTTCAGGATACGAGTAATGCGAGCACACGGAAGCCTAAGATAATACCTGATCAAGAAAACGCGTCGCATGTAGCTCCTATACTGCTTTGGTCACATGCATCGCGAGACCGAGAGTTGAGTGTAGACGCTGCTTGTGCGGCCCGCCTTCGGCCTTCGCGGCGCGTCCGCCACGTGATCGTGTAGCTTGATATAGTGCTACCGCGAGGCGACTGTACACGCGCCGCCACGGTTCGAGTCGACCTGCACTGTGCACTCGTTCACCAGTCGTTCACTCCGCGAAATCCATACATACCTCTTCTTCCCGCAACTTGCAGACGGTCACCATGAGCGTGCGACCATCTAATCGTACAATCCCCTACATCTGGCGCCACGAGGGCGAAGCGGAGATCATCAAAGAGTATCTCGCCGCTTGCCAGGGGGACCGCGAGCGAGGCGTAGGTGACGAATACGAGGCAGAGCTGAGCGACACCGAGACGATCTGCTCCAATGCCACGTCAGCGCGTGGATCGGACGAGGCATCATCATACGAAGATGAGGATGAAGCCGAAGAGGACGCGGACAGTAACGCGGAGGGAGAGGAGAATAGCGTCTGGAGTAACGAAGAGGAAAGGGACGACGAGGACTATACCCCTGAATTCGCTCATGACTACGGCACGGACGAGGACCCGAGGTTCGACCCTACGAACCCAGGGTACTTCAAGCGACGCTTCTGCGGCTCCTTCGACCTTTACGCAACGAACTGTCTAGGAGCTGAGCGCGAGTTCCTCACGTCCTTCGAGGACGCGGCATGGTACGATCCGACGAAGACGAAGCCGGTCACCGACGAAGAAGAGGTCCGCGAGACGCAGCGGGCGTGGGATGCCATTGCGCTCGGGCGTCCGCCCTTCGACAAGAGGGAGGCACTCGTACAGTGGCATGAGAGCCTCATGCTCGCGCTGAACGAGGTGGACGATGAGCTCGGGGAGAAGCGGGGCATTCCGAGCAAGGCGGTCAAGAGGCGAGAGCCCGCCGTGGTCCTCGAGGAAGATTGGAATATTGAGAGGGTCGTTGACGAGCTGCGGATGCGCTCGACGATTGAAGTGGCACACGCCCCCATCGACAACCTCCGCCGGGGATTGGTCTATCTCGCGCGCTCATTGTATCTCAAGGAGAACTTCATGCAGCGTGGAAGCACTGCGTACCCGCCCACGTTCAAGCCCCCGCCAGTTAGCCAACCTGCGGAGGGCAGCGCTGCAGACGAAGAAGAATCAGAGTACATCTTCGTGTAATGACGTTGAATGATACATGGTATGTTTCCGGAGCTTTCGTTGACGTTGCACGCTTCTCATACGTCCGAGCAGCATCTCATCTTCCATGTTACCGGCTTTGCGACGTCTCTCATATTCCTCAACACCTGCATAATGATGTCCCCGCTCTCGGTTTGCTCTCTGTTTTGTATCTGCTCGCTGCCACCTTTCCACGCTCCCTCCCTCATTCTTCGTCGTCGGTACGCTCTCGTGCCCGATGTAGTCAGCGTGAGAAGTGCAACAACGTGCCATGTAACATCAGTACGTACTGCACCTAGCCTGTCGTACCCAAGCACTGTACCATACCACATGCGTATCATCTCAACTGGCTCAGCGCATATATCTACACGGAGCTCGCTGGTCACTCGATTTATTCTGAAAATCACTTCGACACTCTGGAATGTATGCTTGTTCCCGTCTCACAGATGACGAGGCGTATGCCCATGGCGTGTAGACCACTGGTACTTTGCCGTCCCACCCTTAACCCATGCGCTCTATCAGTAAGCACTCCTACGTCGTTGGAAGGGGAACGTGATGAATTGCCAATTTCTTGCAGATATTCACGCCGACACGTCGGATACGTACCGAGGCGGCTGTGCAAGCTGTGTCCGAAGTTCTTCGAGCTCAACCGTCGTCAAAACACTCCCGAGTCCCAGTGGGTCATTAACCGACATGTCGGCACGATGCGCTCGGGTCATCCAACGCAGTGTGTGCCAGTCCACTGGCCTAGTAGCTCAGTCAATGGACGCTTACTACTCGTTGGATACAGATATACAATTCAGGCTAGGCTCGGACGCGGACGATGCAGCAGAACTTCAATGCGTGCAGACAAAGAGGACTTGAGCCGTCACTCACGTCAAACATACCGCCGAACCCTGGCCAGGCTCCCTCGTGCCCACAACGTTCCCATCTACGGACCACGGCCCAAGCTCTCGGCCTTGCCGACGATCCCGCAAGCCGCCGTGTTGTCCTTCTCCCGTGTGGTTCATATAGAAGATGCTTAGGTGATGCGGTTCATATAGAAGATGCATGGAAGGTGCGGTCTATATACGCAGTCGCATCCGCCATGTCCCTGATGAGGCGAACGTTTCTCAGGTGCCTGGTGCTCTGCGCGTTCGCTTCGCTCGTCTAGCTCGACCATGACCGCGACTATGGTATCGATAATATAGCGACTGTCCATCCCAGGTAGTCGGACGCAATCGATCCCGACATGGCACCATCGCAGGACATCACGGCGCTGAAGTCTGTCAAGAAGATTCGCAGGTAGACCGCTTCGCATTTGTATTCGCGCGGAGTAATGGCTGTCACAGTGGTTGCGATGAAGCGGGAAGGGAGTCCGGGACTCCGCCCGATGGCCTATACCGGCAATCTTCTGTCGAGCCGATATGTAGCGGACTTCTTGGGTGCTCAGGGAGGGGCATTATCATTTCATAAACTTCGTGAGTCCACGCTTCATCGTTCGAAGCTGCTCTCGTCGCAACCTCGACATGTATTCTCGTCGTAAACATTATTTCAAAGCTAATCAATTGTCTCTCGCTCGGTAGGTGCTTTACTCTGGGACAGTTTCGTCAGCAGCAAAGCCTGGTTCGAGCTTGCACAACGGTACACGATGAAAGCGCTCGTGAGGATCGATCAAGCGCGCGTCGTGAGTAGCGAGAACAGCAGCAGCAAAAGAGACGTTCTTGTGACCAGATTCGCGCTGAGTGTGTCGTATTCTGGCACGGTAAATGAGCCGTGCTTGTGGTACATGGTCTGCGTCACTTCGCCCATGAGCTTCACGGCGAAACTCACAAGTGAAGTTGTAGTATGATGTAAGCGCTTAGCGAACAAACGACCCACGCAGATGGGCAGCAGGTTGCTGAAGACATGATCATTTTCTAAATATGCTAATGTGCATATTATACACACGCCTGGTGCGTGATGCCCATGGTATCGATAATCCTGTTGGGCAGAGTCTGGACGATAGACCCAACATCATGCTACACGTGATTAGCCCTGTCGAAGTCACAACTCTATAGACTATGGGACAAAAGGCTGTGGGCGGGAAAGAACAAGAGAGGGTAAGTCAATCAACCAGTGTATGAGTATATAAGAAGACGTGGAATGACTGGGGTGCATTGAAAGATTCAATGTGAGTTAAGGCGTCGCTCAGGCTGGTGATATGAACATGACATAAGCATTACCATAAATGGAACACATAGTCACTGCAAGTGCTGCCGAGCACATACGGGAAAGTAATGTGCTCAACGGGACCTAGCAGAGCACCTACCGAGCGAGAGACAATTGATTAGCTCTGAAATAATGTTTACAACGAGAATACATGTCGAGGTTGCGACGAGAGCAGCTTCGAGGACGCGCCACACGCCCGCTTACAAATACAGACAGGAAACGACGAAAATAAACCCCGCGCTAGGGTTGCACCGACAACAACTCAGAAGACGCTGAGAGGACCTGCGCCTCGGCGATGCCTCGGTGACCAGTTTGGCCAGCCGTCCTACAGTGTTCACCTCGTCTTGTTCCGCCGCCAAAAATTACCATACATAGCAAGTCCAAACTTTCCAGCGTCTAAAATATATTTCGTATATAGCCTTGCAGAATCCAGCGACATGTACGAGGTAGAACACTGGGACGGCTGGTTTTAGGAGCCTGGCTTCGCATCTGTATTCGCGCGGCGTAATGGCTGTCACGGTGAACGCGAAGAGGTGGGAAGGGAGTCCGGGACTCCGCCCGATGTGTCGAGCCGACTTCCTGGGTGCTCAGCGCTCATCGCGCAGGCCCAGGGAGGGCCATTCTCATTTCATCAACCGCATGAGTCCACACCGTCTTTACGGGCCCCATCGTGTCCAAACTGCCACTCATGAGATGGTGAGCGCCAGCACGGGCTGAGCATAGCCACCTAACTGGACAGTACATTTCAACAGGTACTTGCATCATCCTTTTGTTGTTTATGAACGGATCGTAGCAGAACGGACCGAGGCAAGCTGGCGTAATGCCATCACTTAGTTGCAGGAACAGGATTGTAGTTATCTCCTTGCGTGAGTGATCAGGCCCTGCATTTCGTAGCAAAACTCTTTCTCATGCCGATGTCTAAAGAGTCGGAGGTGGAGGCGCCATGGACACTGCGAAGGCCGCCAACCTGTTCGATTTCAAAGTCAGTGTATGGGTCGTGCCATATGCTGAATGACATCACAAGGTTTACCGTGTATATAAGGACGCTGGCCTGTTTGACTTTCCGTCGGAAAAGGACTGCTGAACACGCAGACCCTCTGGCCACTCATCGCAGGTGCGTTTGGCTAAAGTAAGCACAATGTGTGCGGTTAGTATGTACCTTACTCTCTGTTCTCAGTACCGACTACCGCCATCGTCCACTTCCATTATGCTTTTAACATTGCTACTCTGTGTCTTCGTTTTCTTCACCGTTCATTATCTCTCTCGGAGGAATGCCAGAGGCCCTCTGCCTCCCGGTCCGCCTGGGCTTCCCTTACTTGGGAACGCCTTGCAGGTACCACTCGAACACCCCTGGTTGACGTTCACGCGCTGGGCACAACAATACGGTGCGCACGTTGAAACTTGACTGGCGCAGATTCAGGAGGGTACTGACATAGTGGTCTTTGTAGGCGATGTGATGCACGTCAACGTGATGGGTCGCTCGTTCGTCATCCTCAGTTCTCTGAAGGCGATCGACGATTTGCTTGAGAAACGGGGCGCCATTTACTCGGACAGACCCATCACTCCTATGGCTGGGGAGCTGTGAGCACATTCTGTTCGAGTATATGAGATTGCTAACATTGTTCAGAGCGGGATTTGGGCAGTACATTCCGATGCTTCCATACGGGCCTCGCCACAGGGAGGGCCGAAAGCTGATACTAGGTGCTGTCAATCCGCGGAATTTACCCTACCTTCAAGAGGTCCAGGAAGAGATGATTACTCTGTTCATTGCCAGGCTTGCCGAAGATCCCTCAAACTTTGCATTGCATATACGCTTGTACGTGATCGTATGCAGCTCTACGGAACTGTTGAATCTTGATAACAGAATACCAACAGCCTTATTGGAAGCACTGTTGTCCGAATCACGCACGGAGTGACAGTCGATCAGTACGATGACCCGATCATTGAGGCAATGGAGAACGTCATGGATACCTTTACGAAATTGTCGGCGCCGGGAGCATACTTAGTGGACAGTTTCTCCTCTTGTCAGTCAATCGTGCTCGCTCTTCGGGACCTGCGTGCTGACGGTGAGCAGTGATGCACATACCCGACTGGCTTCCCGGGGCTGGCTTCAAGAAGGTTGCAAAGGCTGCTCAAGCGGAGACTCTCAGAATAGAGGACAAGCTATGTAACATAGTGAAGGAGCAGGTGGTAAGTTCTTTTCCAGCTCGCAAAGTCATAATTGCTCGAGACAGGCTATCGCAGGCGTGCGGCACAGCGCCTCCTTCATTTATCGGCGACCTGCTACAGAATCATCCCGACTCGACTCCGGAGGAAGAGGAAGTCTACAAGAAAATTGGGCTGATATCCTACACGGGTAAGTAAGCCAGTCGACAATCTTCGTCTTGGCTCATGCTCACACCTATGATTGAAGCGGGTTCCGACACCGTAAGTCGGCACTTCATGAGGCGCTCCGCCTACTGATCGCCTGTCATCCTGCAGACAGTCTCCGCGATCGAGTCCTTTCTGATCCTGATAGCGCAGAATCCGGACATCCAGCGCAAAGTGCAGGCTGAAATAGACGTAGTCACTGGGCGTACACGACCACCCACAGCAAGCGACCGCAGTGACCTTCCATACCTCGATGCAGTGCTGAAGGAGGTGTTGCGTCACATGCCTGCAGGTCCCTTATGTGCGCAGAGCAGTCACTTTGACTCGTCGACTCGCCATTAACAATGACTTCCATCCACAGCGCTTCCCCACAAGGTCCGCCAGGATGATCATTACGCAGGGTATTTGATCCCCGCAGGTGCTACTGTATTGCCCAACACATGGTGCGTCGATGCTCGACGGTCGTTACATGAACAAATTGCATGCTAACCGTACAAAAGGGCCATCATGCGTGACCCCACACTCTACCCGAACCCGGAGGTCGTTGACCCCGAACGCTACTTGCATAACAGCGACAAGAACATCAATCCCGATCCTCGATCATTCGCATTTGGATACGGCAGGAGGTCAGTCGACTTGTCGAGTAGTCTGACTATGGGCTCATGGGCAAGAACAGAGTTTGTCCGGGCCAGACACTCGCCGAACGCACCCTCTACCTCACCGCGGCCAATATTTTGGCGTCGTTCGATGTCAGCGATGCCGTCTCTCTGGACGGTTCAAAGCCTAAGTGGGGAGGTCGCATCATCAGGTTTGTCTCCACCTCTCTGAGCTTTTCGATCTCTGCCGCTGATGACCGTACCCTTCAGCAAACCACTGCCATTCAATTGCACCATCAAGCCGCGGACGAAGGCCTTGTGACGTGGTCTAGGCCGCTCCGCGCGATGACTCAGTGGGAGAGACGACTGCAGGAAACGGTTCGGTCCAGGTCTGTATTTATGATTCTTGCGTTCAACCATGGACTCGGAGGTTGGTCTGTCTGCGGCTCGGCGTCGCACTGCGGTCTAGAAACCCGAGTCAAGGATGTGTACCACGACCCGGCGTGGTGGTCAATATAAGTAGCTGCACACTATGTTTCGGTCGCGCGTGTAACTCTCATGAGGTTCTGTCGTCGACTCTCAAGCAGTGGTGAAACGATCCGCATGAGCGCATAACATCGATACCCATTCCCCAAGGCATTCGCATCCGAGCATATAAGATGCAGTAGGCCTCTAAAGGCAGACAACTTACCGCTATCTGCCAGTGTCGAGTGCCAGTGATGAGTCCAATGCCGAAATGAGAACACGCGTACTACGCGATGTGTATTATTGCCTACGTTCCCCCGCCGACTGCATAGACCCCAAACTTTGGATGTACACTTGACCTTCCCCAAGGACCGGCTCGTCGAGCAGTGTAGGACCTCCACCGACGGCAGAGTGTGCCCTGGCCACCAAATGTCCGCTGGAGACATGCTTTCCCTTAAGGCGGCAAACACCCTCGCGTTCTGCGACGTCAGCGATGCTGTCTCCTTGGACGGTTCGGCGCCGGAGTGGGAGGGTGGTCTTGTTGTGTGTACGTTCACGCCGTTTCTCTGCCGGTTCATACCTGCTCGCCCCGTGATCAGCCGTCCTGTGCCACTCAGAATCAAGTGGACGGTGACATAAGACTCGTTCGAAGACATGACACGAAGTCTGCCAGTGAGCTCGTCCTCGGAACACGGGATGGGAGATGGGGAGGGAAACTCACTGACGTCTGAGTGTATCCTCCAAGCTGAAGCTTGTAGTTCGAGTGAGTCTACTTCTCAGAGCTCCGCATTTCCAGGGTTGACCGTTGACCTCTTGCGTGAGTCGAAATGAATTCATTCAGAAACTCCTGCTCGCGTTACAATTTGTAAGTACCCTCATTACTCAAGGTTGCCGCCCTCGAGGACGTTCAAAGCACGGGCAGTACTGCCGTGAAAGCTGTACAGATACTGAACAGTCTGCCACTCTTCTTGTAGGTGACGCTGAAAGGTAGAATCAGGTGGCAGCGGCGCAGTACGCGTCACTGGTGACTGCAACTGACTCGGTGCGCGGATTTCCAACATGCACGGCGCCGCCGCCGGTTCTGTACTAATCCTTCCAATGCGCACGCCATCGACGGCGGTCCTTAGCGAGAGTATACTGTATCCAGAGGCGAAAGTTATCCCGGGACGAGTCAGTACGACCCGATGGAGACTTCATACGCAGGTACTCAACGAGATGAATCCGCGACATCGCGCAAGCATTCGGAACCAATCGTACCCTCGTTTCCATGGCAATTGGTACTGTACATCAGTGCCTGAAAGCTGTGAGCTTAGAGTGCTCGAGGCCCCAGCCTGTAGACCAGTAGCACAATGAGCTCCTACCTTTATACACACTGGCCATGCAGCAATAGCATGGTCTTGACAGCTTAGGGTCCAAATGAAGCCATATCTTCTGATGCTCCGATATCTGTTCTGATGGAGAGGAGAGATAAAGGAGGATCATGTGTACTGCATTGTGTCAGGTCAGAAAGAGGGTCAGACAATGGATCCAATATAAGACAATGCAGGCTCACAGACAAAGCTCAAGAGCTCTCCAACTTGGACACAACACTCCACGACGAGCCACCCTCCACCCTCGCCTCGACAACGACGACAACGCCATGAACACCATCCAGAGCGTCCTCCCCGCCGACGCCACCGCGCGCGTCCTCGAGGAGTACCTCGCGAGCGCAGCCCAATCGCGCGAGTCCGGCTTCGACAGCGACGAAGCCATGTCGACCGATTCCTCCTTCATCGACGAGAGCTCCTCCTCGCTCGCCACCTCGAGCGACGTCGCCTCCGCGTTCTCCTCGCTGACGCTCTTCGACCGGCTGCACACGGGGTCCATCGGCTCGGACGACTCCGGGTTCAGCAGCGACGACGAGTTCGCGGACGACGAGATCCGCGCGCGGCAGCGGCTCCGCAAGGACCTTGTGCTGGGCCGCCCGCCGGCCGCGCTCATGCGCTGGCGCGCGCGCGAGCTGGTAGACCTGCATGAGGCGTACATGAAGCAGCTCGCCGACGCGGACGTCGAGCTCGCGGAGCTCACTGGCGTGGCGAACGATGTTATCGTCCGCCGGCCGGTGACGGTCGAGTATCGCGCGCCACCCGATGTGAATGGGCAGGATACGGCGGCGATCGTGCGCGACCTCAGGATGCGCTCGGCGAAGGAGATCGCGGACATGGAGAGGCCGGAGTCGGTAGGAGCGTTGGTGCTCTTGGCGCAGGCGCTGTTCAGGCGCGAGAAGGAGGTCAAGAGGATCCTGTACAGCAGGAGTTCATACCGGATGGACGAAGACAGTGAGGACGACTAGAAGGCTCGTACCTATGACGCAACTTCTCGCAGGGGCACTCTCCTATCCTAACAGTCCCATTATACAGTCCAACACCTCTGTGTATAGTACGCCTTTCCTTTTTACAATATGCCGTGTGTATAGCAGTTGACCGACCCACGAATTGCACGTTTGTGATGAGTCTTCCTGGCCTAGTCTGTTGCATGCTGAAAATCACGAGTTCAGTGATAGAGCCGCATAAATTCACCATGCACCCGTGGTAAGTATAGCGCCGGGTCAGAGGTCTGCCATTCAGGCCTCCCAGCACGTCCCCCACGTACGAGTATGCTCCCGGAAAGACTGTTAGCCAGTCGCTCCTGCTGCACAGCGATATAATGTGCATCGCAGGGACGCAGGGGATGGGACGAGGGGAGCGAGAGGGGTCATGCGGGGCGGATGCTGGCTCGATCGGGCACGCCTCGATCACATCCGCTTGCCTTTCTGCACTTGCATCCGCCTTCCGATCCAGTCTGCAATGCTCGACAGCGCGCATTCGGGTGCAGACTGGCCGCGGGCTATAATCTAGCGGGGCGGGGATCACACCCATCGTCTCCAGACACACTCTCTGACCCCCGCGCACACAGCGTCAGTCGCGATGCGCTGCTTCTCCACCGTCCTCCTCTTCGCCATCGCCGCCTGCACGGCAAGCGCAGCACCAATCGAGAGCATGCCTCTCCCCTTGCGGGTCGCGAACACGCAGAACCAGTTGGATGCGAAGCGCGCGTCTGGAGCAAAGAGTTTGCCGTGGAACTCTCCAGTGGTAAGTCTCGTTCGGCCCCCGTCCATCTGCAAGCGCTGACAGGTCCTCTAGCGTCCATGATATCAGACCATCGACAGGGAAGACCTTGACGATGTTGAGGAGACGGGGTTGGATGTACTTGGTGCCCGTGAGGTGAGGGGGGTCATACGCCTGCTCTTGCTGGAGAGAGCGGCGAGGCGGAGGATAATATGTAAATGTAGTGTACCATACTCGCACCCCCGCGCGGGCGTTATGCATAGAGCACGCACCGAACAGCTTGCTAAGCGTGACACGCCGATTCGTTTTGAGTTCCTCGCCTCTTGTTCCTAGTCTCTTGAAGAGAAGGACGCGCTACGCCCGTCTACAGACTCATTCGGTATTCATGGACAGTGTATGACGCTTCGCGCGCGCAATGTGAGCGAGCAGAAGCGTTTATTCGCATTGACTGGAGAGCGGCGGGTGGAGAGCGGCGGCGAGGAGGACGAGGAGGGGCTGAGCGGGGAACGCCCGAAGGGGACGATCTGCCACCGGTAGCAAACAGAGGCAAGCAAGGAGGAGGGCTCGTCGCCAACGAAGCGGCGCTGGTGGGCCAGGTCTGCAGCAGCAGCTCGCATTCTCTCCGTCCTCTCCTCCTCGACCCCTCCCAGTCTCTCCCAGCCATGGCCAACGCTCCCCCGCCCCCGTCCGACGGTATTGGCATCGCCAACCTCCCCAACCAGGTATGCTCCTGCGCCCGTCTTTCGTCTGACGACGCGGGGTGACATTTTCTGTCTGCAGCGACACAAGATTGTCGCGAAGCGTGGCGCGCATTTCACTGTCATGGTTGTCGGTGAGCACCGCTCTCTTGCGCAGGCGTGGCGGGATCTGAGTGGGACGTGACACCCGCAGGCGAGTCCGGTCTTGGAAAGACGACGCTCGTCAACACGCTCTTCTCCACCGAGCTGTCCCCGGCCAAGAGCTACAGCCGCCGCCACCACAAGCAGCTCGACAAGCTGACCGAGGTTGAGATCATCAAGGCCGAGCTCGAGGAGAAGCAGTTCAAGACCAAGCTCACCGTCATCGACACCCCCGGCTTCGGCGACTACGTCAACAACCGCGACTCGTGGGCGCCCATCGTCGACTTCATTGACGACCAGCACGAGGCGTATATGCGCCAGGAGCAGCAGCCCCAGCGCGTGGAGAAGACCGACCTCAGGGTGCACGCTTGCTTGTACTTCATCCGCCCGACGGGACATACGTGAGTGACGGCAACCGCGTAACCGACGTGGATCCTAACTGATGCTGCTCGCTCCAGGCTCAAGCCCCTCGACATTGAGATCATGAAGCGTCTGGGCACGCGCGTCAACCTCATTCCCGTCGTTGCGAAGGCGGACACGCTCACCCAGAATGACCTGTTCACCTTCAAGCAGCGCGTAAGTCTCACTTTACCGCCCTGCTAGGCCCCAGCTAATACCCGCCTCAGATCCGCGAGGTCATCCAGGTGCAGGGCATCCGCATCTACCAGCCGCCCATTGAGCCCGATGATGAGGTGACGGCCGAGCACGCCCGCATCCTCGCCGAGGCCATGCCCTTCTCCATCATCGGTTCGACCGAGGAGGTCACCACAGCCGACGGGCGCAAGGTCAAGGGTCGCGAGTACCTCTGGGGCGTCGCCGAAGGTAACCACCCCCTCCCGCCGCTGTTCCCCCACTAACCCCGCGCACCCGTGCAGTCGAGAACGAGAACCACTGCGACTTCCGCAAGCTGCGCTCGCTGCTGATCCGGACGCACATGCTCGACCTCATCTCGACGACGGAGGAGATCCACTACGAGAACTACCGCCAGAGCCAGATGGAGTCGCGCAAGCCGGGCGAGTCCAAGCCGCGCAAGTTCGAGAACCCCAAGTTCAAGGAGGAGGAGGAGGCCCTCCGCAAGCGCTTCACCGAGCAGGTCAAGGCCGAGGAGGCCCGCTTCCGCCAGTGGGAGCAGCATGTGCGTCTCTCCGCTGTCGTGTATCGCGCGTCGACCACGGGTACTGACGACCCGTGCAGCTCATCCAGGAGCGCGACCGTCTCAACAAGGACCTCGAGTTGGCGCACAGCGCCATCAAGTCCCTTGAGGCCGAGCTGGACAACCTCCAGGTCGGCTACGGTCGCGGCACCGGCAGGCGGTAGATACGTATTCCTGCCCTACCTACCTCCTACCTATTTACCAAAAGCGCTGCTTGTCTCGATGATACCCTGCCCACACGCTTGTCGCTCCTTACGCTCCGGCTTGTCGACCTCGTCCTGTCTCTCGTTACCTAGTGTTCATCTTGGGATAATATTTGCTGTTGCCTGTTGTTTTATCGCACGGCCAATGATTCTGAACGCTTCGTATGCGCTCGTTGATCCGAGAAGCGGTTTATGGCTCAACGTAAGATGCGATTGCTAGTGCTATTACAGGGTAAGAGATGTGAGGATAGTGCATACGTATGATCAGTGAGTGCGTTCTACTAATTAAGTAGCAGAGTCGTAACAGTTCTTCAGAGAAAGTAAGTAAACCGAGACGATCTCGAAATCGACCTTAGCGAGGTCAACTTCACGGAGTGAGCACATTGGGGTGGCGAGCCTGCGCCCGTGCAGCCGCGATCTCCTCCTTGTGCGCCAGCATCTGCTTCACCCGGGCATCCTCTTGCGCCCAGCGTTCCTCTCTACTCAGGTCAACGCTCGGGGCGCTCGGCGCGATAAACTCCTCGAGACCAGCAGGGAGCCCCTTCGCGGTCTCAGCGTGCTTCGCCCACTCCTTGCCATCGGTCCTCCTCCCGCGCTCGTCGATGCCAAACACCTCGAACGCATCGTCCACCTCCGCCTCGCGCGCAGCCTCGGCATAGATCGCCTTCCACCCCTCCGCGTGCTTGTACCACTCGCCCAAGCCGACCTTGATCATCCGCTTCTCGACCGGGACCGGCTCCGCGAGGCCCTCCCCATTGATACCGCGGCCCCTCGCCTCCGCGTGCCAGCGGATGCCCAGGATGCCGCCGCGCTCGCCGCGGAGGAGGCGCGCGGCGTCCACGACGAGCTCGTGTGCGCGGTTCAGGCGCATGTTGCGGATGCGCGAGCCCATCGACGGGCCGTACTTGCGGTCGTGCGGGTCGACGGTGGCGTAGAACGGCACGCCGCGCGCGCGCCCGTGCGAGAGGCGCGCGATGGACGCCGCGAGCGGGCGCGTCTGCAGCGTCACGCTGAGGAGCGGCCGCCAGAAGGGCGTCTCCTGCAGCGTCGCGAGGTACTTGCTGCGCGCCGCGCGGACGGCGGCGCTCTCCTTCGCGGCGTCGCTCAGCGAGCCGGTGTCTACGATGTCTTCGTCAGGAAAGGACTCCTCCGGCTGCGGCTGCTGGGACGACGCCTCGGCCGCTGGCTCGGGGGCACGCATGAGCGCGGGGGACATGAGCCCGAACGCAGAGTCCGACATGGCCACGGCGCGGAGGACCGCACTCGTGTGCAGGCCGCGAGAGCCATTGCTCGACGTGGACGCACCGTTCTTGCCATTGCCGTTCCCGTTCCCGTTCCCGTTGCCATCCGCGCTGCGGATAATCTCCGAGTCGTGCCACGGCACCTTCTTGGTCGTAATGAAGGGGTCGTCCTCCGTCGCGACCTTGGCCGCCGTCGGGTGGAACTCCGTCTCGGGCGTGGGCGGCTCGAAGCCGCTGGGGTGGCTGACGGTGCCCTCATGGGGGATAAACACCTCTACGGGGATCTTCTCCTCGCGCACCCTCATCTGCGCGGCGAGGCCATCGCTGAGGATGCCTGCATTGAGTTCGGCCATCAGGCTGCCCTCCTCTTCCTTCCTCTCAGCGATCTCCGACCTCTGGCGCTTGCGCTCGATGTAGTACGGCGGCACGACGTCGTCGCGCGTGTTCTCCTCGCGCTGGCGGCGCGTCAGGACTTGCTGCCGCTCGGGCGCGTCCCACGCGGACGTCGGGATCTGCGCGCGCTTGCTCTGCGACGACTCGGGCTGCGCGCCGAGCTGCGACACCGCGCCTGCGAGGGACGGCTCCGCCTGCGTGCCGGCGGGGTGCGCGACGACGCCCGGGTTCGTGAGGACCTCCGCCGCGTCCAGCTCCGCTTGGTCGCGCATGTACGTCCTCTTGGTGAACTCCTTCTCGACGTTCGCGTCGTAGTCGGGGCGGGAGGCCACCTCGTTGACGCTGGGAGGGATGTCGTCCCAGCGCTGCTTGATCGTCTCAAGGAGGGGATGGTCCTCCGTCGACCTCTTCGCGACAGCAGGGTGGAACTCGGTCTCGGGCGTAGGCGGCTCGAAACCACTCGGGTGAATGACGACGCCCTCCTCGAGCATGAGCACCTCGACAGGGATCTTCCCGTCGCGGCCTTTGGTCTCCGCAGCGAGGCCATCGCTGAGGATGCCTGCGTTGAGTTCGGCCATCAGGCTGCCCTCCTCTTCCTTCCTCTCAGCGATCTCCGACCTCTGGCGCTTACGCTCGACGTAGTATGAGGGCACGACATGATCATCGGCGTCTTGCGACGGCTTGTGGGGGCGGGCCCACGACGACGCGGGGATCTGGCGGCGCGCTTCGAATGAGCCGGGGCCCTCAGGCGGCTTGCTCGGGTCGCCGTTCTCGGCGCGCGCGTTCATCGAGAAGTGGAAGACACGGCGCTGCTGAACGTTTCCGCCCGGACGCTGCGGCATGAGCAGCTCTGTCGCGCGGAGGTGTCCGCCGGACAGACTCGTCTCCTTGGACTGCATCTTCGGCGGGGACGACGTCGCGGCCTCAGCGACGGCAGCGGCGGCCTCCTGGTGGTCCAGCTCGTCGATCTTGCGCATCAGCTCCTCGCGCGTCTCACCCTTCTCCAGCCACTGCGTGGGGCGCACTTTCTTCTGCTTGCCCCAGGGCCACCGCGCGTTGTCCATCATGTCCCTGAGCTCCGGGGGAGTGCGCTCGCTGTTGAGCCGCTCCATGATGGCGGGGAAGTCCTCCTCGCGGCAGACACCGATGAACTGCTCGACGGTGTCTGGGCGTCCGACCTCGTGCCGAATGGGGTAGCGCGACTCGGCGATGAAGACGGTGTGCGGGGTGTAGGCGGCGGGCGGAGGCTGCTCATAGGTCCTGTTCTCGTGGTAGGGACCGCCGGGCCACCAGTTGGAGGTCCGAATCTGTCGGGGATGTGTGAAGCCACCCATGTATCTGTAAGGATGCGGTGTGAGTATGTGTAACACATGATGCAATCTCGCGGACGAAAGGCTTGTCTTGAAGGCTGTGTGTACAAGACACCTTGTCTACAGTTGGACGTTGGGACATTCCTAACCACGCTGCCTAGATTCCGGAGACCGTGTACAATGGGCGTCTATAGGACCTGGGATATCCGCCCTCGCATCTCGAGCGGCTGCACGTCATAACCCATTGCCCCGAGCAGGGTTGCGAGTGGGCTACAGGTGTATGATACGCCCAGTGCATTGGGAGCAACAAATTTGACAAACGGAGGGAAAAGATGCAGAACGACGACTCACGTCTTCACCTCTGTAAGGGCGGCAGTGATATCCATACGTTCATCCCGCTCGGCCTTGCGCATACGATTATGGACGACACTAACGGCGAAGTTGGCCTCCTTCTCGCGGATGCGGCGCTGGGGCTTGCGCTGGCTGTCATGAGCGGCAGCGGGGTCGTCCTCGGCGGCGGTCGCATAGTGGCTGCGGGCAGCGAGGGCGGTGCGGCGGGCGTTGGTGGCGACGCGGCGGGCGAGCTTGGAGCGTGGTATCATGGCGGGGACGCGTAGGACAGTGCGGGGGACGGACACACAACCCATGTCTATATCCTGCGAGCCGTGTTGTGCCGTGTTTGCGCCGCCCCACTCGGGGCATGGCGCCGGCGCACTGAGAATTTCCCTTCTGGGACACCGACGCCGCTTTCCAGCCCGCCCGTCCGAAAGCGGCGAGATGGCGCCTCGATAGGCGCGCCCACCGTGTGCGGCGCTGCGGCCATCACCAAGGAAGCCCTGGTCGCTGCCGGCCGCCGCTGGCGCTCTCCTAACCCCAAAACGGGGCTACTTCGCCGCGTGATTTCTCTCACGCCCCCTCCTCGCCTCCGCCTGCTCGCTGTCGCTGCTGCTGTCCCCGTCCTTGGTCTGCGTTGCTCTGTCCTTGCTGCGACATTCCGTACGCAGAATGTTTATTTTCTGCAATTAGGTACGCCAGTTTTCAGCCAGAGGAGCCTGCGTCATGTTTTCTAGTCGCACCCCACTTTCGTGATGTCTTCGCACCGCTCGGCTATCTTATCTTTTACGACATTGTCGTCGTCAAGGTTCCTCCGTGGCTTCATCGCCCCCGACCCTTGCCCGAGCCTCAACAAACGGCTTCGCACCTGTCTTTGCGTCACTCATGAACGCTGCTCTAGATCCGTGCTACACCGTTTATGTGAGCACGACACACAGGCTCTAGTGCCCAGGTAGTGCAAGGAATGCGGGACGTGATACTCTCGGAGACGCGTGGGCATGTGTTTAAACTTTACCTCTCCCCCGAACAGCCACCCCGAAAGGCGCGTAGATCGACTCCAGTGCCTTGCAGGATCTACTCAAGTACACAAAGGTCTTCGAAGATCCGGGGGTTGTTCAGCCATTTTGTGACTCTGTGAGCAAGCTACCGCGGTGTGCCTGAAGCTGCACTATACCAGTCTGCGCAGCGGCGGGATCATCGGTCATGAACAGGGCGGTGTTTGCCCCAGACAGATCCGGGGAACGTGCGGACATAGAGCAGCAAAGTTCTAACCCTCGTTCGCAGGCGCTGACCCACAGCGCATATTGGGTGCGAAGTGTGGCATACACAGCAGACACGGGATTTCTGGTCATATGCTTGACCCACGAATAGCCAGCCCTCTTCGATTGCACGAGAAGACTCGAGATGTTTCCGGCTCGGAGAAGGTGAGGACGGGCGACGATGCTGGTCATTGAGTACTCCCCGAGTCGTGCAAGACTCAGATGCGTACTCGTCGTGCGCGGTGAGTGGAAGGAGGTTGCCGGCCCGACGGCCCGTCCGCTTGCATGTAAAGCTCAACACCGAGCCAGGTCGTAACAGTCTGGTCGTTCTTACTTTCCTCTCCTACCTCCGCATTGAGCTGCGTGTTGGACAAAACACCTCGTGCCATATTTTTCATTCCTCAATTCAGTCAACTTCTCAGTACTGGCATCGCCTCTGCTGTTGTCCCCAATGTCATCGTCCGACAGGAGTACCCACCCCCCGGTCCAGCCAGAATACGACTGCGGCTACAGTCAAGCTGCCCGTGCTGAACCGCAACCTTTTCCAGTCGTGAGCCCATGCAGGCCCGTGCGGAAGCAGAATCTCGGCTACCAGACGAGGCGCGAGTGAGTACAGTTTGCTTTTTTTTTTTTTTTTTTTTTAGAGGGCTCTTAACGGAAGCCAGCAGCTGACAATTGGTCAGATCCGGATTCCAGCCAGCCAGCGGGTTCCCCCGCAATTGCAGTCCAGGGATAAAATGCGTTTACGCACGGCCTTACAGGGCCAGTGTGGGACTCAGTTATCCTACATCCCAGGTAACGTAGGTGTTAGGATTAATACCCACTAAAACCCTTTTAATCTTTGTCCAATCATCAGGGAGAGCAGTTTCGTCGTGTAGGGTACCACACCATGTACCAATGACTAGCGGCGGCCATAGAGCGTTCCTCCCGTATCGTTTGTTTGTCATAGCTATATCAAGATGGAGCCGACGGTTGATTATACATCCCCATCTAGCGCGGATTTCTGGTCCTGAGTGAGTCCAGCCATCATCTATTGCGTGGCCAATGGTTCGTTCACAACGTAGACACCATATGAGGTACGCAGCTTCGGAAATCAGTATGCGCCACATACGTTCTACAAATGGTCTCCGTTTCTTTTTAGGGGAGAGCCACTGGCGTATTCCGACACTGAGGATGTCGTTAAGGTCGGGCTTGGTCCAGGTGGCTTGTTTACACCGCCATAGGTTACCAGCCATTGCCCAGATCTCCTGTTGGCCTGGGGCGGTGCATTCAGTAAGTACGTGTGCCATTGAGTCAACGGCACCACAGTATTGACATATGGCTCTATCTTCATATCCTGGTATTTTAGCCCAGAAGCGTCCGACACGGAATGCACTGTGAAGGCATTTCCATAGGAAGTCAGAGATTGGCAGGCGGAAGTCGTGGTTTCGTATGCTTTTCCATAGGACGTCAGCGGTAATAAGGCTATCTGAGTTAAGGTTGACTTTGGCAAGCACTGCGTCGATCGTGGTTTTCGTTGATCGACGTTCTTCGATGGGGCGCCTTTGTAGGATAAGGCGGTAGGCAATACGTTGCGACATGGTCGATAACTTAGCTCCAGATAGCTGGAGGGTCTGGTCGATGTTCAAGGAGACCGTCTTGAGGCCGCTATTATCTATGAGGTGTTTCACAAGGTGGCGTCCTTTGTCTATGATGTTCCAATCTTCGTGGGTACTAGCCATTCTAAATGTGGTGGGGGCGCAGCGCTGACGGAGGACGTTTATTAGGTCTTGTAGTGCGAGTTTGTTGCTGATGCCTAACCAGTCAACGTCCTCCCATCGCTGTAGGTCTTTACACAGGACGTTACGCATGAAGAGAGATTCGCATACAAATCGGATCGGTACGTCTCTCGGGATAAGTTGTACCGCGTATGCTACTGCGGTAATCTCACCACTCGTTAATAGGTCTACTATGTTGTCTAGCGGTCGTACTAGCTGGGCAGCGGTTTGCTGGTCTAACTCAGACATGAAGATACCGCTGCCCTCTGGGGCTATGCGGGACTCGCCGTGCTTAAAGGAGCACTTGGCTTCGAGTGCGTATGCTGTAATTGTTTGGAAACGTGTGCCTTGTCGCTGACGCATATTCGGTGTGGTCTCGAGGCTGTTATCATCCATGAAGACACGGAATATTTCAGAGATGCCGCCTCTCTCAGTGACAGAGGGGTTGAATACAGCTTCGCCGTCCTTCTTCTTGAATGCGGCGCTATTGTTGTCATGTCGGCGTGGAGTGAGGGTGAGCCCGTCGGGCACAGGATTCACCGTTGGATTCCATTTGTCGGTCAGGGAGGTGAGTAGGCGGCGGGCTGCTTCAACACAGTTAAGTGTGTTCTGACAGCCTTTTTCCTCGGCATCTTTGCATGTCGTGCATGAACATACAGGTGTGTCTGGTGGGAGAACTGGGATGAAATCATGTCTAGCTAGAACCATGATGTCTGATACGTATGTAACACCATGGTTACGTCGCAGACATTTGCTAAGGTTAGTGTTATCCAGACGTCGTAGACGTTTTGTCGCACTGATATGGTACCATGCGGGGAGTTTGTTCTTCAGTTCATTGCTTAGTTTTAATGCTCCGAAGGAGGTCTTATGTTTCTTAGCAGTCTTCAAAAGTTGCTTTATATAATGCGGTAGGGGAGATGCTGCGTGCACTGCCGGGTTCCAATTCTGTAAGAAGGTATTGATCTGTGCTGATGACTGAATGGCTCCGGCTGAGCGACTGACTTGGAGTGCGATCAGGATATCGAAGATGAATGCCCAGTCGGGTCGGGAGTCTGTTAGGATGAGATATTTACGGAGCCATGTAAGTTCGATGGCTTCGTTTCGTGTATGGATGTCCAGTATTTCTAATCCGCCTTTTGAGATAGGGAGGTGGATAGTTGGTAGGTTGACTAGAGGCGTTCCGTTCTTCCCCCAGACAAAGGTTCGGATCTTTTTTGTGAGTTCCTTTTCCACTGTGGCGGGCATGCCTTGGACCGTCGTGAGGTACTGGGTTATGCCACCCGGTCCCATTTGGATGATATGTTTCTTACCTTTCAATGTCGGGTTACAGCGGCCCCATCGCGTCAGGAATTTATCGACTTTTTCTAGAGTCGGTGTCCAGATAGCCGCCGCGCATGTCTGGTTGCCTATCCACGCTCCGAGGATGCGTACCGCCTCCCCGTCCTTCGCTATGTGTACAAAGTCTGGGATGGTTGGAGCATTGCTCATGGGGTCTATGCGGCGAGTTCTGATGACCTGGCTGCGATATTCAGGGGATCCGATTGGTATGATTTCTGTTTTACCGGAGTTGAAGCGTGCTCCGGATGCTGTGCACCAGTTATTGAGTATCTTCCACAGGTCTGACCAGCTATCACATTGAGCAAGAAATGTCGAGGTGTCATCTGCAAACAACGAGGTGATCACGCGGTCCATAAGGCCAGGGATTTGGAATCCACGCAGGTTAGAGCATCGTAGAGCGCAGGCTAGAGGTTCGATTGCAAGATCGAACAGTAGGCAAGAGAGTGGGTCGCCTTGGCGGACTCCTCGGAAGACCCGGTAAGGTTTACTAGTCTCGCCGTTAATGATTATTACCGTTGTTGCGTCCTTATATAGGTTCTTGACTTTGGTTATGAAGGATTCAGGGAGACCCATTGCTCGTAGTATTCGCCATAGGTAATCGTGTTTTATCTTGTCGTAAGCTTTCTCTTGATCTAATGCGACGATTACTCCATTGTCTTCAGTTGCTTCTGCATAGTCTACCATAGCACGGCACAGCTGTGTTTGATCAGAGATTTGTCGTCCCGGTATAAATCCTGCTTGGTTCGGGTGAATAACTGTTTTCACTACCAATCCAAGCTTCGTAGCCATGATGCGGGTGTAGAGTTTATAGTCGGTATTCAATATAGTTATGGGTCTATAGTTGCTGATATCCCTTTTATCTTTCTTTTTATAGATCGGGCACATCCATCCATCCGCAAATCCACACTTTGGGTCAACACCGTAGGTGTCGATGTCATCTAGGACGTATTGGAGATAGGCGTTACTGTTGAATGACGCATCATCATCTGCAGGTTCATCATCTTGAAGCAGTTTCCAGAATTCGTATGGAATTCCATCAAGGCCGCTCGCTTTACCCGTCTGGGCTTTTTTAAGTGCGTTTTGAATGTCGTTTATGCTTATTTTAGACTGGAGCGTTTCGCTATCTTGTGTGCTTAGGAACTGCTGAATGTTGTTTGTTGCTATAGATATTGCCGCTTCGCGCGTTCCATCATTGACCTGGTTATCGTCGCTGGTTTGGAGAGAATCATGGTATTGTCGGGCAAGTTCGGCCATATCGGATGAGCGTCGAATATAGACTTGGGAGTCGGGTTTCCGTAGTGCGTAGATGATATCTCTCGGACTTTTGTCTTTATTGATGTTCGACCAATACTTACTGAGGGTCTCAGCGTTGAGAGCGTAACGCGCGGTCGTAGCTTCTCGGATATGCTGATAACGTTTTCGTTCCAGCTCTATGACTCGGTCTAACATTACCGCTGCTTCAGTTTGCAGCGACGCTGAGGAGCCGAATGTAGGGTTCGCTTGTATTTTGTCTATCGCAGCAGATAGTCTTGTGATCGCCGCTGTGAGTTTTGGGGCTTTCTTCTTCATGATATTCTTTGCTAATGCGATCGTTTTGTTCTTGAAGGTTTTGTGAACTGATTGAGCGTTACAGTCAGGTGAGCGTGTTCCGCAGTCATGCAGGACCTTCACCTCTTTTAGAGCACGGTTACCCATTGCTTTGATGTCCTTCATGAAGGACTCGTCATGTAGCATGGTGAGGGGGAGAGTCCAACGTCCCTTCCCTATAAACGGTGCTTGTGTGGTGCTAAGCATAGCTGAGGCTAGCCGGTGGTCCGTAGGGACGCCGGTGGATCGTATATTCCATACTTGAGATGATCGGAGAGTTCGTTCAGTCACATAAATCCGATCGAGGCGTGAGCGAACGTCTGAGGCGCGTTGCGGGAATGTAAAATCGCATTGTGTTGGATTAGTTATGCGCCATCCATCCTTCATATGGAGTTTGTTAAGCAGCTGTTGTAGGTGCTCAGTTGCCGATGGGTTATCCTCACGTGGGGGGAGTCGGTCGATGGGTTCTTCAACGACGTTGAAGTCCCCTAGTAGTACGTCAGGGAGCTTATGTCTATGATTGGAGTAGTATTCTTCAATCTTCAGCCAGAATTCTGAGTTAGCAGTAACGTCATTTGGGGCATAGACGTTCAGAAAAGTGAGATCTTCTTCTTTATGCCAGTGTATGGTCATAGACATAGCTCGTCCTGGTATAATAGTCGTAGCGTCGTGCTGGGCCGTATCTACAAGTTCTCTGTTAAGAACAAAAGCTACACCGCCCACGTTGTCCTCATTGGTTTGTGCTGATATGACAACCATGCGTCTCCCATACTGTCTATGTAGTTGGTCAATAGTCGTATCATTTAGATGTGATTCTTGTATTGCTAGAACCCCAATCTTCTCAGTACGTATAAGCTGATTAAGGACATTCCATTTATTGTTGACATTGCCAGACAGGTTCCCTCTGCCGTTCATGTTCAATGTTGCCACATTCAGCGTGGCTCGCGTATTACGGCCCTTCTTAGATTTCGTCGATGCCCCTGGTTTGTGGTTACTCAAACGCGTACCATCTTCCATTTGTGACGCTGCTAAGGAGTCATGGAAGATTGCCCTGCCGTCCGATCCTTCCGACGATTCATTGGGAGTCATTCGGGCAGGAGGCGGTGTCATCCCTTGTCGTCGGGAGGGAGTGTTTCCGGTTGCCATGTGAACGTCCGTGGTGTTATGTGTGTTGTTGTAATTGTGCGCCGCTGCTATCGTTCCCGCCGCTACAGCGATCCACGGCGGGAGGGGACTACTCCTGAGCCCCACAGGTGACATGCTAATTCCTTATATAGAAGGAGTTTGCTTAAGCCTCTCGGCGGGGCAAGTCTCCGAGTGCCCTGAGGTGAGAATGGAAATTAACGGAGATTTATGAGTACGCGCTGACAGGCTTTCCTGTCCCGCTTGAAGCGGTCAGTAAGTGTGGGCCTTGAGCGCGGTCATCCGCTTTATCGATGCATCTGCTGGAGCGTTTTTATTATTATTTATTATAAGTTTTCTTAGCCGAATGTTTTCTTATTACAGTAAGTGTGATCGGTGGATGCGTCGCAGCGTAGTGTTTGTGCACCGAATTTGGTATTGTTTTAAGCGCAATATTTGTGGATACAGAGTGATGGTACAGCGTAGTACGACTCGAGACGATCATGGCTAAGGAACAGTATATAGGTGAAAACGGGGAGCAGCAGTCGTACTACATGAGACAGGAAGACAGGTAGAATAGGGATGGGATGATATTCAGAAGTTGCCATTTCCACGTCCACGGCCACCTCGGCCGCGCCCGTTACCACGACCGTTGCCACGGCCATTGCCTCTGCCTATCGCGGCGTTGTGCTGGGGCGGTGGTTGGGCCATCTGTGGTGTCTGTAGGGGCGGCTCATGCCAGCCGATCGTTCGGCGTACAGGACATGCACCTGCAATGTGTCCGAGTGAGTGGCAGTATCCGCACCAGACTCTGCTTGTGAAGGGCTCAGGGTGGCCAGCGATATTCGACCCGAATTGGTGAAGCTTGAGCTGGCTGCTAAAACGCAGCCAGTCGCGACGGTCTGACGTCGGCGGCCTGACATACAGAACTGCTACAGGCTCAGTTGTGTTAGTAGCGACGCGGCATTGAATAATATCGACATCTATCGAATCTAGGATGTGGTTCAGGGCATCGATCCGCGACGAGCCACTCCACATCCCACCGCGAGAGATATCGCGCGTGAGGACGTCATAGGCTGTGTCGAACAGGTCGGTTTCGAGGAGGGCTCGGCGAACGAGCTCCTCGTACTCGGCTTTGGTTTGAGCGCCGAATCTGTAGATGAAGCGGAACATGCCACACAAGTGGGGGTTCGAATCACGCCAAAAATCGAAGTGAAGGGTTACAGGCGTTGAATTGAGCCAGCCAATATGAACAAGAGCCGCAATTTTGGGCAGAGGAATGCCCCGCGCCAAGTACCAGAACGGCTCGGTGTTCATACCGTGGAAGCCCGCGACAGAGTAGGCTGGGAGAATGAACGTACCAGGGATCAGCAAAGTGCGTCGGAAGACGTCGAGCATAATTTCGATGCGAGTACTGACCCCTGGTTCTTCGGTGCCGTGTAGAGGGATCTGGACAGCTAGCACGGTTTCAGAGGCGTCGAGGGCGTTCCAAGAATCGCGTTGGCCTGCTGCCATGCCGCGTCCCTTCCAGCAAGAACTGTCGCCTTGTACTTGGCGCCACGAGGCAGTGGGTGGAACGACAAAGTCTGGGTCGAGGGCGTTGACGTCGAGAGGGACAAAGGCGTTGTTCGGGCCGTCGTCGTTCGAGCTTTGGGAGGAATTCGAGGCAGAGGCGGCGCGACTCTCACGGCGTTCGCGGCGGAGGAGGCGGCGCCGGATTCGGCGGCGCGTGTGAGAGGAAGACGTGGGCACAGGTGTGTCAGGCCTAGTAGCATCGATCATCTCTACTTCTTGGATTGAGGGCGTGCGCAGGGACGATCGCGGCGAGACGTTACCGATGATGCTGCTGCTATCTCCCACCTCGGACCAATGATGGCCACGGGCCGGCGCGATGGGGGTCGCCGGACGCCTGTTCCTGCGAGGGGTAGGCGTGCGCGGTGAGCTAGAGGGAAGCGAGGACGGCGGGAGAGGGAAGAGCGGAAGGATGTCGCCGATGTCGGAGAGGACGTCGTCGTCAGAGGTGTCGACAGAGACGCGTGTTCTAAGGCCATTGTGACGATGTCCCGACGCAGGGGCGCGACTTTGCGGCTGGGAAGACCTTTGGCCCAGAGGGGACAGGAGCATCTCGACGAGCTCAGAGTCCGATATGTTTACGATGTCGGTGTCAGGCGTGCGGGCATCATCCAAGACACAGGGGTGAGAGGGTGACTGCGCGTTAGGACGGGCGGAGATGTTTGTGCTGGGCGAAGACGCAGAGGGACCGGGGGTGGCCTCTAGGAGGGGAGAGGCGACAGGTGTGGCTACAATCACCTGTGCGTTCTGCTTGCGTAGTTCGACAGAGGGAGCGTCCTCGTTGCCAAGGTCTTCCTCGGCGCGTCGACGCTTACGGGGGGCGCTGCCCTGGTCATCAGCCTCCATAGGTGGGTCCTCGAGCACGGCCCGGCGCACTTCTTTGGGACGTTGCGCATTGGTCCCGTGGCGGCCAGAGGTGGCAGCCTGGGCCTTTCCTTTCTTTTTGTGTGAGACGACAGTCCAGCCCGCCGTCTGGTGAACAGACGCAGCAGCAGGAGGGGAGTCTATGCACTTGGTTAGTGATTTGTTATGGTCGGGTATGGCATAGTGCAAACCTTGTCTGCGGGCGATGGTCTCTGTAGCCGGGGAGGCTGGAGTGGGCGGTGACAACACAGGGCTATGTTGGGGATTGCCGTTTGCGTTCGCCTGAGATAGAGGCCCAGCAACAGCGGACGCATAGGAGAGACCGGGCGAGAGCCTCGGCGACTGCGACTGCGAAGTCATCGCTCTAATTGTCGTCGGGCTCTGAGGGCGGGCGATTTTTAGTTCCTATGTCTTGGTCATCGCGAGCATCAGATTGTTACTTACTTCGTTAGATGTCAGTGTAGGGCCATCGTGGCCAAGGACATGGTTCGGAGCAATGGTGCGGGACATATTCTTTAGTTGGTTTATTTGGGATTGAGCGAGATGGTCGAGAATTCAGAGCAGCGGGGTGAGCAGATAGCTGTAAGAGACGATGAGAGGCGAGTATGCGGGAAGCGAGCAGAGACTGAGAGGAAGTCACTAGAGTGATGCCGTAACTCTGAGTCTTCCTCGCTATTTAAGGCGCGTTGGCGCGACGTTTGATTTGTCACTGGGCACGCTCGGATTGGACCAAGTCGTTTATTTGCTTTGCAAGGGTTCCAGCTAGTCAGCCGCAGGGTGAGCGTTGGGGTAGTGTCGTGTGGCGTGTGTTTATCCTCGAGAGGGGTCATTAACTTCAAGGATCTCATGGCATATGTGCCAAGGCAGCGGAAGGGAGAAGGTAGGGGCTGACCTATGTGCCGACGCAGCGGGAGGGGCAGACAGACAGAGGTAGAGGACGTACTGTTTTCGGGTCCTATCACAAGGCTGCCCATCATTACCGCGCGCAATCGCTCCCTCCATTCCCAAGTCAGCAAGGCAGTGGGCTGCGACGTACTGTCGGGGCACTAAGGGTCCGATTTAAATGGGTTCTCTGCATCGTTTTTCCTTCGGTTCCATCAGAGTTGGGAGTGCTGTCGACGCCGCGGCGGTTATCGTGGTTGCGTGAGACTCGTGCCTCGATGCCTCCCCGTTATGTTTGACCGGGGCATCGGTGTCAGCGTCGTTTTCTCGGTGTGTGGTCGTTTGTTGATACATGGATTAGGTCGATTGTCTTCCAGGGATATGTGGGATATGTGGTGCATATAACAGAATCTAATGCCGTAGTATGGGCCAAGGCGGGAGGTAGGGCAGGTGGCGGTAGTGTCGTGTCGCAGGCGTAGAAGCTCTTCGCTGAAGAAGGTTAAGGGCGCTTGTTTTCGGGCACCTTACTGCCTTAGCTGGTATTTGGCGTTAAGCTAGATTTGATCGGCGTGGTGGCGTGTTTTGGACCCGAGAGGTCGGCTGGAGCAGACGTAGAAGGGCTCGCTATAGACTTGACTTTATGCAGCGTCTTATCCGTCAAGGTAGAGTTCATTGATCTCCACAGATTCCGTCCGGAGCATCGTTCACTAGCACGTTACTGGTATGTCTACCGTTAATCACACTGCGGGGTGTTCATTTCGTACGTAGCCACAGCTCCATCCTCTCCGCTTGCTCCGCTTGCTCCTTGGTGGCCTTCTATGAGTTCTTTGGTCCTGGGGTCTTTCGCCATTCGTGCGCGAAGGCGCGTTATAGCGCTTGGAGTAATGTCGAATTCATACGGGTTAGAGCCGGGGTTCTGGAAATCAGGTTTGTTGACGAATGCGCGGTGAGGGCCTGGGAGGAGTGGTAGTGTGTGATAGACGAGTGTATGCGTGTAACCGTCTAGATCGCAGAGGCGGGCCCATGGGATCGGGACTTTGATATGTAAGCCGTCTTTGCTCCCGGTGAGCCGGAACGTGACCCAGTGTCGCATCATGGTCACGACCTTGGAGACACGCCCAGTCTCTATCACGTGACTGCCGGTGCGGAGGGTTACCACGTGACCTCTAGCCAACGGCCTTTTAGGTTGGCTATCGACTATCCACGTCTCCCGCCGTCCATCCTCCTCGAGCTCTGGGCGTGCCTCGACGACGATGTCGACTTCGATGGAGTATGCAGGCTGGTATGAGGTGCGTTTTCTCGATTTCTGTGGCTGGACAGCGAATACGGTTGATGACGACGCTCCAGGACGCGTTACGTGTTGCCCATCGTGATATGCTTGTATTATGGGCGATTGGGCAGGAGAGCTGCGTGTTTTTCCAGATGAGAATGCGAAGAACATCTGGTACGTTATGAGCGTTTATTTCATGGGGGCTCACCCTGATTTTATAGGTCAAAGCGTTTACTGGAACGTGACTTGACATACGGGCGGCTAGCCGTTTCATATTTCCTTCAAGAGGTTTGCAACATATAGCATGATTAGGAGCTTAGGATTATGGATTATGGAAGGGATCATGTCGTAGCATGGGCATTTACGGACGGAGAGGCCGTCTGCAGAAGACTTTCTCGGAGTGCAATGATTTATGGGACGCGTTTGATGTGCGCGTGATCGTGCCGTGCCATTGCACGTGGTTAGGGCGGTAGCTTGGCTGATCGGCTTGTCGGGTTCCGGGCGCTCAGACCCGGGCCGGGTGATCACGTGAGCAAGAAGCACAGCCTTCGTAGCTATGCGAGCTCGTCGTGTCCCGTAGCTGGCACACACTAAGTGGGGTCTTGATGTAGGGGGCCGTCATGGCAGTCATCGCTAGGGTCAGATGGTAGCTCTGGGTCGCGGGGTACGGGAGTCGTGGGAGGGGAGGGGCAGCATGTGAGGTGCGTTCAGTGTTTTTTATGTAGTCGTCGCATCTGCGCAGTCAGGCTTGTCGTTGACAACAGTTGGGGGATACCCACGTGTGGGACACTAAGGACGGCTATTTCTCCTAGGTGAACAGTATATATGGGGCTTTTAATGCGATTTGGTGAAGCCGGGGCTTGCATCTGGTCGTTGCAAGGCTAGCGTTTATGCGACTCGGTTGTCTACCGGTTTAGTATGACTAAGGACCTCTAGCTTGGCTTAGCTAGCACTCCTCGAAAGGACGTGTAGGTCATGTATACAGTACAGGGACATCAGGCTATTGTCATAGCCGATGGTCGGGCCAGTGCGACGACTGTTGTGGAGATGACTTTCCAGCCCGCGACCTCTAGTCTGGTTTCCACCAGAGGGCGTTATAGTGCAGTTGGTTTCGCCTCCTAAGAGGTTACTTATCCCCTGGACCACGTAAAGGTCTGCACTGGACTCGTCAGCGACGAGCCCATCCAGGGGGAGTACAGTTTGCTTCCGAAGGGCCGTCAGCGACACATCTCCATAAGCAGGCGAGCAAGCATTGCAATTGAGCTCAGAAGGGGCTCGCGGAGCATACCTGCTGCCGCGCTCAGAACTGAACGCGTTGACAGGTTGATCCACTCGTACAGTGGTCCGACCCCGAGAGGCGGTACCCCATTGCCGCCCCGAGTGCCCATCGTCTACGGGCAGCGCGCGACCCGAGTACTCGATGGGCCCGTTGCGAGCACTCTTCGCCATCGCGACACCATCCGGACTGGATGCCGCCGACAACGCCCACAGCGACATACGAGGGGACGGGACGGACAGAGCGGGGACAGGGGCGAGGACAGACGCCATTGGCCCACGCGATCGCAGCCTGGTCGTGCGCGTCTGCTCGCTGCCCCAGATGGGCAACACATGGACAGCGCGAAGGGAGGGGATGACGCTGCAGTGCTCAGCAAGTGCTCAGGTGGGACGGGAGCGCCGCCGGAAGCGGTCAAGTGATCGTGTCCGACTCGACGTGATCGCTCAGGTGGGCGGGGGCTGCTTAGCAAGTCTCCTCCGCCCATTCGCCACCGACGTGTCATGCGCGCACACATAAAGCGCGAGACGATGAGCAGCCCTGCCCATCCGCCTCCAGCAGACTGATGTACAGGCGGCAACCAACTCAGCACACAGCCCACAGCGCAACATGCCACGTTCCCCAGTACACCTCGCCCTCGGCTGCGACGACATCCTCTACGAGGTCTTCCGCCATATCAGGACGCTCCCCACATACAGCAAACCACGACAGTCGCTCTACGCCTGCGCCCGTGCGTGCCATGTATTCTGCGAACCGGCACTGGATGCTCTCTGGATGGAACTGGACTCTCTCCAACCGCTCCTCGAGCTCTTTGAGGGTTGCCATGTGGGCTGCAACGGGTATTACTACGTAAGCAGTCGTCCTCCAACGTTCGATCCTCCCTAAGACAGCCCCATCGATGCGCATACAGTGTCTCAACGTAGTGGGACTCCCCGAGAACCTCGAGCGGTTCCGCAGGTACGCCCGCCGCGTGCGCGTCCTCACCGTCCCGCGCGAGATGAAGTTCAAATCCGCCAAACGCTTCGCCTTCCTCACCCAGCTCGCCACCGTCCTCTCCCTCACCTCCCACACGCCCCTCTTCCCCACCCTCACGTCCCTCACCTGGGGCACCATCGGCAAGCACGATCCCTCGCTCCCGCTCCTGCTCTCCCCGCGGCTCCGCTCCCTCCACGTGCACTACGTCTCCCGCTGCAGCGGCGCAGACCGCGTCGTCGCCGACGCAGACGGGGGGCCCTCGCTGTCCGCCCAGCTCGCGCACTTCCTCGTGCGCGCGCCCGCGCTGCGCGTCCTGCGGCTCACCGGCCTGCACGACTGCCCCGCGAGCGTCGCGGACCTCGAGGCGCACGCGGGCACGGCGCGCATGCTCGCGGGGATCCGCCGGCTCGAAGAGGTCGAGATCCACATGGAGAGCACTGTGCGGTTCGACGAGTGCGCCTGCGCGCGCGGCGCGGCGGCCAAGATGGGCCTTGGCGTGGAGTGGCCCGTGCTGAGGCGGCTCACGCTCGCGGGCCCGTCTGCTGCGCTCACCGCGGCGGTCCCGATCTTCGCGCATGCGCCCCAGCTGTCGGAACTCTGCCTGTCCAGCACGTCGGCGTCGACAGCGGACGACGCCCTCCTCATGGGCGCGCTGCCCACGCTCAGGCACCTGCGTACCCTCCGGCTGGAGTTTACAGGCAGGCATCCGATCGACGAGGGTCTGTCGCGCCTGGCGAGCGCATGGCCGCCAGAGCAGCTGCTCGAGCTCGAGATACGCTGGCGCGCCCTGCGCAACACTGTCTGGACGTCCGCTGCGATCCTCCAGGACTTCGCGGAGCATTGTCGGGCGCTGCGCAGGCTCGTCCTGCCTCCACTCGATTTCCAGCCCGTCCTCTCCCTCTCCCGGGCGTCCTCGCCTGGCAACGCCGCCAGCGGTGTTGTTGAGCAGAAGCAGGAGTCGTCGTTGAGAGAGCTGAGGCTCCAGTCGATTCTGCTCGCGGGCTGCGATGTGAGCGCTGCCGCGACGTACGTCGAGCGTCTCTTCCCCACGCTGGAGCTGTGCGAGGGTGCGGCCCCGTGCGAGCCTGTTTCGAATGCGTGGAGTAAAGTCGAGGAGGTATTGAAGGAGAGACTGAGGATCCGCGCAGCGTGCACGCAAATGACGTCTTTATGTTTGCGGCCTTAGGAACCATGGGCAAAGGTGCTTGGACAGGACTATGCGGACATTCATTCATCATCATGTCTGCGGCATCCGATACATTTTTGTAAGTTATAGCGGGAGGCCAGTACCGCAGTCTTCTCTCTACCATTTGACTGGCCAGCAATCTCAGACTCTGTACGTTCTTTCGTGGCGCCCAGCATCCGAGTCCGCCGTGACGTAAATCGTCTTTGGTCTTCTCAAGTTTAGGTGCGTATCGATGGTTCGCGACGCCCCTGCGACGATCTTCTCTTGGCCATAATACCTCGACGGCCTGCGTACACCTTGCATTCCCTGGCCTCTGCCGCTCGAGTCTGCGAAACGTTCACGCAGCCGGTCCTCGACCCCTTATGGACAAACCGAGACCCAGTGACAAATCTCTCCGAAGAGAGCAAGGTCAGAGGCCAAGAATATGTACATGCGTCGCTGTCTTGCCTGCTGTCTGGTATGAACAGTACCTGCCTGCGGCTGTCTCCTCCGCCGACGCCGAAAGCTTCCGGTTCTGCCCACATCACGGCCATCCGCAGGAACAAAACTCCAAGGGAACAAACCCTTGCTTCACTGCGATTCGGTCGCAGCCGCATGGAAAGCAACGCATAGAAACAACACGCTACGTTCTTTGACTGTAGGACTGTACAAGCGATTCCGGGGGCCCAGAAATGGGCTATGCGTACAACTTAGCAGCATTCGCCGGAAGCTTGTCTCCGGAGTCCGTATGTTCATTTGATAAAGTGGCTTGCCTCATGCTTACGGCGACATTCAGGCGGGCTAACCTACGCTGGTCGAAGGGACTGCATGCCCTGTCTGTCGTCTTGAATCATTACACTCTACATCATGACCTAGAAAGTGCTAGAAGAGCGCGCGAGTTATTGCCAACCTAATACGAGGTCTGTATTGTATCTGATCGTACAGTGTACAGTGTGAATATCGTAATGCTAAGGCTCGTTGAACTCGAACCAGGACTGTATGGATGGATGCGAAACGCGACGATGACAAAGCCTGTGCAAATTGTGCTAAAATTGTGCTAGTGCAAGGGTGTATCACCCCTGCGCTGTCTGCGTGTCCCGCAAAGCCCTGACTCTCTCGACAACCGTCGCCCACCTCAGCCATTTCTCGTCATGCGGAGGCCACGGTTTCTTCACACGCTTGTCCGCACTCCGCGCCATCCGCTCGAGGTCCAATGTTGGGAAAGACCTCTCGATAAATGTCGGCAGAGCTTTCTTCCAGTCCCAAAATTCGCCGTAATCCATGTTGACAATGTTCAGTTCGCGTAGAGACATCGATATTGCTTCTGTCACGGTCTTCGCGGGTGCACGGGGAGGCAAGATCGGCTGGAAATCGATCGGAGGCAGAGAGAGCACTTCGAGATACGGACACTGCCGCGCGTATTGGAGCAGGAGCTCCAGGGGAACTATCGGTTCGTGCTCGCCGCAGTAGCACTCGACCGATATTCTGCACGTCTTGAGGCCGCGCCAGAATCTGGGGAAGTCGAGGAAGTCGGGGTCGCCTTCGCAGTTGCTGTCCAGAGAGAAATACTCGATGTGCTGGAGGTCCGAGAGCGCCTCGACGAGGCGCGGGCATGTTTCTCCCGGTTGCAATTCGATGTCGATGAGACGGAGGGTGTGCAGGTGGGGTGACTGCTGGAACCACGCAAGTACCTGGGCGACATCGGCGGGATCCCCGCTGGCGGATAGAATCCTCAAATGTAGGAACCCGCCATGTTCAGTATGATGCGTGAGGTCGTCGGTCACATCCAAATGGAGCTCCTGCAGACTCTCCATCTGAGACAGAGTGTTGAGGGTCTCAGAGTCAAGGGATGACCCATATGACCTGAAGACCCGAAGTTGCGACCAGCAGCTCACATGCAGAAACGACAACGTATCCGCGAAGCTCCCGGTGACGTGGAGTGATTGAAGGACGGGCAATTTTCCATGTGTAACGAGCATACTATTTTCGAGGAAGTATGTGTCGGCGTGCCGCAGCTCTAGATGGCGAATCGAAGGGGCGAGGACGAGCGTGAGGCCTAGGTCTGGTACGACTTGTTCCAATCTGAGGTGCCGCAGATTGGGAAGTATAACGGCATCAGTGGGCTGAAAGCTGCTCAGAGCGTGCATGAGTGCAGAGCATGCGCTCTGGTCCATCTCGCCGTAACGTATGCACAATGCCCGAACCCGCCTCGCGTACTGTTGAAATCTTGACGCCGAGAGGGCATCTACAGCGTTTTTGCGTTGCATACACACTGTGGACTACGGCGAGTCAGGTCGGATGCTTTGAACCTGGTGTATGCGAGGAGCATACCTGAGGAACTGCGAGATCAGAACATTGACATGCTGGCGGCTGGTTGGGAATGTGGAGTAGTTGCAGGACAGGCTTGAGCGAGTCGATTTCCACCCAAAGCGCGTCTAAGGCGTGGAACGACATTGCTCTACACACGACAGCCGCACGAGCGAGCGATGCAAACGGCCGCCGGCCATCTTCATCGCATTCCTGTAGTCTGAAGAAGATTTCCTGGAGTATGTCGCCACAGGACAGCGCGCGAGCCGTGGGCGTCGTGGACATGATTCCGTTGTATGAATTTGACATGATCCGCCACGGTTGTAAGAACCTGATACTCGCGAGGAGGTAACTGCCAACGGTTGATGGTGAGCTGGGTTCACAGGACGATACAGCGGGGTAGAACCTGTGGAGAGAATAGGCTCGGAGCGGGCTTCCCGCCGCTCGTCGAGCACCCCGTTACGTAAACGCGTGGCGCTGTGCTAGTTTCGCGTAGGCAGACTTTAATCACGACCGTAGCAGGAAAGCACCAAGCAGTACTGAGATGTGCCGTATGGAGCGTCCACTGTCGGACGAAGTCGACGTGGGTCGGAGGCAAGTTGGATCGAAGCCTCGCTTATTTGAGCTCAGTGTCGCGGGCGCCCGTATATAATTACGTAGGTGGAGGCAGCGGCGAGGTGACGGCGTTGTGCCCCGGGCCTGTGGAACACTTGCACGACTCTGACACCATCGTCGCTACGTACGGCGAACACAAGAAGCAGCAGAAACAGTCACATCCACCACCCGAATTGTATATCAAACGCATGTAGTGATGTTATGTGCTAGCGCAAATACATAGGATGCATTGAGGCGATACAGGCTTTGTTGCCCATGTGCTCAACTTGACCAAGATCGGAATTCGGGACACATGAGAGTTGCATGATATGCAAGAGCAAGTCTATCGAATTCATCTCGTCTCTCGTTTCTCGTTTATGTACGCGCCGGTGCGCCTGGCAGCGACGGCGACCCTGAAATCACTCGCTATGTGCGGCCAACACAAGGAGCAACAACAGTCACATCCCACTCAGACTGTATATCGAGGACATGTTTACTTCAAAGTGCAACTTCTGGCGTGCATTGAGGCGATATGGACTACTTTAGGCTAGGATTGTACAGGAGTGAGACACAAGTATCAGAGTTACAGATGATACTTATGCAGGAGGTCTGCGACACAAGGATCGGGGGTAATGAAAGTACAAATCTTTGGGTCTCCGAGAGAAACCTCACTGCAACACCGCGTCCGGTGTTGCAATGAAGTTCCTCTACACGACGACCAACGAGGCGCGAAGAGAAGACTACAGTACAAGAGTTGTGACGAGACATGACGAAAGGAACACGGATACACGGAGCGAAACACAATCCCGGGACACATAGATATGGATAAGGATAAGTTGTAGCGACGCGCGTCCAAAGCGTTGACATCTCTGTCGAGCATCGTCAATGACGTGGAACGCTCGACGATGAAGCCATACACACCTCGAAATCTAGCGATGCACGACCGACAAGACCAAACACCTAGCCAGGAGGGCCATCAAGAGGTTCACCAGGGACCGAACCGCGACCAGGAGCAGAGAGATCGTTCGTTTCAGGATCTTCAGCTTGAACAGGTCGCTCCGCGATGTGACGAACCGTCGTGGGAGCCGCAGCCAGCAGCAATGTGCTTGCAGGACTTGAAGTGAAGAAAGGGCCAGGTGCGTCGCCGAGAGGGGCAACAGAGCCAGGAGACACCCGACCAGCTTCGAGATCGTCGTACTTGCGCCAGAACTCAATATCGTCCGAAGAGGACTTGTGCGGGGCGAGCTGCCAGTTGAGGACGTACTTGACGGAGTGACGACGAGAAGGCACCAGACACGGGCCGATTGCCAAGACGAGGAGGAAGAGTCCAACCGCCATGAGAGGTACAAAGTCGACCATGTCGACCGAGTGGGCCGCCGTGTTCGAAACTTCATCTGAGAGGACGGGCGATGCGACCATAGATGGGTCGCCAAGGGACGCAGCAGACGCAGCAGGTTGCGTAGAGTCGCTGACTTGAGTAGGGACCATAACGGGCACTGCAGTCGACGTTGACCAGACATAGTCGTATGTCGGAGGGAGCACCGAGTCATCCGAGAACAGGAAGTTGACCGGAGGACGGGCAAGAGCCATTGTAGGGCGGACAAAGCCATCGAGCTGAGACGTCCGCGTTGGGTCGAGGTCGAAGCCGAACGACGGGCAGAGACCACCAGGGTATCCACAGCCAGACTTGACGAGTCGAACGAAGTCAGAGTCCACGGGAGGCTCAAGGCCGTAACGATGACGAGCCGGAGGCAGGCTACGCATGAAGATCAGTATCAAAGGCGATGATCAGGAGTCATGCTACACACCCATGAGCGAGGAAGAACGTGTTCAACGAACGCTTGAACATCCGTTCGTAGCGATACGCGTTCCGCGAGTATTCGAGGATCAACTTGCTACCACGCGCAGAAGAGTCGAGCGTGCGCAGACAGTCGCGCAGGATGGCAAGACCGCCGGGACCAGCGAACGAGACGGAGGCGATGAGGGTGAGTGCGCCGATGAGAGCGGCGGCGCCCTGGAGAACAAGGGCGAATACCAGCATGTCGTATGCAAGATATTAAACAAGAACTTGAGTATGACAGAGAGGCACAGAGGCAGCGGAGGTGGTTGGAGATCAAGAATGAGTGAAGGCAACGGGATGTGGGCGGTGGGTTATGAGGCTGGGGGCGTGTGTTTGACAGAACTCTGATTTGTTTGGCGCGTTCAACAAGACGCGTCAGTCACGTGAGCGGGACGCGACGCGTCTGCCTGGGCGCTTGATGGTCTCAGTGGGCCTCCAGCGCTCAGCTCAGGTTCAAACCCGGACGAAGCTCTTTCCAACCCCAGACAACTATTACCACTGCCAGCAGTACTGTACCCGGTCGCCATTGATCATGATGAGCTCCCAGCACGTTCCGATGACGGCCACGGCTCAGCAATGGGATGCAAGTACTTACTAGCCGTCGCAGACTGGCCGCTTCGACTAATCCAATAGGCTCGCATTCGAGAATCAAGACATCAAAGGCAGGACAAGCTACGCGGTGCAACGAAGTGACGGCATGGCTACGCAATAGTCGATACTGAGGAATTACACCGCATCGGGCGACATAGTAAACATTGAAGGTAAGCATCACGATTGCCATGAATACTTCAGGAAAACATACCAAACACCATGGCTTGGCTCGCTTGCTCTCCACCTTTACAGATTAACGCCGATGGGGATGCAGTCGAGGGCAACAGCGCCGTCTAATGGTACCTTTAGATATACGAGAATGTGCTGGATGAACGCACACCTACTATAGTCGTTGTCGTTGCAGCAGACCGCGTTTGAGTCACTAAACATACACATCCGCAAGTGAGCCATCATTTTCATCCACGTATAACACGGACACTTACCAAGATATGCCTCCGACGAGCGCCGAACACCCAATGCCGATGTTGTTGAGGAGGTTGTCGACGTTAACGCCGAGGGCTCCCAGAAGGGACACCGTACCATTATTGAGGTTGTCCGGGCTCGAAACACTGTTGCAGCATACCGCCGAGCCGGTGTTGCAACTGCCGTCGTCACGCATGGCGAGGCTACCGATGGCGGCCGGGGCGGCCCTAACGAAGAGGGCAGCGAAGAGAGCGGAGATGAAGGTGAGGATGAACTGCATCTTGAACAGAGCGAGTGGTAGGGTGCTGATGGAGCGGGGAATGACGCGAGAGGAGCGAAACGAAAGTGAGTGCCGGTGGGCGGTAGGAGTCGATGCGTGCTAATGGGCGACGAGCGACTTGCTCTCATTCGTCTCGTTCTCGCGGTATTTATCTGCAACCCGCGTACCCTTCCCTATCAGTGTCGTGCCGCGGTCACTTCGAACCAAAAAGCCGTGCGGCCGCGCGACATCATTTCATATTGACACTATGCTTGCAGGCGGCTGGACTTGTGACTTGGTCCTATTGGTCGCAGTCCTAAGGCGATGGCGGCCGGGACAAGGTTGTCAGTGTGGTCCTCTTCGCTTCAGATCTCACAGCTGGCACGCTGTCCGACGCCCTGCAATCACAGTCAAGTCGACCAGGCTGCCGGATACTCGGAGAGGGAGTCGCTACCCGATTTCTTCGACCGTCGAGGCGTGCATGCCCGATTCCAAGTCTATGGCTGCACATCCTGCAATGTGCTTCGGTCTGGGATGGTGCCCATTTACCTTCCAGGCGGATCTATAGTCAAAGGTCAATTCTTCTGACGGGACTTCCCACTAAAGCTCGCGTATGTCCTAGGAATCTGGATCTCATCGCGGGAACCATAGATTTTGGTACGCCGCTGTCAAGCAGACTGGCGTCGCACTCGAATCGCGGCGACATGAGTCTAGACCGGATGTCAAGCACGATCAATAGCCACGCTATGTCACAGGTAGGCTACGAGGATACACAACGAAACAACAAAAATTGATGAGGGCATCATGCGAACGAAGACTTGGGGCATATAGAGCTTCGTTGATTGCCTCACAGTGACACAAGGTGAGCGGTCCTCGCGTACGCGGGAGGGCTCAAGACACAGTAACATTCCATAGGTAGATGTGAAGGCAACATTACGCTTGAGAAGACGCCGACGCCTACGCGACAACATCTCTCGGGCAACTATGTCACTACGAGACACCGAAAGTGACACTTACAAGGTTTGACCGATTGACCGATTATATGTGTCTTACCGCACGCGTCCTTTTCGCAACAAACCGTAATAGTCGAGCTGTCAACACAATATCACAATCATCAAAGGCTGATCTTACCCAAGAACTCTCGCCTGTTGTGGGGGCTGCGAACGGAGCGGACGTAGTACGTTCCAAGACGGGGCGCCAAACATCGACGAGCAGCCGACGCCGACGGCCGCGAGGAGAACCGACTCCTCGCCGACACGGTGTTGTGGTAGCAGTGCGTGCCCGCACCGTTGCACAAGCTAGGGGCGCTCTCACCGCGAGGAGTGAGGGCGCCGCGACCTCCGAGGAAGGTCAGGACGAGCCTGTGCTGCGTCGCGATGGCGTTGGTGGTGGCGGCGTTCGGGAGCAATCTGAATAGAGTGGCGGATGAACGAGCGAGAGGGACGAGTATCCGGCGCGGTACGGTCGACGTGCGTTCGACAGGCGACTTGGTTCTTCTCCGACAGCGGCGCGCTATTAATCAGAGCGGCGGGGGGATTTGATGCCCGCGGGTGCGGCGAGGTTGAACTTTCTCGACGCACTGCCATGCGCTCGCAGACTTCTGTTTATTCGCATCTATCCGCTATGGGTGGTTCGTCGACGATGCGGAGCAGAATTGCAGGCGACGTCGCAGCTAGAGGCAAGACTCCGTGTGGATGTTATGTCGTCGAGTGCCAACACTTAGCCGCGCAAAACCCAGCGCTCGTGCCAGCCTCTGAGCATGAAGCAGTGGCACGGAAGGCAGGCGCAACTTGAGCTTATTCGGGTCGCCTGCGCGGGACCGTGAGTCTTGGGTGAGCATCTTCCGTCACGGAATAACGTTCAACGAGACTGACGCTCCCGGCGATAGAGAACGTTGTTCGGCTTTTGCAGCTGTCGTCTCCGAGGGGCGCTGAACGTAGCCGCGAGGCAGCGGGGCATCGAAGTCAAGGCCAGGGTTCCTGGGGAACTTCAAGTTGGCCCATCGTCACATCGAACCGGTGTCCTAGTAGCAAGAGGGTTCTACTGACAGAATCAACGCATACAACATGGTTGTGCCAAACAGTACTGTTGCAGCCAGTCCATCTCGCATCTCACCGCACGTCTTCCAACTTTTCTCACTCAGTGGCACGACGCATGACGCACATCGACGCCCAGCCGTCGAGCATAGCTCGGACGGACCCGAACAATGGAATGTCAATCCGTTGATGGAACTGGAAGCCTCAGGCTGAGTTCTCGACGTATACGTCAACTTCCCCCGCCGCGACCGGAGCGCGCGCAGATATCGAGGCCTGGCGAACGCCATGACATGCTGCGCTGAATCACGCACACTATGTGCATGCTGACCACTGTAAGCACAATGTTCCTGCTGTGGCAAAAAATGCTCAGTGACGCGGTTGGAGGAAACGCTGGTATAACAGAGTATTCAAGTTGCATAGGGAGCTGCCCGAGGCCTCAGCTCAGCCCAGTGAGCGAACCCAAATTGATCAATAGCAACATCAGTATTGTAACGACCGGCCAACCTGTCCCTCGCCGTCGTTGAGTAGAATACTGGAAGAGGCCCAGACCTCGTAGTCTGGTCTGCGAATCAGGTGCTTACTTCCGCTCGCATGTGCTGCCGCCCTCCCATGCGCTATACCCACGACTTGGAAGCGGTACGAGACGCGGCATCTCGTAAAGGCAAGACACAGTCTATCGAATAGAAGTCAGTTCAGTGTCAATTAGAAGTCATTTCAGTGTCAATGATAACAGAGTCAAAGGCAGATCTAATGGGCTCGCGACGATGGATAGGCTCACGCCAAAGAGTAAAATTCCCATAGCGATACGTGACATAGACAAAGTACCGTGCTATGGTCGACTTGTATGGAAACTAGGTTAAACTCGAACTGCAATGTGTTTGATGCGCATTGGGATATAGACATAGATAGCGTACTATGTCGACGAACAGCGTAGAAAGGGGAGCATTACAAGCTGATAAAAACGAGACCGAAAGCGGATGCTAACGAATGGATATGCTGCACCACGTAAAACGTCCGGGTGAGCTACATAACAGCCAGCGGAAGAACGAGCTTTTCACGACGAATTTATAAACACTGAAAAGTGCACGTGAATATCGCGTGGTGCGACGCATTGTAACTTGATCACGTACAGCGACGGCGTTCAGAGTTGTGTCTGAAACGGACTAGGCTCCGTTTACAGCGAGATGTCGATCGGAACGCAGCCGATAGCGATCAGACCGTCTGTAGTTAAAATCATCAGCATACGTAGCGCATAGCGGCGGGCAATGGGTACGCACTGAACGTGTTGTTCTGGCAGCACACGGTCTTCGAGGAGCTGCACGACAAAGAAGCGTATCCGTTGAAACGTGTATTGCAGGCTGAGAAATCGCGATGCGTACCAGGTTGCTCCACCAACGAGAGACGCGCAGTTCAAGCCGATGTCGTTCGCGAGGTCCGACACATCAATGCCGAGCACCCCGAGGAGGCTCGTAGTGCCATCGCTGAGATTGCCCGAAGACTCAGTGGTCTTGCAGCACTGAACGGGGCCCGAGTTGCACGAGCCGGCGGACGAGGACTCAGTCGGCTCGGGGGCCCCGGCGTCCGTGGCGCTAGAGGCGGCAGAGCCGGAAGGGGAGACAGCGCTGGGCCAGGTGCCCGACGAGCTGCTGGTGGGCCAGCCCGCGGAGGAGCTGGACGAGGGACCCCACGGGCTAGAGGCGGTGGTCGACTCGGGCCAGCTGGCGGTGCTGGACGACTCGCAGGCGGGCAAATGAGCGGCCGGGGCGGCGAGGACCGCGACGGCGGCGAGGACGGCGGTGAAGACGGCGAGCTTGAACTGCATGGCGAGTATGCGGTTGGTTAAGGAGCGAATGGGAACGAACTTGAAAGCCTAAGGAGAGTAGGTAGAGAAGATAGCAAAGAGTGCCGGTGGGCGGAAGAGTCGATGCGTGCGGATGCGACGAGCGACTTGGGGCTGAGGAGAGCACGGGAGTCGGTATTTATGGGGACTTTGCGCGGACAGAAGCGTCGTGACACGGGCGCGCACCTCGTAAGACAATGGTCGGTTCGTGACGGGATTCTGCTGGGGCCACTGATCTGCCACGTCGATGTCGCTGTCACATCGCCAATACCCCGCTAGCATGCGAACCGTATCGCAGCTGAATTTGCCGATGCACATCGCTACGAGCTTGCGATCGGACGCTCGGGAGGGGAGCGGACAGGCAGCCTTCGCAAAGTGCGGTCGCGTCGGGCTGCCGGCTACTTGGGCGCAGGGGGCGGCGCAAGGAGCGAGACCCACGCCGGAAGATTCGACGCAAACTGCTTGATTGTACTCCATACTTGCACGGGGCTGCGGCATTCGATAGAGCGACGCAATGTCTGGGAGGCCGTCAAAAGGCCTGATACTGATCCCCGAAAGCATTCTGACCTGAAGCTTGGGGTGGCGTCTTCAACGGAGATGCATAGTATTCATGTGGCAAGTTGATGATTTGCAAGCTTACGTGACAGCGGCTGGCCTGTTCTCGTCACCCTTCAGTGCTAACAGATGGCCACAAGCGCCCTATCAACACTGCACCAGGGGAACTTCGTCCGCTCGAGCTGTTTGTGAAGTCGGTAGGAGGAAACCTGAGCCTCTGTGCAGCGTAGTACGCTGAACCACTGAGGACCAGACGCAGTGGCACACCCAACAGGCGTCTCCGATTTGATCGCTCCACCGATCAGTCTCACGTCGTATTTGGAAGGTGTAGTAATCAGACCACACGCCACGCAGTGTGCTCCCTCCTCGGTCCAACGCCTCGAAGCTGTCCCAGTGGTCCATGCGCTCCTCGCGATTCCTTGCCACCTCATAGCCGGGTTTGCACTGATGCCGCATAATGATGTCCCTGACGTCGTTGAGCTTGAAGGCTGCGTTCCCGGATGGTCCCGGATGGTCGACGGGTAGTGAGCTAGGACGGCCGCCTGTTGATATCGCTGGTCCGAATTGAGTCTCTGAAGATCTGTGGAAGGGTCGTCGTGCGACACACCATGCGCCTGGCTCACTCCGAATAGGCTTGTCGCCACGACCGCCATGCGGCTATCCAACTCGCAAAATTTCCCGGAGCCCACGGGCCACGTCGGACTTGGCGATACTACGTACTATGTACATATTGCCGACCGCAAGCGAGACTCGGGAAGGCCCTAGCTTGAACGTCCGAAAAAGTCTGGAATATTACCATGAGGGGCACAAGCTCGGACGCGCAAATGATAAGATGATTGCCGGATCCGTGGTGGCTTTGACCATTTACATAAGCTTGTCATTGAATGTGATCGCGTAGCGTGACAGAAAAGGACAATGCACATCCATCCATCCCACGCGAGACGCCTTCGTGACGGAGGAGCTTCCGTTGACAGCGTCGCCAGCGAGCGCAGCGCTGTCGTCGATGGTCTTAATTCGGTTCTTTGGACCCAGAGAAGCCTCGTCCTCACTCAATGGCACGACACTAGCGCATGACTGGCACGTCGACGCCTAGCCGTCGAGCATATTCGGACGCGGGGATTTCCCTCAACTCGGGGTAAGTATCCGCAAGAGATCTTGAGAAGGCAATATCAGTCTGACCTTCTGACGCTGTTGGTCGATTCCTTAGAACGGTGAATGGCGCTGCTGTTGGGCCCAGACACAGTCGATGACGATCCTGAGTCTGATTTTCAGAAGCCTAAGTCCCGTTGTAGATGGATACAGGTTGACCAAAAGCGCGCACATCGCCACGGACGCGAACACCTCCCGCGATGGCATGCTGGCAATGGCCTAGCTGTCCATGGTCCATGTGCGCTTCGACGGCCGACACAAGGTTGTAACCGGCGACCCGAGATGCAAACCGATTCGTCCGTCAGGATTTGCTTGCATGTGACGGTGTCCTAGCGTCCCTCGGCTTCCACGAGGAGTGAAGAGGCGCATGCCAAGGCTCATGCATGTGCGTGAGGAGACGTTAGCTGAGGTCGGCCTCTCGACTACGAGGCTCGGATGCGCTCCAGCGCATAGGCGGTCAACATGGTCTCCTCGACACCCATGGACTCTGTTGTCCTCTGTCCACAGCCATCGACCAAGACCACGTCTGCCGGACCGACTCCGTGCGTCGCGAACGTCCGGGTCCAACCAGCCAGGCAGCGTTGGTGACACGGACGCGCCTGAGGATGTGAAGAGCACAGTGAGAAGCTGCGAGGCGACGTCGAAGGCACACAACCAACGACGCGGCACCGGTCCATGGCCATAGCATACACGAAGCTAACAGCTCCAGCGGCATTGGACACGCATCGACCGTCGACGACGGGATACAAAAGGCCAGCCCAACCAGCTCCCGCAGCCCTCAAAACCAGCCTCCGCGACGCACCTTCACTCAACCCGGGGTCGCCCACCCAAGTTCGTGCCCTACCTCCCGCCACGCGATGTTCGCCAAGCTCCTGTTCCCTCTTCTCGCGCTCTCCGGTGCCGTCCTCGCCATCCCGCACGGTTCCAGCGGCGCGAGCTCGTGCGCGAGCGGTCCCGTGCAGTGCTACAACAGCGTCACGCCAGCGAACGACGTCGACGCGGCGACGACCACGCTCCTCGGTTTGCTCGGCCTCGTCCTTGACGGTGAGTTGTCTGCGAATCCGTTGCCTTGCAGTGAGAGGGAGAACACTGATTGTTGGTTACAGTGGAGTGTACCCGGTGTGCTGCGAGAACAACGAATTCAGTGAGCTGGGCGATTGACTTGGAGTCTCTTGCATGCGGATTGATCAACGTTGGCTGCTCGCCGGTCGTTATCAACCTCTAAGTGAGGCCTACTTCTCGCTGATACCCGCCTTTCTCGTGAGTATAGTGCTTCTGAACGCCGAGGGTTCAAGGCATGAGTCCGTATCGACGTGCCTTTGATATCGTTGTCCGTCGTTGTAACGAGTTTTACCATGAAGCTGTATCGAATGGTCCGTTGTATGTCACCTGCATAATGCCGTCAATCGAATGAATCACTTGTGATATGATTGCGTTAGGACTGGCCAACGACTGGTGCTGAGCGGAATGTGCTCGAAGGTGCCGGATCATGAGGCATCACGCACTGCGTGATGCTCATCGAAATGACACATTGTCACTGCATGACATCTGGACGTGTTGACCGGGACCCTGCGTGCACTGTGCAGGCCTTGCGGCTGTTAGGTCCCTGGCATGTGAAAAGGTATGGGAGTGGAATCACAGAGGAGCCGCCATGGAAACATACCCACGAACTTCCGAGTAACGTCCATAGTAGTATTCCTGTGCCCGGCACGTCAAAGGTAGGACCTGCAAAAGGCTGAATGACCACGGCTCCGCCGTGGCGCGCGTTTTTCATCATAGACCCCAAGACCCTTCGCTTGTGATACGCCGACCTGCCGATTTGATCGTTTCGCGACGGAAACGACTGTCATTGGTACCGAGGTGCTGAACAACAGTATGAGGAGGGCGCTCCGAACCGGAACGTGAGTGTCATTAGTTGCGGAGAAGAGTGCGATTGCAACGGTGCGGCAGGATGCATGCCCTATTGCCCAGGGTGAGTTACGGAATCCGAGTTTCTGAAGAAGAGGCGAAGTCAGCCTGGAACTCCTCGAGGACGTTGGAGCGCTCGCAGTGATACGTCAGATTCTCTGGGTATCCACATTGTTGTTGGTCGGACTGGAAGGAGAAGCTTGAGAATGTACGGCATCTCGGGGAACGCTGATTTTCTGCAATAAACACCGCACGTATGGCTGGTCCAAGTAGACCTCAAGTCGCTCAGGTCTGCACGTCCCGACTCTCGCCTTCGTGTTTTCCGTCCGGCTCACCGATCGCTATCCTACCGCTCCTTCAACTCCCGAAATAAGCATCACAATGCAGTTCGCACTCACCTTCCTTACGACTATCCTCGCGGCGCTCTTCGTCAAGGCGGCGCCCTCCCCAACGCACATCGGTATCGGCGCCGACGCGAACGCGCACGTCGGGATCGACGTCTCCGCGCGCGACAACAGCAGCTGCAACGCAGGTGCGACGTACTGCTGCAACAACAGCGTGAACGCGACGAACGCGGACTCGTCTACGACGAACATCCTTGCGACGATAGGCATCGACCTCAGCAACGCTCTGAACAACGTCGGTCTTGGATGCAAGTCGACCATTGGGGGTGCCGCTTGGTATGTGTGTTTGTGTGCGGGGTTGGGTGGAGGCTGACTCTATGCTTGGTTGATGATGTAGCTCGAGCCAGACGCTGTGCTGCACGAATGATACTTTCGGTGAGTGCATAGTGATTGGCTCGGTCACAGAGTTGAGAGTTGGTGGCTGATGATCGTGTGTCTGACTGCAGAGGGCCTCATTGCGCTCGACTGCGTGGATGTCGGCAGCGTCAGCGTCTAAGAAGACCCACACGGCAATAACAGCATAACTTACCAGAAGAAGTTCTGCCAGTGCGCGTGCGGTACGTGCTCTTCATCACAAGCGTGAGCATATTCTGACGAATGACCAATGTACAGGACTTACTTCCTTACTTCCCTTCGTTCGCGCGTCGCATATATTGTTAGAACATCGTCCGTGTCACCCTTCATGATACATGTTACATGTGATCCTATGTTCCGTCGTACCTTCACCATGCTAGTAATCCACTGTGACCGATCTACATATCAGTATTCATGTTGGCTTGTCTGTGATCTCCCGTGGGGCTACTGGACGCTGAGCGACGCCCGCCAGGCGGCCACAGTAGTGATGTGCCATATCGTATCTTCGGATCACCGATGGGTCAGATCTCACAAGCGGCATATCAAGACACCCACCTGGATGAGTCACGCATTCTTCACGTCCTGAGGTCAGAGTGAGGCGAGCCCTGCGCATCACTAGAGCTCTGCAGTGGCCATTGAGCTGTTAGTCTGGACGGTGGCGAGCGAGTGGCGGCGGGAGACACGTCGGTTATGCTATCGGCGGCGTACTATGTACCAGTCGGTTCTACGATGGAATCCAGAACGTACCAACGATCTGACATAGAAAGTTCAGTCCGAGTCAGGAGCACCGGGCGGTTGCAAAGTGTGGCAAAGGCTAGTAAAGCTCACCGGAGAAGCTGGGACTCGGCCCCAAGCGATTCATCGTGCAGGACGTACGCGTCATGGTACTGGTCATGCATAGACTCGAGAGTTGTGCAGCGAGTAAGGACTCCCTCGTGAAGCACTGGTCTAGAGAACTTCACGAGTGCGATTGAAGCGCATCAAGCTGCATATCGCCAAGCAGCAATCTCTGTAGCAAAGAGGGCGAGCCACTTTGGCGACATCGGCCGCCCCTTCGGATTGTGTTCGACAAGGTCCGTGAGAAGTCCTGCCCTCTCCAAGCCTTATTGCTAGTGTTGTATGACGTCGTCCAACCATACGGCTCTCCGTTCGATTAGAATGCGGCGCGACAGTGAAAGAGAAAGGGCGGGGGCTATGGGATGAATACGAACACGGTGGAGCAAATGAGAGCAAGTCGCTCGTGGCTCATTAGCACGCATCGACTCGTACCACCGACCGACACTCACGTTCGTTTCGCTCCTCTCGCGGTGTTTCCCGCTCCATCAGCACCATACCGCCCGCTCTGTTCAATCCCGCTCTCTTCGCTGCTCTCTTCGTTAGCGCCGCCCCCGTCGGTATGCTGCAACAGTGATTCGAACTCGACAAACCTCAATGGGGCCTGGGCCTCTAGGGCGTCCCTGTTGCGCGGGTCACGGTGTTCGGTATGTTTTCCTGAAGTATTCATGGCAACCGTGATGCTTACCTACAATGTGTATGTCGCCTGATCCGACGTACACTCGGTCTTGACTCTCGATGATTGCGTGGTTTTCGTTGCCACAGCTTGACGCTGTCTGCCGATGCATTTCACTTCTGCGTGGCCATGTCGTCAATTTGTTGCACCGCGTAACCTGTGACTCCTGCCCTTGATCTCTCTCGAATGTGAGCCTGTTGTATGTCGAAGTGACCAGTTTATAACTCCCCATTACTGAGCCGGCCTGCCTGGCCGTCACTCGATTGTCCAGCTAGGGTTGGAAAGAAGACTTATGCGGTTGACAAGTGTGCACATCGAAGCTTCGTACTGACGGGCTGAGTGCTGTCGGCCCACAGACATCATCAGGCGCCCACTGGCACATCCGCTAAGAAGCGCCCAAGCAGACGCGTCGCGTCTCGCTCACGTGACTGACGCGTCTTGTTGAACGCGCCAAACAAATCAGAGTTCTGTCAAACACACGCCCCCAGCCTCATAACTCACCGCCCGCATCCCTTTGCCTTCACTCATTCTTGATCTCCAACCACCTCCGCTGCCTCTGTGCCTCTCTGTCATACTCAAGTTCTTGTTTAATATCTTGCATACGACATGCTGGTATTCGCCCTTGTTCTCCAGGGCGCCGCCGCTCTCATCGGCGCACTCACCCTCATCGCCTCCGTCCCGTTCCCCGGTCCCGGCGGTCTCGCCATCCTGCGCGACTGTCTGCACACGCTTGAATCTTCTGCGCGTGGTAGCAAGCTGATGCTCGAATACTCGCGGAATGTGGATCGCTACGAACGGATGTTCAAGCGTTCGTTGTACACGTTCTTCCTCGCTCATGGGTGTGTAGCATGACTCCTGATCATCGCCTTTGATACTGATCTTCATGCGTAGCCTGCCTCCGGCTCGTCATCGTTACGGCCTTGAGCCTCCCGTGGACTCTGACTTCGTTCGACTCGTCAAGTCTGGCTGTGGATACCCTGGTGGTCTCTGCCCGTCGTTCGGCTTCGACCTCAACCCAACGCGGACGTCTCAGCTCGATGGCTTTGTCCGCCCTACAATGGCTCTCGCTCGTCCTCCGGTCGACTTCCTGTTCTCGGACGACTCGGCGCTCCCCCCGACATACAACTATGTCTGGCCAACGTCGACTGCCGTGCCCGTCATGGTCCCTACTGAAGTCAGCGACTCTACGCAACCTGCTGCGTCTGCTGTGTCTCTTGGCGACCTATCTATGGTCCCCTCGCCCATCCTCTCGGATGAAGTTTCGAACACGACGGCTCCCTCGGTCGACATGGTCGACCTTGTACCTCTCATGGCTGTTGGACTCTTCCTCCTCGTCTTGGCAATCGGCCCGTGTCTGGTGCCTTCTCGTCGTCACTCCGTCAAGTATGTCCTCAACTGGCAGCTCGCTCCGCGCAAGTCCTCTTCGGACGATATCGAGTTCTGGCGCAAGTACGACGATCTCGAAGCTGGTCGGGTGTCTCCTGGCTATGTCGCCCCTCTCGGCGACGCACCTCGCCCTTTCTTCTCTTCAAGTCTTACAAGCACATTGCTGCTCGCTGCGGCTCCCACGACGGTTCGTCACATCGCGGAGCGACCTATTCAAGCTGAAGATCTCGAGATGAATGATCTCTCTGCTTCTGGTCGCGGTTCGGTCCCTGGTGAACCTCTTGGTGGCCCTCCTGGCTGAATGTTGCGCCTTGTTGGACATGCATCGCTAGACTTCGAGGTGTGTATGGCTTCATCGTCGAGTGTTCCACGTCATTGACGGTGCTCGACAGAGATGTCAGCGTGTTGGACGCTCGTCGTCGCAACCTATCCTTATCCATATCTATGTGTCCTGGGACTGTCTTTCTCTCTGTGTATCCGTGTTCCTTCGTCATGTCTCATCACGACTCTCATACTGTAGACTTCTCTTCGCGCCTCGTTGGGTGTCGTGTAGAGGAACTTCATTGCAACACCGGACGCGGTGTTGTAATGAGGTTTCTCTCTGAGACCCAGAGATATATACGTTCACTACTCCCAATCCTTGTGTCACTTACCTATTGCATATCATATGTAACTCTCAAATGTCCCGACACGATTCTGTAGAGCCCGTAACCTATGTCGCCTCAATGCACCCTATCTGCGCTAGCAAATCACATCATTACATATGCTTTACGTACGCGACAGCCTTTGTGCTGCTTCTTGCGTTGGCCGTACATAACGAGTGGTGTGAGACTCTGAGTCTAAGTAATAGTAATTGGTACTACCACAACGCCGTCGCCTCGCCGTTGTCAGGTGGCAACCGGTGAGCTCATTTACGTAATCATGTGCGTACGAGGACCGACCAACATATCTCAGCTTGTCACCCCGCTACGAGTCGCCTTCTCGCGCCGTGCCTGCGTTTGCTTGCCAGTGTTTTCCTGCTAGCTTCCTAGCTTGACCGGTATCGTTATATACTACGTGGTCACGGTGCAGTCAGTTCCAGAACCTTGTAAGTCAACTTACGCACGTCGCACTAGCGCACGCCGCCGGCTGCTATACGATCGCGCTCACTGGGCCTCCTCCCAAGAAGGTCGTGTTTTACAAGTGGTCAAACGAGCGAGTACTGCGAAGCACGAGAAGACCTCTCCATTCTCTCCACAGGTTCTACTCTGTCTTATCGATATCATCCTGTGAACCCAGCTCATCATCAGCCTCCGTTGGCAGTTGACTCCTCGCGTATCAGCCCCTCACAACTGTGACGGATGTCAAGTTCATACAACGGAATTATGTCCACGACGCCCACGGCTCGCGCGCTGTCCTGCAGCGACATCCTTCAGGAAATCTTCTTCCGACTACAGGAGCGCGATGAAGAGGGCAGGAGGCCGCTTGCATCGCTCGCTCGTGCGGCTGTCGTGTGTAGAGCAATGTCGTTCCACGCCTTAGACGCGCTTTGGGTGGACATCGACTCGCTCAAGCCTGTCCTGCAACTACTCCACATTCCCAACCAGCCGCCAGCATGTCAATGTTCTGATCTCACAGTTCCTCAGGTATGCTCCTCGCATACACCAGGTTATTAGCGTCCGACCTGATCCACCGTAGTCCACAGAGTGTATGGAACGCAAAAACGCTGTAGATGCCCTCTCGCGGTCGAAATTTCCACAGTATGCGAGGCGTGTTCGGGAATTGCTTAGTATACAATGCGGCGAGATGGACCAGAGCGTATGCTCTGCACTCATGCACGCTCTGAGCAGCTTTCAGCCCATTGATGCCGTTATACTTCCCAATCTGCGGCACCTCAGATTGGGGAATTATTGTCAAGCCGTACCAGACTCAGGCCTCAAGCTCGTCCTCGCCCCTTCGATTCGTCATTTAGAGCTGCTGAACGACACAGGCCTCCTCAATGATAGTATGGTCATTGCACTGGGAAAATCGCCCATCCTCCAATCGCTTCACGTCACTGGGCGCCCCTTCGATACGTTGTCGTTTCCGCACGTGAGCCGCTGGTCGAATCTTCGAGTTTTCGCATCACGTCAGTCATACCTTGACTTGGAGACCTTGGACGCCCTGTCCGAGATGGAGAGTCTGCACGAGCTCCATCTCATCGTGCACCATACTCAACCGTGCCGTACTAAAGGTGACGGCTTTCCAAATCTGCGCAGTCTGTCCATTGAGGGGCATCCTGCTGGAATCGCTGAGACTTTCGCGTCGTTCCAGCACTCGTCCCACCTGCACACCCTCCATCTCACTACCGTCAACTGGCATTCGGAAGAAGCATACCAGAGTCTCGTCAAGGTGCTCTCCGAGATCCAGCACATAGAGCATTTCTCCTTGACAGGCGAGGGCAAAGGCGCCCCACGCAGCCTCTTCGGGCTCCCGTGTCTCTGGCGCGGCCTCAGGACGTGCAGACTATCGATTGATGACCCATGGCACAGCTCCGAACCATCATTTCCCCTGGAGTTGCTGCTCGAAATCGCGCGGCAGTGTCCGCGCATCGAAGTGCTCTCTCTGCCTCCGATAGATTTCGACCCAATCTTGCCTCCCGATGAACCCCCGGAGACAGTGGTACTCTCGCAGTCTCTACGCGAACTGAACATCAGGAACATGGACGAGGGCGAAATTTGGGAATGGGAGGAAGCTCTGCCGATGTTCATCGAGAGATCTTTCCCAGCATTGGACCTTCAGCGGATGGCGCGGAGTGCGGACAACCGTGTGCAAAAATCATCGTATCCATACAATGCGAGATGGTTGAGGTGGGCGACAGTTGTCGAGAGAGTGCGGGCTTTGCGGGACACGCAGACGGCGCAGAGGTGACATATCCTTGCACTGGCACAATTCGCACTCGCCTTCTCCATCGTCGCTTTTTGCATCCATCCATCCAGATCACTGGTATCCTAGCTCGGCTTTGACAACTCATAGCAACATTACGGAATCATACTGTACGATCATTACAAGTTCGACACAGACACAGACCTCACCCGGTGGGCTCTAAGCTCGTTCTTACTACCAAGATCATGATATGGTGTTGGACTACGCGTACGGGTTGATCTAGCCTCTAGCTCTAGAATTCGCGTCACGCCTTGTCATTTCTTTCCCTCTCATCGCACAAACTCGATAAAGGTTCGCTTGATTGCCGGGGAGGAACCATTGAGATCTCGAGAGCATGAGTAGACGTAAGTAGATATCGTATCGAGAAAGAAGACTTCAACATAGGTAGAGTAACGCATGATACAGTGCACACTGGTACATCGCCTGTTCGTGATCATGTCATGTCATACTGGTCCTTCACAAGAACTGTCGCTTATGGACGGATGTGAGTCGCTGCATCTCAGTGCGCAGGTCCTCGACCCTCGGGTCCCTGTGGCTGCGATTGCGGCGACCGACGTTGTCTAGCCACCTGACCTTATTCAAGAAGTAATCTAGGTACATGCATAAGCCGCAACACGATCGGAGACAGGATGACATCACTCACACGCAAGGCCGATTATAACTACAACTCCGAAGGAATAGCACCAGATCTTCGCAACAGCGACGATATCAAACCTAGTAGACAGTCCATCAGTTTGCGTAGCCCACGGACCCGAACGGTAGAAGACACTCACCCTCCTTGGATAGCCGGATCGACGGACAACCAACCGAAGATAACGAAGATGCTGGCAAGGACGTCTACACCGAGGATGGCGCCGATGAGCTGCCAGGATGGCCAGACGAACGGGCCTGAGTTGGGACTCCGAGCCATACGGGTAATCAGGATGATCCAAGACTCGGTGAGAACAACCTCCAGAAACAGAATTTCCTGGACACTAGATGAGATGCGGAGTGAGATATTATGATGGAAGAAAGGATGCTCAGAAAGCGCACCTCCCGGCTTCCTGGATAGTACTGACGTTGAGGGGGAGAGTGCTGCGGATGACCCAGGTACCGGCGGCGAGGAGCAGACCCATGACAGTCGAGAGGATCCACACCTTGGGAAGTTGCCAATCGACCGGTCTTCGATCATACGGAGCGTTGTCGTACGCGATGGCGACGGCGGCGACGCTGCGCGGATTGTGAAGTGAGCATACACATGGGATACAAAGGTATACGTACTCGGCGAGGATGGCGATGAAGACAATGAGGTCCACGCGGATGGTCTCATTCAAAATGAGCATGGACGTGCACTGTTCGTCGTTTGTGAGTCAGCAGCTACGCATATTGACGTAGAGGTCGAGTCACGCACTAGATAGGCCTCAAGATGGATACAAAGCGCAATGCGGTAGATGATGTAGGCCTTCATGCGGTGCAAGATCTGGCGCGCGACCTTGATAGCCGTGATCATAGTGCTCAGACCTTCCTCGAGGACAACAACGTCCGCAGCCATCCGCGTAGCGTCCGAAGCATCCTTGACAGCAATGCCACAGTCCGCCTTCTTGAGCGAGGGTGCATCGTTGACCCTGCTACCAGTTATGGCCATCAAGTGACTACGCTCCTGCAGCATCTCAACGACCTGATACTTGTGATCCGGGAAAACCTCCGCGAACCCGTCCGCACCCTCGATGAAGTCGCGTACTTCCGAGCCCGGCATGGCGCTAGTGATGAGACGCTCCGAGTCGTAGACATGCGTACCGAGGCCGAGCTGCTGGCACGTCTGGATGGCGGTGGCAACGGCGTCACTGGTCAGCATCTTGACGCTGACACCGAAGTTCATGGCTTCGCGAATCGTCTGTCAGAAGGTCAGATCTGTCGAAGACTTTGGGTCATGAGCAAGAACTTCGTACAGCAGCCGTATCGTCACGGGGCGGGTCGACCATGCAAAGCATACCGAGCAGCTTCCAGGGCTCGCCCTCCTCCTTGCACGCGACACCGAGCGGACTGAAACCACATTGAGCGAACTCATCCGCCTTGGCAAGGTACGCAGCCACGGTGTCCTGGTCGAAGCTATCCAAACGCAGGATGCTATCCAAGCACAAGTGTCAGTCAAGTTCAGCAGATGGCAAAGGACCACGTACGCGTCAGGGGAACCCTTCGCGCAGGTAAAATTACGCCCGTCCTTATCGACCTCCGCCATGACACACTTCAAGACAGGGTCGGAGGGCGTGAACTTGCGAGTGTGCCAGCCAGTCCGGAGAACGGCCTGCGCTCCCGGATAGTCCTTCAGTCCGACGATAGTGACCTTGTCGACAGGGTCAAGTGACCTGGTGTTGTGAGACGAAGCGAGGATCGCAACAGCCATGAGCCAGTCGGGGTGAACACCGGGCGCGACGAATGGCTTGTCGAGAGAAAGCCTGTTGGCCGTGAGAGTACCAGTCTTGTCCGAGCACAAAATATCGACGCCTGTACCAAGGGCGTGTCAGATACAGTGTACAAAGCGAATGCGGCTACTTGCCAGCAAGAGACTCGATAGCGGTGAGCTTCTGCGCGATAACCTTGCGCTTTGCCAGGTAGGCAGCACCGACAGCCATCGTCTTGATAATGATATAGGGCAATCCGACGGGCACACCAGCGATCTGGTACATTGTCAGGAGTATGACAGCGCACACACGCGGAGCCACTGACCAGAAAGATCAGTGCATACACAAGCAAGCTGCTGTCTTGGATTGCGATGTCGACGTTCCGAGAGAAAGCGCCGATCCAGACGATGAGGATGACTGCGATGACGAGGCCGTGGAGCGCGGTACCGATACTATTCAAGACAACCTGGTAGTGGCCGACATCGTTACCAGCTAGTGTTGCATCAGATGTGAGTGAATACCGACGTTACTGGATACCCCGAGAGCGAATGACGTACAAGGAACAACTTGAAGTCGCGCAGTCTTGCCGACGAAGCTGTACGGCGCGCTAGCGGTGACCATGGCATATACCTTTCCGCGCTGGACACCGCAAGTGTAGTAAACGGTGTCACCGACGGAATGGTCCACTGCCAGAGATTCTCCCGTGATTGCAGACCGGTCGACTGTACAGACAGTGGGACCCTTGTCGATGCCACACGCTGTGCTGAAGTTCGATGTGCCACGACCGCACTCCGACAGATCCATACTGACAGGGGAACCACACTTGTCTGCGTAGTCCGCGATGATCTGCGCCGTAGGTATCACTATCGATCTCGCTGCTACTTTGACTGCCTGTGCATACCTTTGCATCCGCAGGTATGGTACTTCCTCCCTCTAAGACGAGCTGTAGACAAGGTTAGAGTCTGTCACAGTGACGTTTGTAGTCAACGCACAATATCGCCGGGTACGAGATAGCGAGCCTCGAGTTCCTGCTCGTAACCATCACGGACAACTGTCGCTCTCATAGCAATACGAGACTTGAGTTGAGCCACAACGTTGTTTGCTCGCCTGCGGAAGTGTCAGAAACATACAAGAAGTCTGGAGGAGCGCGTACTTCTCCTGATACCAAGTGATCATAGCTTTCAAGAACGGGAGACCAATCTACCAACGCGTCAGTCAACATGCTAGGTGCTGCGGGGAAAGAGGTATATACAATAACACCAAACTCGATCCAGTTACGCTGACCAGCCCCAAGACAAACGGCCAGTTCCATGACATAAAGAACAGGACCGCGGAACCGCGAGATGAACTTCAAGACTTGTTTCTTGTCAGGGCTCAAGAAAAAGGAGAGGAACAGCCATCAGTACTTGCGACCGCACGGATGTGCAGAAGAGCTGTTCACCTCTCCAACTCGTTGTAGCCAGCAACGGCTCTGCGCCTCTCGATCTCGGGTCCAGACGACAAGCCGGTATAGATCTCAGTGCGCAGCCAGTCTGCAGGCACCTGAAGATCCATGTTGTTCTTGCCTTTCAGCTTCACCCAAGGTGCGAACCAAGGACGGTAGTACCCGCTCTTATCTTTCCCCAGGTCGTCGTCACCGTGGTTGAGTTTGGCAGCCTCCGCATGCGCAAAGCGCAGGAGGTCATCGTACTCGTCACCTCCAGACACTACATATGCACAGCGAATTAGTACATCCAGCCAAAAGGGAATATCACACGAACGTACTTGGCTTCGCCTGCGGGGCCGTATCGTCAGGAGAGTCAACAGGCCGTTCGCTCCTCCTTATAAGACTCCGGCTGTGACAGTTGCGATCGATGAATGGTGCTCCCGAACGTCCAACACTGATGTCCTTCCGTGAATGAGTGCCCTATGTATCAAGGATCACTTAAAGACCGAGATTGCGCGCCCTCATGCGGAGCCCTCGTATCCAAAGAAGTATCGATCCACGCCACACGGGTAGTTTTTATCGCAAAAGACATGAGCGCGGTATTTCCCGCGACGAGGTTTGCCCATGCTCTTCTAGATGTTATTCGGGTGCTTCGCAGTTGGTCTGGTCCGCGGCTACTCCGCGGTGCCCTTATGATCGATTGTCGATTCGGAGCCTATGCGAAGAGCGAAGACGATCAGCCCCGGCACGTCACGGTCTTCACAACGACACGATACACATCATTCTTTGTACGACTCGGTAAGCGGCGTGCAAAATCACTGGATGGACAACAATCGCGTCAAGGAACGGGACGTCAACAGAGCAATGCAAGGGACCGCACACTGGTTACATACCTTCCTGGTGAACATCTTGCACCCGTCCTTCACGGGAGGTGCGCCCGCTGTCGTACCGCCGACGGCATTTGATGATAACCGAACGTCCATAACCGGTTCCCTGCGTTCATCGAGTATCCTGTCAGGAACATCTTGAGATCGAGGTTGCGGCCTATTTTCACGGCAAAATCCCTGATATCCCGAGAGTATCAGCTAGCAAGGATGGCCAAGTTTCATGAGAACTCCCATGTACATACGTATAGAAAATCACGAAAGCGAATGCGCAACGGTTACCGGCTCGCCGTTGCCCGTGACGCTTGGAGGCACTGGAGTACCCGTATTGACACGGTGGCGTGACCGAGGAGATGCGCGAACTGATGCGCGCCCCAGCATGCGTCGGACTCAACCAGCATTTGTCGAGCTCTGAATGGGATGCCCGTATCCATGCCGGAGTGCACTGCACTCGTACCCTTGCAAGACCCGACCAGTGGACGACGGTCGTCTCAGAAGACCTGTCGTTTGCTATGTTCTGCAGGGCGCTCCTTGGGCCGAGAATCGGCTCTCAGGGCAATTGGGAATGGATCGTCGTAATTTCTTGAATTCTGGATTGAAGCGTCTGAGGGGGATGACAGACAATCCCCGCTGGAAGAAGGCCAGTACGATGCGAGATGTGAGGTTCGCGGCATAGTTGCTCATGCATGGGCAAGACTCACCACTAGTGAGCCTGTCTTACCGGGCTCAACCGCAAAGGCATTGCTTGTTTCGACTTCGGGTGCGTGGAATTGCTATTGCCTTGCGTGTTCACTCGCGCGCTTGCTTCATCGTCGGCGTCGGCATACTTTGGCACATTCCATTTTGCTCGGCTCAGTGACCTTCTATTCCGAAAACCTCGCCTCGCAGAGTCCTATATGAACTCATGCGTCTCGTACCTCCAACCTCAGGGACGTCCGGGTACCTTCTCTCGTGAGTGTTACTTGCGCGATTCATCTGCGTATTCCCCCAAAAAATTACTAACGGTTGGTCCGCAGAGGCGACGCGCCGAGCATCCAGTAGAGTCTTCCATCAAGCGTGATGTTTTCTGCTGAGGCCCTCGCGTGTACCAGCCGCATGCTCTTCGTTGCGGTTGCGCCTTTCTCGCCTATCCCGGGCACTGTGTTGGATACGGTGACGTGTCCGACACAGGTCTCTGTTATTATTGGTCAGCCAGTTATCGACTTCACGAGCGCGGAGGCCGGGTTCGAGCTGTTTTCCCTACGCTCCCCATCTTTCGAACAGAGTACGCACCTAATTCTTGAAGTCCATGGCGAGCCGGACTGACGATTGTGTTTCACGCATGGTAGACCGCGACGCCGTCGTTCCGATGACCTCTCTGTCAAGCGACAATCTCCCTCGTGAGAGTCGTCGCCCGTCTGGCATATACTCGACCGGCAGGACCTCCACGTTCACCAGCGCTGTGTCGCTCGCAAAGCGGTCGGCTGTCTCTCGAACCCGCCGGGTCCTCGACAGCGCGCGGCTGCGTCGATATAGCCCATATACCCGCATCTGAATGGTCCAGGTCAAAAACCGGTCGCTCTCATGCGATGCTTGCTTTCTCGGGTGACTTCTGAACTCTACGGGGTTGATCAGCGACGAAGGTCAAGAGCACGGCCTGCTGGGAGGAGACCTACCAGATATCTTACCTTCGCCTTTCTACGTGTTTTGATTACGAGCAAACTGAGTAGAACCCCCCTCGTTAATGATCTCTCTTGGCGGAGACAGAGTCATCGCCCTAGCATACCAGCCCTGGTACATTACCTACTCGAGTCTTGGTTGACGTCCTTACGCATGTCCATAATCACGATGAATGTCAAATACACTCTTAGCGTTCGTACCTCCGCCATTGTGCCAAGTTGAGCTTCGACTCGTAGGGTTGCTCGCTGAATGTTGAATGGTGGACTGGTGATGCTCAAGTTTCGCTAAGCGCTCTAAGCCACAGACGTGTCAGTGAACACGTGATCATGATTTGATCATGACTCATCACATTTGACCACTGTGAGTCTGTGCCTATCCAGACAACCTGCCGCCGCCGCATCCTCAGGCTCTCGCACTGTCGCAATCCTCCCGCAGTGGATTTGACGGCTACTTCATACCTTGAAGATTCATCTGGAATGCCCCTAATTCAGTCTGCGACTGTTAAGAGCGCGGTACCGCGTCGTCTGACGTTCAAGTTCGTCGGGACTAGTACGAGCCACTTGCGCCGACTCGGACAAATTCCTGAAGTCCTCAGGGTCAAGGCGCGGGGATAACTAGTGATAGCTCGATGCTTAGCCACGGAGAGAACCGCACCTGCCCGAACGGTACCCAGACCTGCGCGGAGCAGGTCGTGACGTCGAAACGTTGACATATTCCACCTGCCCAAACTGAACTGAGACCTGCCGTTCGCTCGCGCTTGCGCACCTTTCGCCACTCGTATGTAGGCAAACCTGGCTCGATTATCAGCTTACTTGTGTGCTGTTTCACAGGGCCATGTCCTTGACTGGTCAATCGTTAGCTGTACTAGAGCTAGCAGTTGTCTGTCTAACGTAATAGCCACTGGCGGCACCACCAATGACCATACTGGACAAGTGTGATTGCTCCCCACACGCTCCCCCTCCCATTAATCTTCCCCAACGTCCACGAGCGCACGCTGCTGCTCCGGGCAAGTCTGGGTACCATTCGGGCAGGTGCGCTTCTCACCGTGTCTGAGTTTCCGCATCTCCACTCAAACCTTGAGGTTATTCTCCCGTGAGATAACTACCGACACTGCGCATCGAGGGTTCGACCCAACCGAACCTCCCGTCTACACAAAGTCTCCCGCATCCCCAGCACGAACATATTCAATATGCGCACTTACCTTGTCGTTGGCGCGAGCAGAGGCATCGGCCTTGCCCTCGTCGTCGAACTGGTGCGTCTCTCCATAATCTCTGCCATCCACACACTTGGCACTGACAACACCCCCACACAGCTAAAGGACCCGACTATCCTCGTACTCGCCACTGCACGCGCCCCCAACAGAGCACCGGGCCTGCAAGCCCTGTCGTCCTCGCGTCTCTCCATTCTCGAACTCGACGTCACCGACGCCACAAGCGTCGAGCGCGCCGCGTCTGCCGCAGCGGCGCTCCTCCCTGCGGGCAGCGGGCTGGACTGTCTGATCTACAACGCGGCGGTGTTGCTACAAGAGGTCACACCGTTCGAACAAGTGTGAGTGCCCTCAAGTCGCCTTCCCACCGCACCCACTTGAGTGACGACTGCCTCGCGCACAGGGACCTCGCCGTCTTCCAACAAGAGCTCCTCACCAACACCGTCGCGCCCCTCCACGTCGTGCGCGCCTTCCTGCCCCTCCTCCGCCTCCCGCATCCGCCCTCCTCTACCTCCTCCAGCCTCTCCTCGGACATCTCGCATCGCCAGTCAACAAAGATCGTCTTCGTTTCGTCCGACCTCGGCTCGCTCGAGGTGGCTCCCACGAAGGCAGGCCTATGCGAGACGTACTCCGTGTGCAAGGCCGGGCTGGGCATGTGCGTAGACGGGCCCCATCGTATCAGCTTTCGTGTCCGCTGCGCTCACGCCCACATGATCGAATATCTATAGGCTGGCGCGCAAGTGGGGCACGACGCTCAAAGAAGAGGGCATCTGCACCCTGATTCTGCACCCAGGTACAGTTCTCCACGTCTTCCAGCATTCTCAGCGGCAGAACGCTGACTCCGGCGTCGGTGGCTTTACCGTGCTCACGACAGGCTGGGTCGACACTGACATGGGCAACAGCATCAACATATGGATGTCCGAACACAGGCCCGGGCTCTCCAAGATCAGCGCCACCGAAAGCGCCGCGCGGTGTTTGAGAGTGATCGAGGACGCGAGGATCGAGGATGCTGTAGCGTTCTATGCGTACGACGGCTCGCGGGTGCCTTGGTGACCGCTGCTGCGATAGCACGCATGCTAACTCTCGCCGACGCAATTTAATGATTTGCAATATATGTATCAGGTATCGGGCCACAGCGAGGCGAGTGCGCTGTAGGTAACGCAGCATCTTCGTGCAGGATAAGTCACTACCCCAGCGGCATCAACTTCAACGAACGAATGAAAGGTATGACGACAATCTCCCACAAATGCAAGTATCAACACGAATCACAGGCAAAAGAGTCAACAGGTGAGGTCTCGGGCGCACTGAGCATTCCGGGTCAGTGGATATGAGGGGGGGAACAATGTTGGGTGCAGATGGGTGGACTCTGGGTGCACAACGCACCGCTTACAGGATCGTAAGCAGCTGTGTCACAAGCTGTATGATCTGTCCGACGAGCTGGTTTACGTCATCAACGACAGGGGGAGGTGGGCCCGAGCTGGCCACCGAGTCGACGTTCGCGTGCACGCCAACACCAGCATGCACATCGACGCTAGCACCGTCGCCACTGCTGCCAGACGACCCAGTCGACGAGCCCGCGCTAGATCCCGCTCCAGTCAAGTCGTCAACGAGGTTGGTAACGTCCCCAAGAATACCAGGGAGGGTGCCGTTGGGGCCCGCGATGTCGTTTACAACCTCGCCGACGAGGCCTAGGAGATTCGAGAGCAGGCCCGCGATGTCCGCGCTAACACCCGCGCCGACGTTAACAGAGACGGCGCCGGAGCTGCTCGTCGGCTCGGGTTCGCTGGGGCCCGTGGGGCAGGTATCGGTGCTGGTGGGAGCGGGCGCGGTGGTGGAAGTCGGACCGGGCTCGCTACAGTCGCAGTCCTCGACGGGCTCGACGGAGCTGGCACGCTTCTTCACGAGGTCTCCGTCGGAGTGGTCGTGGCGAACCGCTACCGTAGGGACTACAGAGACATAAGGTCAGTCTAATGCTCATCATTGTGGAATAGACGTGGAGGTACTCACGGACTTCTGCACTAGAGAGTGCCGGCGAGGGACTCCCGGGCGCGGCAGCACTGGTGGGGACCGTCGGAGCGGAGGGGAAACTCGGGAAGCCAGAGGGCCCTGAGAAGAGGTTTCCCAACGCAGCGCCACCACTAGGGACTACGGACCCGATGGGAAGACTCGGGAGGACGGAGCCTGAGGGCTGCGCTGCGGCGCTGAAGCCGACAACGGGCGCGCCGAGGACGGTGAGGGCGTAGGCGAGGAAGGACAGGTAAGCGACACGCATGGTGGCTGATAGACCGGAGCTACGAAAAGTACGGTAAGCCATACGTATGCAGATGCAGCCTGCACACCATGAAGTAGGGGACGTACCGAAAGAGCGACTTGTAAAGAGCGACGGGGTAAGGCAAGCGGGACGTTCACCTGAGGAATCCGACCATCCTCCCTGGTGACTTCTTATACTCCCTCAGACCGTGGTCCATTTTCTTCACTCCGAATGATGCGCACGTTGTGGTGTTCCGATTGCGAGGGGAGCGTGAAGACAGCCGAACGAGGACGGTGGCAGAGTGACACTGACAGTCCATGCAACCCGTCGATCGTTACCCGAGATGCATGCAGATGCGTATTGCGATGTGCTCGATGAATGTCAAATACACTCTCATCGGCTGCACCTCCCGCGTTTGATCTTCGACTAAGAGGAATAGCATTGCTCGTTGCGCGTCGAATGGTGAACCGCCCGAGCTGACGTTGATACTCAAGTTTCGTCAAGCGCCCTCAGCCACAGACGCGTCAATGATGAACACAAGGTCATGACCATTCGCACAGCAAACCTCTCTAAGTACACCGAGTCATGAGACAAGGTGACTCGTCAGAACTCACATTGACAGCAGTAGCACCAACTACAAGCCCAGCAGCTATGTATATGGCAAATCTCCGACGTGATCAAATAATTTGCATTCTATGCCACTATCAGGTAGCAGACGACAGCGGGGCAAGTGCGCTACAGGTAACACAACATCTTCGTCTAAGACAAGTCACTACCTCAACGATATAAACTTCAACGAACGAATGAAAGGCATGACGACAATCTCCCACGAAGACAAGTATCAACAGGTGAGGCCTCGGAAGCACTGAGCGTTCGGAGTCAGTGGATATGGGGGGGGGGGGGGACAATGTTGGGTGCAGATAGGTGAACTCTGGGTGTACAACACACCGCTTACTAGAAAGCGCGCAGGCGTGCCTTAAGCAGCTCGGTCAGTGCGGCGAGCACCTGTAGGTCACTGCCAACAGAGGGAAGTTGGCCCGAGCTGGCCACCGAGTCGACGGCCGCGTGCACGTCAGCACGAGCATGAACATCGACGCTAGGACCCTCGCCACTGCTACCGGACGACCCAGTTGACGAGCCCGCGCTAGACCCCGTGCCGGTCAACACGTCAACGAGGTTCAATCCAACGTCGACAGCAGGGAGAGGGAACGTGTCACCGGGGCCCACGATGTCGTCTACAAGGCTGCCAACTTCGTCGGGATTCACGAGGTGGAAATCGTAGCCTGACGCCCCTGAGCCGCCATCAATCCAGACAATGCTGAAGGTGCTCGTCGTCTCGGGTGCGCTGGGATCCGGATAGCTGGCATCGGTGCTGGTAGGAGCGGGCGCGGGATCGGTGGTGGCAACCGGACCATGCTCGCTGAAGTCGGTAGAGCTGGCGCGCTGCACGTGAATGCCCACGTTAACATCGACGTCACCGCCGACTAGGGCAAGGTCCTCGTCATCGTGGTCGTGGCGGGCCGCTACCGTAGGAACTACGGAGACATAAGGTCAGGCTGCTGTTCATCGTCATAGCACAGGCGTCACGGTGGCGTTACTCACGGACTTCTGCGTTAGAGAGTGCAGGCGAGGTGCTTGCGGACGCCGCGCTGCCAGCGGGGACCGTCAGCTCGAAGGGCGAACCTGGGAAGCCAGAGGGCTGTGCTACGGCGCTGAAGCCGACCACAGGCGCGCCGAGGACAGTGAGGGCGTAGGCGAGGAAGGACAGGTAGGCGACACGCATGGTGGCTGACAGACTACGAAAGTATGGTAAGTAACGCGTATGCAGCCGGAAGATCGTCGTATGTATAACAGAATGGAACTCACCGAAAGAGCGATTTGTAAAGAGCGAAGGGGTAAGGCAAACGGACCGTTCACCTCGGGAATCTGACCATTCTCCTGGGCCACTTCTTATACTCCCGCAGACCGTGGCCCAAACTGAACTAGAAGGACGCGTAAGTCATTGATATTGTATCCCCATCGCGAGTGGAGCGTGAAGACGGCCGAACGAGGGCGGTGGCAGGACAGTCCGCCATAGAACGCGGCGGCGACCAGCTCCAACGAAGCACGGCGCGGTATCGGGCAGAGGCATGGTGCGACGCGAATAACGGCATTCAACATGGGAGGCGTGCGGCGTTTGATCTTCGACTCGTAGGACGAGGAGGAGGTACGTAGGATTGCTCATTGCTTGTCAACGAACGGTGAACCGAGCTGCCAGCGCCAAAATTGGTGTTAAAGTTCGTCAAGCGCCCTCAGCCACAGACGCGTCAATGAACACCGTGACATGACCATTCTCGCAGCAAAACTCTTTGAGATCCAAGTACACCAAGTCATGAGACAAAGTGAGTCGTCAGAAGTCACATTGACAGCAACAATATCAACTCCAGGCCCAGCAGCTACGTAGCAAGTCGCCGACGCGAGCGAATGATTTGCATTTTATCTATTACTAGGTAGCGGACAACAGCGAGGCGAATGCGCTACAGCCTGAGGCAACACAACATCCTCGTCCAAGACAAGTCACTGCCTCAGCGACATCAACTTCAACGAACGGATCAAAGGTATGACGACACTCTCCCACGAACGCAAGTATCAAAACAAATTACAGGCAAAAGAGTCATGATCAGCAGGTGAGGCCTCGGAAGCACTGAGCGTTCCGAGTGGAGATGGGGGGACAATGTTGGATGCACAACGCACCGCTTACAGGTTCGAAAGCCGTGACACGAGGTCCTCCATCGTTCCGTCGAGCATCTTTAGGACATTCAAGACAGGGGACGATAGGCCCGAGCTGGCCACCGAGTCGACGTTCGCGTGCACGCCAACACCAGCATGAACATCGACGCTAGCACCGTCGCCACTGCTGCCAGACGACCCCGGGCCAGTCAACGAGCCCGCGCTGGATCCCACGCTGGTCAATTCAGCAACGAGGTTGCCAACGTCCCCAAGGATACCAGGAAGGGTGCCCTCGGGGCCCGTGATGTCGTTTATAAGCTCGCCGACGGACATTAGGAGCTGCGCGAGCAGGGCCTCGACGTCCGCGGGTGCGCTGGGGTCCATAGAGCTGGCATCGGTGCTGGTAGGAGCAGGCGCGTTGGTGTCAGTCGGACTAGGCTCGCTGGAGTCCGTAGAGCTGGCATCGGTGCCGGTGGGAGCGAGCGCGGCGGTGGTGTCGGTCAGAGCAGGCTCGCTAGAGTCCGTAGAGCTGACATCGGTGCCAGTAGGAGCGGGCACCGAATCAGTGGTGGCAGTCGGACCGGGCTCGCTAGCGTCGGTAGAGCTGGCGCGCTTCACGTGGACGCCGGCGGCGACGCTGACACCGACGTCAACGCCGACGAGGGCAGGGTCCTCGCGGGCCGTTACCGGCGTGGGGACTACAGAGATGCCAGGTCAGTCAGCTGCTCTTCGTTATGGGATGGGCGTGTGGATACTCACGGACTGCTGCACTAGAGACTGCAGACGAGGTGCTTGCGGGCGCCGCGCTGCTAGCGGAGGCCGTCGGCTGGAAGGGCGAGCCCGGGAAGCCAGAAGGCTCAGAGAAGGGGTTTTCCGGTACCGCGCTGCCACCGGGGATGGTCGGCATAGAGCCAGAGGGGAAACCGGGGAAGCCGGAGGGCTCGGAGAAGGGGCCCCCGGGTGCGGCGCCGCCACTGGGGACTCCCGACCCGAAGGACATACCCGGGAAGCCAGATGGCTCAGAGAAGGTGTTTCCGGGCGCGGCGATCCCACTGGGCATTACCGACCCGCCGGGCATACCCGGGAAGCCAGAGCCAGAGGGCTGCGCCGCGGCGCTGAAGTCGAACACGGGCGCGCCGAGGACAGTGAGGGCGTAGGCGAGGAAGGACAGGTAGGCGACACGCATGGTGGCTGATAGACCGGAGCTGCGAAACGTACGGTAAGTCACGCGTATGCAGCTGGAACACCGTTGCACAACAGGAGAGAAGGAACTCACCGAAAGAGGACTTGTAAAGAGCGAGGGGGTAAGGCAAACGGAACGTTTACCTCGGGAATCCGACCATCCTCCCAGGCCACCTCTTATACCCCGCAGACCGTGGCCCATCTTGGACCCGAAGGACGCGAACGTTGTGACATCCCCATGGCGGGTGGAGTGTGAAGACGGCCGAACGAGGGCGGTGACGGACAGTCCGCCATAACTTGGAACGTAGCGATCAGCTCCCGCGAAGCACGGCGCGGTATCGATTTATCGTTCAGAGGCATGGCGCGACGCGAATAACGGCACGCACCGCGGGTGGCGTCCAGCGGACCGAACACCGATTCATCGCCCTCGTTCGCGTTGTGAAGACCGTCTGGTGAGAGTTGTTTTTCGAGTTGTTTGAGCTGAACGGGACGAGTAGAGGATAGACGACTCACAATGAGAGCTACACCGTTCGCATGCGTAGACATATCACTGACCGCCACAGGAGCGTCCATGCGGGACCGAACGACTTGGGATGCTCCTTACCCTCGCACACGGACCCCACAACACAGACGCCCGACCTCTCAAAAGCTATACCAGGCGCACCTCAATCTGTGCGTACGACTTCCCAATCCGTCCTGCAGTCCGAAGGCCACGCATTCTCCAGAAGCATATGGCGCCGCAAGGGAAGCGAGGCGGCGGCGGACACTAAGGTGCGCTTCTTCGTCGGCATCGTCGGTTTACTGCAAGCTGGAGGCGTCGATCAGTGACAAGCCCACGGCGTGGATCCAAGCTGGCAGGCTAGGCTCCACACCGAGCCGAGTGTGCGCACGTATCGAGAGGGGATGGCATTGCCTTGACGGAATCTCAGACAGGATCAATATTCTGTGATGTGGCGAGGTAGGCTGCGTCCGGCTTCGTATGGTACTATGACGCCGATCGCAGATGCTTCCGCGGCCCATGCATGTCGGGGGGCGCATCAACGAACACCTTTCCGAAGCATATTAGTTCCGAAGCTGCTCTTCGCAACCCCAGCACATCCACGCCTGATCCACACCTCGAGTACTTGGCACCGATCCGCGTCTGAACAGCTGATGAGTGACCGGACACACTTCTCTTCTGAATCGACACTTGCCCATCTGTCACGCAAGGCCAGCGGTGGACCAAGATCGGAGAGAAACCATCCAAAGCCGGAGCCTGATGGCCTGGCGTGAACGCACGACGACTCAGCGGCCGGTTCGGGCTCAATTCTTGCGTTACCGTAGCACACTCGCCTCGCTGTCGTTCATTCCCTGATAGATATATTGCAAGTCTTAAAATCGCGTCGGTGAGACAGACAATGCGTGGTGCCGCAGGAACAGTCACCAAGGCAGCCGCGAGCCGTCGTACGCATAGAACGCCACAGCATCCTCGATCCTCGCGTCCTCGATCACCCTCAGACACCGCGCCGCACTTTCGGCGGCACTCATCTTGGAGCGCCCGGGCTGGTGTTTGGACATCCATGCGTTGACGCTGTTGCCCATGCCCGTGTCGACCCAACCTATCGTGAGCACGCCGGCGAAGCCACCCACGCGTCAGAGTCAGCGTTCTGCCGCTCTAACGCTGGAGGACGTGGAGACCTGTACCTGGGTGCAGGATCAGGGTGCAGATGCCCTCTTCTTTGAGCGTCGTGCCCCACTTGCGCGCTAGCCTGTAGAGATTGGATCGAGGCGGCGTGAGCGCAGCGGAAACGAAGCTGGTACGATCCACGCACATGCCCAGCCCGGCCTTGCACACGGAGTACGTCCCGCCCAGGTCTGCCATCATGGGAGCCCTTCCGAGCGAGCCTAGCTCGGACGAAACGAACACGATCTTCGTTGCCTGGCGGTTCGAAGTGTCCGAGGCTGGGCTGGAGGAGGCAGATGAGGGAGGAGGCGGGAGGCGGAGGAGGGGCAGGAAGGCGCGCACGACGTGGAGGGGCGCGACGGTGTTGGTGAGAAATTCTTCTTGGAAGACGGCGAGGTCTCTGTGCGCGAGGAAATCGTCGCTCAAGTGGGCGTGATGGCAAGGCACAGTGACTGAGGGCACTCACACTTGTTCGAACGGCGTGACAGGCTCGTGCAGCGATATCGCCGCGTTGTGGATCAGACAGTCCAGCCCGCTGCCCGCAGGGAGGAGCGCCGCTGCGGCAGACGCGGCGCGCTCGACGCTTGTACCGTCGGTGACGTCGAGCTCGAGAATGGAGAGGCGCGGGGACGCGAGGGCGTGCAGGCCCGGTGCTCTGTTGGGGGCGCGTGCGGTGGCGAAGACGAAGGTAGTCGGGTCCTTGAGCTGTATGGGGAGTTGTCAGTGCCAACTGGGCTGATGGGCGACGTTAGGGAGAGACGCACCAGTTCGGCGACGAGGGCGAGGCCGATGCCTCTGCTCGCGCCGACGACGAGGTAAGTGCGCATGTTGATTGTGTTCGGGCTGGGGATGCGGGAGGCGTTGTGTAGACGGGAGGTTCGGTTGGGTCGAACCCTAGAGACGAATATTGTCGGTATCATACACCGTTCGCATATCACTGTCGGTCACAGGAGCGTCCATTCGGGACCGAACGACTTGGGATATCCCTTACCCTCGCACACGGACGCCACAACACAGACCTCGCAAAAGCTTCACCAGGTGCACCTCGACATGTGGGGACGACTTCCCAATCCGTCCTGCAGTCCGAAGGCCACGCATTTCCACGAGCATATATGACGTCGCAAGGCGTGCTTCCTCGTCGGCGTCGTCGGCTTCCTGAGAGTCGAGTACGGTCCTTGGAACCGATCCGCGACGAGTGACCGGATGTACACACTTCTCTTCTGAATCGACACTCGCCAATCTGTCATGCAAGCCCAGCAGTGGATCAAGATCGGAGAGAACCCATCCAAACCCGGAGGTCATGCCGCCACTGCTCTCGACGTGTTCTTCTCGAAAGACGAAGTCCCCGTTCGATATTGGGGGTGCTTCGGTGGTGGCGGCGGCGCGGTATCATCCAGCGAGGGCCTAAGCATATTTGACCGTCTACGAAAGGCAGTGATTGATCAGCCGTCATTTCGACATGACCAGATGCAGTGGACGTGTAATAGCTAATGTACAATACGCTCTTCACAATCACAGCACGTCCGTTCGTGGACAGGCGGGTTTCAGTGTCGCGTGCCGTCACGCACGACCGACATCTAGCAAGAGGAGTAATAGTGTAAGGACAGTTTCCAGTTCGCAGTAAGGACAGTTTCGAGTTCGCAGGAGGGGCAAAGAGCACAAGCACAAGCACAAGCACGTCGCGGCCGTTAGCCGCGGACAAGGCGAACTCGCCACTGAGCACGTCACGCAGGGCATCCGCACTGATTATGCAGGGTAGTAGTCGAAGGACGGGCGAGCGGGCGCATGCAGCTCAGCGCTGATGCCGCCCCCGTAGACGCACATATCCGCCCCGGTTCCGCACATCCAGAGCGGGGAACACAGTGTTGAACGCCCTCCGTGTCCTCGAGAACAACGTCGTCTTCGCCGCCTTCACGGCGTCACACAGTCGCGTGCCCTGCTCTGCCAGCATCGGCGCGGGCGGCGCGCCCCGAGCAAACAATGTCCGGGTAGAGGCGAACCTCGAGTGGGCTGAGCGGGCGCGGGGCGCGGATGTCGACTCATGTAGGGGCCGCGCGGAGAAGCCGGAGGTGGTCGTCTCGGTGCGCGTGACCGGGGCCCTGCGCCCACTCAAGCGAGCTCCCTCGTCCACTGTACGAACATAACATGTCACCTCAAATATCTAGGACCGCGCAGAGGAAACATTACCTCCTCCGAATCTATGCGCACTCGGTCTCTCCCACAGGCCGTGGCCGTTGGCGGCCACGCCCATCGGGCGCAGCTCGATCTCCTCCCAGCCCTCGTCCATGCGCGCACCGGAGCCCGAGGGCGGGGAAAGGACGACGATCGTCCGCGGGGCGGGGCGGGGTTCGGGGGTGACGACGGGGAAGGTCACGTACGACGCGGGGAGCGACGCGAAGGGCGCGACGGCGGAGAGGCACGTGCGCGTCGTGCTGGCGCTGAAGATGAGGGACATCGTGCGGTGCGCTGCGGTCGTGGTCGTGATCCCACTTGGCTAGGGGTGGGTAGTGCCGCTGCTGAGAGCGGGAGCCGTTGGATGGGCGGCGCACCTTATGTCTGGACTCTCGTCTCGTCTCGTGAGCAGGCGTGAATTCTATCGAGCGAGCTTGAGGATGGGGCGAGCAGGGCTCCTCGGCCGGCGCCGCACGCAATCAATCGCGGTGATAGAGACGAAAGGATCGCACCGCGCGGTGGCTTGCACGAACGAAACCCCTGGGCGTGCTCCCGGGGTCGCGCCGTGCTCTTATACGCACCACCAGGTCCCTGCTCTACTCGAACAAACATTCAGCTTCATACCCCAGACCCAACGATGTCGCGGGTACACCGCGAAGGCGGCCCCCGACGTCGACGCGGCGCACACCGTTCATACATCGAGGCATGGAAGTGCAAGGCATCGCGCATTCCGAATTCGTGCACTTCCAATCCGGCTTTGAGTTCACTCACCCACATAAAGGACTGGAAGCCCCGCATGCTACATTCAGCCTCATTGACGCCCCAAGGATCCACGCTCGGCCTGCCAGAGAACAGATGAGGTCATGCGTATTGGCCATCGGCGAGAGGGCGGCGCTGATGTCTTCCATGTTTCTGCGCTGGAGTGCAATATGTCGGTGCGCAAAGCTTGTTGGAGAAGAACGAGCGTAAGTACCTTTGAGTCCGAACTCGATAGGAATGGAAGCTTCGCCCTTGGCTGGTCCCCATCCGAATCAAGCTCTCGAGCCTGGTCGAAGCTAAGTTTGAGTTTGAAGTTGTGTCAAGAGTCCTTGACGCTTCTCCGTGGGCGCGCGGGTACTGAACGTTAAAACTTTGATCTCTTGCCTCGCTACAGTGATAACTGCAATGGAGAAAAAGCGACTATGGAATGAGGAACATGCAGATCCAGACCAGCCACCAATCGGCCACGAACTGCGAGACCTGTAAGTTCCGGGGTCCCTGTGACGCGGTGGCGTGACCTAGATGCCCTTCAGGGCCCTAAGACACTGCTGGCAGCTCTTTCCGCGCAACGTCCACCATCATCACATCTCATGGTTTTATAGACCCTCCTGCATCCATTGCAATGCAACCCTGACGCGTATCCCCTCAAAACACTTGTTGAACCGTACCCCAATCTTCGACGCGGGCTCCGGTTCCTGGGCGGCCTGCTTCATCTGCCTCTCAAAGCCCTGGCGAAGGCATGGTGAATCTCAACAATGTAAGTGTCATGCTGCGAACGAGCGACTCCTGCTACGAGAGCTGGTGCATCCATAACATGGGTCGGGGAAGAAGGGATTGAGGCAAGCGCCAAGCTGTCGACAAACGCACCTCGTTCCGACATCGCGCATGATGACAAGCAAGAACATTCACTGGGTCGACGTGGGCCAAGTCGCTCTTGCGCATAGCGAAGAGCTGGAAGCACAAGCCAGGTGAGCTCGTCCTCCGCATATGCCGACGTCTGAGACGCCCGAACAACAGATCTGACTATGCATTCAACTTATCGGTCTTCATCAAATATCATATACCAAGACTGGCATATTGACCTCTCCGGCCAGTCAAGCCTGCTGCAGGTCACGATCGACTGCCTGTGGCCCCTATCTCCGGGCTTCACCTGGATCCCTACATTCCTCTCCACTGTCAATTGCAAGGCCGTTGTTTCGTCCGTATCCGCCTGTTGATCTCAGCCGAGTATTGGAACAGCGTCGAATATCTATATCACCTAAAGTACCGCAGCGATGTCCTCAATTCCATCGACGCCATCCTTTCGCGCAATCAGTTCCTGCGACTCCCGAGCGGCGGCATCCCTATCGAGTTCAATGAGTTCATCGATACTTGGAAGAAGGACAGCTTGACCGCCAGTCTGCCCGAGAGCAGGTGGCTTCTATTAGAGCGGACGGTGAGGGAGAAGATGCCGCGAGCGGAAGCAAGCGGGGTACTTGACTGTAGCGTGTGCGTGCTTTACCTGCCATATGGTAGCCGGTTGAACCTGATACTGCTATTATTCCAGCTAGCGCCCCACTTAGCACGGGTGCTCGGTCGAATATCAGATCTGTTTTCGAGTAAGCTCGCACGTCTGTGTGCCATTCTTTTATGGCTCGTGCGATCACGATTCACGGGCTCATGGAGTCGTACGCACCCGTATCAACGGGCCGTTACTGCGAGAAGTTCCGCCGAAAACGCGGTCAGGGCGCCAGGGCTCGAATGGACGTATGGTCGCTCAGAAGTCGCCACACACCGTCATATTCTGACTATATGGATCAGCCCTCATCGCCGTGAACTTGAAAGGCTTATGATACCGCACGAAGGAACAGGCTAGAGTATCGTCGGCGTTTGTGCGGTCCTTGGCACCTTCTTCGAACCGAATGCTAATAAGCTATGATAATGTAGCTGTGAAAAGCTCGTCAGTGTGGCTCATTCCGTCCACGAAGGCCGATACTGCTTCCATGTCGTCAATTCTCTAGTGTATCAGAATCTCTCGCCGCATTGGAGATCAGCAGTCAAGAAACGACTGGGATTCTCGAGGACGATACCATGAAGTCTGTTCCGACGCGTACCCATCAAGGTAGCTCCGCACTACGACCGACCGCTGGCAGTCGCAAAGTGCGATTCCCGCAGACTCTGGCGCGGAGGCTGAGATGCCAACTTGTGTGACGCTCTTCGTGCGTCAAACGTTTGGCATACAGTGTACGCATGAAAGTCTTGGGAGACAGCCAAGCAGACAGTCGAATGCCCTCGTCCAGGATTTGAACGAATATACTGCGTAAGTGAGCCGTACCGAGAACCCTGAGACCGACAGCTCAAGTCTTCCATTACATTCATCGCGGACAATATCCGCTTCAGCCGATCATAGCATCTGCTCAGAGGTCCTGCTACGTACGGCGCGAAATGATCAGACGCTTGCGAGACAAGCGTATAAGATGGATGCGACGCGTGTGTCATCGCTCAAGGTGACCTCCCGCACACCTACACACACTCGTTCACAGTTTCCTTTAGGTGAGTGCTATGCCGCACACAGATGGATACTGGTCCGAACGCTGACGGTAAACCTCGATCGTTGCGCAGGCTACCTAGCCAACTCCACTCCTTGCAATATGCGTGCCTTCTACCTCTCCTTCCTCGCCTACGCGTTCATCGCGTTCGCAGCTCCTATCTCTCTCCCGGGTACATCCGTCGCCGCCGCGACCGACAGTGTCGTGCCGTCTGTCACATCGGTCGTTATACCCACTGCGTCTTTGACTGCAATTGCTCCTGCGCCGTCCAGTTCCCGTGAGTATCTGCACGTATGTCAGATCTTGATAACCTCACGAAACATCATCAGCCGTGCCTTCGTCCACAGAGTCCTCAGGGGATGAGAATGAAGACGAAAACGAGGACGATGAGCCGGATGAAAACGAGGATGAGCCGGACGAGAACGAGCCAGATGAGGACGAACCAGACGAGGACGAGCACGACGGCGAGCACGAAGCAGGCTCTGGGGGCGGTGACGATGACAGTCACAGCAGCGACGACCACCAGAAGTTCACCGTCGAGATCGAAATCGAAGTGAAGCACTCCGATCTCGACCTCACCTCCTTCCTGCCATCCGCCGACGCCGATCTCGATATCGAGGTCAAGCTCGATCCCGCCAAAGCTGAAAGTCTGCTGACGATTTTCTTTGGCGACCTCGACCGCGTCCTAGAGGACACGGCCTACATCGTGGAGGCAGGAGGATCAGGAGCGGGGAACGATTCGGTCAACAGGTCGCCCCAAAACGGTACACTCACCACCCAGGTGTCTCGCACTTCTGCTCCTTCGGTTGGTCTGGCTAGCAGGTCGGATGAGGAGATAACTCTTCGTGCGAAGGCCCACCTGCACGAAGACAACTGAATGCTACACAGAATGACCCTCCAGAGTCGTTGTAGGCTCTCAATATGTTCCATGTCCTTGCGTGCAGACATGGGACATGTAGCGGACATGTTCGATCTAGCACGGACATCATTGTTCGAAACAGTGTGATACTTCTGTTGTGCCTAGTACCGAAATTTTGGACTCATCCCGTACCTCTTATTCTCCTGTACTTCCGCAGAGCGTTTCTTAACTGCCTTCACCTTCTGCCATGCCTACTGGCGCTTCCCGTTTTGTACATCCACTTTGGTCGCCTTGATGCTCCTGAGGGAGCGTGTATACTCTAACTCTACGTATTCAATGATTGTGCATTGAACAATCAGTACGTTGCGTAATTCCGTCCACAAGTGATCGGCTTGCCGTTGAGACGCACGACGCGACTCTATAGTATCAGCACACGCCCGGAGGCTTTCGACTTCCTGCTGACAACCCACGCCTAGCTCCTAGGTATGTCAAACGACAACATGCTGTGGACCTCGGTGCAGACTGACCAACGCGGAGCGATCGTACGTAGCGAGGACCTGAAGTCAGTACTCGGTACTAGCACTCCCAAATGAGCCAACAACGATATCGATGGCTGACCGCAAGCGAGGAAGGGAGCCGGCATCTGCGGTCGGTAGATAGTGCACTATGCATCGGTCGTCAACATGCAGCAGACGTCGGAGGCAGGCCTAGGGATAGCATGATATGTAAGTAGCGGAACAGATCAAGTACTTACTGTCCAGCGCACCTTGACCTCGTACCACCACCATCTACCTTTAGGCGCCCGCTTATCGGCCCCCATCTGCCCCATCTCTCGCCCGCTCCCCTCCTCCCCTAGTGTCAAGACCCGTCCAACTCGGTCCCCACAGTCTTTACGACACCTCTACGTACGACAAACTCGACACATCGCGAACAATCGCCGAGTCCCTGGCCCGGGCTGCCCTACGGGGTGGCCTGGGATCAATGGGAGGCTGGCACCCAAACCACGACGCATCGACCGACACCGAGTGCCATGGACCGCAACTCGTTAAACCCCCGACGTCCCCTCGCTAGGTCTCTCTAGTAACGCGCCCTAGTCCGGGTGTATTCCCTCGCTGCAGGAGACTCTTAGAGTCTGCGCGAGAGGCCCGACGCAAGCTGATCCCCGTTGGCCTCTGCATGCCTAACGTGCCCTAGCCCCTACTTTGAATGCCCGGGAGTACTCTCAGAGTCTGGTGCACCGGTCTACGACCGTGTAGGAGGCAAGCTGATCCCCAGGTGAGAATCGGCTTAAAGCGAGGAAGGTTTAGATTCCCCCTCCGCCTGGGTGGGGTAAATTCGTATGGGCTGTTGCACGCTGTATCGGGTGGGATAAGCCGTTTTCTGGAGGGAGGTGGATGGAGGGCACGGCTATCTAGTCGTGTCCGTAGGTTCGACTTCTACGACGACGGACTCTTGGAGTGACACCCACCCGTATCGCCCTGGGTGGGAAGCTGGCCGCCTTGCACTAATGCCGCTGGCGCCCATAGACTCCCGACGTCGCTCGTAGTGCGATAGGGGCAATGCCTTCCGCACCGCACCCACTTGTCTGGGTGTTGGCCAGTGGTTGGCCGAGACGAAGAAGACATGTGCCGGAAGTGACCCGGTGAACACGCGGCGGTGCGCCGCTTTCAAATTCACCTTTCCGTACCATCACTGGGATGTTGCTATCGCACCTACGCGGGCCATGACGATGAAGACCGGAGCGCTTACCTACAGGAGGACCGCCCAATTAGCGTCGCCGGTGCGCTCAAGTTGACGTGAAAAGGAGATTCCGGCAGGGACCCGTAAGGGGAAATGGGGCTCGAGTAGAACGGTCTTAGCGTGCCGTTATGATGTATTAGTGTCCGCATCTTGCCTCGGGCGAGGGACTATAAACACGGTGAATATAAATAAATAAAAAATAAAAAAAAAAGTACTTACTGTCGGCGCGGCTGTGGTTGTCGACGCGACGTCGGCGACGGCAGCGCGGCCCCTTGGCAAGTCACGCCACCGTGTCGTCCTTCCGTCGCGAGCCAGCCTCCGGCTCCTCCAACTTCTGTTCGCAACAACCAGTTGTGGAGGCAGGTCTATATCGTCCCTGAACTCAGGAACTATGCAGGCTTCGCGGTCAAATCATAGACGTCAGCTTGAAGCACAAGGTAAGTTGACGCGTCCTACGTACTAGGTCTCACAAGTCCTACGCTCACTGAACAGGGTCTACGTATGTATTCCAGGCGAATGCGAGTAGCGTCGTCTTCGGCACCGTCAATGACCGCTGAATGTAGCAAACCCTCTAGGTCGAGACCGATTACTTGTATTCAGAAAAGCGTAGCTCGGCACACAACATGCTCCAGTGAAGATATACAGACGGAACAGCTCTCCGGCGAGATTCGCACCCCCGTAGTCCGACAGTGGGAATCTGCGCCTAGGGATATAGCGTTGTAAGTACTAAAGCGCATATGTTCTTACTATATGAGCTGAGCTTCGTAGGCCAACACACAGCTCTTTCCTTTGTCCCGGTCTTTACCCTCACGTCAGGCCCGCAACCAGCACAGCGGTTGTATGTCCATCATGCGGCATACGTTTCTATCGAATACCACACAGTTCCTCTTCAGCGCGATGGCACCGTTCGCACCGATCCCGCTTGACACTATGTACACCCGCACCGCAGGCATATACCTCACAACGCCCATTCCCAGTGCCATCTTCAACGACGATGAAGGATGGGAACTGTTGCCGCTGCGTTCTGGTGGGATCGAGCAAGGTGCGTCACCAACTCATGCTGATATACCTATTTTTTCTCATCGACACCATCGTGCTCCATAGAATGGATGAACGGCTCTCAGGCCCTACTACTTTCCCGCAGCGCCTTCGATGTTCAGCATGACGCCCCAACGTCCGCGCTGTCGTACTTGAACATGCACTCGACCGGCATCTCCAACATTAGGGAAGCAACTGGCGAAGGAGATTCGATGTTGACGCGTACGCGTAGGGCACTCGAGGACGTTCTGCGGCCCCGACAGGGACACCCATACGTCCGTATCTGAGAGATGAAATGGACTATCTTAGTATTACGGTGGCAAATAGCCGTATTGTAGACAGGGCTCGCTGTGCACAAATGTGCATCATGAAGTGAGCCCCAACCTGTCAATGATCATCATTCGTATGACTGCAACGGGTGCTTAGCCTGGGTTGGAAGCCAGATAGATAGCGAACAAGCCGTTCCAATACGATTCTGGTGGTGCTGAATCGTATGTGTTCGAGTGACCCGTGTCAGGATATCCAGAGTTGGGATCCGGAGCCGGTTGTATTCAATTGGCCAAAGCGTCGCCGTATGATATATATTCAGCTGACCTGGAACGCGAGTTCATGAGCAAGCTGAAGATAGCAACCCTGTCGAGTACCTGAAGATATCCTGTGCTTTTATTTTAATGTGCTGGAACTGCTTGAGCAGCAGTTGGTCACGGTGTTGTGCGGCGTGCGCCACCGGACGCGAGCGATCTTGATTCGGTCCTCCCATGCCGCAGCGCATCACCCTCACCCTCTCCAACCAACCCACTCGCACATAACCTACATTCGATAAGGGCACAACGACGAAACGATCTACGACTGCCACGATTAGTGAGTGATAGATAGCATTCGCTGGGTCTTCTGTCTACTCACAGGCCCGTGCCCATTGCCCATCGTCGCTCCAGTACGTCACTGTAATACCATACCACGACACATACATAAGGCGACGCAGCTGCCCCTTATTCCTCGCGCAAGATGAGCAGCACGTACCCGACCATCCAGTCGCGACCCCTCACACCTCACATCGCCACGACCTGCACACATTGCTCCTCTCCGCTCGAGTTCCCCGTGCCACAACCTCTTCCACGCCCCTCAACATCTCTCAATGTCCGCTGCTTCAGCTGCAGCAAAGTCTTCACACACGCCTTCTACCCTACCCAGGTCCCTGGCCTTGTGAGCAGCGTCTCCGGAACTAGTGGGCATGGGCCCTCCCGGAGCCAGAGCGGCGGCGGTGCGAGTGGGAGCCAAACGCCGAAGAGAGGGAGGAAGATTGGCACGCAGGAGAAGCCGTTGGAAACGGGCTACTACGACCTGCTGGGCGTCCCAGTAGATGCGAGCACGGAGGACATCAAGAAGGCATATCGTACGCATTGCTGCGTGTTAGCGGCTCGACGCTCGTGTGACTCTTCTTGTAGGACGTCTTGCGATCAAGTTCCACCCAGACAAGAATCGCGACGACCCCAATGCGGAGGAACGGTTCAAGGAAATCGCTATCGCGTACCAAACCCTCTCCGAGCCCGAGCTACGTAGGAAGTACAACGAGTTCGGGTCCAAGGACAGCGCGCCGGAAGGTGGGTTCGTCGACCCCGAGGAGGTCTTCGGCACCATCTTCGGCGGCGAGCGGTTCGTGCCCATCATTGGGCACATTAGCCTTGCAAAGGACATGAAGGCGGCACTACAGGAAGCAGAAGAGATGGAGGAGGATGCGGAAGGCAAACCCATCCAGCGGGACGCGAAAGGGCGGGAGATCCTCTCGCCAGAGGAGAAAGCGCGGAGAGAAGAGAAGGCCAGGAAAACGGCTGCGGAGGTGAGTGCTGGGCTTATGCGCGGAACGCGGGGATGCTTAGTGAAGGTGCTACAGAAAGCAGCAGCACGAGCAGAGCGTATCGCCAAACTCGTGGAGAACCTGGAGCGAAAAATGGGCATCTTTACCGAGAGTACGATGGGCCTCAACGACGCGCAAGTCACGCAGAGCTATAGGACCATATGCCAGCTCGAAGCAGAGTGCGCATTCCTTCCATCCACATGCCTCTTTCACTAACCAGTACACAGGGAGCTGAAACGCGAGTCTTACGGCGCCGAGTTACTTCAAGCCATCGGCTTCGTCTACGTCTCCAAGGCAAAACAATACCTCGCCTCGAACCAGACCTTCCTCGGCGTCGGTGGGTGGCTGCACAACGTGCAGGGCAAGTACCACGTCTTCAGCGAAACGTGCGTGCCCCAGATCAATCCCTCCCGTGTCCTCTCTGTTAAGAATGGAATCATATTTCTAGGATGTCGACGCTGCGTGCGGCGATGGACCTGAAGAATGTGTTTGAGCAGATCCAGGCAGCGGAGAAGGCGGGCAACCTCTCGCCGGAGGAGCGCCAAAGGCTCGAGGAGCAGGCCGCGGAAAAGGGCCTGCAGGCGCTGTTCAAGGTGTGTTCCGTCTGGAGCCCTGTCGCACACGCCGCTCACGCTCGTCTTCTGCACAGGGCACGAAGCTCGAGATTGAGTCAGTACTCCGCGAGACGTGCGATCGTGTGCTCGAGGACCCGGCTGTCCCCCGGAGCAAGGCGCAGCTGCGCGCGATTGCGCTGCAGATCCTCGGAGAGGCGTACATGGCGGTGCGGAAGGAGCAGGATGAGGTGAGGGAGGAGAGCGAGTACGTGAAGGTGGAGACGAAGAACAGTCGGCAGCGCGAGCAGCAACGGGCACAGCAGCCTTGATGCGTAATGCGCTGAGTGACTGGTTCGACGTTGACTGACTGAGTGCCGCGATGACACGCATGGCCGTGGTCGTGGATCCTGGTTTGCTGTAGTTGTTGCTGTGTCAATTTCCCGTGTAGCTATACCGTTCTGACGCGCATCCTCATATAACGTTTGCCTGGGACTGCACAAGCACGACTCAGCGTACACCACCTAATATATGTCTACATCGTGTACAATTTACACGATCCTGCTCCTCGCGCCCCTCACAAGGCTATGTTTGTTGTTTGGCTGCCTCCGCGGTGGAATGTGCCTCTTCGCTGGAAGCAGGGACAGAGTCGCCGCCATTCGTCGCCACAGCGGGGTCCGCGCGAGCGTTCTTACCCTTACCGGGAGGCGGGGGATGGTACACCTTCTCCTGCAACACGCACGTCAGCCCTCCCTTGGCCTGTACCACCAACGGCAATCGAGACGAACCTTCTTTTTCTTCTTCTCCGGCTGTGGCGGGGGCGGGTACGCTAGCTTCTCCACCTCCTGCCATTCCTGGCTCTCCTCGAACGTTTTCCGGATCGGCTCCAGCAGCTGCACGATCGCGTCCGCCACCGCGGTCTTCAAGTCACCAGGGTGGATCTTCTTGTCCGCAAAGTCGCGCTTCAGGTCTGCGAAGGCCTGGTAGTGCAGCGAGCCGCCGTACTTCTCCGGGCGACTGATCGAGAACACGGTGCCCTCCGGCGCGCCCTCGAGCGCGAAGGGCGTCTGCGTGCCCACCGCACTCGCGCCCTCGTCCGCGTCCGCGCCGGTCTCGCCGTGGAGGCGCTCGATGCGCAGCTGGCTGATCGGGATGAGGACGGCCTCGACGAAGGAGAGCACGCCATTCTCCTGGACGTTACCCTCCTCGCAGAAGGCGCGCTTGATCTTGCGCCGGACCTCCGCGGGCGCCTCGAGAAAGTCGATCTTCGAGTCCGGGTCGGAGGAGGACATCTTGCCGCCGCCGAGCCCGGGCACCATGGGGTTCATGAGGTGGGCGCGCTTCGCGTAGCCGAGGCGCGGGAGGTAGAGCTCGGCGAAGGTGAAGATTTTCCGCTGGGTGGGGGGCGCGTTGGGAGGGGTGGGCGCGGAACGGGAGCGGCGAGACGTACCTGGTCGACACCGCCGAACTGGAAGTCACACCCGAGGTACTGCTCGTCTAGTGCTTGCATGCCCGGGTAGAGCAGACCGCTCAGCAGCGGGCTCTCGACCTGCTTCACCACCTCCGCACCGGCCTTCTTGGCATCGTGCTCCGTGACGATGGCGCAGAGCCGGTAGTTGTCCATGTTGTACTCCCGCGTGAGTTGGTAGGAGGAGCCCTCGACGAAGCGCAGCTTGTTCGTAGGGATTCCTAGCGACGTGAAGACGCTTTTGAGAATGTGTTTGTAGTACTTTGTGCGGTGAGCGACGAGTTCTAGAGGTGCTTTGAGGTTATCCAGGAACGCATGTACGTCTGGAAACGAGTATGAGCTGAGGTATCGCGAGTGAAGCTTCGGACCGGGACGTCCTGCGGCCACATTGCATCGGTCAGAAAGTGAACGCACCAGCAAGTAGAATGGTGACTGCGACACCAGCACGGAGGAAGTCGGCGATCTTGGTCAATGGTACGAAGTACCCTATGTGTGCTGAATGGTCGTATTTGAGTATCCGTGATCAAAGCAGGTAGCTCGAAGCACACCTACGTCTTCCTGTAGGTGCAGAACCTGCAAATTTCGATGAGCATCTAAACGAACGCGACGCACTACGCACTCACCCCAGTAGCATTTTGGTGCCCGGCCCTCCGCGAGGATTGCTCTGATCGTATCTCCGCCCAGGACCTCCTGCAAACGTCGTGTTATGAGGTCATACTTCTGCTCAGCGACGTTGTCCAATGTGATGTTTTCTGTTTTCTTCGCCGGTTCCGCCATTGCCGTGGAAGTCGACGGGAAGTGGGCGTGTTAAGACGAGTGCCCGAGTTGACTCGAGTCTGCGATTCTCATCCGATGTAGGAAGTCCATTCACGATCACGTGCGCGGTTATATGACTCGTGAACGCGGCGCGTAATTCACTTCCACTGGCATACCCTCGACCCCTCGAAGTCACAACAACTGTGTAAGTACCCCGCGACCCCATGAGCACCGGGAGAGTATTTCGAAAAGTTTGATTTCCAATTACATGGCCATTGCCGGCTCATATTTAGCGGACCTTCGTCAATGCAGGCAGTGAATCAAACCTAGTACCGAGACGTATAAGCTACCCTCTGGCACTGATCGCTCCATGTGCAGTCAAGTACTACATTTGGTATTCCATGAATGTAGAAACGCATTGGATACCTGAAGCAATAGAAGTGCGGCTTCTGCATCGTACGGTCTACCACATGGAGCTTGCATGAAGCGACAGCTCACGACTTACCCAGCAAGTCGTGTATCATGGACTACGAATCCTAGCGTGGGTTAGATGGGTTACATATAGTCCGTTGCATGGCAGGTACAATAGAAGGGTGTGAGTAGATATATCATTAGGGTATAGTACTATGATCATACAACATAAGGTCCGGATTATTAGCGAAAGGAAGCGACCACAGTAGCAGTGCAGCCATCTCCCGGGCTGTCCCTTTACACCTGGGAAATGATAATTTATATCGCCACTGGTTCGCGACTAATATGTCGCAGGCCCTGCAGCCCTTGCTCTGTTACGTGGACATTGCTCAGCAGCGGACTTTCGAAAGCGACAATGAAAGACTCACCCTCCGCATGGACAGCAAAGGATTCCGGCGATACAGTCACAGATGCCAGTGAGGCAACCAACTATGACTGAGTGGATATCCCGTCAGCGATGCTGATTCAGAACCACTGAAATGGCTACTCACTGCTAACGATCCACTCGAAGCATCCGAATATTATCTCAACGACAGCTATGATGGCGCCGCCGATGCAGGCAAAGATACCAGCGATGCAGGAGATGATGAGACTAGACATTTCAGGGTAAGCGTTAGTTTCGGTATAGGGGGATATCGGTACGTACCCCATAGATGCAGCGAAGACGTTCGGGGTCGTTTAAGCAGGCGTGAGGCGGTCGTGTCGAGAAGTCGGTGGATGACCTGTACTGACATCCACTGCTTATGAGGGGTTGCGCAGTCGTCTGCTGTGGCGTGGGCGGCTCCTGCCAGTGGGGCATTGACGTAGGCCCACGTCGCCGGCGCAACGCCTCGGCCCTCCACATCCCAAAGCGGATGAGCGGTCTTGACCCTAATCCGGAAGACAGCTATTCCTGTAGCGGCGCAAGCACCGTCCCCGACTCCATGTGGGTGCCTGAACCGTAATATGAATGAACATCGATTGAGCAGTGAGGGTGGTGTAGATAAGATGATACAATAATCTACATAGATTTCAAACTCCGCTTTTAGTGGTACAACATAGACCTAAAGCGGAACATAAGTATCAGCATCACTACTGTATACTAATGCTGTCTCCTTCTGGGTCAGATACACCTGTGTGTTCCAGCAGTACAGTTGGTTGATCATCTGCATGTTTAGAGTTGTCATGCATAAAAGCCTCTGCAGGATGTTCTGTAAAACCTGCTGTTTCTTCTTGGAAGATTTCATCACTTTTTTGGTGAATGTCTTGGATGAATTGAGCATCAACACCAGGAAGAACACCATCATCTGGAAATTGATCTATGTTACTCTGATCCAACAGGATCTGCTCATATAATCTGTTATGGTGCTTCAACCAAAGAAGAAAATGCCATATTTTGGCTTTTCGCACTCTGAATGTATTGCCCAGGTCACTGGCTTTGATTTTATGAGGTCCAATAGATACAACTGAGAGATACCCAGTGATGTCTGCAGGAGTTCTAGGAAGCACTGTTGTTGTTGATATGACATTCATATCACGTGTTATGGTGTTTCCATGAAAAATCTTTGGCTGTCCAGGTTCTGAAAATCCATACAAACAGGTTACATGGGCAGTGATATGATAAATAGCACATGCCATCTCTTCAACCCATGTAAGGTCACAAAATTCAGTAGGAAGATGACCTCGATATAGATTATTTGCCAGTGCATATCTGGGCATAGCTGGTTTCTTTAGGGAATTGTAGCAGTCTGAACATAGTGCTATTCTGTGATTGATAGGATCACTGCATAGCAGCCCTTTTTTATCCAACATGAAGCCATCAAATTCATTTCCATACAAGAACTCATCGGAATTTTGTTGTACAATGCATTTCTGAATAATCCACGGGTCATGTACCTGCAAAACAGACATGTTATGCACTATGTTGGGGATTTGATTCATATCATAGATCTTTGTTTTCAATTCATGGGCACTGCTAGAGCACACAGAGCAGATGAGAGGAGAATGCCATTGTGTTGCTTTCCAATAATTGTATGCACATTGTAGCTCAGTCTCAGTGCTAGGTATGGTAGGCCAATTCATTTCTTCACTGAGGTATGATTGCTTTAGTTGTATGCTCTTGTCTTGTCTTTTCAACCTTCTATAGTCTCTTTGATACTGAACTTGCCGCTGTTTCCTTATTTCTGGGAGTGTGTTATGGAATATTGCATTTATCACAGCATCACCATAGTATGCAATCAAGATACTTTCAACAATATTGCATGGATTTGGCACATTAGATAACATGTTGCCACTGTGAAGTATTGTTGGTACACTTCAGCAATACTCAAGTCACTGATATATTGCTTGATGCCCAATATCTTGGAAACCAGTATTTGCATTGCTCTTGTTTTGCTCTTCATGTGGTCAGTCTGAAATATGGTGTAACAATGATCTAAAATGTCCTTGTCTAAACATTTCAGTTGACTGAGAATATGAGGGTCTATATCAGGAACTGTACTTGAATGAGCAACATCATGTGCTATACTGGAAAGCATAGGAGATTGGCATAGACATTTCAGAATCTTGCAGCCATATAATTGTATATAGTAATGCTTTAAAATTATATATCTACAGTAGAATGGTGAACTGAGCAGCAGAGAGCAGTTGCATGTTTGGCACAGGAGAACATCTGACATATTTGCCAATAACACTTTAGATGAGTTGAAATGCTGCAGTAGTTGCTTAGCCAAAGATGCTTTGGATTGCCTGATACCTTGTGTCTGATCAACACATGTACAAACAGCAGCCCATAATTCAGCTCTGGTAAGGGATTGTAATTGCTGCAGGTAATAATCATCAGTATAATAGAACCATGAAGGATTGCTATTCATGATGCCTTGGACTGTGTCATTAGGGACACTTGCGATTGTATGTGGTATGTTGTCTGATGATGAGACTGGTATATAGTCTGCAGAATCATCTGGTAAAACTGGTAGTGGGCCTGAGACACTGTCTGGTAAAACTAGTATTGAGCCCAAGGCCCTATCTGGTAGTTGGGAAGTAGGGGCAATACTAGTTAGTTGTTGTGACATGGAAATGGCAGCTGCTTCAGGGGAGAAGACAAGATGTGTTGAAGTGAATGTCTCGATAATAGTGGCAGGAGGCATGTTATATATGCTCGGAAAAAACCGGAGGAAGATCCGGCCGCACGAGCGGAACACAGAGCCAGGCAGAGCCTCGGTCAGACGCGAGCGCACGGGCCGGCACGGCTTGCATGTGGACAGTTTCCCTATGCGGTATCGCGCGTACCGTATATGGACGAAAATTTCCCACGGCGACACGGCATCCCCGGCGCAATCACCGCGGGCAAACCAGGTTGTTCGAACTCCGAAAACCCCTACGAACATCGGTCCCGCCTGGGAACCTTTACGGACTCCGAATATTGTCAGAACATGCTGCGAACATGATGCGTTTCAGCCGATTTCAGCATGTTCGGAGGCCGAACATGCGTGTTTTCGGCGAACATGCTACGAACATGAGAAATGTGGGAGCATTTTCGGAGTCAGTCAAGCTCTCCGACAAGGTTCCCATGGAGGACCGATGTTATTAGCATTTTCGGAGCCCGAAAAACCTGGTTTGCCCGCGGTGAATATCGTTTCTACTTGACAGAGCCCTCCCTCCCTTCGGGAGGAGTCGGGGATAATGACGTCATCGCCGTTCAGCCTCGCGGTGTCGCGGTCTTGTGACCAGCGCGCGCGACGCGTTGCAGCCTGCATATCGATCTCGCACATCGCAAGGCAACTCGAACAAGCCCCTTGGCACGGCATGAGCACTCAGCAGATCCTTCGGCACTCGACATTTTCCAATAGAGGAATCTCGCCTTTCTTTGAGTTTGTAATATGATAACATTCGCCCCCCAGTTCCAAAAATACTTCATGACTACGACCCTACCCGGGAATCTGCTACACTAGAAAGGCATGGACTGCACGAGCCTGAAGCCGATGCCTAGTGGTGCCGCAGAGGCGGGCAAAGGTGCCCTAGGTTGCGCACCACCTTGCTGTGAATGTCTGCGGGGTGAGGCTGAACGACGAAATGATCAGCTGAAAATTTACAAACGCAAACCAAAATGTCACGAGAAACACTCACAGCATTTTTGGGGCGGTCTGCGTAGTCCCAGTCGATCAAGTTCGCCGAAGTAATATGATCGTCGAAGAGGATGTTGCCCCTCGTCAGGTCACCGTGCGCCCAGTGCGTCGTGGTGTAGTAGTGTTCGAAAGCGGCCGTGGCCAAGTCCGCCGCGTGGTTGAGCAGGTGGTGGCAGGCTTGCGCGTCGTGCCTCACTCTGAGGTACGCGTGCGTCTTGTCGAAGGCGACGCCGGGCGAGGGCTTGATGAACAGCCACCTGCGGTGCTTATGGTCCGTTCCAGCGAAAAGAAGTGCGCCGACCTGCGTGGCAGATAGGCGGAAACATCAGTCATCAAGGTCACAGGATCTTGGAGAGCAACCCGGACACTCACGTCGTACGTAGCGTGCTCCTCCTGCGAGGTGACTTTCGTCTTGGCGAAGGCGCCCTTGTACGATCCGCACTGGACCTGGTATGTAACGCCGTGAACGCCCTGATTGCTGTGTCGACGAAGGTGATATATGTTGCCATCAATCTCCACGAGCTTTTCCGCTGCAACGACGTTACTACAACGTCACTATACAAAAGCGGCAACGAAACATCACATACGGAGGGCGCGCGCATCGAGCTCTCGCATGTCTAGCGTATGCGCTAGCTCGCGAACCTTCTTGGCGTTGCACTGTAGGACCAAGAGTGGTCAGCGACATACACAAGATTGCGTTGAGGAACACGGAAGCACTCACGGTATCATGATGCTGATTGACCGGAGCAGACCAAGCAAACAGCGCAAGGTATGAAAAGGCGATAGCAAGGAGAGCGAAACGCATCGTGGATGAGAACGAGTCGTGAAGTCGTGAAGTCGAAGAGAATGCGGAAGAAGAATAGTTATAGAATAAAGAGGAACGAAGGGCGGGAGAGAGGACCAGCCAACTCGAGGTCTGCTGCATGCCGCCTTGGGGCTTTTATACCTCGAAGCATCGCTACCGGTTATCCAAGTCGTGAACGCGTGAACGTCGAACGATGCTAGCTGAGCGACTGAGCAGGGCCATACATACATACGCGCGCACCTGATGAGAGACCATATCGTTGAGAAGTTACATTGACGTTGAGAGATTGGCAAACTACGGCCAATTGATGTGACGATGCGACCCATAATGGTATATCCGTCATGCTTGGCAGTCGGACTACAGCGGGGAACCATACTCAATGGCTGCAGGGAATTCAATGGAGTGTTCGTGAACAATGCGGCTACTCAATGCAAGCTGCATACGACGTCAACCTAAAGGTATGTCTTGACCTGTCTGTGCCCCGAGACAATACGAGCCATAAAGCCACAAACCAACAAGCATACCTTTGTAGGGCTAGCTTGTGCCAGCGAAGCGGCATCAAAGTCGATATTCGGAGAATCGGATTCGGAAGCGTTCCTCTGCAGCTTGAACACAGCCACATTGTGCGCGTGGCATGATCGCTAGGCTACATGAATCATGATATGCTTAGATCATGATGTATGTAGGAATCCATAGGATGCATACAAGAGGCGTCAGAGATTCAGATCGGGTACACGATGCCTAGGGGGGAGGGGGGGGTGGTCGGCCCTTCGACCGCGTCCAACGACAAAATGTACCAATAGTTACGAATAAGGTGCAACCCTCCCCCAAAAGGCAGCTGATGAAGTCAGCGGAGGGGAAGATGTCCGCCGATGGCATGCCGGAGGTCAATATCGCGACGCTCGCGATGCGCCGAGCCCATGTTCGCGCTCAATGCTTGTATTCTCGGTCAAAGACGCATCACTATGTGCTTGCGTCGCGGTTCGGGCCATAGGCGCTTACCTCTCAGTCGCGCGCCTGTAGCTGAAACGCCGGCTCGGATGCGCCAACTTTGGACTACCACCTATTTAGCTTGTTCGGCATCGTCTCTGCGGCGGTCCCAACCCCGTCTTGTCCGAGTACGAGTCGCCCCGTAGTATGCAAGATCTGCGAAGAGAGCCGGCTAACCACAGTGAGGTCATCAGTTCGACGACAATATTGTATTCTGGACCTCTGGTCATACTTGGTCATGCGAGAGCACATCATGGACAAGCACCCCAACACGGAGAACAGCAAGGTATTCGTATCTACTACACGTTCCTACGGTTCACACAATGAGTTCCTCTTTCGTAAGTTAGCGCGATATGAAGGGCAAGCCGATCGTGGAGAAGGACGAATGTGACGGGAAAGCGGCGGCAGATAAGAAGGGAAAGGCTGCTACTAAGGGAAAGGGCACAAAGAAATCAGGTGTGGACACTTCGGTGCCAGTGAGAGCTGTCGAGGAAGAAGGGGAGGCAACAGTCGGTCATACCCGGTATGGTACGCCGGAAGGCCACAGTTCGATTTCCGTTTGAGGTGGCTGTTGCCGAGGCCCGATCTGCTTACGTAAGCTAATCTGGCGAAAGTCTTGTTCCGATTCGTGCCTCCCCTTGGCCTCCCTTCACTAAATTCATGCTCTACTGAGTGCTACAGACTATTCTTGATCTGTATCGGGTTGAATTGCAGCTTTTGAATACATTGTGGGGAGTCCATATCTCAAATTTGAGCCGGAAGAGCCGGAACCTCGGTAAGCGCCGTCGGGTAACGGTCACACTTGGCGGTGGACGACGTCTTCATTGCGCACGGGGGCGATTGGGCGCAATGCTTTGAAACTTATCTGGCTTGACTCACAGAAAATGGTTGGATAACTCACATCGCTGCGGATGAACAGAACTTAAGTGCAACCGATGTCCGCCGCCTGTCCAATTTAGGCAGGTGTGACCGTGAGTCTGGGGCGCTTACGGAGTTGCAGCACACCGAGACGTACAATCCATACCACAGAACACCCAAAATCCAGTAGAAAGCCGATTAATGCACTCAATAATGTCTCTTCATTGTCTCAGAGTACATGGGGGATGAGCTAATCTAAGGGAGAGCACAGACGAGGCCATGCAACACTTGGCCAGAGTGGCTTACGTAAGCAGATCGAGCCTCGGTAGCGGCCGTACCATGGCCGTATCACTGACAAGGGATTGCTTCGCTTCGCTCCGCCTGGCCGGTATGGCTTGCTTGAAGCTTGCTCAGAGGTTGCTTGAACGAGTATGAGAAAACCGTAGGTGACGGAGGTTACGCATCAGGAAAACCCTGATTTACTGAAATAGTCTTCAGCTAACATATGTGCATGCCAGCCAATATTTGTAAACATTAGGGCTCTTCTTGCTACACTAGTGACCGGCTCTGACTATCAATGGCTGACTGAAGTAACGCAAAGTGCCACTTGCATAAACTGATGCATCAGGAAAAAAACATATACTATGTGACACAATGCAGTCAATATTGCAGCCATTGGGGCATTGCATACTCCCCTCTACATCATCAGGAAAATCTCCCCCTCGGAATTAGCATCAACACTGCAACATCCACAGTATTACTGTGAATACTTGCAATTACTCAGCATTGCAACAGTCATTCGCAACATTCTCGCGAAATCCTAGGTATGATAGGAATCGGTTCTGTATACCAAGTAATATTGGTGTCATTGATGTTATTCACTGTGTCAGGCACCAGGTTCACATAATGAACGATAATAAACATGACATTCCGACACACGGATATAATGGTACCAATATACATCGCAGAAGCTATGGGGGCTTTGGTAGTGATTTAAGTAGAACACGGCGCCCGGTACATTCTTCTAAGATGTTATCGCTCGTCCAATGTACCGGAGGCTTACCCGGCGCGGGCCCGGTCAGGTACCCGCCCAGCGTGTACAGTCATCTGCGGGTCCTCGCGGGCTGGCGCGGGTGCGGATATTGGCGACGTGTCGAGCGGGTGAGGAGAGTGGACGGCGGGCAAGCGTGCGAGGACGCGGGCGATCGCGCAGGCAAGCAGGGAATGGGCATGCGTGCGCCGTGCGGGCGAATGTCAGCGACTCGGAAGAGTGAGTGGGTAGACGGATGAGCGGACGGCCACCGGTCGCTGTGCGTATCCTGGGTGCGTGCGGCCTGTGCTGCGCGCGTGGCGTCCACTCGTCGGCCGACGTTGTGGGTGTGGCATTTGCCCTGCCCACTGCTGGTCGTCGTGTACGTCGCCTGTGCGGGAAGGTTGACCGGTTGCCTGCCAGTCCACTCACCTGCTGTCCTACCCTCCTACTCACCTGCCTGCACGCTCTCGGCCTCGCCCCCACCCGTACCTGCCATTCGCTCGCTCCCGACCTTGCGCGCGTGGTGTCCGCTCGCCGGCCGTGCTTGCATGCTGGGCATTTGCCGCGCCCGTCTGTGGTTGCCGTGCGTGTCGACTGCGCGGGCAGCTCGATCGCTTGGGTGCGACTTTGCTTGCCTTTGCGGCGTGAACGGGCGGCGGGCAGGCGTGCCGCGTGCACGCCGGGTGTGCGAATGCGCAAGTGGGCGGTCGAGAGGAGAGGGCGGGTGGGTATGTGTGCGCCTGCGTGCAGGCGGGCGAGGGGCGTGGTGCACGACCACGACGAGGCCGTCAGTACACATGGGCACTGGTCCTATCTATAGCCCTTCGTCAACGAGCTCGCAGAGAGACACTACATACATACTCACCTTTGGTGAGCCCGGCTCAGAGAGATGTTGACGACGAGACAACAGCAGTTGCCTAAGTCGTGAACGCGTGAACGCCCGAGTCTCGACTTGTCCGGAGGAGAGCACGTGCCACCATGCCACCGCCACGTCAGGCGCTCCCACCTTGGTCCTCTGAGTCCTACCTCGACGACCACTCTCCGCTGTCTGCCGTCTCCTGCCCGCTCACCGGCATCACTTGTCCATGTCTCGCCCACGACAATAACTTGTTACTGCACTTGATCGGCCAACATCCCAGCCACTTCCCTGGCAGTTCGAGCCCCACAGTCCGGCAGCCACCGCGCAGCCTCTACTATGCAACTGAGTTCCGTGCACCGCCCTCCCTCGCACGACTCGTGCGTGCACGTCGAACGCACCCGCCACCTTCTGCCGCCTCCCAACCTTCCGGCGCATCAGCGCGCTCGCGCCCCACCAGCCGACGTGCCTCGAACCAGCAGCCACCTGCAGAACAGAGTCAGCAGCGCTGCGCGCCGGGAGCCGTGGCCCGGCCACTCGCTTGCTGGTCCACCTGGCAACTGGTCCACTCACTCATTCACCGCACCCACTGACGCACCCGCTTGCCCACCCGCGAACCCGCTTACCCGCGCTTACCCGCGCGTGACCCGTACCCGCTGCGGCGGGTCCGTACCCGCGCGGGTAAGGGTACGAGTCGAGCCAGATATACCCATGGGTATACCCGTGCTCTGCACTACTCAGGATCAAAATTTCGCGGCCTGGGCGACACGCAAACCGGTCGCGCGGCTCGGGACTTGCACGACGCGCGCACAGGTCCAGTGCCGAGCATCAAGGACGCGCCGAGCGCAGGGCAAGGAGGAACGGCGCAGGGCGTGAGTGACGCGCAGCGAGGAGGTGGAGAGGAGAGCACGAAGAGAGAGCAGGAGGAAGGGTGCGGGGCGGACTGGAAGACCAAGCACCGAGGCTCGAGGTTGGAAGGTACGTCCTCGTCGGACGCACCTCCCTCACCGCCGCCGCTACCAGTTAGCTCGCAAGCACCCGCGTTGTCCCTCGTTCCTCGCCGCCGCCGTCCTCCCACCCACCTCACTGCCACCTCCACCAGCACCCGCCAGTGCCGCCGCCCACAAGCCCACGCTCGCCACCGCCCACAAGCCCACGCCCGCCACCGCCTGCCAGCACACACCTGCCGCCGCCGCCGCCTCATGCTGCCGCCTCGCAAACGATGCAAAAGTGAGTGACATCGCATGCGGGTGAGCTAGCTAATGGGCGGTGGGGCAGGGGTCAGTGCGCTCGACGTCGCGTCTCAAATGCGAGCGATGCAGCATCAACCGCATCCGGCTGCTGGCCGGAGATACCGCCAGCGATGCCGCAAGAGTGTCGCGGGGTACTCTCCGAGGGATGGGGCGAGAGGGGAGAGGCTGAGCGCGGCTGAGAACGTGCACGTATGGTACGTCATCTCTCTCTTTCATCCTCACCACCGCGTTGCAAACACATTCAAAGATGCGGAGCGGACGTGCGGCCAAGCCGTCAAACTGCGCAGGCGACACGCACGGCGACCACGAGCGGGCAGGGCAACTGCCCCACACGCAACGATGGCCGGTGAATGGACGCCTCTCGTGGAAGGTTGAGCACGAGCGAACGGCGGCCAGTACAGTGGATGGGGCAAAGCCGACAGCAAGCAGGCCCGCGGTGAATATGAGACGGGAAATCAGGTAAGTGTCTGCATCTTGTAGCCGCCAGGCTCCCGCTGACGAGGATCACCGCACCCGCACCTGCGCCCACCGCCGTCCGCGGCCTACCTACTCGTTTACCCCCACACGATCACTCGCTGCACGACCACAATCACTCGCTGCCCCCGCACAATCACTCTGCACGACCACGATCGCTCTCTGCACGACCACAATTGCCTGCCCGCAACGCACACGCCCGCCCGCACGCACGCACGTACATACAGACAACTGTATGTATGTACACACGTCCACCTGCATCGTACTTACCAGCGCGATCGACGCCCGTGTCTAAGTATGCTCGCCCACCCATGCCCCTCGCCCCCGACTGGTACCCTTCACCAGTACCCGTACCCGCCGCAACCCACGAGACCTGCAGACAACCCGTACCCCCCCTCCCCCGGGCGTGCGGCGCATCCGGTGGCGTGGGAGCGAGCCGCCTCCGCGAGGCGGCTCGCTCCCACGCCACACGCTCTCGCCGGACGAGTGACTCAGCGTCGGCATGGACAGCGTTGTGGGTCCCCGAGTCTGAGGGGTGTTGAAGGAGTGCAACCCATTTGGGTGTCGACAAGCTAAGGCGAAAATGGGTGCAACGGGACCGAGAACTCTTGCCTACGACCGCACGATGAGAGATAGAAGCAGGATAGAATGTTGGTTTGACTCGGTACATGTCTTGTATGCTCTTAGAATGACATATTATATATTTGTCGGATTTGGCGCTTACTTCGGCGGTACATATTGAACCGTGGGTAATCCCGTGATTATCTCGACTGGTCTCCGTTTCATTTTGCGGTGAGTATCATCTCACCTTAACACTATTGCCCTGGTCAAATCGTACAACCCAAATGGACAGACATATGACCCGATCCGCTGCCTCAAAACAAGCAGAGAATCCTGCAGGCCAGCGAAGCACAGCCTTGAAGGGTACCAAGGACAAGCAGAAAGTGGTAAATACGGCTGCAACATCGTCCGCTGCAGCTAAGAAGAAAAGTCAGAAGGCTCAGGAGAAGCAGAGGGAGAAGGAGGAACGAACAGATAGTACGTGCCCTTGTCTACTCCGACACACACTAATCAACTTCACTTTGCTGTGTGTGTCAGAGATACGCAAGAGAAAATCAAAGATGATGGAGGAAGATGAAGCATCGCATGATGAAGAGGACATAAGGCCCCAGAAGAAGAAGAAGTCACGCTCGCGCAACGACAACGCACAGGAGGAGGACGAGCCTGCCAATGACACGGCGCAAGGCAACAAGGTAGCTGACATGGTGATGCAAGACCAGATGGCTGACAGCGAGGGCGAGCAGCCCAAGAAGCCACGGCGTATGTGATTCATATACATTGGCACATGAAACTCACAACACCACGCTGCTCTAGCTATGCCAAAGCGGAAGTACGGCCAACATGCAAAACCTGCGCCTACACTAGACGCGGACGAGGAGGACCTGGCACGAACATTGGGTAAGTCCTTTGGCCATCGTGCATACATCAAATTATGACCACCTGCTAGGCGGCGGACGAAAAGAACAGGACACTCGGGCTCCTCCGAGCAAGTCGGTCAACACCCCCTCACGAGCGACAGATGCGGCTGCAAGGGTTCGCACCCTGTTCCGTAATTTGCTCTTGGTGACATGACTCATAGTGACGTTCACGAAGAAGCAGGACAAGGGTAAGAATCGCGCCAACAACAACTCGGATGACGAGCGTAGCAAATCCCCGGCCGCCAGCGACGATAGTCGCAAGAATTCTGACAAGGCCAAGCGCACGGCTGCAGGCCCACATGACAAACCATCCGATGACTCAGATCAGGACGACAGCAGCAAGGATGATGATCAAGAGGAAGGAGAGGCGTATGAAGACGACAGAGATGAGGAGGATGAAGAGGAGACAGACCACGCAGAAGAGGGACAGAGCGATGACAATGGGATGATCGTCAGTGTCAATCATCTCTGCAATCATATTGAATGATGCAGACATCTCTCACACTTTACAGGTCTTGTCTGACTCCAGGCGCAAGGGCAAGGGTGCTCGTCCCAAGGCGTATCGCACCGGTGGGGCCAAGGGCGCGCGCCTCAGGGTGTCAGACTTGCCAACATGGCTTGTTCCACTTTTCCATGCAGCACAAGATGCGCTGCGCCTCCGCACCGCTCTGAAGTCCGCCTGGACGAAGGAGCCGTCAGTCGTCTCCAAGCGGCTGCCCAGCGTGGATGATCTCATCAAGGCGAGCGTTCAAGATGCATATGAGAAAGGCGACAAGAAGGTGCGGGATTCCTGGAGAATGTTGCAGGATCGGAAGGGCAAGGACAACAGCCAGAGAGAGCGTCATAGGCAGGACATGCACAAACTGGTAAGCAAACAGATCTTCTGATGCATTGGCATGAGCTGATATAGCGGAGATCGTGCGCGCGTTATCTCAAACTCGAAACGAGCTCAAGGGGAAGGCGTCCCAGGTGATCCAGAAGGCTTACGACCTGAGCCCTCACCTATACTCTCTTGATGACAGGAGGCCAATTGCGTTGTGGCTGATCGGCAAGGTCAGCGTGAAGATGGGCGATCGAACGGCTTTGCTTCCTCGTTTCATCTTCGGGGAGATAGAACACAACCTTGGGAAGGAACAGGGCTCGTCCGTGGAGAAGAGTGTGAGTACAATGCCTTAGCTATACTACGGAAGGAAGCACTGATCATGAATTACATCATGAGCAAGTACAACCGCTTGCTACCTTTCAGGCACCCGGCAATCCAAGAGCTGATCTACCTGTACTGGGGGCCCGCCAAACGTGAGGGTGCGTGCATCAAGGCGGCGATGGTAGACTTCAAGAAGGTGCCTCTGAACCTCATCGCACTAGTGTGCACCGCCGTAAGCCCTATTCCAATCCACGCACAAAACCAACTGACGTCATTGCACTTGTGTAGATAGAGGGAGCATTGGCTGACGTCGCCGCGCAGGTGGAAGAAGACAACGAAGTGAACCTGAAATTTGCGAACTCGGTCTACGCCAAGAAGTAAGTCTGCTTACCTTGTGGTATCTATACTAAATGTTGGGCGCAATTCAAGATGGGACAGCCTGATGAGTGCACTGGAGTACATGAATAACAAGCCATACCTTCAGGAGACGCAGTCACTAATCTGGTCGTATATAAGGTAACTTCTCGCAATCGATATGGCTTGGTTTGCTCACTAGGGACGTAGGTCGAAGATGCAAGGGGACGAGGATGGTGATATGGACGCTGTGGAGGAGAACCAGGAGGAGGAAGAAGACGGGGAACGTGTGGGCGGTGCGGCTATCGACCTCGACCAGCTGAACGTCACCTTGCCAGCCGTGGCATCAGGCAGCAAGGCAAAGACTCCTGCGGCGTCCAAGACTGCAGCTGGATCATCGAAGGATGCAGCGAACGCAGAGAGTGGACCGTCACATCCGTCGCGATCGAAGTCCGGCGCGAAGAAGGCCCAGGAGAGTTCGGGGGAGCAAACTTCCAGCAGCGAGCGTGAGGTCGATGAACTCGGCAATGAGTGGTAAGTCAGTCAGTGTCCAGTGGTTTCTTTGTATCTCACTGCGAGAGGTACATCACCAAGATGTCGTAGTTGTCCTGTCGCATCAAGGCCGTGAACATCATCAACTTTGTCTGTTTCGCGTGGCAGGAGCAGTAGAATCGGCCCATTTCCAAGGCGAGTGTTTCTATGCCCATACCACCTCTATCTACACTTACTCATACGACAATCCTGCAGCTACTATATCTATCATCCTCTGTACTACTACACATCAGACGTGCGTGCCTGCTACGTATCCCACTCCCCCTCTACTACTATTTGCCTGTCTCAGCCGTGGTCGTCATCCCGGCGCCGTCTGACCTCGAGTCTATGCCTATCTGTTGATCGTGCTATACCAGTAGTTATGTGTCTGTATATGTTGTACAACAACCCGCACTGCTAATATTTATGATGTGATCTGGTACATGTGCATAAGTGGACATCAGCAGACTTAATTCTGTACATAACTGTACTTCAGCACGCCCACTGAAGTACATATTGTAGGTGAAATAAGGGCAACTAAAGACCAAAATGACAACACAATTAAGACTGAATAAGACACAAGATGTCTTTATTGCGTACATTAGTGCTCTTATGCATAATATCAAAGACACAATAAGACGGGGACTTGTCTTAAGTGCCATGTTTTGGTCTTATGTAACATTTTACGTCTTTTGTGTCCTATACGCTCCTAAGATGTCTTGTAGATGACCTCTGATGAGACCTTATGTAGGCACGGTTTTTCCTGATGCGATAGTCGGTGTTTGCGCACACGTAGGGGCGACAATCTAAACAGCTGCCCGGGCCCCTAATGCGGAGCTCGAGGAGGAGTACTAGGTTCCTAGCAAGCAGCTAAAGCAAATCATGAGGCTGACCGTGATGAACCTATCCTTGAAAGGGAAGGTCATCAGATGAGTCAAATGTCGAACATAAAGGGAAAGGCGAAGACGGCGGATGTGCATGTGGGAGATGCCAAACAGACGTCAACGAATTCACCGGATATGCGTATAATAGTAGTAATTTTGAACTGTGGCCTTCCGGCCGACCTTAACCCGGTAGACTTGAAGGCTTGGGTGACCGCTTTTTTGATCAAATATATGCACTTTTTTGCGCGACCGAGGGGGTGGGGGGGTGGTACTCGGTCCTCGACCGCTTTTCGAAATAATAATAACCGGGGGTGGGGGGGTGGTAAGCCAGGATGGCGGATATTCCGGATATACTGGCATTGTGTACGAGAATTTACTTCCTGACGCCCCTTGGATGCATATGCATCTGATCGACGGTTGACGTTGAGCTTTAGATTCTGTATGCAGTATTATACACAGCCGTAGGCAAGTTCGGGAGAGATCGACCCTGGAGGAGGGCCCTCTTGACCGGTCACAGGAGCATCCATTCTGTTGCGGCCACATCGCTGTGATAAGTCCGGCGCAATGACTCCAGCAAATCTTTGTGGCGCTACGTTGCGCTTCTTCGACGGCGACCACTGAAGTACTGAGTACTGAGTACTGAGCACTGAGTACTGAGTACCGAGTGCTCAGCGACTCGGAGCAAGTTCAAACGATCGAGGATTCAAGGTTACTAGGCGCGATCACATGACTGAAATGAAACGCGTAAGTAACTTAACAGCCTCGATCATCGCCATCTTGAGGCCTCGTTTGAGTAAATACCTCACTGATTGTCGCAATAGCAAACTCGATGGCTCATTCCCAGCTCGTCTACGATGTATCATACCTGCTGGAGGTTGTGATCAAGTTGCGATACAAGCAAATGGATCCGTTCGCTGGCACAGGGGCACTACAGCTATCAACTTAGTACGCCCATTTCGCTCGTTCTGCCACCGTGAGGATGCATACCTTGTGCATGTCAGTCAGTAGTTCATGGGAGTGAAATCTGATGGAGGAGTTCCGATCGTACGGGCTTATACACAGCTTCTGGATCGTGCATGTCTCACACAAGACATTTGGCTATGCGTTGCGCCGCTACGCGCGCAGGCTTCGACTTCGCTTCGAAACTGTTGGTGGAGCTATTTACTAGTGCACGGACAAGGTGTTGTCGAACGGTATGGTAAGCAAAGTCATCATACATTCAATTTACTGACGTACGCTCATAAATCTCTACTTCAGCCGTGTCGGTTCATCGCGCTGAAAATGCCTTAGCCTTATGCACGCCTTGTCACCCATTGAGCTGCGTATTGACACCACAATGTTCCCAAGCTATCCCTGTTCTGCATGCGCGCGCATCATGATCCAATGAGTACGACTCATCTAGTAGTTGAAGGGATATCTGATGGCAAATATGAACTTGTTCGCGCTGATGTGCCTCCTCTTCTTCGCCAGCCTCGCGCGCCTTGGCTATGCACGGGACTGCAGCCCTCTGCAGCCTTCTGGCGTACGCAGGAGACGCCGGGCTTTGCATATAAAAGGGAAACCCTCGCCGCTCTTATTCCTCAGCTCACTTCTCTTTCTTGGGCTCAACTACACGGGCAGGTACTGGCTAGTAAGTATTCACCGCCCCACATATCTCCCGCCTTGTTACTGACCGCTTTACTTTGTAGCTTTGCTTGTTTCATTTCACGACTCTTCGATCTCGTTCTTTACGATCCACGCCGTTCATCACTACAGAAATCGACCATCCGTCATGCGCTTCGGAGCAGCTATCTCTTTGCTTTGCGCTGTCGCGTCGATGACGCCCCTTGCGTTCGCCGCCCCAGTTGCCGCAGACTCGTACGTACCTTTCGCCCATGTTCGCTCTCTCCGAAACTGACCTCTTTGTTTAGGACTGTTGGCTTCGAGGCCCGTGGCTTCGACGCTGAGGCCGCAGACCTCGTCGCTCGTTCCAACTTTGATGAGGCGACGAGCCTTCTCGCCCGGGCGGTCGCGGACGTGCTCAGTGCTCGAACTGACCGTCCTGGCCACCAAAACCCAGTGAAGCCCAAGAACGACAAGAAGCGCATGTACGAGGGGAAAAAACCCGTTCCTATTCCGAAGACTTCTCTCCCGAAGTTCAAGCCGAAGGGCACCCCAGACCAGTCGGCTCAACCCAAGCAGGGCTCGTCGCGTCCTCGCGCTCTCGAGGAGGTAGACGGTCTCTGGCAGCGGGAGTTCGACGACGAGCTCTGGGCCCGCACCGAACCCCCTCCTCACTACCAGAAGCACGACCCAATCAACGGCAAGAAGCCTAAGTACGTCCCGAAGGTGGCGAAGTACAGGCAGAATGATGAATCACTGCGCACGCCATCGGACCGTGACCGGCGCGTTGGGGGGGCTCAGCAGAGGCCCGCTGCGCAGAGCCAAGGCCAGTCGCGTCCTCGCGATCTCGAGGAGGTAGACGGTCTCTGGCAGCGGGAGTTCGACGACGAGCTCTGGGCCCGCACCGAACCCCCTCCTCACTACCAGAAGCACGACCCACTCAACGGCAAGAAGCCTAAGTACATCCCGAAGGTGGCGAAGTACAGGCAGAATGATGCATCAACGCGCGAGCCAACGGACCGGCGCGCTCGGTGGGCTGAGCAGCGTGTCGCTGCGCAGAGCCAAGGCCAGTCGCGTCCTCGCGATCTCGAGGAGGTAGACGGTCTCTGGCAGCGGGAGTTCAACGACGAGCTTTGGAGCCGCGAGTTCTACGATTAGCTTTGGGCGCGGGAGGCAAGCGGAAGGACTTGGAGGAGATGTGGGCGCGCGAGCTCGACGACGCGGCGATGTTCGACTTCGCTCGCGGCGACCGGTCAGACTTCCTGGAGTACGGAGAACGGGGCAGCACTTGGGACTGTCGATCGGCTGCTTTCTGATTTTGCTCCCATGGACATTGTATGGCATCCTTTGTAACTTTGACGTGGATATCTAGTAATGGGACTTGATGAGTTGTGGAACTTCGAAGTTGTGTGTCAGTTCGAGTCTTGGACCAGTCGACGTTTGAAGTCAGCTTTCGTGGCAGACCATGAAAGTCCTGTAAGTGCTCCGTACTCGTGAGCTTTAGGCATAACATATTGTACATCTGTGCTGAGACGGGGTTCACAGCGACGTTCACATGTAACAAGATTGGGTAGAGGGTCACTGTGCGAACGGCCCAGCTTTGTCATCTACCCTGCACCGTCACTCAGGCTGACGAGCACTATTAGTATGAGGCTAGGCAAACCTCGAGCTCAGTTAGACAGCCACTCTGAGAGCTGCCACCGACACTTCTGCACTCTTCTGCACTACATGATGACAAACGCACACGCAAGTTAGTAACGCATCCGCACGAAGGTTTGATCCAACGCGGACACTGGCACGCTGTGCTGATACAGTTTGACGTTGACATATACATTCAGTGGCGGATCGACGCTGGTACTTACTCAGCGGCGCAACGCTCGCGCTCGGATCCATAGGACACATCGGAGTCTTCAATGAAAGGAGTGCGGAGGGCACATCGACTCTCCGCGCTGTCACTACTGAATGTGCAATGGAGCTGTGAGCGGAGGCGAACAGAATCCAACTGCACGACGCTTTCGCCGTCACTTGACTGAATCACTGCAATGTAAGGGCGAAATTGACTGAAGCGTTACCCGCACCGCCCATGAACAGTTCTCTACGTTCCAATAGACTATACCGACTACGCAGATACTCGTCACAAGGTCAACTCGGGACCGCAGTGAATACATCCACTCACGAACGCCCGTCACTCCTCGTCCCCAGCGTTCCACACCTACCTACCCTGTCCTACATCCCGCATCCCATTTCCGTCCATCTACACCCCGTGCACGGCGTTCGCTGCGCTAGCACTGGATGGGAATACAGACATCCCGTCGAACACCCCGAGCACGCCGAGATCCAGAATGGTCCAGTGCAGACTCAGCTGGTTACTTACCTCCGACAGACATGTTCGGAGCGCCGATACCAGAAGCAGGATTGACTGCAGGGTGAGTACTTAGTGGGATCGCTGCCGCGCGGGACCGGCGAAGGCATACCGCGCTTCCGGGCCACGCTCCCTGCGCACGATGCAGCAGAGCGCCGTGCACTTTGCAGGAGCGTTATCGTAGACGCGCCTATCTGTGCCGGGAGAGGTAGAGGTGAACGTCAGGCGTCAAGCTCCAGGTGAGTCGAAGAGGTGTGGGCCGCTGGTGCGTACCTAATAGGCCAAAGGCCTACGTGATGCATGACGACGGCCGGACGCTTTGAGGGGTGGCTGCAGTCAAGGTTCCCTGAGTAGTGAACCGAGGGCACCTGGTAAGAGAGTTCAATGGATGATGAAAGGGTGGTTCCCCTCAAAGCAGTAGAAGCAGTAGTGGATGACCGGTGGACAAAGTGTCGACGAATACGAGTAGTTGCCGTACTTTCAACACCTATAATGAACCTGGCACCATGCTTCGCGGCAAATATGGGGTTCCGTGAGAAACGTGCACACAGCACGAGCCGGCAGGGTACGAACAAGGCATAAGGAAGCTCAGCACACAATGAAAGACCGATATGAGACCAAGCCGTCACTGCCGCTGATAAGGCCAACCACAAAGGCATTACATCTGTCCGATTGGGAGGCCGATGTTTCCGTTGCGCCTCACGGAGCGATCAAGGAGTCTGAGTCGGCTTTGGCAGATCGTTGCCTGCGCGAACTCGGGTGCGCATGCGGTGGGACGTACGCATTCGCGAATGCGTATCTCCTCTGGCTTCACATGGGCCTTGGCGCGGCAGAATGATCGGTCGGGATGGGTGCGTGGTGGTGACGTCCTCGATGAGTCGAGCGTTTGCGAGCAGGGGTCGTGGATCGGATTCTCTCGCCTTCGTAACGCGAGGCCAACGCCGGGTCGCCTGGCGGTCTTTCAGGCAATGGTAGACGGGAAGCCGTGCGCGAGCAGGAGGCTCATCAGGAGACCAGTGAGGGAGTCGCCATGAGTCAGGACGCGTTGGCAGAAGCCGTTGCCTAGTGTTTATTTGCCACCGCGTAAGATGAGTCATACCCAGGACGAGCAATAGCACTTGCCCATTGCGCGATCTGCGGCGACGAGTGCCCTCGAATGGCAGGAAGGCGGCGTCGAGGCTGCGAAGAATGGGGCAGGTGCTGCGAGTTGAAGAGTGATGATGGATGGCCCAGGGCTGGCCCTCGCTGAGGAGGGCCAGGGAGCAGCCTCGGGGAAATCAAACGTGCGCCCATGATCGGAGGCGGTCTTGTACCTAATGCGGGAGTCAGCACCGGCTACCAGCCAATCAGCGACGCCGAAACACGGTTCTGGACCACGGAAGAAAATGTTATCTCGGATTTTGATCTGAGACGCCCGATGGGGGATGGATACGTCCTCCTCACCCTCTTGCTCGCCAATCCCGGCTGAAGCACAAGCTTACCAAGCCGCAATTTTATGTCGCGGCGCGCACAAACCCACGTCAGTTCTCCGACATGAGCTCACCGCCTGCCCTCCAAATAAAAGACCGCCCTCCCCCATCTCCTCCGCCGTCCCATCCCTCTCGTCCGCGCCCCCCCCCCCCCTCTTCCTCATTTCCGTTTCTTTACTCGTCTGTGTGTAGCATCGTCCAATAGAGAGTCCCTCACGTCGTTTCGCCCTCGCACAAGTATCAGGAAGCACCATAGCAAATAGACAATAGACGTTTCGCACCATGATCGCGCCCCCAAAACCCAGTGGCCCGCTCTCGCCGACGCAGACACTCGTCGACGGCCGCGTCCCTCAAAAATATTCGGCCGCGCGCCGCTACCTTCTTCTTCTGACGTTCTGTCTTGCACAGTTTCTCGACGCGGTCAACAACTCCGCGCTCTTCTCTGCCATACCTGATCTTGAGAACTCGCTAGGCATCACCGAGGCGGAGTCAACGTGGGTCATCTCTGCCTTTCAGCTCACCTTTGCCTCCTTCCTCCTCATCGTGAGTCCCACTGTCTCATGTGTTGATGTATCGCCCGCTGACGTTTGACCGACCTCCACAGAGTGGCCGCATCTCCGATGTGTACAACCCTAAGGTGGCCTTCACCGGCGGTGTCGTCGCGCTCGGTCTCATTTCCGTCGGCGCGGGCTTCGCGAAGGACAAGATTGCCATCATCATCCTTCGCGCGTTGAGTGGCATGGCCGCCGCCATGACCATTCCATCCGCGCTCGCGCTCCTCGTCAGCGTCTTCGTCGAGCCCAACGAGCAAGCGCGTGCCCTCGGTCTCTTCGGTGGGTGTGGCGCGGTCGGTAACGGTGAGCCCCTCCCACTCTATCTCCACAACCACACCGAACTCACTTCTCGTACTCGCGCAGTCCTCGGCCTCATCATCGGTGGGATCTTCGTGCAGTACGCCAACTGGTCCTGGGTCTTCTGGTTCGTCGCGATCGTCGCGGCACTCATCACGGTCATGTGCCTGTTGCTTGTCCCGCCGCAGGAGCCCAAGGTGCGCGTCGCGTCTGCCGGCCCGCGCTGGCGCGCGCTTGACCTCGTCGGTGTCTCGGTCCTCACCGCTGCGCTCATCCTCTTCATCTTCGCGATCACGTCCGGTAGCGCGTACGGTTGGGCGACCGCGGAGGTGCTTGTCCCGCTCGTTATCTCCGTGCTCATGGTCGCCGCGTTCTTCTGGTACGAGACCCGCATCCCGCCCGACGTCGCGGCGGTGCCCCCGAGGACGTGGTTCCTCCCGAACTTTGCGGTCTTGTTTGGGACAGCGCTGTTGCCGTACTTTTGGTGGACGACGATCTTCACCGTCTTCACGCTGTTGTGGCAGGACGAATATGGCTGGTCGGCGATCTCGACTGCCATCCACATGTATGTTCCCCGGGTTTGCCCTCGATGAACTGCCTTGCTAACGTGGTGTGCAGGATCCCGATCGGCGTGCTCGCATTCTCGATGTCATTCACAGGCCCGCTCGCACGCAAGATCAACCCCAAGTGGATCATCCTCTTTGGCGAAAGCATGCTCGTTGTCGCGACGATCCTCCTCGCGTTCGCGGACGGGCCCGACAAGTACTGGCCGTTCGTCTTCCCCGCGTTCGTCCTCGGCAGCGGCGGTGCCATGCTCGCCTACACGCACACCAAGTAAGCCTTTTCCCTCGTCTCACCGAGCCCGCCCGCTCACCTCTCATCTCTTTTCGCAGCATCGCGATCTTCCGCACGTCCCCATCCTCGATGGCCGGCACGGTCGGCGCGATTTTCAACGGCGCGCTCCAGCTCGGGTCCGCCGTGGGCATCGCCGCGGTCGACTCGCTCGAGGAGTCTGTCCAGGAGCAGTACCCCAACACTCCGTACGTGGGCCAGCGCGCCGTGTTCTGGTTCCTCCTCGGCATCGTCTGTATTGAGCTCGTCGCGATGGCTATCTTCTACCGGACGGACTGCGATCTTCTGGGCGCTGAGGGCAAGCAGGCGCTGGAGGGCATCGACCCGGAGAAGATGCGCGACGTCGATGGCAAGCTCGCTGATGCAGAGCAGGGCCGGGGATTCGAGCCTCAGGTCGACTCCGCTGAGCAGGGGAAGCACGAGATCCATGTGCGCGCGGAGCGGGTTATGTCGGGCTTGACGAGCGTGCTGGAGGCGGCGAGCGTGCATGGTCACCTCGGGCGCCACTCTCCTCAACCCCGGAGCCCCGTCAGCCCTGCGAGTACGCTGAGCCCGCAGACGCCGGCGTCGGACGTGACCCGCGTGTGCTTCTTTGGCGTGGACGAGCAGGAGCGGTTTGCTGAGAGCGGCGGCGGCGAGTGGAAGGGCAAGGGCGACGATCCCCGCAAGGAGGTGGAGGTAGAGGAGAGGCGGGTGAACGACTTGCCGGTATGAGGGTGGTAATGCCTCAATATTTTCGTAAGTTCTGGGTCTTCGTCATGGCTTTGATGTCTGCACGTCTCCATTTTCTCTTCTTCTCTGCTCTTGCTCTGATTCTGGTCTCCTGTCTCGTCTCGCTTCTCGCCTTTCGTCTCCCGTCTCGTCTCGTATCCTCTCATCTCTCTGCTCTCCGGTCTCTCATCTCGCACTGACGACTAGAATTTCTCATTCACGCACTCTTCACGAACCGCACATTGTTACTGAGACGCACTCACATTCGCACTGGCACGCACATAGACGTATTGGTAGCCTTGCACTTGTCATAGATAGGTTTGGTAGACGGCACTGTAATTACGCAAGTATCATAGAATTGGTTTGCTGCATGGGATGGACTGACACTCACAATGAAGAGTCGTAAGTGCGAGGTGTTGCAACCGCGCCGTAGCTCGGGCTCCTGTACCGCGTATCGCCAGCGTCGTGCCTGATGACCTGCACATACACACTGTTGCCTGTCGCACTCAAGCACTCGAGCGTAGTTATGAAGATGGTTGTGACCATCCCCGCGCCAAGGATTGCCCTGTTCAAAATGTATCGACCCACCGAGATGTGCAGCGTGATCAGGTGGAAGATTGGAATACCGGCCACAGTCATGTCACATAGGATGTATCCACTTCCATAGATACAGACGTAGATCCTTGGGGGGCATCGCTAGACCATTGAACACGAGGGCTATCGTCTTGTCGAACAGATGCAGATGCATCCGTCATCTGGAGCTCATGCGGAGCATTACCACCAGCGACATCGCCTGCGGCGTTCTCTCGCGATGAGGCCCGACTCGGAGTGATCGTCGCCGAGGGGCCTTCCATGGGATCGTCCACATCCACACTTTCCTCAACATGTTCGACTGCTTTCTCCTTTCCTTTGCCCTGGTCTTTCGGTCGTCTTCCGCGCCTCCTGCGGGGCTGGACCGCGTCGACGGTCCCTACCACTTCTTGCACCGTCTCCGGGAGTCTATCCTTCTTGTTATTCTTTCCCTTCGGTTGCGGGTTGACAGGGACTCGCTCCACGACCTCGGGCAGTTTGTTCGTTTTGGCTTTCACCTCGACCTCCCTGAACCGAATGCGCTGCTCGCTCGTGCCAACGTGGACCAACGGTTTTCTTGTGCGATCCGCTTGGTCGTCTATCAATCGTTATGACAACGCTGGATATGGACATACAACTACAATCACACCTTTCGCATCCGTGAACAGAAGCTCTGTGCCGAGCAGGCTCTGATGCTGACCCTTGAAAACAGTTCCGGATAATTGGAGGAACGGGCTCGGGGTGTCCAGACCCTGTGGCAACTTCAGATAATGCTGGAAGCGAGAAGGAACGGCTCACGATGAGGCGAAACGAGGAGCTGCTCGGGACCAGGGCGGGTTCGACGGCGCCAAGGTCAAGGGTAACATACACGACTTCCTCTTCGGACTCATACTCTTCGTCGGGTCCAAAAGCATCCACGTATTTGTATCCGGAGGCAATAGATTGCTTGCCCATGCTCGCTACAGAGGTTTCACGACAGGTGTGGACAAGGAGGAGGGGTGTATGCGGAAGTAGGTCAGAGAGGTCGCCTGGGCGTCAACGCGTCAGAACGCGTCCATCCACGCGCGCTTCCACCGTGCATGTCCTTCTCCGCCACCCGCATCCTCCTCTCCGCCAAAAGCACGTCGTCAAAGTCATGGCTCGCCCGGCAATCTCACGACCCATACGTGAAAAAGCGCTCCACTAACACCCTCGTCGGCTTCCGTGCTCGGTCGGCATTCAAGCTGCTCGAGCTCGACGAGCAATGGCAGCTGTTCAAGCCGGACGTAAACTCCGTCGTCGACCTGGGCGCGGCGCCGGGCGGCTGGAGCCAGGTCGCTGCAATGAAGCTTGGGTGGATGGACGAAGGCTCCAATGACGTCCCAGAAGATCCGTACGCAGACTTGGGTCTGTTAAACGGACGCTCGTCCGGTGTCAGACGGGATACAAGTGGGCAGGAAATCCCGGTATGCCATGTCTGTCTTCGCAGCCAACCACGCGGGCTGACGCACAGACCCAGTCACAGACCGGGAGGGGAACCATAGTTGCCATGGATCTCCTCGACATGCTTCCCATGCCCGGTGTCCAGACGCTCAAGATGGACTTCCTCTCTCCACAGGCCGACGCAGCCATCCACGCGCTCCTCCAGGACGATCAAAACCCGGAAGGCAAAGCCGATGTCATCCTCTCAGACATGGCGGCCAACATGACAGGCAACAAGACCGCGGACATCGAATCCGGTCTGGACATCGTCAACGCGGTGATAGCGTTCGCGCGCAAGCACCTGAGGACTGCGGAGAGCGCCGGGCGACGGAAAGCCGGTGTCCTTGTGTGCGTTTCTGCGCTTGTTATATATACATGATTTAACTCACGGCGCCACAGGATCAAATACTTCCAACACCCATTGACGAATCGGTTCCGCCAGGAGCAGTTGAAGCCTTACTTCGCTGATGTATACAACAGCAAGCCGAAAGCCAGCCGAGGCGACTCGAGCGAAGGCTATTGGGTGTGCATGGGCTTCAAAGGAAATGACTCCGCGCGTCAGCGCGACGGTACGCCCGATGAAACAATTTGACCAGAGAATGTGTCAAGCCCTGCACAACGATGTCACAATTGAAATTGCCTAGGGGTACCTTCCATTCGCTGCAATGACTCGTTCCGAAGGCGAGTCCATAACCAAATTCGAGCTCTCCGAGCTCGCAAGACTCGGAAGGTACACTCGCCGACAAGGACCAGGCAAGGCGAACCTAGTGTCATTCGAGATTAACACTTGGGAGCGGACTCATCATCATATCTCCATAGTACGTTTTCGAACGGGTGTATAATACATACAAGACATAGCGAGGGGAGACGGACAATACAAGAGCGAAACGATACGCGGCATACAAGCTGTCAGGACAGTTTGAACAGCTGCATGAACATCATATAAGCACCCCCTTCGGACGATGTTGAAGCTGTGGCTGCTTACAGAGGGCCAGAGACGGCTTAAGCACCAAACCCGTAGAGGGTGCGGCCAGAGCGCTTGAGGGCGTAGACGACGTCGAGAGCCGTGACGGTCTTCCTCTTGGCATGCTCAGTGTACGTGACCTGTGTGGAACAAAAGAACTCAGGGGATGACAAAGACGACGCGTCCGCAGTGGACCTACCGAGTCACGGATGACCTGGATATATGCATGTCAGCAAGTGACTAGGGAGGAGACAAAGGCAAACACGCACGTTCTCGAGGAAGATCTTGAGGACACCACGGGTCTCCTCGTAGATCAAGCCAGAGATACGCTTGACACCGCCACGACGCGCGAGACGGCGGATAGCCTAGGATAATGAACCAACGACGAACAGCTCAGCATACGCGACGCCCTTGTTGGCAAACATAGGCGCGACTGACCGGCTTCGTGATACCCTGGATGTTGTCACGCAGAATCTTGCGGTGACGCTTCGCACCACCCCTGAGAACGAGCGACGACGGTCAGTCTGGCCACAGCCACTCGACGACTCCCAGTCCATCCGGGCGCATATACTCACTTCCCGAGGCCCTTTCCGCCCTTTCCGCGTCCAGACATGGTTGCTAGTGTGAAGAGGTGGTGTGGAGGCTTAAGGTGGGAGGGGGAGGCTGAGTCTGCCTGAGTTCGACGACGGTGGACGAGAGGAGATGGGAGTCCGCAACGAACCGGACTCGTCGAGGCGCGACTTCTGAACACGGTTGTGCACGTGATGTTGCGTACGATCTCAATTTCTCACGCCCAACCGCCAGTTGTTCTGGCCGACATTCCGCTCTCTGAAAATGAGATTTGGTAAGTACTAGACTCAGATTCCCGCATGATGAGACTGCCATATGTATGGAACACACCTATGTATGCAATGGCAAGGACATTCCTTTGGCTACGAGACGTTTTGCGAAATTAACGGCGGTTGACTCCGCCGCGTTGACTCTGTACACCCTGTGGATTTCTTTATTTCATACTGGGTGCCGTGTCGCTACATAATATATCCGTTCCTGACCACGACAACTCTGGAGCCTCGTCATTCTGACCAAAGGCACTGTGATCCCCGTTGACCGCAAACTTTTGTTGCAATACGCGCAGCGCTGTCATTGAACCGGTTAACCGGTTTCATCTGTACATAGTGACAGCTACGTACTTCCATGCAGCCTGAGTTCTAGTCTGCCCACCGTGACATGTGTACCTCCTGCGCAATACGGGTCATGAATGCACCGACTGTTGCGACGAGACAACATACAGCCGGTACCTACTTATGCTCGCAGTGTCACTTCTTCGTGCCGAGTCTGTGAACTTTGTGCTGGAAACGGGGATGCATGGAAGTGCGGACTCGCCCGACATCTTGCCTCTGTTTCACACCACCGCCACGCGCACGCCTCCATCGCCTCCAGCGCCCCATGCGCCACAGACAGGATTAAATTATGCCGTTTTTCTGCGCCGGTAACTTATTTCGTCTCACATCGTCCTGTCTATGGTGACAGCGTGGACAGCGTGGAGAAGCTCTGACAGCGGCGAAGCTCACTGGAAGCTTAGTTATGGTGGCTTCTAGGAGGTAAATCCACCTATCAATTCCTGTCGCTGTGGTGCATAATATGTTTGAGCACCGACAGCTTCAAGTTATGCATGTGTTGGCAATGGGGCGTGATAAATATGCAGCGGGCGTGGGGCGATCAGAATTAGTAGTGCTCCAAATTTTCTGGTAACCCTTGTTGACGCTTACGAAATGAACGGGTGTATTTGTCGAAGAAGCCTGAACAATAGCTCTAGGTGGATCCGCGGGGGTTGCATCGGGGAAGGTTCCTTGGCACGTGCGCAGGAGTCTCGAGAGCAGAGAACTCATACGGTCGAGCGGAAGGCCGCACATAGAAGAATGTCTTCATCCCTTGCAAGTCAAAGTCGTTCGTAATTTTGCATCCACTCCGCGTTGTCTCCGAGTCCGGTGCATACGGGGCCACGCCACAGTTACATAAAAGGCAAGTACCTACCCGACCACATGTCTACCGGCCGCTCTATGAGATAGACGCCCATCTCGGCCCGTCCACGATCTCTGAGCCACACCGTCTATTTGCACTTTCGACGTCTTACGTTCGCGAACCATCCCACACGCGTCCCCCCTCCACGGCTTTTTCGCATGCAGAAGAACCTTGACCTCGGCGCGCTATCCTTAGAAAGGCCTCGGCTGTATCAGGCGTCTCCGGGCGCAATCAAACTGCTCAATAACTGCAATCTGCTTGTCAATGTCAGCTTGTGGTCGCGGTCGATACCTCTTCTGTCGCTGCTGTAGTGGGCTTCCGTAAGATCCTATGGCTGAAACTCTTTCGTGCTGTAATCTGCTGTCCTCGTCGGCGCCATGAAGAGCTCGTTGGTGGACGGAGGCGATGCAGACCCCTTGTGCGTATCTCCACTTTGCCTCGCCGATCGGACAACATCAGCCAATCGCCTTCTTCAGGAAAGTCGGGGACGACACACTACCAGCCTAGACCTTCTGGCAATATACACGTCGTCATTGCAGGGAAGCATCTGCCATACCGTACTCCGTCTGCGGCACACTCACCAAGCTCGACTGCTCAGGGTTCTATTGCACTCGCAGCTCAAAGGGGGATCACGCGGCATGTGCTTCTTCCCGCGGTTGGACTTCCCAATCTGTCGTCTGGCAGTCAGCGTGGCTTGTAAGCCGCCTCCATCCATCCCAGCGGACGCACGCGAATCACTCCCTGTCCCCGGGAGCAAGCATTTCTCCAGTTCGATGTCCTACGAGGCACGATCACAACGCCGCAAGCTGCGCTGCTGGTTACCGCGGGTTTCTTCCATGCATCAATCGCGCCTCGTCGACCTCAGCATACGTCATCCCGGGTTGACCGATCATTGGCTGCCACTGGCAATGGGCGAGATGCGGTCAGAGTTCAATATTCAATGCTGCGGCACGGCGCGTACCTGTGTGGGCAGTCGCAGCACTGCTCTGGGTTGCAGCAGTGGTGCAGCCTAACGCGGACGTCCGGGCAGGCCAAGTGCCGGCCGGCCATGTCGGGGTGGACGTACCCAGGAGAATCGTTGGAGGAGCCTCCGAGGAGAGGTGCAGCGAAGGCACGGTGTTTGTGTGGCATAGCGTGCGATCCTGTCATGATCGCTCCCAGGAGGGCTTCTCCCGATGTGGTGGGTGTCAACATGATCGGCCCATCTGATCTGGGACGGCGACGGCAGCCACGGACGAGGCCGCCTTATCGAGGCCGACGCCCGCTCAACGACGGTCGGCTTCTCGCGCTTGCGGGCTTGATGGGCCACGCGCCCGCAATGTCTGCCTCCGCGACAGTCGCAGTGGCGATGGGCAAGCGATCTCCAAGGAGGGACCGGGCGCGTCACGACCAAGTCAGGGCGGGTGCAGGCAAGGTGCCGGTGCAGATGAGATCCAGCAAGCCGTTCGCTCAAACAAGTCCTGAAGTGACAGGGAGATTGAAATGGAGACAGCAGAGGCGCCCGGGTCGGTGGCTCTTGGTTGTAAGTATGGCAGGCGCTGGACTACGATATTCACGAACTTGGCGCACATTCCTCATCACGGCTTCTGCGCTGGCTGCACGACCACGCGCCGCTTCGCCTTCCCTGCGTCCCCATCACCCGGCCCGCTCATAAGCCATGCACCAGCCCCGCGAGCGAGAGACGCACGACCACCCGCACCCCCCGCCGCCCTTCCTCCAGCCTCCTGCGTGCACATACACGCGCGACTACCACGAGGAGCCCCACAGCTACTCCAGCACCCCCCTGGCGCCCAGCGACCCTACAGGCCCCGTCGCAGCCATGCCAGAGCCCTCGCCGATCGCTGAACACCCCGAGCACACCGACTCGCCTCCTCCCGATGAGCCACCAGCTCGCCAGGAGCCCACACCAGTCCCTACCATCCGCCTCCCAAAGCGCGAAAGCACGCTGCCGCCTCTCCCAACCCCGCCCGCCGACTTGACCGTCCCAACAGTCAACCGCGTCGGGTCTGCCCCCGCCACTCCGTACTCAGCCACCCCTCAGCCGATCCTCGCACCCACCCCCGGCAGACCGCGCGCAGCGATGCCCGCCTCGTCTACGCCCGTCACAGGCCCATCGCAGCCACGACAAGGGTCGTCATCCGACGAATCGCCGACCGAAGACCACGTCTTCGTCCAGCGCCCTGCCTCTCAGACCCGCCCTCGCCTCGAGTCGCGTCGCAACTTGAGCAGCCTCAGCCACGCACCGCACGCCTCGGACGGGGGCGCACCGATCACGTACCCTGCGCGCACGCTCAGCTACAATGAACATAGGAGACACAGGAGTCTGAGGGCAGATAGACCGGAGAGGCCGTCGTCGGCGGCCTCAGTGCCCGCGGGCGTGGGCCCGGATCGGTACTCGGCAGGCTTGTCGCGAGCGTTGACGCTAGACTATGTCGTTCCTACGGTGGACCCGGAGAAGAAGGGCTCGGAGATGGGCCTGTCGAACACGTCGGTGAGTGGTGAAGTGAGGTGTGTCGTTGAAAATGCGCGATTGACGCAGCATGCTCGGTGGATGCAGGAAGGGGAAAGGACAGTGAAGCAGCGTCTAATGCGTACCCTCGAACACGCGCAGAAAGAGCGCGATGCCTCGAAGAGAAAAGGTAACGTCAAGTCAATCACTTCGTCCTTGCACGAGCCATGCTGACGTTGACGCCTGTGCATTCGACGTGGACAGCGATGATGTCGAGCTACGCATTGAACATCTGCATCGGCATTCAGATCATCCTCGGCGCGATCACAACCGGTGTAGCCGCCGCCTCCACTACCTCCCGTACCTCCGTGAGTCTCTCCCGTTATCCTGCTTCTGTCCCTAATGAAGACCTCCACATGTACCAGACATCTGTTGGCATCCCAATCCTAGGCGGCCTCTCCACGCTCTCTGCATCGTACCTCGCGCGCGCGCGCGGCTCGGGTGAGCCCGAACTGAGCATCGTGCGCCAGCACGACCTCGACCACTTCATCCGGGACACAGAGGCGTTCTTGCTCGACCGCGGGCACCTCATCGGCCCGCAGTACGACGCGGAGGTGCAGCGATACCGCATCCGCTTCGAGGAAATCATGGGGCACATGCCCGACAAAAACGGGACGCAGCCGAAGAACTTCGGCCCGGCTCCGTATAGCCCACCGAGCACGGTGAACGGCGCGGCTCCGTGGACGGGCGCAAGTGCGGACGGGTACCAATTCCACCCGCCGGTGAGCCCCGGGCTGGCGGGCCAGCCGATGCACCAGCAGGGCCAGGTGAGCCCGATGGCGCATGTCGCGCAGAACCCACTACCGGGCCAGATGAACCACGTACCGACGTATCCTCAGGGCCAGGTTCCGCAGACGGTGCAGATGCAGATGCCGATGGGGCAGACGGCCCCAATGGCATATACGACTTATATGAACGGGCAGGGGTTGCCCATGCCCGTGACGATGCCTCGGGTATGAAGTAGACGGTGCTGGCTGTTCGACTGGCGATGGGAGGAAAGTTTGCCACCACGACTCGCATGCTTGCACGCACACGCACATACATACATCTTGACTCCATATGCACAGGATGAGACACATACGAAACACGGAACACGGAAGATCGCATAACGCACATGATACGTAGGAGCACGGTTGGTACATAAGATTACGGTTTGCTCTAGGTTATGTTCGCTTCGACTTCGACTTCTGCCTCTTCATTCACTTTGTGCTCCCACTTTCTCGGGCCGGATCACGATACTCATGGTGTACTAGGATATTGCTCTATATTATCGTTAATACTGCTGATTGCGCTACACAATCCGAGAGATCGATGTTGAATGCAACTGGGTCGGTGTTCGGTAGCATACACCCCAGTCAAACACTGAGGCGAACCGACAGTGGTACATACGAGGGTATACAACGAAGAACTTGCCGCCCGTGGGCGCCTCGGCAGTAGGAGGAGGGGGAGATGGGTCCATTTAGCCGCCGGTGGTCGATAGCCTGCAGGCAAGTGGCGATCGGCGAGTTTGACAGCGCCGCGGGTTGATGGGAGTGCCTGAATTCGAGGTCGAGGCACGAGTAGGGGTCTGTAGGGGTCCTGGCCCCTGAGCTAGAAGCGAAGACCCAGTGTAGCTCTAAGCTGGTATGGAACACGTCTTGGTGAAATGGGCACATGTAATGAGGCTTGGCGAAGCGAGTACGTATAATGCAGATACACGTACGCTACGCCTGGCCCGCGTCATTTGTACCATTTGTTGACTATCATCGTTGACTGTGCCGAGGGACATTCTGTAGTAGATCCGGCCCAGGCTATTCTAAGGCCTATGACCGGCGTGACCTCGAAACATCAATTCCATAGTGCAGACATGAACCAATTGCGACATACAGCCAGCACTCAATGAGATGCAAGTGAAACTCCTCTTGGGGGAAGCTATCCCGATACCAGCGTGGTCTGCCACCAAAGAGTTGTTTGAGCCACATGTAACGCGCCTTCTTGGGTCGTCGCTTGTAGAGTTGTAGAGGCGTACGTTCGCCGTGAAGCAGATGGCGACGAGCATGATTCGCGGCACGCCGTCCTTCCCTGTGCGCGGCGGGACAGGCGCGTCGTCTGGCGGGACCGTGCAGAGCTGGATCGGAAAGCGGGTGCACCACTCGAGGATCTCTATGACGTGAAGGAGTAGGGCACGTCCTTCAGGTCTGCGGGAGCATGTTTCTCCACGAAGTTCTGCAGCGTGGATGGTCAGCATCCCAACCGAGGACCCAGAACTGGTTATGTTCGAACCATCCGCAGGGCAACTTGGGGTAGTAAACCGCCTCATCCGTTGCTGTCGTCTGTTCGTTGGCCTTTTCGGAAGGCTTTGATGCATCCTGCAGTAGAAACAACGGAAATATGAATCACACGATTTAGTCGGCCGACTTTGAGACTCAAGTCCCTCTTGAATGCTGTTAGACTCCGTTGTGGGGGCATGCTGTCTGGCAGAGTTCAGAGCTAGCCGAGGTTCGAGATGCGGCAGGAACACGCACGTACCCTGCACGTATACATACAACTATCAAATGTCGAGATGGCAGGTTCTCGTCGGGTTGCCGGTGTGATTCCGAGCATCATACACGCCAGTCACTTTTACTGGCTGAAGACGCGGCCGCATGTCCGACGCGTTTCGTCACGATCACATGCTCCGTGACAACCTCAAGAGACCCGCGGCTGCTGGGTGAGGCAGCACTGAGCAGGCTGGGTGGTTGACATCCTGGCACCGTGTAGCATCACGTTCAACACAACTAGACCAGTGTATCAAAGAAGGGATCCCTAGTACATATCTATGGAGGGACGCCTCCGATGAGCACATCTTTGATCCCTAATATCAGTAGGTTAGCTTCAAGCCTGGAGAAGTCGCGTTCTACACAAATTCTACACACCTAAATTCCTAAAGATGGGTACATGTGCGACGGCGAAGACACTGCGAAGGATTGTATTCGTCAGTGTATCATCCCCTCCATTCGACACCCTGCATGATGCGCGGCGCAAGTAAAGGTCTCAGTCACAACGCGGACGGATACACACTCACCAGGGAACCTGGTATCTTCACAGATCCGCAACGAGCAGAAATCTAGTAATGTATATGAAGCATGCGCTTAGACGCATGCCCAATTAACCGTAGAAGGGATATCGTATCGTATACACAGGTCGAGTGCTCCATCATCACAATAGCGCAAGTTCATGCGACCTTCGTCTTGCTACCGTACTTGTACGCCTCGGCAACGGCCTCTGCCTTGACGCCCTCTGCCTCGACCTCATCCATCATCTTCTTTTCCTGCGCCGCAATCTCCTCCTCCGTCATGTTGAGCTTCTGCATGGCCTTGACGCGCGCACGGTACTGGCGGTACTTGTCATCGGTACCGAAAAGGCGGTCGCACCAACGGAAGGAGGTGGAGAAGTTGTTGACGAACGCCATGTGGTGGAAGTCGTGGTGCTCAGCGCCGGACCAGAAGGGGACGATATGCTGCAGCGACCAGGGGAAATCTAGAGTGGCAAACTCCGTAAGTATGGCAGGCGGCAAGCAAGTGCGCGGATACGTACCATAGCCGCTGTGGGCGTCGACGGCCTGGAACAGCCGGAGAGTGATCCAGACGTACATGGTAAGGATGTGCAGGTCGCGGCGGAAGTAGCAGTAGAGGAGAGGACCGGCAATCGTGCCAGTACCGAGAATCATGACCTCAGCAGGGTGGGCATACTCCGCAGCGAGACCGAACGGCGCGGAATACTTGTGGTGGATTTTGTGAATGTGCTTGTAGAGCGGACCCCAGTGAAGCGCCTGGTGGGCTGCGAGCATACGCGAATCAGACTAAGCACACGAGCAAATGTTGTGCGAGCCTAAACATACCGAAGTAGTGAAATATGTCCTCGAAGACGAAGAAGAACGCAATCTGGGGAGCCATGATCTTCCACGACGGGAAAGGAACCTGCCATGTCGACATGCTGAACATCTCCGCCATGGGGTGGAAAAACCAAATCTAGGCGAGCACTGTATTAATATATGGCCTCGGGAGGTGTACGGTGCATACCATGGGCAACTCAATCGTGAAATGCGAGTAGAGGACCTGCTTGGTGCATTCCCACTGCTCCTGGGCTGTCGGGAGCTTGTTCTGCTGGAGCTTCCACTTGCGGAAGTACGGCATGGAGTCGATGATGATCCAAGGGATGCAACGACCGAAGTAGACAATCTGGCGGGGCGTCAACTAGAATGACCAAGTAGCGAGGCATCTCTTACGCACCTCATGGAGAAGGAAACTCATGAGACCGGTCGCGATGACGGGGTTACCGATCCAGAGATACCACGCCGCCCATTGCGCCTCTAGCCAATTAAGCTGGCTGAAATCGGTGTTGGCGTACAACACGTCGGCGGCCTCGTACGCAGGGGAAGTTGAGTTCATCGTGGCGATTTTGAGAACGAAAGGAAAGGCAACCCAGGCACCCACCGCAGCACCTGTTCGAGGGAAGAGACCAGGACTGGGGAATGCCGTCCGTCGCTACGTGCGTACATATATTCTCGCCGTGGGAGCAGCACGGGTGGTACGACAGGAATTTCGGCACGTGAGCCGCGCATAAACAGTGCTCTCGACCTTCGGCCCATCGGCGCTCCCACCAGGTGTCACATCACAGTCACAGCACGGCGCACGCCACCTCTCAGCCACCTCAGCCACCGCCATCTGCTGCACGCTACACGTGACCTCGAGGATGTAGTGGAGGAAAAATCGTCATTTTTCCTCTTCCTCTTCCTCTTCACCCGACCCAACTTCTCTGGGCGAGCGAAGAGGAAGACGACTGCCGTTGCGCGTATAATCATGGCCCTTTCCAACCCCACCACTAAAATTGGCGTCACTCGGCCTGTTCTTGCTCGTTCAGCCAGCAACTACCCCAACGGTCTCCCGGCACCGCCCATCACTCCTTCGCAAAACGACCAGACCACTTCAGAGGCAGTTCTCGAGCTCGCGGATGGAACCGCGTTTCGAGGCATCAGTTTCGGCGCGGAGGGCAAGAGCGTAGCCGGAGAATGCGTGTTCCAGACCGGTGAGTGGACATGCAATCGTCTGACCTTTGGCCCTTTTTGCATCGCGCTGTACCTGCGGTCTTTGTCGCGCATCCCGTTCGAGGGCTGTGCTGGCGCTTTTTGCGCGTCAAGACGCGTCGATGGCCCATCTGCGATGACTTCTACATCTTCATATTGCACTGCCGAGACGCGTCTCTGCGCTGGGATGAACCAGCTACGCGTATAGCAACGTGCAGGCCTGGATCTAACTGTGTAACACGACGAGATAGCCGGCCCTGACTTGTCAGGCGGCGCGTTGAACCCAGACACATGCCAGATCTGGACACGCGCCGTCCCGACCAGGCCAGAGCTCGGCTTGCCGCCGAAAATGGGAACTAGCCCGCCTGGATCCACACTGGACGCATGGCGAAATACGCTTGTGGCGCCATAGTCTTGTGTGGGATAGATCTGTCGTATGATCAACACGTCTTGATGCTCTGGGGAGTCTGTCGTCTACATCGCGCGTAATTCCCAAGCTCCCATCTCCTCGGAGTTGACCAAGAGCAGTGGTGCTCTCGCCAGGCGTCGATGGCATCCGCGGAACCGTCATGAATTCCAGGCTTCGTTTTTTTATGTACGCAAATCCGTGACAGCTCGTCTTGCCCACAGCGCGCTGCCATTTATATAGTTTGCCTGGTCCTCATTAGAACACAACACTCGAATCTATATCGTTGTTTCTCTGATTCGTGTCTATTGGCAATGTCCCAACTCTGACATGTTACTGACTTGTGCCTCACCATTGCAGGTATGGTGGGATATACTGAGTCCCTCACCGACCCGTCGTATGAAGGCCAGATTCTCATCCTTACCTATCCTCTCATTGGAAACTACGGTGTCCCGCCTCGTCCTAGCACGAGCTCAGTAGAAGACATTCCCCTCGACTTCGAATCAGTGCGCATTCACGTCGCGGCGGTGGTCGTTGGTTACTACTCGGAAGACTACAGCCACTTCCTCGCTGGCTCTTCACTCGGCGCATGGCTCAAGGAGAGCGGGGTGCCCGCCATCTACGGGGTCGACACCCGTGCCCTCACGAAAAAAATCCGAGAGCAGGGCTCTATGCTCGGAAAGGTCCTCGCCAAACGCGCAGAGGCGAGCCTCACCTCTAACGGTCTCGTTGTCCCTGGTCGCGCCCGCCTGGCCGGTTCGCAGCCTGAGTCGCGCGCCGAGTCGCCGACAAGCATCGGCAGCGGTAATTGGCGCGAAGAATTCGTTGACATTCCCTTCCGCGACCCGAACGGCGAGAACCTTGTCGCCGTCGTGTCGGTCACGGAGCCTCGCGTCCACAAACCCATCGTCGAGCCGCGCATGCATCCCACCCAGCCGCGGCCTCTGCGTGTGATCGCTGTAGACGTCGGCATGAAGTTCAACCAGATCCGTTGCTTCACCCACCGCGGCGTGGAGCTCAAGGTGGTCCCGTGGGACTATGACTATCTGTCAGATTCCGAAGAGCCCTTCGACGGACTCTTCGTGTCGAACGGTCCGGGCGATCCCACTACTGTGAAGCCTGCCATCGCCCGATTGGCGAAGGCAATGGAGAACGCAGACCGGCCAATCTTCGGTATTTGTCTCGGTCACCAGCTTTTGGCTCTCGCAGCGGGTGCATCGACGTCGAAGATGAAGTACGGTAACCGCGGGCACAACATCCCCTGCACGGACGCTCTCAGCGGTAGATGCTACATCACGAGTCAGAACCATGGTTTCCAGGTGGACACGGCAACGCTGCCTGAGGGATGGAAGGAGCTGTTCCGCAACGCCAACGACGGCAGCAATGAGGGCATCTACTGCGTGGACAAACCATTCTTCTCTGTGCAGTTCCACCCGGAGTCGACCCCTGGTCCCCGGGACACTGAGTTCTTGTTCGAGGTATTCATCCAGAACATTATCGACTGCGCGAAGACGCGGACGCTCGTTCCCATCTCTATGCCCGGTGGGAAGAAGGAGGATAACGAGAAGCGCGTCCCTCGAGCGAATGTGCAGAAGGTCCTCGTCCTCGGGTCCGGCGGTCTGTCCATTGGCCAGGCGGGCGAGTTCGACTACTCCGGCTCCCAGGCGCTCAAGGCGCTCAAGGAGGAGGGCATTTACACCATCCTCGTCAACCCCAATATTGCCACGATCGCTACGTCGAAGGGTCTCGCGGACAAGGTGTACTTCCTACCGGTCACGCCCGAGTTCGTGCGCAAGATCATCAAGTATGAGAAGCCCGACGGCATCTACGTCACCTTCGGTGGGCAGACCGCCCTCAACGTCGGTATCAAGCTCAAAGATGAGTTCGAGGCGCTCGGTGTCAAGGTTCTCGGTACGCCTATTGACACGATCATCACCACGGAGGACCGCCAGCTCTTCGCGAGTGCGATGCTCGACATTGGTGAGCGCTGTGCTCAATCTAGCACTGCGACAACGCAGGATGAGGCCGTTGCGGCGGCCAACACCATTGGGTACCCGGTCATCGTGCGGGCCGCCTATGCTCTGGGTGGTCTCGGCTCCGGGTTCGCGCAGGACGAGAAGCAATTGAAGGCGCTCTGCAGCAAGGCGTTCGCGACCAGTCCGCAGGTCCTCGTCGAGAAGAGCATGAAGGGCTGGAAGGAGATCGAGTACGAGGTCGTTCGTGACTGCCGAGACAACTGCATCACGGTCTGCAATATGGAGGTACGGCACTCTCGTTGCGTCCGGGAGACATGCAACTGACATCGGTGTCAGAACTTCGATCCTTTAGGCATTCACACTGGCGACTCCATCGTCGTCGCGCCCTCACAGACGCTGTCCGATGCAGATTACAACATGTTGCGGACGACGGCAATCAATGTCATTCGACACCTAGGCGTTGTCGGAGAGTGCAACATCCAGTATGCCTTGAACCCGACGTCGCGCGAGTACTGCATCATCGAGGTGAGTCACGACGCACGTATATATCACGTCACACTCTAAAGATTGCATCAGGTCAACGCTCGTCTTTCGCGTTCGTCTGCTCTTGCTTCGAAGGCCACCGGTTATCCGCTCGCTTTCATCGCGGCCAAGCTCGGACTCGGGGTCCCGCTCAACGAGATCAAGAACTCGGTAACGAAGCTGACCAGCGCCTGCTTCGAGCCAAGCTTGGACTACGTCGTCGTCAAGATCCCTCGATGGGACCTGAAAAAGTTCAGCCGCGTCAGCCCGCTTCTAAGCAGCAGTATGAAGAGTGTGGGTGAAGTCATGAGCATAGGTCGAACCTTCCAGGAGACCATCCAGAAGGCCATTCGCGCCATCGACGACCAGTTCAATGGCTTCTCGAAGGTTTGTTGTACAATCCTGTCGCGAGAACTCAGATTGACGGTTTCTTGCAGAACGATTTCGTTGAAGATATCGACGAAGAGTTGATGAACCCGACCGACAAGCGCATCTTCGCTATCGCGGCTGCCTTCCACCGTGGCTACAGTGTCGACAAGATCTGGCAGATGACGAGCATCGACAGGTGGTTCCTGACACAGCTGCAGTCAATCTTCAAAATGGAGCAACGCCTATCGTGAGTGGCAGCGGAGAAGGACGATGGCACGAACTGACTAGCTCGGCGATAGGGAGCTCACTATTTCTAACATTGGCAACTCTGCGCTCAAGCAGGCTAAGCAGCTCGGCTTCTCCGACCGGCAGTTGGCCGCGTGCATGGGAAGCACAGAGCTTGCCGTTCGTCGTCTTCGTCAGGAGACCGGCATAATGCCTTACGTGAAGCAAATCGACACGGTTGCTGCGGAGTTCCCAGCATACACGAACTATCTTTACACGACCTACAACGCTATCGAGCACGACGTGTCCTTCAACGATCGTGGCGTTATGGTCCTCGGTTCGGGCGTGTACCGCATTGGTTCCTCCGTGGAGTTCGACTGGTGCGCCGTTCGTGCCATCCGGACGCTCCGCGAGAACGGACTTTCCACTGTCATGGTCAACTACAATCCGGAAACCGTCAGTACGGATTACGATGAGGCGGACAGGCTGTACTTCGAGAACATCAGCTTGGAGACCATTCTCGACATCTACGACACCGAGTCCTCTCGCGGCATCGTCTTGTCTATGGGAGGACAGACGCCGAATAACATCGCTCTTCCGCTGTACCGACAGAACGTCAAGATCTACGGGACATCGCCGGAGATGATCGACACTGCGGAGAACAGGTTCAAGTTCTCTCGTCTGCTCGATGAGATCGGTGTCGACCAACCTTCCTGGAAGGAGCTCACGAGCTACCAAGACGCGCAAACATTCTGCGAGAAGGTTGGGTACCCTGTGCTGGTCCGGCCATCATATGTTCTATCCGGTGCTGCTATGAACGTTGTGTTCAGCGAGAACGACCTCTCGAGCTACTTGTTGCAAGCGACAGCCGTTTCGCGCGAACATCCTGTCGTGATCACCAAGTACATCGAAGGCGCGAAGGAAATCGAGATGGACGCCGTAGCGAAGGGCGGCAAGATGATTATGCACTACATCTCGGAGCACGTCGAGAACGCGGGTGTCCATTCCGGCGACGCCACTCTCATTCATCCACCTCAGGACCTGGATCCGGAGACGGTCCGCCAGATTGAAGAAGCGACTGCGAAGATTGGGAACGCTCTCAACGTGACCGGTCCATTCAACATTCAGTTCATCGCCAAGAACAACGAGATCAAGGTCATCGAGTGCAATTTGCGCGCTGCTCGCTCGTTCCCCTTCGTGTCCAAGGTCACTGGCGTGGATGCGATCGAGATGGCTACGAAGGCTATGTTGGACTTGCCAGTCGAGCCGTACCCTTACATCGGTCTGCCGCCTGACTACGTCGGTGTCAAGGTGCCGCAATTCAGCTTCAGCCGTCTATCAGGAGCCGATCCAGTGCTAGGAGTCGAGATGGCGTCCACAGGCGAAGTCGCCTGCTTTGGCAGAGATAAGTCTGAGGCGTACATTAAAGCCCTGATCTCCACCGGTATCGTCCTCCCCAAGAAGAACATCTTGTTTTCCATTGGTGGCTACAAAGAGAAGATTGAGATCCTCCCGTCGGTGCAGAAGTTGCATGCTGCCGGGTACAACATTTTCGCCACGTCTGGTACCGCGGATTTCCTGATGGAACACAATGTTCCATGCAAGGTATGTAGACGGTCACCATCTATGATCATGTCTTCTTACAGCACTGCTGTTTAGTACCTCGAGACTCTCGCGGAAGAAAGCGAGCAGAAGTCCGAATACTCCTTGACGCAGCACTTGGCCAACAACTTGATCGACATGTACATCAACCTCCCATCGAAGAACCATTACCGTCGACCGGCTAGTTATGCCAGCAAGGGTTACCGTAGCCGTCGTATGGCCGTCGACTTCGCCGTACCATTGATCACGAACGTAAAGGTTGCGAAGCTATTAGTGGAGGCTCTGGTTCGCCGGTTACCCCTCGACGTCTCCCCTGTAGACGCGAAAACATCCCACGAGACGTACACCTTCACTGGCCTTGTCAACATTGCGACCTTCGTTCCTGGCCTGACCCTCCCTGATAGCTTGGACTTCTCGGATGCCACCCGTGCCGCTATTGGGGGCGGCTTTGTCACAGCCCTCATCAACCCTGTCGGCCAGGGAAACAGAATCACCGATCCTGCTTCTCTCGGACGAGCACGCACCAATATCACAGGCTCTGCATACTGCAACTATGCCCTTGGTATCACCGCGACCGCCGACAACGCGAAGCTGCTGGATGACGAGCTTCAGGCCGACGTGAAGTCGCTCTTCATTCCTTTCCGCTACAACGCGGCGGATAGTTCTGTCTCTTCTCTTGCCGAACACTTCGCGTCCTGGCCCGTCGACAAGCCTATCGTCACTGACGCGAAGGGTTCTGACCTGGCGCCAATTCTTCTCGTGGCTGGCCTGCACAACCGCAGCCTTCACGTCACGAGCGTGCAGAGCAAGGAAGACCTTCTGCTCATCTCTCTCAGCAAGGCGAAGCAGTCAAAGGTGACCTGCGACGTCTCCGTCTACTCTTTGTTCTTCTCTCGGCAAGACTATCCTGTTGCGACGTGTCTGCCATCGCTAGAGGACCAGAAAGCTCTGTGGCAAAGCCTGGATGTGATCGATGCCTTCTCCGTCGGGACCGTCCCGTATAAGCTTGCGCAGGAGATCGGAAAGGAGGCCACAGTATCGTCGGGTCTAGAGGAGTGTCTTCCCCTCCTGCTGGACGCCGTCGCACATGGTCGATTGACTATGGACGACATCCGCCAGCGATTGCATGACAACCCCATCAGGATATTCGGCTTACCAGATCAAAGTCATACGAGTGTCGAGGTTACCGTCGGCCGTAAGTCGCAATACCGGAACAAGAAAACTTGGTCCCCGATGGAGGGGAAGCTGGTCGACGGCGCCGTCGACCGCGTGCTAGTGCACGGTCAGACTGTCTACTTAGACGGTGAGATCACCTCCGTGCCCATGGGCAGGGATATCTCAAGCGCCACGATCACTCATGCCTCAGAGAGGAGGATGTCCGTGACTGGACCGAGGCCGGAAGTTGGCGCTGCTGCGCCCAAGGTGGTAGATGGAGCTAGTCAGCCTGTACCCCCCTCATCCACTGTGGTTCCCCTCCAAGGACCGGCGCCACCCGCTTTCATCCACCACGCTCCTCACCCAGCATTCCATCGGCGGCATATCCTCTCTGTCAAACAGTTCAGCCACCGTGATGTACACGACCTATTCTCGCTCGCGCACGAGATGCAGCTGCAGGTCGAACGCAACGGTACGCTCGACATCCTCAAGGGGAAGGTTTTGGCTACTATGTTCTATGAACCGTCTACGCGCACTAGCTCCTCGTTCGATGCGGCCATGAAGCGCTGTGGTGGTGAGGTCGTCAGCGTGAACGCAGAGATGTCCTCGGTACTGAAGGGTGAAAGCCTCCCGGACACGATCCGTACCTTGGGCTGCTACGCCGATGCCATCGTAATCAGGCATCCTGACGTAGGCAGCTCTCAGTTGGCTGCGAAATTCTCTCCTGTACCGATCCTCAACGCTGGTGACGGCATTGGGGAGCACCCAACCCAGGTACGTTACTTCATCCGTTGAGTCATTATCACCGACTCAACCTTCTACAGGCTCTCCTGGACACCTACACCATCCGTTCCGAGCTTGGAACTGTAAACGGCAAGACGATCACGCTCCTCGGTGACCTCAAGAACGGCCGCACAGTCCACAGCTTGGTCACACTTCTCTGCCTCTACTCCGTGCGCCTGAACTTCGTGTCCCCGCCGTCACTCGCAATGCCCGCCCACGTCGTCTCCGCCGCGCGACGCGCAGGCGTTCATGTGCACGTATGCGAGTCACTCGAGGACGTCCTTGGTGAGACAGACGTGTTATATGTGACGAGGTTGCAGAAGGAGCGCTTCAAGGACGAATCAGAGTGGATGGCTGTCAAGGACGCGTACAGGATTGATCACGCGCTCCTTTCGCGGGCAAAGGAGGAGATGATCGTCATGCACCCCCTGCCACGGGTCAATGGTCGGTGCTATGCTCATGAGATGCGCGTTCCTTATCTGACGTCGCCTTCTGCAGAAATTGATCCTGAGGTCGACTTCGATTCTCGTCGCGCTGTCTACTTCCGACAGATGCGTTACGGGCTATTCGTAAGGTTCAATCAAATTGTGCTGGGGATTGTTCCTGACATTCTATCGCTCCAGATTCGCATGGCGCTCTTGGCCAGCGTGATGGGCTAAGTCTTCAAACAAAAGTCTGGCCTGTAGGCCGCGTCCGCTCAACGTAAGCATCCCAAGTAACACCGGTCTTTCAAGCATTCTAGGGAAGGAGATCAAGGCGTTTAAGAAAATGAACAATGTATCTCTAATTACAATGCGAGAGGTAGAAGAAGAGGTCGTTTTTGTAGCACTAACACCACCCAGGACAATGCGTTTTGTTTCACTACGTCGTCAACGTCGCGAGATACGATCAGGTGAGTCATGAACGCGTCCGTGGCGTGAGAAACGTTGGCTGTCCACGCTCCTTGCTACTGGGTTCGACTTGCGGAGCCCTACATTGTGGATATATACAAGGTGTAAAGTACCATTAAGACATTCATATCGCTCGGTGTTCATGCCTTGAAACCTATTTCTGCCGACTCACTCACTACATGACGCAGTTACAGTGGATGGATGTATACTATAATTATAGCGGCCTACGATGCATCGTTGTCTGCAGCGATGAGATAACTGAACGTACGTACCATTGCTGCGTGCCATGTAGTATACGGTACCAACTCCTCCAACTCCGTTGTGCAGTTATATTCCGGGGCAGCGCAGTCAAGGACGGCACTAATGACGGCCACTGGAAGAGATCGGATCGCCCGGCATCCCGAATTGCCTACCAATTGGTCGAAGCAAGACAGGTCCTATATTCTTGGTTGGAACATGGACAATTCTCGTCTCAAGGACCTTGTGCGGCTCCATATCCCTTACGCTCTCCGCGCAAAGCGCTTTCTAGAGGACCTCTCGGGTTACGGCCGCTTCCATGTCAGCGTGGTCCAGCGAGACGACGGCGCTGCTGAGCAGGCTCAGGATGTCAGAGAGACTGTGGCTATCTCATTCACCGCCTCGACACGTCTCTTCCGTAGGCGGCCGACGCAGAAGCAGTTCGACTTGTGTCATGCACATCTTCGGCGGAGACTCTCTTTGGTGGAGGGATGTACTTCCTAAAGTCTTCTTCGATGCATACGGCATTGATGGAATAGTGTCCCGCCCACTCCCTTCTTTCGGATCAGACGTATTCATACCAGCGATAGCAGGCGAATGTACATCAACAACAGGTGATGTACGACGAGTAGCACGAGACCTAGTGGATTGACCATGTACGCATTGACCATGTCGTACATTGTGACTTCGTTGTGTTTCTCGGCAAATGTCAATGTTCCGACATGGTACTTCATATACTGTGGTGTCACGACCTTAGGCGACGTCCCGTGTCCCAAGGGCCTCGTCGCCGTCGCCTATGAGGGGGTTTGTCCCGTGTCCCAAGGCCCGCGTCGCCTCATGGTGGCGCAAGTCGGGGACACCTGAAAATTGGGATGAAAAATGTTAAAAAATACACAATATATTCGTACTACTCTGTACATTGAGATCTAATCTTTCCGGGCACGTTTAGCTGCTCCCGCTGACTCTTGAATACCATCTGCCGTCTTGCGCTTCCCCTTCCCCTTCCCTTTCCCCTTCCCCTTCGATTGATTCTCACGGACCTGTGAACCCGAGGGTGGGCCAGCAAATGCTTTCTTCGCCCGCGGACCTTGCTTGTTTGTGGTGCGTATCTCGTTGTTGCTCAAATGAGCTGCGTAGTTGGTACCTCCCTGCACTGCAATATCAAAGCGGTAAACATCGCTCGGCACCGCTGGTAAGGGCTGCTGAGTGTGCGCGTGAGGCCCCGGCGCCGACGTCGGTGGCAGTGCGGCGGCAGTGGCAGTACCGGCGGCTGGCGGCGCTTGCGTGGTCATCAACTGGGACGAGTCTTTTGAGCGCGCCGTTGACCTGGACGCTGACTCGTCGGACACCGGAACTGACAGTGCCAAAGAGCCTACAACATTCGCTGGAGGCTGACCATCGCTGGACGCCACAGGAGTTGGGCTAGTGGTTTCCTGGCACTTGGCGGGATGGAACCCGACTGGCGGTGCGTCCGATAGGGTGAAGTCAACGTCCGCAAACCCATCATCCACGAGCATGTCATTCTTGCCAGTCTCTGTGCTCGTAGGGCTCGAAGCTGACGGGTGTGTTTGCAGTCGACTGGCGAGGTCTTCAACTGATGCAGCCATGTCGTCATCAAAGTCTTCGCCTCCTTCATTGGCCAGCTTGTCTGAGCCCATCAGGAAAAAGTTCTCTGATGAATGACGACGAATTAGGTAACAATTCCACCAGATTTGTAGGAATGGGCAATAAACTGATGCATTAATCCAATTCCAATAATTCACAATGATCCCTAGTCCCCTTGGGTCCAAGAATGCATTCTGAATAATACCACGGAATTCAAAGGCATGACACATGCATTGTCAGGCTATTCTAGTGTATGCACAATATATTCAGGCGATCAATGGATTGTTCTTCACTCATTCAATCTATGCCACCGAAAAGCAATATATTGTCTAGGTAAAGTACACAATGACAGTTACAAGGGTAACATACATTCTAATATCTATCCTATGGCAGAGCATTGTTACCACTACCTGAAATACAGTCTACTCCATGTCTGTCAAGATGTTTGACAAGCACCATGACCGAACCTCACACGTGTGATTGCAACACCGAAGTCAGCGGCAACGTCCATCAAGGATAATCATGGCTTACCAAGCTATCTGCGCCATAGCCCTTGCATCACCCAACAGAGCATGACCTGAGTGAAATCATCAGTGCAGCAACATAGACGAGAACGTGACAACTCACCAATAGATGATCAGAGTTCAGGATGGATGTTTGCAATCGGGAGTTCAGCGGGTGTGGTGGTGGTTGGGAATAAGCAAACACAGCGGGCCAATGGGCAGGACAGACGATATTGTATGAGGTACAATGACACGCGAATGCGAGAAGAAAGGCACGCACTGTCGAGCATCGTTAGCAAGCGAGCCGCGGGTGTATTGTGCACCATGGACGTGGAAAGAATGGACCATGTCTACACTGAACAGAGGAGCCGCGGGCGATGACGGACGAAGAATGAACACCGCACTGGCGGAGGTGCGCCACAAAATTCAAAAGGCGGTAGCCGACAGCAGCGATGCACGCGCACTCACAGGGCGGGCGACATGCAGTAGGCGACGAGGGGCGCAGGGCTTCAGCATGCTCCCCGGGACAATTTTGCATGAGGCCGCGGGTTCCCCGTCCGCGCCATGCACTCCTGCAAAGGAGTTAGATTTGGACATTGTGCTTCGGAAGCGAAGAAGCAACTTACGCCGACGCTGACGATGCTTCCCGCAAAGCGCGTGTCTACGTACCATAGGATACGTGGCGTCGTCGACAAAGTCGAGGGACGGCGTGTAGACGAGCGTGAGGGTGAACCACCCTACCTCGGGCCCGCACAGTGCCCCACCCCGCAACGGCGCAGCTCCCCGTGGGCGCCGACCATCCACTCACCTTACTCACCGGTCTGCCTTCCCCCCGCTTGACGACGTGGCCACACCCGCTGTCCGCTCGTTGGCTGCGTTTGCGCGGCCCTTGTTCGCGTTTGAGACGTGGGCGAGTGGGGGTGATGGCACACCTTCGAGCGTTCGAAGCGAGCGCGCACCCACGTCCTTCATGAGCTCACTAACGCTGCGAAAGCAGCGTTGTTGAGTCCGTCACGTCCTGCTAACTTGTCGCGTTGGACGCGCGTTGACGTGTCGAACAGGCCGCGGCGCACCTGTACCTCTGACAGGCCCAACATGGGCCTGTCTCTTCATGAAACGGCTGTGTTTCACGGCCTTGAGGTTGCGCGGGCGAGTGGCGGGCGAGCGGCCCACAGGCCGTGGAGGAGGGAGTGAAGGGAGGAGGAGCTGTCAGCACTTGCGCGCTGGACGGACGCAAGCGCTGTCGGACTTGCCTAATGCGGCCTGCATCGGAAGATCCCGGTTGAGCGCTTGCAACTTTGCGTCCGCCAGGCGTTCGCTGCTCGCGCCGTGTCAAGCTGGCAGCCCAGTGTCAGCCTACTGCTACCCTCAGCAACCTCGCCGCCGCCGTCTGCCCTCCTGAGCCCGCCGGCATCTCCTCCCTGAGCCTCGAGACTGACAGTCAGCTCCGAGACTGGCAGTCGTGTACGCGGCCTCGCCCGTGCTCCCTTGTGCTCTCGTCTCCCTCGCGCTCTCTTGTCCTACCCTTGTTCTCGCACTCTTGCGTCCTGCTCTCGCGCTCATCCCCATCTGGCCCGTCGCGCACCGACTCCGAGTCCAAGGCTGGTTAAACACTGCACAACGCTCGCAAATGCCCAGTACGCAGGCACAACCGATGAACACATGCGCACGAGGTCGAGCGCGCGCGAACGGCGGACATGGATAGAGACGAGGTCGAGAGAGCAAGCCGGTAGTGAGCAGACGGGCAGGCTTGTGAGTGGTAACATCCTACGTGCTTGCATGTGTCCCTGCTCCTTGTTCTCCCTCGCACACGTCTCACATTCGAACAATTACAGTATCTTGTGTCTCGACTCTCACGGGCTGCGGCTGGCTCCGTAGGTTCGACACAAACCCCTCGCACCGCGAATAGGGTCTTAGCAACAGCAGTCTGTCACCCGCAGAGTCAAGCAACTATCTTTTGTCTCGTGGCTCGCTATGTACGTCGTCATGGACCATCCACACTCCGTGAATATTGACTCCATCACATCAACAAGCACAGATATCATGCTCGTGCGCCACGCCGCGTGAGGTTCTCGGTACTCTAGGTAAGCTCTCGCAGTACAGTAATATGCCTCTTCGCCCCTTCTGTGGCTTCAAGTTGTTCTCCCTTTGCACGTGTCTCACGCCTCACGCTCAAGGATTGCAAGCAATAGAGATCTTCAGAAACGCGGTTCTGGCCGGGTGGCGCAGACATGATTAGTCAGCAACCTGGCTGTGGGGCCAGCTCGGGCATGACAAGCATGCACCACGCACCCCGCTCCGAGGCTGCTGCCACCGCGGGCGGGCAGGCTAGTACACGTAGTATAGCATCGAACACTCGAACGACCACGATGTAAAATGCCTCCAAACCGTAGTTACCGTCGCGGTGGCAAAAGGGAACGGCGTCAACAGCCTGTTGGAGCCCCCGGCGTGACCCGCACAACACCGAGATCGCGCCACCCGGCGTGCAGATATGCGCCACCCAGACCCCGACCTGGGTCGCGTTCTGAAGGTCTCTAATGGCCTGTACCGCGCTCTGCGTGAGTATTCATCATCCCTCCGTATCATCGCTGTTTATCGCCCTAACACAACAATAAATGGGAGATTACAACTACAACATCATCACGGTGTTTCCGCGCGCTTTGCACGCCGCCGCCGCCGCAGAACGGGAGGAGTTTGGCTTTGTGACGGCATGAACAGTTGTCGAAGTAGTTAACCCCAGTAGTCGATAGTTGATGTACATTGATTGATCCACTGTGGGTACTACAATATATGGCAGGATTACTGGAGATGATTGTATTGAAGTTGGTCCTCCGAGTCCGCAACAAATCCAGAATCAACACTTTGTTATTTGGTGGATCTTGTATTCATGTACATGACACAGTAATTACTGAGCAGAACACATTGTTATTGGCATGCCATAATGGCAGTACGATTCCTAGACTACTACTCATAATAGCTACGAATATTTCTGTATTCACAAACATTATGTCCGTTACTGAGAATCTCGGACAATTGAGGCTAATTCCCAGGGGGGTATTTTCCTGATGCCATCTGCTTCGCCCGAAATCACTGAAAAATCGAACCGCGCGACTTCAGCTTGAAGGGCGGGACTTGTTTTGATAAGTGCTTGACAATGATTCCATGCTTGCTCGCTCATGATCGATTCATACGACAGGTCGAGTGTACCGTGGTGAGGCGTCTCGATGCGACAGCCAGACCAAGCCTTTCTGACAATGTCAGGATTGTTGGCAAAGTACTGGTATGCATCCACAAGCCAACGGATAGTTGCGTTCCGAAGGGAAACGACATCTGTTGGGAGCTTGACCTGGTCAGGCTCAATCCCCGCCGCCAACTGTTGAGTCGCCCTTGCGACAATGAAGTCGGTTGCGCTCCGTTTAATGTGATGCTTCAAGAGTCGCTGGAGTCCGACATCAGCAGGCTGAGCAAGACCAGTACACCCGCCAGGTACGAAGATGATGACAATATTGCTGTGCGTTTTGACCATCCACGGCAGGAAATCGTCAGGCGATGACTTCGCAATATGGACCGGCCAAACATCGATCAAGAGCAACGATTTGCTTTCGGGTGCAAGTCCGAGCCGTTTCTTCTCTCCGGCAAAGAACGGGTCAAGCACTTCTTCTACCCACTGCCCCAGGAGAATGTGAATCAGGTCTGGTGCTGTAGGTGGCGCAACAATGGTACATACCTGTTTTGTGGTCTCTCGCGAGCTCCAGTGACGTGTATCCCCATGGGCATACCGGAAGCCAAGCAGGTTCGCAGTTGGCCAATTCGGATCACTGCGCGAGGGGAGACTCTGATCTGTCGTGCCGCCCCAGACAGATTGGAAGGGAATAATCTGGCCTGCCATTGACGAGGCAGTGACAATCGTGAACTGACGCCGCTCCTCGTGCCCCGCAACGGAGACATCCTTGGATCCCCGCTTCTCGTAAGTGTACTTCCCCGTCGGGAAGAGCATGACGCCAGCCTGATCAGCATTTACAGCAACCTCTGGCTTGATGTTTTCTGTGCGGAATGCGAACGTGATGCGCGCATGCATAGCACGGAGCAGATCATTCGCATTTGCGGGAACCTTTTGTGTCGCACGAGTCGCCTTTCGCATGGACCAGTCCAGATGCTGAGACAGGTAGTTATGTACCCATGTGTCCGATATTTTGAACCCATGGCTGACCAGATGTGGGGCATGGTGCGTGATTTGTGCTCGTATCACTGCGCTTGCAAGTGGACGCTGAATAGCACCTCCAAAGCGACGGATAGATTCGAGCTGGCAGTCGATCATGTCGACAACATGCGGATATGGAGCAAGGATGCCAGACTTCCGTGTGACGCCGACACGCCCCTTCTCAACCCTCTCCAAGACGCTCGGCTTCCAGCACTTCAAGCCTGTAGTGGGATCGGTCGTGATCCATTTCTGGACAGTTGCTCTATGAAGGCCTGGAACGCCGTTGACAGGATCGGGCTTGTACCACTCGGCCCGCTTGTTCCAAAGGTAGGCGACAATTTCCGCAGGGCCCCAGCCTCCGACGGCTTGGGGTGCAGACCCAATATCCAGCCACGTCCAATGCATCTGCCAGTTCATGCGGAAGGCTGGAGGCTTCGCGGCTGGGTCCTTCTTTGCGGCCTTCTCTCGCCGATGCAGGGTCTGCTTCGACACTGCGAGGCGAGCGTTTTGCTGCTGGATCGGAATGGTGGGTGGAACTCCAGGCTGTACGACATGCACTGACACGTTTGCATTGCCAGATTCGGTAGGCTGGGCGGTGTTTGTCCCTGGCGAAGAAGAGCTCGAAGATGTGACAGCTCCCGGTGCACCTGCCGTCTCCTTCACCTGAGCTGATAATGCCACCGCCTTACCCTTCGCTCGCCAGATGCGTTTCCGCTCTCGCTCTATCACCCTCTTGAGCTCCTCCTTCCGCTCCTTCTCCAACTGCTCCCGGATCTCGATCTTCGCCGTGCGTTCACGAACGTCAGCCCACATGCGCTGCTTCTGCTCCTCGGCCTCCTCCTTGGTGAGTTTTTGGAAGTTCAAGGTTCCTTGTTGTGCTCTGAATCGTCCAAACTGATTGCGAGGCTGCAGAGACTGAGATGGCTCGGATGGTGGATTAATGTCATGGTCGGACTCCGACTCTGACGTTGATCCACCTGCATTCTGAGTGGCATCGTTGTCTGAGTCAGAATCAATGGAAATGATGCTATGTGCAGGGCTCGGCAGGCTTGACGTCGACAGTGGCTGTGTAGTGCTACTGCAAGGTGAGTTAAGGTGACCCATCAACAACCCGCGGGATGTACTCACTCAGGAGCTTCGTGCGCATTTGCAGCGAGAGCGGCATCTGTCAGTGCATCAAGCCACGACTCAACGACTCCGAGGTCATCCGCAAGCGGTAAGACATATTGGATGATGTTGACCGTGGCCGTGAGCTTGTTTCCCGTCTCTGTGATGTGCAGGCCCTCGCTCTTGTACCCCCACAAGCGATGGAAGCAGTGGTTCAACGCGGCGCTGTGGCCGTCATCTGCAGCGATCTCTTCGTCGAGGCCAAAGTTCACTCCGGCAGACTCAGTGGCAGCGGGAAGTTGCGGTACAAGGGAGTCAAATAGTCGTGCGAGCTTGCTCGTCTTCAGCTCCAAGTTACGGAGGCGAAGGTGGTGTTCTGGGTTGGGATTCCGTGTCGAAGCTAGTCGGGTTGTTGCCATGTCGAGTAGTGATGTAGTAGTCTGATGGGTCGGAAGAGTCGTCGACATGCGTGCATCAACGTCTGCAGTAATTGAAGTGGCACGAACTCAAAGTTGAACTTTGGGTGAGTCCGCCAGCCACACTTGGCACGGGCGGTTGTGATGTTTTACCCGGGAGAAGCTAACCATTTAAGGGCTTTCGGTGTATGACATGTGCATGGTCTTCGTCCTAAACCTGGCCGTCATGCTCTTAGCTACTATAGCCGCCCGCCGTCGCCTATCCCCTCGTCGCCACTGTCCCATGTCCCGAGCTCATCGTTGCTTGTCACCCGCCATTCGCACAGTCACGTGCCGCCTCGTCGTGTCGCCTAAGGTCGTGACACCACAGTATACGCTAGCTGAGCCCAGAGGGAAGGCAGGATTTGTTTGTATATGGGACTCTGGTCATGCGTACGATGTGATTATGTCACCAGAATGATCGATCGGGGTTCGTTTCAGCCAATCAACGTGCAGAACGCGGTCTGCCACCGACCACCATCTCTCGCCCGGCCGAGTAGCCCAAGGGCAGCCCCTCAACAAACAGTAAGCCTACAAACATACATCGCGCACAGTCTGTATATAGACTGAAGTCTTAGGTAGGACAAGCACTCCCAGGTGCCACCGTTGCAATGGCCACATCCGCGACACAGACAATTCCCATTGAACTCATTGAGCTCATGCTCCAAGAGCTTGCTCAGAAAGACCTCTCGCCCGTCTTGCAAACCAACAGGACATTCTACAGCATCGCAGTGCGACTTCTGTATAGGAAAATAGGGGATTTGCCCATAGCACGCTTGGTCGCTTGCCTCAAGGTCCTGGAGTGTCACGCAACATTCCCGGCGTTTGTGCATGACCTATACATCGACTGGTCCCAGTACCACGTCACCGCAAACCTCCTTCGTTTGTTGCGGCGGATTCTTCAACAGCTCAGGAACCTACGCTTCTTACATGTCGAGCTCTCACCTCGAGACAACCTAGCGAGTCATGCGTGGGTCTTCGTCGACGGACCCTACAGATTACGCACCTTCACAACGTCGACGCGTTGCGATAACGCCCTCGCACGCATACTCGAACGACAACCGCTGATTCAAGAACTCTCACTGCGCGGCTTCCAAACCAACATGCCCTTCGTGCTTTCGTCGACAGCGCTACCTCAACTCAATTCACTCCGCTGCACCCACGCTGACGCCTCCGTGATCGCGGAGGTGATCCGAGGTCGTCCAGTTGAAGGCATCTCCATATCGCTGTTCGCGGACGAGGGGCTCGACCCGCTGGACACTCTTCGGCTCCCGAGCATATCGCTCAAGCGACTCACACTCATGGCGCTCGACGACGTGCCAGCCACGAATCTGCTCAGGGAGGTCGCCGAGCGGGTCCCTCAGCTGGAGGCGCTGCATATCGTTGTCCTACTATCACATTACACATCCGTATGTCGAAGTTTCCACGTCATGTCAACTGTTCTGTGCTTCTTCATGTTCATGGCGATATCTTTTCACAGGAGAGTCTCATGGAGGCAGGCCCGGTGTTATCAAACTTCAAGGAACTCCGCTACATCACCGTCATGGGCGGGCTGGGAGCGAGCGTCACTAATGACCATCACATTGCGAAGGAGTGGCACAAGCACTGCACGACACTCAAAACCATCATTCTCCCAAAGGGTCAGGTGTGGTTTGAGCGTGATGGAGACTGGAGTTGTTGTGTGTAGTTATCCTAGCGTACACGTTGGTATGTCGCTCACGCAGTAGCCGCATAGGTCGTCATTGCAAGGTACCAGATCTCCCTGATATTGATGCCTGATACTATACATGAAGGACACATCACTACTCATACAACGACTGGCGGGTAGGATAAGGAAGGGTCGGGGTCCTCGTGCATGTTACCGTCCTCTGTATGACAGACAAGTTTACAAGTCTGGGGCGTCTCCCTGACCATTGCCGGAATGTGAGAACAGTCGGAGTAGGTCTCAGTCCGACATGAACGCACCTCTCGAGTGAAGGTCAGCATGTGGCAGCTGATATAGCCTTTGACAAAGCCTGCGCCGGCGTACGCGAACAGATACTCCCATTTGCGTGCGAACACGGCGAACTCCATCGGATCGCGGAGGGATGGATGCGTCTCCGCGACGGCGTCTTGCTGCACGTTGCTCTTGAAGCGGCGCCCCCACGTCCGGAGCGTGCGAGGGTAGTCTGCGGACATTGAGTGGGGGCATTTACAAAAAGAATGTCATGGCGACTTACGTGCTGAGTGATTCTCGATGGTGTTCAGCTTAAAGCGGCCTCGTGTAGCCTTGTATGCCGCATCAACTAAGGCGGACGCGCTGGGAAGGGCCGAGTTGGGCCAGATATACCGTCGCATGAAATCTTCAGCTCTGTTTCTCGTGGGTGAGGAAGCGAGATTCAATGGTACGGCGGTTACTCACTGGTACTCGCTGTATCGATGCTCGGGGAATGTACTTGAGCTCACGACGGCGATGGCGCCACGCTTCTTCAAAGCAAAGTCGACCAGTCGGAAATACGCGCCGTAGTACTGGACAGCGGCGCATCATTAGCGAGCATCACCTAAAATTACAACATAACCTACCTTGGGCCCGACGTGCTCTATCATCTCGATGCTGACAAACGCATCGAATGCATGTTCGAAGTGAGGCGGGATATCCCGGTAATCGAGCAGGTGGACGCGAACGCGATCCTCCAGCCCGGCTTCCCTGATCCGTTCCTCTGCAAGCGTCTTCTGCTCGATGGACAGCGTGAGCGTGTCAACCTCGCAACCATATTCCCGGGCGGCCTGATTTCGGGGAAAGGCAAAAGTTAGGTAACGTAATTGCCCGCCAGTGCCTAGGATCCTCACTTCAATCGAGAGCGCGCCCCACCCGGTACCGAACTCGAGCAGACGGTGTCCAGGTTGAAGGTGCAACTGGCGGAGGACGTGTTGTATCTTGCGCCGCTGGGCTGCCTCCAGGTCGCCTGTGGTAGGACCTGAGCCTAGGTCTCCGCGGACGCCGCCTTCCTCTTCGCCCCATAATGCACAGGAGTACATCATTTCCTTGCTTAAGAACGCCTTCCAACCGAGACCATGTGAGTCGCGCCGCTGATTTCAGAACGTACGGGCAGACCTTATACATTTCGTTGGATAGGTCGTAGCTCGCGACGACATTGAGGCGTGCACGGGTGTGTGTCTGTCCAGCGAAAGCGTTCCATAGTCCTGATACGGCAGCGATGGTCTTGTTGTACAACCAGGAAATATTAGAGAGACTGGATAGATTGTCGATGAATAGCTAGGGCCGTAGGGTCGATCAGTGAATGTAGCAGAGGAACTGAAAGTGAGCCTACTTCTATGACGGCCTGGAGGTCGTCGACTTGGACTTCTCCCATCATGAACGCCTCGCTGACTGCAGCGTATCAGCGTACGTTCAGTGTATGTTTGCACAAACGACTCACAGCCGAGGTTACCGGATCTGCTCCAAAAGGTCATGTCTATCGGACGATACTCTTGTGACCGGAACAGTTCAAAGACTTACAGCAGCACTCGCGTCCAAAAGTCCTCGTCCACCACGGTGATGCGGACGCTGTTCTGTCCGTTTGTAGCCCGGCCGAAGGTATGGCGCATTTCCCTTTCCTCGATCACGATACTTCCTACCTTCACCGCGTCCTGCAATACGTTGAGAATCCATGCTCGTGCTACAGACAGTCGCATCAGACAACGGTATAGGCCAATCCATAGACCACGTACCGAAGGAAGTCAGCCATCCGCGAGGGCTCAACACGATTAAAGCAGGAGGGGGGAGAATACGCTTCTGTCGAGAAATATCTGAAGTGCCATATTCTGAAGCCGTCGCGTCAGACATCTCGACCAGCCAGAAAGGATTCACTGGCTTAGGAGGGGAGGTTTAAGGAGGAGCGAAAGGGAGTGGTCAAGACGTGGGCATTGGAGACCGCGCCCTATATTCACTTCCTAACGGAGGCAGCATACAACACCGGAGAAATGGCGCGTAATTCAGGTATAGGCTGGCAAGGCGAACGCAATGTCGCGGCGTCCGGAATGGAGGTGGCTCCGGGCACATGATTACGGTCTGAGAGCACGGAGACATGGAGTCCGAGAACCACTACATCATGCGCCCGTTCCGTGGTGCGATCAAAAGCCGACTGATGAATAGAAAGCGGACCTGTCATGGAGATACAGACGGCTTTCCGGAAGGAGACCGCGGACCCGTGCCATCACACTGCGACTGTGCTTTGACGGACCATTTGGCAGTCCGGCCAGCTCGAGTTCAAGTTGGCATTTCAAAGCAAGTTTGAGCCAAGGGCACTCGTGCAGTACCAATCAGTACAAGCCCGGCGGTGCGCAGTTGGTGACAACATAAGGTTTGAACAACATATTGAGTACTGGCCAGCCGTAGAAGACGCACCGGCGTGACACGTTCTTTTCCTAGTACCAGGCGCTCTCCCTTGTGAAAGCGCTTCCACGGTGTCATCTTGAATCAGAAACCTGCATGCGCGAGCTCCATCTGGAATAATGAAAGGTGAATAGAAATCAGTTCCGATACCTTAGGAGACGATGTTTGAAGTACGTTGAAACATCTTCTCCTTCTCTACGTGCCGTCGAGGTCGGAGATGGCTCTGGAACATGAGAACACTGCGGGAACTTCGAGTATAGGTCAGGCCGTAGTATACGCAGACGGTACTTCAACATCCTTGTGAAGAAATGTCATGAGCTGCACGCTGACGGTGACGCAGCTTCCATGAGCATACCGTGGACACGTAAGGGCCGAATACTGTAGCGAATCTACGCTCTTGCTCCAGGCGATCCATGGCCAGCCAGTCCCCTAGAGCACTTTTGAATGAATCGACTCAGCGTGAGGGCAGTATGGGGGTCGTACTTGCAATGGTGAATCGAAGCTAGACAGAGTCGTCGGAGGCGGGACACGAGGAGACAGACAGACTTACGTACGCACCTTGTGAGTCGGAACATGAGTACAGGAAGACGCCATGCTATTAATTCCACCAAGCTCATGGAAGAGATCTGGCAGGCTTACGGCGCGAGACACAGCGCCGAGCTCATAGTGCCACTTGCTCGATATGTGATCTACGCAGTTGCTGATAGTAGTCAGCGATCGGCTGTATCCAACGATGGCAGGTCGACCTTCTCGGACTCCCTATCTTTGATTGCTCGATATTGGGAACGCATCATTTCCATATGCCGGAGTTCTCGAGCCATACTCCCGAGCTCGAGACCTGCGGGCATCAAGCTACTGAACACCCGGCCGATGTGATCCTCGCACTGGCTGTCAGCAGTTCTGGTACATGTAGCAAGGGATTCTGAACAACGACGTGGCACCGGCACTCACCGTGCGCGCGAAGCCGGGTCGATGTATTCTCTATGCAGGTTGACGCCACTGATCATGTGGCGGGATCTGCGCGGATCATTCAATAGAAATGGGACATACCTTTTCAAAGGGGCAGCATTTTTGCCTTCCTTGCGGCGTCAGGTACACATTCTCTACTAATTTGTCTCCTTATTCGGAACAGTTGGAGCGCTGGTCGTGCATCCAATATCCCTGTCACCTATGAATGAGTCAGACCAATAGTAGCCGCATCGAGACGGTGAGCCTCCCTGGTAGTAGTAGGGTGTGTATATACACTGGGATTGTCTACATCCATATGCGATTGCGAGTATGCGTTATATCTTGCCCTTTCGCTGATTTCTTCACTGTGCTTGACAATTATCCGCCTACGCCACCAATGATCGGACGCCTTGGCTTACGGATTTAGGAGGCAGATCCTAGTCATTTAATCTTGTTTGACGTGTGGCTTCTTCGTTGTATCTGCGTGCAGTAGAATTGAGGCGTTGAGGTGAGTAGCATGTGCGTTCCAACTTGAACCTTCTTCAACTCGTTTCCTCGTGTCTCAACGTTTCTAATGTTGGTGGTCTAAGCACATTACAGACTTTCTGGACCGCTCCGCGAGAATATGTCGCCGGAAATATCTACGCACATCCGTCGATTGCAATGCGGCATAATCTCAGTGCAGGATTCAGTTCAATACTCACCATGCGCCACAATGTTGTTCAGACCCTGGATTGGTTCGGAACTTCAACACGTACAGCCGTCCCGGGAAGTTTCATTTAGGCTAATGCCGACTTGTTGCCTTGGTGAATGGAAGGACTCCATCAGCGACACATTGCATTCAAGGAGGCGATCTGGTCGACGTCGCAGGGCTGTGTGGCGGTAGGTATAATGTTGTATCGTTGGTAAATAAGGTGCGTCATATTGGCAACGGTTCAATGGTGTAGTTGGTTATCACGTCCGTCTCACATTATGTTGTATTAGTTTCGATGGCACGGGAGGTCTCCGGTTCGAGCCCGGATTGAACCAAGTTTTTGCTGATGCGGAGGTCGTCGACATGACAGTGTGTACTGTACTTGGTTTTTTGTTTCTGGTTTGGATAGGTAGGCCTTGTCCAATCGTTCCTGCCGACAGGCTGGTCCACCGAACTACAATTGCTGCATGTGCCTTTTCTAATAACGCTACTTATCGCAATGCTGGGAACGCACTAGACGGCTCCATCCAAGCCATGACGGTGTAACATCGCTCGATCATCCTCTTCCGAGTCTTCGAATTCCTGCAGACTCAGGAAGTTGACTGATACGGTCCTAGTTACATAGCAACGCTCAATATCACTCCCACCTCCGGGATGGCTCTGCGGCGGCCGGATTTCACTGTCAGTCACGGTGTAGCCAGCTTGGTTACATCCGTGTCAACGGTTCGGGCCCGCTCTCTGGCCGACGCCTGGTCGTAGCTCGGCTTCGAGGGATGTCTTCCTACCTCACGCTGTACTCTGCCACCATGAAGTCCACCGTTGGGACAATTTCAGTGCATGCGCATCGCAGGCACATTCACCACGCGGACGACTTTCGAAACGTGAGGAACGGAGACGTTATGCTAATATATGCCTTTGACCATGTCACTGTTTGGGACGATGATTGCGTGCGTGACGGAGCCGGAGGATATGGTTCAGAGGTAAGTCACTCAGGCCAATGACTCCTATGCTCTCGTCGTTCATGACAACTTTACAGATGGCGCACATTGGGCGACCCAGTGTGCGATGACGCTCTGCAGACTGTCTTCTCGAGCTCGGCGTCGACTGTGAGGAAGGAGCTTCTGACAAGGTTAGAGACGTACGCTGAAACACATCCCGAAGTGGATGATGTGCATGCCTTCCTCCGCGAGGTCTCGCAGTGCTCGCCAGCAGGCATTCAAGTCACTGGCCGGGAAGTCGAACTGGCACAAGAGCTGTTTCTCGATAACAGCTAGCCAAGCTCTATTGCATTACAGTCTCGCTGGCGGCTTCGCCAGGTGAGTCGTCACTGGCAGGCGCGCGGAGAGGTTGCAACGCCTCTCGGATGTCGCTGACGATAACCCTTTTGCATAAGCCCTCGCATCACCCGGACCCTTCAAGCCGTCTCCTATCTCCTTCCGCACTCTAGCAAATCACTTCAGAAAGCCGCTCGTCCCCCGGCAGACGACGTCCCTCAGATGCGTCCCAGCGCATCATCGGCGCGTCGAATGAACGCATTTTCATTCGGCTCTTAGAGACATTCCAAATGGTCTTGGACGCTCTAGACTGTACGATCACATCCCTTCAAGCAACGAATACCACTGCAAACGCTGCGATTGACTTGAAAGATAGATATCTTCGTACATCGTAATTAGAGCCGGGCAGTGGCTATGCATGGCGATCGACCATCAACGTACGCTATTACATGGCGTAGCTCGTATGCGGGTTCTCGAGCGATGGAGGAAGGAGGGTAGAGAAGATCCCCTGGCCATGGCCGTGCCTATCAATCAGGAAGATCTCAGTGGGACGTAAGTCGACACCTGCGACAGAATTCCCGTGTCGCTCACATCGTAACAAAAGCCTGACAGCGTTCTCCACACTCCCCATCTGGTGCTTGCACCGTCTTCACGTGCACCCCACAGACGAATACATCCGCGCATATCTCGCCCTCTGGCGGCAAGTGGGCTTCTACTTGGGAGTGGACCCGTCTATCATTCTGCGCCATTTCTCTGCGCCTATCACCGCCGACAAGTTCGTCGGGACTACAGCGATGCACCTCTTCTCGACGAACAACCCCTCGGACGCCGCAGACCCCGACGGTCCCTATCCTGCGCGCCGTCTCGAATCGTGCCCCGATATACAACTCATTCGAATACAACTGCGCGCTGACGCGACACATCCTGGGCCCTCCATGTCCGACCGCGTAGGCCTGCCTCCGGCGTCCTTGCGTATGGCTATTCGGATGCACGCCGCGCTCCTCCTTCAGCGCATCCCGCATTGGGTGACGCATTACTATCCCAGGAAGGGGTGGACGGTCAAGAGGCGGGCGGTGCTGAAAGAGGGCATAGCGCGCAGTGTCTGGTGGAGCATTGGCATGCGGAGGGCGTCTTTCCGGCCGCGGACGGATGTCAAGAACCATGCAGATGCGGCGAGGGTGGCGAAGGAGCCTGAGGCGAGATCGCGCCAGGCGTGAAGGAAGCGGAAGCGGTACAGCCAGACATTGCGGATGCTCAACGGCCGTCGGCTAGTGAGGCCTTGAGGCAGTGGCGTGAAGTACTGGCTGATATGATTGTCGTCTGCGTAGGGACTGGTCTCGCTAGTCTCAGTCTTGGGTGGACTGTCTTCCGCTTCCTGTGGTCTCGGTGGTAGATGTGGTTCCATGGTGAATTGTCTCGTATGTGGGCAGTATCATTTATGGTTTGAGAACTTTGTCTGACCACAGCATCATAGTCTACCACAGTGCTGGCGTATATACGAGAAGTGCGGTTGTGTTCAAAGTCCGCTCGTCTCTTCTGTGGCAACTCAACGCGATCACGTGAGACGTGTGTCTTAACCCAGTGCCAGAGCGCCACTCGACGCGACGACCATGGAATCCGGTCGGAGGCCTACGTCTGGCGCAGCAAAAGGAGGCATAAACCGAACCACTGCTGTGGTATGCGTTCACTCACTGGAAGGCATGAGCATATCGTCCATAGCCGTCGCAGTTGAGACTGCCCTCTCTTTCACACTGCACGCGCGACGCGTCGAGAGTGAAAGAGAGGCTGGCTTCAGTGCAGTTCCTTGTCAGCGTAGCTAACATTCTTTAATAATGGCGGCAGTATTATGGTGCTGCTCCTGCCGGAAGGTTAAGTGGCGTATCGTGGCTGTTCAAAGCGCAGAGGCTTACGCAAGACGTGGGTGGCCCTCCTCAAAGCGTGCAACAATGGCCCACCAGCCACATGGCCAATTTGGGCCACAAGTTCAAGTTACGTCTCGCTCGCGCTTTGCTTCCTCTCATCTACCACCACCACCCGGGCTCCTGACTCTCGACAAGCTTCAACCGCCCCTTTCTCAACACAGCAGATTTAGCCATGGTCAAGAACACGGGCAACTACTACCCTGCTTCTGGCTCTATTAGCCATCCCGCCGCTCAGTTCTCGGCCCCTGCATCGCGACCCCCTCCTTTTGTGGCTCCTACGGGGTGGATCCCCTATCCATCGGGGACCCCTGCAGTCATCTACGCACAGCGAGCTGCTGGGCGACCTACCACATACCCGCCTACTTCCCAGGGCGGTTATTCACCCGTCACCGTCGCCGAAGCGTCGACCTCGCGGAATGTGTACCAGAAGGAGCCCACCACCCCTCGGCGCCGCAACCGCGACGCAACACCAACTTCGAACGACGCGCCCCGGCCGTCGAAGTTGACGTACCCGTCGGGCACGCATGCAGACCCGATAGTGATCGATGACTCTCCGGTACGTAGCAGTGCGGCATTGACGGGAGCAAAGCCAGTCCGTGGGGACTTCGCTCGCAGGATCCGTGAAGAATCAATGCCTCTTTCGGCCAGGACATTGAGTGGCCCGCGGCGCAAAGGGGCCTCACTGGCCATATCGATACTACCGCCGAGCGCAAGTGCCGCTCCGCAGGTATCAAAGAAGCGAAAGCGGTCAACGGACGATGGTGCTGAGCACCACAAGGCATCGGACGGCTCAGCTGCCAGTGTAGCCTCGACCATCCGAGGCCAGAAACGCGCGAGGAAGGTGGCTGCCACAAAAGCCAAAAGTCTCCCCGCAACTGTCCAGGCTCCGTCGCAGGGTTGTTCGTCGATGTGTTTTCCAAACCCGTCGGACCCTCGGAAGGCCAATGAGTCTTCAACAGTGGCAAAGTCCGTACCGACGAGGCCCGCCACTGCGTCTCCGCGGATGGCTGTACCCATTCCCGTCGCGGCCGCTGTACCCATTCCCGTCGCGGCCGCTGTACCCATTCCCGTCGCGGCCGCTGTACCCACTCCCATCGTGGCGGTTGTCCATGATCTACTGAGCGAAGGCAATGGAGGATCTGTCGTCTCTGCAGAAACGAAGACCTTGGATGGGGCACCGTCCATCGAGGCTGTCGTAACCGCAGAGAAAATGCCCCAGTCCGCTGCACCTCCCGTTGTTGCGGCCATGATTGATCTCAACTTTGGTGAGTTTCTGAACTTATTCCCGGCTTGTACACAACGTTAATCCCTACCCAGGCGCTCCGCAATCCTCAGGCGCGGATGAGGACGATTTCCAAGATCTTTTCGGTGATCTGTCTAGCGACGATTGAGTCGGTACAACGCATCTTTGCCCTCATCCTTTCTATCATATGTCTCGGTTCACCCCGTCCATTCCCATTCGCGTCCGTACATACAACCTTTTCATCGTATGTCTGTTTTCTTAGTGTTGTTCACTCCATCCATCTCCACTCGCGTCCGTACTACCTGTACTTCATTTGCTACCTCGTCTGGCATCTAGATACCCTGATACCCAACAATTTGATACCCACTTACCATCCTCTGTGATGACTTCACGGTCACGACGACTGGGTCTCGCTGAACTGCGTCGCAGAAGGTTACAATCCTGTTCGCTTGATGTCTCGCGTTTGGTCCGCGTGGCTCACGGCTTCCTGTGAGGCCAGCCGTGCGAAGATACCTCTGTGCTGCGGTTTCGACTGTCGCATGAGTCGGGCATATGCATAGAGTATGATTGCAGCGATCAAGATGAATTTGTGGCGGAACTCCTACTCCGGCTTCGGGTTGTCGCGTATTCATACGGCTGCGAAAGGAACGAGCAATCTGAGCCCATCGACGCTCTCAGTTCCTGCTCGTACCCTACAGCTGCTTCCGCGATGGAGCCATCCCATCGTGATCAGAGAATAACTCATATCATTACAATCAAAGACGTAAGTGGGGGTTACACGCAACCTCACTGGACAGTAATACAGCTATCGTCAGCGATACAGACAGCGAGCGAACCCAGCTCACCTAGACAAAGAAGCCCTTGAAATCCCAGAACGTGCCCTCCACGCCCATGCGCTTCGCCGTCAACTGCGCGACCCTCACGAATAGGGTCCCATCCACGACCTCCGCACCCTCGAGCGCAGTGTCCTCAAACGTGCCGCGGCCGCGCCCGCCGTACGCCTTCGAGTAGTGCAGCAGCGCACGTTGCACCTTCACGACATGGTCGTCGGGGTGCACAATAGCGCGCTCGACGAGCGCGAGCCACGGGTTCGGCGTCGTGCCCGCGGGGGCGAGGGACGGCTTCGGGACCGCCGGCTCCAAGGTGGCGTCGGGCGACGTGCCAGCGTAGAACTCCTTGATGTTGAGGGAGGGCCGTCCCCGTGCGATCCACCAGGACACGCCGGTGATAAAATGCTTGCGCAAGAGGAGGACGCTCGAGCTTGGGGAGAGGTACTCCACAAACGAGGGAAGGAAGAGGCTCGAGGTCAGGACATGCATACTTCGTGGCAGATGTTAGTCGGGATTATGAATCACTTGAGCACCATGTACTCACATGAAGAAGTCAGCGTTGAAGTCGTTGTTGGCGCTCCAGCCGGTGACGCCGTACAGCAAGGTGCACAGCCAACTCAGCTCCTCAATCTTCTGGTCGAGGTCTGCGCCGACGGGCAGCCACTCCTCTGTCATCACAAGGAGGTCTGCGCTAAGCACGTCCGCAACCTTCTCGTAGTGCGCGATAGCGCCCGCGGGGTCCAAGTGCGGCTTCAGGCCGAGCTTCGCCGCACTGAAGCGGTCGTCCTTCAGAATGCGCGCCGCGATGTCGAAGGCGTGCACGCCTAGGCTGGTCTTCGGTGGCACGGCGGGCGCAGAACTGTTCAGGAGGAGGTTGGAGAGTTTTTCGGTCACTTGCGCGACGGCGCTCGACCCTGCCTCCGAGAGGGCTGCGAACTCAGACGCGGTGAAGTACTTCGTGGCCTCAAGCGGGTGGCACGCCGTTTGCGCAAGACCTGTAGTGCATCCAGTGAGATTCGGCGAACATCGTCAGCTGTGACTCTTGTTACCTTCCGCGACGAGGCCCAACAAGCCGAATTCGAGACCATAGCCGACGAAGATCAATGGGTGGTAGGCGCGGGCGTAGAAGCGGTCGAACATGGCGCGCGTGAGGGCATCACCCGTGAAGTTCGCCGCACGAGAGAAGATGTGCTCCTCGATGGTTGCACTAGCGCCCTTCTCTTCGAGCTCACGCTGGAAGTAGAGTAGGTACGCGTCGTAGTAGCTGTGGAGACGGAGGAGCAGCGATCAATAATAGGTGGCAGAAGTGGAAGAGTATGCTGACTTGAGTTTGCCAAGGTGCTCATTGAAGGTCTCCTTGGTGATGGTGCTCGGCGAGGCGGTGTATGGGCGCGTCATGGGCTCCTGCGTCTTGTAGATCGCATTATAGAGAGACGCTGCACCACCGAGTGCGTATACGGCGAGAATCTGGTGCGAGATGTGACTTGGGTAGGTCAATACTCGAACGAATAGGTCCTCGCCTACACTAAAGAACGTACTTGTGGAAACCTTGGTCGTTGATGAAGGCATGACGCTGTACATGGTTCTCCCTGAGAGTCTTGGTCACTGCGAGGTTCGTCTCATGAGTAATGCCTGGAAGGCGTTCGGGACACTTGGTCGACGGCGGGGGCGAGGGCAAGGGGAAGAGCGCGTCGAGGTTGCTGTCGAACATGGCGATCTTGGACGTTGATCAATGCGATGTCTTCGAGGATCACCCTGTACAATGAGCAGATGTTGATTGGACCATGGATGGAACGCACCAGCTTTTTATACACGAGGGTACAGCGTCGTTCTACCCAGGAACACTGACTGAATTGATCGATTGCACTGAGCAGACCTGACACCATCAGCCCCGCTCATGGTGATGGGACGTCCATATGAGCGCGCAACAAGTACAATGAAGCGTAATCAGAGGTCAGTCGATACATCCGCATCGTGCGCGATTCAGCTCCTGGCCGTGGAAGCTGATAAACGTTACATGAGCCAAAGCAATAAACTCAGCATGTAAGTGGGGTCTAAAACAGGTGCCTCGAGGAGAGCCAAGGAGATACACAGCACATGCAGGCGATCCGGAGACGATATCTCAACGCGGACGCCCGGGAGGTACGGCCGGAAGTTCACAATCAATAGGGCTGCTCAATTCTCGCCGCCCGTTCGTCGGTTCGTCGGGCACCTGCCCCGTAAGGCAGGTAGCATCAGATCCGGATCAAGCCCGACAGATTCCCGATTGATCCAGCCACCGCCTACCGAAAGCGGCAGGACCAACGAGAGAACGAGCTCAGGTCAGCTCACTTCCCGACTGTACATTACTTACGAGGTGTCGGATGTGTACGATACCCACAGAATATTTGAATCTTGCCAATTGCTATGGGATGCATGTACACAGTGTCGAGGGCTCGCTATCAGTGGGCTTACATAATCACATAGGTAGTCAGCAGTAACTTTCCGTTAACGCGCGCGTTCACTGCTGTCAGTTCACAATCTTGAGTCTCGTTTCTAGTCGGGCTATTCATCGCGTTTTTCTTCCCCTGCCGCTCTCTCATCTGTCCCGACAATAACCTACATTGACTGCTAAAAATGTTATGTAATGCATCTTACATTTACATTCTTTAACTTCGAAATCGCCGTTCACAGCTCTGCGACGGTAAACCAACCAGGACGTGAGCGCTTGAGCGCTTGAGCTCCGAGTCACCCTAGGCTCGTCCTCTGGCTGGTGAAAGGTCGTATCGGTCAGTGCTAAGTATCGACGAGTCGTTGAGCGCCATTGTCCGTAGGCGGTGGCTGGATTAGTCGGGAATCTGCCGGGCTTGATCCGGATCTGATGCTACCTGCCTGACGGGGCAGGTGCCCGACGAACCGACGAACGGGCGGCGAGAATTGAGCAGCCCTACTGGGTGGCGCTCTGCCTCGCACCCTTCTTCCGACTGCTTCACATCGTTCCCTACCCGGACGAACACGGCTACCCTGAGGATGAAGACACAGTCGCACTCAAGCCGCACTGGTTGAACCTGCCTAGATATCATCGGAAGTTTCATAACTCACAGCAATAGATGCGCTCGCTGCACGCTCCTGCTCAACCCGAAGCTCCCCGATGACAGCCTCGTTTCCAGGGAAATTGAATGGAGTGGAATGTGAATCGTCGAAGGAGAAGCTCTCTGGCCAATGCCGCAGACGCGGCATGCTGTCGATGTCGATGTTGAAGCCGCCAGTCTTAGCCGTCTGCTGACTCCGAGCAATGCATCTGCCAAACGGGTCCGCGTCGCAAGGGGTTTGGTCAGCATGTTGTCAGCAGCAGCGGTCAGAGGCGACAGCAGAACACGCATGGAGGTAACCCTGAGGTAACCTTAAGCAGACCTCAAGCATAGTGCACACTTGGCGTCAGAGTGGCGGGCCACCGTGCCAGCTGTCTCTGGCGCCTATCCGTCTGTATCGCGGTCACGTGGTAAGTTGGTCGTACGCGATCGACGCCCGGGCCCGTCGCCGAGTCTCGACGAACCGTCCTGAATGTGCTCCCCATGCTCGATGCGATTCAAGCGATACTCAGTACCATGTTTTGGAAACTTATTTGGGTGTTTGAAGCCAGACGATCGCCCTCAACTCAGGTGGACACATCCACTGTAACTTCCGTACGCATACGGTTGTGCTGCGTGCAGCGGCGGCGAGAGCTGGTCTCGCAGATCTGCCGAGTATAATGGAGACTCATCGCCCAGGATAAGGTCAAAGCTCTCCCTCATGTGCATAATGCATACACCCCTGACGCACCAGACGTGACAGCAGTGGCAACGGTCGAACAAAGGAACAATGTATCTCATTTCGCCACACGCGCCACCCCGGATCCGCTTAAAAGCGCGCTGACTTCGAGCTGAACGTTCGAACAACTTCTCCCCGCTACTACTGCCTTCCCACCTTTTTGAACCATACCTTCGCATCCAGGCTTGTACCATGGCCACCGGTCAACACTCTATTTGTTCATCGACATCACCTCGGTGCGCACGACAACGTAGCCTCGAAGGAAGCTATTAATGTTCACATCAACCCACAGTTTTACCACACCTCAAGACTACGAGTGGGAAGACCTTGGGGAAGGGATCTTCATCGCCCGGCAGGTGGCTCCCTCTTCTTTGCCAACGCAGGATCGTAGGGAGACGAAGCAACGAGAAAACGGATCTGCATTGGACTCATCCAGTGCTCAGCATACTCGTGCGTATCCCCATCCTGCGTCGCAGTGCTTCTGACTACAACTCGGATGCCAGCTGTCCAACCTCTCAGTGCCACCTCGTCGCAGAGCAAACTTTCCCCTAAGAGAGGGGACTTCTGGCGTTCTGTCATGAGCTCATCAATCCCGCGCTCGGCGCACGTCTCACCGGAGAGGCGTATCCAGAGAGAAGGAAAAGAAACTCCAGCCACCCCGGGCCCATCCTCTCCTCTCGCCGGGCCTGCATGTTCGCCTCCGCCGCGATCCACAGCGGGCTCGCCTCACTTCCACGCACCCCCTCTCACAGCGCTACCGACGGACGCGGAGAGAGAACGGCCAGGACGACAGCGGTGCAAGACGACCCGGCACACCTCTCGCGGGACCAATGTCGAGCCCGACGCGTGGGACATCCGCACTCCGGAGACGATGTCCGTCCCAAAGACCGCTGGCAGACGTAGGCGTAGCGCACATGGACATCTGGCTGCATCACCCGGCGATGCGCCTCCCGCGAAGCGCACGAGGAGGGGCAGAGAAGGTGCTGTCGAACGCACTCCCGGTACTCGCTCTGGCACGATCGCGGCTACCACCTTTGTTAGCCAACTCCCAGGGAGTCGTACCAGCGCTCAAAGCGCGCCCCGCACGCTCACAGCGAACGTGAAACGGAGGGTGCGTACCCAACCTGGTGCCGCCCTCACTGGGGTTAGATCCCAAACGGTGGCCCCGGAGGCCCTAGCTTTGAGCCCCTCACCGTCACGGCTGGATGCGTCTAACACGGGACGCGTTACTGGCAACAACGAGCGCGCGATACCCCGTCGCAAACGATTGATACCCGGCAGTGCCCCCGAAGTGCACACATCCAGCCCGGTACCGAACTCGTTGGCTCTTCCGCCTACAATCACGGTGACCGAATTCGAGGCACCAAGATCGCCGCCGAGCATGGGTACGTTCCTCTTGTTCTGTACACGGACGTCAGAACATCAAGTACTAACGGCGTGTTTGTGTAGGAGATGTACTAGATGGTGCCACGCCACTCCGTCGGCCACCAATCTTACCGGCCACGGACAGCAGTGTGGCATCCCTATTCCCAAACCCGTCAAAGCGAAGTAGCAAGCTCGGTAAGCTATCCCTGCGTTGTGCTTGCGACGGAGTCATTGATGCTTGTCGCAGCTCCTACCGATAGCTTCAACTCCCTGTTCAGCGAGGCTCCGAGCTCGGTGGACTGATACTCCCTCGCTTCCTCTGCGCCACGCCTCTCCGCGCTTGTGGTGCCTTCGGTATCATGGTGCCGATGAATGCCTGCTCGCCGCCGGGCTTGGTAGAAGTACCTTGGCTGGCCCGCGACGACGGCGATGTTATACCAGCTCATTGCCATCGTCAGGACCGATCGACTGTGATGCGAGCTTCACCATCGTCAGGACCGATCATCTCTGATGAGAAGTTCGGGTACACCGACTATCTCGAGAGGCCGATTGGGGCGCATTTGACGAAGCAGTGCCTCTTCCGCCATCACTACCCGCGTTGGCTTGCTACAAAGGCGACTATACCGGGCCCGGCAAACAATACCCGTGCATCGCGACTCCCGCTTTTCGTGGCCCCTACGGGGTGGATCCCCTATCCATCGGGGACCCCTGCAGTCATCTACGCACAGCGAGCTGCTGGGCGACCTACCACATACCCGCCTACTTCCCAGGGCGGTTATGCCCCCGTCACCGTCGCCGAGGCGCCGACGTCGCGGAGTGTGTGTTTGAAGGAGCCTATTCCTCGGCGCCACAACCGTGACGCAACGCCAATTCCGAACGACGCGCCCCGACCGTCGAAGTTGACGTACTCGTCGGGCACGCCTGCAGACCCGATAGTGATCGAGGACTCTCCGGTACGTAGCAGTGCAGTAACGACGGGCGCGAATCCAGTCCATGGAAACTTCGCTCCCAAAGCAAAAGGCAGAAGGCGAACACAGCCCCAAATCCCTCCAATCAATGGACATTCATCAGTGTGCAGTTATCCGAAGACGGCAAGCCCACGGATGTACCGATTCCGCACGATAAGTCAGAGGAGCCCAGGCACTTTCCCTCCCCGCCGGTCGCTAAAGCGCTCCAAGTCATACGACCAAAGCCCATGGTTGCGCTGCCTTCAGGCTATCTGAAGACCCATACGCCTACTCCAAAAGAGCCCGTGGACGTGAAATCCTCCCTGGGCGTGCTTGAGCGTGTTTCGCGTGAAGCCGCCGAGCACTCGACGTTGCCGGTACAGCCTGATGCTTACGACCGCGCACCCCGGGACATCAACATTGACGCTGAACCGTCTAGTACGACAGCAAAACGGGTCTTTCAGGCTGGTCTGTCCCTGGCAGAGCTCGACGGCCATGTCAGCATCCCCGGGCCATCACAGGATTCGCGAAGAGTCAATGCCTCTTTCGGCCAGGACATTGAGTGGCCTGCGGCGAAAGGGAGCCTCACTGGCCATGTCGATGCTGCCGCCGAACACAAGCGCCGCCCCACAGGTATCGAAGAAGCGAAAGTGGACGACGGACGATGATGCTGAGCACTGCAAGGCATCGGACGGCTCAGCTGTAGCGTCGACGACCCGAGGCCAGAAACGCGCGAGGAAGGTGACTGCGAGAAAGCCAAAAGTCTCCCAACAACTGTCCAGGCTCCGTCGCAGGGTTGTTCGTCGATGGCTTTTCCAAATCCGCCGGAACCTCGGAAGGCCAGAGTTCATACCGACGACTTCCAAGATCTGTTCGCGAATCTGTTCGGCGAGGATCGAATCGATGAACCCGCCGTATGAGTTCGTTCAGCGAGGACTTCCACCCGTTACGCAGCGCGTCATCTTGTCCAGTACACACTTATGGGCCATCCTAGATATTGTACCCTGATACCTAACAACTCAATCTCTCTGGCACCTTCGTCATGATGGTGAACCAGAGAGGTAGGAGAGCGAAGCGTAGAGAAGAGGAGATGGCCCGGCTTTGGCAGGAAGTGGGGCGGTGGAACTCGTTCGGGACTACCGTGGGCAGCAAGGAATGTCACGGCACAACTACTCCCCAAACCTCAGCCTCAGGGGGAAGACAGGACTTACGCAGCCGATGGTACGTCTTCCTGACGATGTGGCATGCAGCAATTGCAGTCGAGGGAGTGAAGGAGGGCGGCAAGAGCAGAAGGTCATGACGGCGCCTCCAGAGTCGAGCATTGCATTCGCTGAATGCACTGCTCGAGTCTGACGGCATCGTCGTTACCCAGGCTCGTATGTGACCGTCGAAGCCGTGGGCCATGTTGGATTTTTTATCAGAGACGACGAGGTGAGTATATTATTCTCAATGTCAACGATACATGAGCAATGCACAGCATCAACCGCAGCAGCTCGAGCATGTACGATCAGTCAAAGAACCCATGGAAGTCCCACCCCTTATTCTCCTCGCCTTCCCTCATCCATCCGATCCTATCCTGGCTCAGCGCCGCCACCCTCAAGAACAAGCTCCCATCCAGTACGTCCGCGCCGTCCAGGCCGGGCACGTTCGCGAACCGACCCGCCGGCGTCGCGCCGTAGAGGCTGGCGAAGTGCGCTAGGGAACGCTGGAGCTTCGCGATGTGGTCGTCGTTGTGCGCGAGCGTGCTCTGCAGGATCTGGAACCACGCGCTCGTCGTCGGGTCCGCGGAGAGCGCGTCTTTGTGCGGCGTGGGTGCGGGGCCGGGCGCGTGCGGGTGGGTGGCAGTGGATGCGTAGAAGTCGCGGATGGGGAGGGCGGGGCGGCCGCGCGCGATGTACCATGCGAGAGAGGTGCTGAAGTACGCGCGGAGGAAAATCGAGATGGAGGTCGGGGAGAGGTACGGGACGTAGGAATGTAAGAACAACACGGAGGTGACGAGGTGGAGGCTTTGAAGGAGTCAGTGAGAGTAGTGCGAAGGGTGTTGCGGTCTACCTACAAGAAGAAGTCCCCGTTGAACTTCTTGCCGGGCGCGGAATGCCTCCCGCCCCAGCCGCCAACACCGTACAAGATGACGTTCATCCAATTGAGCTCCTCGATCTTGCGGTGAACTGCCTCCTTGTCTCCGCGGTTGACAGTCCATTCCGCCGCGAGCTCGAAAATCTGTTGCCCTCGCGCCTCCAGCACGTTGGTCAGCATGGTCTCATCTGCAGGACTCTCGACGGGGATCCCGACCGCTGATGGAGCGTATGCAGGATCGTTCGCGATCTTCGCAAGGATCGCAAGAGCGTGCGACTCCGTAACTTCTGTGCGCCCGTTTGTCGTGCCATTCAGACCGACTGACGACAGCGCCGCGGTAATGTTCGATAGCGACGAAGCGAACGCACTTCCTGTCGAGGTGAAGAGCGAGGGCGGGAACATATAGTCGGGCTGGACACAGAGCTGACCGAGACCCTCGGCCACCATGCCGGGGAGCCCAAATTCGCAACCATAGCCAACGTGGATGACCGGGTGGAGTACGCCTGACAGAAAGCGATTGAGCATCCGCTTCGGCGGCTTGTTGACCTCGGGTGAGAATAGGTACTGCTCGAGAACAGGGCTGATTCCCCATTCACGTATGGCTGACGCGAAGAACTCCATGTACGCATGATAGTAGCTGCGACGTGCCGTCAGGTGCGGGGATTGATGACCATGTTAGCAAGCGACTTACTCCTCGTCGCCTATGTGTTCATTGAAGTTGTCCTCGGTGATCGCTGATGGCGACCTGTAGGCGGGACGCTGAGAGGCGGACTCAGACTCGTAGGCGGCTTCAAGTAGCGCAGGTGTCGCCCCAAGCTGGTAGATTGCCAGGAGCAAATGGGCTGCGTGGCTGCAAATCGGGAGTCAAACAGATGAGCTGCCGTGCACGACGCAGACACTCACTTGTGGAATCCCTTGTCGTTGAAAAAGATGTGCCAACGAGTATGATTATCTTTCAGCAGCTGTGCCACCGTGATGCTAGACTGACGAGATACCCCGGGGAGACGCTGAGGAGACAGGGTCGAGGGAGGCGGCGAGGGCAAAGGAAACAGGGCCTCAAGCCTGTCACCTTGGGCAATTGTCGTCTTCGTCATGACTGTACGGTTCTGAGAGGCCTCAGCACTATCGAGGCGGTGTGAGCACCCGTGAACTGCACATGACGTCAACCAGAAAGGGTCAGAAGGCACCATTACGGGGTTGGAGCGAACTTGGACGGTGCCGTTAAGGTTGGCGAAACTCCCATTGCGGCGAGCGCGAGATCTTGGCGGGCGTAGGCTGGTGCATACAGTAATGATTCGGAGTGCGTCTGAAGGTGAGTCCAACGCTGTCTCTGCTACAGTACGTCGGCGAAGGCGAGAAGCTCGTGCGCGCTGTGTTCTTGCTCGCGCGCAAGGGCCAACGTGAGTCCGTCGCCGACTCGCAAGGCGACAGCGCCACAATTATGCTTGTCAATGTTTGTTATCAGTGGCTATAGTCGTTGGTGGCTGACGCGCCACCAGTGGCAACGACCAAGCAACGACGTCGTCGTCTTAAGCTTAATGCACCTGCTTAGCCCTAGTATTCTGCAACAGCTACGCTATGCTCAGTGTGCAACTATCTTCTGCTTGCTGGCCGTGTCGCAATCTATATTGTCCCATCTCATGTCAATCCGTCTGCCTGATCCGTCGCTGGAGCAACTCGACATGACACAGCTGATCGCATGACGAGCTCGAGACCCATCGGTCTCGGAGGACAATGGATGCACCTGCCAGTGGCACGGGCATTGATAGCCAAGCTGAGCTTGCATTGTAGAAGGGGCATATTAAACACAAGGAGAATCCGCCTCTCACCTCCGCCTGAACGTTCGCAGCGGCCTCGACCATGTCTTCTAACGATTTTATTGACCTTCTCTTCCCCTTGCCTTCCCCCGCCCCCTCAAACGCATGCCCGGAGAGGTTCCCCGGGATCACTTACGAGACAAAGCTCGCACTAACACGGAAACTCAAGGATAACCATACGCAGTTCCACGCCTTCCGTAACGAGCAGGGGCTACACAAGTACGTTCCACCGTCTGCAGGTAGGCGGCCACAACTAACTACGTCGCCTTCAGTACTATGCCGCATCAGCTACTTGCACTGTTCGCCATGGGAGGATCCACGCCTCTCTATGATGCCGTGTATAAGAAGCAAGAAGCCGAACTACTCACCGCCTTCCAGTCACCGGAGGAGATCACTGCAGAGAACTATCACAAGTTCCTGGGTAACAAGGAGTGAGCCGCAGTCCGCATCGCGATGCGAGTGAATCGTATGCTCATATCTTCCTTAGCTACTACGACGCGTATCTTGAATATTTCCACCGCGTTGTGTTTGAACTTGGATTTGCCGCTACGTTGGATGAATACCTTCTCTCGCGCGGCGCCAACTACCCCGAGACGGGTGCTCCTCGACACATGGTGAACCGTCTGCTTGCACGCTCCTTCCACCCCATGATCTATCTTGGTTATGGCATCGAATTTGGTTTCCCAGGACTAGTGGCTGAAGGTAGGCGTCACCACAGTGACGAGCTGTACTCGCGCCGCTCACGTTCCATAGGTCTTGCACAGATGGCAGTTCACCCACAAGAGGCACCTAGCCTCCTACTCGCGTCCGATTTCGAGATCCCAGAAGACGCCGCTGACGCACCCGATCTGCCTCCCCTACAAGCAGGCTTCTCCTCCCTGACGCTCAACGAGCGCAAACGGAGCTTACTCACCCTCAAGTATCTGAAGGGCGACAACAAGTTCGCTGTACACGCCTTCACCGTCCTTGCGCGCGTCGTAAAGGACGACCGCTTCAAGTGCAGCGCCCTCAACCTGAAGCCGCAAGAGGATCTATCGGAGGCTGCGCTCCTCCTCGAGCACGTCGGCAAGGAGTTTGGCAGCGCCATCGTCGAGTACGCTGCCGACTGGCTCCCGGACGACTCGGGCGCGTACATTCTAGAGAGCAAGGTCGAGGAGCTGTGCTGGCTCGGGACCCTCTTGTACGGCATTAGCGGCTATCAGACCGACGGCTTCGTCGCGGACTACTACTTGTAAGCTCCCGGGTCGTGATCCAGAGCATCCTGATACTGACATCGCACGCTAACAACGACAGGATGCACATCGTCACGTCGAGTATCTTCCTTCCGTCGTTCCTCGCCTATCTCTCCCCAGCCTCCGCCATCGTCCTCCTCCGCACCTTCCTCCGCACCACTCTCGCGTGGTACGTCGCCCGCGGGCGCCCCGCCCCGCCCATCCGCAAGTTCTACGCCGGCACGGCTCCGTCTCCGCCTCCCAAGCCCGAAGGCAGGCTCGCGGATGCGGTCTCCGCGAACCCCTGGTTCCCGCTCATCCAGCAGACCCTGGCCCATGGCGACGAACATCTTCCGACTCTCCAGCGCGCGCTCGCGCACTTCGCTAAGGTATATGGCGATCGTACGAAGGGGTCGTTCGAGGGCTTGGACGGCGCGGAGCTCGTCGATGGTACTCTCTTCCTCCGAGTGGCAGAGTTGACGGGCAAGAGGATGGAGAAAGCTGGGAGTACTTGGGACTTCGGCGGGTTCTTCCAGTAGGCATAACGTAAGATTTACTGCTGAGGGATACCTGCATCTGTGAGTAGTGATACATTGTATTATACGTGTGTATCGATGATCTTGTAATGTGGAGCGGTCGCGAACGTTGTTCAACTTGTTGGGAGACGGCCAGACTGCTCGACTCCGCCGCCGTGGGCGAAGTCCATTGAGCACAATGAACGTGTCTCTGGTACGCAGCCTCGTTGGCAAGCACCTGAAGACTATGTCCTCCATTCCACCACCGGCAGCACTGGTTGCTGTTTCCAATGGCAGCATCGCCACCGTGAGAGGAGTACATCTTCGCACCCGAGGCGAGTGTGGAATTCGCAGAAGAGGTGTCAAAGTCTTGCGACCTCCCCCTCTCATGCTCAATCGCCTGTACTCGAGGTTGTTTCATGCTATATGATACACCTGGGTTATTTGGTTATCCCTGTGTGCTATTTCCGCGTTAGCGATCGAGTAACCGAATCGGACGATGGTCGTGACGTACTAGTCTAAATGGCTGGCCGCGATCGACTCGGAGTAGCGGATGTGAACAGACAGAGGGAGGCACAGTCGTCACTCAGGCCGAGGCGCTCGCGAAGACATTATGCATAGTCGTCGTTGTTCATTCAAGCTGGTATCTTACATGGACGTAGATTGTGGTTTAGTATGTGTGCATGCTCCCGCTTTCATGCTCTACTTGATTTAAGGCACCGCCTTCAAAGCTTCGTCGAAGTCGGCGATGATATCTGCGATGTTCTCGATGCCGACGGATACCTGTCAATGACGACATCCAAGGTCAGTAAAAATATTCCTCATTGATAGGGAGCGACAGGCGGGATGAGCAAGTACGCACCCTAATCAGGTCTGGCGTAACGCCCGATGCAAACTGCTCCTCCGTCGTGAGCTGCTGGTGCGTCGTCGTCGCCGGGTGAATGACCAGCGTCTTCGCGTCGCCTGGCGATCAATGGGGAGTAAGCAACCTGCCGGACGTGAGTGCAGCCAGCAAGCACGTACCAACGTTGGCGAGGTTGCTTGCCAGGCGCAGGTTGTCTACGACAGCACTTCCGACCTTGGCGTCTTGGCCGCCCTTCACACCAAAGCTCAGAACGCCGCCGTAGACGTTTGGCCTCAGTAGCCGTTGCGCGAGCTTATGCGACGAGTGCGTCTCGAGACCGAGATACGACACCCATGACACCTTGGGATGCTGCTCGAGCCACCTGCGATTACCCGAGCGTTTCAGCTGCGCGCTTCACATCGGAGCTTGAAGCTAAACACGCACCGTGCGAGCGCGAGTGCGTTCTGCGAGTGTCTCTCCCCTCGCAAGCTCAGCGTTTCCAGGCCCTGCAGCAGGAGGAATGCGCCGAAGGGGTTGAGCGCCGAGCCGAGGTCGCGCAGCACTTCGACGCGGCACTTGATGGCGAAAGCGATCGGGCCGAACGTCTCACTGAATTTGAGGCCGTGGTAGCCGTCGGACGGCTCGGTGAAGGTTGGGAACTTGCCCGAGCGGACCCAGTCAAACTTGCCTGAAGAGGAGTGAATATGTCTGTGTTACGAGGTGCGTTGCTTCGGGCCTACCAGAGTCAATGACCACGCCTGCAATCGTGGTTCCGTGGCCACCTATCCACTTCGTGGCGCTGTGAACTACAGGGTACGTTCGCTCAATTTTTACCACAGACAGCGACTGTGCTTACCGACAATGTCCGCACCGTGATCGATGGGGCGGGTAAGATAACCTGCACATGTGCTGTTTGAACATCCCATTACAGAGATCAGGGTCCGACTTACCTCCCATGCCAAATGTATTATCGACGATGAGCGGGATACCGTGGTCATGGGCGACCTTCAACGTGACATGAGTGTGAAGTCTAGTTGTGGAACGAACGCTACCAACCTTCGCGAGCTCCGGGATGGGTGCGACGTTGTACTTCGGGTTACCTATGCTCTCGACGTAGATTGCCTTTGTCCTGTCATCAATAGCGGCGGCGAATGCCTCCGGGTCGTCGCTGTTCACAAATCTGACCCCAATGTTGAACCGCTTGAGGTATACTGCAAGAGATGCATCAGCTACAAGTAGTCAACGGACATCGAATCACGCTACCTTTGAATTGATTGTAGGTCTGGAGGCTATGTTCATCAAAACGTACGATCTAAAAGGTAAGGTAGCTTACTCCGCCATACAAGAACGATCTGCGATTTTCTATTTAGAGGTGTGATTCAATTATGCTAACACTAGTGACTCACGTAGATACAATGTTGTCCCCGGCGCCAGCGATCGTCGTGATCGCCATGAACTGTGCCGCCTGCCCGCTAGAAGCTGCTACGGCAGCTGCCCCGCCCTCAAGCGCAGCAATGCGCTTCTCAAATATTTCCTGCGAACAAAATGTCAAGGACGGTGAAACCCTGGCTTCATATCGCCGTCACGTACTACTGTTGGATTGCCAATACGAGAGTAGATGTTGCCGAACGCCCTTCAGGCATTTCAATATGAGCCGATTTGCGCAGAAATGATAGGATACAAACCTCAGGCCGAACAGTTCGGCGCCGTGCTATGTATCCGCACGACCTATGTCAACACATACTCCCTCGGGATGAGCAGCACATTCACCTCAGAGTTGTTAAAGACGAAGCTGGTGCTAGCATAGATTGGAGGTGCTCGCGCATTCGTGGTCGGGTCAGGCTCTTGCCCAGCATGCAACTGGAGTGTCTCGAACTCAGGGGCTCTGTCATATGCATGTATCGGCTGCCAGGATTCGAGGATGAACTTCGTGCGGCTCACTTGTGGAATTGATGGGCCATGGGAGAAGACTCGAAGGAATGGACCGCAACACCTTCGGCGGGACCTAGTATTTATTGCGCTCAGGTTGCGCCAAGGTTCCGCAAAGTGGTTTGGTTCATGCGTGACGGGCACTGGGCCGTGCCCTCGATAGAGATCGCGTCATGCGGTGAAAATATCGCGAGCTCTTTTAGCTTCCGAGGTGTTGGTGCGTTGTCACGAGGAGAAGATAACAAACGACAGTGCAGTCATGAGAACAATGGCTGTACAATTCTCTATCATCGAATTCGAAAGTGTTGGTGATGTAAGTAGAGGCGGAAGTGCAGAAGTGGTAGGCGGCAACCAACGGACTGGCTTCGTGAGACTGACGGGCGCCTGCGCTTACTTACCGTGCTCACTGCTCGTACATACTGGGAACAGTATTTAGTACATTCGAGTGGCTCATTGTCAAGACATGCATTTTTCTCTCACGCGGCGAATCCTTGAGGTGCCCCAGGATGCGTCGCGAGAACGCCAAGGATGAGCAGAAAAAGAATGGGATATTGTCACAATGAGCAAATAGATACAAATAGGCTGAAACCATGCGTCGGCGACTTCCGACCCGGTAGTTTGTTTGCTCTTTCGCAGTCTTTCCACGACAAGTTCAAGTTGTACTGGATACTCTGACCAGGACACACTGGAATGACGGGGTCAAAGCAACTGTGACGTTCGCCTTACACCTTGAAGTGAGGCTATCTGTCCTGACATGACCTCCTTCGCAAGGTAAGTAAACTGCAAAGGTAAGCCCGCCGTAAGCAGGCTATTATCGAAATGCGAACAGACAGCGAAACTCGGAACGCCAATATATGCATTATATATACATACACTCCGTCGTCAGATGGCCACTGCCACTATGACCCGGACGTTCAACTTTAATCCCTTGACCAGCCCTATGATTTGTCTCTGGACCATAACTAGACTTTTGGCTAGGCTTTCACTGTATTGAGCAGCCACGATGAGCGTAGGGAACGTCAGCCCGATTGTCGTCGCTACCTTTGATGCCCAGGACATCCTCGTAGAACTGCAATTCCTGCTCCAATGCCGCCTTGATGGTTTCCGCCTTCCTCCAGCCGTGACCTTCGCCTTCGAAGACGGTGTACTCGACGCGCCCGTGTCGCTCCTTGATCGCCTTCACGATGACCTCCGCTTGATCAGGCGGAACAACACGATCGATCGCACCTTGAAGGACCTGAACATATCGCGTGTCAACGAATGATCACGTCGAACAGGACAATACATACCAGCAACGGCGTCTTGATGTTGTCCGCGTGGAAGATAGGTGAGCGCTGCTCGTACACCTCAGGCACCTCCTCTAGTGTGCCTCCCACGAGCTTCTCCAGGTAATGCGACTCGAATTTGTGTGTCTCCTTCGCGAGCGAACGCAAGTCCGCGATCCCATAGAGCGACGTCGCGGCGGCGAAGGCATCTGACTTGAAACAGATCGCCGCCAGAGTCGTGAAGCCACCGGCTGAGCCTCCGCGGATGACACTTCGGTTGGGGTCGATGAGGGAGTACGGCGGGCGAGAAAGCTGTTGCATCGCGCGAGTGCAGTCCTCCACGTCTACGACGCCCCATTGGCCCTCGAGCCGCTTTCTGTTGGGGCCTGGTGACAACCTTCGTAAATCACCAAGTCGGTTGACAACTCACGTGTACTCCCGACCATACCCTGAGCTTCCCCCGTAATTCACATCCACCCTGTAGTCGTCCTGCATGTCAGCCGCACGTACAGGGTCGACACTTGCAGAACAAGCGTACCACGCCCAGCCTCGACTAGTGAAGTACTGCTTGCTCCAGTCCAAGGACGCAGAGGACCGTCCAGTGGGTCCACCATGCGCATTGATCACACAGGGTGGCTTCTCGTCTGCTGGCGCCTCGTATGCAGGGTTCTTGGGTGGTAAGTACAACACATGCAGTGGTCCATCCTCCGTCTGCAGCGTCACAGACTGGGCCACAGAGATCAGCTCGTTCGGGAACTGCGGTGCATTACTCGTGCACGCGGCACTGAGTTCCCGGAACTCCGGCTTCGCGCCGTCACTCAGGACGCATACGACGAGTACCTGCGGAGCCTCCGCGCTGTTCGCGAGGAACACGAAGGAGTCGTTCGCGACGCGCTTGAGATCCTGGATATCCGTGTACGGGCACTCTATCTCCTCGGTTTCGCCTGTGGAGAGATCGAGAATATACAGCGCGCTGCGGTCGGCCTTCAACGTTGAGTAGATCGCGCGGCCGGCATGCCTGTCCAGCGGCGCGCTGTATTCATTCCCCAATTTGTGTAGCGGCTGGCAGAAGTCTTCGTCCACGGGAGACGGAAGCACCGGCGTCGCATGACGAGACGATACAGAGTATGTCCAGGGGTTGTAGTACCCTGTCTCGTCGGTGGTAAACAGCAGCACGTCATTCGATGCCCAAGCAGGCGAAGACACGCTTATGTCGATCTTCTTTCCCGCTACGTAGGTGATGTCACTGACCGACAGGCCAACCTCGTTCGCATCGACCTTCGCAACATAGATCTCTGAGCCCTCCCAAGGCATGTCGGGGTGCGCCCATTGTTCCCAGGCAAGGTAACTGCCGTCCGGCGAGAAGGATGGAAAGGCGTAGAAGTCGGCGCCGGAGACGACGGTGGTGGCGCTCTGAGTCTTGCTGTTGATTATACAGAGCGTCGTGACGACTTCAGAGGGGCGATCCTTTGTGTGGTCCTCTAGAATCGCTACCAAGAGGTGCGTCTGGGTGGGGTGCACGTTCAGCTTGGCGTAGCGATAATTCTCATTGTCTGATAGCAGCAATGAGTTTCCAATCACGTAGCGCGGCAGGGTTCACGCACCAGGTGTGATGCGCTGAGGATCCTTCCCCCCGTTGACGACGTACACTCTGTTGTCTGTGTAGTTCGAGAAGTACACTGCGCCGCCGTATGCCATAGCTGCACCGCCGCCATACTGATAACCGTGTTGGGATCCATCGTGAACATTGGGAATCGCAACACACGCACCTCTTGCACACCTGTCCTTGCGTTCCATTCCTTCCCAACTACGTCCTTGCCCTTGCTCGCATCGACAATAGCGTCACGCCCACCTTCTGCGGGTCTCTCTTCAATGTAATATATATCAGAGGTGATTGGATCGACGAACAGCTCGGATTTTGACCCGCCCTGGGTGACAAAGTGAGCAGTGGGTCATGGTCGGCGACAGAGTGCACTCACGCCCTGCAAGATCGCGTCCGCCGTGATGGGCGACGCCCAGGTCCCGTAACGCGCCGTCTGCTTCGCCACCACTGTCGCGACCTCTTGCTTCGCTTTGGACATCGTTGCACTGGTTGCCTTTCCTTCGGTCGTGGAGATGCCCACAAGTATGAACGCAGAGCGAGTCGAAGTCGACAAGGAACGATAAACGCGTGGGCAGTACTAGTCAAAGCATCCCACAGTGCCATTTTTATCGGTTCTTTCACTGGCACACCTTCGCCATAACTGGCCGGCCATCGCACTGGCGTGACCCCCTACTGTCATGCTGCAATCGACTTGCAGGCTACTTCTGTCCCTCGGCATGTATTGGTCTTGTTGCTGTCGGGCATGTCTGCAGTCTGGACTCTGTGCTGGTGTCCTCTGGTGTCCCACAAGCTTTACGGAAGTCGATATTGCGAGGGGGTCACGGCGGTCAACAGGGGTGTTGAGTATACATGAGGCCAGGCCCCGGCACTGCCTGACAAGATCATGGGCCGACCAAGAGTCCAAGTCGGCAGCGATAGTGGATATGGCTTGAGAGTCTTGGGTTGCGCGGAGCCGCGGGTATCTCACAGACGCTCTCATCCCGGCCTCATCGCTGTAGAGGTCAAGACAAGGTCAAGATGCCCAACGAACCGCCTTACAAGCAGCTGTACGACGAGCAAGGATTCGTGATAATCCCACATCTCATCCCAGAAGCGTCATTCAAGGAGTTGGTGGACGCCGCTGAGTGCGCTATCGCGCGCACTCGTTCGGGCGAGTGGAAGCTAAGGCGAACGGTGAGTGTACAATGTGTACCAGCGGCCGCAGCCGTGCTGATGAGGATCTGCACTTCAGGTTGGCAGTCAGTTCCCGCCGTATGACCCGGAGAGTCCGGACTCCTGGGGAGTGCAGCACGTCATGCACCCCGACATGGGAGAGCCAGCCTTCGCCCAGTGGTACACGTCAGATCCACTCGTCAATGCTGCAAAGAGCCTCCTCGACTGTAGTGAAGATAAGCTGCAAATGGGTGAGTCCGTTCCGACCTTGAGCCCACGGTCGTCTCTGAGGCGCGATGCATAGAACTCTTCAACATGCTGATCAACCCGGAGTCTCACGCCTTCGCCCTGCGATGGCACCGCGACGACGTGCGCGAGAAGGCGACGGAGGACGAGGAACGTCAGGCGCTGAACATTTGGCACCACGGCGTACGTCTCCGATTCTTACCTTCGAGGCCGATCCTAAGACGGCCTGGTCTAACAGGTCCAATGGAACACGTACGTTCCCTACACCTACCCTCCCTTTCCCTGAGTTGACTGTTCATCAGTGCGCTCTACGAAGACTCATGCCTGTACGTTGTCCCCGGATCTCACAAGGTCCCTCGAACACCGGAACAGCGCGCTCTGTCATCGACCCAGGACCCTCCTGAGAACCCTCTGGACATGCCGGGCGCGATCCAAGTAACACTGAAACGTATGTCAGCCGCTCTTCGAAGTGCGGCATTCTAATCTTTGCCACCGTCAGCCGGGGAGACAGTGTTCTACAATAACAACATCCTGCATTGCGCGACGTATGACCCGCACCAGAAGCGCGCGACCCTGCACGCCTGCATGGGAGATACCCGCGGCGGCGCGACCCGTGCCCGCAACATCCTCCAGCATGGCTTGTTCTGGATGAAAGAGCCGCGCTTCCGAGACACGCTTGGTGAGCGAGGGAAGAAGATGCTCGAGCGGCTCGTGAAGATGCAGGAGAGCGTGAATGGAGACCTGGGATACTCTCAGCTCAACTGAGGGTCAGACCTCAAGGTCTGGCGTCGATGTTTTAGTCGGTGGTCAATTGCATAATGCAACGAAGGATCTGTACACGATGTATGCACGCCGCGGGTCACAACTATCTCTGATGCCTACATGTGTCGATGCCCTGAAGCGGTGTATTATGCATACTGTAGGTCGCATTTGTCATGCTGTTTCCTGCAGGATGCGGGCAACGGGGATCTTGAATCGTACATGTTCTATGGAGCGCAATCTACAAGTGGACGATACAGACTCGACAGACCGATACCAAGAGACCATTTGTTCTCAGGCCAGAATGCGTATAGTACAGTCATGGGCGCGTAGAATGCGCCATGCTGGGCTATAGGGCGTACAGTGCAAGGAAGGTGTCGTTGAGGGCGAACGGGAGGTTCCGACAGGATCAAAACCATGATCCTAGATAGCCTAGATTTTCGACCTTGACGACGTAAGGCTCGAGCCTGTCATTACTTCCTTCAGGATTTGCGGGGAGAGCGCTGTGACTTGTTAGCCACTAGGGGCGACGGAGGCAATTCTACGCAGTCGAACACCAGTTTTCCTCCGCCTCCCCTGTGTTTCGTCGGTGTGGAGTATGCTGTGGCAAGAGGAGGCATCAAGACACCGTCCAAGACAACTTTGGTTGGACTATTTTTCTGCTTCGGCTCGGGCAGAGGCGGTATGTCGACGAATGGGACAAGTCTCGTCCGTGAAGGACCAGCGTGTTTCTGTATTCCAGGCCGGTCTCGTGGCCGCAAAACCCGCGGTTCTGCCACCGGCTTCGCCCTTTGCTCGCGAGAGCGGCTCGTGCGTGATCTACGCAAAACACCGTCCACTATCATAATGGACAATGTCAGAGGAAGACTTGACTACGCAATTATGCAGAGCACTTACAGCCGCCCACTTCGACGTCATGCAGAAGTGACGCTAGCTCTTGTTTGCTCAGTGCAGAATGATCGAGACCAAGGTCACGACATATTGCTCTCATGGTGCGCTCGGTGAGCGTAGCCCATGGCACGTTGGATCCGGACATGGTGGTTAGGGCAGAAGGCAACGTAAGTGACTTGGACACGGAAGCGATTCGGATTTGAGTTCAAACCAAGTTCAAACGTTCACACCCGTCTCGGGCGAATGCGAATCACGTGGTACAATGGATTGGGCGCCCTTTGACTGGAGGACTCAGGAGGAGGAAGAGCTCGAGGAGGGGGGTTCCAAGTGTTACATAAAGGCATGCTTCCCGCGACTGAGACCAATAGGCTGCGGCGAGTGAGCAGCGTTCCTCAAAAACGCCACGGCGGTTTATGCTACTTATGCTCACCCGACGATCAGGTCCATTGCAACTACGTTGTCACTTAAGCTTTCCTCGATCGCCGATTTACCTCATCGCGTACTGCACTGCAAGCGCTCAAAGGAGGAGTTCTTTCAAGTCCGCGTTGCTCAAGAGACAGTCTACCCTCGGATTCGTTGCATGGGCCCCTACAAGTCCTTATCAAGTCATGCTGTCTACTTCTATGCCTACATAATAAGTATCAGTTCACTAAACCCAGACTCTTCAAGGCGATGGCCACAGTTCCCGCAAACGCCGTCGTGACACTCGGAACCGTGAGGCTAATCAGTAGGCTCCAGTTGACGTATAGTGGTGCTGATATACACAGCCAGGTGATCGCCCACAGATATCCCGCGAGATGGGCGACACGTATTGGAACCTTCATTCCGCTCGTCCGCACGGCACCGATGACCGCATCCTCCAAGGTGATTGCCACAGCCTGTGACATGAAGAACGGGAAGGACGTGCCGAATAGGTAGGGGCTGACCATGAGGTCTCCGCCGCAATGCAGGAAACCGGAGACAGCGAAGCCGATGTAGAGCTGTGTGTAAGAAGATGCGCGGGTGCCCGGGCGAAGGCCTAGCGCATGGCAGCACGCTTTACCGCAAGACGCCGTGAGCTGTACTCAAGTCGGTCAGCGTCCCACTAAAGCGCGCACAGAGGACATACCCGACGCAGGAGTTGATGGTACGTGCGCCTGCGACGATGTTAGCTCGCAATTAATACTCACGAAGAGTGCTACTTGCCCCCAGAATCTCCGGACCGTGTAGGCGTCCGACCAGCGGCCATAAATGTCTGGCCATTCTCGCGGCAACGACATCCCCAGGGCGACGGATGTTGCAGCGGCCAGTGAGTTCTCCAGCGCTAGTAGCCCGACGAGGCTGCTGAAGCGCGCGATGATGGAAATGGGACGTATGAGCCAAGCCTGCGGCCCTACCGCCGAATCGTGCAGGAGTCGTAGAGATGACCGGTTGTAGGTCTGCGCTAGGTCAAGGAAAAGGTACCACCGGAGTGCGCACGCGAGTTTGTGCACAACGAAGGTCCATTTCGGACTGCTGGGTCGCGGAGGGAGGTGCGCGACCTGACGCGCAGCAATGAAATGAGATGTGTGTGTGTCCATGTGCTGCGGTACGCACCTCGTATGACCAACCGACTCCTCGCGGATTGTTGATGATGCAGAGCAGCCGCCACATTCGGCGGACGAAGGGGAGCTTCGCAAGGGCATTGCCATCGCTCTCATGACAATAATCATGCACTGGGTCGACGAGCCAGAGGAGTAGGACTGCTGTGAACGCCTGGATCATGATGAGATTGCCTATTGAATAGTCTCGGGGGGCTTCTCCTGTGGTACAGCAGTATGCGGCCGCGATGAAGGCCACCAATCCTATCGAGCCCGCAACGCGACTGGGCTTGCGTGGTTGCAGAGCGAGGAGACATGCCAAACAGGTCTGCAGGACCGCAAAGAAAGGAAGGAGGGGTAGACGCGGTCGGCTCCCGGCCTCCATAGCGGTTCGAGGATTGGGATTAGGCGAGAGCTACTGCGCTCGTCAGAGAACTCTTGAATACGTAAGTCCGTCAGCGTACGGTATCTATATAGTGATATGAAACGTTCTCGCCTCAGTCGTGTACGGTCCCTGATTGAAGTAAAGAGAGAGGAGAGGAAGAAGAACCTGAACCACCCCCGGCGGCGTATCACGTGTCGAGTGCGGGAGAGCGCGGGGCGCGCCCAACAGCCAGAGAACTAGCTTGACAGAACGAGTACGTTCCCAGCCGAGTGCTGTTATTAGTGCGCTATCGGTCCAGGGAGTAAAGGAAAGAGTTCCAGAATGGATGGAAGACTCTAATATCGGGATGGCTGCGGGGCCAGGGCGGCCACGAGTCAGGCTATGTAGAGGAGCCTCGCCGGCAGAGCCATTATGAGAAGGCGACGACGCCGATCGAATCATACCAGCGTCCATCACTGGGGTGGCGGGGAATGGACTGTGGGAGTGGGCATGCGTTGGCAGTACGTACAGCAGATTGAGGTCGCCGCGCATCCGACTTCTCACGGGCGAAGAGCACGCACGTTGAGATAAGTAGTGGGCGAAGGTCCGCGTGCTGCTTGTAAGAAGAAGACGCGGTGATTTCTGAGCCCTGCCTTTGACTCGGACTCCGTACTTCGAGGTCTGTGGCTGAAGTGGAGCGGGCGCTCCCGGGACATAAGTCCAGAAAGCAAGGGATTCGGCGCCGACAGCGTTTGGACAGCGTACGCAAGACGTGCGCCTGTTACGTTACAGCCCTATTCGATCAATGTCAGGGTTGAAATGTTACAGATATCAGATGTGGAAGCCATCAACTTACACCCGGTTCCTCCGATGACGTATCAATATATCAATATCCACTTGCATGGAAGACCTCCCTCATGTACCTGGCCCGTCGAGGGACCACCGTCTAATGAATTCATCTCGTCCTCGACCGCTGCCGCGGCTTCTTCGTGATGTTCTCTTTTGCTCTGTAGAGCGGAATGTACCTGCCAATGACATCCGTCATGCACGCTTCTCAAAGTCGACGGCACTCACACCAACGAAAATGGACTATCACCGTGATAGGAGTTCGCCCAGAAGATCTCGTTTGACATGGCAGCCTCCTTCTGACAACGATATACCGCGGGCAGTGGTCTTGGCGACTTCTGCAGTTATATCCAGTGGGACCTGAAAGAGCCACACCAAAGCCGTTAGCAGGAAGTCCGCTCACGTCGATATCGTGACGTACAATTAGGTCGGGATAGTTGGCTGTTGATGCGTCACGGGTATCGACAGTACTAGTTGTAGCAGTACGGCGCGGCGGCCGTACTGAAGCGGTGTGTTAGATAGATGGATGCTATGGAAGTTAGATGTAAGCGGCATATCTGACGAAGGGAGCAGTGCGCACGGCGGTCCAAGGACCCTGATGTGTTAGCGGTCAAGGTCCCTCGTCAAGTTCGCACGGCGCATTGAGTAATCGGAACTCACAGTTCTCCTCGCTCGAACCGTCTGGGTGTCTTCGTGAGGGCACGTTCTCCTCGCCTCCCCTATGATATCGCCATTCCGCAGCTATAGTTGGCTGTTCGTCGACTTCTTGACCGATCGAGATTGCCACGGTCCACATGAGCGTCTTCACCTCCTTCAAATGTACAGGCAGCCGACAAGCACGGAGCGATGGGGTGCATGCACCATTCAATCTGACTGACACTAGTCGACCCAGGTGGGCGCTGTCCATGGCCACCGCACACGAGCGTCGAGGAGCAGGTGTCGGACGTCAATGCCATATGGACAAGGTTCTTGGCTACTCACCGATCAGGGCGGGAGCCTTCGCACGGCCGGACACGGGGGAAGCAAGGATGTGCTGCGTGCGTACATGCTGCACTCACGGAGTGGCCGCCAGGTCGACGGCGCGGGAAGGTCTGTGCGAGCAACTGGTATGTCCCCTTGTCTTCTATCCGTCAAGTCCTTCTGCAGACTGTATAAGGAGGGCATCCCAAGCCCTAGGAGGTTCAGCTACTTCATGACGGCCTATCGCGGGCGAGTCGATACCATATGGACTGTCTACCAGTCAACAGCTGCGAACCTTGAATCAGGGTCGACATCGGGGAATACCGCAACGCACCTGCTTCCAGCATACCGTCTCTTCGAGCCACGCTGTGCATGATAGAAGCAGGTGAACATGACAGCTTCGTGTCGCTGATATCACTTGACACTTCAGGCTACCGTGGCGTCAGGCGGCGTGGCGTCAGGCGGCGAGTCTGAGGATATAAGGTCATTTGCTAGTCTCTATCAGTTGGTGGATTCGAACATGCTGCACAAGCGGATACCACACTGCATGGGCAAGGGGGCATGAAGACTGAGCAGCCGAGGAGGTCAGTATGCGATCAAGATGCACTTGTGAGATCGGTGAGAATGGCACATCGCCCTGACCAAGCATAAGCAATCACGGCTGCTCACAAATGGGCTACATCCTGCTACATCCTGCAAGTACTTGCCGCACCCCAGGAAAGACCTTCCGTCGACCTCTCTTCCCAGTCGAGAGTGCAGGTGTGTACAGGTCACCCAACATCGACAGCACATGCTATGTTGTGCGAGTGCAGTCAAACGGCATTGAAATGAGTGCCACGCGAGCGAGGATGAGCTATTGGGGTCCGCAGTGCGCACGCTGGTGAAGGCAAGTGGAAGACGATTCACGAACTCGTACGAGTCGGGCTCGGCGCCGCCTATCGGTTGAATAACACGTGACCGTGACTGAAGCGCCTCGAGCGTCTAGCTTACGACTGTTGGCAACGACACGCTCGTCCGGCTCCGCATTCACGTTGCGTACGACGGACATCGGGACTATTCTTGGTCACATTGATTCGTTCTAGCGTTTGTGATGAGCTCGGCTTCAGGATTCCAGTCTCATCAAGGTTCAGATATGCCTCGAAGGTTGCCTGAGGAAGCCTCACACAGTTTATTCATTTCAACTGAAGCATGTCAGACTCGAGCTCTCAGGCTGGAGTTGTCGTGTGTATCCTGCTTTCTAAGGGCGATATGTTGACTTAAATTATGTCAAGACAGTGGGATGCTCTGAAGTATTGCGCATAATGATAACACGGTGCGATTCCCTCGTACCTCGTCCTTGAGGGCTCATATACTGATGTACTAAGTTAGTAGGGCCATTTCAGCGACTGCGAGAGATAGCTCATCTCCTCTCCCGGGTAAACGCAGTCACGCACGAAGGCGCGTAAGGACCAGGTGGAACAGGGGACTCAGGACCGTTATCGCAGCGCTTCGTCGTCCTCGCCGCCGTCGGCTGTGTTGGTAGCCACAGACACGACTCATCCATAGATAGCGGCGCTGTATCATATTGTCTGCAGTACTGGTAAGTAACTGCAAGACTCTCCAGCTTCTCAGTGCTCCCCGGGCCCGACATCGCGTCTGCGGTAGCCCAGTATCTTGTCTGGATTTGGGGCTAATTACAACTATTGTTGCGGTCCATTTATGGTTACTTGCGCTGCATCAGTGCAACGCCCTTTACAGCTTACATGGCGAGTCGTTCGCGACATAGCAGGTCCAGGAACTCTTGACATGGTTTAAACGACACCGCTCACTCAGACTGTGACACCGCACACAGAGACGGCCCGGTGCTAGTCTCATACCAAGACCCTCCACACGGCGCACGTGAGGGGTTTGTGTCGAACCTAGGCCCGGTGCTACTTCGTGCCCGGGATGCGTGCGTTATCCCACACTGGCAACGAACTGTGAATAGCAACTGTGCGCATAGTACGTATGGAGTACGTGCCATTCTACATCGCATCGCTTACGTGTCGACTTTGTTCCAACCCAGGTGAGTTTCTCAAAGTGATCATTACTGGAACCATCCCGCAAAACACGTTGATGTAGGTACCGTGGCAGAGTTCAAGCGCGTCCTCCTAGAACCACGGAAACAGCGCACCATCAGCGCGCAGATCATGCAGCTCCGCGGTCCCCGCCTTGTACTTCAGAATCACAACAGCGAGTACTGATTCTGACTGAAACACTACAGTCAGTAGGACCGGCGTGATTGACGAGCGCGCCGCAGCTGAGACCTGTATTGCCCCCCCGGTAAACTAGTGCGACAGAGCGCGAGAGACTCCCGCGGTGCGGTAGCATTTATACTCTGCGGGGTGTGTGGTGAGACCCACTCATCTGCTTTCTCTGCATCATGGCCGAGCAACGTTTCTACAAGTCAGTGGTTCAGCACGCACCAGGATTCTTCGCCACTGAACGCTGAATTAGGACACCCGAGTTCGAGACACTCCAGTTGCACGCTGGACAAGTCCCTGATCCGACCACGAACGCACGGGCACCGCCTATCTATGCCAGTACAAGCTTTGTCTTCAATGACTCTGAGGTGAAATTCGCACGACGTTCTTGGACGTACCGGCTCTCATATTCATGATAGCATGCTGCCGACCTCTTCGCCGGGAGGAAGTTCGGGAATATGTACTCTCGCGTTGCCAATCCCACAGTCGTACGTGGCTCATACACCCGTTTGCAAGCCCACCAGGGTGCTCATCAGCAAACGATGCTCATAGGAGGTGTTCGAGACCCGCATGGCCGCTCTCGAAGGCGGCATAGCCGCAGTCGCTGCTTCGAGTGGTCAGTCGGCTCAGTTCATGGCAATCTCAGCGATCGCTGGCGCCGGTGACAATATCGTATCCACGTATGTTCGGTTCTCTTGGCATTCGATTAGCATGGCTCACCAAACGAAAGGTCGTTCCTGTACGGTGGGGTAGGTTTGATCCATGATAGCTTCGAGGATTCGCAGTACTGATCAAACGTTAACCTTACTTCAGACCTACAATCAATTTAAAGGTGCAAGGCAGAGCCGTCGTCAATTAGAGCGTATTGTATAACCCAATCTATGTCTCGCCAGTGTTCCTCAAGAAGTTTGGAATCGGTGCCAAATTCGTGACCGGGGAAGACCCACAGGACTTCGCTGCTGCCGTAGACGATAAGACGAAGGCAATCTATGTTGAGAGCATCGGCAACCCGAAGTACAACGTAGTGCCCTTGCCTGAACTGGCAAAGGTATGCATTTGATGAAGCTTCGTGGTGTTTGTCGCTGAACGTTTTGGATTAGGTCGCGCACGAACACAAGATCCCGCTGATCGTCGACAACACCTTCGGAATGGGTGGTACGTACGAACCTCGCTAACCGATGAATATGTGAACATCCCGGCACTGGCAGGTTACCTGGTGCGCCCCATTGACCACGGAGCAGATATTGTTGGTGTGTATATCAGGCATGTGTACGCACCCATTGAGCTAAAACATACATATCAGTGCACAGCGCAACGAAATGGATCGGCGGTCATGGCACTACGATCGCTGGCGTTGTCATCGACTCCGGTAAGTCGCCTTCTACGACACACTCGTCATGTATCGACCATCTACCTCTTCCTAGGCAAGTTCGACTGGGTTGGTTCGGGGAAATTCCCAATGTTCACGGAGCCCGCCGAGGGCTATCATGGCCTCGTCTTCAGCCAAGCTTTCGGACCAATGGCTTTCGCCATGATCTGCCGTCTTATTGTCCTGCGCGATCTGGGGTCGTGCATGAACCCGTTCGCGGCATTCCTCCTTCTCCAGGGACTTGAGACACTCAGCCTCCGTGCGGAGCGCCATTCGCAGAACGCACTCGCGCTTGCAAGGTACGTTATTCCAGCGGTCCTTCGAGAAACGCGTCGCTCACGTAGTGCGATTATAGGTTCCTCGAGCAACATCCTAAGGTCGCCTGGGTGTCCTATCTCGGACTCCAGTCGCACCCGTCGCACCCGCTCGCACAGCAGCTGTTGAGGCCGAACGTTTACGGTGGCATGCTGAGCTTCGGCGTGAAGGGAGACGCCAAAGCGGGCAGTGCCGTGGTTGACAATCTTCGCTTGGCGAGCAACCTCGCAAATGTTGGTCAGTGGAGTACTACTGCGGGATAGGAAAACTACTCACCTGGCGGCCGTCTTCCGTAGGTGACGCGAAGACTCTGGTCATCCATCCTGCCACTACGACACATCAACAGCTCTCTGCGGAGGAGCAACTAACTTCGGGTGTTACTACCGATCTGATTCGCGTATGTGATTTTCCGCTTGACGTCTACTACAGAACTCAACGATCTCTGTAGGTATCTGTCGGTATCGAGAACATCGTGGATATCATTGCCGACTTCGATGAAGCATTGAAGGTTATTGCGTGACGCATGCATGCATCTGCAGCATAGGTGTCGTCTGCTTAAATGAGTTTGGATGTATGTATTCTAGGCCCTTTGATGCTGGATCGGGGTGCAATGCCTATTGAGCTATTGAGTAATCGCGTGTGCGGTGCAACACCTTCGAAGGGTGCAAACGCTCAACCATGTTTGCGGCCACTGTTACATAACTAGGCGGAACAGCACAATGCAACATTACAACAACAGATTCAGCTGATAGCTATATATACTCACAGCAAAGTCTACACCGGCTATACACGCTTGCCCACGACGTCTTTTCCAAGCTCTTCCACCTTTCTTTGCAACAGCGCCGTCACGGCGCTGCGTATCCTCGCAATCTCCTCCGCTGCCCGCCACTCAGCAGTACGCGTCGTCTCAGACTCCGACCCCACCTTCGTCCTCGGCGACGCCGCACCGCCCAACCACCCGCTCTCCGAGACCCGTGCGCTGACTTCCTCTTGGTGAGGCCTTACGGGGTCCTTCCTCCCACCATGTGTGCTTTGTGGGAGCTCCGGGATGTCGCCTTTGTTGACTGCGACATTTAGCGTCTCGCGGATAGCAGCATTGTCGACGGGCTTGCCGAAGGTGATGCTAAGTGCAGCACCGGGTCGAGGGAGAAACTTCCAAGGGGCTGATCGGCCTTCCGGCATCAGCTGATCGAAACCTGCGCAAACAAAACTGAAGCTCAGACACCGTCAAATCATTTTGTTGGGAAGGGAAGGGGAGTACCAGTCAGCCACATAGGGATGATGATTGGGGGCTTCATTGTCTCCATTAGTATGCGACCTCTGCAAATCCCCGACTTAGAATGGGCCCCAGAGATGACGATAATTGTACGTACATGCCCCATTTAAACCGAATCAAGTCTACGGGACTGTGTCCCGGAGCTCGGATGAGTTGATTGACTTTGCCTTCACCGAACAAATGGATCTGCACGACTTTGTAAACAACCGACTATAGTACGACATGCAAGAAACGTACCCAGGCACCGCTATTCAGCTTTCTGATGGCCAAGTCAATAGCTGGTTGGAATAAACCGTTGCCGCGAAACGTCTCGATGACCTGCCCCTTGCGGAAAAATGCAGAGAATATACTTGCTGGTTCATGTGAGCTCGTAGAACACAAGAAGAATGAAGGACTGAGCGAGAACACTCACGGATTGGTAAACATGATGTCAGATGCACCTAGGGTCCATCTCGTCATGCGGGAATCGAGCTGGTATCGAAGCGGAAGCACGCCCCAGACGAGTGGGTCGTCCAAGCTTAACACACAGGAGCGTCAGCTGAGCATGTCTAAGGCCGGGGAGTGGCATTACAAACGTTGAGATGTGGTTCGAAACTTCGCAGAGGCGTCAGAGAGACAACGGACGAAGCGACGGCAGAGACGTACTGGTGACCACACCACGGCCCGCGTTTCTCTCATCGCTCTCGAGAGCACTGAACAAGTTCTCCAGGCCATTTACAGACACTGAAGAACAGTAGCCGATCCTGAGGAATGTCTTGCAGAGTAGCCCCACTGTCCCAACTGTCGCCTTAGAAAGCAAGGACATGTAGGGCAGGCGTGGATTCCAGCTTTTTGACTTCTATGGAGGCTCTGCCGAAGCTAGAAGCCTGAAGAACAGCTTTAATCTTGAGAGTCGAGGGACTTGAGTATGAGGACGTGAGTAAGTAGAGGCAACTTGTCAGGAAATTAATGGGTCCAGCGCGAAACGCTTTCGTGCGAGACACGTCACATGCACCGTGACTGTGGCGGAACAGGACTGCCCGGCGCCAAATTCAAATTGATGGAAAGCAGTCCGGCGTCCAACCTGGTCCAAACTTGGCTCAGTCTGATTTACAGTAAGTATGCGAGTTCGCCAGAAACAATCACTGAGTCAGATTTCGGAAGGGATGCCGCTGAGACTTGCTCATCCAGCCGGAGAGTAGACCTTTACATCGGACTGTAACTCATCCATTCTTGTGATTTTGTTTGGGCACTCTTAGGCTTAGCCAAAACCCAGGACACCACCATCATACTACTCCATTCAGCAACGTCTCAACACACTACTGTACACAGACTGATTTCCGACGCGCGACACCTTGCTCGTGGCTACTACAACCGGAGACATTGCTTCACTGAGCAATGTTGAACTGGCTGGACTCGGCGTACACCTGATTGTTATTGCTGGCGGGAAACGTCAGCTACGGCTCTGACACCTCGAGGACACACTCACTTGGTGTTGACGGCCCTCAGCACGTAGCGACTAGTTGTGGTTAGTGTCAGCTGCGGTCGTGGCAGGCATAACACGAAACCAGACTCACCCGGCCGGCACCTTGGGCAGGCGGAACGTCACCTCGTCGTTGGCGGTGCGCACGTTGTTAGCGACGTCCCAGTTGTTGTTCTGGTTGTTGCTCGACCTCAGCTCGAGGTTGAACGCAGCCGGATCGCCACGCTGGATCTGCCAGTGCTCGGTGACCTCCTGGCCAGACTTCCAGCCCGACGGGGTGTCGAGGACGAGGGCGCTGGCGACGGACGCCAGGAATAGGAGCGAGCTGTGTGGGGTTTATCGGTGGACGTCAGTAGAGCGGCGACCAGCGGGTGGTCGACGACATACCTCAAGATGACTTTCATGTTGATTTGAAAAGGCTGTGAATGCGGGGTTTCTCTGCCTGGGGTTCATGCCGTCGAGGGCCACCTTTTATACGCCTACGGCAGAGCCTTCTCGTGCACGTTCAGCAGCACGCAAGGTCGCTACTCAATGCCGAAGACGTTGCATTGACCCTGACTGCTCCATCGAATGCATTGAACGTCAAACGTGGCTGGACACGGGGTCGACAGCACTCCTAGTAGACGGAGACATTGACCAAGAAATAAGATTTCGGCGCTGCGTGGAAGAGTCTAGAGCCGCTACCTGTCGGGCCCCCAGGCGGTGTACGGGATGCCACCGGTGCGGTACTATTTTTCAGGTAGAGAGGCATGGCACGGTCAACGATCCCTATCAATGAACTAAGTGATGTCCATCTGAGTAATAAGGAGTAATAAGGACTCAACGCAAGGCGACGATTTCGGGTTTCCACCCCAACCGGAATACAAGGACATGGCATCGTCTCCATACCTGGGCCGCTGCCACAATGGCAGATGCTTCACGGTCCTGCAGCGTCACGTTGCTTAGCATGTTACCTACCCCTCCGAGAATAGACCCATCACCTAGGGCGTTTGTGTGGACGTGGAGCACTTCGCAAAACGGAATCTGACACGTACGTCCAGGTGAACGTGCGCGGCATAGCGTTCGCGAAGTGACGGCGGTTCACGCGCAGGCGAGCCTACATTGACAGTAGCCCACGTTCACTTGTGAAGAGGTAAATGCATTGCATGCCCCGTACGGCATCAAGTGATACCGCCACTATGAATGATGGGCTGCCATTGAAGAAAGTCTCCACACCTGCGGTTGGGCGCCTGTGTGGTCGTCCAGGCGGGCGTCGTTCAAGACGTTGACGAGCTGTTCTAGGCACATTGCGCAAGGTTCGCAAGGCCAAGGCGCTGTCAGCGCCGTTGAATGGAGAAAGAGTACGACTTACGTCTCACCGCGTAGAAAGTCCAATTTGCGAGCCGTGTGACGGCGGACGTTCACCAAGGTGCTACCGGCGGTCAGTTGGTTGCTTGCGCCATATGAGACAGATGTTACCTGTGAGGTGCTATGCGGAACCACTCGCATAGAAGACCGCTACATTTACCGTGGTAATGACCATATAGGATTGCCAGGTCCACGAGCACGCAATCGAGATCCTTGTGTGAGCATACTATTCTCTGACCATCGGCACTGCCAGAGGGCTGTCCACTATCCCTGCTGTCGTAGCCACGGGAGCCGGTCAAATAGTAATAGTGGGTACGCCGTCCTAGACATTCCAACCGACGGTCAATTGTGTGTGACGACATTGGCGGCATGTGCTACGAACCTTCGGTCACTGAATGCGACTGGGTAGCATGACATATTGAGCCCGGCTCGTGATACTATGCGCTTCAAACGTGGGTGCATGGACCGATGCATCATTGTCAAGGAGCTTCTACCGATACAATCAAAGGCAACAACCGTTAAATACTGTCAAACCCAAATGATAAGTAACTGTCGCGGCCGCTAGGTCAAGGCGTATATACCAGATATCATTGCCCTGCTTTCACGAATTTGCCTACGCGGTGCCACCATATGTGTTCCTCGCTCTCGTCGGGTAAACCCCACAGCTCGCCTTTACTCCAGACATCCATTTGTTTGATCCACTCGTGCGTCGGACGGTCGAGGCAGCATCCGTCCATTGCGTATTTCCACACAGGTGTCCAGAAGTGCTGCCACCATCCAACGTCGGAACGGGGGCTAAGAACGTGCTCGTAGAATAGCAACTGTCCCCCCGGTCTTAGCACTAGGTCGACGAGAGTCCGTATGTTCTTCTTTGGGTCGGGCACTGAGCAAAACGACAGGATAGATATGATGGTGTCGACCGAATTCGGCCCTCCCAGAGCTGATATGATGGAAGCCACATCCTCAGCACCGTATGGCAAAATGACGAGCGTTCCCTCGGCCTCGGTGAAGCCAGCTGCGGAAGCGCGCTGGCGAATCTCGACATGCATGAGTTGGTTCGGCTCAAGCGCGACGTATTTCGTGACCTTGTTGTCAAGATAGTTCACCGTGTGGCCGTATCCTGTCCAGTGTTATCATGGCTATTCCCTCCGGCAGCGATAACAACGACATACCGGCACCCACATCCAACACTACACCTTGCGCGTTCGCAGGTATGAGACCTTCCTTCACTGAGCGCGAGTTTGCATCTACGCCGTCTCCGTATGCACTCCACACATGCATCATGAAGATCCGCGAGATCGCGCGGGGACGGAGAAGCAAGGTAGGCGAACGGAGGATTGCGCGAAGAGTTGGAACGAAGCCGAGTTGCAGGCAGAGCTTCAACTCGGACAGAACAGCCAATGCTGCAGATAGTTTCATGGTGCCTAATGTCACTCGACGACTTGGCAGCGCTGTGAGAACGACGAGTCCGGCGAGAGCGACTCGCAGTGGGAAAGCATGGTGCAAACACGCTGCGCCGCTGCAGTCTGAGTGCGTCGTGCGAGACGCCGTTGTCGGAGTGCCCGCTGAGTCGGCACGTGTTCGAGCCAGCGCTGCCGGACTCACCGCTCAGTGACGAGCGCGTAACTGCCCATCTTCGACCACCACCTCTGGGACGGGCTGTGCGAGGCTTGGGCTCAGCATTGACGCATTGACGAGGACGATCAGCTAGTGGCTTGCTGTCTAGGCTTTTTGAGGAATCGTCGGTGCGTTGCAGCAGTGGGTATACCGGAGTCGTAGGAGCTGACTTCGCACGTTCACTCTCCCGGCAGGTACCCATAGGCATCTCGATGTCCGTCCAAACATCAATATCGCGTGCTCTACAGAGAGTATGGACCGCATTTATTGCTGCCGTGGGACGGCTAGATAAGTCGCTTTCGCCCAAGGACACACTCCGGCGGCTTAGCCAGCGTCAATGGACGTTTTCCGACTCGATTTACCTCTTCCACATCGCCCTCGCTACCTTCTGGATGAGCGTGATGCAGGCGCCAGGCTTTCCGCTCAAGCTCATGATACCCACTCTCTACGCAATCATGATCCTCATACCCCTTACCTCCCAGTTCTTCATCCCGGCTACCCCGATCTTCGCGTGGCTCCTCACGTTCTACACGTCGCGCTTCATCCCCGTAAATTGGCGGCCAAATATCTCTGTCGTCCTCCTTCCGACGCTGGAATCCGTGCTCTATGGTGCTAACATATCCGATCTCCTCACCCGCTTCACCCACTCCTTCCTGGATATCTTAGCCTGGCTGCCGTACGGCGTCATCCACTTCATATTCCCATTCGTTGTCGGCGCTTTCCTTTGGCTGTTCCGAACGAAGGAGGCGCTGCACCTCTGGGCCAGGGTATTTGGCTACATGAACCTCATCGGTGTCATTATCCAGATCCTCGTACCTTGCGCACCGCCGTGGTACGAGCTCATCTACGGGCTCACCCCCGCGAACTACAGTATGCCAGGCTCGCCGGGTGGTCTCGCACGGATCGACCGGTTGTTCCACTCCAACGGTTACACTGTCACCTTCAGCAACTCACCCGTCGTCTTCGGTGCTTTCCCGTCCCTCCACTCGGCATGCGCCACCATAGAGGCCCTCTTCATCTCGCACTTCTTCCCACAGTGCACCAAATTCATCTGGACGTACGCGGCGATCCTCTACTGGGCGACGATGTACCTTACGCATCACTACCTCATTGACGTCGTCGGCGGTTCCTGCCTCGCCATCGCCTGTTTCTACCTCTTCCTCCCAGACGCGCTCAAGGGCACGAATGCGCTCCTTCCCCCGGGTGGACTGAGCACCACTACGTTTGGCGGGCAGCGATCAAAGTACGAGCTGTACGACCTCGACGAGCCCGTGGGTAGGCGGGGACGGGGCATGAACAGCAACATCATGCGTGACGCGTCGGACTATGACCTTGAGGAGTCCGACAGGGAGTCCGACGAGGAAATGGACATCACATTTCGTTCGCCGATCACGCCTGGGCCGACGTCTGCGACTCCGCTTATGAAGCCAAAGGGCGGCGCAGCAAACCAGGCGAAGAAGAGCCATCGGCATACCGCGAGCATCGCTAGCCTCATCCGCGCGGAGGAGCGGGCAGAGGAAGGGTGGAGCCCCATCACTGCGTCGTTCAACATCCCGCCTGTACCGCGGAGCGACGAGACGAGAGGCCCGCGGCCATAGACGGCGGTTGCTTTAGAGCGTCTTGGGGACATTGGGCGAGGGTTCGGTTGGGTTGTCGCTTCTCTGGTGTATCCATGTAATCTCCCCTTCTCCGCGCACAGGTAGCCTAGTACTCTTACCAGACAGTCTCTTCCCGTTCGCAGCATCCTATACAGTTTGTCAATCACTCGCTCATTCACCGCAGTATCTATATTCGTACAGATAATGTAACCAATACTGGAAACAATGTACAGATCGCGTGCAGTCTGCAGTCTACTTGATACAGTATCTGTGCTAAGTAGATGTGGGCATGAAAGTTGTTGTTACTCAGTGATGTGTCAGGCTGCATGTGGTTGCCTCTGTGGATGGGATGGTCACACTGCTACTACAACAATTTGAGTTCTGTACTGAACATCAGTGTTCTAGCTATGGACCACAGGATAGCTTGCAATTGGTGACACTAGTGACAGATGGTTATTGGTTGGATATATGAGAGGGTGTACCAATGACCTAGAGATTAGCTGGTCCTGACTAAAGACAAGCTTCTCCCTATTGTAGTAAATAACAAGGCTTGTATGTAGTAACAATATTACTGACCTTCAGTAATGCGTGAGGCTAAGAAGTTGTGGACTAGTTAACCCAACTAGTCTTGTATTGACACTCAGAGTGCTCTTGACTAGTGATTTATTGCCATCCCAGTTGGATAGTATAACTTGTCTTCTTGTATACTAACACTCTTGATTAGTATCTTATGATGTCTTGGCTTGTGCAGATAGTCAGAGCCTCAGTTAGGCTTTTAAAGATGTTAGCAGAGATATATGCTGGTCAGCTAGTGCGCTGGGATGGTGGTGGTATGAGTACAAGATGCTCTGTTCCAGATTTGGCTGCAGCCGGCCTTATATACCCCAGTGTGGGAAAATCTGGAACAATAGAGCTGAAAGTACTATTGTATGTACCAAAGCACATTCCACTGTTGTACTACCTAATTTGTCCATGAATAGCAGAACAAAAGGATTAGTCAGTTCATCGTTTTCCTAAAGCTACATAACCAAAGGAAGAGAAACACATCTTTTGTCCTATTGAACCTGAACTCCTGTTTGTTCTAGTTCCCCTTTTATCTTACTCCCTTATTTGTTCCCTCAAATAAGATCATCCAAAATGCAGCCATTGCCCATTATGTAGTCCATGAATCATACAAATAAAGCAAGGTGTTCCTCATATCCCCATCTCACTACTCTCCCCCATGCTGCCCATCTCAACCTCTGAGTCAAAGACAGTATCTTTGTCATGGCTGCAAATGCTAGTACATTTTCCATTAGCAATGTTTATTGCATGTCAGGTACAGAACATAGATATAGTGCAACATATACTTGGTGTTGGCATTGCGTGAAGCCCATCACTTGTGGCAAGACTTAGAGAGTTGAGGTTTTTGAAGGCGCTTGAAAACAGGAGACTTGCGCGCCCAAACACTGTGAAGTACAGTACACATTGCAAAGCTTCTACAGGTGGTCAGTGCGAGGTGACGCTGATTGCTAGAAGCAAAAACAAAAGTAAATTGCTCGGGACGAGGGTCGAACTCGCGACCTTAGGATTATTTTTCCATCATGGAAATTCATACAGTGGTATGAGACCTACGCTCTAACCAACTGAGCCACCCAAGCTTTGGATAACACTGCCACCAAACCTTTATAGACATGTTAGCTAACATACTGTTACTCAAGCCTTCGCGCATGGAAGTATGTGCCAGGTACTGATTCAACATGTCGTGATTGTCGCGGATACACGTCCTCGAAATTTGGAGTACACTATTGCGCTCGGGGTCCTAAGTACATTGTACCAACGGACCGGAGTCTTCAAGTTCCCACACCCAACTCGCGATCACGTGACTTTATGGACGCGTCGCAGCGACAGAGGGCCGTCTTAAGCTTTTTCATGGATCGCATGGTAGGAATTGAGTACCGTCGCGTCGCTACATAGTCCATTTCACTTCCTGCAACTCAAGTTCCAACCCAAGTCTGTTTGTTACTGAAACGCGACGTCTTACACCGTGGAAGGCTATACATAAGTAAAGAGCGCTATCACCCGCGGTCCGCAACTGATCTGATGTAGTGACAAGCTCACGGAAACCGTCGGTGAGTTCGAGCCCGCATACTATCTTCGACTGCCTCAGCTCAAAACACGAATAGCAGGGACTACGATGATACAATGGTCCTTTTGGTCACAAGACGATTGGTATGTTTCCCGATACTGGTGGGGGGCTTCAAGAGGGGAAGTGGAAGCAACCGTGAGCAAGGTGAATGTGTTTTGTGATTATCGACTGACAGTGCCACATATCTCCATATCTCTAACGCCGGCACCGTAACGTTGGTACTTATGTAGTGCCGATTGCGGACACAGGCGGATTCGATCCTATTCTCTTATGGCGCTCGCAGCTCCGACGCGCGTTGAATTCAAGCAATTGCTCATCTTGTCATGTAGGCTTCACATGCGAGTCACGTCAGAACATGGCATCGAAACGTCACTGCAACACACTGCCAGTTGCCATGCTGATGATAACTTGCAATTGCAGTGACGTGCATTTGCAGGCCTGGTACTGTCAGTACGGGCAGCGTCTAGATATCGCAAAGTAGAGGGAATCGGGTGGTGCTCACAGCCTATTCCACTCTGTGGACCAGCAGATATCAAACCGGAAATTAAGCCAGAACCCCGACGCTGCAGACCTGCAGGACAACATGCGGAGGGGGGTGACTTGACCCATTCCGAGGCTCCGAGCACGCAAGTTCGGTCACGCGACAGCCTTTTCGAGCCGGGATTTGAATCATAATGCGATCTATGCAAGTCACTTTCCGGTCGTATCTCGTTTGACGTCGCACCAATGCGCTGCTGACAGAACCAAAGCAGCAGGCCAGCAGGAAAATGCGGATATGGGAAGAGGCACGGTACGCAGGAGTCACTGGCAGCGAGCGCCTGAGGTGACTGCGCTTCGACCCGCGGGAACGCCGGAAACGGAAGGGTCAGCATCTCAACGGCTCGCGTGGCGCCACCCGCCAAGATAAGAGCGGCACGTACGCAGCCTCAGCCCGGTTCTCCCCAACCACCACCACTCCCTCCAGCTCTCTCAGTGGGGGGTTCACAGCACACGACCGCTCGCTCACACACCGATTCATTCTCACCATGCGTCGTTTACTCGTCGCTTCGGTCGCCGCGCTCGGTCTCGCTGGCGCATTCGCCAGTCCTGGTGGCAACCACAACGACAACCAGGTTCGTCGCCGGAAGACCCTCAGCTTCGGCCCTGTACACCCACATGCGGTCTACCGTACGGATCCTGTCTACACGTCCAGCGGGTTCGCGGACGCGGGCAGCGACCCGGCCGAGGTTGCGCAGCACTTCGTGGAGGAGCTCATGCACGAGACTTCACCCGCCAGTTCGTTCGTTATCCGCAAGGATTCGTACACGGACAAGAACACCGGCGTGAGCCATATCTACGTCCGTCAGTACATGCACGGCATTGAGGTCGCCGACGGAGACATCAACGTCAATGTTAAGGACGGTGTTGTAATCTCGTATGGTGACTCGGTATGTAATTGCGTCATCTCGTAACACATCGTACCCACTCATATCTCTTCAAGTTCTACCGTGGTTCCGAGCCGGACCCGTTCGTGTCCGGTCTTGTGCGCGGTCTTCCGGATGCCCACTCAGAGTACTGCGCCGACCTCTTCGAGGAGCTTGAGTCGCGCTCGGAACACGTCGAGCAGCTCTTGGAGGCACAGGAGGCTCTGGGGCTCCAGAGCGAACAGGTTACGCTCGGTAGCAAGAATCCCGCCGCGCTCGTTGAGCAGGCGTCCGGGGACCTCCCGCTCTCTCACGAATGGAACTGCGAGCACGTCAGCACGCCATTCTTCATGGCGAACCACGATCCGTTTGCGCAGGAGTTCGGGGACCTCCCGCTCTTCTACGAATGGAACTGCGAGCACGTCAGCACGCCATTCTTCATGGCGAACGACGATGCGTTTGCGAACTCGGAGGACGCTCTGGGCGACCCGACGCGTGCCCTCCTCCAGTTCATGATCGCCGCGACGCCGAACAAGACGCTCGCAGAGGACCTGATGGAGAACCCTGCTGCGCACCTTGAGAAGATGCAGTCCACTTGGGAGACGCACTTCGTCGGCGGTCACGGGGTGATCTCCGGCCTTGTGAGCAACGTTCCGGATACCGTCAACCCCGTCAAGGCGAAGGCAGCGTTCATCCAGGTGCCCAACGGCGACTCGATGTCCCTCGAGCTCGTTTGGAAGGTTAGTTTCCATTTTTGGACGTGTCGTGATAGAGCTTGGTTTCTGACGATCGCTGCAGTTCGAGGTCGAGATGCAGGACAACTGGTACGAGGCTGCTGTCAGCGCATCCCAGCCGCATCGCATCATCTCCGTCGTCGACTGGGCGTCGGACTCGCCGATGCCGGTTGCTCCCGTCCCGCCGAACGTCGAGAGGAACACTGGTGTTTACAACGTCTTCAGCTGGGGCATCAACGACCCGTCCGTCGGCAACCGCTCTACGCAGAAGGAGTACTTTGACTCCCTTGCCAGCCCAATTGGGTGGCACTCTCTGCCGTTCGCGAACGACCCGCATTCGCTCCGTATGAAAGTCAAGAGTGGACCCAAGGGTGAGAAGTGGCGCAACACCACGACCACCTGGGGCAACAACGTTTTCGCGCACGAGAACTGGGAGGGCCGCAACGACTGGGAGGCCAATTACCGCCCGGATGCCGGCGAATCGATGACATTCGACTACAAGTACGTGCCCAAGAAGACGGAGAGGGAGGATGCGCTCGACGAGGCGAAGAAGTACATCAACACGACGGTCACGCAGCTGTTCTACACGAGCAACCTTGTGCACGACCTCTTCTACCGATATGGCTTCGATGAGGTCTCGGGCAACTTCCAGCAGCACAACTTCGGCCGTGGTGGTGAGGAGAACGACGCTGTCATTGCCAACGCTCAGGATGGCAGTGGCTACAACAATGGTAAGTAGCAATGTATCCGAAGCGAATGCAGTACTCATCGGCTTCTTCTAGCCAACTTCATGACTCCCCCTGATGGTCAGAACGGTCGCTGCCGCATGTACCTTTGGAACACTGCGAACCCCTACCGTGACGGTGACCTCGAGGCCGGCATCGTGATCCACGAGCTTGCCCACGGTCTTAGCACGCGGTTAACGGGTGGTCCTGCCAACTCCGGCTGCCTCGGCTGGGGCGAGTCTGGCGGCATGGGTGAGGGCTGGGGAGACTTCCTCGCCACCACCATCCGGAGCAACGCGAACTACTCAGACTACGCGATGGGTGCCTGGGCTGCTAATCGCGAGACCGGCATCCGGAATTACATCTACTCGCTGAACGAAACAATCAACCCCTCGACGTACAAGACGCTCGACAAGCCCGGCTACTGGGGCGTGCACGCGATCGGCGAGGTCTGGGCGGAGTTGCTCTGGGTCGTCTCGCAGCGCCTGATCACCAAGCATGGCTTCGTCGACACGCTCTTCCCCCCACTCCCGCATGCGAACGGCACCGTGCCCGAGGGCGACTTCTACCGCCCGGCAGAGTTCACCGCCGCGGGCGAGCGCAAGCCGCTCGTCCCCAAGCACGGCAACTCGCTCAGCGTCCAGCTCGTGCTTAACGGCATGAAGCTGCAACCGTGCAGGCCGTCGTTCTTCGACGCTCGCGACGCGATCATCTCGGCGGACCAGGTGTTGACCGGCGGCGAGAACTTCTGCGACCTCTGGACCGCGTTCGCGGAGCGTGGCATGGGTCCTGATGCGCGTGTGGACGGCCGTACGCCGTGGGGCGGAGGAGTGCGCACGAACGACTACGACGTCCCGGTGAAGTGCAAGGCGGATGAGCCTGAGCTATGAGCGGGTGGCGGCTGTGTCTGTGACTCCTACGTGCCGGGTGTTTGGAGACGGTGGCCCGTCTTTAGGCTCTTAGACGGGACTGTTACTCGATATTCCTTTGTAATATTAGTTCCTGTACATCTATGGATATAGACCTACTTCATGCCTGATCGCTGGCCTTCTGGACATGCGCCTGTGCTGAGCATCGGTCTGAACGGCGTTGGCAGTTGGAAAACACGTGTGATGCGTACTGGATGCGTACCTCGCAGCCACAGCCGCGGCGATTACGTACGGGGCATGAAGTCACCCGGAGGCGCGCTCTGGTCGGCTCACCTCCACTGGCCAAACACGCCTCTTCCGGCGGTTCTGCCATTGTCTCCTCAACCTCCTCCAATCCTCGTCACGATCCCTCCTCTCTGATCCTCTTTCACGCCCCAGATCTCTGTTCTCTTTGTTACGACTCCAACGACTATATAGACAATGTCAGGCGACAAGGATAAGGGCCCGGTGAACGTGAAGCTGCTTCTCATTGGGAACTCGTCAGTGGGGAAGAGCAGTCTGCTCTTGCGGTTCTCGGACGAGCAGTGGTTGCCAGAGGATGAGTCGAGCGCAACCATTGGCGTCGACTTCAGGGTGCGTATGTGTTGTAATGGTCTGGCCTGCAGCGATCCTGAAGCTTGACGGCCGGGATAGGTACACAAGATGGAGGTCAAGGGGCGGAGGGTGAAGCTCAGCATATGGGTGCGTCAGCCGTCTACTCTTGATATACTCGTGAAGAGACTGACTGTGCGTGCAGGACACTGCGGGCCAGGAGAGGTTCCGGACGATCACCTCGTCGTACTACCGAGGCGCGCAGGGCATCATCCTCGTGTACGACGTCGCGAACCGCGAGTCGTTCGATGCGCTTCCGCGGTGGTACTCGGAGTTGGAGACCTACGTGTCGAAGTCGGTGGTGAAGATCATCGTTGGGAACAAGGTGGACAAGGTGCGAGCCACATCTCCGCCTGCGCCGGAATGAGGCTGACATCCTAACTTCAATCACGGCTACTCCGTGACCAGGAGTTCTCCCGGCAAGTGACGTACGCGGAAGGGCAGCGTTTCGCTGAGCGGATGAACTCGCTCTTCATCGAGGCATCCGCAAAGACGTCCACCGGCGTCCAGGAGGCGTTCCAGCAGGTGGTCGAGCGGATCCTTGACACGCCAGAGCTCTGGGCTCCTGCGATGAAGAAGGGCGTCGGCCTGAATAGCACGGACGGCGGGAGCATGCCTGGCAGTATCAACCTTTCGGAGACGGAAGGCAACGCCAACGAGGGCGGTGGATGTAGCTGCTGAAGTGACCGGAGCGAGTCTGTGTTCCGTGCTTTTGATACGCGGTGTGCTGGATTGGAGCGGTGTATGATCTGAGGATACCTGTGTATAGTAGGTGGACGCTCTACGTTCGTGGGCTTATACCGTATGGAACGCTAATGATCGCCTTGTTTCCGTCATGAGGACGGTATATATAGATTTGCTTTCGAAGGGTTGTACCGTTGGCATGCGTGATTCGTGTCTCCGCGAGACAGTGTCAGACTGCCTGTGCTCTTTTGGCGGCTCGATCAGTTGACAGGCAGATGCTCATGACAGCGCAGATCGGCGCTGTTAGCGAATGAAGTGCGTTTGACGCCAATTCTCATCGTGGCCAATGCGGTGAGTGGCGATGTTACGAACAGTCTTGTATCCATATTTATGCAATGCATGTTGTGATAGGGATGCACTTCAGATATGCAACCGGTCGTCTCCACTGTGCTATCGCCGAGACGTTCACTCAGCGGACCTGGTGTGGCCATGGCCGTGCTTGTCTCCTGGTTGCAATGCCATTTACTCGACAGGAGCATCAAGTTTTGATACTACTGCAGGAATTACGTGTATGTTTTTCACGGTCCAAGAAACTCAACTCACGTCGTGATTTGTGTTAAGTGTGGATGTTTCATCCAGATGTACCGACATATGTTGGACATGTCAAATGGAAAGGCCACTAAGGTGTTGTCTGTCGCATGGCGACCGGCGCCGATATCTAGTTTAGGTGAGTGTTCCAGGACATAAATACTTATCTCCGCTTTCCCGCCCATATCGCACTGCCATTCGGCCACCTACCACCCACTAACGTGGCCACAGCATGAGGGCACCCAACGCCGTTACGCGTGTTCAGCGTGTTCAGCTTTCGATAGCTACTATGGAAGGTGGCCGGTTACTTGAAGCCACCGTTCAGTGGTAACAGTCAACGGCGACAGTCGCCGCAGCACTCAGGTTTGTATAACAGTAGACATTTTCTCTAGATGACGTTGTCAAGTTCACTGTCGCATAAGCTGGTCTCCCCTTTCATCTGCTGGCACCATGGCTTCAAAAGAAGAAGCACTCATCCAGTCAGTCTTCTTTACGTGAGTGTTCTCATCGACGTAGACGTTCACGGGTCCTCATACTCACGTTCATTTAGACAGATGGAGTACTACTGCAACGCGTCGATTCTAGGTAAGATGACCAGAGTCAACGAAGTGAACTCCTCATTAAAATTCGTCCCAGTGATGCTCGCATACGAGTGCATTGCATGTTTACCAAGTGAACTCAAGCTCATATGGACGAGCATCGGCAGCCCTGGCCACTGGATTCGGATCCTCTATTTCCTATGTCGTTACCCTCCAGTCCTCTATATGACCATCGAGTAGATTAACCCAACCAGTACCAAGGTAAGCCCTCATTGTGCTCTGCGGTACGAGGGCTCCTTGAACCTCATGATTAGGCGTGAGCTCAATCACTTTCTCGATTTTGGCCCCAGCAGGATCACTGATGTCATGCATTTGCATTAGTTGCGTCGGTATCAACGTTCTTGACTCTATCGTATCCATCCAACTGTTGGCCATGCCAGTCGGTGAGACACCAACGGCTGTTTTCAAGCAGACCACTGATATCAAGTCGATGTACCCCGCAGCTTTCGGTGTGCTTCGTGTATATGCCGTGACCCGTCGTGACTGGCGCCCAACCGCATTTGCACTGGTGTTGGGTCTAGTGCCCGTAGCTACCAATCTCGTGAGCTCCATACTCAGCTGTCATGGCACTGTGGGCAACTGAACAGAAACGAGTCCACGTAGTTTGGTTCTGTACAATCTGGTTTTGTCGTGTCGCGACTTGCCAATGGGCAACTGCAATGCTCTCAGTATGCCCTTATCCCTGCTTCACTTACACATAAGTGCGCTCACTTGATGGAACCGTGCATGTGGCATCACTGACTCGATTTCTCAGGCGTATGTATGACTCTCCTCCAATCAATTAATCTTCAGCTTGCTCATTGTATCGATCATTTAGTCGTAATTATCACCCGTGCATGCACGATAGGCTTCGACTTCTTCGTGGTCTCCATCCTGTGGACCAGGGGCTCGCAGGTCTGGCGAGCCTCGAAGGCAACGCTGCAGGAATCTAATCTCATGCAGCTCCTGCTGAAAGACGGTATGTACGACACAGCGATGAGTCGTACTGAAGGGACTTCTGAGTTTTTACTTACAGGCACTCTTCTCTTTGTGTACCATCCTTCATCAATAATTAAGATTTAGGCAGCTGATGCGCCTGCGCGTTCTCGCAGATTTCTCCTGATCCTCAACTCCCTTGATGTCGTTTTATGGTTGAGCATAGTGAGTCTGCCTTCAACGTTGCGGACCTGACGTAGAGTTGATCGACAACTCGTCCGCAGGGTTTCAATTGGATCACATCTTTGTTCATCTTGCCGTCAGTGATCAAGATGCTCATTAAATCGCGACTGACGTGCGTCCGTACAGAATTGCCTGTGCCCTTGTGGCCCGATGCCTGCTCAATCTGCGCGAAGTCACCGGCCCTTCGCAAAGCAGTGCTGGTCAGGACGTCACCGAACTCTCCTTTGTCCACTCTTTGGGTGGAAGTCATGAAACGACGCAACCTATGGGCAACCTTGATGCCGGCACCACAGCCTAGGCATGATGATTGGAAGTATCTGGTATGTGCGGAGCCCCGCCAAGCGTTTCCGTTGACGCTGAGTCTATTCGATTGTGACCCGCTAGCTCGTTTACGTCAGGGGACGAAGATCCTGACAGAAGTTTTGCGACTGTCAATCGAAGTGAGATATTACTCGCGCCCGTGACGTGCTACATAGTAGCTATGGAATATGTATTGTCAATGGCCGTTCAGAGAACACTTGCTGATTCAGCGCCCGCGCGTTGTCTTCACTGCCAGGGGACAACTTTCATGACTCCAGCGACATGACTCTCCGATGGCTCAATCGTTGCAGGAGAATACGATAACATGTCGACCTCATCTATAGCTTCCCATATTCCGAACTGCCCTTCGAGCCAACGACCTTCGAATGCAACAAACGACCTCGCAGCTCTACCTCAGGAGCGTGCCAGGAGACGCGGAACGCGGCTACATCGCCAGACTCCGGCCGCTGGGGCTATCTCTGCCCCCCCCGGGCCCCCCCCCTCAGCGCCGATCAATGTCACCCGGTCAGTTATATATTCACGGTCGCCGGCATTGTCGATTCAAGGAACTATGCACGCACCTCTCGATCTGCCGGCGGTTCGCCCGCAGGACTTGCGGCCGATGTATACACAATGGCGTCTGGCGTCACGTCGCGGGCCGGGCGCCTCGCAGCACCATGCTTAGCTCGAATTCGTGACTGCCACCGCGGTTCTGGTTTGCAGCGCCTTACCTCGACTGTCTGTTAATCCACGGCTGCACGACCCTACCGTGCTATTCGTGCGCTCACAGGCTCGATGGTGCATCTTTGACGCCCCGATACGAGACGTATCGGAGGTCGTGGTGCATGGAAGCTGCGAACCAAGCTAACATCTCTACTGATATGCAGCAGGCCTATCTGTACCGTGCGTGAGCGCTGTGCAGCCGTGTTTCATTAGAACTCAAGGAGATTGGGAGACTGATACAAGGCGGAGACGCTTGATAGTTTCTCATCGGATCAACTGCTGCAGAGATATAACTCCATCGAAGCCGTGCTCGACCGCTAGCTATTACTGTGCTCATGCGAGCCTCGCTTGCTTCCCCAAACTTCCTTGACCGCCATGGCTTCAACGGAACAGGAATTGATGCAGCTTCTTGCCTATACGTGAGTGTCATTTCCAGGTTAGAGGTCCGTGAGCATGCATGCTGACCGGATTGTTCGTACAGACGGATAGAGTACTACTGCACTGTCTCCGTTCTAGGTGTGCTCGCATCAAGCAGTTCAGACCCAAAGGACTTTACGAATATTTTGCAGCAATGCTTGTTTATGACTGCCTCACGGGAACATCTCGCGAAGTCGAGCTCATTTGGACTAGGAAGATCAAGGCCACAAACTGTCTCTTCAAACTGTCGTTATTCGCCAATAGTTTTCATGATCCTCAACTGGCTACACTTGAGCAGCGTCTCTGTACGTCTTCTCTATACGCTGGAATATTGAGCATATTGAGCATGTCTCACCCCGAAAAGGCGTACGTCATAGTGTACTCTTCCACTGCCTGGGTGTTCCGCTGACATCATATGTTTGCACCGCGGCCCTTATAGCTGCCGTGTTGTCAGCATTTTCTATGTTTTATCAGCTTTACAAATGGCTGTGATACCAACTGGTAGGCATCATTCAGGCTACTCATGTTCAATTGCCGTGCTCAATGCGAGGCTTGTAATTTCTGCAGCTTTCGGCGTGCTTCGTGTATACGCCGTGATAGACCGCGATTGGCGCACGACACTATTCACATTGATTCTTGGCTTATTTCCGACAGCAATAGATATCGTAAGTCCGAGTGAGAATACTCACAGTGTCAGCTACCAAACCATTGCAGCTATATTTCGCCAAGTCTACATTTGCTGTACTGCCACTCCCAGATGGCCACTTGTCGTCCAACACAATCACTGTCAAGTGCGCTTGTACGTTCCGCCGCGAAGTGTCAAGCTAACGCCCTTCACTCTACAGACGTACCTTCTATCATCCCAATCGATTGTGAACGCATAGCTGAACCGCACTGATCAGTCGTAATCATCACCCGCTCTTGTACGATAGCCTTCGACGTCTTCGTAATATCCGTCTTGTGGTCCAAGTGCCGCCAGGCATGGAAGACGTCGCTGATTGCGCGGCGACAACACTCCTTAACCGAGCATCTACTGAAGGATGGTAAGAGAAAACAGTACAAAGTAGCGTAGTGAAAGGCTGACTTCCGAGGAGGAACTTCTCTTTTTCTGTATGGCCAGCTCTTTGTTACAACATTAGGCTTTAGAATCACTCATCCTGTGATCTATTCAAGGTGTCTCCTCGTGATCAACGTCCTTCACATCATTCTATGGCTGACCATAGTAAACATATGCCATTTACTGCGATCTCGACCTCTGACCGACGTCTGTTCAGGATTTCGAATGGACCACGACTCTATTCCTCCAGCCGTCTGTGTCAAAATTATCGTATTTCTGCACGCTTGTTTACTTATCAGCCTCGCAGAATTGCTTGTGTACTCATATGCCGATCATGCCTCCTGAACTTGCGCGAAGTTGTGGAGCCTCCGCAGAGCACGACCGACTTAGATGGCATCAATCTCGACCTCTTATTCACCCCCACCTCAATTCAGGATCAAGAATCTGCTATAGCGGGCGAGGGTAGTATCCGCAACATGCCTACGAGATCCGCATCTAGTCGTGGCACGGGCCTCCCTGTAAATATGGTTGATCTTCAAGGTGTGCATTTATCGCTCCGCATAGTTGAATCTACTCGTCTTACATATGACTAGATCGCAAGGAGCCAATATTGTGACCATCCGACGCCATCCGTATCTGTTAGGACATGCGCATCAAGTTGGGCCTAGCAGGGGATGCTCAATAGACTTGTTGTACAACAACAACTGCCGTACTGGAAAAATGCGTCCATGGCTACTAGCACGTCCCGGGCGCCAGTAATATCTGATTGCGATTGACAGTCGTGAATCTTCTGTCAGGATCTTCGTCCCCTGACAGGAATAAAGATCGTCACCGGAGTCGTGTCAAGTTCCGACTCACCTTGTGGGTGCACGTGAGCTCAGATCGTTATCTGCGCCCTCCGACCTGGTAGGTGTCGTGTGAATGTATTCGTCTGGACGACAATTCAGACATGATAGAAGAATAGGGTCAGAAGAGGCGACTTGAGAAGGCAAGTGAAATTATGGAGCGGAGCCACTGCTGGCGATGACAGATCACTACGAGCTTTGGCCTCGAATCTGGTTATAGACCCTCTTGCTACATTCATATGAGACATAGTTCAATCGAGATGCAACGTGAGGTGCGCACCATACTTCATGTGTCCTCGTTTAAGAAGCTCTCATGACTGACTTCAGTATGCCAAACAGCAGATGGTTGCGGGCCGCCAAATTCGCCGAACGTGTAGGCAATGAAAAAGTACACCTTTGGCCCGGGCATGCATGCATGCATGCGATCATGATGGAAATTCTCTACAAGCGAACTACGGAGTCCCTCCGCATCCCTCCGCGTAAGACTATCCCCACAACATTCGGAAGTAGCACAGAAGAATCGATCTGCTCCCTGAACACCTGGGTTTCGCGTAGTTCATTGATCACGTACGACCGCGTGGCCGGCGAACGTTCGTCCGTTAACATACAGTACCGCACTGGATCGGTCAAGTCCGTCTCGGGTGTTCTGTCTGTCCAGGATTTCTTGACGGGTACGTGGCAATTGTGCTGAGCGCTCGCTGGCGCTGACTGAATGGGGATGCGCTTGTCGTAGGTGTCAAGGACTCAGTCAGATGGCGATCGCCGGTACACTTCATCCTGTCGATGGGGCGTCTTGAATAGCGGGGAATTGAGGCGGGCGTGTATCCGCGTGTTGTGTCCATGCGTGGCCCGAAAATTTGGCTTAGGACATGACGAATGACGATAGCTCACATTTTCTCTAGACGCACTGGTACTAGCGTGACAGGGATTGTCAGCTTGCAAGCGATCCCCAGATTCTGCAACCTGTAACATAGAAACTAGTCAATTCATGAACATCCGGCTCATTCCAGTTTGTTCTAGTCGTTTCGAGAGGGATAACGCGCAGCACACGTCGTCCGTTCCCAATTTCAAGCAGCCCCATCGGTGTTCAAATTCGAGATGGTTTCGCGGCTACAGCTCCGAGGAACCCAGGACACATTCAGCCGCGAGTCCCGCACCGCATCTAAATTCATTAGATGGCTAGTAACCCCAGAGTAAGTCCAGGACATGCTTCGAGCATCTTTGTTAATCTTCGCTACACTGCCACATACGTCATCTCCCCTTTAGACTTTCCGATTTTGGAGCGGATGAAGCCCGTGCGAGACAGTAAGGACTCACTGGCTGACCGGCCTCTCATGCTAACCGCCCATGCCCCGGAGACTAGACGGCTGTGATTATAAAGATACACATAGGCAGCAGCCATACGCCACTCAACGGGGAAGACAGTGATTCAACGGAGGAGATGCTCCCGCGCAGGCCGCTCCGTGCGGTGTAAAAACAATAGAATAATGCGATTATCACTGAGCCAAATGAAAGCCATGCTCAGGCATTAGCCCCTTGCCGAGCTACAGTATTGCCAATCTGGGCATGCACGCTCTACCAGCCACTAAGGTACATTGCCTCTTGATTGCCTCCGTCACTCACTTCCTACGATCCGACTGATGTCGGGTTCCCGAGAAGACAACATAAGTACTTTTACCGTAATTTTATCCCACTGAACGCTCGTAGACTCCTCTTCACGATTTCTACTTACGAGACATTGAGTTGATTGACAGCGTGAACATCCTATAGGAGCCTCCACCTGAATGCCGACAATCGTGTGCCGACACTTGTACGTTCGTGCCAATCGTGATCTGGTGCCTTCATTCTAGCTCCCCACGGTGCGGGGAGCTCATGTTCAGACACCCCCCGAACTGACGACCAGTGGGTGGCGTTGTAGCAGAGCAACTGCCGATGCGTGAATAGCTCAGCCCGCAGCATCCAAAAGGGGCTGTCACAACTTCCGAAACGTAGCTACCAACAAACAACACTAACGTACAGGCAACAAAACACATGCGCCGTACCGTCGTGCCTTCAAACGAATCGCATCGCCTACAGCGCGGGATTCGTACCTCCGCATCCACAAGGTGTGATGCCAACCTTTTCAAATTACCGGCGCTGTTCGTGTAGCACGACGCCCACACAAGCAAACACCTAGCCTTAGTCAAGCGTGTCTGATCCCCATTCGGTACGGCGCGTCAGCATGAAGCAATGAACAAGACATCGAAGAGACGGCTGGGCACTGGACGGTCACACGAGCAGGTGGTAGGAAACGCAGGAGAGCGTGACGGCGCCGTGCCCCTGGACACGAAGTCTACGAGACGCTCCTAAGCGAGGCGTGCAGTATCGTTCTTACCGTTTCGGGCGCGCGGGCCATATGGTGAGCCGCACGATGCGATCGGCCCTGCGAGTTCGATCGTCCAGTGGAGCTCGACAGGTCCCGAGATGAGATTCACTTTCGCGCAGCCGCAGAGGCGCAACCATTTTCCCGCTGCGCCCGCGATCCCCCTGTGTGCCTATTGGTCGATCCTATGTCGGGCATCGGCACATACCAGGGCGCAGCCATGCCAGAACCACGCGAGAGTTGCGCGCCGCGGGCGGGTAATTCTGGGAGCAGACGAAGGTAGCGGCAGTTAGTAGCACGGCGAAGACGTGGGGGAAGAATGGAAGCTCCCTGGGGTACTGACATTGCTCCTTCTCGTGTGCAGCGAAACCACAGATCACTGCATCGACAGCGACCCTGTCAGCGCGGGACACCACAGCCACATGCACCCACCAGGAATCGAAGTACAACCAATGCCCGCTGCCACGGAGCGCTCGCCCGTTGTGGTCCTGCTACGTGCGCTCAGTACCCAGACCCATCCAGTCACATCCACGCCCACATACCGCTCGTGCTCGCCCGCCTGCGTATGCTCCCTGCGCGCACAGCCACCGCACGCCGGCCGACCAAATGCCATTTGTCACAGTACACAACATCGATGAACGGCGGTAGCCCATATATGGAAGGTGTCCAGGAATACTTTTGAGGCGTCCGGCCCCGGCTTCTTGTTGACCCGATTGGATCGCCGGAACACTGATTGGCCAGTGGGATGCTGAGCGAGCGGATGAGCGAGGTCTCGAGGGCATGTACGGGGCGGCTTACAGTCGGCCGTTGGCTATAGCTGGCGTGGGCGGCGCACGGAAGTAGGACTTTCACAGGGCGGCCAGTGTACCCGCCGGCTCGGGCGCGGGAACGCGGCGGAACCAGGCCACCAAGGATGACTACGTTCTAGTCACGAATGCGAGTCTAAATCGAGAGTCACGAAAAGACTTACAAGTCCACACGGGAGCGCTGTGAGCTGACGTGGTATGACAAGCACAAGGATTGTTCCCGGAAACGATGCAGACCACAGCACCGCGAACCCTGAGTCGAGCATACGAGAGACGACCCCGGCAGAGAGTTGAGGCCTTGTGGCCCCCGCGCCCCGCAGCACGGCGACAAAACTCTATCAGAGCTACTGGCATGTAAGATCCCGTCCCAGGCACGCACGCCACTCTGGAGGAACAGCGCAAGGCGCGGCGAAGGGATAAGTCGCCAGCCAGCTCGTCCTGAGCCTATCGTCAGGCAGTCTGACGGGCAGAGCTCGAATTCCACATCCAAGAGGCACAATCCCGAGTTCTCCGTATGAGATCGACGCCTCTTGCGTGTCTGAAACACCGACGAGACAGGTCCATATGGTTTTAGCGCTGGGTGTCTGAGTCGTTGGGGACGTGGTCGGTCCGTGTGAGATGGTGGTAAGACGTGCTCGTCGTGGGGTGGAGCTCGAAGCAAGACATCAAACAACCGCAGACGAGGTCGAGATTCAGGGATGACATGATTGGATGGTCCGCTAGGCGCGGCCCGAAGCGCGCGACGGACGCTAATGACGAGGAGGGTCGGAATGGATCGGTTAGGTTAGTTCGACCTGTCCGTGGGCGCAGATGGCGCAGAAGTGTCGATGAACGGCGCGCATGCGGGTCGGGCCCGCCTCCGACTGTGCTGCCCGCGGAGAACGTCACGGTTTGGTGAATGTCGGATGAAGAGTGGGGACATACCGGGGAATCTCTGTTTGTCCCAGTGGTTAATTGTGTGTGTGCTGCAGATGTCTGGACATGAACGAATTGTCACGGCCGGCGTTGTCACAGTTCCGTATGGGCTATAGACGAGGAAGCAAGCAAGAGGATTTGCCTGCACCTAGCGGCTTAATCAGCCGGCCGAACTGGAATGTGACTGAATACTGAGCGAGTCCAATCTCGAATGACTCGTCGGCAGACTGACCAGGCATAGCAGTCAGTTGCAGCGGGCGGTGCCAGGACGAAGGAAGCCATGACTCACGGGGCATCTCGCGCTGAGTCAGGAGCGCGGCAGATTCAAGTTCTTGCGTGTAGATGGCGCCAGCGGGATCCAAACGGACTGTATGTGGTCTCGGGGCGTGATGAACGACCAGTTCGACGTATCGCCTGAATAGGGTGGAGGCACGGCGCGACACATGCTCGGCACCGCTGGCTGTCGCAGGAAGTCTGCAGAGAATCCGTGCCAGCGGTCAATCGACGCTGCCGTATGAACCGCGGTTGGCAGAACCGTATACGAAGTGTTGATGAAGTGTTGATGAGCCACAGCGCTGCGCCCAAAAACTGCGTGAGCGTCCAAGGTCACTGCAAGGTACGCGCCACGCTTGCGGGTGAATTGGAATCGCGTCAGTCGAAAACCATAATCATAGGCACGGTATCCCTCGCTCACCGACCTCCACGTATTGCGCTCCCCATGAAAACTGCATTAGCCAGCACAGCATACAAAAGCACCCTTGAGTCCGCTGACTCACGCAGCAGTTCGCTGGGTCATGAACTACCGTATGCATTTGCAGCTACGACTGTGACGCGCAACGCATATAGCAATCACGCTCGCAACAGCTCGATATACCGAGATGCTGCGAACTCGTTCATCACGCAGTTCATCTTCGACCGACGTGGAGCCATCTGAATTTGAAGACGAGCATGTCAGCGTATGTGAACACGTATTCGTGAAAAAGGAACCCGCCACTCACCGGAAACGGTACACACAGCACTTCGGCGAGCACAGCATCACCAAGCTCCGTCGAACATGCTGCGCGCAGTACATTCGACTTTGTCGTTCGAAGTGTAAATACCAGATTGGTATCGCACACCACGATGTGGGGCCGCCATAGGATGTCCCGCGGGATTCACTGCACCGCTCGCTGTCAACGAGCATAGCTATCAACGAACATAGCGTGCGGCCTGCGGAGAAGGCACGACGCGCGTCAGCTTACCCCAGAGGATCCGGACGAGCATACAATCACGCACCGCGGAGAGGAAGCGTCGGGCGAGCCTATGGGGAGGCCGACGTGGGGCACAGACCCACCGGGTGTTCGGCTATTCGCTGGACGTCTTCTGGCCGGAGGGCCACGAAAGCACATACAAGCAACGCGCAAGCTAGGTGACGGTGTGGCTGTGTATAGGATGAGTAGTTGCTCAGTCATCCGAGGAGAGCGGGGGGCATTACCTTCCGCTTACGTCCCGCGAGCACGCCCTGGCGGGAGTCGTTCAGGATCCGCCCAGACATTGCACGGGCCTCGGGGGCCCCGTTGGTACATTGACCCTAAGCTGTGTACTCCAGACTTCCCAAAGTAGGCATGCTGGTACATGCACGAAGGTTCGAGTCTGGGCTGAGAGCCGAACCGAGGAGATTAGAGCCTCGAATGGGAGGGACAGCCACCGCCGCCGTCGGTGGAGCGGGGCAGGCACGGCGGCGGGGGCGGCTAAAGGAGGAGCCGGGACGATCCGGGCTGGGGAGCGCATTGCCTTTTCGGAGGGCCCGCCCGCCCGCGATCGATATGCCGGGCGGGAGAGCGCCACGAGCCCCTCGGCCGCGGCGGGGCGATCGGGTCCGCTTGGCCTGAGCACGATCGGGCGTGGCGGAGGCACGTGGATACTGTGCACCGCCCTGGACGGCGACGGCCCACGGCGGGCGTGTTCGAGCGTGTCTGTGATGCCGTCCGAGACGGTCGCAGAGCACTGCTCCGTGCACGCAGGAAGCGACCAGAACGCAGCCAGGCCGGCACGAGTATGGCAATGCCAGCGCTGCAGGCGATGGACGTCCTGATTCGGTCGCAGCCCGCACGGAAGGGCTATCAGATCTGAACACCACGTTGCGGGAGGCGTGTGCAGCCTCAGCCTTCTGCGAGTGTGGTGGTTCGGCTACGGCTTGGGGAGAGCTGAGGCAGCGTGGGTGGGGGCTCGTGGGGGCCGGTCCCTGAGTCGGCTCGTGGATGGGAATCCGGGACATCGTGTACGGCATCAGCAGCTGTGGCGGGGCTGCTATTTCGAGGGCGAGCGGATATGTTGTGCTGGCCATCTGAACAGCAGGCGAAGCAGCGGGCGGGTGTCAATGCATCCACGCGCACCCAGCGCCAGCGGGGCGCAGTGGGCGAGGGGGGTGGATGGCGGACAGCCACCCGGAGTCGGTGTGACGACGCGTGACAGGTGTTTGGTCGCTAGTCACGGTGTTTGTCACCCGCATCGGGCCAACCATACAGTAGGGCGCCTAGCGGGAGGGCATGGCGCAGGTATATTACCCGACCCTCCATCCGGACCAACTCCGCCTAACCACCTCTCTCCCGTCGAGCCTCCCGACGCCCGCCCCTCTCTCCCTCCTACCAGGACTAGCTCTGCCTGCTGCTCGCCGCCCCCCTTCGCCTCACGACACACACGAACTCGCTGACAAACTGGCCTTCACATACGACCTTAATATGGCTACCGCCCAGCCCATCGCGTTCCATACGAATGCGAACGATGATGTTGTGATGGGCTCTGGCTCCCTGTCGAACCAGAATGGTTCATTCAATGCCGCATCGTACACCCGCCGCATTATCGGTTCACCTTCATTATCGTGGCGCGGAGGCTCCTACGGCAACATGTTCTTTACTGGGGCATCACCAGGACATCTCCTCGGCTCATTAGAGTGAGTACACAACCCCGTTGATATCCAACTGTCGAACTCACGTCGTGCGCACCTGAAGTCCCAATGACTTCAAATTCGGCAAGATGTCCTCGTCGATCGAAAGTGACAAAGGTTCAATAGTCAACGCTCTTAGCGCATTCGAGCGTCAGGATGAACTGGTGAGTACCATTCGCACGTTCCGCTGGGTCCACAAACTAACGTGTCTCAGTGCCGCGATTATACGTGCTGTGGACTCAATCTGACGGATCTGCATGCTCTCGTCGACCATTTCGAAGAGTGCCATGTCGTCGTCGTGGACCCCTATGCCCCCCAGCAGCCACTCCCTAGCGCCGCCACGCTGCCGCCACAGCAGCAGCAAAGTTCGTACTTCCCCGAACACAACGGCGTTTCGGTAGCGCCTGCGTACCAGGGATCATTCGATCCTGATGATATGGAGTTGGACATGGACCACCCGAGCGCTCCGTCATCGGGAGCTTCCTCTCCTCCCGACACGCCTGTCTCAACGCCGCTGTCCTCCTACCCATCTGGTGCATTCCCTCATTCGCACCCAGGCTCCCAATGTTCCTCGCCGCACCCAGCGCCCGTGTCCGCATTCGAGACTACCACCGTGCTGCCTTCCCGCTCCGGTCATTCGCCCCTCTCCGTCGGCTTCCCTCCTGCGACACGGCCCATGGGCGCCATCCAGGGACGTCCGGAGGAGGCGTTCAACGCCTACGCTGGGTACTCTGACTACTCCGCGCTAATGCCCGGCACCGTCGCATCGTCATCTCGCTCTGCGGCACCGAACGCCGACGGCTCGGCTGTTGCCGACCCTAACAACCCGTACGCGCCGCGCTCGACCTGTGTCCCCCCGGCGTTGCTGCATCACAGCGCTAGCAACACCCCTGAAGGCACGCCTGCCTCGTCGCGCGTTGCCTCGCCTGCGCTCCGCAACGTTGCTACGGCAACGGGGTCGACGGTGTCCGGTGCCACTGCATCCACATCCGGCTCGTCGTCAAATCCGAACAATACTCCGCGCGCAAGCACGACGCTCTCCCGTCCTGCGACGTCTCTGCTCCTCAGCAAGCCGTTCAAGTGCCCGAAGCCGAACTGTAACAAGAGCTACAAACAGGCGAATGGGCTCAAGTACCACATGACACACGGCTCTTGCAACTTCGCACCGCCGAAGGACCTCGAGCACATTCAGGCGCTCCTAGAGAGCAAGCGCAAGGACGGCAGCACCGAGCCCATGACTGATGCGGAGCTTCGCGAGGTCGAACGTGAGGCCGAGCGGAGATTAAGGCCATACGCATGCGGTGTTGGCGATTGTCAAAGGCGGTACAAGAACATGAACGGGCTTCGTAAGTCAAGTTTCTTTTACACAATTTGTTGCGGAATTAACGCTCGCGTGTAGGGTACCACTACCAGCACTCGGGCGATCATGGTGCGATCGGCCTTGCGATGCTCGCCAGTGGTCAGCACGAGTGTCTCCAGCACAGCAAGTCGAGGCACCACACGCCTTCGTCAAATTCTCACTCCACGCCCGCCTCGGCAGCTCCCTCGCAGACGTCTTCGCCGCTCTCGACACCTCAACTGTCGCGTGCACAGTCAGCCGCCACCACGAATTACGCCGCCCAGATGCCGCCATCATATCACAGCGTCTCTATGGCGCCTCCGCAGTACCAGCCCCTGCACGATCAGCAGTACTCGCAGGTCCCGGCGACGTACATGACCCCGATGTCGAGAAGTGGCGCTGTTTAGTCTTCTGAAGAGATTTTGGACCTCTCGGCGTGGTGTACGACTATCATCTCGGTTTCCCGGCTTCGCTTCCTCTTTCTCCTTTGCGTACTCCCCATAATCGACATTCGGTTGCGAGGGGCTACCTCGCGTGTATAGACGACCGTCGGATTCGGCCCCTGCCTGCGCGGCTCCACGACCTCTGCGGCTCTCCGACCCAAAAAGTACCTGGTCCTACACATAATGCTCCACGTCTCCTTGTCCATTGCACCAATTGCACCATGTTGTCAACGCAGTCTCCACCACTCCTCTCGCCAATATCGTTTCGTCATCAGCACCCAGTCATTGTGCACGGCCCAATTGCTCGCTGCTCGCTCCACCCATAGGTTTCCTCCCAGTCTCTCCCGCTGTTCCTCGACGCGAGCACATCCGGGCGACGTGCATCGCAGTCCCGATCAGCCTGTCTCATCGGTCTCGGTCTCGGTCCCAGGTTTCCCGTCTCATCCCTGCTGTTGTCTGTTTGAGGTATATTGTCCTCCCTGCGTAATGATAGTAGTGTACATACTTGTACGCCAATTCCCTCTACCTGTTCCGTTCCCTGTTCCCCTGTTACGCTGTACATGCATTATCCGTTCATTATCATCGATCCGTCGGAATATCGTGGTCGCCCCGCGCCTGCTCCCCGTCTCCGCCTATCGTCCCTCCCTGTTCCCAACTTCTCCACTGCTCGCCACGCGCCACGCAAAAGATGGCGTTCAGCCGTCAGCCGCTCTCTCGAGCGTCCGTCGCCTACCTTATTACTCACCTACCTATGTTCCTGGAGTTCTCTTTGTCATGTAGCCACCGCTTTCGCCTCCCGTTGGGGTGCAGTTACGCTTACGTACCTTATGAGAGAATCTGATATGTCTTCATAGTTCGACCAGTCGATCCATGTTCTCGTATGCATATGCCGTACGACATTGTTCTTGAGTCAATGAGATTCGCCGAAGAGGCCTGTTTCATGTCCATCGCCGCACCAAGCCAGAGATGGCTTCTTCCCCATGGCGTGAGCGTGACAGACGCTTCTGTTAAGTACTTACCCCGCGCGCCTCCTAAGAACGGCGGCCCAAGCGTGGACGTATCCCACACTGTCAGGGAGTGGCAGCTCGTGGGGTGCTATCCACGTTGGCGAGGAGACCGGACGAGTCGCCAAGCACATGGGCCACGGAGCAGGCGAAGCTTGAAGCTTCACGGAACGGCGCGCCGGGGAAGGATAGATTCGAAGATAGCATGGCAGAGCCGCGCGAGCCACGCTAGAACCTCGAATGCACCCAGCAGCGTACTGGGCCCGCGAGAGCTTCCGCGACTGCATGGGAACAGACGGAGTCCGAACACGCGCAGAAGCGTTGACGGAGGGAACGAGGGTCTCGCCGCTTGAGAGACAATGAAGTGCGGAGAGCTTCAACGAGGACGGGCCGAAGACGAGGCGCCATGGAGCACAATTCAGGATAGTTAATTGCCGGGGTGTCAGCGTATGGCCCAGAGTTGACGCGCACCCACCTGGGGGTCATAGCGCTTGTAAAATAGACGGCAATGCCGATGGCATCGGCAGCGACTGCAAGCCAAGTAGTTCCCTATACGAATGAGCAAGCGCTCGGAGGCGCGCTGTGACGAGACGCAGAAGACCCTAACTTACAGTCAATGGTGTTTGAGCTTGAATGACACGTTGGGGACGAGTGTCGCGAGATGTGTAGGTTGTGGACCAGAGTGCGATCCGCAGGGAGCAAGGCGGCCCAAGAGGTCAAACCCAGGAAGTCCAGTACGCTCACGGAGCAGTAAACGCGGCAAGACGAAGTAACAGGTTGTGCATGCCATGAGAGGGGGTTCCTTGTCTAGCGGCCACAATCTGAACGCGACGTACGAAACGTTGCGGAAGATGCCTTGCTTGGCATTGAGTTGACGCATGTTCACCAAGCCGTGCCGACCGATTCTAACGTAGAGGCACCAGCGCTCTCCAGGTGAGATTCTAAAGGCGATGGAGCACCAAGAACGGGGAGAAAGCATTGGGTAATGGAGCCGTGAGGTTGAGACTCACCGGACGATGTGACAATGCGCCAGGCTGTCTCAGACTGCCCTTCAGCCACAAACGCGTTGTGGGCTCGCAGATCCTGAACTACGGCCACCCATTCCTGCTTATTGACCACACAGATTATTCCACAGAGCAGCGAGATGAATAGATATCATGTTTCTTTGAGTGTCGAGAGGAGTGTCATGATGGTCGACAACATGGGGGAGAGACAAAGGATAATGCAGTAAAATTTCTCGGTGCACGTACTTACTTGACATGCTACTTGCCAGATCGGGCGTTCCGAGCATCGGTTCTCCTTCGGCTGTTCCCGGTGGCTAGATAATATGTAAGGACTGCTGTCAGCCTGTACTGACTCAATATCCACTCGACTACCTATCTGTATTTTGAACCCAGCCTTGTTCTTTTCATATGCTCCTCATATATCGCGGCTGTTATATCAATATAAATGTCATTCGTCGATTCCGAATGCGGACACATGTATTTCATCAGTGACCGTGACGTGCCCGCTAAACGTGAGGCAGCATATGATATGTAGATCGCGAGGCTACATTGGTGTGTGGATACCAATCCTAGGCTTCAATGTGCGGTTGTCCAGCATAAAGATCATCAGATCAGCCCCTAGGGCTGCCATCCGTCAGTCATTGATATTTCACTATCATTGCTGTGCTTGTACTTAACGAGGCCTCGTAGACGCAATCTCGAGTCTCTACCTCAGACACGGTGAATGGGCCGCATTTGAATATGACATCGTTCGTACATACCTGGTATATTCAGTGCGTCCAACGACCGTTTCTTCAGGACACCCCTATCTCGGGTATCACCAAGCATATTAGCTCGGACGATGCGTTGAGCGCTCGGAGCTAACTCGCTCCGAAGGCCCATCCACCGCATACCAGCGGTTCTAGCACGTCCTCCCACCGCTCCCTTCCTTGTTAAGGTAGCCATCCCGTCCTACCTCTTAGGGTACGTATCCGATTGGGATAGCCTGCGATAAAAATAGATAGGGCCTAGCCGAGGCGCGACAAGCGCGGCGGTAGCGCGTGCCCGGTGGCGTGTCACCGCCACCCGTCCGGCGCTATCGTGCCCCGCCCGCCCCGCCCGCGCGCCACTCCCGTGCTCGCTATCGCCGACGACGACGACGGCCCTCCCCCACTACTATACTGTCTCTGGCCCGATTTGTTTCGTTCTTTTTTCATTCTACACCTATTGTCTACCGCACCCACATCGTGGCCGTTCACAATAGAGCTCTGCCGACCAGTGTGCCCCAAAGCCTTGCGGGACTTGGCGCGCAATTTTGGCAGTAAGAGCACGTGTATTGTGGCCACGTCTGCTGCACGTGCTCTTCTGAATGACCGAGGTTCTCGGGCATGGTGACCTCAGCCACCCGCCACCCGCCACCCGCCACTCAGCGCCCGCCACCCGCCTACATCGCTGCCCGCCACCTGCCACTGTCCGTCTATCTCCCTCGACATCTTATGCAATCAATGGGTAAATTGAGGTGATCTGTATGCTGAAGTCAAAGTATCACACAATGAGTCGAATACCATGACAAATCGATTTTACGTGATACAGAACAGACGGTGTATGATGACAAAAGTGATATGACACAGCAAATACCGACAATATTGTGGCCAACGCGCACGCCAGTGAGCTCACTCGACCCAGTCGTGGCTGACGTTCAGGGGCCCGCTGGTGAGCCGTCACCGCGAGGAGGCTCCTCCGTGGCTGGTGACGACGTGGCCGGCGACGACGTGGCTGGCGACGACGTTTTCGCCTGCTTCTTCGTACGCTTGCGCGGCTGCGTCTCCTTCTTGCGAGGCTTCCGCTGTGTCGTCTCGAAGGCCACAGGTCGGCCGTTTTCATCAACCACGCAGCCGTGGTTGATGAAGCCCGCTTGGGGTTTTGGCCCCGATGTCTTCTGTTTCTTCGCCTTCGCCGATGTTTTGCTTCCGTCTGCGGCACAAGCACGCTTCTTCGGTGGCGTCGCGAGGTCCCCACCTGCACTGGCAGGAAGTGTGGCATTGGACGGTATAGTGGCATGAGCGGCAGGTGATGTAACAGCCGTGGGGATGGGGACAGCGACGATGGGGCCGGAGGGAGTGGCGGCGGCGGCGGGATCGGTGGCAGCGGCGGGATCGGTGGCAGCGGCAGTGACAGGGCCGGAGGCGGCAACGACGGTGGCAGGATCAGAGGCGGCAGTGGCGAGAGCAGAGGTGACGGTGGGAGCAGGACTCGAGGAGGATGGCGCTGCGCTGTGGGCAGACGTCGCATGATCGTCCGTGGTGGGACTACTCGACCCAGCGGCCGACCCAGCGGGCGTGGTGGCGGGCATGGTGGCGGGCGTAGCGGCGTCGTCCTCAGGCTCAGCGGTAGTTTCGTTAGCTCCCTTCTCGTTCGCGGCATACGCGCTGGCAAGGGCCGCCGCATTGTATTCCTTCTTCCATTGCTTATGCTCCTCTTCGTTGAGGTGGTACCAGTACGTCGTACCGGTTTCCCAGGCCGTCGTGACCAGCTCGACCTCGGCGAGGGAGCTTAAGTGGCTCGGTGCACAGAACTTGACACCGGGAGGATAGTTCTTCACGATCATACCGTGCGGCTTCGTCATGTTTTCTGCAAAGTTCATGTACTTGACCTGCGGGATGGGCTTCGGCGAAACACTGTCTAAGGGATATGGTTAGTTGTACTGAATTGACGACAGATCAATCACGTACTTAGGAGGCGCTTAACAAGCACCGTGAGGTTGGCTTTCGCAGCCAATGTACACTGCGAGTGGTTTAGAACCACTCCTACATATTGAGTTCAGCACCATCACTAAGATTAAGTGCGAGTGACGTACCTGAGACTCCTGACGTCAAGTATGCAGCCCCTCGTATTGCAAAGTCCTCCGGCGACATCTTGAACACAGCTTGCATAAAGTCGGCGATGCCCTGAGTGCTCCAATATACGTAAGGCTTGAGCCAAGAATCAGGGTCGGAGGGGAATGCGACAAAGAAGGTCTGGATGCGCGTTCGGTCGCGCAATTTGTCACACTGCAGTGTACGTGTGAGCATGAATAGATTGCGTGCAAGAACTCACATACCTCGTGCTCCAACATCGGAATCGTTTGGCGTGCATCGTGAAACGCGGCCACGTTCGTGCTGTGTGTCCCAAAGCACTTCCGCTCGCGCATCTCCTCGAGTTCCTCCATCGCGTCCTTCGTCGCGGCCGTCTTCTCCTCCGGCGTCATCGCGTGCCACTTCTCCCGCAGCTCCTTGACAGTATCAGGGGAGGTGTATTTTTCAGTCCCTTCAGGGAGCTCTACGTGGCTCATCAGTACGGAGAAGGGATACATGTGGCGACAACATACCACTGTTCATGCGTGTGACCTCGCCATGAAGAAAGGCATTCCAGCGGTTGAGGGCTCGAGTGTCGAGCTGCTTTGTGGGCCTCTGCAGGATCATGCTGAGGTAATGTTCGGCGTCGTGCTTCTCGAACTGTCGTGCCATGGCTTCTGCGTGCTCCCACATTGCCTCGTGGGCTGCGGCCAACGCGTCATCGATGGTTCTTCGACGTTCCGCACGCGCACGCTTCAGCTCCTGCTTCTCAGAAGCCAGTAGCTTCCTCGACGCACGCTTCTTCTTGCTTGGTTTCCGGCAGATGTCTCCAGAGCGTTTGCGCCTGACCTTTGCAAGGCGTTCGAGAAGTAGGCGTTCTTGCACGGAGACCATGTGGCACTGAGGGTTAGAAGATTTTCGTTGTGGGCAGCTGACAGGGTTTCGAAGCTACAGAAGTAATGAGGAGAAGGACGGACACTGACCGCTGAGCCTTGAGGGGACAAACCATTGCCATTCAACATCCCACGTTCTTTCACGTGCAGTGTCACGTGTGTCTATATCATCATCACAGTAAGAGCCAACCGATGGCTCGAAATAAACAAGTACACCGTAGAACAGACGCGACGACACAGAAGAATCACAGGGGAACCATGATGAGATCGTACAGGTACTCCATCTCAGCACCCGGGGCTCCCTGTAACATGAGCTGCTTGACGAAGTCCTTCTTCGTCTGGGTGCTGTGATAGACGTGAACAAACACGCTTCGTGCGGCGTCATCCCAACCGTGTCGCCAGACGTACTCATCGGCAGTCGTGCCAAGAGTAGGTACAACAACATTCACGGGAACAGGCAGGGCGTGAGGGAGAGTGCGCACAACGATGAAGTCACCGGCCGGTCGAGCACGATGAATGTGTGCCGTCTGACCAGACATCCTCGACGGCGTCGCGTATGATGGAAGCTGTGCAGGTGGCGAAGGTGTAGAAAGGAAGGCTGCAGGTGCGGGATACTGATACGTATTTGTCGAGCGCGTGGGACTGGGTCTGTGTGCGGCATGGATAGCATGAGAGCGGGACCGGACCGGTGTAGAGGGAGGCAACCCTGGTCGATTGCCGCCTAGCGTCACGTCTGCACGAATAGTGAGGGGCCGCTATATATGAATGCAAAGCCGCAACTCACTTGCGAACTGAGAGGTCAAGTCCGAGTCGACTGTTCACCCGACGATGAGCCGGGGTAGTATCACACTTCGGAGAAGACTCACTGGGGTTAGACGTCTTGCTATTCAACACTTCTAGCACAATCGGCGGGAGCCCTCGGCGAGCATGGGAGGAATCACCGCCCTTGTACATGTACCAGATGATCGCGTCTGCTAGCGAGTTGAAACCGCGAAACTTCGAGTCTCCGCCGCCAACTCTCCGTGCTTCCTTGTTCTTCACATTGGGCTCCACATAGGCCCTTGGTGAAGAGGTGTTTCACTTGCAGGGTCATAAGGGCGAACGGAAACTCACCAGTGCGTATAAACACCGCATCTATCACCCTGCATCAGGAAACCGTGCAATCTCTGACGGTATGTGTGTCTGAAAGCCAGCCGTCAGAGCATCTCAGAGCATCAGGACACTCCAGATATAGCACCTTGTCAGATCATTTCAGTTGGTGTCAGAGTGTCAGATTGCACAGTATATTAGACAGCAATTACCCCCAAATCGGCACGATGCCTCACCAAATAAGACCAAAAGTTCAATATATTCAAAGACTAGTACTACGATCGTTACATTACACGTCTACAGTGCATGAACGGGACGTGTTTGTACGTGGTCTCGTCGGATTCACGCACCTCATTCTGAGCATCCTCCACATCCATACCTGCATCATCCCGTCCCTCCCCGCATGCACTCTCGATGCACGCCCATACATTCAGAGCCACGCGTGCTAGTTATCCACTGCCCTGGCCATCCCAAGTTATGGGCATGCCGCAGAGCCTGAGGAGGCGGTCAGCGAACACATTTTGCGCGTGCTGGTCCACGTCTAGGCGGAAATCACGTAGTACAGAACATTTTATGAAGGTCGCGCTTGCGCACGCCGAGGACTGCGGAGCGGCGGCGGCAGAGCTCTGCCTCGCCCAGGTGGTCATGCCGGCAGAGGCTGAGCGCTGAGGCGCTGCGGCAGGGCAGGTAGGAGCGTGCGCGGCAAAGGAAGGTACCTTGTGCATAAGCCGGCCGTTCCTGTGCTGCACGGGGAGCGCGGGGAGCTGTACCAGTGCGAGTGCGTATATCGTCGGGATGCCCAGTGCCCCTAGGTTCTGCCTTAAGCAGCTTGTACAACACCTTGCCGCAGCTTGTAGGATCCAAGAGCGCACCCGGTAGATGGATGTGGACCTCAGACATGCGCGAGCACGGCCGTTCGGAATGTTGAAGGCGCGCGGGAGGCAGGGAGGGTGCTGTGGTCGTAGGCACTAGCAAGGATCGGCGAGTACGACAGCACGTCCGAGTCGGTGTACTTCGCGTCGCTCTGTACGCTGTGTGAGGGGTGTCGTCGCCATCACCGGGGCATTGCTAGAGTGTCGCGTGTCAGCGAACGAGGCCCGCCGTAGACCAAGCTTAAGGACGTGGAACTCACATAAGACGTCACATATCCCAACGTCAGGTTCGCATCATCAGCCCTCGACCTGATCCTTCGCGCGCTCATCTCCTCCAGCCACGCATTGTACCGCATACTCACGTCGCCCCTCGCGTCGCGCTCTAACAGGTCGAGCGACCGGCGGTCGTTCTCGCCGTCCTTGTTGAGCCCCAGAAGGACCTGCTCCGCGACGGACATGGTGATGTTCGGGACGTAGAGGAAGGCGTCTGCGAGGGGGAGTGCGGTGAGCTGGTGTTTCTCATTGAACGTGCCCGCGAAGATGTCGTAGCGCAGCTCGCCAGAGTTAGTGAGGATGATGTTGGGGATGCTCACGCGCATGTTGTAAATGCTGAGTGCGTACGGGAGCGCCTGCGCCGGCGTCAGTATTCGGTGGACGGGAAGAACGACAGCTACCTCGGATACAAGTAGAGACAGGACAGAACCGTTCGACGGGTAGCGGTCACTGCGATATAAAATATCAGCTGAGACATCCCATGAAAGTCGAATGGCGGCCGGCAGAGCTCTACCTCATCAGAGCGTCGTGCCGGCGGAGGTCCGAGGTGCTGCAGGGTCGGCCGCGGGGGCAGGTAAGCTGGTGGGCAGGTGGGTGGCCAGACGACGAGTGGCTGCGCGAGTGAACGAACCTGCAAAGGGGTAACCAAGCAACTATCGAGTGCTCGCACTTACCTGCTAGTGTACTGTCCCTGCTCTGCCCCGAATCCTCCGTCTCTGTCACCCTTGCATCCCCGTCGTGTCTGGCACACGTTGCTGCTTGGAGTGTCGCCGTCGGGCTTGAGCGTCGATGGGGAGGCTGTTGTGAGTCACGAAGCGGAGGCGCAGTTGAAGCGCTAAGCGCCTCAGCCACGACACGCCACTGACGCGCGCTTGCCACCCTCCTCTCGCCGCACTCCACCACACGTCCACACTCGACCTCAGCACCCTCATCGCTGTCTCACCTCCGCTTCCCCTGTTCTTCCTGCTGCCTACCCCGATGCAAGACACGTCGGCACGTGGATCGACCTGCCACGCACCCACGACTCGGATCGCGTGGCCTGGCAGCCGCAAAGAGCTCCAGCAACGCGGCACCGAGAGCATTGCCAGAGATCCGTGGAGAATGCGTGGCCAGCGAGCCAACAACCTTAGTGAGTGTACCTTGCTTGTCCACTTGACCCGCAGACTAACCAAACAAAAATATCATCCAGGACAACCTGGCGAAGACTAACGTGAGGGAGACGGACCCGATGCGTGTGTATACGAGAAGACATGAGTGCGGTGAAGACGAGTGACACAGACTTGTAAACACAAGCCCGGTAAGCATGCACCGGAACGCCTGAATCGACCCGCCACGCGCCCCACAATCGCGTGGCCCAGCAGCCGCAACAGGCTCCAGCGACGCGCGAAGAACACTGACGGGGGCGACGGATTGTCACGAAGGAAGAGGAAGATGTTGTGGCTAGAAGGCAGAGTGTTCAGGTGAGTATGCTCCTTGTCATCTCGCGACCTTGCCTGACAAGCGCAGTCAGGTCGTAGCGATGATCGTAACGAAGGCGTGGACGCGAATCCCACACGACCGGGCACGCAGATGAGATCGGTAGACGCTATCCCCCAGCAGTGCTTTCAGTTTGCAGAGTACCGCCATCCGGACCAGCTAGTCGCACTGACGCCCGTGCCGTCGTCGTACACCGCGACGGGCAGCACGCCGACCGGCCACATCAACAGCTTCTCGTCCTCGCCTGTTTCGTGGGGTGCAGACCAGAGCCCAGGCGAGCACACAACACAGACGCAGAGCACGACGTGCAAGCGGGGGAGTGCGACGAAGCCGGCGAGCCAGAGGACGCGTGAGCACAACGGACACGCCGAGCAACTTTGCTGGAGCATTAGTATGTATGGTGGGTGACTGTAATGCCCGTTGAACCGTCTATAGTAATGGAAATATATTCTTGTTAAACATATGACAACATCTGAAGTAACTGAGAGTCTGATGCATTCTGACCGCTCTGGACCACTCTGAAGTTCTCTGACACTCTCTGATGCTGTCTGAAAATTCTGTCTGACAACAACAATTCACAAAAAGTCGACACCTTGAGGGCTGGCCATATGAGCCGTTCTGATACGATCTGAAGTGTTCTGAGCACTTATGAAGCCCCTGACAGGGCCGTCAGAGGAATTGCACGAAATCCTGATGTGTACGACCGCGTACGCCTCCCACTTCCCCTGGTCAAGAGTATGAACAGCATCCTGCTCCTCACAGATTTCCCTAGCCTCGTCGTTCGTCTTTAGATTGAGCGCGATACCGGCGACGATGTCGGGCTCTGGATTGAGTGCCTCCTCCGCGAGATCAAAGAACGGCTGTAGCCTCTCCAGTCTTGCTGTTTCTTCCTCAGTCTCGCAGGTAATGATGACCGGTAGAGGTAGTTTGTAGTCCCCGCGGGCGATTCCAGGGCTGTACGCAATGCTGTGGACACAGGAAGAGGTAGAGCAGGGCGCAATGACGACTTACTGGACGTCGTGCACGCCCCTGTATCGTCTTTCGCCCCCGAGAACCACATATTGACCAGGCCCACGAGGGTCCGACACCATGTTGACCAATAGAGTGATTTCGAGAGAAACAGAGGGAGGTGGATGTTGAGCAACGCAGTGGTCAAGCACAAGGTGTGCGATCGATGAGACGACGCGCCGCGCTTACTTGTGGCTTAACCTAGGTTAACCTAGGTTAAGCGTTAACCTCTGTGTACGTCGACTCTCGAGTCTCAATGTTGTCAATGGTTGACACCACTTGTGACAACGAGAGCCTTGCACGCATTGATAGTCGTGAGCCCGACTATGCGTCTCGACAATCCTTGTGTATACGTTGCTCATGGTACACTGTGCAGCCTCTTTGATTCGTTTTCTTGTTCAGCCTGCTCTCAGTTGTGTGCTACATTGCTCGTTCAGCGGAAATTCGTGAAGCAAAGATATAGATTCGTGAGATTCGTGATGACTATGTTACAGTGTTACAGACTGCGCGTTCAAGTAGACGATATGTAATCAACGAGGCCCCCAATGTCTCCCTCCGCGTCATCCGGCTCTGTCTCAGCGAGATCATCGTCTTCGTCCGGCTCCGCGACGACAGGCAGAGATGCTGTCGGAGGTTGCGACGGCGCACTGTCTGCCTCACTGCCCTTGCGTCGGCCACACTTGAGCTTGCCATCGAATGCCGACAGCGCCTCGATCTGCCTCAGTCGGACCAGATGATGAGCGTTTGCGGTAGTGCGCCGCCCGATGTAGTCGAGCACAGGTCCGAGCACGGGCGAATTCTCCTTCGTAAGTGTCTCAAGAACCCGCGTGAACCTCGCATTCTCGTCGGCAATCGATGAGTACAAGCGGCGAGCTTCAACGCACGACCGTACCACTTGCTCGCGCGCACGCTCGATACGGCGGCTGCGCCGGATGATTTCTCGGCCAGTACTGGTTGCCCACGGCTTCTTCCGCACATCTTCACGAGTATCGTGGAGAAGCGAGAACTCCTCGAGGAAGCTGTAATGAGACACTCTCTCCCAGTCCACAGTTGGACGTGGAGGGTCCAGGGCGGCGGCGGCAGCGTTGTATGTCTTGACGGCATTTCGTATGGCCTTGCATCGTCTCTGAAGTGCCTTCGCGACGTGTGTCCGGACCTTGTACGCTGGGCAAAACAGCTTTGAGTAGGTCGTCACGTGGAGTACTGTATGAGCACTTACCTGTGTGTTGGAGGTTGAGCTTATGCAGCTCAAAGAGACGTTGTACGACCAGGCCTTGTAACTTGTCAAGGGCCCGGTGGTACTTCCTCTGCGAAACATATCGTACAGTGCTCATATACTCCGGATCCGACGCCTGCCATCGTTTTGCGATGCCCATCTGCACCTCCAGAACCGCGACCTCGTGTTCTGCAGACTGGAGGTGCTCCCGCCGGATCCTCTTCTCCGTCTCGAGGCGCCGCGTGCGTGAAGCCTCCTTGTTGTAGTCGAGGATCGGGCTGTCACTGGGAGGAAGGAACTGATACCCGTCGGGGACCGACGCGAGGAACTCGCCGTTAGAATTGTTGAAGTTCTCCTGGGCGACCTGTAACGCCTGGAGGGCTTCGACGTACGCCATCGCGTGGACGTCCCACGGCAGCTCCTTACCGAGGGTCTCGAAGTACTCACGCTCTTCCTTGTACCAGTGATGGACCGTGGCGAGGTTGACGTGGTTTAAAGCCATCATCTCCGCTAGCGGGAGAGCCTCGGTGGTGATGATGTCGTTCGCCTGGACCAGCCGGTCATAGATGTGTTGGCTCAAGTTCGCGTATTTGTCGTCGTCCCACTGCTGGAAGAATTGTTTGATAAAGAGCCGACGACGGTAAGGGGTCGCGTAACGTGTGATCGACGCCAGGTGGTTCGACGCGCTGAAGATACGCTCCAGTGTCTCCATGTCCTCCAGGCCCATTCCATCGATAACGTTCGGGTGATGCGTGCACTGGCACGCGATGTTGTGCGTATAGCCATGGAAGGCGTTCACGCACGATCGACAGTGTCGACGTTTGAATTCAGCCCCGAGCCGGCTTCGACGAATGGTCTCCCCATATGAGCAGCCGATGTCGTAGGCTTCAAGGTGGGCGCCTTCGAAAACCTCGAGCGCCTTGGCCGTCATAGACAATGGATACTTGGCCCTGCCAAGCCAATTAACCGATCAGTAGATCTCGTGAGAACGAGGCGTAGAACTTACAACTCCCCGCTCTTGACCATGTCGGCGAGCCAAAGGATGAGGCCATGGGGACAGGCACTTGCAAAGATCCCGCTCTCGTCGAAGATACCCCACATCTTCTTCTTGGCCTCACCGGCCGCAGCCTTCCAGTTGCGCGTGCACGAAGCAAGTGGCGAGTCGTCAGGCACGGCATCGGCTGGATCGCCATCATCGGGATCGGCCCCGATCTGTGGGCGGCTACCGGGGGTACCCTCGTCGTCCTCGGAGTCGTTGGCATCAGCAGGTTGGCCTCGGGACTTCACCTCGTGCGCAAAGCTATCAACATACTCTTGAGAGAAGAAGTAGTCACTGTCGTCCAGGACGCGCATGTCCCCGCGCTTGTGTTTCTCCGTGGGGGCCATGCGTTTGAGTGAGTTGTTGCCGTCAAGACAAAACATCCTTGACCAGCGAAGCGATGGCTCGTCCTCGAGTTCGAAGGCGCAGGCGGGGCAGGCGTTCAACACCCGCCAGTTGGGACTGTCCTCAGCGAGCGCTGTACGCACTCGGCTTCGCACAGCTCGAAGAATGCCGAGGTAGATGTCGAAGGCGTCGGCAACAGCGAGCCGGAACCGACGACGATAGGTGATCTGCAGACAAGTGAGCAAGAGAAAGGGGAACACGACAAAGTACTCACGTTGTAGTAATAGCAGAGCAGTTTTGTGAAGGCCTCCACGCTGTAAGAAGCACTGAATAGTCGGATACGTCGCAGGTGTTCTAACGTTTCGAGGGCAATCGCCAGGGAGGGCTTCAGAGGCGATGTTCCGAGGTAACCGTGTAGTACGAGCGCCTTGGCACCGGAGGTCATCTCTGCCGGGCAACGTATGCGGACGCTTTGCTGAAGAGTTTGAATATTGAATACATCGATGGTGAAGTCGTACTCGCCCACGCGCGTTTCCTGGTCAACTTCCGGCGTATCCGGCGAGGACTGCGCGTGAACGGAGACGGCCGGTGGAGCCGACGGCGTCGCAGACTCGCCCAAGTTGATTTCCGGAGGTGATGACGGAGCAGAGGCGAGAGGACGGTGGGTTGACGTACCAGAGGTCACAGCAGATGGCGATGATGCCCGAGGTGAAGGTGATGACGTGGCGTGTGGTGCAGCGGGGCTGTTCTGGGATGCTGGGTGATTGGAATGAGGACGACTGGTTGAGCGCGAAGCATTCGTATCAGATGTGGACGTGGAGGCGGTGTACTCGGACGGTGGGTACCGCCATTCGAGATATGCATCGACGAGCTCTGGCATGAGACTACGCCATTGATGATCTGAGCGTTCGAGTCGTTGTCGCCACGTCTGACTGTGCTTCGAGGCGGGCTTCCGAGATCTGTAGGGCTAGGTGTTCATCAACGTGGATGCAGAAGGAAAGCAAACTTACGTGGCATCAAGTATGTCCCGCAGAGCATGAGCAAACGTCCCCTCGTCATCCAATTCATCAACCCACTCTTGATCATCCCCTCCCAGTACCGGATCAACATCCATCATATCAATTGAATCGTCCGTGGACTTCGAGCCCTGCATTTCGTCGAGAACCCTCCTTGACTGTGTGGTGAGACCTGTGTGAACAAGTATGAGTAATGTAAGGTGTAGCTAGAGTGAAGACTCACCAGAGCGCAGGATGGCCTGCTTCTGAGCTGCAACAAACTTGTCGTGCTCGAGCTGCTTGACCCCCTTGTACAACCGCACACGGCGGCTACGACCGACAGGGGCGCTGGTCACGACACGCGCTTTGACCATTGTCGTCCGGACGAACCTGGAGCAACCCCGACGAGAACACGAGCCCCCACAGCAGAGGAAAGCGTGCGAGACGGAGCAGAGGCTCAAGGTGGCCACTACAGCGAGAGCGATGCCCGTGTGAAGTTGAATTCAACAGGTGCACGTGCTGGTGATTGAACGGGGTGGCGGGTGGCGGGTGGCTGAGGTCACCATGCCCGAGAACCTCGGTCATTCAGAAGAGCACGTGCAGCAGACGTGGCCACAATACACGTGCTCTTACTGCCAAAATTGCGCGCCAAGTCCCGCAAGGCTTTGGGGCACACTGGTCGGCAGAGCTCTATTGTGAACGGCCACGATGTGGGTGCGGTAGACAATAGGTGTAGAATGAAAAAAGAACGAAACAAATCGGGCCAGAGACAGTATAGTAGTGGGGGAGGGCCGTCGTCGTCGTCGGCGATAGCGAGCACGGGAGTGGCGCGCGGGCGGGGCGGGCGGGGCACGATAGCGCCGGACGGGTGGCGGTGACACGCCACCGGGCACGCGCTACCGCCGCGCTTGTCGCGCCTCGGCTAGGCCCTATCTATTTTTATCGCAGGCTATCCCAATCGGATACGTACCCTAAGAGGTAGGACGGGATGGCTACCTTAACAAGGAAGGGAGCGGTGGGAGGACGTGCTAGAACCGCTGGTATGCGGTGGATGGGCCTTCGGAGCGAGTTAGCTCCGAGCGCTCAACGCATCGTCCGAGCTAATATGCTTGGTGATACCCGAGATAGGGGTGCTTCAGGATCCGAGGGCTCTACTGCTGTGCTCACTGCTCGCCTCGATGTCGCTCTGGATTGACCCTGTAATATCGTGCTCGGCTATCACGCAGTGATCAAACCTGAGAGTACCGCAGTCTAGATCTGCCGCCGTGCTTTGCGGAGGGCTTGTCGCCAGTCGTAAATTGAGCTGGCATCGACATGTGAGGACACATGCAAGTCTGTAAGGAGCATGAGTCAGTCAGTACTCGTAGCTAGCATTCAAGAACTCACAGAGTAAAAAAGCAAGTGGTGATCCAGTCGACATCCTGAGGGTGAGTTACAGAAACGCATGAATACCGTAATGACCGTTTCGATGCTGGTGGACTTACGGCGGTCAGCCACAGAATAACATCGAGGATATTGACGATGAGAAGGAATCTATCAGGGTGGGTAGGCTTCTCAGTAGACCCATGGGTCAGCTCATGGCAAATAACCGTACATGAAGAGACAGGTTCCTAAGGGGAGTTAGCAATTCCTCCGCATAGTGAGTTCGCAGCCTCCCTCACCGTCTGTCAGGAGTGGTCGTATCAACCAGGCTCCATGTCGTATTCTCTGCGCCACCCTCCACGCTTACCAGCATTTGATCCACAGAACAGATAAAACGAAGACATCAAAGGCTATTGTGCACGAGCGAGTAGCTATCAGCACTGGTCAAGATCAGCTGAACATTGCGATGGGATCAAAAAGTAGAGTACATCTGTGTAGGTCGTGATCAGTGCCAGCTCGACGTAATAATCCTGACCGTAAGCACCATAGCTCTCCGGTGGGGAGCGGTGATTTTGCGACGGTATAATCGGCCATCACTGTGTCAAACTGAATGTTTGTGACGGTGGCTGTTTTACCAACAGCATCTCTTGGAGGTACGCGGCACGGACTCACGAGATTGGTGCCTACAGACACTAAGCCTGCAATGATGGCAAAGAGAGTGGCATACCAGTTGCGTTTGGAGACGGCATACACACGAAGTGTGCCGTATGCTGCGAAGATGACCGAACCAAGGTCATTCAAAAGGATCCTTTCGGAAGAAGTAGGGCAAACCTCACCGACAGGCATCACCAGAAGCAACAGAGAGACAATGTTCCATAGCGTATTGACACCATAACAGCTGACGGAGAGCCACCGTCAGCGATCTCTACGTGCATCGGGCTGCCAGTGTAAGGTGACGTACGCCTGCATGAAGATCGAGTGAGACGAGATTTGCACTATGGTCAACTTAGGGGACATACCGACGTGTCTCCTGGATTCAGCAGATTTATGATCATGAAGAGGACTGGCGGATAGCGACACAGGAAGTAGAGTATCCAAGACTTGGTGAAGCTCGACTGCCGAGCGAGTGCAACCTCACTCGGCGAGCTAGCAAAGTACTCATAGGCGACTACGGCTGTAGACTGCGTAAGCATTTAGTTCCTAAGCGTTTTGGTTACCTACATGTCACAGCCGCCACACAGTAGTTCGAAATCTGTCTGGTGCAGATCAGATTGTGTGTCGACGGGCTCGTGCGTCAGAGCGTAATCACACGTAAGACACGAGCTGAACGAGCTCTTCCTCGCTAAGATCCATTGCTGACTGCAGGTAGGTTGAGAAGAGCGAAAACCACGGCCCGGGAGAGGTACGATGAACAGCGGTGTGGGCACCCTCGGAGAGGCATACTTAAACCATCTGCGGCACCGCCCCGTTCCAACGAATCGACACCACTGACCGGTACCCATCAAGCAGGATGCTGGCTGATACTATCCTGATCGGTGCGGACGTGTGCTCCTGATGGAATCGTGAAGACGCCAACTGGAACAAACTGGGATTGCGCAGCGTCGACTAACCCTTGTGTCGCGAAATGTCATAGGATAAGAGCATTATGGTTCAGTAGCAATCACACTCCCGCAATGTGGCCACTGTAGAAGCGCACTGGCATGCTAGCCGCATAGGGGATACTCCAGTTACGCTACTGCAACCTGAGCTATAGTCCCGTAGGCATCACGCAGTTGCGATTCTTCCGAACGGAAATGATTTGCTGTGCTGTTAAGGGAGCCTCATTGAACAGCGCCGGCAAGCGCAGAGCACGATGGCCACATACCGGTCAAGAAGCCTGGGTCAAACAGAACATCCGAGAAGAAAAAATGACTGCATCCGTGCAACACATTAACGGACAAAGAGTCGCTTCGAACGCACCGGACGCGCTGCGCCAACCCGGCCGGTCTCCTTCTGATACATGCGGTACGCTTCGCGCAGATGGTCAGGAGACAGTGGGCCAGTCTCTCCACGTCGCTCCTGAACGATGCGTGCTGGGGAAAACCATATCTCAGAGGGTAACCGCTCAAGGATGGAGGCAGACGTACCTTTCTCGACCACTTCTCCGACAAACACCTTCGCGAAACCTGCCACAACTTGAGCGACAGGCATGGACGCTTGTTGACCGAGCGTCTGCTGAATGACCTGGTGGACAGATGAGAATGGCACCGTCAACCGTCCAGATAAGTACTTACCTTGCGGACTGCCTGTTTGGGGAGCGCATGACGGCGGTACGCCTCGAAACGGTCGTACTGCTCTGGACTGAAGTTGTCCATCAAAACTCTGAGGGAAATTCTATGAGCAACAAGCGCATGTGCGAGAAAGGCGGCACACACTTCAGGTTGTCTTTCGACTGACTCTGGAAGGATAACTGCGCAGAATAGTCATCGTCCGCCATCGCGGGTAGCATCTCATGGTCGTCTTCGCCTTCTCCATCTTCCTCCCCAGGCGCCGCAGCTCCAGAAGGCCTCGGTGCAGTCGCATCCCCAGAGGGTGCCACTGCAGCCTCCGTTCCAGGGAGACTAAGTGTGACACCCGACTCGGACGCTTGCTGACCGGGTGGCGACTGCTGTTGGCCCGCCACTGAAGTGCCCCCATTGCTCGAGCTCGCATAAGCAGTTGCGGGCACGTTGTTCCATTGCAACTCTGTGCCCTGGCCCGACCCCAGTAGCGGCGACTGAGTGGGTGGTCGAGGAGAGTTGGTGCCTGAGGCAGACCCAGCGGCTTTGGGTTTGCGGCCGCGTTTTGCACCGCCTGCCGGCTTTGTTCCTGGCGTAGAGCTGCGAGGCTGAGAAGCTGCGCCTGGGTTTGTCTGTATGAAGGGCCGCTCTGGGGTAGGGTAGGCGGTGAATGGGGAAGTCATGTTGTCGTGGTCTGCTACTACGTTCGCTGCAGTGGCTGGAGGTACGCGGAGGGCGTCCTCAGATAGCGATCCAAGCTCACGCGCGCTTGTGCCAGCTGGCCGCCGGCCAACAGCCTGAGACTCACCGCCTCGTCTGCCCGATCGCCTTATTTCGTCGTTTTGCATGCGTGCTGGTAACCAGGTTGCTCGACTTCATATTTCTCCTGGACAACACTTCAGACCAACGCTAGATTGGTCTTTGACGCCATGAACATGTACAATCGCTCTCCATCGCCCGTCTTCTCCAACTCGGATCGGTTCTCAGACTCCTCTTCGGAGGATGGATTCCTTGCAAACGGCGAAGGAGAAATGGGATACGGCGCATCGCGGCCAGGCTCGCCAGGAGCAGCGCCCGAAGGCCTACCCCAGGAGGAGAACATGGAGGTAGACACCATGACATGTCGCTGGGAGGAGTGTGGAAAGGTTTTCTCTCATCTGCCGACGATGATTGAGCATATACATAACGGTGTGTATACATGGACTATGAGCGTGCGCTTGCTTATAAGATGGCAGACCACATCGGCGTACACAAGTCGAACTACACCTGCGAGTGGGCTACATGTCCGCGTCGCGGGATCCCGCAGACATCACGGTTCGCTCTCATCTCACACATCCGGTCGCATACAGGCGAGAAACCGTTTGTGTGCCACTTGCCAGGTACGATCTCTCCCGTACCTTGCCGTCCGTCTCGTCTGACCACGTCTAGAATGCGACAAGTCCTTCACGCGTTCTGATGCGCTCGCTAAGCACATGCGTATCCAACACAACATTTCCCCACCACTCCCAGGCCGCGGTGGAAGTCGAAAGCGGAAACGAGAGGAGCCAGAGCCTTCCGCGCCCCAACCCGATCCCACCGCCTACGGCTATAGTACCTTCAAACTAGAGACAAACGGCCATCCCGACGACCTTGATGACGTCCGTATGTCCCCTGCCGATTACCAGAACGGTGCGTACGCGAGCGGGAGTGCGGGACCGCGGCCAGCCTCGCCAGAGTACGACGAGCACGACGAAGGGGAGGACGAGATTCCGCAATATTTGATGATGCAAGCGGATCCGCAGACGGGGCTTATCATGGGTCGCTCGCCGGCAATGGTCAAGTACCTGATCATGAAGGCGAAGCAGCAGTACGCCTTGGAACAACATGAAGCACTCGTCGAAGAGCTTCGGATACTCAGAAAGGAGGAGAGGCTGTGGAAGGAGCGAAAGGATGCCCTGATGGACGAGCTATTGCATGTTTACTTCGGGTCAGTACAATACTGCGGTCTGACGAGGGCATTCTTACATAGTCCATACATGCAGGGACCAAGCCCGGAAGCTCACTGCACCTATTGTGATGGCAGATCGCCGCCATCGTTCACGACATGGTCATCGCGAAGGCGAGGCAATGTCGTGAGGCCATGGACAGTCTGGTACGTTATTGTAGCGCGGACTTTGTACTATAGTTCGCATACTCTTGGTCCTAGCAGTATGCTATGCTCATGTTGTTACAAGGCTCAAGAGTTCGAGTACAAAGCTTGTACTCGAACTCTGGAACCTTGTAACATAAGCTTATCAGTGCAATCGCTAACCGAGAGCGGTGCAGGTCATAACAAGGCCGTCCATTGTTCCCAAAGGGGAACAATAGATCGAATGCTGCACGTGAGTCACTGAGTGTGGCTCGCCATGCGGCTCGCCACTCCGCCACAGCTTAGGCCTTCGAATATTTAAGTGAGCGGCCCGGGCGCTTCCTCTCCTCTTTATACTTACCATCCCCCACGTCGCATTGAAGTACCTCATATCTCATTGACTCACACTGCAATGCCTAAAGTGACTAGTGAACGTCGCTCTGCTGCTCCTTCTCCTGTCAGCCTGCGCCCTAGGTCCCGCACGCTGCCCCGGACGCCGAAGGTGGCGCCACAAATGGGACCCATTCCCGAGATTCCCCCCTCTGTAGTCAACTCGAGCCAGCGGCCACTTGCTCTGTCTCGGTCTCCCCCTGCCTCCCGCCCGTCTGGAAGACAACCGCAGTGTGAGTACATGGGTTCGTCTTTGTGATAGCCACTCGCTCATGTTGCCGTCAGTGTGGTCTCAACGTGCAGGGGCTGAATCCTCTGCCTCCAAACACCGGTCCATCTCCAGCACTCGCGCAGATGTAGGAAACCCAGACGAGGATGACCGCGGTTCAGTTGCCGGTACCAACGGATCTGAGGTGTCGCACTCTGACATACCCTCTGCACCCAACACATCTGTCTTCGATGCGAACGGTCCTGTCCGGAGTATAGTCGTCAGGCGGCGTAAGAACGTCGTGCCCATCAAGGTGGAGGAGATCGAAGATACCACCGCATTCCGTGATGTATTTCCACCACCGTTCGAGTACTTGTACCCTTACGAGGGGCCGCTCGATCCCGATCCCGAGTCTGCGGAGAACCTCCGCCGGATGAATGCCCAACTCGGGTTCTCCGCGACGCAGACGCTCACGCGTGTGGACGAGACAGAGGCCGCGGTCAAGCGAGCAACGCACGACATCTACGACGCTGGTCTCAAGACCTTGCAAGAGATCAAGCGGCTTGACAAAGCTTTCGAGCTCTTCCGCACAACCTGTTCCAGCCAGGATATTTTCGACCGGTTCGTCAAGGTGGAGGTGATGCGGGTGACGGCGGTCCTCGAGGCGAAAGAGGATCCTTACCCTGTGTGGCACGACGGGGACACCGTCGGCTCCGAGGGTGGCAGTGACCTAGCAGAGCAGGAGCCCAGCAGTCTGGGCAAGCGTCGTCGTGACGACGGCGAAGCAGTTGAGGAGGACGGCGAGAGTTTGACGAAGCGGCCGTGTGTCCGGGACTGTTACATGGACGCCCTCAAGACGGTGCGTGTGAAGGCCCCAAAATTGGTTTACAAGGAACCCGTGGTCGGGGTCAACGAGCACGTGGAGAGGGCCCTCTTCGGCTCGCTGGCGCATTCGTCAGCTCGCTCTGACAGCTACGATGGCAAACACGACGGCTATGGCGCCGGCACTCCGAGAACCAAGGGCAAAGGCAAGGCAAGGGAGAATGCGCCCCCGCAAGAGGAAGAAACAGAAGAAGAGGAAGAAGAGGAAGAAGAGGAAGAAGAGGAAGAAGAGGAAGAAGAGGAGCTCGAAGAATATCGCAGTCTGACCAGACGCCGCCGTATGCTGCTTGGTCCCGAGCCCCAGTTCGTTTGGGTCAGACCTGTCCAGTATGGGGTGGACACCGAGCCCTGGGTTCCCCCCCATCTCCGGTGGAACGGGCAACCGAGAACGGTGAACCAGGAGAGTCATAGCGGACACTCGTTCGCATACAATCCTCGAGAGACGGCCGAGGAGCAATCCAGATCCTGGGAGCACTCATCGCCGCCTCACATCCCGCAGACTATTTCGAGCGATAATCGCCCCCAGCAGCAAGCCGGGGATTCAGACGACAACGGCGACGTCGACATGTCTCCCAGGCCTCCGGTGGAGCAAGATGTTTTCGGCCCGACCCTTGTTAATCCTGTCTCGCGGCGGGGCTCATTCGCCAGTGGACTATCCGGTCCATTTGGCAGACCGCCGAGGCCCGCGCAGGACGTCGGGGAGGGATCTTCCCTGGGGACGCCGTACGGCTTCCACAACTCGCTCCCCGCGGAAGGTCCGTCGGCCTACATCAGGCACTCGAGAGATAGTACGCCCGTTGCCGAAGACTCTGAACAGAGCTCTTCCCCGGAGCCGCTCCCTGCACGAGGACCGGCCTCTCCCCTCGTATTCCCTCCTTACCAGGGACGTCATCCATCGCTTCCCGCAGCACTGTCGGCGAGGCCCCCTCAGCCGCCTGCGTCTAATACGGGACAGCAGTCTGCGCAGCTTCCTGCGACAAGGCAAGCGACGGGATCCATTAGGCCTCCCGTAGCACGTATGCCCAATCTCGCGCAACAACTCTCGCTCCCTGGGCCTTCGTCGGGACCGTCGGCTGGACTCAGGCGTCCCTGGGCCCGGGAGCCAAGCTCGCGGTCACTTGGCGACGTGCTGCAAGCGCAGTTCTATAGTGCTCGTCCCAGCGACGTAGCAACCACCGACGAGGAAGACGGCGGCACGGACGAGGAAGCGCGGCCAGCTGTCCATCCGTCGCTGCGCCCAGGCACTCCACGACCGCCTCGCGATTCGATGGATCCGGTAGTGTCTCGCAGGGATCTGACGCAGAGAACCATCCCGGAAATCATAAATTTCGGGACACGGGAAGAAGGGGCAGAGCTCCTGAGACAGGGATTCAGAGGGTATGATCATAGTCAATTCTTCATCCCGCCGCCCACGTAAACGTCCATGCCATTTGTTGTACATCGTTTCATTTTTATCTTGTATACCCAGTCATATATACCCGTACAGTTTCGACCAACTCCCCTGTCTGTAGAAGTACTCTAGCACGCGCTACCGCTGGCGTGTATCGGCTGGTTGTAATTGCATATACCCAATGACAGTTCCGTTATCGTTCAACGACTTGGTCATCGTGTGATATACTATGACTGCTACCATTGGCACCTCACCGGCACCTTCGATCTCGAGCCCTCCCCAGAGACAGCCTGAGCAACAATATTTGTGGCTATGCGCTAATATTGCAACACGCTGGCCGCGGATTGGCTGATCATTGCTCACGTGAGCCGTGCCGTGGACGGCGAACCAGGAACCTGGGGTTGTATGTATCATGCCGACTTTCTCGGGGTGCCGGTGAGACGAGGCTTGAGTCGTACTACTCTAGTCACTGCAATACTCGCAGAAGCCTCTTACTGCCCATCTGTGCGGAGACCAGTCTCTCCATCTTCCATGAGGATTAGACTGCAGGCTTGCAAGCAGTGATACCCAGATCTCGTCCGGAAGCACCATGACGTCTACCACAAGTCGGACGCCATATGACGCTCAGACGCCAGACAGGACCACGTTCGGTTCTGACGTCCCTCTCGCTCGCTTTGACACTAGCGAGGTCGATGCGGCATTGAGAAGACCTTCGTTCTACCTAGATTCGTCATTCAACGCCAAGTGGAAGAAGTTCGTTTCGAAATGCAAGACGACATGCAAGACGACATACAAGAACAACATAGGATTGCTACTCATTGCCGCATCTACGGCGTTTGGTTCATTGATGAGTACGCTCGTGAAGAAACTGAATAGCGTCGATCCACCCGTGCCGATGCTTGAGGTGAGCTTGACTGAATGGTAGAAGTACGGGACAAGACTGATACATTGCACGAAGCTTATATTCATCCGCATGGTGAGTGCTGTCCAATGCTACGTTTGTCCATATCCTCACGCTTTGCAGTCTATGACTTGGATATGTTGCATGACGTACATGTAAGAAGTCTTGCCTGTACATGGTACGCCCCAGCAAGTACTCATGCAACCCAGGTGGATCATGAAAATCCCCGATCCTTTCCTAGGGCCTAAAGGGATTCGTCTACTACTTGTGCTCAGAGGAGTCTGTGGGTATGTCTACCAGTTGTGCTACCGCCAATGGTACATCTATGAACTGAAGTCATATTCATTGACTAGATTCACGGGGCTTTCCGGATCTTACTTCTCTCTGCAGTACCTGTCCATTTCGGACGCGACGGTCTTACAATTCCTTGCCCCAATGTGTACCGGCATTGTCGGTGCGCTCGTGCTGAAAGAACATTTCACCCGCAGTCAAGCGCTCGCTAGCTGTGGGTCGCAGTGCGGTAGAAAACGAGCGCATGAACTGAAACATCCCAGTTTTTAGTTTGGTCGGCGTAGTCCTCATCGCGCGGCCAACATTCCTCTTTGGGCACATTGCAAACAACTCAGACACTGCATTGGATCCTCCAGTAGTGCTTGATGGTAGGTCGGACTATGAAGAAGTCCTTCCTGCTCAACGATTGCGTGCTGTTGGGTGAGGTTGAAGTGAAGCAAGCGGCTACGCCTCCAGTTCTGATTTTGCTGTAGTTTCGCTATGTTCGGCGTCGTGGGTGCCACGGGTGCATGTAAGTGGGTCACATAACCATATGACATACTGAACCTGATTGTCCCGGTTCCAGACACGACGATACGCGCTATTGGTAAACGTGCCCATGCACTCCACAGCGTTACCGCATTTTCGATGCAATGCATCACCGTATCCTCGATCTTGTATGTACACGCATTCTACGCCTGCACTGTGGACTCTATCGTCATTTTTTTCCAGAATGGTCGTCTTCCGGACTACGCCGATTCTTCCGAATAAGCTGGAGTGGGTCGGCATGCTGCTTGCTATCGGGTTTTGCGGATTTTTTGCTCAGGTGTGTCCTCAGCAACGTGGACTTCGGTCTCCTTCAGCTCATGCATCTCAACAGATGCTGTTGACCTTGGGGCTACAAAGAGAGACAGCCGGTCGAGGAACGATGGCTATCTATGTGCAGGTAGATTGCGCTTCTCGCTTGCAGCCGCTCATGATCACTCACATCGACGCCTCACTCCCTTCAGATCATCTTTGCGACAATCAACGATATTGTCTTTTTCCACTCTACACCAAACCTCTTGTCCACCATTGGCACGACTATAATCATCGCGTCCGCTATCTACGTTGCTGTAAGCCCTATACGCCACCGTCAGTGTAGAAGATCGTTGATGCTTACTACGGCAAACCTTCCCCAGACTTCAAAGAAGGACCCCGGTTTGCACAAAAGACAACAGAGCCTGATATCTTCCCCTGCAGACCACTCGTTGGAGGAAGGCCTCCTTGAGAACGAGGAAGACAGTGCGGAGCCCTCTGAATCTAAGGACGAGGTGTCTGCTTCTGTTATTACGGTCAAGTCACCAGACCCCTCTCACGAAGGCAAATGTAATGGGAAGGCTGGGACGCTCCCATCATAGACACATAGATATACTACTTTAATATCCGGCACCCACTTCCAATTTGTCGCTACACGGTTGGCTATCAATGCTTGGCTCGTACGGACACTCGCTTGAGTTACTTGAGCTTGCCTCGCACGTATCACGGTGCCACACTCGTGGATCCTTGGGCATCAGCTGATCTAACCAACTGAGCTGACCGTTATGTCAAAACGCCTCATGCGCAGAGCATTTATTCGTCAATGAATCGGTTGGACTGGCCGGTCAAGGGCGTGCGCTGTAGCGGCACACTCGCTACTGTACGCGTAGTACCGGAAAGTACCGGAAATCTGTGTTGGGAGGAACATCTTGCAGCATTTAGTATATCAGCACGACCGCCAGTATTTCCTAATCATATCGTCGTTGCGAACTCAAGGGCACTCTAGGCTCTGATGACTGCAATGGATTGCAACATCGGTGAAGTCCAAAGACGGCGCACAGTTGTGGCGGGTGAGCGTGCGCCCCACGTTGTCATTTGAGGCGCCGCTTCAATCCGAATTGCCCTAGAACATCCGTCGCGTTCCCTTTTTGTCCCCATCCCTCGCGGTTCATCACCCTCTTACGACCCCTCCATCGTCCAGCTCATTTCTAGTCCTCAATGTACGTGTCTTTATATTTGCTTGATGTCGTGTCACGCTGCACCTCGACGTGGCAGGTGTGAGCACCCAGGAACGCGTCGTATCGCTCGCGTCGTTTCCACTTTGATTGCTGCGTTGGCGCGACTATTGCTGACGTGCACTCTTCAGCATGCGTGAAATCGTTCACCTCCAAACTGGCCAGGTAAGCTTGGGTTGTTGCTAGAGTCTGACATGGGTTCTGACGTGGTACGATGTCCTAGTGCGGCAACCAAATCGGTACAACGCCTGATTTGCGATCTTCGCCATATCCTCTAACCACGCGTCTTCAGGTGCCAAGTTTTGGGAGGTCGTCTCAGATGAGCACGGTATCGAGCCGGATGGGATGTACAAGGGTACGAACGATGAGCAGCTTGAGCGGATCAACGTGTACTACAACGAGGTCGGCGCGAACAAGTACGTTCCGCGCGCGGTCCTGGTCGACCTGGAGCCCGGTACCATGGACTCCGTCCGGTCTGGTCCCCTCGGCAGCCTCTTCCGTCCCGATAACTTCGTCTTTGGCCAGAGCGGAGCCGGTAACAACTGGGCGAAAGGACGTAAGTGCCACTGTATGCGCTACGCGTCAGCAATTACCATGACGCGTAGTGTGCTGCCTTTTTGAGACCTGAAGCTCATTTGTTCTTCTAGATTACACAGAGGGTGCGGAGCTCGTGGACTCCGTCCTCGACGTCGTTCGCAAGGAGGCTGAGGGTACCGACGCGTTGCAGGGTGAGTTGGCATTCATAAAATCCGATGTGACGTGTGACTGTCACGTCACGGGTGCTTCTTGTGACTAACGCGATGTGTAGGCTTCCAGATCACCCACTCGCTTGGTGGTGGTACCGGTGCTGGCATGGGTACTCTGCTCATCTCAAAGATCCGTGAGGAGTATCCCGATCGTATGATGGCTACGTACTCCGTTGTCCCCAGTCCGAAGGTCTCGGACACTGTCGTCGAGGTTTGTCTTGATCTTTGTATTGAAACCATCCAGCTTCTAATCCGTTTACTTAGCCGTACAACGCGACGCTCTCGGTCCACCAGCTTGTCGAGAACTCTGATGAGACCTTCTGCATTGACAACGAGGCGCTGTACGACATCTGCTTCCGGACACTCAAGCTCTCGACACCGACGTACGGTGACCTGAACCACCTGGTCTCCATCGTCATGTCGGGTATCACGACTTGCTTGCGTTTCCCTGGTCAGCTCAACTCTGACCTCCGGAAGCTCGCTGTCAACATGGGTAAGTCGGATTTGTCCTGTGTTGGGACATTTAATGACGTGTTCTCGACCAGTTCCCTTCCCCCGTCTTCACTTCTTCATGACCGGCTTCGCTCCCCTCACCGCCCGCGGCAGTCAGCAATACCGTGCCGTCACTGTCCCTGAGCTGACGCAGCAGATGTTCGACGCCAAGAACATGATGGCCGCGTCCGACCCCCGTCACGGTCGCTACCTCACGGTTGCCGCCGTGTTCCGTGGCAAGGTCTCCATGAAGGAAGTCGAGGAGCAGATGCAGAACGTGCAGATCAAGAACTCCGCGTACTTCGTCGAGTGGATTCCCAACAACGTTCTCACTGCCCAGTGTGACATTGCTCCCCGGGGCCTCAAGATGGCCGTCACTTTCTTGGGTAACTCGACTGCCATTCAGGAGCTCTTCAAGCGTGTGAGCGACCAGTTCACGGCCATGTTCAAGAGGAAGGCTTTCCTTCATTGGTACACGCAGGAGGGTATGGACGAGATGGAGGTACGAGTTCGTCGTCATCATGAGCGGACAATGGTTCTGATTGCTGTGATTGTAGTTCACCGAGGCCGAGTCGAACATGCAGGATCTCGTCGCCGAGTACCAGCAATACCAGGATGCTACGTGAGTATTTGTCATCGTACGACCAACGTCATTATCTAACTTGTGCTGCAGCGCCGAGGAGGAGGGCGAGTACGAGGAGGAGGTCCCTGTCGACGAGGAGTAAACGTCTCTTCCCTTCTTCCTTGTTGTACATTGTCGGCGGTGCTCGTTTGATCCAAAAGCTCTACTAGGTATTCTCCTTTTATTGGTCGCTTTCCAAGTTCGTTGCATGTCTCTACTCTACCCTCGGTCCACGCTGGCACGAAGTTACCCCTAGTCTGCATACCTGTGTCTTCCGATCAATATCCCCCCCGTATCATGAATTGATGTCGTTCCCGCGGGTCTGTAGCTCACTCAGGCTGCTCGTTGGAGTGATCCTCGCTTGTCTGCTAAGATGTTCCCGACCTCATCAGACTGAGCAGCGCGCCCAACATTGTGAGTACTCAGTGGCAGTTCAGTGTCGTGTTATTTTGGGGCTCAACGACGCGTCTCAGCCGTGTTTGCGTGTCGTGCAGTGACCGGGCCGTCCTCGTCTATCCCGGTACGCCAACTTGCCATCTATACGTCCTCCGAAGACAGGACTCATGTTCGGTAGTACGTCGTGCTCTGTTGGTGGTGAGTGAGTATCCTGTGCATCTTGAATTAGACTCATCGATCCCCGCTGTTCGATGATATGCAGTATGATAGGCGACCTCGGACACCAGCCTGAGCTCACTGTTTGCGCGAGACTTCTCGCAATCATCGTTCAGTGGCCAGTGCGGTTCGCGTGCGGTCTTCGGCCTGACACTGCTGGTCTGACGGCCTATGATAGCGCGTACGTTTTTGGAAGTTTTCGCCTGATCCTCGTAGCACACCCGGAGCACACCGATACAGCTCGGCACAAGTATCAAATTCATAGAGATGCCAACAAGTGGATTTTTATGAAAGGCCGAGCAAGGCTTGAAGGGTCGAGCGCCCTCCACTGGCCCTCCAACTAGCGCGGAGTCTGTGAAGGGCCGAACAAGCCATTGCCTAGTCAGGCAGTAATCCCCTTCCTCCCTTGCATGTCATCACTGATGGCGAGGCTGAACAGACCGTATCTGCCGGTATGACCGGTCTGTCATGTACTGCCTGCAGACACAACCTCCGGTACCGAACGTATATATGTCGTGTCACTGAGGTATGCCGTTACTACTTCGCTTCCCTGCGATCTTCATCCCCAACATGCATCCGGACAGTTTCTATCGAGTACGCCTCCTCAAGGACTTCATCCGAATCATCATCGTGCCTTCGGCCACTCTATCTGTCCTCCTGCGCACTAGTGAAGTGCGACTAGGGCTGTTTGCAATCCCTACCTACGTCGTCTTCATCGCCGTGTGGGGCTATGCGCGCCTTCAGTACGGAGACTGGATGCATCGTCGCGATGCACGCCGCATGGGGTCACGGCCTATCCCTCGGGTCCGCGGCAAATGGCTAGGGAATCTCGACATCTACCTTCAATTGATCGCCGCATACCATACCAGGTACCTCGGTTCTTTCCATTTGAAGCTATTCGAGGAGTATCAGTCGACGACTCTGAATCTCCGGCTACTTTGGCAAGACTTTGTGAGTTCTTTCCTTCTCGCAACCGCTAACCCCGTGTGGTGGAGTCCCAGACTGACACGTTCCATCTCTATGGCCTGCTCGGATCGATACTGACATGTTGTGATAGATTATCACCATGGACGAGAAGCACCAACAGTACGTCCTGGCAACCGGATACGACCACTTCTGGAGAGGCGTTGGGCAGAAGGAGCGCATGTCAGTACAGTTGTGATATGACGCCAGCAGACTGATCTCAGTCGACCTCAGGGAGCAGTTCTTCGGCGCTGGAATCTTCAACCGTGACGATCAGGTCTGTTTGTTCCATGTCCTTAATGGTTGGGCATCTGTCTTAATTCTCATGAATGTAGGACTGGAAGATGGTGAGCAAGCCATGGCAGTTTATGTCAACATTGCCAGTGGCTAAGCTTTTGCGCAGCATCGTGCACTTGCTCGACCATTCTTCTCTCGTGATCGCGTGACGGACTTTGAACTCTTCGAGCGGTATACCGACCGCACGCTGACGCTCATGTCGTTGCTGTGCGAACGCGGTGAACCGGTCGAAGTGCAGGACATGTATGCAAGGTTCACTCTGGATGCCGCCTCCGAGTTCCTCTTTGGTAAGAATGTCGACACCCTCTCCGGCCGACTACCGCAGCCCGGGAAGACGGAGATGAGCGGCAAGGGCTCTGCGACAGGCGACGAGTTCGGATCGTTTGCGCAGGCTTTCGAAGACGCGCAAGTGCTGGTCATGACGAGGGTTCGGCGCGGGTACTTCTGGCCGATATACGAACTGTTCACTGGGGACCCGCACAAGAAACACATGGCAGTCATCGAGAAATGGCTCGAGCCATTAGTGAAGGATGCCCTGCAGAACAAGCTGGATATGCAGAAGGGTGGTCTCAAGAACCCGTTGGATCAGAGCGTGTTCCTACAATATCTGGCGGACAACACGGAAGGTCTGCAGCCGCCGAGTATTCGTGCAAGTGTCGATGCTCATGTGTCGCACACGTAGATCCGAAGGTCATGCGAGATCAGCTCCTAAACATCCTACTAGCCTCTCGAGATACGGTTGGTGCCATTGAGTACCATCGGAATTGGGAACCCTAACATGGTTTCCGACAGACGTCGTCACTCCTCACATCTGTCACGTACTTTCTCGCGATGCATCCGGATGTGGCAAAGCGGCTGCGTGCAGAAGTCTTGGACTATTGCGGCGTAGACAAGGCTCCGACATTCGACGACATCAAGAACATGAAGTACAGTACGTCATTCATGCAGACCGCGGGAAGGTTAACTGACCTATACCACGCTTACAGTGCGCGCAGTCATTAACGAAACTTTACGTATATTCCCGCCAGTGGCGGTGAACTCGAGAGAAAGCAGGCCGCACCCCAGCATTCTGCCGAAGTCTGACGGCACCTACCCGGAGCCCGCAGAACCTCTCTACATGCCTCCGCTCGCAACGATCGCGTACTTCACCGTTCTCATGCACCGCAATCCAGCGCTCTGGGGCCTAGATGCAGACCTCTTCGACCCGGACCGCTGGCTAGATAAACGCCTGTCGAGATTCGTCTCAAACCCTATGATGTTCGCTCCCTTCAGCGCTGGCCCACGAATCGTAAGTAGATCCGTTATCACCGTCGCGCAATGCTTTGACCTTAGCTTGACCCTGTGTGCAGTGCATCGGCCAGAACTATGCTCTCAATGAGGCGTCGTTCTTCCTGACGCGTCTCATGCAGCGGTTCGAAACCTTCACGCTCGCACCAGAAGCTCAGCCCGCTGGTTCGCTCCCTCCACCTGAGTGGAAGGAAGGCAAGGGTCGCGAAACTTTCGAGGAACTGTGGCCTAACTCTGCTTTGACGAGTTACGTTAAGGTACGCGACTGTTCTTCAGGTGTTGCAGTTATATCCAATCAGAGACTGACCGGGGTTCCGTCATCCCTAGGGTGGGCTATGGGTCAGACTGGGTCAGGCGGAATCATGAGGGCAGTCGAGACCAACTCGTAGGACCGTGGCTCCGATAGAGCGGTTGGCTAGTACCTCTCTCGAGTGGTGATTCTTGCTTATTCGCCACTTTCCATTATTTATTGCTAGCTCCTGTACTACTGCAGTCTGTAGCTTAATCGTATGGCACGTCGTGGAAAGTTGGGTATTGTGTCCGGAATACATGATATCGGCTGGCATTCTCGGTGGCGCATAAGAGTAGAGCTCAAGAACAACAAGTTACCAAATTCGGATAAGGTGCGAGTGGTCCGCCGGGCAGCTGCGCTCTGTCACTGTGCTCCCGCTCGCCACCCTTCGTCTTCCCTCGCTCTCTACCTTCATCTCTCGGTACATCGCAACCCGCAGGAGCGTTTATTAGGCCGTCAAAATGTCGAGCTTGTCGCATGTGGGGAAGGGGGTGATGCGGGTGGCGAAGAACTACACCAAGGGCTACTCGGACGTCCAGGCGAAGGTGCGGGACGCGACCTCGAACGACAAATGGGGACCCTCGGGAACGCAGATGAACGAGCTGGCGCAGTTGACATACAACCAGTGCGTACCGAGACTGTAGGCTCAGATAGATCGCTGTAACGCGTTCGTGTAGGAACGACTTCATTGAGATCATGGAGATGCTGGACAAGCGGCTCAATGACAAGGGCAAGAACTGGAGACACGTATTCAAGGTGTGTCGCGGACTGCTTGGTACTGCGTGCATCTCATGCCTGAACTGTCGTTTAGTCCCTGACGGTACTTGACTATCTCCTGCACGCCGGGTCGGAGAACGTCGTGCTATACTTCAGGGACAACATCTATATCATCAAAACCTTGAAGGAGTTCCAGTACATCGATGAGGAAGGCAAAGACCAGGGCGCAAACGTACGCCAGAAGGCGAAGGACATCACCAACCTCTTGCAGGATGCATCACGTCTGCAGCAGGAGCGCCGCAATCGTGCAACCATGCGCGATCGCATGACGCGTGCAGGAGGCCCCGACGGCGAGATCGAGGATGAGAATGTACGGCGGCGGTCACAAAGTCTGCCTCCGCGCCGTAAGACAGAAGGAGAAGGAGAATTTCAGCGCGCGATCGAGGAGAGCAAGAGGTCCCTGGCTCAGGAACAGGCGCGGGGGCAGGAGGATCGCGACCTCCAGGAGGCGATCCGGCTCAGTGAGGAGGAGGAAGCGAAGCGGAAGAAGGCGATTGCAGACGCAAGCGGGTCCCTCTTCGACGATCACAGCCAGTACGTGTTGTCTGTCGATTCTATCACTGAGACGTGCTCACTAGTCGTAGGAACGCGAATGGGACCAACCCGTTCCCTCTCATCGATATGTCCGCTCCTGTCCAGCCTCAATTCACAGTGCAGCCTCAGTACACGTCGTTCAACCCGTATCAACAGCAGATGCAGCAGGAGGCGATGCAGGCGGAGTATCTCCGTCAGCAGGCAGAGTGGCAGCAACAACAATTGCAACTCCAGGCACAACAGCAAGCGCAGTTGCAAGCTGCTCAACAGCAAGAGGAATGGATGCGGCAGCAGCAAATGCTTGCACTCCAGCAACAGCAACAGCAACAGCAACAGCAGCAGCAGTTCCTGCTTGCGCAGCCTACTGGGTTCGGGTACGAATTTTTCAAATGGTTCATACCACTGTCTTCTTATCTGACATCTGCGATCAGGTCGAACAACCCTTTCGCACCATCGACCTCGCCCAACCTCTCTTTGTCGACGTCGAACATGTCCTCGTTCTCGTCGAACAACTCATTAACAGCATCGCCAGCGCCACAGAGTGCCGGCCCTTCGTTCAACCTGCAGGGCACATACGCAAACGGAGGGCCGAGCACAAATCTCAGCGCCAGTCCAGCGCAGTCGCCACCTCCACCCTCTCAGTCTGCGCCGCCCAGGCAGGGTACAGTGAATGTGAAGACGCGCAACGACGAGCAGCACGCGCATCTCGCGAACCTGTTCGCGAACCGCGACGACGACGGTATCGACACGTTCGGAAACTTCGGCCAACTGAGGTACGTGGTGCTCCGGCACAAGTCTGCTTCATGCTGACTGATGTGGCGGTGTAGGTATGGTCAGCAAGCAAACCGTTTCGTTGGCCAGCAGCAGACCGGCCAGCCATCAGGTCACAATCCGTTCCAGCAGCAACAGCAGCAGCAGCAGGGCGATCAGCCTTTCTTCTCAGTATGATGTCTGTGGCAGTCACGGCATAAGCAGTTTTGGTTTCCTTCCTACATTAAACGCTTCACGTCTGGCTCAGGTTCACCTTGTATACCATCTCCGTACTCGATCGTTCTCTGGCTCGGATTAATCTGCTTCTTTTATTGTCTGGGAGTGGACGCTTTCCCTGGCGATTACCAGCCCTCTGGAGGTCGGGAGGGGGGGTGAACGTGTGCAGAACGTTGACGAAGTAACTGTGAATAATGTCTGATAGTGCTTAAATGACATACCCTCGGTACAGTCACTTACCGGTAACTGCTCTGCTTCAATTGGCGTTTGCTGCTTTTGCATAGAGTCAGTCTGAGTGCGTTCCGAACCTCTCCCTGTTCAGACGTTGGATGCATAGTATTCGATGCTGACAGATGTTCAGTAGTATACTAACCTGATGATTCCGGTCCGGACGTCCGTTAACATGATAGATAGTTCATACCATTGTGAGAGATCGTTTGTGCCTACGATAACATAGTCATAAGGCCGGCTGTGCATTCTGTTAATTATGGAGACGTCTATAACATAGAAGGATACATACAGGCCTGAAAAGCGTCCTTGAGAACCACTGGGGTACTCGGCCTGTCACTAGACTTCTTTCGAACTCAACAGAAGCCTGAGTTGTAGTTTCCTCGTTTGCCGAGGGGAGAGTGATGTCGATGAATCTCTACCTGCTGACAAAGGTCTACCTGCTGACAAAGGGCCACGTATGCTGGCGCGGAAGATCCGGATATGGCCAAGATATGGCAGTCTGAGAGAGGCGAGGCACGAGCCGATCGCAGACTTGGAGGAGGAGGAGCTAGTGCATGGATTAGGCGCGCAACGCTTCTCTCGTTGCGCGCTCACTTGTCCTCCGCCAGCGAAAGTATTGTAGAGCTTTCGCAACGCTTCGGTCATTTTTCACCCACCCACCACTCCCAGTTTCCGCGGCGTCAAGCCGCGTCAGACGCAGGCAAGCATGCTTACCCACATCCACTTGGCTTGCGCGCTTTCTCCCCGCGACCTGCGATATACAACCGGAATGAAGCTCTCACGGTGGGCCCGCCCGCCCGCGCAGCTCATCGATTTTGGGCCGGGCAGCCCGGAGGGCTGCGCCCCGCACTCGCTACAGCATCAATCCTCCGTAATTACTCAATTACTCTGTTTGCATGCTCGCCGCTCATGTACAGTAATACATCTCTTCTAATTGCCTCATTCCGAACGAGGTACCTAGACATGAAACAGTGCAATGAATCATTGACTCTTCGGGGAGAGTGCAAGAAGCGTCACTGTATGTGTAATGGATCCCGGTCGGAGGATTATGAAAGCGTACAGACCGCTGGAGAGTCCCGCAGGACACCTGCATGTCTAAGCAGTCGCCAAAGAGGATAAATGTCTCTGGAACGGTGATAAATACTCAACGCCAACAGAGCCAGAACAGAAACACCTAGACAGATGCCCAGCCACACAGGTAGGCTTTCATCCGTGCTTTCATCCGTGTCGAAGCGTACAATCGTACTGACGCAAAGCAGGTCTTGACTTCGTCCCCACCGCACGGCATGACACCTACCCAGCCATCGACCCGTCCAAGGCGGACATGAGCGGGAAAGTCGTCCTCGTCACAGGAGCGTCGAAAGGGATCGGAAAGGCCGTCGCTGTCGCCTTCGCGCAGGCAGGAGTGTCAGGCCTCGTCCTGCTCGCCCGCTCCGACATGAGCGCCACCAAAGCCGCCTGCGAGGCGGCTCAGCGCCCGGGCCAGTCCCTGCAGGTCCTGACCATCTCCGCGGACAACACGATCACGGCGGACGTCGAGGCGGCGGCGCAGAACGTCAAGGAGACCTTCGGGCGGCTCGACGTGCTGATCAATAACGCCGGGTATATGGAGGGTTCTGGGAAGATCGGTGACTACGAACCTGAGGAGTGGTGGAAGTCTTGGACGATCAACATCCGGGGGACGTACGAGGTCACCCGTGCTTTCCTCCCGCTCCTGCTCGAGTGCGGGGGTGATAAAATCATCGTGAACGTGTCCAGCGTCGGCGCACACTTCGTGGACGGGCTCATCAGCGCATACAAGGTAGGGATCCTCATCCATTTCGCCGCGTACGGAGGTGCTTACCTGAGCACCACGCACAGATGACGAAGCTCGCGATTTTGCGCTTTACCGAATTGCTCATGGCAGAGTATGGAGAGAAGGGCCTGCTCGCCTTCTCCGTGCACCCAGGTTCGATCGCGACGGACATGGCTGAAAAGTTGCCGGAAGAGTTGATGCATACCTTGGTCGACACGCTCGAGCTCGCATCACATGGTCTTGTTTGGCTCGTGCGCGAGCGACGAGACTGGCTTGCGGGCCGCTATTTCAGCTGCCATTGGGATGTCGACGAGCTTGAGGCGAAGAAACAGGAGATTGTTGAGGGAGACAAGTTGAAGATCAGGATGGTCGTGTAATGGCTGCGATCATAGTGACTAACTGCTACGAGGGCGTCCGCGCAATCCTAGGTAATGTTTTCATAGCATGGTATATAATCCCTGTCAGTATATCACCACACCAGAGAAGATGATTTGGGTATTATGGTTCGAACCACCCCACCCTCGCCATCTCGTCTGCTAGTCCCTCCCATCCTCGTCTCCGCGCCTTCCTCCCTGCTAGTTCCGTGGCGAATCTACGTCGTCCTTCAGTATCGCACAGAACTTCAACGCACGGATCACGCACCTCAGGCACTCTTCCAGCCTCCACCTACCCATCTCGCGCACATCCGACCCCACGTCCTTGCCCCGATTTGCCCCGCTTGGGGTATACGGCTCGCCGGGTAACAATCTCCGACTGAGCGCATACATCATCCCCGCGACAAACGCGTCCTGCGCGCCGACCTCGTCCACGATCTCGCCGCGGAACGTCTCGTTCCTGCGTGCGTCCTGCGCGGGGCCCGACGTCGCCTTCCCCGTCTGCGTCTCGTCCGAGTCCGCGGAGCCCTCGCGCCGGTCGCGCTGGCGCATGAACTGGCTCTGCGGGATGGTCGCGCCCGGCGGCGGGCTCTGCGGTGTGCGCGAGGTCCCCGAGGACGAGAGCAGCCCCGCAGTGAACACGCTCGAGGAGTCCGTGTGCTGGCCCGCCCAGAAGTCGCTGCCGGTGCGCACGGAAAGCACTTCGACCATGTCTGTGACGTCCACGTCTTCGTGCTCGCCCGCGGCGGTTGGGTGCCGCGAGTGCAGAGGCGTTGCCCCGCCGGATGGGCTGCTCGGGTCCGCGGCGACCCAGCCGGAGCTTTGGAAGTACTCCCGGGTTGGTACAGAGAGGAGGGCTGCGCCTTCTTCGCCCCAGTGCGCGACGAGGAGGGCGTGTGGGGCGGCGAGAGTGGTGAGCGAGAGGAGGAAGGCGCGTGGGGAGGCGGCGTATTGGGGTGAGTGCGCGAGTGCGTGGTGTTTGTTGAGGAAGACAACGTCGGCATAGGGGACGAGCTGTGTCAATCAGAATCAAGAGTAGAGCACAAATGTAGAGGGGGGTTCATACCGCTTCGACACCCTGTTTGGCACGTCGGCCCACATCAACGCTCAACACGCAGTGACTCCTCCATTTGCGTTCTCGCGCAAGGCCTTCCAGGCCCATAATATTGTTCAGCGTCGTCTTGACGGACCTACCCTCGAAATGCACCCAGTCGAACGGCGCAGGGCTGCTCGTGTTGGTCCTCGGTAATGTCACCGTCGGCCGCACACCGTCTGCGCTGGATGTAGATTGTCGTGGTTGCAGAGCATCGTGCTTCAGCGCTGTGTTCGCTGCACCAGGTGCTAGATGTGCGGGGCCAAGAGGCGGAGAATACAAGTAGTTCTCTGGAGCAAGCAGAGGCCCAAGGAGAGATATAAAGTCTTCGTGCGTGATATCAGGCAGAGGGTTGTTGTTGATCACGGTTCGTGAGTCGGTGTCATCTGGAGCAGCACGGTACCATTAGCCACGAAACGGCCAAACAAGATAGTAGGCGACCTGCATGAAGGACCCACGCGCTAGGAACACCGGCCTCCTCCCACACCTTGCAGAAGCGCGTGCTGACGTGCTCTCTCTCCAGATCTCGTATGAGTTTCCGTCCGTCCTCGTTGCCTCCGAGAGGCGCGACCAGGAGAGCCTCAGTCGCAGGGAACTGCGCGAGGATGGAGAGACATGTACTGGCGGAGCCTCCTCGCGAGCGCACAACTGTGCTGGCACGGAGTACGCCGTTTGGTTGCGGGTGCGTTGGGAGCTCGAGGGTATGGGTGAGGAAGAGGGTGCCGGAGGCGACTACGCGCAGTGGGCGTTGTGTTGGGTTCGTAGGAATCTCGTTTGTGTTGCGACGTCCAGGCGCCATGACGGGCACAGTCATGAACTCTGGTACTCCTTTTTTGTCTTCTAGCTATCCCCTTCCTTTCCACCGCTATGCTGTCAATCTCTCAACCCAGCCATCTGTAACATGAAGAGTCGGCTCACCGCGAAATGCGATTGACAACAGCCGAGTCTTGCAAGATTCAGATATGAATCTCTTTAGTGTGTCCTTGTTAGGCGGTCAGTCGCACCAATTGCACGCGTACGTGGACGTATGTACAGACCTGTAGCTGTTATACCCAGCTACTATGATAGAGGCATGATGATATTGATATTCGCGAGTGACACTTCCCCAGACGGCTATCGGGATCACTTCGGTGTTGCCTTTTCCGCACCTCCCGTCCACCACGTGGTTACTGAGCGCTGCAAGATGCGTGCTTTGAATTTGGCCTGGGTCACTTACCCCCTTGCGTTGCCTTGCGGTGTAAACGAAACAACTCTGCTGCGAACAACCTTTCTACGAGCGGGCCCTCTGCGGCTCCGACCGACGGCGCAGATGTACGGCTATGGCTCATACCACTCCTCGAACCACCGCTACGCTGCCTATAATGGCTACAACCACTATCCCCCGCAGGCTGGTGAATGGTACGGCGATGACCCAGGGCCGAGCTCATCCCAGCCCTCCGAATTCTATGGCTATGATTCGTACGCATATGATCCGCAATACTCGTCGCAGCACAACTACTACAATGGGGGCTACCACGAGGCCGGCGCTCCGTCCGACCAAGGACGCTATCCGATGAACTCAGATAGCTACGGGCCCTACCAGCATACGTCCGTACGCGACAACAGGGCATCCTCGAGACCGCCTCGGGCACCCAAAGCGATGCGCGACCGCGGACGTGTCCAGAAAGACGAAGAGTACTCTGGCGACCGCGAAGTCACTCCCCCGCCCATCCCGTCCCCATCCCCCGAGTACCTCGCCCTAGCGGCCTCCGCACCCACACCGCTCGCCGACACCTCCTCCTCGCGCAAGCTGCTCATCCTAGATCTCAACGGCACGCTCGTCTTCCGTTCGCCACACGCCTCCCGCGCAAAGTACCGCCCCCAGGACAGAGGCGTCCCGCGCCTCCGCCCGACGTACCCTCGCCCATATATGCGCGCGTTCTGCGAGTACCTGTTCGCGCTGGAGACGAAGAGGTGGCTGGACGTGATGGTGTGGTCGTCCGCGCAGCCACACAGCGTCAACGACATGGTGGACAAGTGCTTCGGCCCGTCGAGGCGCGAGCTGGTGGCGGTATGGGCGAGGGACACGCTCGGGCTGTCGAATGACCATTATCGTGAGCATCCATTCTTGCCGAGGCTCTGCACGACGAGTCTGGGCGCTGGGTCCCGCAGACCGCTATTCGTCTGGATGTCATGTAGATGCCGTCTGGGCCACTAGCCGTTTGTGATTCCTCTGTGCCCGGAACACGCATCCCATCTAGTCTAGTCTATCGTTCACTGACACCTATGTCTTCGATCTTCCCTCAGATCGCAAGGTTCAGACATTGAAAGACCTCTCCAGACCCTGGGCCACCCTCCCTGCCCTCCTCACACCACTTCCTCCTTCACCGTCATCTTCCACTGCATCGCTTCCCAGCTCGTCCCCACCAGGACGGCCCTCTTCGCCTGTCCGTTCTGCTGAGACCACTGCTCCGCATGTGCACTCAGCACTCACGACGCTGCTGCTCGATGACTCCCCGGCAAAGGCCGCTATGCAGCCCTACAACCACTTCTGCATACCAGAATACGCCCAGCAGCAGCGTAACAAAGATCTGGAGAACTTCCAGAAAGAACAGCAGTGGCTACTTGTCAATGAGAGGAGGAAGATGCCGCAAGGCGAGCAGGCGAAGGACGCGGGCATGGCTCGAATCGCCTCGCTGTTTCCGCCGCAAGAGAGCGGCGACGGCGACACCGAGCCTACTGCCAAGTCAAGAAAGCGCAAACGCAAGGGCAAAGAAAGCAGCCAACCCAACCCTGCCGCCAGTCCCGCATCCGTAGCCTCAGAAGAAGACACCTTCTCCTCTGCCTCATCTTCCGCCGCCTCCTCCCCGGCGCCCGCTCCCTCCTCGCCCACGATACCGGGCCTGCCCACTCCCGCCCCCTCCTCTCCCCCCGAACCCAAGAAGAAAAGCCGCAAAGCCAAACGACGCAAACAGCTCGAAGAGCTTGTGCTCGCGCCCGAGGTCGAGCGGCCGGAGGTGTCGTACGACGAGACGCTCCTCGCGGTGGTCGGCGTCCTTGACGAGGTGAGGCGCCAGGCGAACGTCGCAGCGTGGGTCAGGGAGGGTGGCCTGTGGGGTCCGGGCGGTGTGCCGGAGCACTTGAGGCGGGCTGCTGAGGCGTCGGAGGAAGGGTCGGGGCCGAAGGTTCAAGGAGAAGATGGCGAGGAGGTAGAGGAGGTGGCAGACGCACCGCAGGGAGAGAAGAGGAAACGTAAATCGAGGCACAGGACGCTGCGCAAGCAGGCTGAAGCTGAAGCTACGCGGAAGGCTATGGAGGGCGGCGCTGCCGCGGAGGCGGGGAACGACGAGGCGACGCGGACTGCAGCCCCCACTGACGCGAAGGGCACCATTGACTCGGATGTCGACGTCCTAGAAACACCAGCGTCGATGTGGTTCGAGGACCCGGAGGTGCTGGGGTATTGGGCGAGAAGGGGCAGGGAGGCCCTGCACGCGTTGGGTATCTCTGTCGAACATGGGATGGAGGGGTAGGAGTGCTCCGCTCGGTATGGTGATACAGTGCTATTCCTTGGTATCGGTGCTACATGCTTTGTTCTGTTACAACAACGACGCAATTGCTATTCAACTTTGCTTTTTAGTGCACGCACGAGATACAATCTCGTTGCAGGCTAGGAGTTGCGGACTGTGTTCGATCGCTTCTTCCGTTCGGGCTTCCGTCGCTGTGGCGCGAGCGGCCTCCCTCTCCCAGTTCGTTTGCGTTGCGGCGTGCCGATCCCTCAACCGGTCCATCTGTGCATGCGCATTGACTCGACCTGCGAGGGCTTGGGGAGTCTATCTGAGACCATCGATTTGACGGTTGGTACTATATCTCTAGCCAGGGGCCAGCGAGCTTAAACTGTATAACGGTGCGACCACCTCGAGATAGCACACTCGGTAGTCGACCCCCGATACACCGTTACCTCGCACTAGTGTTGTACTAACCTGGGTCTACGTCCATTCATTGTAGACGATTCAACGGGTACGTCTGGTGAGGTGCACGAAGTGTTGTCCAGCTAAACATGAGGCTACCAGATGCCTGTGCCCGATCGCTCCATTAGGATCTGCGCAGACCGCGGCGGGACGTTCTGCGACGTCCACGCGTCCTTCCCCGACCCGGACAACAATGCTGAGAGGAAGGATATCGTTGTGAAGCTTCGTGAGTGACATCGCATTCTCTGCGGTGAATGGGGACTGAACGAGCAACTAGTTTCGCAGGATCCTAACAACTACCGCGATGCGCCGACAGAGGGTATCCGGAGGATCCTCGAAATCGTCACTGGAGAGAAGATCCCGCGTGGGCAGGTCTTGGAAACAAGCAAGATCGGTACGCTCCCACACACTATGCATACCTTGCTACTCTAAGCACCGCCTCTCCTGTAGATTACATCCGGCTGTCCACCACAGTAGCCACGAACGCCCTGCTCGAGCGCAAGGGTCACAAGCACGCGCTCCTCATCACGAAGGGCTTCAAGGACCTCCTTCTCATCGGGAACCAGGCCCGCCCAAAGATCTTCGATCTAAACATCCGCCGCCCGCCTCCTCTCTACTCGACGGTGCTCGAAGTGGACGAGCGCGTCACGCTCGTGGGCTATACATCCGATCCACAGGCAGAGCAACACGGGGTGCAGTTCGACGAGAACGGCAAGGTCACTCGAGGGTATCGGGGTAAGGGCTGGGATGGCGAGGGCGACGCTGAGGGACCCGGCGAGATCGTGCAGGGCCTGTCGGGCGAGGCGGTCAGGATCATGAAGCGACCAGGTAAGCCCCCCCTCGCTGGAACCTGGTGTCTCTGACACTGCGCCGTAGACTTGGACGCGGTCAAGCAGAGCCTCCAAACATTCTACGACGACGGCTTCCGCTCCATCGCCATCGTCTTCTGCCACTCCTACACTTTCCCCGAGCACGAGCAGCAGGTCGGCGACCTCGCACGCTCCATCGGCTTCACGCACGTCTCCGAGTCCTCCCGGCTCCTGCCCATGATCAAGATGGTGCCTCGCGGCGTGTCGTCCACCGCGGACGCGTACCTCACCCCAATCCTGCGCGACTACCTCGACGGGTTCTTCGCCGGGTTCGACGAGAAGCTCAAGGACGGCAGGCTGCGTAGCCCAAGGGTGGAGTTCATGGGCAGTGATGGAGGATTGCTGGACTTGACGAACTTCACGGGGCTGAAGAGTATCCTGAGTGGCCCGGCGGGTGGGGTGGTCGGGTATGCCTTGACAAGCTGGGACGAGCAGAAGAGGCACCCGATCATTGGGTGAGTACCGGGTGCCGATACTCTAACCTAGAATGTGCTGACTCCCGAGTAGTCTGGATGTCGGTGGTACATCCACGGACGTATCGCGCTTCGACGGCCGCTACGAGGTTGTGTACGAGACCACGACCGCCGGTGTAACTATTCAGTCACCTCAGCTAGACATCAACACTGTCGCAGCAGGCGGAGGTTCCTGCCTCAACTTCCGTAATGGTCTCTTCCTCGCCGGCCCTGAGAGTGCAGGCGCGGAGCCCGGACCTGCCTGCTACCGGTAAGTATCGCATGCGACTCCTCTCTCCTCCGGACGGCTCACCTCGATTTCTCGCATACAGCAAGGGTGGCCCGCTCGCCGTGACCGACGCAAACCTCGTGCTGGGCCGGCTCGTGCCCGACTACTTCCCCAAGATCTTCGGCAAGTCTGAGAAGGAACCGCTCGACACGGACGCGTCGCGCTCCGCTTTCGAGGCGCTCGCGAAGGAGATCAATGCGAACCAGGAGAAGCAGCTCGAGCTCGACGAGATCGTGTACGGGTTCATCAAGGTCGCGAACGAGACTATGGCGCGCCCGATCCGCGCGCTCACAGAGGCGAGGGGCTATGCGCTGTCGAAGCACATGTATGTTGAGTTCTCCATTGTATCCTTCGTGGGCTGGGAGTTGACTGAGGTTCCTAGATTGGCAAGCTTTGGTGGTGCCGGCGGTCAGCATGCCTGCGAGATCGCACAGCTGTTGGGCATCAAGACCATCCTCATCCACCGATACAGCTCCATCTTGTCAGCATACGGGCTGGCACTCGCCGACCGGTGAGTCTTCCTTGCGCGCTAACTGCAACCTGGATCACCCTGACACAGTACCCAGTGTCTTCGAGCTGCAGCAACCTTCGTCGACCTTCTACACCCCGGGGAACCGCTCGACGCTCGTCTCCCGCCTCGACAAGCTCGACGCCGATGTGCGCGCGGAGCTCGCCCGGCAAGGCTTCGAAGGCGAACACCTGCACACCGAGCGTATGCTCAACATGCGCTTCGAGGGTACCGACACCGCGCTGATGGTGCTCCCCGACGGCAAGGACGGCGACGGGCACGAGGACTTCGAGGCTGCATTCAAGCGCGTGTACAAGACCGAGTTCGGGTTCCTGCTTGACACCAAGTCTGTCATCGTCGACGACATCAAGGTGCGCGGGATCGGGAAGACGTTCGACTCCCTTGGCGAGTCCGTCTACGCGGAGGTCGCAAAATTGGCGACGCAGGCAGTGGACACGAAGAAGGCGGACACGACGTGGAGCGTGTACTTTGACCGTGTCGGGCGCGTGAAGGACACCCCCGTGTACTTGCTGCCGTCCCTCGATGTCGGCGACGTCATTGAGGGCCCGGCGATGATCATCGACAACACGCAGACGATCGTGCTCATCCCAGGAGCGAAGGCCGTGTTGACGAGCAAGCATTTGTATATCACTCTGGAATAGATCGCGGGGTGGGCTGCAGTTCAGGGCTATAACGTACTCAGTAGTCATCAAACGCATGTATCACTAGAGAGCCATCCAGAAAGTATTATTGTATACCCGTAGACGTCTTGACTGTATTCGCGGTGTTTGTCCGATTTCGTCCGAGGGAGGACTCGAGTTGTGCAGGGCATGTTGAAATCACCGAAAGCGGACATCTAGCAGTAAACCTGACGTCAACAACCCCAGCACACAAGCCTGGTTCTTGGTATGTCTCTGATTCGACACTGTGTCTAGTCCGCAACGCACACAACCCCCAGGTAAAGGTCACACTGGCAGCTTTCATTCATCCTCGTAGCCCTGCACGGGTCTCCTCGGTCGCTGCGGGACTGCAGCCACCGGTTGTCAATACCTGCCATCTCGAGTGAAAAGTATAACGCACGAGGATAGGTGGTGGGAATGAGTGGCGTGTTCTTGTAGCCAAACGCCTCGCGGATGGGCGGGACGGTGATGAGCATGACGGGGCCTATAAGACCGAGGACGCAGGAGTAGAAGATGACGGGCTGTTCATGCGCCTGGCGTTGCTGTTGAGACACAGAGATTTATTCTCAGCCAAGCATGGACGTGATGGCAAGTAGACATACCAGATAGCGGTAGGTCTGGCGCAGGGGCGAGAATACGGCGGCCATGGTGGTAGGTGTTGGTCGCGGACGACCTCGGCGTGTTCAGTGACGGTGCAATGCCGGGCTTAACCCCGCTTACCTGGCTTAGTTACCGTGAGAACTCTTTCCTTACTGTATAACCCTACTGTAGTCTATAGGGCCCTTTACATGTAGTTTGAATCTCAAGATCGCAGGCTTTCAAGCTCGGGTCGACGGTCGTGTTTGTTCGCAGCGACAATGCAATCGTCGAGTGTATTGTACAGCTATTTGATACAAGGACTGCATGTTTGCCATGCGATTTTGCGACTGGGCACCTCGGAGGGTAACACGCACACCAGCCAAAAACTGGCAAGAAATATCACTCATCGCCTCCCTCACCTCACCTCACTTCCACCGTCCTTCCTGCCCAATCTTCCTTCAGCCTCTCCTCCACTGTCTTATCCAGCTCCTTTGCCTTGTCCACCGCGATCCCCACAATCCTTAGAATCTCGTCCGGCGCAAGGGGCACCCCGCCAGCCTTCTGCACAACGCACAGTTCACGTTGGGCATTCAATGCGATGGAGAGGAGGCCTGCACTGAGCGTCTCCTCAAGATGCGAGGGGTCGAGGACGGGGAGGATGCTGGTTTCAGGAAAATAAGCAAAGGTGAGGCAGTAGGGCGTATGGTGCATGGAGAGGGGGACGGGCGCGCGTTCGGAGGGGTGATGCTGTAGGGTGTCGACACTGATCAGACACAATGGGCACAATAACGTCACTGGAGACTGACAATGGTGACTTCGTCGCCAACTACCTCGACCTCTGGACGTCGGAAGTGCCGGAGGGCTACGACACCTGCCAGGCATGCGCAATCGAGCATATTGCCCGCATCGGCCAAGCAATGTATCGTCAAGCGCAGATGCCAGACCTAATGTTGTACGCATCAGATGCATACACTCCACCAACATCAACAAACAATAAGTCTTACCCTCTGACCTGCAAGAACGCACAGTGACTCCTTGTCCACAACGTCGCTCCTCCTCAGGACCTTGTCTAGCATCCTGGTAATTGTCACCTCTTCATCGGATGGCCTGCAGGGGTACATATGTGAGAGAATTAAATTATGCGACAATAAACACACGTACCTACCGGCCAGAGTCGTACTCGCTCGACGCCATGGGCGAAAGTTCCGAATGGATGGAGATGATGCCCTCTAGCGGGCGTTCGGGTGGTGGTTTCACCATTTTTGCGTCGACCTGGGCGATCACTCTGCACAGAAGGTGGTCAACGATCCTGCAGGAGACAGTAAGTCGTGCTGCACACCTTGTTTTACCCAATGCACACTCGACCCAACCCAGCTCCGGCCCGAAAGTCAAGGTCGGGGCGCGCATCTCGAGCAGGTTCCGCCCATCGAGTCGGAGCGACTGCTTCAAAGAGCTGTACAAGAATTCCTTCTCGGGTATTGACGGCGACGCAGGGCGAGGCATCCTAGCACGACGGAACAGACAGCGAGTGCAAAAGCCAGACGCGCCAGGACGCGCCGCGCTGCAAAACGCCGGAGCGCGCTTGTGCATGTTTGTGGCACGCGCCCTCCCGCCGATCAAGATCTTCCTGCACGTCTCCTCCTTCCGCCACCGCATTTAGCACACAGACAGGATGGTCCGCCTCATCACGCACAACCTCCTCGCGTGCCACGTCAAGGGCTGCACGTCGAACAACTTCCCGCTCCAGTTCAAGGATGTCCAGGTCGAGCTGCGCGAGGCGGAGTTCAACCCCGACTTTCTGCGCGGATTTATCCCGAGGCTGGAATGGGGCGCGCTGGTAGATGCTGCAAGACAGGTGCGTTGGCCGTTTGATCCAGAGGCACGCTTGCTTACGTCTTGAGTTTGGCCTGCGCAGCTGGGCGATACATCGCTGCCGGCAGAACCCCCAGAGATGTTGGACGACGACTTCCTGCAAAAGCTCCACCATGTCTTGCTTGAGGTAAATCTTCCGTTGCGTAGGCTCGTCCGCGAGACTAATTCATCTCTTGACAGGTGCATATTGAGGAGGGTGCCATGATCTGCCCAAACTGCAACCATGTCTATCCGATCTCAAACGGCATTCCAAACATGGCGAGTGCATACCATCAACCTATCCACAACGTGGTAAACTGACGCGGTGCTCTCTGCAGCTCCTCGCTGAACACGAAATCGGCTGAGAGGCTTGGCATACAATATCACCGCGAGGCTCAGCCTGCATCGCCGGACTGTTGCACACAATGGCCCAGCACGCCAAGGACGCATACACTCGTGCAGTTGGAAGGACGGGGATGCTGCAAGCGCACGGAGCAGAGCGATCATGGCGAAGCGGACAGGAGACACACTGATGGACAGAGGAGGGAACGACAACAAGATACAATTGCAAAGCGTGAGCAAACCAAAGGCAATGAATGTACTCTAAGACAAAATGGCAGACTACGCAATCGGAACAGCAAGAAGGGGAGGTATCGCGAAGGGGACCTATCGCTTTTGCCAAGCCGTCTAAAATTACCTCTAGCTCTACGAAAATCTTCTATGACTAGAAAATACAGGTCTAGGTGGATGAAGCACACAACAACACACTGCGCACGCGTCTACGATTCTTGAGCGGGGGTTCGGGAACGTGAACGGGGAGTCAGTCAATTCGTTGCAGATGCGGTGGATGCTTTAAACCCTGGGGCCTGGTGAGGAAGAGGTGAGGACGGCTGATCAATCGACGCGGGCGCGCTTCTTGGGGTTCGCACCGTTGGCCTCGGCACCGTTGGCAGTGGCCGACGAGAAGTACTCCAGGGAGCCCTTGGGGTCCGCCTTGATGGTCTTACTACCCTCAGTCCAGTTGGCGGGGCAGACCTCACCGTGTTCGTCCTGCAGCGGCGGAGAAAAGCGGCGATCAACGACCCAGGCGCGCCGAGACGCGGGCGGAACCACGTACTGTGAACTGGAACGCCTTGATAAGACGGATGGTCTCCTCGACGGACCGGCCGACGGGCAGGTCGTTGATGGTTATTTGCCTAGATGAGTCGATACGGAGTCAGATCGAGCGCTGACACCACTCAGAGCACGCTGTCGTACCTCAAGGTGCCCTTGGGATCGATGAGGAAGAGACCACGGAGGGCGACACCGTCCTCCTCGATGAGGACACCGTAGTCGCGGGAGATCTTCATGTTCTTGTCCGCGATCATGGGGAGCTTGAGGTCGGGACCGAGGCCACCCTGCTTGCGGTGCTGGGTCGCCCAAGCAAGGTGAGCATAGTGCGAGTCCGTCGACACGCCTGCACACCGAAGTGAGTCTCTGCTCCGTGCAAAAAGCAATAGGCGTCCGCACTGAGCACAGCAGTGTTGAGCTCCTTGAACTGGGGCAGCGCATCGTTGAACGCAAGGATCTCGGTCGGACAGACAAAGGTAAAGTCACTGCGCCGAGGATAGCGGGTTGAGCGTCCTGGGAATATTCGCAGGGCAATATACTCACAGCGGGTAGAAGAAAAGAACCACCCTGTCAATCACGGTGCATGTAAGTCACCCACGCTATCATTAGACTCTGCGCGAGGGAACTTCACCATTGTCCGACGAAGTCAGACAGCGAGATGTCTTGGAAGAGGCCATCGACGACGGCGGTGGCCTTGAAGGCGGGCGCGGGCTTCTGGACGATAGCGACCATGGTGGCGAGTCAGTGCAGAGAGTGAGCAGTTGAATAAGCGAGCAATGCAGAGGCGACGACGCGGACCTAAGTCCGTATCGCGGCCATTTTCTAATATCGCGTGTTATTTGGCCCTGTTTTGCCACACGTGCGCGTCGCGGGGTCGTGACCTGCTTATGCGCGACCATTCTCTGCTCAGCCTGCGTCGGTCGGCGCACCAGAGGCTGCGCCGCACCTTCCGTTCTCCTGAAAAATTTGCCCGCAACCGCCCTGATCGCCAGCCGTGCGCCGACCCACTTTCTGGCGGTGCACGGACCCTGCAGCGCGTTATTCAGCCACACGTGCGGCGGTGTAAGCACGTACGGCCGATGAAAGCCAGACGCGCTTCGGCCACGCGTTGCAGCGACGAGCCTGGTTGGAGCCTGGCTTGCTTTGCGATCAGAATTACGCTTATGATATCAGGTATAGAGGGATGGAGGTGAGCTGTGCGATGACATCGTCTGTTCCATGCGGAAAGAGCTTGTCGATCGCACCTCCGGAGTACGTGCCGGATAGCACTCACAGAGGTCTACCACTATATGACAATTCGTCGGATTCCTACTATATACTGAAATATTGCAAGTACTTGCAGACAGGGAGCCATCCATCGGGCACGGCGGGAAATTGTTGCTGATCGACTCGCTTCCCGATACTCTCGGTCAGACCGCGCCAGGGCGAGACGAGGCGCGAGTGCGGTTCGAACGACCGTGCGGCGTGATATGTACGACATCTTGCCTCAGTCAGTCAGTCTATCCCGACGGAATGTTTCAAACTACTTTTAGCACCTCCATGGATTTGCTTTCGAGCGGCGCAGTGGGGCCTCCGACCTCACACATATGCTTCGCGACCACCCAGACGAATATCACCTACGGCTACCCGACCAAGAGACCATACTGCAAATGACCGGCTAACATGACTAGTTAATGACTAGCGCGCTCAATGTCTCCTTCAAGTAGTAACCACTTGTGCTGCCAGTAAGGAATCTGCGGCCATGGAACCCGAGATACAGCGGCGGCATTTCAGCAACGGTGCGTTAGACGATCCAACGGTGCACAGTCAACCGCCACTTTAGGCTCGCATCTTGTTGCATGACTTGCCGAGCACAGACGTGTATCATTTCTGTGGGCCATTGACCGACAGCACCATTCTGTAACGTGATCGACTGTCCTGATTTGACATGAAATTCATGGATGTTGATCATCCACATGTACGACTTTCCTCATATGGCAGGATACCTTCCGGATCCGTCAAACGATCGACATCGCCCCTTCACCCTCGGGGGCCTCTCTTCACGTTTAAGACTCCGCCGCGGCTTCTGTGTAAGGCTGCCTCCTGTCAATCCTGCATGCGACATATAAAAGGCCCATATCGCTGCTCCTTCGTCTAACCCTCCTCTTTCCCTCTGCACACTCCCACTGCAACTGACCATCCCTTCGGCTGCGCACAAACGTGACACGCGTGTTCTTGGGGCTATGGCAAACATTTTAGTATTGTTACGGCACGTACGCATGCGCTGACTGACACAAAATTAGGTGGTATGGATGTTTGGGCGTGTCACCCGACATCACGATGTCTACGAATACACGAACCCCACAAACCCAAAGCCACTCATGAACGGCCTCTCCCCTGGCAGCGCATACGCCCCGCCCCTGCCCCCCGTCCTCCACTCCGCTCCGCTCAAGAATAAAACCGTCCTCAGAGTGGAACACTGCTTCGCCCATACCGCCAGGTGCGCCCTCTCCTGCGCACGGGGCGGTGGAATGCCAGGGTCCGCTGCAGCTCCCGCAAAATGGGTGGGCTCCATGGGCGACTCAGGCGGCGAGGGAAACGCGTTCAGCGCCTTCGCGAGCTTGCGCGGGAGCTCGACTTTCCGCCGGCGAAGGCGGACGGTGTGCAGCGTGCGGAAGCGCGGCAGAACTGCAGAGAGCTGTTTGTAGAGGACCTACAACGCGGGTAGTATGGAGTCAGCGGATTACACGGCAGACAAGCACAAACAGACGCACCTCGTCGTCTAAAGCCCACTCCACCGCCAGCACCTCCAGCTGACTCCCCAATGCCGACCCTGCGGACATAAATACCCTCTCGAGCGTGCGCGCATCCACCTGGGTCAACGACACGGACACGACCAACCGTGTCATGCTCGTGCGGGAACGCGTGAGCGCGCCCATGATCGCGCTCGGCTTCAGCCCATCGTACAACGTGGTGTGTACATGCAGCTTCACGGAGCATACAGGACGCCCGGGAACGATTGCAGCGGTCAACGAGGCGGGCCCATGGAAGTGCGCAAGGCGCGGGAGGAAGTGCGAAGGAAGGAGGCCGGCACCAGGCTGCGCGAGGGTATCTTCAGGCAGGGTATCAAGGGTCGCGTCTGCGTCCGTGTGCGGGGTATCGACCGGTGGAGGCGGGAGGTTGCACTCGGCGGTATTTTGGAGGAGATGCGGGAAGGAGAGCGAAGTGAGCTCGGGCTGTTTCGCGAGCCACGCCCATAGCGCCTTCCAGTCGTCGGGCGCGATGAACTCCGACATGATCCGGAGCCGCTTCAGACGGAAGCTCGTGTGGGTGAGGAAGCGTGCGTCGTAGTCGGGGAGCGTGAGCGACTCGAGTGCGTGCATGTTCGTGATTGCGATCGCAAACGCGACCGCGCTCAGCGCTGCATCGGGCGGCGGAAGCATGGCGCACGCTAAATGACGGACATACCCTGCGAAGGCGCGATTGGAGGCGAGCATGTTGACGCACCGGTCGATGCGCTCGGAGGAGAACGCGCGCAGATCCAGCCGGCCGTACAGTGCACGGAGGGCGGCAGCGGAGAACGCCTTCGATACCCGAGTAAGGGAGAGCACGTCCCGACGTGTCGCATACGAGAAGAGGACTGTGAGAAGGTCAGTGGGCATGCGCGAGATGGCTGGCCCATCTTTTCGAAGGCACTCCTCGTCCGAGAGCAGTGGGACACTTTTGCGCTTGACGGTCCGTGACACGCTCGAGCTGGGTGCGCTGTGGGTCCGGTTCCGCTGGTCATTAGGTACCGACAAGAACACATTCTCCTCCTGTGGTGTGTCTGGCGGCTGCAGCTCCGACTCGCTCGCCCTCCTCCCCAGCCCGACCGGAATCTGGATGTCCTCCAGCGACGCGGTCGGCGAGGGCGTGCTGTCCCTCGAGTACGTGCCCGGGAAGTCGACCATATGCCCAATGCCGCCCGCAGACATTCCCCGCATGGACGTGCGCGGCCATCTCAGCTTGGGCTTGTGCGTGAACCTCTCGCTGATGAACGAGAGGGCGGAGAGCCGCCGCTCGCGCACGCTCTCGGTGAAGGACGCGGCCGCGCTGGGGCTCTGTAGCGGCGAGAGGTGCTCCTCCTTCAGGTGATCGTTGTGGTTGCGGCGGGGAAAGCGCAGGAGGGAGGACATGACGGCCGTGAGCAGGGGCGGGAGCGGCGGCGAGGAGGCAGGCGAGGAGGAGGAGGAGATGGTTGCGCTCGGAAGCGTGAATTGACGGACATGGTGATGATGTGGGTCGTGGGCGTTGCGGGAGATGCAACAGAGCCATGTGCCCGCGAAAAGCGATTGGCCGGCTCGATCACCGCTTCCATCCAGTTCCTTCCTCGCCGCTCGGGGCGTCCATCTCGCAGGAACCGACCCTTCTCCCACGCTAACTTGCTTGATGCGCCGCGAAGGCGCATCGAGCGGCCACCCAGATCATCTCATTCCTCTAGATTCCTCTTCAGTCGACCGTCAAGCCATTGGTACGTGCAACTAACTGAACGATATCGATAGCCTGGTGCCTCGTACAAATTTCGGCGTACAGATCGGCCGCGTCGGGTGCGCTGGTCAATATCGTGGGCAATAACTAGTGCAGGGTCCCCGCGCTACGATTGGACGAATTCCAGGGCCTATTTCACTTCAGAATCACAGAATTCGAAGGGCCGAAGTTCTCGGATATACTCAGCGCGAAAGAGCCTTCGACAAATAAAACATCCTGGCAGATATCGTGGTCGACGTCTATGCGCCTCTCACAAGACCGTATTTTCTATCGAATGCTTGCATCTGCGGTGGTGGGTGGTGAATCCAATGCAGCTTGAACGTCAACGCAGCCCAAGTAATTTGTCGCTTGCGAAGGCGTGTGGAAAACACAGCAACGGAAGCACTACATAGGCTGCTCTCATTGGAATCAGTCCAAGCTCCGGTGCCGTACACTTCACTTCTTTCACTTTGTCAATCTCCGCCCTACTGAGGACATCGTGCAGGAAACACCTCCTTTCCGCCACCTCCGCACTGAACCCCATCGCTATCGCTATCTCCGCACCGTCCATATTACCACCCCCATACCGCCTCGCTCTCCGGGGCGCCCCTCCGGCCCCCGTGTGAGACCGCATCCCGGAACGCGGAATAGCTATCGTTCAGGCCCGCGCACTCTGGGCTCGCCGCGCGGATCGCGTACGCGTCCGGTAGGAGGGTCTCGAGTTTCTGTGCACATCCGTTGCCATTAGCCAGGTATCAGGGTGCCATAAAGAAATAGGAATGAGGTTGGGGGTGGGCGCGATGCCGGAAATCGAGTGGTGAATGATAGGCAGGGGAAGGGAGGCTGCAAAGATTGACTGACCTCGATGCGTTGTTCGGTTGCAGGGTGGGTGCTGAGGAACTGGAATCGGCTGCCCGCGCCCTCGAGTTTCGCTAGACGTGTGAACATTCTGTTAAGGAGAGGACACTCAGCGATGGTTCGGTATAGCTCGAACGCAGATATACTTACGCAGGTGCGGCTTGTGGATCGTAGCATGCTCTTGACATGAGTCTCAGGCCAACCTTGTCCGCTAGACACAGTCGTCAACAGGTGCGGCTACGCGATATGGCGTGGCAAGCGGTACCTTCAAGTTCGTGCATACGAGAGTTTGGCAGCTCGTATACAAGCCGAGATACCATTTGGGAGAGGCCGAACTCGAGCCCTAGCATGGAAAAGGTACTCGCGATGATGAGCAGGACCTTCGCGGAGGATACGCGTTCGGACATATGTCGCAGTACTACAGGAGACAGTCAACGGGCTTCGTCGCACCCATGTAGAGGGAGCTGACCTGCGTGTCCAATCTCTGCATGGCGGTAAGCTCCAGCATAGAGGGAAGCGCTCAAGGACATACCATGCCCAAGGACAGCGGCCAGACCTTCTTCGTCCCTCGCAGCCCGCAGAATGCCAGTGAACACAATGATGTCTCCTACAAGCACACAGTCAGCTAACATCAATATACCCACCTCAAGGACACCAACGCACCGAAGCTCGCCGCCGCATTCACCTCTCTGTCATCGTTGACCACCATCAAGTTCCACTGCTTCCCGCCGACGGTCGGAGGCACGCCGCTCTTGTGACCCGCGGGCGCCGGGTGCCACAGCCCGCCGTCGGGCTCGCCAAACGGGAGTGCGTGCGCGGGCTCGGGAGGGGTGAGGGTACCGAGGTTGGACGCCTCAAGAATGCGCTCGACGACCCGCCGGACGTGCCGCGTGAGGGGGTGGTTTGGCGGGAGGACCTTGCGGCCGTACTCTGCTACGAGCGCTTCGTGTGAGGCTCGTGCTAGCTGGAAAGGGAGCGTTGAGTGCGAGGGGGTGGGTGGCTGAGGACAGGAATTGGCTGACCTTCGCCTCGAGTTGTGGGCTCACGTCCATGAATCGCCACCGTCCTGTGTCCTCAATCTGCTCCAAGCTACGTGAGCGGTGCGAGAGACAATCAGCACATCAGTCCCTTTGATCTAAATCAAACGAACAGTGAGCACGAAATACAAAAACGCACTGTGCGACATAGTACCAACCACCGGCCACCACGATCCCGACGACGATCTTCTCGCGCAAGTCGAATCGCCATACGTTCGTCGTCTGCTTCGAGTCACCGCCAAAACGCACGTACTTCGACGCCGTGCGTTTGCTGGACGAGGAGAATGGGCGGGCGGGTCGCGCGACATGCAGGCTTGTCGGTGCGCGAGGTCGAGGAGGGTGTGCACTCAACGGCACGGTGCGAGAGAGTGCGCGGAGAGGCCTGAGTGACGAGAGCATGGCCAAGGAGGGCGATCAGGCAAACGAAGGCACGGTGAGGCTGGAGTGTGGTGGGTCTGGAGACACAGAGAACGGTCGAGAGATTTATTACATAGAGCTAGAGTCGGAGGATCCGAGTCTGCGGCGAGTCTGCGCCTGTCTGCGCGTCCGGCGTGTCCAAGGCGTGCCGAGATGCGTCATGGACCAGCAAGTGTATAGTATATAACACGACTGATAAGCATAACGCCGTCCAATTTTCAATCCGATATGGTGTAGTGGCTAACATTATCGCCTCTCACGCGATAGCCCGGGGTTCAATTCCCCGTGTCGGAATGTTTTTGCTCCTTTACCTAGCAGAGCACGAACGTTCTACATATACAGTATCTATTCATCGCTGGCTCGGAATGCTCAGCCATGTGTCTCATTGCCTATTCGATGTTCATTTGAGCATTACTAGTACATCCCCGGACCCTACTGCCGCTCCTTCCTTGATGCCTTTCCCGAATCCGACCACTGCGCGTCCCACATTCTCCTCGCCAGCCTCAACGTTAACCTCTGTCTTCATGGCCTCGAGGATGATAAGCACATCTTCGCTGGACTTGATGACATCCCCCGGCTTGCACTTGATTTTCCACACAGATGCAGTCAAGGAAGAGACCACTGATTCCGCCGTTTCGTCGACTTCTACGGAAGAGGTGAGTGAGAGTGCGAGGACTGGTTCATAGACTGACCAGTGGAATCATCCCCTGTCTCAGCCTCTTTCAGCGCCTCTTGCTTTTGTGCGAGCCACTTGCTGAAGAGCTCGCGTTCCCTGCAGTAGCCACTACATGAATGTAGGTCTCGATTGATTGGCGATGAGACTTGCCTAGCTTCCTCAGACTTGACCCCGAGCGCTTGGCTCTCCTTAAACAGCCTCACCTCATCGGCGATGCCCGCTACGAATTTGTTGTACTCTGCCATGGAGAAGTTGCGTTCTTCGATCTGTCACTACATGAGTTCATGACGATCCATCATATGACAGGGTCATCACCTTGAAGACATAACGGCCCGCGTCAAACTGGGTCTCTGCCTAGAGAAAGACGGCGTCATGAGGCTGACTACGCAGTTCAGCAGAACGGCACAAACCTCTATGTATTGCGCCTCCGTCACTGGTTCGAGGACAACCTGATTGGCTCCGTGAATAACGGATCTACGACTCGATGAACGAACGGACTTACCTGATCGAACGGTTGCAGGAGCCATGGCTGGTCAGGCCCAAAGTCCCTCCCCTTTCCCCACGTTTGCCAAGGCGGAAGCGTGCGTCCGTACAGTTGGTAACCTCCTGGCGATTCGATGGGATATATCGCAGCAACCAGACCAGCTATGCCGACGGCGCCCTGCAAAGCATGTTCAGTCTACGTCATTGTAGTGCAAGCAAGACAGACTTACTCGTGGAGTATATGTCCGCGAAGGGTTCATCTTCTGTCCAACTAGCCTGCATCGCGGATCGATCTAACAAAGTCTGGTTCAACCGATGCGCGACAGGTAGTGGGGTGAGAAACGCACAGGGACGAGGAACGGACATGCCATGTAGAACCCAACGGCAAAGACAAGCTTAACATGCTCTGGGTCAATAGGCGCGGCGTAGCAGTCGTGCAAATGCAACTCACATACTCCGACTTGACCAACAGTCGCAAGGCCTCTTCTCCGCCTCCCTCCAAACCGTTGTTGTTTGCGAGGTACTCGATGTTGCTGGGCAGATAGGCCGCCTCTGCTCGTGTCGAGCGCATGTATTTCTCTAGTGCTTCCTTGCTCCAGCGATCGTCAAGAACGATGGGGAAGGTGATCCTGCGTGCTGGGAACACCGTGTCCGCCAGTGTATCCGGGAGAGAGGTCTCAGCATCGACGAGGATAGCTAAAAGGTCGGATTGCGAGATGGCGGACGGATCGTAGTGTACCTGCGGCGACAGTAGATTAGGTAACCGTCATTTCCGCTGGAACCATCGACATACCATTGTCGACCGAATGCAAGGAGCCAACGACCATATACCCTTCACGTCTCTTTGTCGTATCTTACCTTCGAGCGCATGGATCCTCGCACGTAGGTTGAAGTCCAGCTTCATCTCCCCGTACTCGACCAGTATGGCAGAGTCACCTGCCTGCGTCCGCCTTCTGTCAGACGATATGTGGAGTGGCCATGCGCTGAGTCTTACCTGCCGGAATATGACTCTTGGACGCACACTGCCAACGGCAGGCTCTACGACATGGATCTTTGGGTCTTGAGACAGGTCGGTAAAGGTCTGGGAGAAGATGGCGGGTGGGGGTACGCCGGGGGTAGATTCCTTGGACGATATGACGTCCTCGAGCCCAGCGAAGTACCGCTGTCGCACCGTGGCGAGTTCCATTGCCTGCTCTACTGAGATGCGATGGAACTGGATGGTCGAACCAGGGCGGAGCTGGCCGACTTTCCATCTGCGTTTAACAATCGTCACAGTGTGATCACTTCACATCTCGAGATACAAACTCACAGGTCTTCAGTCGCGACAGTGCAGAAGCACATGTATCCGCCCATATCCGGTCCGTCATTCGTCAACAGCACAGGAGTATCACCATTGACGTTGATCGTCCCGAACGCATACCCGTTGTCAAGCACATTGCTCGGGTGCGAACCGCCTTCACCGCCAGTCTCCCTGGCCCACTTCAAAGGCGGGCCTTCGAGACGGATACCCATGCGGTTGCTTGACGCGCTCACTTTCCAGCGGGTGCTGAAGAACTCTCGTACCCCTTCGGCAGTGACAAACTCCTCGTCTGAGTGGGGTCCGGAGAGGCAGTAGACAACCCAATCGGCGGGGTAGACGGGGATCAGTGTGGACGGGAGAGCTAACATCTGTTCGTCTTCGAGCGGTGAGCAAGCCCCGAGAGCAATCGTATCGCCTGCGTGTAGTGCACGTCCCTGTGTCGACCCGTTCAGGCTCCTCATCCTCACCAGTTCGAACAAGAGAAATGTTACCTGGTAGCCACCCAATCCGATGGACGTAGACTTCGAGCCGAGGTGCTCCGGGATCTCCGGAAATCCACCCCTCACAGCGAGGTACGCCCTGAATCCCGTTCCCTTGATAGTCCCAACAGAAACTTTTGCGCCTGCCGGTACGACAACGCTCCTCCACATCTCGACGTCTTCCCCGTTGACAGTCACCTTCGTGGCGGCTCCGGTGACGGCGATGACCGCCGGGACGTGGAAGAGGAGGCGGCACCCTACGAGTGTGATTTCGAGTGCTTCTGTGCCCGGGTCGTTCTTCACAAGCATGTTGGCGGCGCGGAAGGCGAGTGGGTCCATTGGCCCGCCGCGAGGGATGCCCATGCCTATGCGGCGGCCGGGGTAGTCCTGGACGGATGTTTCGAGGCCTCCGCTCAGTACGTCCATGGCCCTGATGATATTCAGTGATGCTTCAGAGTGTAGCTCATACAGACCGAGACTTACCTGGGCGTGAAGGCAAAAGTGTCGAGGAAGGTCGTCATGGCATTTCCCGCCTTGAAGACGTCCGACTCACAAATCGCCTTGAGGTAGGCCATGTTGTTCGGAGGCCCGAAGACCTTGCTCTCTGAGAGAGCTTGTTGCATCCGCGCAATGGCCTCCTCTCGCGTCGGTGCCGTGACAACGAGTTTGCAGACTAGCGGGTCAAAGTAAGGCGTGACGGTAGTGCCAGTCTCAATCTGACGAACACTATTAGCTCCGGGGTCGAGGCAGCACGCATTGATCTGCATACCCAGCTCTCAATCCGGAGCCACTCCGCTTTCATGAACTCTACGTGCTGCAACACGCCAGGACTTGGCTTGAACTGCGCAACAGGGTTCTCGCAGTACACTCGCGCCTCGATGGCGTGAAGGTTCCGCTGGTCCGGAGGGACGGAGAACGGTTCTTGCTCGAGCTTATCTGGGAAGAGACCTCCATCGCGTGTCTCCCGCTCCGCTATACCTTGCCGGATCATGAGCTCGACGATGTCAAGACCAGGGTTTGTCGCTTCCGTTACGGGATGCTCGACCTAGCGTGACCGCTGTTAGCGCTGGGAGTAGAAGTACTGAAGGTGAGGCACACCTGAAGGCGGGTATTCATCTCCAGGAAGAACATTTCTTGGGAGTCGTCATCCACGAGGAACTCGACAGTACCTATGTAACGCAGATGAGTTACCCTGCGCCTTGCTCGAAGTTGGCATCAGACTACACACCGGCAGATGCATACTTGATGCGTTGACAGAGACGCAACGCAGCAGCACTCATCTTCTCGAAGACATCTGTTACATCGCGGAAACAGTGTGAATAAGCTTATGGGGCCAACAGAGGCAACATACCAGGATGCTTCACCATGAATGGGCTCGGAGTCTCCTCGATGACCTTCTGGTGCCTGCGTTGTACACTACATTCTCGTTCGCCTAGGTGTATGGCATGACCGAGACCATTGCCGAAGACCTGACATGGATCAAGTAGCAATCAATCGCACAGAGAATGACTTGCCTTACCTGAATCTCAACGTGCCGTGCATGAGGGTAGTACCGTTCCAGGAACACGCCACCGTTCTTAAATAACGACTGCACATATTCCAATGCATGACGACACGACCCAAGATGAAGTCGATTGATTGGCTTACAGTAGCACGTTCTTGCGTCGAATGAAACCTCGTTCGCAATTCTTCTGCATTACGGCAGATGACCAAGCCCATGCCTCCACCCCCGGCCGTTGATTTCAACATAATAGGATAGCCAATCTTGTTGGCAACCTTTACTGCTTCGTCTTCGCTCTCCAGCAGCCCGTCAGACCCGGGGACCAAGGGTACATACACCTCAATCGCGAGAGCCTTCGCTTCGTGCTTCAGGCCCATGGTTTGGATCGTCTCCGGTCGAGGACCAAGGAAAGTGACCCCCGCATCGCGAAGCAAGCTCGCGAACTGAGTGTTCTCAGAGAGGAAACCATACCCAGGGTGCACTAGCGTCACACCACGCTCTTCGCAAATGTCCACGATGGCTTCCGCGTCCAGGTAGCCCCGCGAGTTGGAGACAGGGTCGTGGTCGTCCGGGCGCAACGCGACTGCCTCGTCGGCGAGCAGGACATGGGGCGAAGTCGCGTCCGTGCGAGTATAGATGGCGACCGTCGGTATATGGAGGCGTCTCGCCGTGCGGAGGATGCGCACGGCTATTTCGCCACGGTTGGCGACGAGTAGCTTCTGCTGCTGGAACGACGCGGCCATCGTGCGCGACTGCGAGTCAGATGCGCGCTAGGGTTCCGCCTTCCGTGTACACAGGCTCGCAGCTTATAGGTGTACCGACGCACTCCATGATGCTGCTACTGAATGATAGGAGGTCAGGCTATCAGGCGAACGGCATTATCTCTGCATCGTCCTCATGTGAGTGCACATATAAGGAACGTGAAACCACGGTTCACGTTCATCCTATCGAGGGGAGGCTAACCCGAAGCCCTTGAGAGAAGCGTCTATGGGAGCAGAGATACGCACGGGAACGCTTAAGTGAACAACCAATGGACACCGTGCCCGTCCAGGAGACCTCTCCTGCTGACCCTCCGCCAACAATTGCTCTCTAGGCCGCGTTCTGGTTACTGTGTTCAAGGCCTGTCATTTGGACCCTTCAAGATGCGCGCGACTGTGAACTGCGATATGGGAGAGGTGAGCATCCTTATCGGCCTGCACGAATCGTCAAGCTCCCGGGGCGGACGAGGGTACTTCGAATGCACAGACTCCGTGTAGAACATCCAGCGAGTTGTAGAGCATCCTGGCCACAGATTGAAACTCGAGCAACGAGATGATGATGGCATGGTGCAACGAAGTCATAGACGCCCTTGCCGCTTGTCCTCGTCCAGCGCCGTCGCGCAACTCATGTCGATTGTTCACGAAATGACTGACAGCATGGTCATCTAGGGCTTTGCCCTATATACGATAGTGAGCAATTGTAGCGTCGCATCCTAAATGGGTGACTCATGGTCGACAGGGAGACGATGAGTCCCTCATGAAGACGATCCATATGGCCAACATCGCATGCGGATTCCATGCATCGTGCGTACTCTCAAACTCGCCCTTAGATAGACAATCCTGAAGAATGGTTCCTCAGTGACTTCAATATCATGAACAAGACCGTACTCCTGGCCAAGGAGAATGGTGTGCTTGTCGGTGCACACCCATCACTGCCCGACAGGCAAGGATGGGGGAGGCGCGAGATGGCCATCGAACCCGTACGTCGTGCATTGCTCTGCACGTCGGTGCTCAGAAAGCGCTGAAAGCGAACATCGTAGGAAGAGCTCGCGTCGTGCTTCATTTACCAAGTTGGGGCATTGACAGGCTTCCTAACGCTTCACGGCGTGGACCTATACCACGTGTGTGACTCATTCGCGCCTTTGGAGACGGTTCACTGACATTCACACCCCAGATTAAACCTCACGGCGCTGTCTATGGCATGACTGCCCGTAACATGGACCTCGCCCGCGCAGCAGTAGGAGTAGCCAAGACCTTCGGCGTCGCCTACATGGGTCTTGCTGGAACATGTCATCAAGCTGCCTGTGAAGAGCTCGGAGTCCCATTCATTACCGGTTAGTCCTTCCAACTGCAACCCGGGATCATACTGATATGCTTTTATGTAGAGTGGTACGCTGACATGGAGTACGCTCCCGACGGCAAGCTCCTTATAACCAAGTTCGTTACGGAACACGGTGTAACGTAACAGTCCAGATCACTGAGCACACACTTTAGGAAACATGACCCTATCCCTCTCGACGTCATCAAAGCCCGGGTACTGTATCCATCTGCATTCGGAAATCCCGCAATCATTGACATCTACATTCAGGTCTCGAAGATGCTCTCCGAAGGTCTAGTGACGACGAAAGATGGTACCTTCTTGCCTTTGGGCACTAACATCAAGAATGTGTCTATCTGCTGCCACTCCGACACACCTGTTCGTCTGTTCGCGTACTCATTTGTCCCTTTCGTAAGCTGACACTATCCGTGCGCCAGGGCTCGGTCGAGATTGCACACCTCGTGAAGGCAATGGTGGACGAACACAATGCACATTCAGGCTTTAAGAACTGATTGCGGCGAATGAAGTCATGAGCTCCTTGTACATAATTGTATCGCGTGTAGGCACCGGCTTGCGACGCCCTGCGTTCACAAATATTATCACGTCCTTTCCCGCAGGCTTGGTGCATAATGCTGGACAGTCATTGTGCATAGCGATGCTGAGTATTCGTCCCGCGAACCTGCCGCGAATTGCCCGCAAGTACTTGGTAACAATATCACGATCATGTGATGGGAAGACGACTCGGTGATTGGTGGGATCTTGGGAGCGGCGCCCCGCAGGCTCAGATCTCAGATCCTGTTCCGTCTTACCAAGTCTCCGCCGTGTTACTTATATACGTCTGGCTCACCCATCTCGACGCTAGTGAGGTTCTGTTTTCTAAGGCGACATCTAACTTACCTGGAGACTGACCAGTGGCCACAGAACGGTGACGGCAAAATGAAAACCTCAATTTCCTCTTTGCCCACTGAAGTGGTAGAGATCATTCTCGTTATTGCTGCGGTAGACGGTTTCCCTTCGGCGATAGGAGCGCTGTCGCAAACTTGCCGCGCTTTCCATACCCTGACCTACGATGCGGCCGACCACCACCTCTGGCGAACGATCTTTCTCAGCACGTTCGATGACCCGCGACGGCTCAAATACTATGTCTCAGGTATGGCACTTGGTTCACGTGGTTGACTTTTGTGTGACGTACAGCATGTTCCAGGTAACTTCGACTGGTGTGACGAGTTCAAAGAACGGACATGGGCGGCATCCTTCCTTAAGCGGCACGTCCGACCGCTTCGTGTACAGAAGATCTACACGCTCCGTACGCGGACCACCGCCACTTCTCTCGTGGACCTCACGCCCACATACGAGGTGGACAGCAGCGTACGAATGCTGAACGCGTTGCTGTCCGTTATCAAGACCACCGCGCCCAATGAGCATGGCCCCGGCCAGGGTGAGGAGAGCAAGGCTGTCGAAGGGGAAGTGATGATCCACAAGCGGTCCCTGTCCTACGCCCACCATGCCGCCCCCGATTTCCCGGAGCGCCCGCGAGGCTACTCCAAATGCCTGAACGTCCCTTGGCTGCGCGCTGTCTTGGAGCATGGCCTCCCTGCGTCGCTCATTACCAAAATCTCAAGTGACACGCGAGACTTGCGTTGGGACAAGACTCCCGAAGCACTGGCTCTGGGCGAGCTCATCGCTTGCACGGGCTTCATACCCGTACGGAACCTCATCGAAGAGCGGACTGGCCGCCTTGCGTCATCTTCATCGGGAAGTTATCGTCCGGAACCACGGTCACCCTCGATGTCGGATATGGACATGTCCGCCGAGTCACAGAGGCTGCGGGCCCGTTATTGTGCCCGGGAGCTCGTATACAGGATGGCTTATCTTAGTCGGCGACGACATTGGGGCCCGTACCTCCCAGTCGCGCCGTCTGCCGAAGACGAGCCCATCTTGCGCGATTCCAGCCATGCGCCCGCTGCGACTGATGCGCCTCGTGTGCTCCGTAAGATGCTTCAAAAACGTGAAGCGGAGTCATCCGAGTCTGAGTCTGACCCAGACTTTTCCCCAGACGATGAGGATACCATCGCATCCCCAGACTACGTCGACGCATCCGACGATGAAGTTGAGGAGCCCCCACTCGTGGACCTTGTCCAGTCGCGAAAACGGAAGCGCGTCGTACCAACCCCAGAGCAGCTCAGGCCAGACTGGTCCTGGCTCGCAGCAGCGCGGATTCTAGTCGAAGACAACTTCAGTGACGTAGAAGAGTACAAGATAGCCGATCTCGTCGATTGGAATTTCTGGAGAGAGACTTGGGCCAACCATGCGGATGACGAGGAGCCTCGTATACTCGACGAAGAGCTTCCGGTGATAGGAACAAACGGGATGATAGGCAAGTCACCGGGGCTTGGACCGCAATGCCGAGACTGGGCTGGTGCACAGGGCGTGTGGAGGTAAGCAGGGTCACTGCGTCTTGCACTTAGTCGGGCATCATAATCTCACTTGCAACGCAGGCGAGCTGTTCTCTGGCTCGATTACGCTGATCTGATGCGTGAGTGCGATCATCTATCAGTTCTTAGTCCATATAGCTCAGACCGTCCGAGTACTAGATCACAACGTAAGTACTCTTCTGCCCAGGAAGGGCAACGCCTCACACTTCCACGGCCAGCACTTTGGTGGATTCAGCGATCCCGGACTATATGAGTGCAAGATTGTTGTTCCGCTCCGACTCCGCATCGTAGGCTACGACGCCCCCTCTGTCGCTGCGTATCCAGACCGGCCCACCATTCTAGTCGAAGGCGAAATGGGCGGCCAAAGCTTCGAAGGATATGAGGATGGCACTGCAGACGACATCCGAAGAGTGCACGGCGCAGTCAGCATGCTATCTACCGGCCATGTGCGATGGAATCTTGTGAGTGGAGGTGTTTCTTTGATGCCCATGGTTTACTCACCTACACCTGTCGGACCCAGACAAGCTCTGAGGAGGATGACCCAGACAAGGACTTGTGGGCTTCAGAAGGCATACAGGTCGGTGCCGTCGGCTCCGACGCAGGCATCCTCGGTATGTGGACAGGCGTGCGTCATGAACAAACCGACCCCCTCGGTGAGTCCTGGCTTGCTCATCGCTCGACATGTCATTGAATAGTGTCCATTATCCCCGTAGGCGCGTTTTGGCAGTGGAGGGTCGTTTGAAATAAAACAAGGGAGTGTGCCGCGCCAATTTGTCACGGCACGCAAGGTTCCTTCAGAAGATCATATGCTGCTATTGTATTAAACTCGAGCTTGACTCAGCATGCCGCCGAAGAAGTCAAAGAACCCACGGACGGTAACTTTGTATGATTGGAAACGATGTGTTTGGATGGTCTGGTCTCAATGATAGAGTTCTACGAGTAAGCTTCTCTTGGTCAATGAATGCCCTGTTATATTTAGTCCACATCGTGGTTCTGACTTGCATGCTTGACGTCAGGAAGACGGACCTGGGCTGGAGCGAAGATATCTTCTCGAGCACGCAGGCGTGTTCTCAGTAACATGCGAGGCATAACTTACTTGCAGCTGTAACGTCCCCGGTCCGACCCTGAAATACTGATGAGTGTGGTGTTGTTCTCGTCGCATGTCAGGCGGTCCATATACTTAGAGTCCTTGCCCTTTCTCTACTGAGACGCAAATGCATCCTGCGTATGCATGGACATTGGGGAATGGTCCAGGCACTAGGGCTCATGTTGTTCTCTCCAACTTTGCCATGACTTCGTGCTCAGCGGTCCGGCAACGCCGGGAAACGCGATCTGACCCCTGGTCAATCGAACATGCATGCAGCGAAGAACCTCTATGTTTCCAGTACAGTACCTGCTATGATACAGCATGTGTGTACAACAGACTTTTACATGTAAGCTTACATCCATCCATCCAAGTATATGTGAAGAAACCAGCAAACATTGCGGAGACAGATAGGACCGCCCTGAAGAACAGGACAAGCGCAAGCCATTCGCACTGCTCAACACTCACAGCCGTCCGCTCTGTATGGCAACACCGTTCGCGAGAGGACCAATCTCGCGCTCACCGACCTCGCGCCACCAACGCTCCGCAACCTCGTCGGCGTCGTAGCCGAACTGGGCTTCGTTCTTCTTGCGGTCCGCCCACTGGTTCGGGTTGCCCTCCATCATCTCGCTCTCCGAGATGACTTCGCCTCGGAGCTCGCGTTCCGCGAGCGCGAGCTCGGCCTCCATCGCCTTGCGCATCTGGAAGTCGCGCGCCTCCTGCTCGGGCCCGTCGGGCAAGTGGAAGATCGTCTGGTTCAGACGGGAGGAGGCCTGAGTGGCGGCGGTGCGCGGGAGCCGCAGCGACTCGTAGGCGTAGAGGAGAGGCTTGAGTTGCGCGATGTTGGATATGCGCGAGAGCAGGTTGCCGAGCACGCCAGCGTCCTCGATGGCCATGGCAGCACCTTGCGCACGGTAGGGCTGCGTATGTGAATGTCAGAGCGCGGATCCTTGGGTTGCGAGAGTGTACCCACCAGCATGGGATGGCAGGCATCTCCGAGGAGTGCGACACGCCCCGCGGGGTGGATCCATGTCTCCAGAGGCTTGCGATCCATGAGACGCCACTTCAGCGTCGTGTCAACCGTCTTGAGGAGCTTCTGGATACTACAGGGAACGTCAGAGAGGTGTTGACAGGGGTGAGACGCAGGCATACCGGGGCTCAAAGTCGGCGAAATCGGCGCGCATCTTGTCGGCGCTGCCCTCGGCTGTCCACGACTCGACTGAGCCGTCGTCCGGGTGCAGCATGACGAGGTTGTACAGTTGGCCCCCGCGCTGGGAGAACGCATGTGAGCACCACATGCCAAGCGCGACTGTGTGAACGGGGTACTCACGACGAGGTACCCCATGATGTGCCGCTGGGGGCCCATCCAGCCTGTCATCTCGGGCGTCTTGACGAACGACTCGAGCTCGGGGTCGGCGAGCAGAGCCGAGGCGGGAATCGTAGCGCGGTACGCGGCGTCGCCCGTGGGGTGCGCAGGGTTCTCGCGGCCAAGGACGGCCTTCTGGATGCGGCTCTTGATCCCGTCTGCGCCAATGATGAGATCGCCGTGGATGACTTCGCCGGAGGCGAGGGTCAGCGAAGGCGCCTCCGGGTCGCAGTCGACGACGGTCGAGTTGAGGCGGAGGTCCATCTCGTTCAAGGCGCGGTCGTACAGGAGCTTGTGGAAGTCGGCGCGGTGGATGTGGTAGTACGGCGCACCGAAGGCGTCCATACGCTCGCCCCAGCGGGTGTACGCGACCTTCTGGCCATCGCTGTACCTGCGAAAGACGAGCCCCTCGGGCTTGACGGAGACCTTCTTGAGCTCCTCGGCGAGACCCCAGCGGATGAGGAGGCGGGTGACGTTGGGCGAGACCTGGATGCCTGCGCCGACCTCACCGATGGCGGGTGCGGACTCGAAGAGGGTGATCTTGTGGCCGGCCTGAGCAAGACAGTGGGCGGCGGCGAGGCCACCGAGACCGCAGCCGACGATGAGGATGTGGAGCTGGAGGGGGGCTTGCTGGGACATGTCTGTGGTTGCTGCAGCGGAGGCTGGGTGGCAAGACGGAGAGGCTGGCAGGGTATATGTAGCAGTGAGGGAGAACAGTTGGTCCGAGCATCATAAATACTCCCATTGAGCGTTCCGATGCAGCAGTCACGATCACAATGGACAACGTTGGGATGTGCTCACGCTCCCGCGCCCGATTCGATCGCACTCAGCCTTGCCTTTTGCGGAGTCCGCATGCTCGTCCACCCAGCGCTTCCGACCCCTCTCCCTCCCTCTACCGTCCGCCTGAATGGCTCTATCATGACGCTGCCCCAGTCGGTGCCACGTCCGAGCTTGTATCGCCTGGATCCGTGGCTTGCTTCTCCCAAGGCACGGGTCCTGAGGCCTGATAAGTTAGGTCATCGGGTCCGCCACTTACCGCACGTACGTCCTCGGCCCTGCTGCGCGTTTGTTCCGCCTTCCACAGATATCACTGCGCACTGAGACGCAGAGTTCATAAACGACGTTATAACGTCTGAGCCCGCTACAACCTTTCAACCCCGGCGTTGAGGTCCTACAAGGTATCCCGGAACCGACCCGCTCTTCTCGTCGCTCCTGGTGAACGATTCACGCGAACACGATGCAGCGCTGAATGAGCTGCTGGCTCCCTTTTAATGCGTTCTGTCTTCTCGGGAGTGCTTTCATCCACTCGATAGGAAATCCTGTCATTCATCTTGGTCAAATCCCCATTGGACGATTCGGCGAACCGAATCCCCTCAGTCGTTCCACAGTGGCGTAGACTTGACTTGGATATTGACGATCCATATCCGAGTCTGCTAACTCCTCCTAGGATGCTCTCCTGACGTTGTATCTCGAAAGCAACGCGCCCGGCGTTCTGGCCATGCTTGCAGGGCGCCTTCCGAGGGGACCCTTCGACTTGCCGCGGACGCTTGCAAGACGCTTGCATACCATTGCCGCCAGCGCAGGGTTCAGGTCCTTCCCAGCAGTCAACCGCTCCAGTGAGACCAATTTCCATTCTTCGTCGAGGCCCGTACATGGGCGCCGGAAAGGAGCGCGCTCCTTCTCTCACGCCTTCAACTAGAAACCCTGCTTACCGTTCCGAATCCTACCTTCCGTCATACACAGTGGCGTGCCTCAAGGCCTGGCAGGAGCCCACGAGAACCACCGTTGCACCAACGCCCTGAAACAGCGTCTGGCACGCCAGCGCTGTATCGCCGCATTGGCTCCCAACCTCGATAAGACAGGGTTATCTCGGTAAGTCCATGGTCGCAAACGTACAGGTCCATGGTTGCTTATAGTCAGGTCCCAGCTGGATGCGTACTCGAGGCGAGAGCTATCATTTGCTCCCGCCTCGTAATTGCAGAATACCGGATACCTCCACCTCGTGGTTCAACGCCGTTGGCAGCGCTCGATTCACTGCAAGAGTCCGGTTCTGCGCGCCCATGATGTGAAATGAAACTTGACGACCTCCGTAAGGCTTGTTTCGTGGACGGGTCAGTCTCGTTTCCGTCCTCTCTTCGCCGAAGTTGACGCTCGGGAACTCCGCACTGGCCAGGGTTATGCCAATCACCCACGGCTGGCATTGAACTGGCGGAACTGGCGGCTTGCTGTGCTCCATTAGCTCATGAGTCATACTTCCCCATGTTGTTGTTGACGCCGCCTACTCGCCTGACCCGTCAGAAATGTGAGAAGGTGGGCTTGAATGAGTCGGTCAGCGCCTCGCCGTCTTGCTTCGCGGTTTCTTGCGACGACCGAGCTGTACATCCCAGGCGTCTCGCGCTTGCACCAATTTCGTAACAAGCAGCTCTAGTCTTCTTGTGTCCATGGGGAATGGTCTTCAGCGCACTACGCGCCGCGCGCCGCTCCATACCTAGGTGAGACTTCGCTGCTATGATGAAGGTCTTCAACACATTTTTTCCCCTTGAGGTAAATTCCATATACGCCAAGCTCATCGAAACAAGGGCGACGATTCTTACATACCCCCGGTGTATTCAAATGCCAAAAGCACCAGACAATCTGATGTCGCGAGTGCCTTCAGCCTACATCAGACATCGGGCCGTGATTGGGATCCTTGGAGGTCCGCAGCGGAGCTGACCAAGGATGATCTTGCAGAGAGACACGGAGAGTCAAAGGAAATGCTTGCTTACGAGCTCGAGGCTACTTCAGAGTTATGTCGGCGAGCACCATGTGGTAACAGGGCTGGCACCGTTCGATGTACCAGAGGTGCTCCTTCAATCTCAGGGATTTACTGAGAGTGTGCCTCGGTACTCGAAGTGACCGTTCGCGTTTCAACTGGGCCTACCTGCAGCGGAAACATCACGGCGATGGAGACGGAGGTCAGGAGCAAGTGTGCGAAGACCGGCACCTCAGCAAGTTTTCTATATATCTAGTTCGCGGCAAAAGACAACGAAGCTGCTAGATTACGGTAGCACAGCTTGAGCTTCCATAGTTCAGCCACTTATTGACGGCCAGTTGACGGAGAATGCTTTGCGAAATCCAAGAGCATGCGAACGACTGATCGAGCAGGCTGACAAGGTTCACTGCGATAATTGATGTCATGCGGGGAAGCGATCGATCTCAGGAACGTCGATCGGCCGGCTCTTGTCGCTCACGTGCCCCACCCGCCTGTGGCTGAGCCCGCCGCGGCAAATGCCGGCAACATTCCAACCACCTCTCGACGGTCACTCATCTCAGGCAAACGATTCAAGCCTTCACTACCCGCTGTGTAGGGTCTGATTGACATGCATCTGCCCAGTCTATACGCGGGACTTCCACAATCGCCTGAGGTGCATGCAGCACAAATGTTCTCTTGCCAGTGTTATGCAACCCCGATACCTGCGGACGGTGGTGTTTCGATGAGGACGAAGGAAAGATGGCGCAGTTTCTGAAGACTGATTTATTTGTCGATAGCTGGGCGTCCAAGGGAAATGGATGTGTACGGGACACAAGCCAGGCAAGGGGCTTCATGCGTACTCGAGAGACAGCGCGGCCTATGCTTGACTTGGGCTACAGACGCGGGTAACACCGGTGAGAACCCTTTGGAAGAGACCACTTTCCAGTCATACGCAATACTAGTAGATATCAACCGCTCAGCTCGGGAGACGAAGGTACGTCCTTCCACTTTTGACCCCGCGAGAAGTCAAGAAGCTAACGGATCATCATGTTGGCAGCGCAAGGCTATGATCTTTACTGTGTAAGCATGCAATCTGGGAAGCGATTACACACGAGCGAGTCAGCACAGCTCAGTTCTGCAAGGCCGCGGCGTGTCTGTCGCCACTCACTCAACTATCGCGAACGCCATCATGCAACCTCCAGATCCGCCCATTCTCTTGGGTCCTCGTCGGCTGTGCACTGCAGCTCTTCAATCACTCTATGTGCTGCTTGATCTGCCCGACTATGGCATTGATAGTCTCGGTGTGTACGAATGGGTTGTAGCGATCGACGAGCGACTCAGTGACAGAAGTCCGGTCCGTCATTCATGGTGCTTGGAGCATCGTCGCTGAGGTCAGTTCAGGAGAATTGTCGGCATTCGCCACTCTTTGCCACTCGCTTGTGGGTCTGTGACTCGACATGCTTGTATGTCAGGCTTGGGTCGGTCGGGCACGGAACGCCTCGCACTGCACACCCCTAGTCATCACAGCCCTGACAAGCCTAATCCAGCAGTTCCTTGTATTCTGGAACTAGGCACGCCGCCGACATGCTTCGTTCTCCCCGAGCTTGAGGTTTCATTGGACACGGATCAGTGGTATTACGTTCACAAACAAGGTCGATCTGTTATCATGATCAAGGGCGCGAAACTGTACGCCTCGAGGATCGGACGTGGTCAGTACCGCACACCTACTCTTGCCTGTCCGAGTGGCTCATGACTACGATGAAGGCCCACTCAAGATACTGGGCAAGCTGTTCCACGAGCTTCAGGCGAGTCTGTCGTAATATGTGCTCAGCGTTGAAGGCTCATCGATTGCACAGGCAGGGCCCAGGGCTGGGCAGTGGGGGATTGTCCAGCATCGCACAGCAGAAGCAGATCGAGTGGCAGTTTGTGGGTCCCTTCTCGAACACATGTCCGATTTGACGGACCCGTCATGAGATAAGAAGCGGCTCGCGCGAGCGGGAATGCTCCCCGGCATCGTCTCTGCGAACCCCCCACCAGGCCCCGAGTGGGGAGTGGGCAATCTCTGCGGAAACCTCTACTTCAACGCGACACCTGCGTACAGCTACGGCTACTATGGAGCTTTACAACACGACCATTGACGGGAAATCACCCCTATTCACTTATACCCCTTTCCGTGCGGCCGGAGTTGAAGGTGCTCTGGGAGCTTGGACCCTCGCGAACCCCGACTTAGTAAGGGTAAGATCCTGATCTTCTTGACCCAGCCACTGTTGCTCGTTACTCATCGATGTCTATTCAGGGCACCTCATACACCACCAATCACACCGGTGCAAACGTGGGGCTACAATGGACAGGCACTTCCATATGGCTCTATGGCTCAACGAGAGCACGCTCAAACTACCAAATCATTCGTAGTTGGAGCGACAAGGTAATCTACGGTAATGGAACGAACGGGACAGACGGGGTACTATTCAGCGAATCAGATTTGAACTACGGTTCATACACGGTCGCCCTTTCTGTCATCGAAGGTTCAGTGACCGTCTCTCGCGCGACAATCACAGTGGGAATGGGAGTTCCTGGGTAAGTTCCTTGTTGTATATGCGAACTATACTCGGGCTGAACGTGCTCTCCAGCACCGCACTGCAGTCGCAGAACCAGTCTGCTGCGGCAGGGGGCGGCCAAGTCAACCCATACTTCCGAACCAGCGCCAACAGCTCGTGGGCACCCTTCATCCTCGAGGGTTCCCAATCGGTGCTACGGACCACCGGTTTCGGCGACAGGATCACATTCACCGTCCAGTCCAGCGTCGGGTTCGCTATCTATGGCACTACGGCCTTCGAATCCGGCGCGTACAACATCAGCGTGGTTCCTCCCCCGGACAACCTCCCTTCCATCGTTCAGTACAATGCGTCGACAGCATTCGAAGTTCTGGACGCATTGAAGTTCTTGGCGACGGGCTTGAACGAAACGATGGACTACACGGTGACCATGACGAACACGGATCGCGACAAAACATGCGACATCGGTCAGGTCGTTCTGCACAGTGCTGTGCAAGCGTGAGTCTAACGTGTTCTGAGGGAACATGCGCGTCACACTGACAATGTCGCTCTCGCAGGTCGAGCTCTCCGATCAGTGCAAGTTCGACGTCAAGCGTGAAGCCGTCTAACACTGGGTCCGTCAATTCTGGAGCCGCGACGGCGGGCAGGCGACATCTCAGTCCGGGAGATATCGCTGGTATAGCGGCTATCCTATGCATCGCCCTGCCTTAGCTGACGAGAGCCACTTAGATTGGATGCGCTGCATGCCTCTTCATCTCCTGGGTCATCATAGCTTTTCTGCGGTCGCACAGACCTGCGAGAAGTAGCGACTCTGGGTACGCGTCCGAGAAGTCGTTCACGTCGCTGTACCGAAGACATCGCTACCAACGCGGGGCTCGAGGATCGCCTCCTCCGAGGGTAGACCTCATCGAGCCCGAGGTCGTCGTGATAGGTGGAGAGCGTGAGCCAATGGTTCCTGAACTCGCAGTAACAGCCTGTATGTTTTCATACGACTTCGCGTGGGGGCCTGAGCTAATTGGCCATTGTCGGTAGATACGAAAGCCTACAGCGACTTTGTCTCACAGCAGGTGGTACGTCCAAGCGCTGATGCGTATGTACCATGTCTATCTCGCGACTTGTTCAGCTTGCTGATTTGAATGTCTCTCGTCAGGGAGGGGCTCGTCGAGAATGCCTTGCCCAGTGGACCTATAACGGAGAATGAGAACGCGTCACCCAGCGGGCCTTCAACAGGGAATGCGTCGTCTAGCGAGGCTAGAGCAGACAATCCGATTCCAGTTCCACCGATTCCCGATGAAGACGCCGGCGCCCAAACCTCAGGAGCCAGACCTCCCTCGTACAAGTCCGAATGTAGGGTGCCCATCAAGCATGCTGCGCGCAAATCGAAACAGAAGGTTCCCTCCTCGTTCCGAATGAGGGTCGAGGGAGGACCTGTTCCTCCATGAAGCGTACCCACACATTCCCTTCACCACGAACATTATGACTTTCAATCCTCGGGCTTCCTCCCGACTCATGTTCTCAGTGACTACCTAGTATGTAATGTCCCCTAACGCGTGCGATCGTCTCTTCATGGACGGACACTGAATCACTTCTGTATCCTTACCTGAATCTCTTATCAAACTTTGTTGTAGCAACGAGAGATCCGGTTGAACTTGGGCTGAACTGCTCGTGAGGGGTCTGTCGGAACCCGTTCGCGCCGACAGCGCTCGGACTCGCCTGTTATCAGCCACTACTGTCGGGACTCATGCCAACGCCGATCTCTGCGCGTTATGGGCGGTCAACAGGCCATCCCAATCGCTTGATATTGCTGTTGCGCCCCTCGCCGGGGCTACCCCTGGACGACGCCCGATCGTAGGCGCTATGGATAAGGCCAAGTATCCTCGCCATACTCCGGTAAGGTGCGAATCTTGCTTGGAGACATATTGAACACAGATGATTCCTTAGGCGTGTCGGCCAATTCCTATGCATCCTCACTGCACCGCTGCGAACCAATTCCGAAGGAATGACTGCGTCAGGACGATAGCTTCGAGGATCGCACAGGCGCCCACGCACATGCAGCACAGCTTGCACGCCTTTGATGGCCCTTCCCTAGTGTGATCAGGCGAGTCTTGGCAACCCGCTCTCACCAAAAAAGCCACCGTCAAGTCATGACCGGTGCGCTCGAGGCATTTGTCAACCCGAATGCAATCCGTTCTCCGAGGCGGCGAGGACGGGGAGCGATACAAAAGCGCCCCGACCTCTCGCAGGGCTGCTTGTGATGATTCCTTCGCCCCGCCCCGCCCCTCCCTCGGACTCGGATTGACTGAGCTGGAGGGAAAGGATGGGTTCTGAGGAACAGGAGATCATAACGCTTCTCCAGAGCAAGTGCGTGTTGGAGTTCTCGATTCCAGTGTGAAATGTTGGCTCACTGAATCATTGTAGCTTCATAACCAACTACTGCGAGCTCGCAACATGCAGTACGTCTTATTGCAGCCTCTAAAACCCTCGATTCATGCTGACAATCACGGTGTCTTTGCAGTGCTGATCTTCTTCGAACACATCGTAACGCTCCCGGACGAGATCCGCTTCATATGGCGACGAAAGCTCACCATGTCAAGCCTCATCTTCCTGCTGAACCGCTACATCCTGTTCCTGTACGGACTCGTCAACGTGGTTGGGGTCATCCCATGGACGACTAACATAGTGCGCCTCTCCGGCCTTTCCGCTGCGAGTGGTGTTACTCACCTGTTACTTTGGTTTGCCCTAGGGGTCAGACGCGTTCAGTGGATTCGTGTGTGCGAGTGATGCTGAACGAAAGACTTGCAGATGCGCGGCCATAATCATGCTATACACCGTCTTCACTCTCCTGCTGTACGCTATCACTCCCAGTACGCCCCACTCACCTCCTCGATCACCATGAAGCCTGAAACTCACATCTCGCAACACAGTATTCTCCACCCTCCGTGTGTACGCCATCGCAGGGCGCAAATGGCACTTCGCCCTCGCGACGTTCTTGACCGGCATGGTCGCCGTTGCGTCGAACCTCGTAAGTCCGTGTCCGTGTCCGGGTGTTCCATCATGACGACTCACTCAGAGTACTGCTCGTGCGCTGCGCAGGCAAATGCCGTGCAGGCTTCCCTTGGCTACCTAGTCTACGTCGGCCCCCTCCCCGTCTGCACGTACAACGCGTATTACAGCGAGTCGGAGCACTTGAAGTGAGCATGTCCCGACCCTCCGTCCGTCCGTCCAACTGACTCACTGGCCTCGTTCCGCTAGACGTACGCCCCCACCTATTGTCATCCCTCCTTCGGGTTCTGACTGCCTTCAGTAACGATCGCGACCCGCGTCTGCTCGATCGTCTCTGACCTGCTCGTCATCGTCGTGACCTGGTGGCGGACGTACGCGCTCAAGCGGGAGGCAGACCGGCTGCACATGCGGGCGTCGCTCGCGACGCTGCTCCTGCGCGACGGCACCATCTACTTCGTGTGCGTGCCCCTCGTCCCCCGACCCGCTAGTGCACGGGTGCTGACTCCGGGCAGGGCGATCCTCGTGCTGAACATCGTGCATATCATCTTCGTGTTGTACAACGGGGTGCGTACGTCTGCATGCGGACTTACCGGCCGCACTCATACTTGTCGCCCGCAGAACGTCGTCTACGTGACGATCTTCCTCATCCCGTACGTCCCCTCCCCTCCCCCGCTTCTCCTGCTAACCTCCGCACCTCCCCTCCAGGATCCCCGCCCTCCTCACCTCGCGCTTCCTCCTCAACCTCCGGCGCGCCAACGAAGCCTCCAGCATCGATGTCCACCTCATCACGTCAGCCTCCACTGCCGACCCGCCGTCGTTCACACTCTCCTCCGCCCCGCCCGAGCTGCGCACGCTGCAGTTCACGCCGGGGGGCACGGCGACGACCGTCGGCGCAAGGACAGGGACGACGGGGACGTGGATGGACATGGACGGGGCGCTGTGGACGGGGTTCGCGTCGTCCGTTGGTGGGGAGTCCGAGTCGGAGGAGGGGACGGTGGACGAGAAGAGCGAGAAAACGTGGAGCCCGTCGACGGAGTCGGGAGGGACGAAAGCGGAGGAGGGGGACGTGGAGAAGGGGCGGTCACCGCCGGTGTCTCCGATGTCTGCGGGGACGGGGACGACTGCGTGTGTGGGTGGGGGTGGGGGCCAGAGCAGGGAGGGGGTGGGGGTGGAGGAGATCGAGCTGACACCTGTGTAGGATGGAGTGTGTACTTGTATTGTTAAACCATTGTGGGATTAGTATGTTGCTTGGTTGCTCGGTCAACGCAGAAACCGGCACATCGAGTCCTGTGCGAATCTGAACGAGGTCGCAGCGGCGAAAGACTCACGATGCGCGGTGGGTGCATGATGTACATTGACTCGTCGTTGGTATTATACAACTGCCTATGACATTAAATACTGCATAAGTCACGAACCACTGTCTACATTGGCTGCCCGAATACAACTGAGGTAACTTATGGATGATCACTGAGAGACTGACCATTTATGTTTTTCACGAAGCCGAGGAGCAGCGAGAAATGCCAAGTCAAAACATGCTGAGGAAGATACCCGGCTCAACGCGAGCTCAGAGTCTTTTTGATCGCGGACGCACGCGACTCCCCGCCCGAGACTGTCCCATGCCGATCCCGCCCATCCGAGTTGTGGTGCTCGGGGCGGATGTACGAAGCGGACTGCGAGCGAACGCCTGCTCCGGTGGCGGGGCCATAGGTCGCAGTATTGTAGGCTTTCACGAAGCCGCTGGAATGTCAGGGGAGAGTGGATGGGGCATGAGGAATGTGAGAGAGCAGAAGTAGAGGCGAACGCACCGTTGGGTAGCATCAAGGTATTCACCTCTGTCCCAACGCTTATTCGTCTTGATAGACACGCCCTCCCTCGACAAGTTGACGCCCCTATTCTTCAGACTGACGGAGAGTCGCAGCGCCCAATCAGCGAGACGACCAAGACGGACAAGACAGCCACTCACGATGCTTTGGTCGCCTCTGCCGCCTGTGACGTTGCCCTCCCGATGTAGACCAGTCCGAACACGACCGCTGCAGCGATGGAGAGCGTCTACATGATGGTTGAGCACGAGAGATCTAAACATAAGCGAGTCGAGGACTTGCCAAGGTGAGGGACAGAAAGTCAATCCTGTCGGTAGTTCCCATCAGCTCTCGGCATTCTCGACGCCACAAAGCTTGGCTTGCACATACCAGTTGGCCATGATGAGTCGATTGAATTCAAGCGATTCTGGGGAGAATGTGGGTGGTAGCGGAGAGGTGATTAAGGGGCGGGTGAACGGGCTGAGCTGGTCAAGGCCGTAATATATAGCGGTGTGAACGTCTGTATAAGGATTGATCGACAATGGGCGGTGCGGGCGGCGATGAATAGAAGCACTGGAGTCACTGAAGGCAGCCTGAAGGTGAAGGGAAAGCAAGACGGTGGCAGGCCAGCTGCTTAGGCCGCATATGGGTCATTTACATAAGGCCTGAGACGAGGATCTGCCTCAGGAACTGGCGGAGCCTGTCCCAACGATGACCGCATCTGCCGCATCCCGCCCGTCCGGCGGCGTCCGCCCGCCTCGGCACTGCGCATCAGTGGCTGAGCGATGTGGCTGAGCGCTGAGCCCGCTCACCGCCTCGAGCGTAGTACTATACGAGTCATCAACGCTGCGCACGGACACAGCGTGCATACAAATGACCAAAGTAGATAGGGTCGCCCTTCCAATCCCAACGCAGGGTTTGACATAGGCTCGGATCATTGCGAAGTTGAGCGCACTTCTCGCAGGGTGTCCGACCTCCATCTCCGAGGACCAAGCAGAGAAAATGTATAAGGGAACCACAGAAAAGGTCCAGGCCGCGCATGTTACACCTAGCTCGTCATATCGCTCACACACTCCCACACGCCCTTCAAGTTCTCCTTCCACAACGTTACCTTCCCGTCGCCACAGCTCACCGCCAGGATGTTCCCTGCCAAGCTCCAGGACACCCGCCACACCACATCCGGGAACTTCCCCGCGGGTGCAGGCGCCCCCGAGGTTGGCGAAACGGATGCGGAGGACGGGTCGAGCGCAGTCTTCACCCAGGGCGACGTCGGCGTGTCTTTTGTCCATATCAGCACCGTCTTATCCTGTCGCACAAGTGCGCGTCAGTCCTGCCATGTTCCAAAGTCTTGTAATACAGCTGTCTGCATAATGGTTGTCGGATCGACGACGCCGACCGTCTCTCCAGCGCCGCCCTTGCGACGTAGGCCGCGGGATGGGGCGCGTAGGAAGGGGTGCAAGAGACACCCGATGCATCATAGACGCGACACCGACAACCACTCCGCATACGGCTGCGAGAGTCTGCACGTACCTGAGACGCAGTAGCGATATAGCTCCTCGGCAGCCCGATATTCGGCGCCCACGCAACGTCGCGCACCCAGTCCGTGTGTCCCTCGAGCACCTCCTCCTCAACCCACTGCGTGTCGTCGCGGAAGCCCCAGATCTTCACCAGGTTGTCGCAGCCCGCGCTCGCGAAGCGCTTCACGCCCGTCGGCGCCGCGGGCACCTGCCCCGGGATCGTCGCGGTCGGCTGCGGCGCGATCAGCGAGCCGGGCTGCACGGCGGGCGCCCAGGAGACGGCGTTGCAGCCGATAGCATGCCCCTCGAAGACGTCCGCGCCCCACTGGCCGTCATCTGCAGCGAGCGCCCCAACAGAGCTCATCGTCAGCGCGCAGCGAGCAGACAGCAAGGGACGCACTCTTGAACGTGAGCACGGAGATCGTCCCGTCCGACGACGCGCAGGCGAGGATCGCGCCGAGCTCGTGCGGCGCCCACGACACGGAGTTGACGGACGCTTTGTGCAGCGTGTGCTCCTTGATCTTCGCCCAGCCCGCGGGCGCGGGACCCACCGCGGGCTGCTCCTTCCAGATGATCACCTTGCCGTCGTACGAGCACGACGCGAGGACGTGCCCGAACTTCGGGTGCGCCCAGGTGACTTGCCACACGGGGCCTGTATGCCTGCAGTGCACGGTTGCACCCCGTTCAGCTCGGAGTGAGGGGGAAGAGAGGAGCGGACGCACCCCTTGAGCACCTGCCCCGCCGCCTTGTTCGTCTCCCCGTCCACCACGTCGAACACTCTCACTGTCCGGTCAGACGAGCACGTCGCAAGCCGCTTGCCGTAGTAGTCCAGTTGTGCATCGTGCTAGAAGACCGCAGACGCGTCACTAAGCCCCAGTTCCGCGTTCAGTGTAAGCGGCGCGCGCGAACGTACGATCATGTCCTCATGGGACGTCTCGATGGGCACGGGCTCACCCATGCTCGTGGAGGAAACCTACCAGATATCATTAGCGGTTAGAAGAGAATGAATGGGAAAGAAGGCGCACCATTTTGTAGAGGGATGTAGGTATAAGTCGTTTCGGAAGTGCAGTCTGAGTGTAGGTCGACGTGGTCTTTGCGGTGACGCGCGTTTCGGTTCACCTCGTCATGTGACGGACGCGGTCATCGAACCAAACCGCGCTCAGATCCCGAGCCAACTTCGTATCGAGGCTTCGACTTCGATTAGCATGCACTGGGAATTTGAACGCAGCGACTCGCAGCCTAAACATGTGGATGGCGTTTTGATTACATTGTAGAGTAACTATGGTACGCCGGAAGGCCACAGTTCGATTTCCGTTTGAGGTGGCTGCTGCCGAGGCCCGATCTGCTTACGTAAGCTAGTCTGGCCGAAAGTCTCGTTCCGATTCGTGCCTCCCCTCACTAAATTCATGTTCTGTTGAGTGCTACAGACTATTCTTGATCTGTATCGGGTTGAATTGTAGCTTCTGAATATATTGTGGGGAGTCCATATCTCAAATTTGAGCCGGAAGAGTCGGAACCTCGGTAAGCGCCGTCGGGTAACGGTCACACTTGGCGGTGGACGACGTCTTCATTGCGCACGGGGGCGATTGGGCGCAATGCTTTGAAACTTATCTGGTTGACTCGCAGAAAATGGTTGGATAACTCACATCGCTGCGGATGAAAAGAACTTAAGTGCAACCGATGTCCGCCGCCTGTCCAATCTAGGCAGGTGTGACCGTGAGTCTGGGGCGCTTACGGAGTTCCAGCACGCCGAGACAGACAATCCATACCACAGAGCACCCAAGATCCATTGGAAAGCCGATAATGCACTCAATGATGTCTCTTAATTGTCTCAGAGTACATGGGGGATGAGCTAATTTAAGGGAGAGCACAGACGAGGCCATGCAACACTCGGCCAGAGTGGCTTACGTAAGCAGATCGGGCCTCGGTAGCGGCCGTACCATGGCCGTATCACTGATTTTGAACTGTGGCCTTCCGGCCGACCTTAGAGTAACAGCGGTATCTGGTGTGTCATTACATGCGTATCGAGTCTACATGAAGCAGCGATTATAGACAGGCGGGGTAACTGGTGGCGAGGAACGTCGACAAGTTGTAGTGATGCTAGAAGTACATTGTGCCAACAAGAAATACAAATACAATGGATGCGTAGGTAGCGCGGACGCGAACGTGGCCGAGAAGCGCTACTAGTACTTGACTTCCGGCCAAGGCATCGGGGCTTGGTCATACTCAGGCTAGGTCGTGGAGCTCAGGCTCCTTCCCTTCGAGCGTGAGCGCACTCGTTTGTCGTGGGAGGTTCGACATCGTAATGATCACAGGGTCAATAACCGTCGAGAACTAGTAAGCCACCTGTCGGTATGCTTTCTACGGCGATGGGACATGGACTACGCACCTGTGCCCTGCCGTTCGACGACGATGGCCCTGCGCCGGACGATGACGACGACGTGAGCTGTTTGTGCGTTTTTTCGAGCGGGTTCTGACCGGACCCGAACGGCCCGCGATCGACGTTCTGCGGTGCCATTGTCTCGACGATGATCGCGCGCGCGTTCAGGTTCGCCAGTACCGAGTTGACGTACACTACAAACGGCCTGTCAGCACTCTCGCATCACAGCCCGGAAATGGAGGATGCGTACGCTTGCTCAGGACGAAGTAGAACGCAAAGTAGACATACATATCCGGGAGGGTGGCATACTGCGTGGTGGGAGGACACAGAGATCAGCGCCAGATGAGCGACTGACGGGGAAGTGATGATGGACGTACTGTTATCAGACACAATAACGCGCAAACACTACGGCACCTCGCATTCATCCATAAAAAGCTATATGACGCTGCACAGAACGCACCTCGTCAACAACCCGGTATTGACGCAATACAGCATCAGGACGGAGACCACAGAGTCCGTGCTGACAGGACGACACGAGTGAGTCTGACGTACGCGGGGGCCGGACGGATGGGGAGGGGACGTACAACCTAATACCCGTCCGGAACCGGCGCAGGTAGAGGTATTGCGCGACGGTGATGACGAAGTCGGCGATGACCTCAAAGGTGAAGCCAACATATAGGACCCACTGCGGGTGCGTCAGCATTGGCAGCCACCGTACAGCTAGAGCAATTTCGTACCGAGAACTGGTGTATCTCGAGGTAACTATCAATATGGAGTCTGTCAAAGAAAGTTCAGAGTGATGCGGCGATAGTAGGGCGTGGATGCGTTGCTAACCCCCTGACAGCGAAGTCTGCAACGAGATACTGGTACTCAGCCGCTCTGCGTGCAGGTAGAATATAGGACACTTACAGAAGGCATCCACTGTATCGATGAACGGTGTGAGCGGGGTTCAGTAGTTGCGGCCCAACAGCACTTCAGCTCTCACCAATGATGTAGAGCGACAAGGTTGCCTACTCAATGTCAGTAACGCTCCTTCGGTCCGTGTGCACAGACGTACAACAAATGCCGGGAGGATCCAGGACTTGCGGCTCACTGCCGGAATATCAGCAAAAGTCTTGCTGAGCGACAGAGATACGCACGCCTCCATAGTCGATGGCAGAATATTCTATGGACCGCACATCAGATGGTGACCACGATATATGATGATAGACTAGTGAACGCACCCCCTGACAATAATATTGCTGAGGTTCTGTCGCAGAAGAGAAGCTGAGCAAGATCGACACTTCAGTGGGCATGAGTGAACCTACCGAGATCATGATCATGCCCTACAAAGGCGAGTCAGTGGATGGAAATACGAAGCTAGCATTCATAATGACCGCACCCAAACACTCCTATGGACCGCATAAACTTGAGTTGAGGACACCCTGAAGATGCAGTGCACTCACCATACTGGCCGTAACACAATGAGTGGGTCCGCGAAATTGATGACCATGTAGAAGTACATGGCATACGTGATCATAGCGGCATGCAGAGTATCCAAGATCCTGATTTCAGGCACGTCAACCACGTCGGGCAAAAAAGTGCTATTATCGCAAGCCTCTCTCACCATAGTACGAGAACCTAGTATATAGACGGGGTGTAAGATAGATGCTCTTTGCCCTTGTTTCAATATCGCAGACATACTAGTAGACGGAGCAGCGGTGGATCTCGGAAGTATTGCTTGAAGTACGTGAACGCCTGGAGACTAGTGATGCCGTACAAGCTGCCAAGATTCCACCGGGACGTCACCATTGAGAAGCGTTAGAACCCAAGTGCGATATTCTCGGAGAGACAAGCACCCACATCGCCGTCGCGAAATGGCCCAGAAACGCCGCCCCGAGCGTGCTGTTGAAGTTGAAGTGAGCGGCCTCCATCGACCTGCGCGCATTCGCCGCCGAAAAATGCGTTCGTCGCGGAGGTGAGCAGACAGCAGTGTAGCAGAGCCGACTTTCAGACGCCTCGACCACTTATATCCCCCGAGGTGCGAAAGTAACGGAGTGGGCTGGGAGTGGGGGAGCCCATCAAAGCTGCATCTCATATATAATCTGGGACTAACCGAATTTGCGAACTTCCTACGTATCTCCGTCACTGGGCGCGCGGGAGGCGCCCAGGGATCGCAGTCAGCGTCGAGGCCTTCTCAACATTTGAAACGGGTCGGAATCGGAGAGGCTTCTGTCTTCCCTGACACCCTCTGTCATGTACTGGCAGCTTGCTCGCAGCACAAGCAGATTACGCCCCTTGGCAGGCATGTCAATCGCTGGAATCTGTGGGTGCCCGTCAGGATAGGGCTAAAAAGTCGTACCGTCTGCGTTCCGTAACTCAATGCCATCGCAGCAGTTTCACACAGTCCCTCTGCCGGATCCCGTCGTGCGTACCTAGTCTAGTATGGTGTCGTAATCGACAAGGCACGACGCGACTAACGCAACCCATCGGTGTCAATAATCGGCTCAGTTAGACAAACGTGCCCCCGGCGCCTCGGTCTTCCATATACCTGTGCATTGAGGAAGTAGGATCGCGGGGAATTCGAAGCCACAGAATTCAGTACCACTATCCGCCTGCGCAAGAAGCAGACATAGCATGTCTCAGATTAGTAGTAGCTGGCAACTGGTGTGCGTTTGAACTACGTCTCGGGCCCGTATTATCAATCGTCTCTGATTCGTCTGTTGTCAGTAATCGCGTCCGATCGGCCATCATGCGATCCGACCCGCAACCGCCGCCTATGCATGTCTGAAGAGGGGAACCCACGAGCGACCAGTGCGTTTCAATGGAAATACACAACCAGGGACTCGATGGCCTGCGGCGACGCAGCATCGGTCTCAGTAAAACGCTGCACGATTGAGATTACCAACGAGCCAGATATATGAAGTGATCCGCGGCGGGGGACACCAACGTCAGAACGGGAAGACACAACCGTGGAATGGACCGATGGGACATACTGTAACATTGAGGCTCGGAGCTGAAGGTGCGGCAAAAAAGTCTTGAATGAGTAAGGGTCCGGCCGATGTCCGTGGATGACTCGCAGATGGAAGGCTGCTTTCTGGGGGCTACACTGCAGTCAATGAAACAGTAGCAACGATGCGGAATCTATCATGAAAGACACAGATACCGTTGTTGTTACTGGATGTCCTCCCGCAGGATTTGGAGTGTCAGGGGACGCTGGGTGGACAGTGGCGCACACCGACGAAGAAAAACGAGAGATTTTACACTGTGGCTTCGTGCTGTTGTAACGTACGGTATCTGGACTAAATGCAACGTTGGAGGGAGTCGAAGTGACGGGATTAGCTATGTGAGTCAACGAGAGCGCACGAATTCGTGCAGCGACAGTACGTCTATGCTCTCCAACCTAAGTCCTTCCGAATGGAGGTTTACAATGGGGTTGACGAATCAGCTAGATTGCCACGGTTCACAGAGCGAATTCAGAATGGCACACATTGTACACCTCTGAGAGAAGGCATCCTGCGTACAGCTGAGGGGATCTAAAATGATATTGACAGCGTATCAAGTTCCGAGCAACTGGAAATGTTCTTACCGCCTCAATACCGCCTTCCAGGATGGTCCTTGTTCCAAAATTTCAAGGAGCCGCGTGTACACGACGAAGCCCGCTAGAGGTCGAATAAAGTGACCATGAAGCGTGTCAGGCAGCCAGGCTGTGTCAAGCGGGAGTCGCGGTGGCCGCAGCGGAGGCGCAGATCTGGATCTTTCCGTCACGTGTGCCATCTCCGTGGGCAGATCTAGAGAGGAGGATCGCGATCTCGACGCCCGGCGGCAGCGGCTGCATGCTCTCCGCCGCAAGTTCGATCCTACGAGCCACGCCGGTAAAAGCGCTCTCTCACTCCAGCCATGTCGCTCACATACTCTGCGGAGAGGCAGGTCGCCGTCGCCGCGGTCAGGCGTGCCTGCGCGCTGACCTCGTCCGTGTTCAACAAGCTCGTGCGGAACGAGACGCTCACGAAAGATGACAAGAGCCCCGTCACTGGTGAGTAGGATCTGCATTTCGTATGCCGTCGGAATATGTCGCGATGTGAGAGGTGGAATGGCGGCTTAAATATTCACCCATGTGACCCACACGCCCACTTGCCGAGCACTACGAATAAGTGGTAGACGGGCTTGCTCTACGCAAGTATACCTCTTGCCATACAAATAGTCTCACAGGCGTTGTGTCAATGCACCCTGATAATCGCTTCCGTTCTCTTCTCCGATTTTATGGTATTGGGCAATTCGAGGCTGGCGGCAACTTCGTGCGATGGGCCTGTATTTTTGCGCGTCAGCTTGGCCTCCTTGAAACGGTCCACACGGACATTCTTCGTCAGATATGTATTACTCTCTAAGACCGCGGACTCACAAACAGCTGTCTTCCGGCGATCGCGAGTCCATCCGAGTCTCTTCCTCGACACGTTCACTACGATTGTCCCACTTGAACCCTAGACTGACAATCCATGATTTTCAGTCGGTGACTTCGCCGCTCAAGCGGTAGTCAACACCATCCTCTCCCGCACCTTCCCACACGACCCCATCGTCGGCGAAGAAGACTCAAACGACCTCCGCGCCGACACGGGTGTCTCCCTCCGCGAGCGCGTTGTGGCCCTCGCCAACGAGTCGCTCACCGCGCCTCTTCAGCCCGGCGAAGACGAGTCATGGGGCGTCGGTCCCACACAGCAGCGCACGACGGAAGATCTTCTTGCCGCCATCGACCGCGGCAACTACGAGGGCGGCAGATCCGGGCGTACGTACTCTCCCACATCCCCTCTTCGCCCGCGCTGATCGTCCGCGCCTGTGTCCTGCCTCACCCCATGGGACCCTGGCCTTCTGATACGCTCGTCCACCTTAGGTATGTGGACCCTGGACCCGATCGACGGCACGAAGGGTTTCCTGCGCGGCGAGCAGTACGCGGTCTGCCTCGCGCTCATCGTCGACGCGCGCGTCGAGCTCGGCGTCATCGGCTGCCCGAACCTCCCCAGCCCCGACGGCACGCGCGGCGCGATCTTCGTCGCCACCCGTGGCCACGGCGCGTTCCAGCTCCCCCTCGCGCCCGCTGAGTCCCTCGCTACCGACGAGCGGGGCGAGCGCCTGCGGATACCCGCGTTCACGCCGGAGACGCTGAACCTCCTCGAGAGCGTCGAGAAGGCGCATGCGAAACTGAGCTTCAATGAGAAGGTGGCGAGGCTGCTGGGCGTAACCCGCCCGCCGACGAGGATGGACAGCCAGGCGAAGTATGCGGCGCTTGCAAGGGGAGATGGCGGTGTTTACCTGCGCATGCCCGTCGGTACTGGCTACAAGGAGAAAATCTGGGTACGGGCTCCTCAGGTGTTCATGGACTAAGATGTTGATAAATCTCGCAGGACCATGCACCTGGTTCAGTGCTCGTCGAGGAAGCAGGCGGGATCGTCAGCGACTCACGTGGACGGCCACTTGACTTCGGCCTCGGCAGGACGCTCGGTGAAAACTTTGGCGTCGTCGCTGCGGGAAAGGAGGTACACGCGAAGGTCATCGAGGCCATACAGCGTGCAAAGGAGGAAGAGGCAAAGGAAGAAGGCCAGTAGATGCGCCCCGTGTAGGTGGCTACGACATTCATGCGTGGATGCAGGTGAAGGTAATGTGAAATCGAGAATGTAGCTATAGACATGCCGTGTACTGGACACTATCGCAAGCAGGTCGTCCTGAACTCCCAGTGACTGCTGGCCTTCGTCGGCGCCTGGAGTCGTGCATTACAAGCAGAAAGACGGTCAACTCAATCGATATATGAACCTCGCTCATGTGCTACATAACGGGTCGGTACTGTTACATTCCCATAATGTCGTGGGTGTTCATGAATCCATACATAACCCATAACCCTGAATAACGGCGACCAGCCTGGCTCTCGACCCTACATTCCTGTCGCGACCGGCGCTCTTGTCCATGCACACAATTGAAGTCAGACGAAGTAGTCCTACAGGGCAGCGAGAGTCAGTCTCAGCTTCGGTATGCAACACGGCGGCATGATCCTCACATTCGTGGACATCCTCTCTGTGGTGGGCCTACTCTCGACTTTCCACGAGAGCACGCCAGACGTCTTCGAGGGCGCGGGCTCCCACGTGCCGCGGTGGTTGAGGCTCGACATAAGGAGGATCGTGTAGAGCTTAGCGAGCGAGAAATTGAAGAAAAGGTGACTATAAGAGAGACGCACAGACGGCGCACACAGCATATTCAGCGCTGATCATGAGCATATCAGGGACCAAGTACTCACGTATCACGAGTCTACAGAGAGCATGAACGTGATAAGCAAACATATATTCTCATGACAGACGGAGATAGATATAGCTCACGGAAGCGAGGTAGAGAGCTAAATCGATAATAGCCCATGTAGTGGTGAGGACGCCTGTTTGGACCGTAACTGTGTCCGCGAGGATAAGTCCCGGTCAATTCTAAAATAAAACGGAAGCTGAGGGCGAAGACGTACATAGGATGATTCGGTTGACGAGGGAGTCGGTTTCGGAGAAGCCAGACTTCCTGCGGTGCTATGGACGAGTGGAGACATTCAGCTCGAGTCGGCCAGACTTACGCGTGGTGGATGGCTTACAAGATGCCATACGAGCGAGATGGTGATCAGAAGATCCGCTACCACGCCGGTTGCTAGCCAAGTCGAGACTAGCGCTTTGACTGCAGGCAGTTGAAGAGTCTCGAGCCCTCCAAATGCCGGCCAACGGATGGCAATGACTGAAGCGATTGAAGATACTGTAGCAGTAGCAAAGGCTGTAAGCGGCTGTTACTGGTGCGTGTATGCGCAAACGAGACATACACATCGAGATGACCGCGAGGATACCGATGAGTATGGGAAGCCATGTCAAATGGCTGATGGCCTTAACGCGGTAGGTGAAAAACAGCTCGACAGAGCAAGACATGATGCCCTGTGGAAGTCAGCATCATTTGACGTTGTAGTTATTACAGAATGGAAGCTCACGGTAATAGGAGGTACTGTATCCCGACGTGAGATCGTTCAGTAAAAGCCATACTGAAAGCGCTGCTCAGTGGGACGCACCCGATGTAGACACTGCGGCGGACTTGTGAGAAGTTGCAAAGTTAGGTTTCGAGGTGTATGCTCACCTATGCCAGGAGTCGAGAGGTAACGTATTCCTCCTATACCCCCAGTTTCCCTATCAGCCCTCGCTCAATGCAGATGAAGGAGGCGTACCGAAATGAGTGACCAGACCAGTGTAGACGTACACCACAGACAAGACGGTCTGCGTGGTATCCGCTACGAAGAGACACAGTATCTGTGATATCGCTGTGAAGCTACGCTCCACAAACACTTATAACATACTCACGAATAAGCGTATCAGGAGGCGATCCCTTCGTTCCATTGATGTTAGTACGTCAGACTTCAGGCTGCGAGGATTTAGTCGCTCACTGCTGAGAATGTTGAGCGTAATGATAGTAACTAGACACAACTATGCCGTATAGCAGGATGTTGAAATAGATGCCAAGGACATATGCCCCAAAGCTATTCAATGTGGCGTGAGCTTCGTGGGGGGCTGAAACTTTTCTAGTGCTGGCACTCACATGGGACCGATGTCAACGCCATCAGCTGTATCCATGAGAAGTCGTAAAGGGTCGTAAATCGGGGTATCAGGAATAGGAGGACAGCTGAGAGCGAGTGGGCTGCATGGCACCGCGGTACACTATATACTGTCGGATATAGGTGCTTTGACTTTGCTTCCGCTAGTGGCCCGCCAGCGTTGTTCCCGCACATCCGACGCTTTGTCTGTACCATGTGTCTGGCACGTCTCGGAACATATTGGCACGCACATGTGACTTATATACTGCACTGCGACTTGCTTCAATCGCGGCAAGGCAGACGAGACGACCCATGAACTGACCTCCGAGTCAAGCGGTACCGATGCAGCACGCTTGATGATAGTCGATTCAGTTAAGGCCCACACTCTGGGCATACTCGTAACATAGCGCTTGGAGGCAGTGGGCGGATTCAAATGCCGAAAACAGTTCGGACCGTCCAATATGAACGAGGTTGGATAGATCGCATCGGTCGTGGTTGGAACCAAGCGGGACTTGCACAGTCCAGACGCGCACGAGGTGGCCATAAACACAAACAACGACAAATAGTGCCTATGCTGCTTCCGGTGTATGTGGCGTTGATGTGGCGTTAACACGTTACGGCAGCCTGCAGGTGTCCCTCATAATTGTTGCCCAAGGCCTCAAGGTTTGCTAGGAATTGCTTTATATCAGTCCCTCCCAGGACGACCTACTCGACTCACAGCCGGTAACGAAGGTATCGCAAGTCCTGAGGTATCAGGAAACCGGCGAAGGATACGTCCGTAATAATTGAACTTCAAAAAAGACAGCTGTAGAGCAGAATGCTCAGGCTGGTGGCAACGGTGGCGATGGTGGCGATGTTGACCAGATCCTTGACAGCGACGACGCTGTCGACGCTGAGGTATCCGTATGGACCCAGGTTGCGTCACTAGACCAACGCCCGCTACCTTGGCTGAAGATACAAACCACCCTGGCAAACCTTCAAAACATCACCAGGGGCCTCTCGCCATCATACTAAATTGTCATGACAGATGGCAATGTTCGCGATAGTCCGTGAATCACATAGACTCAACCGTCATATTCATGGTAAGTCAGCATCGTCACGGAGCTGAGATATTTTGTTAATCTTCCATGCTGCCGCTGCTGCTACATCATCTATATCTCAGAACCCCGGCGGTCATGCCAGTGGAAAGACGCCGTTTGACTACTGACAGAGCATGACAGCATAACTACGGGAAGCTTTGTCAATGACATGCAGTGGCATTGAGCCCAATGTCTTGTCCCTGAGTATGTCGTAAATAATTTCGAACGCAAAGTTTTTATTGGAGCTAGCGCTGTCAGTTATGTCGACGAACGTGCTCCGTGGGTCCTTCCCGGGCCATTGACATCAGTATAGTGTGGTTGCTGAAGACTTTTAGGTCATCGTGCCCGGGAATCACAACCAGTAGAGCCGCTGATGCGGCTTTCCGGACAGCTGTCATCCGTCGAGGTGCGGCGCTTTGGCGGCGGACGGGCTTGGATGTATTGAAAGCATACCGAGGCGGTCGCCGTTCCGCTAGTCGAGCGCTTGCCTCTCGTCTATGAAACACTGTGTTGTCTATGTGCGTGTCATGTCTACGAGCCCACAAGACACCACAGCCATCGCTTCTCGGTAAGTGGCATCCCTGTTCCTGTCGATCCTCCTGTCGAGCCGATTGCCCTCACTTCAAAATCAACTCCACTAGGGCGTTCTGTGGGCGCTGAGTTCTGGCTGGGACTGGTGAGTACCATACTGTGAGTCTATGTGCCTCATTTCTCTGATCGATGACCGTGTGCCACAGTCGTCTACTTCTATGATCGACTCCTGGTTGTGGACCCAGAAAGCAGATGCATTTGGCTCCACAAGAGGATAGGCCCCTTCATCACAACTGTCTACGTTGCTCTCCATACTTCTCTGCTACTTAATGTCGTCGATCCCCCACACATGCCAGGCGAAACAAGCCCGGGCCACTAGCGCACTATCGAGGCGCTAACTCGCTAGACTTCTTCGATGATGCTATGTCATCACGGTGCTCTCTTGCGCCTCACTTTGCTTCTAATACCCAATCCGAGGAGGTGAGTCGAACCTCGAGGGTCCTCATCTCTGTCCCTGCACACAGTGCCAGCTGGTATCGCCGAGTCCTGATGCAGCGTATAGTCCCCATCCGCTCGCGTGTCTGCATCCTGACCGCAGAAGCCCTCACGCTCCGGACGACTCTCCAGCGTACGCTCGGCCTCAAGCGGCTCGCTCGCACCTCGGGCGTCGAGCTCTCGCCCGTGACGCTCCTATTACGCGATGCGGCGAGCGTCCTCCCCCCCATTTGCAAATATACGACCGCACCCGGATCGTCGCCTGCTGTGATTGCGATCGCGTTCGTAGGCACCCGCACCGACCGGCGACCGAGGATCGTCGTCGCCAAATCCGGACACGGACGCTTTCCGCGGCACCCGCACCCGCACCCCAGGCACACTCTATTTCCTACACCACCGTACCCGGCATCGCAGTCCCAGTTCTGCATCGCGGACCGTGTTGACGTCGTCGCCTTCGCCTTCGCCTTCCCCGCCCTCGATCGATCGACCCCGCCCGAAACGGCCCCGGCCCCGGCGCGTCGCTTCGCGAAGCGTGATCCTCCTCGCAAACGTAGTAACCAGTACAGCCGCCGTCGTGCTCGTACGTACCTCCCCGCTCCGGGCCTGCTAATCATGAGCAACTGATCACCGTGTCACATATCGCACCGTGAATCCGATCCTCAGCCTCCGAGAAGTCGCCCTCGACGCCTACATCCCTAGCACCCTCCTCTCTTCGTCCTCCCTCGCAGTCAATTTCCCGTGTACTTAGGCCCAACATGCGTTTTCGACGTTCGTCTCGCTCAGGCCTCTTGGACACTCGCTAGACGACGGGTGGTCAGAAGAGGAGAGAGAAGGCGCAGAAAGAACTCCAAACGGCCGAAGGGCATACCAATTTCCATACACAATTGACATGGAACTCATACATCTCACCCGAATCATGCACACTTGCTCTGGAGCCACTCTCACAAGACACCCAGCGATGGCTTGCACGTCTCATCTACAGATGATTGCATTGCACGCGCTACATAGTATGTTGTACTATTGTGGTAGGTATACGGTACGATGATGGTGGTAGTGGTGATAGTGACTTGCAGCAGCTAGCTATGTATCCTAAAGATGTGTCGACGTCAAAAATCATGAAGAAGTCAAAGAGAAAAGTCGTGCGCGTAGAACGCAAGAAGCCTCAACGCGCTAGTAGATAGTAGTACACATTACATCATATAGAGATCATTCCACCAGAATTAAATCTGCCGTTTTACGAGCACACGCGTCCACTTGGAGCCGAACAACGCCCACGGCGCAGCGGAGCAGCGGAGAGGGGAGGAGGAGGGGCGGGCTAGACCTTGTTCGCTGGCTCGTCCGTCTTCTCGATGCGTGCCTCCTCGACGCCGGTCGCGAGCGGCTTGTGCGACTCCGCGGCACGCTGCTGCTCGATGAGGTCCTGGCGTGAGTTGAAGCCCGGCGGTGCCCACTTGGCCGACGTCCAGGGCTTGCAGTACGGGTCGCCGTACATCTACACACGCACACGCAGATCAGTAACCAGCAAACGAAGGGAGCAAGGAAACGGACGCACCATATCGACGCTCTCGAGCGACAAGTCGGACGACTCGTACAGGAAGAAGTACACGATGACCGCGCCCGTCAAGTTGCACGCCGCGAACACGAAGCCGTACCGGAACTGGATCGCGCTCACGATGAACGGCGTGAAGAACGCGAGCAGGAAGTTCCACAGCCAGTTGCTCGCCGTCGAGATCGCAGCCTGCTTCGCGCGCGTGCGCGTCGGGAACGTCTCGCCGACCAGAATCCAGACGCCCGGGGCCCAGGTCATGGCGTAGCCGAGGATGAACAGGCACGCAGACACGATCATGAGCTTGCCTATCGACTTGTTCTCGGCGGGGTCCTTTGCGGTGCCTGCGGCGGCGAAGACGAAGAGCCAGACGGATTGCCACACGCCGCCGACGATGAGCGGGCGACGACGCCCGAAGGTCTCCATGACGTACAGACCACCGAACGTGCAGCCAAAGTTGACGGCACCGAGGATGATCTGGGTGATGTACGAGTCGCTGATACCGACGGACTTGAACACCGACGCGCCGTACTGAAGCATTATGCTGTGAGCATGTGCGCGGCAAATTACGTGCTAGCAGTGAGTACTCACGTAGAAGAAGTAGTTTGCACCGGTGAGCTGCTGGAACATCTGCAGCGTCGAGATCAGGAGCGTCCTGTACAGCTGCTTGCGCTCGAAGGTGAAGCAATCAGCCCAACCCGACTGCACCGACTTCTCGTACTCAACCGCCTCGCGCATCTCCTCGATCTCGCGGTTGATGATAAAGTGATCCTCGACCTCTGAACGGGGCACACCGCGACCTGCCGCGAGCGACAGGCGCGCCTCGTCGTAGCGCCCGTGCGCGGTGAGCCAACGAGGCGACTCTGGCATGAAGAGGATGCCGAAGCCGAGGATGGCAGGCCAGACGAATGAGATGCCGACGACAGTTTGCCACGAGCCGGCGCCGCTGATGTCGCGTGCGCCGATCGAAATGCAGTCTACGCCATCTGTCAGCCGTTGACATGTGCGACAGGGAGTGGAAAGACTCACATGCGACGAGGATACCGAAGGTGATGAAGAGCTGGTATGTTGCGGTGAGCGTACCACGGATCTGGGACGGGGCGGTCTCTGCCTGGTACATGGGTACGGCTGCAGAGAGCGCGCCGATACCAAGACCGGATATGAGACGTCCGACGGCGAATTGTTGCCAGACGTGGGTGGAGGTGATCTGGATGATGACACCGACGGCGAACATGAGACACTCCGCAGACATGGCGTACCGACGGCCAAGGAAGTCAGCCGTTCTGAGAAGGCGTCAGGATAAGACGCAAACGGAGGCGTGGAGATGTACTCACGGTGCACCGATGAGAGCACCCGCAAGCGTTCCGATACTGAGGAGGCCGACGATGAGACCTTCGCGGACTGTGCTGAACGAACATGTGCTGGAGACTCCTGGTGTTGTGCATGTACCGAAGCGGAGGAGGAAGTCGTCCATGATGAGGATGTCGGAGATTTGGCCGGTGTCGTACCCGAAGATGAACCCTCCCATGGAGGCGAGGATGGCCAGGGCAATGGCCATGTACCCGACGGGCAGACCTTGGCTGTGAGTGACTTTGTCAGCGGCAGTGAGCAGGAGGGCGGGGAGGAGACGTACACATAGCATAGGACGGCCATGGTGCTCGGAGTACACTCAGCCGCAGAGAGGATGGGGTCGTGCGGAGGAGGAGAGTGGGGAAGGGAGGAGGAGGAAGGGGAAGCGGGGGCGGGCGTTATATAAGGGACGTTTGGGGAATGGGGACCGGGGGTCGATGCGGACGACGCTCGCTTGTAAATATTTTACGGAGACGGCAGCCACCAAGCAACGTGACATCATCAGCTCAGCCATGGGCTGCCATGCTCGCCCTCTCCTCTGCGCGCTCCCTCCGACTCCGTGTCCCAGCCTCGCCCGGCGGCTGGTGGAGCGTTCGGCCTCTCGCCCTCCGACGATCCCAGCCGCCAGCCAGCCGCCAGAGCCTCAGCCCGGCCGCGACCCACCGACCGCCGCCCCGCCCGCCTCAACGTCTCCCGCCGCTGCCGCACGGTCCAAGTCCCGCCCAAGTTGCAGGCTATCCTTTCTTCCGCCACAGCCCGGCGGCTCCGCAGCGACCGGCCAATGAGACGCACCCTCCCCGCGCATCCTCCGAGCAGCCTCGAGCATGAGAAATCACGAACGGCAGCCGCGGCGGCTGATACGATCTGTCGAGGCATCTCTCTCGCAGCGGGCCGAGGCCGCGAACTGGGACGATCGTGGCAGGCGTTGAGTATGTCCGCAGACGCCCGCATCCTCCCTGAGATCCCCATCTGCGTCATCGCCCACCGTCACGTGCGCCCGCCTCCCGTACGCAGGCCCAGCCTGAGACTAGTGGCGGATCGTGGCCTTTCCTGCGTTGGCAGTGGACTTGCTGCATGCGCCGAGCACGTCCCCGGACGGCACGCACCATGTGCTACCCCATGAGCGAGCATACGGTCGACGAGCGATTGCCCGGCCTGCGGTGGCTTCAAATTTTCACCCTCGGCAACGTCGTCCCGGACCCATGCAGCTCTCGCACTGACATCCAAGATCCGGAATTTTCTCGCCCAAGCAAACGAGGCATTTCTCCAGACCGCCCGGATCCGGAGCCCAATCCGGGGCTGACATCTCCCCCGTTTGACATGCGCAACACAGGTCTGTCAGCCCGTCCGCCGTTTGTCCGCTTGTCCGTGGGTAGACACGCATGGGATGACGAAAGCCGCAGACGGTGCAATCGAAAACCCGCCAGGCACCGCGGCCCCCTCGAGCTCCCTCGAGCCACCACCCTCGCAGCGGCGAGCTGGGCAGGAAATGACGCACGCAACGCATCCCACGACCCTCGCCTCGACGCTGGCAGCTGGCGGGAAGGTCCGTGCGGGGAACAGCGCCAGTGCAGCGCGAGACGCCCTCTTAGTTCGGTCCGATCGTCCAATTCACCGCGCGAAGACGAAGCCCCCCCGCTGCTATTCTCGCTGCCCGCGGATTCGCGGTGCGGGGCGCGCGGGGAACCCCACGTTCCCTCGCCCGCAGTGCCCCGCCTGCGCTGCGGGGTTCGCAGGCGCACGCCCACGCTCCGGTGCTGGTCGTGGTCCGTGGCGGGTCGTGGTCCGCGGTGCTATTAGTGGCTGCGTGCGACTCGTCCCGAGCGAGTTCCGCGGCCGGAGCGTCCGAATTTCGCTGGCATTCTTCGTGAACAGCTTGTCTCCGTTCGCGCGGGACACGACAGCGCTTGTCAGTGCGACGCTCTTCCCTCCAAGCTCCGTGTCGTACTTCCCCGCTCGCACAAAGAGGTCCGTCGTTCCGCACTGTTCCAACGCCATCGTTGTACCCTTCGTCAGGTACGCCCGACCTTGGCCGGGGACTTGCCATCCAAGTCGGAGACGCGGTCGCCCCGCCCCGACCGGCGCGCCGTCCCAGTGTACCACCGCGACGATCCCGCCAGCGCGTCGAGCTTTGCGGCCAGCCAGGTTGTGCAACGTCCGGTCCGCCGCTGGCGTACGCACGCTCCCGCAATATCATGCGCCAACGTCCAATGCGGGCCGCGCGAGCAACGACCACCATTCGCGGTCGATCAGTGGGCGATTCCCCATCACCACCGTGCATTTGGCAAGCGGCTGCGCGAGTCCGGGGAGGATCCTCGTGTTCAGAAAATCCATCGTGGATCTGATTGCCAGACCGCCACCGACGGATCGCCCCGCGTCGCGTGCGGGAGGGGCGCGTAGCCTATCCGTCAAAGTTACGTACGTCCGGGCGTCCCTCGAATTTCGATACCGTAGGTCGACGCCGACGCCTACGGGTCCTGATCCTGATCGACGGGATAGGCAGCCGCAGCTCAACGCCTCGCGCTTGCGCGCGGGAGAAGCGCGGACTGGGTTGGCGATTGACGGTGGGGACCGTGCATCGTGTTGCGGGGATGCGGGGCTAGCGGGATTAGCGGTGGGGATGGCCCCCCGCCCGGTCCTGGGTGCCGCCGGTCCGCGCGCGCGAGACGACTGGGGGAAGCTGCGAAGCCCGAGCTTCGAGCTTCGGTGCGCTCCATTGTTCGAAATTGGGGCTAATGTCGGGAAGAGTGCGGGGAAAGCTTGTTCGGGGGCTTGGGCGTCGGGCCGTGATGCGTCCAGGGGCTCGGATTGTTTAGAGAGCGAGTCAGTTGACTAGAGCGAGGACGGCAGCGTTGACGTTGGCGTTGACGACGATCGTCCTTGGTTGGGCTCCAGCGCGCGACCGACATTTGCTCGTGGTATTACCGCCTCGGCTATGAGGGTCATCTGCATCCTGTTACGATATGCATTGAAGCGTCGTCGGACGTCTTGATGATGACCTGGTACCAGGACGCAAAGGGAAAGCTTGAGGCGCGCGCACTTTGATGCGGTCGTCCATCGTCCAACAGGGTCTTCTACCCCGCAACGCGGGGAAGCGGGGAACACCCCGCTATATCATCAGTCCCATCTAGCTCGTACGCACCTGCTCTCTCCATTCCACACGTATCATAGCCGTAGCCATCGCAGCAGCGCGCGTAGGCGTAAAAGCACAGAGCAGACGCAAAGCAAGCCTCGGGGGCGGGAAAGGGCGGCCCCTCTCCGCCCATCTGCTACTTAACTCTGGCGGTGACAGCTAGTATTGCCCCTGCCAGTGCCCCACGGGGCTATAACCCGCCTAAACGCGTCCACCGGGTGCGTACCTGGGTGATCGGGTCAGCTGAGCGCGCTAGCCACACTGTCGCGATGATCGAAGAGGGCCAAGACTTGGCGAGGGACGCTCGAGTCGGGCAGATGGGACCCGGCGGCGCTCAACTCATGCAAGAGTTGGCGAGGTGCGGTTGAATGGGGATGGAGGTGCAGTTCTAGGAGCACCGAGGAGGTGTTTGGGCTTGATTTCGGTAAGCGCCGCTGTGAATTCGGTTCGTGCATACTCGATACTGAGCGACTTCAGGAAGCTGCCATTGCGATTTTGGCCCTCGTGATGGGCGTGTAACCACGCGCCCGAGATGGTTGAACGGACCATGCTAGTCAGGCCAAGAACGAGCCAAGACCAGACTTCCGAAAATAATCCAGCTCTATCCGCATGTGATGCCACTTCACAAACGATACATACCCATTGGTACATGCGTGTTTACCAAGTGTTTACTGAGTACTCGTTACTGCTATCAGTGTGCGCTGAGGTCAGGCGACAGCTGTTGCATAGACAGTTCCGAGTCCCCCAAAGGGTAAGGGCGCGTTCTAACAGGTATGTCGAGATTATGTTTTATCGTTGATTCTATTGGTATACTCAATATCGATTACTCAGAGGTGACCAGGACACCAGCGCAGTTCATGCTGAGTTCTTACCTGGATGCACCAGCCTCAGGCTGGCAGGATGGTACTGCGCGTTCGAGAGATTGACGTCACGGCTCTACGTCGACGTATCTCCGGTTCCCACCATACGTAGGTACTTTCGCGTCCATATTTAGACGGTCGAAGGGAAAGAAGTCCCAGTGCTGACTCGAGGTGTGTCACAACGCCCCGAGCTCCATCGCGTCTTTTGAATTCCAGGAGCATACATAGGTATGACTAGTATGACGTAAGACTTCGGATGATACACGACCGCTGCTTCATCCAACAAACACTGCATGAATCGTCCGATGTGTCACCGTGGCTACTTACGCCTACTACTACTAAGCTCTCCCGGTCGCGACCTACTGAGACCTGCTACGCTTCTCACGCAGACTCCATTTCTTACTCACCGTGCATCATCATTTAGCTCAAACAATGCTCAATGCTCCGTGCGCGTAAACACCTATTCAACGATTACAAGAGAACCTGTTCCGTGCTCCGTCCGGACGCATCGCTGGGACGTATGTTCTCCCAAAGTTAGGTTGCCCTTGAGAACCGTACCCTACCCATGGTGAGACTTCTACTATCTGCAGTACCATTATCACAGCGATGAGAACCAATGAAACTCTACAGTATGTTGAATGTGCGCGATCGAGATTAAACGCTACTCAATCTATCGACCTCAGTTAACTCCCAATCTAATACGGCATATGCATGTTTCCCAAGGAAAACCGGTTACGGAGCTACTGGAGAGCCGAATCGTCGCGCGGGGGGTTACAACATAGTCCATAACTTCGTGCCCGCAAGCGACTTTGACGAAATATCAGTACGTTCATCGGACGGGTCTGCTAGACGTCTGACCACCACTCCTCTACTCCGAGTCGGATGTGTCAGAACTCTGTGTGACGGACTCGAGCGTATCTCAATCGCGCGTCTGACCGAAGCGGCTGTGGTCTCGCTGTAGGCATGATCAAGGAAGGGGTGTCACTATTGGATGGGGACGTGCCTGAGAAGTTAGAGCTAAATGTTGCTCGCGCCGTGTAATCCGATAAACATTGCACGGCGCGGTGTGTCTTACCACGGACTGCTTCTGAATTCCGGCGCTGCGCCATTTACATGCGATCTTTATGAGTGACGGTTTCGCGGTAAAATACTTACAGGAAAGTCGTAGCTCCGCGGCGATTGACTTACTCTGAAGACTTACTTTCGCGCGACTTAGACTTAGTGCGATTGGCGCCCGGCCGACGTGCCCGAGGCGGCCTTGCCAAATCGGGATGAACATCGCACTTGCCGGGACCACTGCGCCAGACGGTTTCCCCTTTATTCTCTGTGATGCATGACATTTCTGCATTGAATTGATACACTTTCAACTTATGTCATAATATCTGTTCCCTTTCGATACCATGAGAACCGCGGGCTCAAGGCCATGGCTCTCCTACTGAAGATCCCGGGCCATTCGTCTCGTCAATAAGGGGGGCTATGGAGTATGAAAAGGCATTTCACAGCTCCGAGTCTATAATATGATGATCGGGCTTCCGGGGTTCGTGCTATCCATGTCATGCAATGGACAGCCGCAGTGCGCGTAGACAAAGTTGCCACAACTGGCTGATGATTCCGCATTAGGCAATTGATCAGCCGCCGAAGCGGACTTTGGCATTCTAGGTGAGCAGACAACGGGTGTGTCTCACTGCAAACTATATACAGTATTAGTGACTAGACAAGAAATATATGCATGATTGTAGAGACCAAGTGCACGAAACGGCATGAATTTATGTCCAAAGGGTACGGTTCACGTGTCAACTAAGTGGTAAGTCTTACGCGACAACTAAGTTCTCACTGTAAGTATTTTTCCGCGATAACGACCGTCATAATGAGTGGCGTTTTCGCGGTAAAATACTTACTGGCAGGTCGTATTTCCGCGGCGATTCACTTACTCTGAAGACTTACTTTCGCGCGACTTAGACTTAGTGCAATTGGCGCCCGGCGGACGTGCCCGAGGCGGCCTTGCCAAATCGGGATGAACATCGCACTTGCCAGGATCGCTGCGCCAGACATTTCCCCCTGTACTCTCTGTGGTGCTTAGCATTTCTTCATTGATTTGATACAATTTTACTCCATGTCACAATATCTGTCCCTCTGATACCAGGAGAACCGCGGGCTCCATGGCTCTCCTACCGAAGCTTCCCGGGCCATACGCCTCGTCATGATATTAATGGGGGCTATGGACTCGAGTTATCAAGCATTTCACAGCTCCGCTTCTGTATAATCAGGAGTAGGCTTCCGGGGTTTGTGCTATCCGTGCCATGTAATGCCATGCAATGAACAGCAGTGCACGTAGACAGTTGCCTCAATTAGCTAATAATTCCGCATTAGGCAATTGATCAGCCGCCGAGGCGGACTTGGGCATTCTAGGGTGAGCACACAACGGGTGTGTGTGTCTCATTGCAAACTATATACAGTACAGTGTACTACCGTTCCTTTACCCACGGTGGTTCCTTTACCCATGTGCACCCAGCGCAGTCCGTCCTTGAGCCAAAATTTTGTAAATTAAGCTGAGCTATCCCAGAGTATGGCCTGAGCTATGGTAATTTTTTCATGGGGACCGCACGACTATGTGCTTCCCGGAAAATATGACACTTCCGAAACATACCATTTCGGGCGAAGCCACGATTCGGAAGTGATACAGTGACTACTAACTACACTCCCTTATGCGTCCACATCAAAATCGAAGACGATGCTGGTGAGTATTTTTGTTGCACCAAAAATTCCAAGTCTATGGTGAAGGAGGAAGAGCGTCGTAGATAAATGTCGTTGAGCAACAAGGGTGGCTGACAGTGACAATGCGTGACTGGACCGCGCAGTCTCCTTCTGAATTCGGTAACTGTGACTCACACTCCTCCGCGAGTTGACGTGATGTCACGCTGGGTAAAGGAGCGGTTCTGCGTGACGCTCCGCCTCCGCAACTATTCTAGCTCTGGGTACAGAACGAACGAGCACAGCGTCCAGAAAATATTCAGCCCAGTGCTCTCGACAATGCTCTACGAAGTACCGAAAACAGCGCCCATCTCATTCAAGACGCGGGCCCACGGGAGGCAAGTCTCAATCACCTGGGTAAAGGAACGGTAGTACACTGTAGTGACTAGGCAAGGAATATGCATGATTGTAGACACCAAGTGCTCGAAACGGTATGAATCTATGTACAAAGTGTACGGCTCACGTGTCATCTAAGTAGTAAGTCTTACGCGACATCTAAGTTCTCACTGTAAGTATTTTTCCGCGATAACGACCGTCATATGGGTCTCCCAGTCCTCCAGGTTCAAGTAGTGGGTCATACACATCCAGACAGCTGGTTGTGCAGTCGTCTTTCCAAGGCAACGCAGCGCCCCGTTATGCTCGTATAATGCTATGCCAGACACACAGTGCCATTGACAATGCTGTACAGTATGACTAATGAAGAAGATATACCTTGAAGAACGTTGATCCCAGTACAACAGCTGCATGACAAGGAATCGCAGATGGTACCAGTCATATGTTAGTCTAGTTCCTTTGCTAGCTGAGTCGGTCTGGACTCCGCAGACTGTCCGAGTCATCCAAGTCGCCACAAGACCATTGCTGCCTTTGAGGGGGGTCCTAGGTTGAGTTCACCTGTTGCCGTCATGGTCAAAGAAGGGCAAAAGACAAGGCGCATAACAAGGATCACACAACAGCCTCGTTGCTACGAGACGCGCGAAGGAACAAGAAGGATCTCGCCACAGCATACCAATTAAGGAAAGAATGCCATAAGTGGTTTGTGGGTCCACTATTGTGTGATGCTTAGTCAGCGACGAGGCGCAGTCAGCCGCCCGCCTTGGCCAGCCGCCCGCATCCTGTACTTAAACTCCCACCAACAACCCGCCCACACATTTCTACACCATGGCCGACGTCAAGGTAAAAGCCTGCACACCGATCTCCCGAGACTCTGCTTATCTGGGGCCTCAGGGGCCAACGATCGCCTCCAACAAGATGGCCATGTCCCGCGCCCTCGGAGCGGCGTTCCTCAACCACCAAGTCCAACAGCTGGAGAAGACTGTCGGATCTGGAGGTGAAAACTGGCGTGACCGGCGCACGCCCAACCCCCAAGGCCACAACGAGGGCAAGCGCCCCCGCGGCGCCCCCGCCAAACCGGCACGGAAGCGGGACGGGGAGACTACGGAGATAGACGAGGAGAAGGGCAGACAGGGGGGAGGCAAGGCGGAGAAGGATGCAGACATCATCGTCGTCGACGCGAGCGTGCTCGTGCATGCGATTCACCAGGTCAAGAAGTGGTGCCGCGAAGGCCGCGAGGAGATCGTAATCGTACCGCTCGAGGCCCTCAACACCCTAGACTTGCTCAAGAAGGGCATGAGCTCGCTCGCGCAGCGTGCCCGTGCGGCATCTCGCGTCCTGGAGGCCCAAGTCGGCACGAACCAGCGTATCCGCGTGCAGCGCGACGATGCATTCGTGCTCTGGGACGAGGTCTTCGAGAACCAGGCGCCACCGACGGGCTCGCCTGAGTGGGTCCGACGCACCATCTGCTGCGCACGTTGGGAGGTCAACCATGCCACTGACGAGGTCGACGCCAGCCCGGTCAACGCGGGCCCCGGCAAGGTCGGTGGCATGCAACCCCGCGTCCTTCTCGCTGTGCTCTCCCAGGCCCCGGAGGCACAGTCCGAGGCTGTTTTCATACCAAACAACCACCTTTCGGCGTCCCCTGTACCCCTTCCCGCGCCTCAGACGAACAGGCACGAGCCGCGTTCCTCTGGAGCGCTTGTCGCACTCTGGGCAGCTAAGGCAGGCCTCAAGGTTCTGGAGGTACCTCCCACCCCGTCCGCTGTCAACGGTACCCCCCGCAACACGTCTCCTGGTGGCGATGGGCGGCGCTCCCCCCAGGCCACCCGGCGCCCCAACGAGGATGAACGTGCGAAGCGTGGCGGCCGCCGGAACTCGTACTTGCGGAACGGAGAGCGTGGAAGCAGCCCTGTCACCGTGCGTCCTGGTGCCGGAACTGGCCTCGTGGAAAGACCACCCGCGGTCATGGCTATGATGGAGGCGGTGGCTCAGCCGAGTCGAGTGGTCCGTGTGCTTGCGCGTGGCGAGAAGCTCGAGCCAGACACATGACGTGCGACGGAAAGTGCTGTTGACAATATTTGAGGTATGCTTCATCGCGGTACTTTGCACAACTCAATGCTTACGTGCAGAGAAGCTACAGACTCGCATTCGGCTATTGGCTATTGCTTCCCACCCCGCGTACGGACACCGTCTGTACCCAGGCGTGCAGAGTCGCAGACGAACGACGGTCTGACGGTCGTTCCGGTGGCGGAGGGCGCTCCGACTAACGCAACGCATGTTTCGGTGGACTCGAGACGGCACGGAGGCAGCAAGTCTGGCGCCGTTGCACAGCAATATTGACCGGTGTGGTTACGGGTCATTGACATTGCCTCGGCGGATGACCTGACTGGTGTCTACATCATGCATCATTCATAGTACATCTTGGATCTGTTGGTTTTGTGATCCTATGCCCCCGTATGGTCCTCATCTCTCTCCCACATACATGTATTTTGGGTTACCTTGTACTGTATGGCTCGCGCGCATCCTATATGAATCTTTTATTCCTTCAGTGGATGACGTGTCAGAAACGCCAATTATCAACTTCATTGGATGGGTGGCGACTACTAGTAGTACACAGTATGAAATCGGCAAGGTTGACACTGCTTCGACCAACTTCACCCCTTCGATCCCTTCGGAGCTGCCTGCTCTTGTAGTTTCATCTGCATAACATTGATGAGGTAGTTCATGTTGTCCTGCTTTTTGGATATCGTGTCTTGCAGGGCCTCGAGGTTTGTGCGGATGTAGTCCACCTTGGCCTCGTAGTGTTTCACCGCCTGTGCCCGAGTCTAGCATAGGACGCCGATCAGTACATCGTGCAGTAGGGAAAAACAGGAATGCGATACACACCTTCTTCACGTAGTACCCGGTCCCAACATCGACCATCACGTTCTCCGTGTCGCAGAGCTTCCCCGAGACATAGAGCGAATTTGTTAAGGGCACAAGGATGGTCTTGTCTGAACGTGCGAATGAGCCGCGGAGAGTTTCCGGAGTCAACAAGGGATGAGCTCACCCTTCCTCTCAGGAGTTACCTGTTTCACGTTATCCATGCATGCCTTGAACTTCGCCTGCGCCTGCCTCAGTTGCGTGAAAGAGTTCGTGAGGTGCGTGAGCTCCTAGAATCAGAATTGAGGATGTAGCGTCAACAAGGGCAGGCGTGAGGTTAGCCTAGTCCGCACCTCCTCGAGTTGCCGTCGCACATCTGCGAGTTGTGGAAGATCCAAGTCTGTTACATTGATTTGCTGGGCAGCGGTGGTCGACGCCATGGTGCTGCATACATCCCACCGCGCACAGGCGATTTCATTCAGTAGGTTAACAACAACTATTATATTATAACATTTGTCCTCTTAACAAGCATTCGTGGTGTAGCGGTAACATTGGGTCTTCCCACTGGAGGCTGGCCTAGCTCCGGGTTCGACTCCCGGCGGATGCATAGCCAGCGGTATATCTTCTGATGTTCTCTGCTTTTTGTGCAGTTCTAATGGACCCCCCCTCCTCCTCCTCCTCCTCCCGTGCCCCTCGCACGTACTCATAAAGTTAAAAGTTCCCTCGCGGGTTTTCAAACCCAGACTGCCCAGTCCGAGCAGATACCATTACTCGACATCCTACTTAGAGCGTGCGTGTATCCAGCCGATTCCCTAACGCTAGACCTCGAGATCAGGACAGCATAACACTGCACTTGGAATGTTGTAGACACAGCGTTCCACGTTTGATATAATAATACAGTCGATACCGAGTATTAAGGCTTTCGGAGAGTGGCGAACCATATAAAATTACACTGCCAAGGAACAGAGACTACCGTCACAAAACGAATGATTCTACACATAGACATACATCATAACGAACTTGCTCTGGATGGTACATACTCGAAGACCTTCTCCATCGTACACAATTACTCTTGTCCATGCACATATTCAGAGAAAGGGAGCGCAAACCCACACCATCACGCGAAGGCAAGAGCCGTCCATGCCGCAACAGCACCGACTGTCGCCACGGTCGCCGTCCGCGCGAGCATCGTCGCAACGCGGCCAACCATGCGCCTGCGTTTCGGCATAGGCACGACAACGCGTACATCACCCGCATCGTCGTCCATGTAGAAGTCGTCGTCTTCGGAACGCTTGCGCTTCAGCGGGTTCGCAGCCTGTGGAGGGTGAGTATGCACGGGTGAGCTTGTGAGCGGTACACTGACCAGCCGCGCGACAGCCTCCGCTGCCGCAGCCTCCGCCTGTGTACGAGCGACCCGGACGGCCTCGAGCTCGAGTGCGACCTGCCTCTCGCCGTTCTCGCGGATCATCTTGATCTCTGTATGTGTCGTTTCAGATCAGCTTCAACAGCATAGCAAGGCAGACGCACCTTCTAGCATCGCCCTGATCTCCTTCAGACCGTCTTCGAGAGGTCCGACGTCAGCCGCGCGATGCTCTAACGCGGTCATCTGCCCCTGCAAGGCCTCCATGCGCGCTACGACATTTGTCACCGCCGCATCACGCTCAGCCGCAGACTGAGCGGGCACGCGGATGGCCTCGTCGAGAGCGGCGAGGCGCGCCTTCATCTCACGGACGTGCTCCTCGAAGCGCTCCTCGTCCGTACTGCGGGTCTGGCGTAGCACGGAGATGTCCTCCTAGCAGTAGTCAGCACATGTACCACATCGAAGACAAGAAGAGATACTGACTCGGGCAGTCTGGATGCTGTCCTCGAGGGCGGTGAGCAAGACTGGAGGGACAGGGCTCATTGGACGATCGTTCTGAATCTCGAGCTGGCCAGGGAAAGGCTCGGCGTCTGCACCGACAGGGGAGGGGGGCTGCACTTCCGTGGAGTGTGCGCGCGGAACCTCGAAGCTGCCCACAGGCCTGGGACTTGGTGGCTCGTAGAGACTGTGCCACTCGTCGAACAGGGCATGGCCGGGCTGTATGGAAGGCTCCTCCATGTACAGATCGTCATCGTCCCTTGCGTAAGAGTCCGCGGAAGAGGATGAACTCTCAGACGATGAACTGTCAGCGTCTATCGCACCGGAAATAGGAAGGGCAAGGAGCTGCGTGAAAGCAGTCGGCATGGGTTCGTCCACACAAGTGGAGGGTGCGGCGGGTAACAGGTTTCTCAGAAGCTGCAGTCTACCACTGAGGCTGGATGCCTGAGATGATTGCGATGTCCTCGCTCTCAGCGAAGGCGAGAAGACCGCCGGCGGCGGCGGGGGGATCTCTTCGATGTCAGAATCTCCGGCCGATGACGATGCCGAGGAGTCGGACGATACGTAAATTCCGTATCGCCCGGACGTCCCGGGAGCGGGCGACTGCTCTGAAGGAGCCGTGTCGGGAGAGATGGATATGCGCTCGGGTAGTGGCGGTGCGAGAGCTGCTGCAGCTGGTGCGAAGAGGAGCTGTACGCGCGCGACGACGGGCAGTACGAGGTCCCTGTCGCGCCCGACACTCTTGCCAAATGTGATGATGTCTCCGTCGGCGAGGACGGTAGCAATCTCGGGCTCGAGCATCTTGGCGAGCGTTTCACCCGGGCGGAGGATGTGCGTTCCATGGTGGGAACGCAAGTCCATGACGTACGCCTGAGTAACCTGTGGGTCAGTGAAGGCACGTAACATACTACAGAAAGGCACGGCTGACGTTGCCATATTCCGTGAAGGTGATCTTGGCATGCTTGCGACTGACTACGGGACAAAGGAAAAGGGCGTTGCGGGGGACGGCACTCTCAGGCTCCAGGCGTCCTTGCTTAGATTGGCGGCCGATGATGACGGCTCTGGTGGCGACCTTGAGGAACGTCAACGTCTCTGCTGGCCTTTCGCCAGCAGCCTCGACGTGCAGCGTCACCCCTGTGATTACGGGTCAGCGAGAGGAGGCCCTCGGAAAGGGCGTGGTAGGTCTGGATACCGAATATGTTCCCCGAGCCAGTTCTCGCCCCGCCGTCCATTGTTGTTGATGCAGATATAAGACTTGATAGGATGGGCACGCCCTCAGGTAGACTGGAAGTCGCAACGGATCGATGGGCGAACCGTCGTGGTGGTTGAGGACAAAGAGGCGGAGGCGAGGCGGCGGCATACCCCAGGACGCGCGTGACTCGTTTAGGGCGACCTGGCTCAGCTAGCGCTCCTGTCGATCTCTAGATCTATGTGTTCGACAAGTATTCCAGGCCCTCCGCAATTCAGGTGTAAGAACTTGTGGATATAGAGTGATGTGTATGCGAGATAGTGTCCGTAGGCTCAGATACATAGCAATCCAGCAAATATCATAGCAATGAGGATAACAATACAACCCAACTACGATTTAGCCGTGATATCATTTGTGCAGCCCTAATTTCAGTGCTTGCCGTATGTTTCGAGCACATCGCGTGTCAAGGAGCGCAGCATCGCCACGCTGACGTACGACTTCTCGCCCTCAGTAGACAAGGACGGTGCTATACTTGGTGACGGCGAGACGGAGACACCATTGGTGAGAGGCACAAATCCCTCGCCGCTGGAGCCGCTGTCAGATCGTAGACGCTTCTGAGAATGCGAGCTAGGGAGACTGGTGGAATCATCAATAAGATGTCCGGAATTGCTAGACACGAGCCCTATCAACTCACCTCTGGAGGACGCTTTCATCGTCCTCTGCGGACCGCTTCGATGAAGATCGTTCAGCAACAGCAGCAGCGAGCAATTGCTCGCGGAGTCTACCACTGTACGATTGGACGGCCAAATCCAGATCACCAAGAGCCCGCTCGAGGCGGGTCTTCTCGACGGCGTATTGAGAAGTCGTGTTTGCGGCGAGCAGGCGCTCCGCAGTCTGAATTGGCATTTTTGCCAGGGCATCTATGAACGGGCCCATCATATGTCCTACATCGCATTGAGACCACTGATGCGCGGAAAATGTGAGAACAACATACCTTGGCCGAAATGAGGATACGACTCCGGATCAGCAACACGCTGGACTTCAACAGGTTGAGGACCATCAAGCAGCGCCAGCATTGACTGGACGACATCGTTTTGGAGATCTCGAATGGCGGTCATTACGTGCTCATAGCGTGTCCAATCAACTAAGAAGTGTCAGCCTAGTTCGCGGAACGTACGCGGGAGACTTACAGTTCTCATTGGCCCAGCAGCTGTCTAGCCAGTCAGACACAGCTGTCGTGAACGGAGTCGTAAAGCATCTGGCCAATGCTGAGGTAGTCGTTAATAAGCGTGAGCTTGCAGCTGTGAAATGTGTCTCACCCTTCCAACTCATGGTCTCCTTCAAATGATCATCTAGGTCTAGCGTCATGGTCTTCAGAAACTCGGTAAACTTGGGGTCGAGCCCGCCGGATACGTCCGGAGCACTGAGGACATGCACGCTCTTGAAGACGCCCTTGTCTACATGCTTCTTCATCTAATCCAATGTCAGCCACGCAGCACAGACACGATCAATCGGTGTTGAAGCCTACCTCCTTGGTGAAGTCATCCGTAATGTTGGTATCTGTCTGACTGATCCAATGTATGACCATCAGAGTCGGAGTGAAGCGCCGTTCCTGGATAGGAGGCAGAGTTGCCACGATATCTCGGAGGCGTACAGTGTCGTCCAGAACGCGTAGTCGCCTAGTCACAAAACACAGTCAGTCTGCCGGATCACGCATCCAACAATTCACGTACTTCTCGATGTCATCCTTTATGCGCTCCAACGGCGTGCGCTCAAATATGATCAGGCCAGGCGACCCTCGCGGGAAGGGTTTTGGAGTCGAGATAGCCGGTAACGAAGTGACTAGGTCAATGCTGAAGTCACCTAGCTTCTCCGCATCGAGTTTCTTCTCGATCCAAATCGCAGTAGGGTCAAAGAACGGGTTGACCGCGAGCCACAGCCGCCATTCCGTCAGAGGCTGCTTCCTCTTATTGATCGTCTTAAGGTGCGCGCGTAGGCTCCGCAAGAAGGTGCCCGTCGCCCAGCGCATCTTGGACTCTTCGTGATTCTGTTGACAGGTAAAAAAGAGGATGACATGAGCAAGCTGCTTCGACCACCGGCGCTGCGGCGTGGCAAGGAGAGTGGACGATGCTGCACCTCTTTCAACCGCCGCGCGAGCTCTTCATCCGTGAGTGGGTGCTCGTAGTGCAACGCTGCAGCGCGCCGCATCCGTTTCGGACGGATAAGTTCACCCGCGGACATTCTCCGTTTCTTCGGCTCTTCCTCTTGTTGCAGGCTCTGCATCGTCGGTGTACTGTACGTCGGAGGGATGCGGTTGCGTTGCCGGCGGACCTTTGCCTTGTAGGCCTCGCCGCGCTCGCAGGCCTCCTTCCACTGACCCTGCTCGATGGTCCGATCCTCCCATCGCTTGTAGTAGTGCTTCATCACCTTGATATTCTTCTTCTGAAGATACTCGGACAGTATCTTGTCATGATCCACTGGCTCTGCCCTCGCCTTGCCCTTATCCTTTGAAGGGGTAGACCTCTCGCCTAGAAGGGGAGTCTCGACAGGCTCCGCGTGAGTTGGGCGATTGACCAAACGCTGGGCTGAGTCGCGGGGCAGAGGCGACGGGCTACCGTTGGAGACACTCGCAGACTTTGGGAAGCCAGGCGAGTTCATCTGTAAGGGACTCAGAAGCTCGGCCGAGCTCGATGGCGGCAAGAACAGCTGTGGGAGGCCCAATCCAGACTTCTTCCTGGAGACACTGGGCATGCCGGTGGGACCCTTGCCCGAGGTAGGGTCAAACCATCGCGACGTCGGGGTTGGTGGAAGGGACATCGGCGGGATCTTCCCTAAGGGAGGAGGTACTAGTGGCGACGTCGGTGGTCGCGAGCTGCTGCTCCCCGAGGACCCCAAGCTGAAAGCGGACGTAGAGGGCGTCGCATTTGACGGAGGTGTTTGCGGTTGAGATTGGAAAGATGCTGAGTGGGGCAGACTTGTGAATAGTGTCGGCCTTTCTGCGGGGCGGGGCCGGGCTGGGGACGGGGCCGGTGGTATGATTGGGCCCTGAGGCTGCATCGGCGTAGAAATTGGTGGTGCGAAGGACATTGGAGGAGGAGCAGGAGACGCGAAGGCCGGTAGTACAGGCAGGGGTGCAACCGACGCTTGTGGGAACAATGGTGCTGTTGTCGCGGATCGGCTAGGCTGGGTAGGAGCGGCAAAAGGGGAGGGCTCAGAACGGGCAGGGGGTGTGGGTTGCGCGTGAGCGGGTGGAGTTGAGATGAACGGCGTCGGTGTTGTCTTCGGCGGCGTGAACGCCGGTGCCATAGGACTTAGTGATGTTGAATGGGAAGTCGCAGCACCAAAGATGCTTCCATTGGACTGGGATATAGCGATGTTAGCAACAGGTTGGCTAGTCGAAGCAGCGGACGTCTGTCCGGAGAAGATGCTGCTCGCACTCGACGGGAAAGACGTGCTCCCGAAGATATTAATTGCTGAAGGTGACGGAGATATGCTCGTGCCAGGGAAGGTAGCACCCGCGCTGGCCAAGCTCGCGAATGCTGATTTGGTGGTACTGCCGTTAGGCGGGGATACAGAGGCCATTGAACTTGTAGCGGCGGCAGGCCCGAAAGCACTGGTGGTTCCAAACACAGAGTTGCCTCCAAATGGATTGGGTTTGGAGGTGAGGTTCCCAAATGCAGACTTCGCGGGTTGCGATGAGGTTGTAGAGGAAGCCGACGGCGTGGCCGCATTAGGGAATGGAGACGCGACGCTCGTGAAGGCCGAGGTTGACGGGGTAGCAATAGAGCCAGCGTCGGCGAAGGTTACTCGCCTGGTCTTCGTCGGTACATCAGCTGAGGGTCCGGCGACAGGCTGACTGGGCTGTGCCGTAGCTGACGGTCTCGAGATGCCGTCGATTATCTCTGGGATGGTGAGATCATCTCGTATAGCCTCGATGTTGTCAATTGTGTCCTTTCCGAACAACCTCTCCAGGATACACGCGACAAGGTAAATCATGACGGTGTCACCTTGTTCTCTGAGCACAGCAGCAAGCTTTGCAAAGATTGCCATGCCCTCTGCGTCCACGACTAGGCGGGAAGTCTTCGTGATGGGGGCACTCTTCGCCTGCACGTGAAGGCGAAATTGCGCGGTATATTGGAAGACAGAATGACTTGTGATCCATTCCGGGACGTCCTCTCGTCGTTCCCTCTGGTCACGTATGTGGATGAGTCGGTGGTATACGCGCATTTCAAGTTCAGTTGGGGCTTGGTATACCCCGCGCTGGTCTTCGTAGAACTCCTTCAAGCTTTGCAAAGCTAACGACGCGTCAGAGGTTGATCATGACATTCGTCCAAGAAGCACCTACTGTTCATGAGTTGTTGTTCTTCCAAAGCAACGGAAAACCTCGGATTGTCCCGCTCGAGGTGGAGAGCCAGGATGTGGAAGCGAGCACAGCGATCATGGCATTCAATCGCAAGCGGTCCATGCTCATGTTGCATAGTGAAGTCACTGCGGACTGATCGCGATCGGTCGCGAACGAAGTCATATGTTTGTGTAAATCCTTCCCTAACGAGGAGACCGTGGAACAGATAGTCCAGTGTTTTCTGTATGCAGGTGTGTTAGTTACGAGTCGCGGAAAGCTGGTCAACAGTGCATATTCGCTACAACCTAGGTCTCGCTCTGCATACGAAGCAACGCTCAGGCAAAAGTGCTGGGCACCATGCTAAGCATTGAATCGTCGCGCGTGAACCTAGGTCCAAGCGAACATACTCTGATGAATAAACTTGCCTTGAGCACGGGTGGAGGTCGGAGGTCGGACGGAAGGGTCTTGTCACCAGCAGCTCGCTCATAGATCTTCACTGCACGTTTATGGTCTACGCGCTTAGTACCAGGGATCTGTAAAGAGGACACAGTCTCTCCAGCAGTACTACAGGAGCGAATGAAGGGGTTCAACGCACCACCTCCCACTTGTCTAGGTTGTTTTCACGCTCACGTCGGTAACGTTCAAACCTCGGACACATATCCATGCACGTCCCAACCATAGTGATCGCCTCGTCCAGCCTTCTTGGAACAGTAGGATCGTCCATCTTGCCTTCAGCTATGGCCTTTTTGCGTTCCGCTTCCCGTGCTTTCACAAGCTGATCCGGTGTAAGTTGTTCTATGCCACACTACGAGCGCGATCACTTACCTCTTGCCAGAACAGCTCACGCTCCTGTGGCGTTTCGGGATCGGGAGGGTACTCGGTATCGTTGTCGCTACCCTCTTCGCCAGTGTCCCCGTTCATGCTATGGTCGTCTTCCGTGCCACTGACCCCGTCGTCCAGCTGGTGAGGGTCGGGCACGCCGAGGAAAGGTGATGAAGGACGCGGAGTAGAGACTTGATTGTGACCATGTTGTTTCCTCCCATGGCTACCGCGCTCCCGCCGCTCGCTGTCGCTGTTATGGCCAGAGCTCGTGTTGTCTTGACCCGCGACCCACTTCCGGTTCTTGGACTGAGGTCGGCCGCCAGCACCGTGGATGCGAATACCGCGGCCACGAGAAGTTTGCACGTCCATCATAACGCGTGTCTGTACGCGCAAAGTCCCCTAGTAGATGAGCCCTGCGAAGTCGAGAGGATGAGTGAGGTTGGTCAAGTTAAACAAGGACAAGACCACGCGCTTGCCGCCACAGTCGAGACTCGAGACGCGCTCCGGCGCGCGACAAGGATAACATGACATAATTACGTAATGTGATGTTAGGTTATCCCTACTGTATCGTGGATCTCTGCCACCCTGCCACCCTGCCCATTACTTATTCGCGAAATGGTGCATACTGTACTTCTCGATGAAATCTGCTGTGTCGTGTTCACAGTGCACACTCGGTACTGAGTAGTAGCAGATTAGTAGATCTCCTCAGTTCATGTGACTAAGGTCGGCCGGAAGGCCACAGTTCAAATCAGTGATACGGCCATGGTACGGCCGCTACCGAGGCCCGATCTGCTTACGTAAGCCACTCTGGCCGAGTGTTGCATGGCCTCGTCTGTGCTCTCCCTTAGATTAGCTCATCCACCATGTACTCTGAGACACACAAGAGACATTATTGAGTGCATTATCGGCTTTCCAATGGATTTTGGGTGTTCTGTGGTATGGATTGTCTGTCTCGGCGTGCCGGAACTCCGTAAGCGCCCCAGACTCACGGTCACACCTGCCTAAATTGGACAGGCGGCGGACATCGGTTGCACTTAAGTTCTTGTCATCCGCAGCGATGTGAGTTATCCAACCATTTTTTGTGAGTCAAGCCAGATAAATTTCAAAGCATTGCGCCCAATCGCCCCCGTGCGAAGACGTCGTCCACCGCCAAGTGTGACCGTTACTTACCCGACGGCGCTTACCGAGGTTCCGGCTCTTCCGGCTCAAATTTGAGATATGGACTCCCCACAATGTATTCAAAAGCTACAATTCAACCCGATACAGATCAAGAATAGTCTGTAGCACTCAGTAGAGCTTGAATCTAGTGAGGGGAGGCACGAATCGGAACAAGACTTTCGCCAGATTAGCTTACATAAGCAGATCGGGCCTCGGCAACAGCCACCTCAAACGGAAATCGAACTGTGGCCTTCCGGCGTACCATATGTGACACTGTTAAGTACTTACTCACTTTGAATACTGCAACTAAGGGTTATTGTGAACCAAATGTATGATATCTCCAACCGCCTACCAACCGCCGCGGTCTGCATCTCATACTCTGTTACCATCGTCGGTGGGGCGGGCCTCTGCCCTTCAAACATCTCTCAGCTTTCTTGAATATTGTACTTGCGCCTGCGGAAGACTCATCCAAGTCGATGGACGGGCATGGCAAGGTGCCGCAGGATGTAGGTGCGTTATGCCGTGAAGTGGGTCTCCTTCGTTGGGATTGACGGCAAACAGTCGCTATATTTCACGCTGCATTCCATCCTACTCAAGGAAATGTCATAGACTGGTCTCTCAAGGCTACCGACGGTGCGCCAGTTTTATGCTTGGTAAACGACGGGCTAATACTTCGCAGATGTAGACCTGAACCATGTAGAATATAGCTGCCTTCCGAGCGGACTGCATCTTATGGAACGCGATGTTGTGTATGTTCATCCACAGTGCTATCGCTCCGCCATGGACTCACTTGAACCAGGTACTTCACGAAAGACGACCACCATGGTGTCTGTGTATTCCACCGTGAGCAGACTGCGGAGGAAGGGCATCGCGGCTACCGCCTGTCCTCGCTTGGCATCCTGCTCGCTCAATCCTCTCGCCCACGACCATGGCTCCACGTCCCTGCGCTCAAGTCTCTGTTCGGCACTGTTTTCGCTTCCCTCGACGCCGTGATCCCTCTCGAGCGCAATTGGGACCCCGCGCGCGCATTCTTCGAGGAGCGCAAGGTGCGCCAGCCGGACATGGGCGGTGCAGGTGTCTGGGGCGGCTGGGGCGCCGAACTCGAGGGGGACGGTGCAGCACTCGACACGGACCCCACGATCCACCTTCCGCACCTGCTGCGCATACTCGGGCCCTCGTCGCTCACGCTCTACAAACACGTCCTCGGACGCCGACGAATACTCATATATACCCTCCCGCCAGTCGAGGCGGCGTGCATCCTCTGCCAGGTCGCTGCGGACATATGTTACCAGTGTCAGGCAGGAGATGTCGATGCGCCGACTGACGACGACGATACCCAAGCGGCGCCGAGATTGAAGGGGAAGGGCGTGAAGGTGCTCGGCATGGTCACGCTGAACGACGTGTCGAAGCTCGAGGAGGAGAGCAAGTCCGGGCGTGGATGGATTGCATGCACGACGGATGCGATCTTCCTCGAGAAGCCCTCCTGCTACGATCTCCTCATTGATCTCCGGACGTCGACGCCGAATACCCGACCCACGTTCTATGTAACAAAATCTTGTGACCAGTCAGGATCGAAGGCGCCTTCGCATCGCCTCTCAGTGGTGCGCTTTACTTGGAGCGACGTCAAGCTGGTAGGTTTTTTTTTATAGCCGCGTCTTCTCTGAGGCAGCGTTGACAGTCTCGCCAGTGGACCGAGATTGACCGATTGCTACGCATCGACGCAGGGGAGCCCTCAGACGACTGCTGTGACCCGTCCTCAAGTAGCGGAAAGCCACGCGCAAGTACCAGCTCCTGGACAGACATCTGGCGCGTGTACGAAGACGTCTGCGTCGTGTGTGCGGGTCTCTGGATGGGTTCCTGGCGAGGAACTCCGCCTTATCCCTATAGCTCCAGCAACTGGGGTAGCCTCCGTCTTGAGGGTGACGACGCGCTATCACTGCGCTCGCCGAAGCCCTACGTCCGCACGCTCGGCATGGGCATCGAGGGCCGTACCGCTGAGGCGTCGACGTCCACGACCCGCTCGCTGCGCGGAATCGCCAGGAACAGCGGCATGTCGGTGCTGACGTGGGCAAACAGCAGGGGCGACGCCCAGTCAGCAAGCGCAAGCTTATCGGCTGTCTCTGCCAGCCAGCTCAAGGACTCTGCGATGGTCGCTCACTTCGAGGGAGACGAGAGTCGGCACGCGCGGCAGGTCGTCACCACGCTCGCCCTCCTCCAGACATTCCATACCAACACCTCGACCATGCTCGCCCGCCTAGCCGAGCTCGTCCCCCAAAGACGTGCGCAAGCCCGAGGGGACACCGGTAGCCCTATAGACGCAGTGGTCTTAACGCCGAAAGATGTCATGTCATTCGAGCTAGGCCCGTTCAGCGGGCTTGACGCTAGATTCATAGAGTGGCTGGGGGAAGAGTACGGGGATGGGTCGAAAGTCTTCGTGCGACGTAGCTGGCGGGATCTCGTTGGACTCATCTTCGGACTTGGTTAGACTGGATTTCCGGAACTTGCGATGAGCATAAATGGTACGGACATGTATGCATCTATTAGTATGAATGTTGTTCTACATATGCGTTATTCCTATATCATTTGTGACTCCGACAACGTCTCAGACTCTCAGTGCGAAGCACTTGTTAACGAAAACACATGCACACCTGAGCTGCCCATCCGAGGGACAAAATAGTAAACCTCCGATACGGGGAATCGAACCCCGAGCTGCCGCGTGAAAGGCGGCAATGTTAGCCGTTACACCATATCGGATGAATACAATGGACTGCAGGGCTGTTCACTAGCTACGTAGGAGTAAGTATCTATTTCTAGTCAGCAAGGCCGTCCTGCTTAGATAACCGGCTACCGTACTTACATCGCTTAGACGCCCGCATTTGCTCTTGGAAGCAAACGACGTCAACAGCAATATTGTACTGGGCCGCGCCCTGGGTATCTCCTCTAGGCACTCGCTCTCGTGTGTGTTGGGCTTTGGGATCTCAAGACCTGCTTTATCATTGATTCTGACCCCTACAGACGGTCACTAGCCGTCGCAAGACTAGTAGTCTAGCTGCCGGTGGTCCCTTGAAGAAGTTATTGCACTTCGACTTGCCACCATGGCGTCCGAAGCAGGTCCCTCAACTGTTCCAGACAATAAAAAGCCAATCGTCATCATTACGATAGGTATGGCCGGCGCGGGCAAGTCGACCTTCGTTCAGCGGATCAACTCCTACCTGCACTCGCTCGAGCCATCCTCGCCGCCGTACATCCTCAACCTGGACCCGGCGGTCACGAATGTGCCGTTCGAAGCGAACATCGACATTCGGGACACGATCAACTACCATGAGGTGATGAAGCAGTGTGTGGTCATTCCACCTCCCGCTCGTCGTCCGTCTTGCTCAGACAGTGCCGCGCTCAAGATATAACCTGGGTCCAAACGGCGGGATCTTGACCGCGCTGAACCTCTTCACGACAAAATTCGATCAGGTGCTGGGGCTGGTGGAAAAGAGGGCGGAGACTGTGGAGTGAGTCTTATGTCCCTTCTGTATCCTGGACCCTACTGAATGACTTGCAGTTATGTGATCATGGACACGCCCGGCCAGATCGAGATTTTCACCTGGTCGGCTTCTGGGGCCATTATCACGGATGCGGTTGCAGGAACGTTCCCGACAGTAGTGGCGTACATTATCGACACGCCTCGGACGACCGCCCCCGCCACATTCATGTCAAATATGCTGTACGCGTGCAGGTGCGTTTGCCTTCCTCTTCCCACTAATATCGCGCCGACAAGTGATATGCTGCAGCATCCTGTACAAAACGAAGCTTCCCTTCATCCTTGTCTTCAATAAAACCGACGTTCAGCCGCACGACTTTGCCCTCGAGTGGATGCATGATTTCGAGGCCTTCCAGGAGGCGCTTGCGACACATCGGGGGACAACAGACGATGAAGGAGAGCCGACATACATGAACAGCCTCATGAACAGCATGAGTCTCGTGCTCGACGAATTCTACAAGCATCTTACCGTACGCCGTCTTCCACGTTTCCTCTCTGTTCCTCACGCCGAAGCGATTTTGTTTTTACAGGCGGTCGGAGTATCGAGCATGACGGGGGCGGGGATCAAAGAATTCTTCGACGCGGTGGAAGCCTCACGAACAGAATACGAAACGTCCGTCTCCGTCTATTCATCGAATATCAGCATCCCCTGACCTTGCCGCCCTTAGTGAATATATTCCCGAGCTAGAACGCGCACGCGCTTCACGAGAGGAATCGCTGCAAAAGGTGAAGGAAGACTCGGTGAACCGGCTGATGGCTGACCTCGCCGTTGACCGTGCGCGAGACCCGAACGCCGCGATGATGGACCGGTGGGATCCTCACGAGGAAGACGAGGATGATGACGCGGATGTAAACATCATTGACCGGAGTGAGTACTATTTGCTGACCCTTGAGAAACACCGAGCGTTTGCTGATCGGAGGACATCGTAGGCGAGGAGCCCTGGCCGGGTCAGTATATCGACGTGACGAGGATGCGCGGTAGGAATGACGAGGGGGTCAACTGGCCGCGGCCGGGGTAGTCGCCTGTGTGTGGGACGTGGATCGCAATCCTGTATGATCACCTTGTAACGGACTGTATCCACTAATTGTATAGATGCCGCAAGGTTTGGCAGATCGTTGACATGTACATTGCCGTGCAGCGACCCTTACGAACCGTCGTGGACCGCAATTTCATGCCCTTAGTTATGGAAGCGGCATTTGTACGTGCCTGTAGGGGTCGAACATACTACAGAGGTGCCGTACAAATTTTGATATGTGTTCTCATAATTTTGGCGGCGACAGTATTGCGGCGAGTCCTATTCGGCGAGCCGTTCCATTGCAATAACTCAACTGCTGCTCCCCTTTCATACTTGCTTGATAACTGATTGTGGATCGCAGAGTAGAGCGGGGTTCATCGGCGAGCCGCAGGCTCCTCTGCCCAATCGGCGTTTTCGCACCCTGCCAGATGGCTGAGGCGTGCCATTTGGAATTGTGGGCGGCTTCTAGTCTGACAGACACCTTGGACACACCTCCTTATAACCTCATCATAATCTTCCGAAGATCGACCCGCTGGACAGTAGACAGGGAGGCGAGGCTTGGTTCGCTACCGTTCGCACAGAACTTAGATGCTAAACGCTGCCAGGGATCCTATATGACGCATTGCTAAAATGGCGGGTCGCCGTGGGCTCCGTTCAGCAATTGCGCGATGTCAATGCACGCGTTCCGCGGGTGCTGCAGCTACCTAGGTTCGACACAAGCCCCTCACGTGGTGAGAGGGTCTTGGTATGAGACTAGCAACCAGTAACTCGGTGTCGAACAGGAATGGAATGATGGTCAAAGACAATAAGGTAGCCGTGAGTGGGTGCGTTCGAGCTGTTTTTCACTCTACCATATCCATCGACATCCCCTGGGAGCCCAGCTGGGCGCATGCCTGTGCACACGCGCGGGCGTGGAGTCAGCTTCTGAGACTGCTATCCGGATGCATAGTATAAACTCTGAATCTGGTATGACGCCGGCCATTTGTCAGTGGCGTAGGCCGTTCTGTGAACTAGGCGGTGTAGTTACAGTACCTGGTTTATGGTAGTCGGTCTGTTACAAGTGTCTCGGCCTTTGATCAAATTAAAGTGGGTGACTGCGGCCCGATTGTGGCCAGTAGATTATAATAGGGACGGGCGGTCAATGCCACCGTTTCATGCAATACGAGTACTTGGGCATATGATCAGCATCTGCAACCGTTAATCGCGGCGAGCGCGTTGAGATGAGTAAAAACAAATAGCGTTACGCTGGTGTTACGTCCATTTGTGTGTGCTGCGTGCGAGTGGCCGGGTTTTGGGAGGAGCGGTTGCCTGCAGCACTGCATCAATACTTCCATTCTGGGCGCGGTACTGGCGCTTACGTGATCAAGCAGCCGTTGAAGCCAGAATGTTGCGCGCCGGCGCCCTCCATCGTCTTCCCTTCAAAGTTCGCAAGCAACCACCTCCGCCCCGTCCCCCTCCTCGACGCTCATTTCCCCTCCTCAGCCAGCTCGCCCGAGGCTCTCTCCCTCTCGTCTCTTCCCATGGAGCGGTGAGCATCCGTCGTGCAGCCCGTGTGCGGAGTGGCGCATGCTGACCACTCTGATCCCGCTCAGCTACTCGAAGATCGAGAAGGTTGGTGAGTGTGCTCCATATGCTGTTGCTTTTGCTACCGCTCATCCGGTCAACCCGCGAACCTAGGCGAGGGTGAGTCTGTTTTCCGCAAGCCTGGGGAGCTCCTCATGGACCGTGAACGCTGGTGCGGGTCGTCATCGTGCTCTCAGGTACCTATGGTGTGGTCTACAAGGCGAAGGATGTCACGACCGGCCAAGTTGTGGCGCTGAAGAAGATCAGGCTCGAGGCGGAGGACGAGGGCGTCCCAAGTACGGCCATTCGGGAGATCAGCTTGTTGAAAGAATTGAAGGACGAGAATGTGGTCAGGTATGTCCACACGCGATGTCCTCGATCGCCCGTCCTGCTCGATGCTTCGCCCCGAGCGTGCGTCTCGCCCGCCGCACATCGCCGTCGCTGACTGCCGCACTCGCCCCTCCAGGCTCTTGGATATCGTCCACGCAGATGCGAAGCTCTATCTCGTATTCGAGTTCCTCGACGTGGATCTCAAGAGGTACATGGAGCATGCGAACAAGGTTGGCAGTCCCATTACTCCCGACATAGTCAAGGTGAGTTACGCGGTGCCGTCATGTCATGCTATCTCGCCTATCGTCCGATGCGACGTCGCCCACGCATCTTTCATGCTCCTTGCGCGTGTTCGACGCGTGCGATCCGCGCTCGTCGCGTATGGACGCGTCCAAGGCGATGAAAACCCGAAAAAGCGAATATGCCACTCCGTCACGTGACCCTGTCAACGCCCTCAACCATGGGCGCTAGGGGTGCCGCGCGTACACCCCCAGGCCAACCGTTATTGGTGGACTCTACGCTGACATACGTCGATATGCGCACAGAAATTTACCTATCAACTCAACTCTGGTCTTCTATACTGCCATTCGCACCGCATCTTGCATCGCGATCTCAAACCGCAAAATCTGCTGATTGACAAATATGACAACCTCAAACTAGCAGATTTCGGTCTTGCGAGGGCGTTCGGCATTCCGATGAGGACGTACACGCACGAGGTATTCATGTGCCCGATCACCAATGTTGCTCGGAGTTTCTCAACGCAGTTTCTCAGGTCGTAACGCTTTGGTACCGTGCACCGGAAGTGCTGCTGGGCTCGCGCCACTACTCGACAGCTATCGATATGTGGTCAGTTGGCTGCATCTTCGCTGAGATGGTGATGAGAGGGCACCCGCTCTTCCCTGGCGACTCCGAGATCGACCAGATTTTCAAGATTTTCAGGTTGGTTTTTGATCTTGTTCTCGGCGCTGCATCGCGTGAGGCGTGAGTCTGACAACCCCGACGCTAGGGTCCTTGGGACGCCGAGCGAAGAGATCTGGCCAGGCGTCAGCCAGTTGCCGGACTACAAGCCGACGTTCCCCCACTGGTCGCCACAAGACCTTTCCGACCATGTGCCGTTGTTGGACGAAGGCGGACTCGACCTCCTGAGGGTACGTTCACTTGTGCCGTGAGGACACTGTCGCTTCTGACGTACAGCTTCTGTGTCTCAGGCCATGTTGACTTACGACACCAGCAAACGTATCTCAGCGAAGCGGGCGCGGGTGCACCCCTACTTCGAGGAGCTGAAGCTATGATGCAACGACGTTCACGCTCACCACGTTCCGACTCCGAATCCATGTCCCGCGCCCCGTCTTTCCGTCGCCTTTTTCTCTGCCGTCCGCCGTCCGTCATCGTATATGCACTTCGCACTTTGCAATTCGCACGTTCCCAATACCGTCCTCGCAGCTTGTTCGTCGCCACGCAATTATATCAGTATGTTCGATACATTACATACGCGTATTCGTGTCTCAATAGCCCGCCGTCCTCCTCGCATTGCATCGTCCTTTTGACCCCGACCAGTAGCCAGTCTCGGTAATGGGATGTGTCGGTGTGACCAACTCTATCATCCGCCGTGCGCATGTTGGTCTGATCCCCAGTTCTGCGGGATTGGTATGTTCGTCCTGTCAAATTGGACTTGAGCAGGTTCCAAATGGAGAGACAATCATTATTGCCGTTGTCTCTAGGCAGACAATTCGGCATGAGTCCACTGATATACCAAGTTGATAGTGTCAATGATAGTCAAAATAGAGTCAAAATAATGATAGCGACACGAGTGTTTTCAATGTCATTCCTCCACCCGTGCATCCCAGATCTCCCGAAATGAAATTCGAGTATTCTGGTAACAATGGTAATCCTCAGTATCAGACAACAATTACTGTACACAAGCAGTATAGCTCAGGCTGGGAGAGTTGTTCGGATCCTAGACTATTCAGACATCAATCAAGTGCAAAGGAGGTCGGGTAGAATGTTACAAAGCGAAGGGGAGCAACAGTGAAAGTACAGGTAAACGAATGGTATATTGTACATGGTCCAGACATTGCCACCAAAGACAGTAAGAGGTAGACAGTCCAACAGAGTCCAATTGTCAAGAAGCGAATGTACGAGCACTCAAAGGGGGCCAACACCAGGCAAAGTGAAGTCGGGGAAGTTGGGCCAGTTGCCGAGCTCGCCCGGGTCGCCGCCAAGGCGGATCCACTGCGAGTGCGAGGGCGTCGGCCCGTCGAGCACGAAGAGTTGCTGCCACCCTGGCGGCGACACGTACGTGTTGGGGGGCGCTGTGACGGTGCAGGTGTTGCCGTTGCACGAGAACTCTGGGAATATCGTCCTGGAGCCCATATTGTTGCCATGGGTGCTCGATGTGGCTGCGGACACAGCATAAGGCGACAAATTTCGTCTTCAGCAAAGGGTCTGCAACTTACCGGCGAGCATGGATACCCTCATAGTGTCCGTCGTGCCCTCGTAGAGCTCCACAGTGATGGTGTACGTGCCTCCGTAATCCCAGTCGTTCTCCTCGACGGTAAAGTTCGGCTGTGTCCTGCCATCGGTGAGGTAGGGCGGGTAGTAAACCTCGATTCGCATTTCTTCAGGATAGCCGGGAGTTTGAGGGTCGCTGCCAGAGACCAAGACGCGGCCGTCGGGAAGGAGCTATGCTCATGATCAGACGTGATTGCGATCATGGAGTGCATGACTTACCGTAAGCTCGGAATGGTACATGCGTGCGACGATTGTCGTGTTGAGCACCGAGATGCGTTGGTGGACGGGTTGACTGGGGTCGTACAGCAGTGCCTGGAAGTTGGGGTCGGACCCGAGGCCAAAGCCGGCCACTCCTGCTTGAGCACCGTTGGCGATGAGGAAAGTGCCGTCAGGGAGCGCTAGGCAACAGAACGTTAGTCAACAGATGTGTGCATTTGTGCTCATTTTCCACTTACGAGCCTGCAGAGAAAGGATTAGTCGGTCAATGCGGCAGCAAAGTAAATGTTAGAATACGTACAATGCAAGTCATGACGCGCTTCGAGGGCTACCAAAGTCTCGTTAGACAAAGCTTCCTCAGCGATGCATACCACTCACCATTCGCTCAATCGTCCATTCTGGGTTCTCCGCCTCGGGCTGAATGCTGACGCAATTGTCCAGCGCGATACCAAAGTTTGATCCACCACAGATAAGCACCGTAACGGGGTCAGTGTAGGGCGGGTATTGCGGGAAGAGAACTGCTGTAGCCTCCATTGGGTATGTCCGTCCTGCCAGGAAGCTGGTGACCGAGCCTGGCATGTTAGGTAATACCTGATAGGTATCAAGCGTGATCGGGTCGAGGATCCTCGCTTCGTTGTAGTAGCCTAGGCGAAAGTCAGTCACTTCGCAATACGCAGTATTCGGTCGGTCGAGATGTACCAATGAAGACTCTGCCACTCGGTAGCATGTGAAGGAATGGGTAGAGGTTGTTTGGGTCAGTTCGGTTGAGGTAGTCGAGGAACTTGTAGGTGGGTCCTCCAGCTGGGGTTGGCAGGATCTCCAGAGTCGGTTCCGGTGCGCCGTTACTTCCTACCTCACCACCTACAACGAGTACGCTCCCGTTCGACATAACCAAAGCGGACGGATACCAGCGGCCACGCTGGAATGTGTGTTCCATAAAGAGTACGTCAGTTATAGTGCCGGTCCATTGCTCACCTGCAAGGCAACCTCCTGGTAGTTCTCCTCCCAGTCGTTGGTACCATTGACACCAGCACTGCCATCAGGAGCATAGAGCCGAATGCCATACGTGCTCTCGAGACTCCATCCGCCGACATTGAGTTGCCTGGCAGCTCTGTCCGGAAGTATGAGAGAACCGGAACAGAAGACGTCCGTCTTGACGTGCATAGTGCGCCACGCCAGCTCGAAATTGTCGACTAAACTGAGGTCGAGCTCGTATGCGCCCGTTGAATTGTCAAACTCGCTGGTGCCGTACTTCTCTACGAAGCTGACTTTGCCGTTAATCCCGACAGTAGCCACGAGAGGTACGACGACACCTCCGATCAAGAACTGCAGATAGATGAATTCGACGTGAACACTCATACTTTCGAGTGACGAAGCTAACCTCGTAGTAGCCGATATTATCAGGTGTGTTCCAGACGTCGATACCGCCGTTCCAGTAGTACAGCTAGTGTGGTCATATAGCTTTCAGTAGGATAACGATCATCTCGGGAAGTGCGCCGTACCTGAAGCCTCTCCGGACCGCCACACAAGTGGATCGGATCGCCCGAGCATGGGATCGAACAATCAGATGCGTTGGCGAAGCCATCGCTATATTCTGCAACATCCGATACGTCGCCACACCCTACAGGACATTGTTATTCGATGCCGCGACGACTAAGGGTGCCACCAAACTTACAGCATTCATCACCGTACTCCATACCCGCAGCCGGGTACCCGAACATAGCGCACTGGTTCAGGCAAGCCTCGACTGTGTTATTGTACGTCCAGATATTCTGGTACGGGAAGGTCCTGTTCGCTCCAGGCTCTCTGCACGCGTTCGATTAGTGACCCTGAGGGAAAATAAGCGAGGAACCAAACGCACTTGAGACAGCCTTGGTATTGCCACTGTCCTGGAAGGCTAGAATTCTGTGGGACTGGTACCGGGTACACAGTGACGTTGCCGGTCGAAGTATACACCTGCAGCGATCGTGAGTTACGGTGGTCGATAGAAGGAGCTAACGAACCGATAGCCTATTAGGTCCACCACAAGCCTCCCTACGCGGATGTAAGACAAGAAGTACTGTAGCACGCGAAGTTACGCACGTGCTGTTTCCGCCGCAACCCATGTCGCAATCACTCTCGTCAGCCGTGACTGCACCATTGTCCAGGTTATCACCACAGACTAGAGCGTGTCAGCTAGGCGAGGCTCATTTGACGGCTGACAAACATACAGCATTGGACACTGTATTCGAGTGCCGCGACAGTGAAGTTTTGCTCGGAGCAACTCGCAATGCATAATTCCACGGTCACGTTTGAGTTGTCCGGAAGTTCCGTTGAGATCGCACGGCCATATGCATTGTCACTGTCGATATAGACGTCAAAACGGCTTCTCGCGCACTTCACTGTCACAGTGACTCACACATAACATGCTGCATACTCCCAAGGCGATGGTAGGCCTGACGTGACGGGATACACTGGTGACGAAGACCCGCCGCCCCCTCCTCCACCGCCTCCTCCTGGGTTAGAGGGAGGTGTGGGGAGATCTGTACCGGTGTAGTTGTAGACCTGATACCACATTAGCAGACAGCAACAGATATGCGGGGCGACCTCACGTTCAATGCATTGGAACCTCCACAGTACTCAGAGCTATTACCCGCGCAGACCATATCGCATGTACCCAGAGATATGGATGTCGCGCCGTTATCAAACTCAAGCCCGCAGACTAAACAGATGGATGAGCAGCTTCACAGGAGATACAGACGGAAGGATCGTACAACACTGCGTCGAGTACTCCATTCCAGCCAGAGGATATCCAGAGTTGTAACATGCGGTCGTACATGACTCGACATCAACGTCTCCGTCCACAGAAGGAGAGATAGCGAGAGCGCGGGCGTTCACTGAGTCACTACATCCTGGGTTAGGTCTCGCTACAACATAGAACACTCAATGCTTACTTATAACAACCAAGGGAGTCCCAGAGTCCCACACTGGGCACGGTGATAGGAGGCACCGGTGGCTGAACGCCGCTCCAGTAGACACTCAGGCGATCTGCAATAGACTTAAGGAAGTGTTTCGTTGCAAGCGCAAGGAAAAGAACAAACTGCCGGCTCCGCATGTCTCCTGAGCATCACCTGAGCAGGGCATGTCGCAATCCGTGGCAAGAGCCTGGGTTCCCCCGTTCGAGAACGCATTGCCACAGTCTGTGTACGTGCATGTCAGTGGTTGGAGACAAAGACTAGCAAATAAAATCCACACGCACAGCACTCCTGAGAGTATTCGACGCCTGCATACACATAGCTTGTCGACTGGTCGGAACAGAAGCTGATACAAGATTCGACAGTCATATTGGTCGTGTCTGTGTACGAAGGTCCCGTCAACGTGCGTGAAGCAGTATTATCCCTGCATGTAGCCCATGAGTATCACTGAAGTTGGATTAGTGAGTAACCTTACGTGTAGCATCCTTCAGCAGTCCAGTTGCCTGGAAGGGTCGGACCGGAGGATTGCCGAGGATGCACAATATTGATGCGATATTCCAACGGAGCATGTTTTGCATGAAGCTGATTGCGACCGTCAGTCTAACGAAAGACTATATTTCCCGTACAAGTCACGTACGAGAGGTAGAGACGCCGAGAGCGCCCAAAGAGAGCGGACGAGGATCGACATCCTCGTAGCGAACAGACGTGCACGGCGACTGCGAGCACTCCAATGTGCATGCTGCAGTAATTTATAATGGGTACAAGCCCTGGCCTGTCACTGGAAAAGCGATGCATAGACCAAACCCGACTTGGTAACCAGCTCGTTTCTGACATCGTTCTACTGATTTTCGGTCATGAGGGGCCGTTTCCGGCGCCACGAGGAGGAATAGGCCTCGGGAAAGCTGCCAAGGACGGTCACTCAACGGGGCGGCTATAAGGCCATAGGAATTGAGTACTAGTACTCCTCCGCAACGTCGGCCTATGTCCGGCGGAGACGCGGAATTGTTCCTTGTGCTATAACAACACTTGAAATGGGTAGGAAAAATCAGTCTGTGTCCTCAACAATGTTAGGCAGGATGTTTTACCTAGGTGGAACCCAAGTGGGACGAGTACCAAGGCGTCGAGCGGTTCGTATTGACCGCTCCTTTTGACGCTGGTTACCTGTCGTCTTGCACGTGTCAGTCACACTGCCTGTAGACAACATCAGACAATCGATGAACGAACGAACTCGAGACAAAAACCCATACGAAGATGGAGCAGCACATCGAAAAACGAGGATTCGGCTCGGAGTCGGATTATCAGGCCTCATCCCGTCATCAACGGAATGCCTCGTCATTGGTGGCATCGACGCCGGAGGTATTGTGCGCTCCTGAACAGCAAGGGTGAACGAAGAGTGATTGTTGTCAGATTGAGTAGTTTAGGGCCATCGTTCGTTGAGCCGCTACTACCGTTCGCCGAAACACAAAGCAGACCACCGGTGCCTACCATGCCTTCGCGCTGAGGCATATTGAGCACGATAACGTCCACTATATTCGTCTTTGTCATTCAAATCGGATTCATATTGGAGATGTGGCCCACCCGCAAGCTGATTACGCGGTGATACGCACCTGAGCAAATTGTGCTGCAACGACCTGACAATTCGAGCGACTGTACCAATTCAATACAGTGAGATGGATCAACCGGGCAGCCACCATCTGTCATGGAATCACGCGTGGTTGCATGAGCATGATGCATCACACCTCGCATCCGTTGAACAACGGAGCTAATCCTTCCCCTGGCGCTGCGGGACACTGCGCTACCTTGGATGGCGATTGAGAGGGTTACGGGCATGGGACGCCATGAAATTTGCCTTCTCCGAGCGATCCATTGCTTAGGCTCTGACTGCAACAGTGCCATTGTTTCGCATTTGAACGAGCAAAGGATCGCGTCCCTGGCGGCTGGGTAAAGGGGGTGGATGAACATCAAGTATAGGCAGACGACAAGGAGTGAACAAAAACTGACATATACAGAAATTTCGTGTCAATCAAGCTTGCGATCGTATGCTCGGGGCTGTTTCTTCGACGTCGCGCGCTCCGAAGTGCAGACTTGTCGTGTGATGCGGCTGTAGAGATAAATGGTCCAGACATACGCATCCGCGGGATGATCGTACCTCGCTGGGCCATCGTTCTAAGGGAGAAGAAACAATGTTGCCGAAGCCGCACCCAACAACTGTGTCTGTTCCTGACCTGTCCGTGTCCTGCGATCGAAACCTGCAATCCGCCTTTCACCCGATGACAGTTTCAGTCCTGACTAGAAGCAGCTCACCATGCCCTAGACCGGAGCAGATTATCCTGCGGAGATTGCGCAAATGGTGAGACCGCGATTTGTCGGTACAAATACGACAGCCATAGAAGTCAATCTGACCGCTTATGCTCCGAGTATGGGCCACAGGCATTGGGATTCGGGATGAACACATCTTGCATGCCATCCTCCTGTCCCTGGAATGGCGAATGTCAGGATGAAGACGATGTACCTCGCCGCGTCGGCATCGTACGCCTTGACAGCGTTTAGCGGCAGACCCGGTGTTGCTTCATGAGCATCACCAGTGGGAAACAATCCATCCATCTATTGTCATCTACGCACATGTCATCACGCCTAACAAGAAATGACAAGGTTTGACAATGTGAGTAAACACTGCAAATGATGGTTCAGTCACTCCCGATACATGGATGATCTGAAGACTTACACATCAGACCAGAAACGTCTCCCCGTGTTCTAGCACACGAAGGTGCCTGAGATCACCAACGTCTCTCGAGATCCAAAGAGAAGCCTGAGCACTCATCACCCGCGATATCACCGTAGCGTATGTCTTGACTGGCGTAGCATGTTGCTGGACGCGTCCTCGTTAGGAGCAAAGGACTCCTAGATCATTTTAAGACGTCAGAATCCATCCGATTGAACCAACGGGCGGGATGCCAGGGGAAAATTTGACTGAAAGTCCAAATGAGACGAATGTGGGCAGTTGGACATGGCGGTATTCGTTGCGAAGTGGGAGCTGACGGGTGACAGCTGCCCTACCATCCAAAGGATAGATACACGATCTTATGAGACAATCAGTCTTAAAAAAATGAGATGGAGTTGCTTTCGAGCGGCGTCGACGTCCGGGTTACGATAATCTAACATTTGAGTGACGAGGGTTGAACAGGAGAACTAAGGAACGAGCTAAGCCGTCGATAGTATAAGAAGACTTATCAAGGTAGATGTAGGGCAAGAGCGTGTGTGCGATGGGCGTCCACGACACCGACAACGATGGCCAGCTCGTCGTCGCATTGGCTGCTGGCAAGAGGAAAGGAAAGACGCGAACAGCCACAAGCGCGACGCGCGTATGAGGTTCATGTCACATGACTCGAACGCGTCGCGCGACGTTAAATTGGCGCGACGCGTCCAAAGCGCCGATACATGGCCGAGGGCAGCGCCTTGTCCACATGTACAGACACCTTGCTCACGGATTCGTGATCCATATGTACTACGCTCGCTTGCTTCCTTCTGAGTGGTCTGTCTCGAATTGTATGGCAAACGACCCCAAATATCGACGTCCTGTGCGGCCAGGGGTTCTTGCTCTTCAAGTTTCAACCTATTCGCACTGTCACCAATCATTTCGATCCGAAGTCCTTCACGATAGCAAACCCGTCAGCACACATGTGGTCTGTGTTCACACACCCGCATTTGACAGACCGGTATCTGGAGCGTCTACTAAGTCGCACGTTCTGTGCTGCTCAGGCTGAGAACAAAAGATCAACGGTGGTTTCACAACATGCCCAGACCGCAAAAAACCTGGATAAATCATCGCCGACGAAGACCATGATGGGCGGTGCCGTACGTGAACGTAGATGCCATTGATTCACGCCGTGGCAGAGTCTCATGGCATGCCTCGGCCTCGACGACCGCCACGCATCCACGTCTACTCAATCAGACCAATGTCACAACGTCCTCCTCTGCGACGGTCCAAACGTTTGTTCCCTCTCATAAATCCTTACATATCGCCTATGAAGTTATTTTGGCCGTTCATTTATTGACAAAGCCCACTTGGACGTCGTGTCGGCGCGCAAGACAAACCCGCATTCATGCTCAGCCTGAGGATGTGGCTGCTCGTCGACGAGCCCTCGACGAGCCTCGCAGGTCACTCCGCTCTCCAACTTGACCGTAGGCTATTGCCCTGCGGCCGGTGTCAATGTGGTTATCATATTCGATACCCAGCGCCAGGTAGAACGGCGACCGCGACTTCCTGCAGCAATGCGTAGTAGATGACACTGCCAGAGGTGGTTATGCAACTGATCCCCACACTCGCTCGTATACAACGCCGCCCCATCGTTTCGTACATGCCCAGGGAAACGCACCGTCTAATCAATACCGTTTCTTCCCCCAAGGCCGACGGAGACGAGTTCCGCGGTAGCCGTCTCAAATTAGACAACTAGCCAATCGGCAACGCGAACAATGTTTTGGGGGAGTTGCTCGAGGATGACTCCCGAGAAAACGATTCGGTGGCAGCGACGGTATTAGTATACTCAGAGAAACCTATTCCCCACTCTCCCCTGTTTCATGATCATGAACCAACAGGAGTCGAATGTCCCGACTCCTTTCAGCTTGCGAAAACGAGTCGCGGAGATCCACTGTATATATCCGACGTCGTGTAAAGCGTGTACATTCCGTACTCGTAATGACCACATAGCCTAAGACAACCTGAGCATGATCGTATATGTACGACGACGGCAATGTACAACGTTCCCCGCGCCAACGCAAGGCAGTGCTTATCAGCGTGTCAACCTTTGCTAACATGAGGAGTAGAGTATGTGTGTGTACAGTCCACGGCTGCATACGTCCTACTGCGTCTCCATCGAAAAGCAGGCTTGAGGTCCTCGCTCCGTCGAAGGTAACAGCAACCGAGCAACACGCACATACCCACAACAGTATCCGAGACCTCTGCTCCAGAAGCCCTCCGCAGGGTCGTGGTGCCGGACGTGCCGGTTCTGCATGAAGAGAATTCTGGTTGAGGAAGACACGGAAGCCTGGTGCCGAAGCTCACGCGGGCCGCACCTACATGAAACTGCTTCCACGGAGAGAGGCTGCATCGCGTCATAACACGAGAGAAGTTCGGGGCAACTGACCTTCGACACGAGGCCGTGCCTTTTTGAGTGAGGTCCGTCGGCTTCGCGATGTGGAAGACGGTGTCTCGCTCTAGACCGTGTTGCGTGACGACTTGCGGTGTGGTTCAATCGATGTGCGCCACTGTCTACCTCTTGTTGGTGACCCTCAGGCTCGCGGGGCCAGGGCTGAGAGCATGACGGCACGTAGACACGATGTGTATTGCACCTTCCGATTAGGACTATCCTGGGCTGCTGTCCATGAGCTAGTAGTGGCTCAAAAATGAGGAGCAACACACATCGCGAAGCCCGTTCGGCCTTCCATGCATACCAGGTGAACCCTTGATTATTGGCAACGAGGATAGGACGACACTGACGTCCGGTCTGCGCTGCGCTCCGCAATTGGATGGTGAATCGGGCTCGCGAAGGCATCGAAGGGGCCAAAGCGAGAAATGAAAGGCCCCTGGTAGCAGGTGCGCGGTCCACAAGACCTGGGCGCAGCACTGCGTGGGAGTGCGGCGTGGTGCCTCGGAGACGGACATGGCATCTGGGGCCCCGGATGCTGTCGCGGGCGAGGAGTGGTTGGATGGCGCAGGGATGGCTTCCCTGCATTCGAGCGAGGCCCACGGCGCGCGAGGCAGGTGGTATCGAGACGCTGGGCTGTCGCGGGTCTAGGAACACGCTCGGGCGATAGAAGGGCGCAGAGGCTGCAGGGCAGACCACGGCTCCTCCCAGGACGTGCGTCCAGCCAATCGCAGGCGTGCGGCGGGCGTCCGCGTTGCTCAGACGGAGATGGGGCGGAACTTTATTCGTGTGGCGCGTCCCGGGGGCGACGATGGCGAGCCGCGGTGCGCACAGACGGTGCGAGACACTGCTAGAAGACCAGGCGGCGTTTCTGATTGCACCGCGAAGGCGGCGAACGTGCAGAAGAGAGGGACAGGCGGGCGATACGGGGTCCGAACTCGGCCAAATTGGGGCTCCCGGTGGTTGGCCACAGCGCGAAGATAGCTGGCCAGGCGACGCGATCGCCCCCACGGACGCGAGGGTGCGCGTCCCCGAGAAGGGCCCGCCATAGCTGCCGTAGCTGGCTCTCCCGCTCTGTCTGCTTCGCTGTTGCTGCTCGTCGCTGGGTCGAAAAGAGCAAAGTTCCCACGGGCTGGGTGTGGCGTGCGCGGGGGGCGGGGAGCGAACCTTCTTTGCCTCCTCCCACCCCGACGAGATCTCGCGCGCGGTCAGTCAACTTTGTTTCTGAACTTTATATGCGATTTTGCTGACCATCGCCGTGTCCGTCATCGCCGCGCACGTCCACTCGCCGTCGTCGCTGGCCTCGCCGCTGTTCGCCATGCCGCCCACAGTCCCCCCGCCATGTCCCACGACCCCCAGCAGTCCCCCATCAGCGCGAGCGGGTCTAGCAACTGGACCGACCCGCCGTGGATGGGCTTCATCGAGACGACAGGTGACGCGCTGCTCATCCTCGAAGCGGCGCGGCGTGGTATGATTCCCCGCGTCACCCGGCGCCTCGTCGACTCTGAACGCAAGATGATCACCTCTGGCTCTGTCTTTGTCTTCGACGAGGACGAGAGCGGCATCAAACGGTGGACGGACGGCTTTTTCTGGAGCCCCAGTCGCATCCTGGGCAATTTCCTGCTTTATCGCGAGACGGAGAAGCGCGGCGCGGGGCATAGGAGCACCCGTGTTGAGCAGCCACTGGAGGAAGTAGACCCCAAGGGCGACGGCCAGTCGCTGAGCCGGCCAAAGAGCGAGGCCCACCGCTTGACGAGCGTCGACCGCCAGCGCGAGCGCAGCCTCGTAGGGAGCCTCACGAACAGCTACAAGTTCAAGCCAGGTGGGATGATGAAAAAGGTGCGTCATTCGTTATCTCCCAGAAGCAGTCTCCCGTATTGAATATTCCGAAGACATTCTCCCTCACCATCGGGGGTGTCGCCCAGCATCTCATTTCCTACTACAAGATTGAAGATGTCGAAAAGGGCCGTCTGCGCTCGCCCTCATCCTTGCCTGAAATCGCGTCGCTCGACATCTCCTCCGAATACCTAGACAAGACGCACTTCCGCAACCCGCCCAAAGTCGAGGTCGGCGTGGACGGCGTCCCGCGCTACCGCGGTGAGGCGGACGACACCGAGTCTTCGCCTACACTTCTACCCGCGCCGCTCTCAGGCATGCCGCTCTACCCAGACAGCATCGATTCTTCCAAGCGCGGCAAGCAGCGCTACGGCCCATACGACGGCAGCACCTCCAACAAGCGGCGCAAGAAGAGTTCTGCATCCAACGCGAGCTCTTCCCCCGTCGAGCCTACTTCACCCTCGTCCTCCGTCACACAGCCGTCGCCACAAGCAGCGATAACCTATCCGGTCTCGGAGTCTTCCTCGGCTCCAACCCAGCCCGCCCCTCACTATCCTGCGTACGGATATTACGTCCCGCCGGGCTACCACCCTCCCCCAGTGTACCCCTCGGCAAGCCCATACCCCACACTTCCCCCGCCCACGACGAGCTCGCCACACCCGCCCACGCCACCAAGCGCCCAGTACGCGTACCAGAGCTACCCCCCATCCGAAGCGACAGCGTACAGCTCGTACTATGCCCAGCCGCATGCGTACGCAGCGTACACGCCCCCGTCATGGCCCCACTACAGCTACTCGGCACAGGCGGGGGCGCACGCGCCCGCGAGCATCGAGGGCGGGGAGCGCGTGGAGGAGGTCGAGGGCGGCGAGTCGTAGGTGGGTTCCGTGCGTGTGCGTGAGGTTGCGTCGTTTTGGATAGGATCGCTCGGATGCCCTGCCTGCTGCTCGTCGTGTTGTGTTTGGTTCGGACAATCAAGCTCGCCCGCCCGTGTGGGCCGGAGCGAGCGCCGGCCGCTGTGTATATGTACGTCTGTTCGCCTCTGCCTCTGCCCTCTGCTTTCTGTGCCTGCTCGTCCCGTCTCGTGCGTCGCTTACGCTCTGATGTCCTCCCTCGTCCCTTGTCTATGTCTTCACCGTGTAACGCTGTCCGGCTTCTTGTCCTTGTAGTGCATTTCTCTGCGCCTCTGCGGAGGCGGCTCTCCCGGCTATATGCTTCCGTTTTTGCTTGCTCGTGGTGTATATGTGTATCGCTTAGCTCCTGAATCTCGTGCGCGGATTGCCCGTGGTGTACTTGTAGTTCGTTTACAGCAATGAGCAGCCTCATGCCTTAAGAACTGATAACGAGTTGGCGGATGACATCGACTGCATCGACGCTATTTGTACCAGATCGCTTTGAGGTGAGTGCTGTCTACAGTATCAGTCGGACAGGCAACCTGACTTGGATCTGCATATCCAGTTTTCTGCTGTCATTGTTTCCATGGCCCACGATTCGCGTCGAGAATGCCAAAGGTTTCAACTCAGACTGAGGACTCCAGTACTCGCTCAAATAGGGAACAGAGCGCGCATCAAACACAGTCGCCCGCTCTGAGGCCACTGATTTACTGTGTCGTCGCAGGTCTGCGTGGGCGTCGTCCGTGCCGTTGCGGTCCTGGGCGTCCTTGGCGTGGTTGCACAGGTGCGCATCTGTGAGCTGGGCGTGCCGCGCGAAGGTCTCCGAGGAACTCTGTAACTGCGCAGTGTGTTGGATCTCTGACATGTACTCTTTGGCATCGTGACCGCACATGGAGTCGCATGCACTACTTCACATCATGACAGACCTGGCTCTGCAGGACAATGATGCTCCTAAACTGCATGACAGTAGATATATGGGCGTTCGAATAGACATATGTCCAATCTTCATCGCTTCATACTGGCAGTCGATGTACCGACAATCTGGTGAGTCGTGCCAACCCATTCACGGTGCTACCAGGACCCTTATGATATGCGGGGAGTCTGATACAGAATTCGCAGGATTTGGCCTAGATGTTTCGCGCATGTGGGCTATCCATGTCCCAATGTACGGATGTGCACCGTGGGCGACCACAGGAAGTCATGCTCGGATAACTACAGCGCCATGTATGTTAGCAACCGTTCGTACGTCCGGATTGGACTCGTCCCTGCCGCCCCGCCCGCCGGAAACGCACTCTCGTCAAGATCCGATCAAGGCTTCCTCGGGCACACCTGCATGTTATGCAAGTGCATTGCAGTGATTCGAAGGCGATGAAGTCCCGGAAATACAGCACAGGAGTCTGTGGTAAAGATAGCCTCATCATTTGCAACTGCGATGGCGAATCCTCACCGCAGGATGTTTTATGTCCTCCGCTCAAATCAAAGTGTGCCGCCTGTATTTTAATCAGTGGCGATGGCGTACTTGACGTGTCCCCAGTGCAGACAGATGGGTTAAATGACTAGGAGATCGCGACGGTCGAACTTTACCCTCTGGCATCGACCTCCACTTTTATCTTCTCCGGATCAGTAGCCGAAGACCCAGAAGGCAGCCCTACTAGTAGACATGTCTCCGGCTAACAGCCTCATCATTGCAGACAACTCCATATATGCAGAATCGTGAGTTACCTCTGAATGGAATTCACTCCGAAGCTGACGTTGCCATTGTCCGAAAACCTAGCACTGCTATTGGGTACATATTCACGGCATTCGCTAGTGAGTCGAGAGCACTACCCGTGGTTGCGCTTTTCAAGTCGGTCGACTATGTTCACTTCCAGTGATGATCTTGTACGAGCATGTCCTCGGTCTAGGACAAGAAATCGATCTATTCTGGCGCAAGAAACTCTTCGGCCCGGCACTGATATTTTTGGCCAACCGCTATGTCTTGCTCGTGTACGGCGTTGGTTATCTCTTGCAAGTGCCTCTTTGGACCACACCGACGGTGGGTCAAGCACCGCTGCTTCTGCCATTCATCGGGCTGACAATCTCGAGCAGGGGTATGCCTCGCTCTGAGTGCGTGCACGCAACCCACAATTGACATATGTTGCCATACAGCTGCGAGGCGACCGATTTTATCTTCTATATTGCCAACATGCTTCTTTTCGCTATCACTGGCGGTGGGTTCATTGATCTCCATGGACTTAGTATTCCCTAAAGTGCCATTTGACAGTGTTGGCGGCTCTTCGGGTTTATGCCATCAGCAATGGAGACAAAGCAATCGGCGCTGCGGTCCTTACCGTTGGCATGGTCCCTGCAGTCGTCAATTTGGTACGTAACAGCACACCACAATAGTGAATGCATTCCTAGCTCATGACAATTTGACAGTATACTACGGTGCGGCAGTCTTACGCGTATCTGGGTGTCGACGGGATTTGCTCGCGGAACCGCGATTTCACCTTCGGCACAGCAAACATGTATGTACCCGCTGACTATTATCTCTGCTGACTTTTGAGCGTACTATGACAGACGTAAGTATCGACAATCATATGTTGACTACGAGAGAATAATCGTACCTTCGTCACAGTGGATGCAGTGGCCTGCGTGTGCGCGGTGCTATCCGACCTCATCGTCATCGTTGTAACATGGCGTAGAACATACAGGCTCTGGAGAGAAGGCTTGCGATCGAAGACGGCCCTCCCATTGATTACCTTGATTTTTCGCGATGGTATGTGCCGTTCCCACATCGAACCAAGTATACAAGGCAAAATTGCTCATTTGCCCAGGTACTCTTTACTTCATGTGAGTGAATCACTTCAATCGACATACAGTCCGTCAAACGCTTAATCGTAATCAACATCTCGTCCGATCAGCACGCTGCTCCTGGTGAACGTCCTAGAGCTCGTCGTGATACGTTTGCTAGTCACAGCATCGTCGGTAAGCCTGCCGGATTTCGAGAAGTGGACCCTCTGCCTTAACGGTGTCCAATTCAATTCATCTACAGGCCAGCGTTGCATACACATCATTCACGCTCATCCCGCAAGTCCCGTTTTCCCCAATGTTCGCTAAGCTGTAGCTGACGCCGTCAATTCTGCCAGCGTATCGTCGATCCTGATCTCGCGCTTTCTCGTCAATCTGAAGCAACTCTCAACAAAAGACGTTGCGATAGGACCTGCATACGGGGCATCGGGAGCGGCGTCGCACAGCGCCAATGAGCCGACAAACGTCAGTGGATCGCTCGTCGGGAACTTCGGTGCCGATCTGCAGTTCGCAAGTCACCCGGCGAGCACGGTTGAAGATGCTCATGGAGACGAAGAATACGAGGATGACGCGGAGTCAGAATCAGCGGGAGCGGGGGATGTCTGCGAGACCTAGTGGTGGCCATAAGACTACCAGCCCGATGCGATGATCATGCCTGCCATTGCTTATCTGTGGTCTCAGCACGCCCACTTCTGCATACCTACATGGAAAGGCTCAACGCCGTGGCCGCTTCGATGCATCAATCCGTCGACAGGCATGATATAGATTAAGACGTGGCAAGGCATTTGACATTCTGACACAATGGGCGAGAGGGCAGGACCTCAATGCGGCGTGTTTTCGAGATCCCCGACAGCAGTGCAGCGACTTCCACGAGTGTACACATCTGCCTCCGTACGACTTGCGTCCCTGACCCATCTAGTACCGCCCCGATGTTCGTCTGGGTCGCTCTCGTTGCTACCAATGTCGTCGACTCCCTCGAGTGCACCGTCGTGGGATAGCGGTCCCCCCAGTGTCCTGCTGATTCGTGCGCTGAGGAAGCGAATGCTAGACATATCTGACGGACACGAGGGTACGGATGGCGCGCGCGCGAAGGAGCGGAGGTGCAGCGAGGAGTTCGACACCAGTATCGTGTTGAGCCTGAAAACCAACGAATTCGAAGACACCCGCGTGCACCATCAATGCATCGCTGACATCCGGGGCAGGGACGGAGGACGCACGTGTAAAAAATGAGCGAGAAGTCCCTGAAGACCTGGTGCCAGTGAGTTATGCGCGTCAGCCTGAGCGTTAGTCTTAGTTCAAGCGCGAAGTCGGGTTCGCGCCACGCACACCTGTAGTGTACATCACGACCGCGACGAGATTGAAGGCGAACAGGACGCTGGTCATTATTCCGTGCGTGAGGGACTATTACACCCTAAGGAGACCGGCTTTGACCTTTACCTGCAGTGGATTATGCCTGTGTGTGCTTGAGCGAGCTCATGGTCATTGGACGTAGCCTCTACTAAAGCTTACCGTCTTTCAAGAGCATGATAGGCAATGTCCTCCAACGAGCACTCTTCTGCGCCAGTCGGACATGACAAAACTGATGCCTCAAGCTCACCGCCAGCGCCAGGGTCTCTGCTCCCATGTTGAAGACTCTCAAGATGATCTCGACTGAGTGGGCGTGATCAGTACACAGGAGAGTACACGAGACAAACAGTTCGTACGCCTGGTCAGAAGTATGGATAAGCATTAGGATACAGCGTATAATGACCAGACTCACTTGACGTTCTCGCTGGGAAGGCCGGATGCAACGACGCACTGTGTTGACTCTGCGAGGTTCGGGACAGCATAGAGGTGGAGGCTATAAAACTGCGACACGAACTCAAGATGACGTACGATGGTTATGTCGCGAGAATAGCGTACTATTCTAGCAATTATTCCGCCAAGGAATAGACAGATGATGATGGATGGGACTATGTAACTCCTGCCTGTGATGGCATACACGCGGAGTGCTGCAATCACTGTAGGATGCGTCTGAGTAGAAATCTCGGGCTGGGACGATTATGCATACCACCATATATCAGGAACAAGGCAGAACCGATGCATGCTGCGGCAACGGCGAGGCGATATGCACTACAGGATGCTCGGTACAGCGATTCTAGACACGTCATGGTATTTGAGTGCACACCTCTTTACGAGTTGTGCGGTTAGTGCAATCTCAACGGCGAGCCATGTACTTCACTTACTCTGCACCCATATCTCCAATACAGTAACATAGTGTGCAACGTCAGATAGACGAACGTCAACACATTTGTCACGGCGTAGAGTATGTTGGGGCGCGTGGGCCTCTTCCAGACTCCGTAGATAACTTCCGGTATTGCGCTGCGGATGTGCTCGTATACGAACAACGCTGCATCAGCAATGGTGAGACATAAACAGGGATCACATATGCCAAAGTAGAGTCACTTACTCATCATCGCTACTACGCAGTATCGTGAGTCCCGGAGAAAGCTAATGACCAGAGAAACCACAGGGATTGGCGTAGCAGTCAGGTGTGCGTCAGTCATGCATTCAACAAGAAGTACGGACGTACATGAGCTTTTCCGTGTCGACTTCTGCCATAGAATCGAAATTCATCCCGCACTGATGTTCACGGGAGTCGGGACACCGCGATTGCAGTGAGGTGTGCTCCGTTTATGCGACGGTACTGTCCCCCACCTCACTCGTCTTATATATCATCGCAAGGTGTCCAAAGATTTACCATCTCGAGTGGAAACCGCCTTCACCTGATTGAGTCGACCGAGGACAGTGGTGGAGTCCGTCGTGTGTGCAGTGGTGTCCCAGCTGCCACGGATCCCACCAAGCGTAGACAGTCGAGATCTGTCCGAGTCATCCGGAACATCCGCGACCGATCGCATTGAACTGATTTGCAATCGAGTTGGCACCGTGTGGTAATTGTTCAAGGTATCCGCGAAGCCGTCTACGTCTCATTTCCAGGCAAGCCAGTGGAAAGTATCGTTTGGCGAAGTTTGGCACGTATTTTCATCATGAGTACCGTCCATAATCGCCTGTGATAGAAGCTTCATTCCCAACTGATTGACCTAAATCTGTCCTAGTCCGTGTAAATCAGCAGGCGTCCAGAGATTTACCTTTGTTATCAATCTGCTTGATGCGGTGGGGAACAGTGGTAGATTCTCAAGGTAGGGGGTGGACAGATCAGTACGTGTGAGATGTGACGGTGGTATTTTGATCTTTTCCGACATTCATGTAATTTACACCGCCAGACGTCAAAGTCCAGGAGTGTCGCTGCAGCTTGTCTGCAGCTGGGAGGCAACTGAATTTATCGTGAACGTTGGCGAGAGTGTAGAGACAGCGACACGTCGGGCGCCTGCGCGGTACTGTATTCGGACGTGTCACATGAGGCGCGTCGACGGCGCGTCTGAACGCGTGACGTCATACGAGTGTCCCTGCCCCGCACCGACGACCTGGGCACCCCACCGTCCCACCGACCCTATAAGCCGCATCCTCGTCCCACTTCCCTCTCCCACCGCCCACCACCTCCATCCGCAACCATCCCATCATGTCCTCCAGCATCCACGCCAAATCCGCCGTCCAGAACACCGCCACCGACCTCCCGCCGTCGCGCGACCGCAAGGGCCTGCGCTCCGTCTCCCCGCCGCTCTCCAACGTCCCCATCTCGCGCTTCAACTACCTCCTCGCCCTCCTCGCCACTGTCGTCGCCGCATTCTACGTCTGGCGCCTCATGCAGTGGAAAGCCGAGGTCGGTGGCTGGTGGAACCTCGCCCTCGGCAAGCGGCCCCCGCAATTGCGCAACCGCGACGCGAACACGGGCGCGCAGTGGGCAAACGCCGGCGCTCACGCGCAGAGCTTTGCAAAGGACGGTGGAGATGGGGAGGTGGAGAGGAGGATCGAGGAGCTGGCGGTTGCGCTGGGCATCCCGAGCAAGGATCTCGCGAACGCGATTGCGGGCGCGGTGAGAGACTTCGTTCCTCCCGCTAGCCTGTCTTCGATTGCCGCACACGAAACTGGGTGCGTAGTTCGATTTATGTCGTTGCTACGCCGCAAAGCTGACTGTATGCGCTAGCGAGGCTGTGGAGTACATGGTCGACCCCTCCGGCGCGTCCGCCTCGGAGGCGCAGAGCGCGCCTGGGGCGACAGCGAGCCGCGGGTTCAGGGTGATGGAGAACGCATTCCAGGCAGCCGTAGGGATGGATGAGCCTCCAACAGAGGTGTAAGAGATTCCCAAGTAGCAAGCGTGCAACTTGGGATGAGAGCCGCAAGCGAATGATCATCGAACTTCTTGAAATCAAGTACCACAGCACTGTAGCATACGTACCCACAGTTAGTGTTTGTATCACACTCTTGTACATCCCTTGGGATCAAGATATGACCCTGTCCATGTCAGATCGGGCTCCTGAAGTGGTATGTCCACAAACATGGTACAATGGATATACACGTTACCTCTCAAGATGTTCACGCACTGGCCTCAACGTTCGTCCCCCGCACGCCCACAGCTGCTCCCCTCCGAATCACAACTTACTCGCCCATACTCGCCCAGTCCCTCCCCTCCGTCCCCTTCACTCACCTCCTCGTCCCCTTCACCCACCTCGTCGCTATCCCTCAACGAAGCGAACTCAAGCTCCGCGCCCATGTTCCCCACGAGCCTCAACGAGAACGTCGCACTTCCCGCCGCACCTCCTGGCCCGTCCGCCCGGTCCTTGCCTGCCCAGGGCCACGAGTCGTGCTCCGGCTCGGGATCGGCCCCCGGCTCAAGCGAGGAGACCTGCCGGAGGTGGAGGAGGAAGCGCGAGACGAGCATCGGCGCGAGCCTTCCCAGCCCCAGCCCCATCCGTCAGATGGACGTATGTGGATGAGAGGGGAGAGGCACGTACGGGACGATGGTGTACCAGTCGTCGCGCGCATTCACGGAGGAGCCCGATAGCGTGCTCGAGGAAGGCGTCGAGGATGAGGTGGACGTGGACGTAGACGCATGCACCCAGCTCTGGTTGATGCACAGCTCGACGGTGTTGACGAGCAGGATCGCCCTGCCAATCATGGTCACGACCCGTCGCCGTCGCTCCTGTACAGCGGTGCTCACAGAAAGTACAGCGTCCCTGCATGCGCGAGCCATCAGCCGTTGTCCCTATCCAGTGCAAAGGCAGGGAAGTGGAGTTCTCACCATCTCGGAGGTAGAGCGTGACAAGCGGGCTCGCGATCTTCGCCCGGCGCGCCCAGCGCACGAACGCGTACGTGCGCGCCCACGTCACGGCGACGACGAGCAGGTCCGCGAGGACGACGCCCGCCCAGGCGGCGTAGCTCACTATATGCGGGGTCAGTCGCAGGGACACCTTCAGAATTCAGTGAGGGGGCGATGGCCTTACAGCTGCAGGTGGAATGGAGTGTAGTCGGTTAGACGGAGATGACGCGGGCGGGCACATGTGCGTACATGGTTCCAGTCGTGGTAGAGTAGTACCGCGTCCGCATGCAGAGGCCGTCCTCGCCGATGTACGAGTATGACTGCTGGACGATAGTGAATTGGGAGGTAGGACATGTCATTAGCAGTCCTGTCTTTCTATCCAGGCTGCAAACTCACGATGTTGATAACGAAGGGCGTCAACCCGAGGACGAGCGCGACGCACGCCGCAGTCTTGTTCTTGAGGCTGATCGCGTATAAGCGGAGGGCGGAGAACACTGACAGTAAGAGTAGGATCAATCTCATGTTGAAAGATGGACGAGACAGACGTAGATGGACATGCGGCACTCGCGAAGAGGAGCGCGTTCAGTACGGCGAAGAGTGTTCCCGTAGCTTCACAGCTATCCACCACGATTCACAGTGTATCTGATCAGTCGACCGACTTCATCGTGTACGGCGAGACGTGCCTCTGTACAACGGTAGTCGTCAGTCTCGACCGCTTTCGGGTTCTCTACGGGAGCCCGACTCACAAGTGGTGTACTCCATGCGGGCAAGTTGAGGACGGAAGCAACTGCGTAGAGCACGAGCGCGTATCGGTTCGTGAAGAAGATGACGGCGGGTCCGGAGAGCTTGCAAGGCATCCAGTAGAGCTCGACCTCGCGCGGGAAGGTCGTGATGTAGTTGTACATCACCAGCGCTGCACGACGTCAGCTGCCAGTGACGCCCTCATAGTGAACGATACGTACCACCGTAAGCGGCGCATACATAGAGCGTGTCGTCGGTACTGGCGCGCCAACGAGCTGTCAGCCTGAGTGAGTTGGAATGTGAGACGCAGTGAGACGCACGCAGCAATCGCCACGACATCCTGCTGATTGTAGTCCCTCCTGAGGATCATCCTAGGCGATCGACAGTCAGAGGCCATTGCCAGTGATCGCAGTGTTATATATACTTACACGCCGCAGCGTAAAAGCCGCACAATAGTATCTGCACAGCGCGCTGGGACACCGCCTTGCAATGGCCATGCGAACCCGCATGAGCGGTACTCAGAAGCTGGTACAGCTGGCAGATGCGCAGGCTTCCCGGTCTGCAGCTGTGAGGTCTGATGAGATAGGCGGCACAGGAGACATGATCATGGAGATGTCTGAACGAACAGCGGGCGCGCGCAGTATTCCCAGACCCAAGTGCCACCAATGAGTACAGCCACTGGTACTACGTACTGCGAGGATGCGAGAACGTCCAAAGTCTAGAGAGCTGTTCAACACTCGCCTCTGGCGAAGATTAGGATATGTAAAGAGAACGTACGAACAACAGTTCACTCAGGCATGATCGCGATTCGCCATCATCACCGGCGGGGCCGTGCCTTCTCGCGGATGCAGTACACTCATGATTGAGCGATGAACAACGCTTCCTCCATCGAGAAGTCAGCACAGCGCATTCACCCCTTCAACAGAGATGCCGCAATTAGCAACGAGCGTGCGGGGACAGCTGCGCGAATCGCACCTTTCCTGGATCTCTACCATCATAGTACCCGCAGTGAGACCGTCTTTTCACTCAGGCTTAACACATATAAGCGACTTGCTGCCGGAGTGGTCGAAGAGATGCCAGTGCTGAGTGTGTGATACACACAGGTCTCTTCAAAGCCTCTTGGGGCCGTCATTCGTGAGTTATGAAGTAGGCGTGACGATGACTGCTCGGAACCTGGCTACAGGGGCAGATTGATATGCGTGCAGAATTCCGCCCCAGTATGTTTATGATTTTGCCGATACATAGTAGAGACTGCTAGAGATGGAAGTAGGTATGTACAAGCTTAAGCGCTTAAGCGCGATGACAGCTGTATCGTACATCGCTCTGATCACGTGACGGAGGTAGCTGCCTGTAAGTAACTTGTGTAGTTCGAGACGGACACCATATAGACGATGCCTCAACCCCTACCGGCCAACGACTACGACGTTCGCCAGCCATAGCGCGAAGCGTATGACAAGTGTCTCCAGTACGAAGTGGTGGCCGCGGGCGACGATGGCGCGCTCATGCACGCAAGGCTGCTGGGGTATTCTATCCGCGAGGCTCCTGCATCAGGAAAGCGGCACCTTGCCTCAACGGCCTCACCTGTCTAATTCGTACCTAATTTGTCTCATTGCCTCACAGATCTCTGACTTGGCTGGCTGTGATTTTGCATACTTACTGATTGACGATACAACTCACTGATCGACGACCCTCTCCTACGATATCGATACAATGGATGCATTACAGTAATATCTATGGCGACACACTATTGCCACTGAGATACAATACCCTCGTTCCGGGCGCTGCTCAAAATCAGATCTGCGTTCGCCGCCGGTGTAGGCAGTTAGCTCATCGCGGGCGTTCTGCACTTGGGCTCGTTGTGCCTGTGCCTACCGCTCGCTCGTGAGTTGCTGCACCTTCACCCGCCGTGTCCGCCGTCTCGTAGGTGTTTCGTTTTCTACCAGAATGCCCATGCTCACCGTTATGCCGGCCCTTGCACTTCATATCCGTTTGCCTGGCGGGTCATGACCGTACGCGCAGGGGTGCCACGCTGCGCCGCGTCTTCAGCCGGTACACACGGGTGGTGAACGGGTACGGGTCAATCGTGGTGTACAGTGGGTCGTGGCGGGTCGGTCGAACAGATGACAGCAGGTTAAGATGATCATCTGGGAGTGGGCAAGTGCCAGGGCGGGCGAGTCGGCAAGCAGGTATGTGGGCAAGCAGGTGAGCAAGCGCACGAGCATGCGGGAAACCGAGAAAGTGGGCAGACGGGCAGGTTCTTAGTCGAGCAGGCCGGTCGGAGTGGGTGTATGGGCACTGGCAAACAGGAGAGCGAGGACATACCTTTGAGCGTTCATGCTTGGCCTTGTAGCCCTCACCGCGCCCTTCGTTTTGCTCCTACTCAGTCCAACCCTTATCTGCGTCGGGGAAACGCGAGCGGTATCTTGACAGATCACCGCATGTTGGCTTGAGGATGTTGCGGGGCAAGGCGGTCGCGTCGTGCGGGGAGGTCGTTATGGTGCGCGTACGCGGCTGGCGGATGCGCGTGACGCGCACATCGTCGGTCGCGCGGGCCATTCACCTCATTGACTGTACGGGTGGTTGCAAAAGGGTCCCGGTGACTGACGAGGCAGAGAGCGACGTTGGCCGGCCATAAGCAGACAGCGCTGTTGCCCGGAGACCGTTGAATGTCTGCCCTGAACTACATTACAACTCCGACCTGGCTCCGACCGCCGGCGCTCCGAGTCAGCGCGCACGCGCGGCCTTGCTTCGCTGGCACTTACCCTCACATCACGCAGTCGCGGGCACCTCGTCTCCCAACATCGACGTGCAAGACAACCCACAAGCACATCGAACGTAAGGTTCGTGTACACAAGCGTGCAGCAAGCTGATGGCTGGTACCAGGGAGGGCACGTCAATGAGTGAGGGCTCGGGCGGGCGAGCGAGCAGCGGGTGCGGGTACAGCCCTTGGGCATCCACCGCCTCTACGAAGAACACAACGGCAAGCATATGCGTGGTGCACACGCCTTGTTCCCGTGACGTCAGACGTGAGTAGGTGGTGCCCGACACGTCCCGCGTCTGGTTAGCGGCAACTTATTATGTGAGTTTCGTTTCGTGATTCGTTATCCTGTATATGCGTCTGACCGGGAGCTTTGCGTGAAGTACAGAGCGTGGGGGGTTCCAACACTATATGGCGAAAGTGCGCATATGATTTTGTATATGGTCTGTTCATGGCCCCGCTTTCGTCCTGATTCTGACTCAGTGTGTAGAGGCCTGTTCATCAACAAGTGCATCTTTCTCAATGTCGATGCATCGTGCTCGTTGGGCTGGGTGGTGAGTGAGTTCAATAGGTTGGGCTTGAGGTGAAAATTGTTGACGTGTTCGGTGTGTACTATAGTGCAACGATCTGGCGCTAGTACAAGAACTGGCCCGCAAACAAGGACGAGGTTGTTGCGGTGACTGGTGCGTGGCCCCAATGTGTTCTAGACGTGTCGGAGACGCTGATCAGCATTGCACAGTTGATACTCATGATGATTGAGCAGCAGCGGACAGCATGTGGAGATGACAGGGCATGAGTGCGCATCGGGCGACCTCATGGGATGTGGATGCCCTCACGGAGCTCGCAAATAGGGTCGCTGACCGCATCTCGGAGTGGTACCGAGCGAGGAATTAGGACTGCTGTTGTAGGATACAGCTCAATTGAATATATTTGTTATTTTGTTGCACTGTCTTCCGGCTCACCTAAGTACCTCATGTGTCTATGTGCCCTATGAGCCTCATTGCCTCATCACGTCTCAGATGAGAGATAATCTACTCAAATGAGACTTGAATGAGGCAGCCCGTCTCAAACTGTCTAATTGCCTCATTGCCTCGATGAGGCAAAATAGGCAGGTGGTGCACATTCCTGATGTGACGACGACGAACGCAGCACTCTTGCGCGCGAGATCAACGACTGCGGCGACGATGGTCAAAATTTCAAGCAGCTCGACTCCGGCATGATCACTCCCAACATAGTCACCGTACGATGATGACATCGTACACTGTCGTACAGTCCATATGCATATCACTAATAGACTTGCAAACCGGAACCTTCTGCATCCCTCCAGACTCGTCCAATACTCGGAGGCGGCGTCACGAAGTAGTCGTCAACGCCTGATACTATTCCGTCCATCGAGGTGAACACCGGAAGATCGGCGCCCCGGAACGTCGTCAGCTTCAAGATCGTACCTGGGTCCGGCGACTGTGACATCTCGATGTCGCGTTCTCTGTGAGAGGGAATCTCTTGTAGGTTGATGAGAAAGTGCGTGATCAGGATTGATGAGACGCTATAATACGTCCAACGTCAAGTTTGGATGCCGTGAACAGCCGTGGATTGACCTACGGGACGAGCATATATGACGTTGTCGCCACGCTAGCCTGTACAAAACAGCGATCAGTGTGATGTTATCAAGGCTGTCGCTTTTATAATGAGCGGACTGACCGACGACGAAGTGACCCACGAACGCATGACAACGAGTTCCAGGAGATTCACCAGTAGCAGCGTCCTGATCATACGAGGATCAACTCAACCACGAACGAGATCGAGCTATGGAAGCTTGGACTGACAGGAAATACAAGATCCCTAAATTCGTCAGATGGTGAGCCTTTGAGGTCATCTTCAGGAGAGGTGGTTGGACCCTTACCGTCTCGTAGAATCAGCCCAATCAGTGAAGAAGCAACGGCCCTCGCCGTCAACCCTTGCTTCCATATACTGTAAGTCCTGCGCAATGTGACGACTATGACAATGAGGTCTGAGAGCACTGCACAAGCGCAGGCAATGACATTGACTGCAGTCATCAGGAAAAAGCAATTTCACTCATAGCAGCCACACAAGATATATTGCAAAAATAGGCACTATCGGCCTCATAGCCACAGGCGCCTACTACACAATCGTACATAGCGCATTGTAGGCAAGCGTAGGTGGTCGATAGCAGCCCATAGGAATTCCTTACGATAGATAGTGAACTGTTGCAGCCGTAGTCTGCTTTATGCCGTAGTATTACTGGTACTGGTAATGAATTAGATAGTTCTGTTCATAGACTCCATTGGCAATGTTGTTGACCACTATGAGCTTCGTGTTCACCAAGTTCATCGTTATTTGTCGATCTGTTTAGAGTATGTATACTGTACTATACACTGCAGATATTGAATAGAGTCGATCCTAAGGCTGCGTCTCGCATGGATGATCGCGACGAGCTCCTTGACCGACTCTTTTGTCCAGCAACCTCAAACGTCTGTGACGGATAGGCATCACTATGCCTGTCCAGTACTATAGATTATGAACCATCTAGTGTAGATAAGATTAGATCGTGCATGTACTTAGCCATCTGCCTTCCTCTTTGGGAAGTAACTGATCTTAACCTTCTACTGCCACCTCGTACGCGTGCGAATCACCGCACCGTCCGAGTGTGGAGTCCTGTCTCTAGTCGAGAGTGCTCCTCGCACTCTGACAAACAGTGCGAGCTCCTCGCCGCGCTGAGGAGCACGGCTCCTCGCTGTCTCCTAAACCGGGCGGCTCCTCGCCAGCTCGTTGCCCTGGGCTCCTCGCTGTGGGCTCTCCTCGCAGGCTCCTCGCCAGCGTACGACTACAGCCGGCTCCTCGCCTTGCTGACGACAACAGCCGGCTCCTCGCCACGCTGACGACCCTCGACTAGGCTCCTTGCCCGTCTAGGAACGACCCTCGACTGGCTCCTCGCCCCGTCTAGGACACACCCAGCAGCACTGGCAGCAGTGCACCAAGGTCACCCCTGGCCTATAGAGCGTGAAGCCCGTTCACACCCCTGAACAAGGCCTCCCAGATAGGCCGAGGTCTTACATTGGTGGACACTCAGGGGACGGTCCACTTCCCTGCTCTATTACGGCCAGCTCTATCATTCTATTCATTGTCTAATCATTGCCATTCCCTTGTGCCCTATTGGTTCTACTTTAATGCCTTCATCGACGTGGCTTCCCAGGTCCCAGTGGGATGCCCTGTCACCATTTCGGGAACTCAAGCGCGCATTCCCGTCGGACAGCGCGTGCACGTACAGCGCCCGCACCCTCTCCTCGACGATCGCGCCTCGAGGCTATCCTCCACCCCTTTCCGCCACTCCCCGCGACTCGCCAGCCTCTCCAGTGCCCGTTCCGTGCGTCTGGAGGTCCGTGGGAACTGAGCCGGTGCGTAAGCGCCGGAGCGCGTTGTACGCGCGGCCCTCTGTCCTCGACTCTCGCGCCGACCACTCTCTTCCGCCCCTCTCGCGCCCGGCCGACGACCCGACCGTTCAAGGCACCACCACCCCGGCGGGCAGCCCTCAAGCTGAGTACCGAGCTGCGCGAAGCTGCCGCGCGCTCGGTACAGGTAGCTGCCCCGCGGTCGCCGGCGCAAGACCCGCGGGCGAGCATCCGCGTGCTCTGCGCGACGGCGAACGCGATGCGTCAAGGCGCACGCAAGTGCACCGTCCGGAGGCCCTTCACCCGACGCGGACGGCCGAGGCACTGCGCTTCCGCGACGACGACGCACGCCCGCGCGCTGGGCCCACGAACAGCGCGTCTCGCGCTTGCAAGACCGCCGCGCGGGACGCGTCGACACGCAAGCCCATCGCACCGGCCGCCCCAACGCGCACGCTATCGCCCCGACTGGGGCTCTCTCACCCGACGCGGATGGCCGAGGCGCTGCGCGTCCGCGAACTCGAAGCATGCCCGCGCGCTGCACACACGAACAGCGCGCCTTGCGCCTGCGAGACCGCCGCGCCGGACGCGTCAACGCGCACGACCGCGCTCCCCAGGGACGCGCAGACGAAAGCGTGGTCAAGTCACCACGAAGGAAGCAGCAGGGAGAATGGCAGAGAGGATAGGGCTCCAGTGAGTACCTCTAACCTCCCCCCTCGAGCCTCCTCTCTGCCCTCGCGCTATGCGCCCTCTCCCCCGCCCTCGTGCTCTGCACGCTCTCCCTCGCTCGCCCTTCTCTCTCCTTCCGGACGCGCACGCTCGCACGCACCGTCTCCCGCATGCACGCACGCATCGACTCCCGCGCGCTCACATCCGCCGTCTCCCGCGTGCTCGCACTCGCACTCGCGCGCACGTTGCACGGCTGTGCCCGCCGCCCTCGCCCCGCCCCCGCTTTCGCTCAGGCTCTCGACCGGCGTGCCTGCGATCCGCGAGCGCGTCGCGCCGTCTTCCTTGGAACGCACCCGCCGGCCGCCGTCTCCCGTGTACTCGCACCCGCTCTCGCTCGCGTCCGCCCGTTCGTTCGCGCTACCGAACGACGCGCTTTCGCCCGATCCGCCCGCGCCCCGCGAATGCGACGCGCCCTCTCCCTTCGAACGCGCGCGCTTGCACCCGCCTTCGCGCGTGCATTTCGCGGCTGTGCCCGCCGCCCTCACTCCGCCCTCGCACGACCCTCGCGCGTCCGTCGAACGCACGCATCTACCGCCACCTCAAGCGTGGTCGTGCCCGCGCTCGCGCGTAGGTTTCGCGTCGCCGCCCGTCGCGTTCGCTCCCCCTTCGCTCGACGACGGCTCGTCCGGCCACGGAACGGCCCCTGTGAACGGCCCTCAAGCCACGTACCGAGCTGTGCGAGATCGCGCGCTCGGTACCAGAAGCCGCCCCGCAGTCACCAGCCCCGCCGGACCCGAGGTTGAGCCCTCGCGCGCGCTGCGCAACGGCGGGCCCGACGCGTCGACGCGCGCACCCAGGCACCGAAGGGATGCGCTGGCGAGCGCACGGATGAGTTACCGCGAGGGGAGGAGGTGGGAAGCTAGCAGAGAGGAGAGGACTCGAGCGAGTGTCTCCACCTTCCACCCTCCGTCGTCCTTTCCCTGGCCCTCGCGTTCTGCACGCTCGCCTTCGCCCGACACGCCCATCTCCTTCGAACGCGCCCGTCGGCCACGGTCTCCAGCGCGCACGCGCGCATCGCCGGTTCCGCTCTCGAACGCCATGCGTGCCGCTGCACCCTCGCCTGTGTCCAACCCGCGCCCTCACTCGCTCGACGATTCCCCTTCCGACGAGTTCTCTCGCACGCACCACGCGCTCGTTGACCCGCCTGCATGTCGAACACCGTGCTCGCGAGGGCTAGAAGTGCTCATCTCCGAAGAACACGGACGCGCTCTCCCACAGCTGGGCAATTCCTCAATGTACCGGGTTGTCATGCCGCCATATGGTCCTCAAGCTGACGAGGTCGAGCGACCCATCCGCTCACCTCGCCGCCAAGTGGTGGCCCCGGTGGATGCGACGAGCAACGATCCGCGAGCGTGCACCTACGTTCAACGCGGAGAGGGAGAAGACGTCAGTGATGTGCCGCCATGCGAGGACCAGCCAGCGCGTGCAGTCTCACCACGCTCGCGCGCACGAGCCAAAGTGCGCGCGCACCACAAGTGCCAGCTTCAAGCTGCTGAGCGACACGAAGAGTGGGCCCTCGCCTACCAGCGAGCCCTCGAATTCGCGCAGCACGCGAGTGAGCCTGTTTGCGCCGCCTCGCCTTGTTTCGTGCTGCCGCGCTGCTCGCCGGGCGCGCGTCCACTTGCACTCAACGCACTCAACTCTGTGCCGTCGTCATTGACGTGTCCACCGGCGTCGTCGGAAGATGTGCCCCTTGCCGGTACTCACTTTCCCGGCTCCGCGCGTTCGCCCTCGCTGCCACATGTGTCGTCTCCGTCGCCAGACACGCTCCTTCCTATGCGCTCCTCCGCACCCTCGCCACTGCTCGGTCTGCCTTCATGCAACAGCGTCTCTCCGCCTTCCGCGCGTTCGTTGTTGCCTGGCCTCGCGTCCGGCAGCTCCGCATCCGCACTTGCCCCGCAACGCGAAACGCTTGCCCAGTTCTGGGGCAGTTTCCTGCGGAAACCTTAAGATCCAGCAAGTGTGTGATTCGCCATGCCTTGTCTGGATCCTGGGGGGCACCTTGTATTGTCCCAGCCCACCCACCCTCTACCACACCTCCTTTATCCTTACGCCCACCTCTTCTCGTTGGAATCTCGAGCCGAAACTCCGCACGGATCGTTCCGACTTGAGATTGGGGGGCAGTAGGGGGTAGGGGAGGATAGGCACCTAGGATGTAGGCTAGAGGGGCCAGCCGACCCTAGCCTGGACAGGACGGCCACTCCCTGCGAGGAGGACAGCGTAGGACAGAGTCCAAGCTGAAGGCTTAGCCATGGGACTGGAGCTCGGGATGCTGTACAAGTGGGAGATCGTGGTACCGGCAGGACAGCTCAGTCTCGGTGCAGGACGGAGTCCAAGCCAGAAGCTTAGCTGCTGGACTGGAGCTCAGCGCGTTGTATGAGTGGGTGAACGAGGTACGAGCTGGTGAGCTCAGTGCGCAGTGTGGTTTTGAAGAAGCGCAAGAGTGCGCGAATTGGGACCTTTTTCAAACTTCGCTTTTTCTGCCTTTTTTCCGTATGTTTTCTCCTCCTTTTCTCATGCTCATGTCTACTCTACACCCCACATCCACACTATATGCTTCATAATGGGGGGCTCTGTGACGGATAGGCATCACTATGCCTGTCCAGTACTATAGATTATGAACCATCTAGTGTAGATAAGATTAGATCGTGCATGTACTTAGCCATCTGCCTTCCTCTTTGGGAAGTAACTGATCTTAACCTTCTACTGCCACCTCGTACGCGTGCGAATCACCGCACCGTCCGAGTGTGGAGTCCTGTCTCTAGTCGAGAGTGCTCCTCGCACTCTGACAAACAGTGCGAGCTCCTCGCCGCGCTGAGGAGCACGGCTCCTCGCTGTCTCCTAAACCGGGCGGCTCCTCGCCAGCTCGTTGCCCTGGGCTCCTCGCTGTGGGCTCTCCTCGCAGGCTCCTCGCCAGCGTACGACTACAGCCGGCTCCTCGCCTTGCTGACGACAACAGCCGGCTCCTCGCCACGCTGACGACCCTCGACTAGGCTCCTTGCCCGTCTAGGAACGACCCTCGACTGGCTCCTCGCCCCGTCTAGGACACACCCAGCAGCACTGGCAGCAGTGCACCAAGGTCACCCCTGGCCTATAGAGCGTGAAGCCCGTTCACACCCCTGAACAAGGCCTCCCAGATAGGCCGAGGTCTTACAACGTCATGCTCGCCGGTTTCACCTGCGTCTCGTCCTCCGCATTCTCAAGCTCCTCGTCACTCTCCTTCGCCCTGAACCAGCTCCCACCGCACTGCGCCAAGTCGGACCGCGGACAATCCGAAGACGACCTCCTCACCTGTCTTCCACCGCCGAGACTTCTTTGGCGTCCATGGCCCTGACGACGGCGCAGGCGCAGCGAATGGCTCGGCAACATTCGCGCCAGTCTTCTGGCAGTACTCCCCGAACGGATTGGCGTCTGCACCATGGTCGGCGCCTTGCGTGGGCGTGGTGAGCTCAAGAACGCAGAGGTGCACCTGCGAGTTCGAGTCCGGGTTCGCAAACGCGATGGATCGGATTCGGCGGCGCGTGCGCGCCGCGTACTTACGGGGCTCTCCCATTAATCGGCGCTGAGCAGTACATCCGTCGCCGAGTGCGCGCCACAGCGTGCCGCGCCGAAGCTGAGGAAGCTAGGAACACGATGAGTGGGTTGATTGCCCGCAACACGAGGGATGTGGAGACGATGTGCTGATTTGGGGCTGTCGGATGCGAGGGAGCCTGAATTGATGGTGAGCTAAGTCAGCCTTGTCGGGCACCTCCTTGGGCGCGAACATCGAGTCCATGTACGCGTAGAGCGACGTGACCGTATCGCTCTCGCCGAAGAACCGCACCGACCGGCGCCCGTCGGGCATCCTGAACCCGACGCGCATTGTCTTCCCGTGCCCCGTCTCGCCGGGCCGCGGTTCGCGCATGACGAGCTGGCGGCGGAGGTACTTGCGCCACTCCATGCGGTGCGCGTCCCATGCGCGCTGCGCCGCCTCCTGCGCGCGGGCTTCCTCCTGTGCGCGAGCTTCGGCCTCGGCGCGGCGGCGCTGCTCCTGCTGTGCGTGCCGCTCTTCGTTCTGACGCTGCTCGATACGCTCCTTGTCCCTCCGCCGGCTCTCCTCGAACGCACGGTCCTGCTCCGCGCGCAACTGCCGCTCGCGGTCGCGCTCGGAGGCCTGGGCGCGCACCTTTGTAAGGAAGGGCGTGACGCGCGGGAGGAGCTGCTCGGTGAGGTGCGTGGTGAGCGTCTGTGCCGCAGTGGGCGCAGACGTGGACGGGATGGAGGGTCCCTGGTGCCGCGAGAGGATGGTCAGGACGTTTGCTGGGGCCGACCCGGAGCTGCCTAGTCGGCGCTGTTGGAGCGCGATGAATGCGACGAAGGGATACGTGGTTGCTTGAAGCTTCTGTGCAGCTGTGGACGTGCCTCCGTCAGACAGTTTTAGCCAGAAGAACCGTTGCACATACCACTCCATGCCTCTCTATCCCGGATGTCACCGCCCCAGACCAAAATGTCGTTGTCCTGGATGATCTTGATCAGTGTCGGGTCCGTCAAGGTGCTCCTGCAAGTGAAGTTAGCGACCGAATATGATGGCAGGGCTCAACACCAACCGCTTGAACTCGGGCACATCATCATGCTCCTCGCTCACGAGCACCACACACCCGACCTTCGCACCGCGCTCGCACATTTTCACAAACTCCTCGTAGCTCCTGAGGAAGAAGTCCGGCAGGAGCTTCGCCACGCCCTCCCCTCCATCCTCCTCGCCATACTCACCCGCCCGCGACGTCAAGCTCGACGTGCCTGCGACGTCCGCACCGCTCGCCGTGCTGCCCGCCTTTGCCTCCGCCCTTCTCGCGCCCGCACGGCCAACACAGACCGCGCCCGTCTCCTCCTCGAGCGCGCGGACCCACCGCTCCGCCTGCGCCCTCGGGTCCAGCGCGCGTCCATCCGCGCCCGAGCCGGGGCCGAGCGGGCGGTACTGCAGGCTCGACCACGTGAAGGGCACGAACTGGGGGAACGGGATGCGTAGGATGCGGAAGATGAAGCGAAGCACGGAGGTGAGGAGGCGCAGCGGGAGCGTGAGGACGGCGAGGACGGCGCGCAGGGGCCGTGCACTGAGCACGCCGGGCGACGAGGACGCGTGCACGCGCCGGAACCCGCGGCCGCCGCGCGAGTTGTTGCCCAGCAGGCCCTGTGCGGAGTCATCGATGTCGAACTCTTCGATGTGGGCGGTGGGTGAGGGGGCGCGGGGCTTTGGGGGTGGGATTCCGTTCTCGAATATTAGGTTGGCGGCGCGCTGGGGGCAAGGACTGTTGTCAGATACGGGCCATGTGCGATAGCAATGAGGAGACAAAGAAGAATGCTGGGTGAGTTGAATTAGCGGTCGCGCGAACAGCCCAACACCAGTGGACCGTCGACGTACTCTATGTTGGGCTGATGGTATGTGGTCGCCGAGCGCGGTTCTGCCGACAATGATGTGCGCTGGCGATTGCGACGGGCGTTGGGGAGGCTGAGGGACCTGCAATTGGCGGCGCCGAAGACTCAGACCAGCCGGGAGCAGCAAGCCAAGGAAGACACGGGGGGTCAGCACTCGTCCCCGGGGGGCCAGAGTGAAGCCCATCTCCGTATCCGCACACTGGCGGGCGTTGCCCCGGAGGCCGGAGGGAGGAGGAGGAGGAGGAGGAGGAGGAGGAGGAGAGACGACTGCGGCGCCGGCCAGGTGGCGGCGCTGAGAGAGGCAAATTTGACGGGCGCTTGCGCTGCCTAATTGGGTCTGAACGCGCAACGCTCATCCAAGCGGGTCGACAACGCAGCGGCGAGGTGCGTTGCTGGTCGTCGCTGGACATTGGCAGCCGGCGAACTTCCCAGCGGAGAGCGTGTTGCTCGCACAGCGCGGGAACCATGCAAATGATTATATTTTATACCACGGCCAGCTATCACACTATGTCACCCAGATTTGGCCGTACGGAGGTCAATTGCAATGTACGTGTTGACCCGGAACTCCATTGCAACATCGAGCGCATTATCCTTCGTGATATTACTGCTTATCTCTCTGCCATATTTTGGAACCAAATGTGCCGCGCGGCGGATCCGGTCAACGCTGATGACGCTAGCATTCGGCTTGCCATTGCGTGTCGAGCGGGAGACCAAGTAGAGACCGGTCCCTGGATCCTTGCGACGCAATGGTGTGTACCATTCGACATATGCGAGGGGGTGAGGCCATGAGCCAAATAGCGCAGGAAGATCGAAGATGATGCGCACACGTGCTATCGCTGTCCCTGGACGTTCTCACCAAATCAGGTAAGTGAACATCGCCGTGAGTCTGTCTACAACTGTACTCACCGATGACAGAGCGTGGGCTCTGGTCTTCATCAATAGCAACATCCGGATCAACAACAAATGCGGTGTCGAAGTGCGCAGCCGTGGCCTGCTTTCGACCTCTCCCTGCCTTGGCCGCGACTGCCCGGATGCGGTCGGTACGCTTTGGTACGTCGCCGTGAGGATCGCCTGGATAACTGACCGATATGTTCTTGTAGACATCATAGCGGTCCATGTGGTTCGGCCGTAAATCGCAATAGGGTAGCTCGGTGCGGACAAACTCGGTCAAAGCGGGTAGGAACTCGCTCGCGCTGTGGTCAGCGAGCAGACAGCGGAGGGATAGATTGGGAAGAGGGCAGTGCTTTGCAATTGCGTACGTGTGCCCGTCTTCCTCTTGGTCGTCATCCGGGAGCAGCGGAGCGGCGACATCCTCATCAGGTTCGTCTTCCGACTCCGAGGCTGTTTCCTCTATCTCATCCACCGTTTCTTCCGCACGAAGGCCTTGAAACCACGCGATGTACGCGGCGTGTAGGTCAACCGCTTCCTGGCGCGCAAGCCATGTTACCATCTGCTCCGTATAGTCGCGATGGTTGCTTGCACGGTAAGCGTTCTTTGCTAGCTCGATGTGCAAGCGCTCGGGAAGCTCAGTGTTGTAGCCGTCGCAAGAACCACGGGAACGGATCGCCTCGACGTAGTGGAGGAGCGAGTGTATCTTCGGTATATTGAAGTGTTCGCGAATTCCAAGCCTGACGAAGACGTCCTTGTGGCGATGGAACGTGTCGAGAGCCGACTGCAGGTGAGTGAGCGATGTATCATCATGAGACTGAAGTTGTGCGAAGTAGATGAAGTCCACGAGTGCGCGCGCCACCTCCAAGACCTCCAGAGGGACGGCACCAGCTAGCAGCGCCACAAATATCCGCTGCATTTCCTTGTGTTCCTTGCCCGTCCACTGCGAGACGTGCGAGATGCCGTTACGGAAGTGCCGAAGACCTGGGAAGTCGGTCATCGCGCGGAAGCGGCGGTCGATCTCGTCTTTGCCCACAATCGATGTACACCATGACAGTAGGTGTTCCTTGAATACTCCCTTATGGAGCTGATGCAAGACGTCAGGCATAATTGATGAGAAGATGTCGCAATGAGGGAGGTCCGCCCAGAAGGGCTCGTAGACGGGTCGCAGCTGTTCAGAAGTAAAACAGGGTGGGTCGTTTCCATTCCTGTGCTCGTGCAGTGCTTCCTTCGTCTTCTCTACATCGCGTGGATCACTATTGAGTTGCTCACCGCGTCGGGGAGGGGGTACCGTGCAGCGAGGGCAGCTGTTTTCCTTGCAGCAACAGACAAGGCATTGTTCAGGGTAATCCGCGACGTATGCAGCGACAATCGGATGGACGTTCCGAACGCCGCGGTCTGCGCACGTCATCTCCTTCCCATTACGGCCAGGTTCGCGCAGGGGCTTCAAGATAAGCGACATGGAATGGTGGAAGAGCCGATAGCCAGCAAGGCTGCGAGTGGAATCATGGAAGCATTCGAGCTTCGAGACTGGTATGTAACCCACGAGGACCGTTGCGCGCTGCGAAGGCTGACGGCGTACAGACTTCGAGATGTTCCCAATGGACAGGTACACGGGCCACGCTTTCTTATCACCACCGAAGTTGGTGAGCTTTGTGGCATCAGACGCAAGGATCACAGGTGCGATGGTCGCGCCCTCCGGCAGCTTTCCCTATGGATCGCACAAGCGTTGAGTCTTATGTGGCAGATTGCGTCGTCGTGACAATGTTGTAGTATGGACGTACCTGCATATTCCACCACCAATCGCCTGTCCACATCTCATCATACCGCCGTATGGTAGCCGCCTCCTCTGTATAGACTCTCTCCGGTCCATAGGCAATATTTCCGTCAAATGTAGGATTTCCGATCAGCTCCTCTACACATTCCACAGGATCGCGGCGCCACAGCTCGAGCTGTTCCTGCATGAAGTTTCCGTCCTCGCCCTTACGATCGCCCTGAACAGAGATTGTGTCGCAGTGCCACGGGGCGCCAGTAGGTAGGTCGTCAATTTGTTGAAAGAACTTGTACTTGCTGTCAGCTGATAAGCCACAGTTTCTTCGTATCTGCAACAAGGTCGGTCAGCGTGCTCGAAAATGATGGAGACAGAGTCATGGTGCGTACAATTGACAGCTTGAGAAACTCATCAATTTTGGTCTGACCAACGTGCTTAATCAGCCACCGGAACAACTCCCATTCTTCCTCGTCCTTGAACGGCGCCCACTCGTCAACCCCAGCTTCAGCACGCATCGCGCACCATTTCTCGAAGAGGGTGTTATCTTCCCGAATGATTGTTGCGACCACCCCGGGGTAGCACTCGACGTACCGACGTGCATCTTCCTCGTCCTCTGGTACATCCTCCACTCGCGCCTTTTGCGATGGTCGGCCTCCATCCATTGGGTCATCGACGTCGACTTCCGCAAGGTGAGAGTCATGAGCTGTATCGTCCTGTCCTGAGTTTGCTGTAGAAGAGGCTGCGGCGGCCACGGCAACAGCAGCGATGTTCTGAGCAGATGCAATTGCCTGGGCAACTCGGGCGAGTTGACGTTCCCATTGACGACGGCAACGCGGTGAGATCTGGATGTGAACTTGAACGCCTTTTGTGGTAGGCAGTTGACGTTTACAGTAACCACAGCGAGGCATCTGAAGACTATCAGGCAGTGTTCTGGCAGACTGAGCAAGTCGCAGTCAGATAGTGACGGGCTGGTAGAACTTGTACGTCCCAAGATTCACGCACTGTGCCGACGTTCACGATCACCTTATTTGTCAGCACCCAGGCCGTCTGAATCTATCCGCATGACTAGGACCCCAACCAGGACCCCAGCCAACGAGTTGCCGACTAGCTAGGCGACCATCCTGCCACGTCTCTTCCTTGCAGCCTGACGGACGCCGCCAATACACGGCGTTTGTTCTCTATCTCTCTCCATCAAACTTCACATTCTTTTTACACCCACGTTCATTCCTTGCGATGTCTCAGCCTTCTAGTAGGCAACAGCGAAGCACCACACCAGATGAATCTTCGAGACGCGTGCGCCGTGACCGCCGTCCGTCTGCAAAACAGCGCGAACTCGGTACGTTGTCTCAAGTCTTCCTTCGCCAGCGTTTGTCTTCAACTGATTGAGATCACATAGATGAAGCCGAAGAAGCAGCACAGAGTCGTAAGGCGCACAAGCGACCTGCAGCTGAGAGCTCCGAGAATAGGGACTCCGGTAACACGTCACGCAAGAAGTCTCGTCAATCGCGTGGTAACAATAGCGAGGCGTCAACGGTATGGCATTGCCGCACAATCTCAGCTCGTTGATGAGATTGTTTGATGATTGCATGACAGTTTACTACGGCACAGAACGTGACAAGCTCTAAACCTAACCAAGTGCCATTCAAGAACCTTATCAAGCGTACAGCAAAGGTCCCACCACGCGCAGCCCAGGCTTCCAAAGGCTCCGAGCGGCAGCAGCGACCTTCAAGGCCTGTAGCGAGACCCTCAGAATCATCACCGCCTCCAAGATCGATAGCAAGACGCTCGGAGCTATCATCGCCACCTCCGAGGGCTGTACCAAGGCGCTCGGAACCACCGCCGCCGGCGACTCTCAAGCGCCACAAACCCGCACATCAGTCGGAACAGCGACAAGGTAAGGTCTGTTCATGCATGGCTTGATGGAAACTCAGCTGTTCGTCAGGTCAACTTGAACGTGATGTTCAAGTTGCTTCCAGGGCAAGGCAGCAAGTCTACTCCAGCTCCAACACGCAGAGTGGTGAACAAAGTCCGAGTTCATCTGATGCTAGTCACTGATCATTTGGTATCCTTAGGACGTCCCCGCAACACTGGACGTGTCCCGCTTTTCGGTGATGACGAAGAAATGGTGCCCAAGGATACTCGTCGCCATGACCCCCAAGCTGACGGTCCCGAACCACTGAGCCGAGACCACAATGAGGGAAGCGACGATGGTAACGGTTTCGACAACGGTCCGCAATCCAACGATGGTCAGTCTGGCGACGAGCGTCTTCCGAGTCAATTTGTCTACGACGCTGCGGACTTTCAAGACGAGGATGTCGAGTACTTTAGTCAGCAAGATGATGACCAGCCTGTCGAACGCGTCCCATCTTCACCACGTTCCAGCAGTCCTAACCTACGTCGGACCATCTCCCCATATGACGGTGATGATGATGACGACCAGGAGCTGCGCAAAGTGCCAGTGGATAAGGAGGATGATGAAGGAAGTGGGAGTGAACGAAGCTCAGTGGCCGGCTCTACACACAGTGGTGAGTACTAACGCATCTTCTTGCTGTATATAATGTCCACAAAACGCTGATCTCTGTGTTCTCGACGTACAAAGGGATAGCCTGTCCAAAGCCTATTGGTGCTCCGTCTCAACATGGTCCACGTGCCAAGGACTACGATGCAGATGTGAAAGCTGTACTAAATCTTGCTAATTCGTTGTTCAGATGCCGGGTGTCAACCATCGACGCATTTCCATCCGACTTACTTGAAGAACAATGGGCCCAGGTCTGCTGGGGCGAGGCCTGCAAGACGCTCGACGTCAACTACGCTGCTGATCGGGGTGTGATCAAGATTGTAAGTGGTCAATACAGTACGCCGCCTTCATTCGCTGACAATACGTTTGAGATTACTGCGCGTACATCACAGCTCCGCGGCGAGCTCAAGAGTAAGGTTCGACCGCTTGTCGAGAGCTTATATGGTTTCAATGGCTCTTCTGCGAAGAAAGCCATACGTGAGAACCGTGATAAAGCGGCGGCACTCACAAGCGACTCACTGTTTGCGTACAAGGTACGGTTTCTAATTGTTACCTTAACAGTGCATTTGATTGATTGCTCACGTAATATCTGCATAAAAGGATCCTGCTCTCAATCGGCCCCAGGGTACAGACGCAGAGGGCATATACCGCCATCCAATCATACAGAAAGCGATCAACGCGACCTGGTTTATGAACAGAAGCGACGAAGGTATCCTCTACAAGGAATTCTTCAGCCCGACGATTTCCATTGCGATGATGGCGCTCGTTCTCACAGCGGTATGTCGTCCAACATACCCTTCTGCGTGCAATGCTGATATACAATGTTTAGGTTCAGTGTTGCATCGACGAATGGGGAACAGGGAAGCGCTCTGGCGTGAGCTTCTACGAGAACGAGTACAAGCCCGTCTATCTGTCCCACAAGGCGAACCTATTAGCGTTTGATGACTTGTGTGATGACGCGCACTCTCTCCTGCTGAAGCTTCACAAGAAGCTCTACAAAGAAGCTCGGTATAGTCTTCTCTCAATTGATTGCGACTGGACTCGTCTCGCTCATGTTGGTGGCTTAGATTCCATTCCGGCGCCGAGGATACAGAGCGCACTGCTGTTACGCTCTCGCGCGATGCCCTGACACGTGCACTTCAGCAAGCCATGGTTGCTGGCGATGCCGACGATGACGACGATGCATAGATAGGACTGTTGAAGCAAGGGTCGGCGAGGCGTGGGAACGAGCGGGCGGAGCGAGTGAGCAGCGGGAAAAACAGTAAGATCGTAGCGGTTTGTCTCGTCCTCGGGGCGGGGAGGCAAACGCGCGAAGAGTAATTACAGGGATTCAGCACCTTATGTACGTAGTATAATCGATGGGGCAGGTACATTAAGGGCGGCGGCGGGTACAGTACCATCGCGCCACATCGCGGCGCGTCGGCGCGTCGGCATTCGGGCACGCGCTCGTCCGTTTGTTCCAACACACCCCCTCGAGCGGTGAACGACTGGCGGCGCGCAGAGCAGAAACAAACAGAGAAACAAACATACAAAAAATAATGGTATCATGGGTCTACACCCCCTCAATCACCACGCTCCAGTCTCGTCGGTTAGGAATGCCGTCGAGGCAGTTCCCGCGGGTACCAGTGCAGTTGACGTCACGGTGGTCGTCGTGGCTGGGCAGTCCACCTGGTAGTGCCCCTTCTGCCCGCATTTGAAGCAGGTGATCTCGGCGATCGGGCGTCTAGCACGCGGGCGCTGTGACGGGTAGGCAATACTATGCCTGCCCTAGTAGATTAGATTATGAACTGTCTAGTGTAGATTAGATTAGATCGTCTGTACTTAGCCATCCTCCTTCCATATTGGGAAGTAATCCATTCTTACACCTGAACTACCACATCGTCTGTGTGCGAACCCCGCGCCATCCGAGTACGTTCAGCCCTCCTCGGCCTGCGCTCCTCGCCACGCCTAGGACCAATCCTAGACAAGGCTCCTCGCCTGCGTCCAGGACTCCCCCTCGACACGGCTCCTCGCCCTCGTCTAGGACACGCCCTCGGCCAGGCTCCTCGCCCAACCTAGGACACACCACGCCACAGCTAGGCTCCTCGCCCGGCTACGACTATAGCGGGAGCTCCTCGCCTCGCTAACGACGTCAAGACCTCACGACATTCTCCCCGGTCGCGCCGCGACCACCAAACGTCAAGTTCACGGGCAGCCCGGCCCCCCAATCAAGGGTTCCGAGCCCACGAACTCTTACAGGCGCTCGGAGCTCAGAACGGCGGCGGCAACGCCGGTGTCCTTCGATGCGCGAGTCTTCGTCGTGGTCGCGGTGGCCTCGGCGGCCTGCACATGCATGTGGCGCTCGTGTTCATTGATGAGGCGGATGATCGTGTAGTCGAGCGTGAGTTCGCTGGGAGAAGTCGAGTCGAGGGAGATAGTGAACCCTTCGTACGAATCGGGCAGTCCATTCATCAACACCAGGATCTGATCCTCATCGGTGACAACGACGCCGGCAGCCTCCAGTCGGAACGCAGCGGTCGCAACGTCAGCGATCCACGACTGCATCGTGCCCGACATCTTCATCACGAAGAACTTGCGGCGGAGCGATAGGCGCGTACCAAAGCCACGTGCCAGGTACATCGTCTCGAGCCTGGACCAAACGTCGGCGGCAGTGCCTGCGCGGACGTGCGTGAGCTGCGATCGGTCGACGTTGAGCGCGAGCTCGGCGCGCGCTTCCTCGGTCTTCTTCACCCACGCTTTCACAACCTTGGAGTTCGGACTCCCCAACGGCCTCACCGTGTCCGTACCTCCAGTAACGTCCCACAGGCCCTTCCGGACCAGTAGCGCTCGCATCACCACAGTCCACTCCGCATAGTTGGACTCATCAAGCTTGAATGTCTCGTTTGGCATCGCGTCAATCGTTCGCGGGGGTTCGTCGATCGGTATCGGGTTCGATCGGTTCGCAGGTGCGTCGTCAATCGGGTTCGGGTTCGCGGGTGGCTCGTCAGTGCGCGGGTTGATCGCGGTGCGCGGGTTCGCGGGTTCGGTCGTTCGTGCGGCTCGGTTCGATCAGGGTGGACGGCTTCGGCCCCGTCCCGGGCAGGCTCGATTTGTCCGTCGAGCAGCGGATGCGCGTTTGTGTTGAAGCAAGGGTCGGCGAGGCGTGGGAACGAGCGGGCGGAGCGAGTGAGCAGTGGGAAAAACAGTAAGATCGTAGCGGTTTGTCTCGTCCTCGGGGCGGGGAGGCAAACGCGCGAAGAGTAATTACAGGGATTCAGCACCTTATGTACGTAGTATAATCGATGGGGCAGGTACATTAAGGGCGGCGGCGGGTACAGTACCATCGCGCCACATCGCGGCGCGTCGGCGCGTCGGCATTCGGGCACGCGCTCGTCCGTTTGTTCCAACAAGGACGGTTTCATGCGCGGTGTGTTTGTACGTGCTGCCATCGAGTTATGTCATTGGCTAACTCATTGTATGTCTTAGCCCAGTCTCCTCATTCTCGGTGGACTTATGGCTAGTACTCACTACTAATAATCAATTCCCCGTTTCGTATACATATCACGGACTTGGACGACTGCTGCCTTGCATGACTAATATGCTTCGATCATTACTGCTGAACACCGTAGGACATTGAATATTGTAACGTTGCTGAGCCTGGCAATACATTTGATCTAATGTTCTCGTATTGCTTGATACCGTCCAGATTGTGAGGACTACTAGTAGCAGCAAGTACAGTTGCTATACACTCAACTACTGATCATGCCTTCATAGTATACCAGGCTACATAAGCCTATAAGGCCTATAAGTCTATTGCACTATCGTTATATGGTGTTCTATACCGTCCTATGTCAATCAGCAGTGGCGCTATAGACGGCTATGATCAGAGCCGGCGATCCATGCGCTGCTATAAACTAGGAGGTTCGCAATGGGCCTATGCTAGCTACGTTCACTATATTATCCAACGTAGCACTTGTGCTTTTTCCTGATGGTGGAGATCGATTGGTATCCGAGTCAGCGCATCTTTGCCCGTGAGTCTGCAGGTACTCACGTCTGTGGAATGTATGTTCAGCCATAGTGCTCAGCCTTGAAAAGACAGCTTGTATACGTACATGTTTGCTGTACCGACGGTGTAATATCGTGTCCGCGCGCAAATCCCATCCACACCGATATACGCATACGATTGTTGTACCGTAGTGCACTACCAGAGTATGCTACTTGTGAGCTGTGTAGATGTGAAGACGGAGTTGAATACTCGCACCACATTGATGACCGCAGGGACCATACCGATAACCAATGCTGCGGCGCTGACAATCTTGTTTCCATTGCTGACGGCGTGTACACGTAGAGCAGCAAATACTATCAGAAGTGAGCCATCGTTGAGACGCATGGTAGATGCATATAATAGCTCACTCGCTGTTATGGCGAAGAGAAGCATGTTGGTGATGTAAAAGACTAGGTCCGTCGCCTCGCAACTGTAAGACGGGTTTCAGTGCCACTCTGTCCATGTCCGTCGACGATAGTATCGACTCATACCCCTGTGACGTCGTCAGATGAGCGTTGGGACCATGATTGATGCCTGAGGTCTAATCAGCTTACCATAGGCGTTGTCCATAGAGGGATCTGTAAGAGACACCCGATGCCGTACACCAGCAGAACATAACGATTTGCAAGGAAGATGAAAGACGAGCCGAAGTGCGCCTTCAATCGCCAGAATCGGTCCGCCTCTTGCCCCAGACAGAGGACGTGGTCGTAGAATATGACAACTGATCGAAGTAGCCATTTATAACACGGTCAGGGAATATATACCCATCAATATGTTGTTACTCACCAGCAAACACGATATAGATGTACCCAACAGCAGTCCTACCATGATAGTGTCAGCTACTTTCATGGAGAGAGATGTAAATCCTCACGATTCTTCATAGATAGTACTGTCTGTTGCGTTACTCGAGGTTGCAGGCATTCGAGGTGTTATGACAGTCAGTGCGGGACCGTACCAACATCAGGAAAACCTGAATTCCCTAAGTTTCACTAATTTAGGGCAAATTATGCCTGACTCCCTAATCATACTCTCATTTGGGATAATTAGTCCTAATGGCCATAATGTCCACTAATGATGATACAGTTTGATGACATTATCTCAAGTAGACATACTGGCAAATGAAATGTAAACATGGCATGTATACTTTGATATACTATTGCCTACTACTTATACAGTTATAACATATGCACTTCAGTTCTGATCAGACTTTGTGACCTCTGTATGCAGCATAAGCATGCAATGAGGTCCTCAGGCATGATCCTTAGTCATGAAAAACACAATGGTATGTTTCTTGAATGACAGGCAAGCATACAGGACAAACAGCAGTTACAACGAAATCATATACCAATTTAACTAGAGTCCAGACAAACCAACAAATTTACACTGGGAGGGTGAGGAGCGATTACTGGACGCGTAGTCATCTCGCACAGCCCGGTGTTCGTCCAGGAACTCGCTCATGCGGGACGCCGGGGGAGTGCTCGAGAGGCCGGAGAGAGACACGGGTGCAGAGCCGCGAGGCGGGGGCGAGTCGACAGGAGGGGCATGCAAACGCAAACACGCGTCGGTAGAAGAAGTGAACCCGCGCATGTGAAGATGCGTCGAATGAGAGGGGTATCCCGAGCTCGACCCATACCCTAACCCGCCCGGGTACAGACTCACCACAGGGGGCGAGAAAGCATGAGCAATATCCATCATCAGTAAGCACACTGGCAACAGGAGAGATCGCGCACCAAAGGCACTCTGGCAAGCCGTCTGCGGAGGCCCTGACCATGCGCGAGTCACGCAAGAGCTCGCACGCGAGCTCCCCTTTGCCGACGAACCGTCGATCGACTGGGGTACTATGAACCCACCTGCACAAACGCCACGTCAGCAGCAGCACGGCCAGAATACGACTTACCTCGGTAGTACCGACGTACCCGCCCCGCTCAATGCGCGTCCCGCGCCCACGTGTCCGACCAACCGTTCTCCGCCGCCCTCGCACCCAAGATCGACCGGAGCGAGGGCAATCGACCTGCCCAGTCGGACATTCGCGTCTGGGCTGGCGCGACTAAGACGTGTGTCGCGTGGGAGCGGGGGTACTTGGTCGGGTGCGCCGGTCTTCGAGCGGTGTATCAGCCAGACCGTCGCGGTCCTCGCTTTGATCTGGGGCACCAGCGCACCTTGTCCCTCCGGGGTGTTGAGTATCATCGCAGTGGGCGCAGGCACAGGTGCAGCGATCCACGTCAACGGGAGCCGGTTGGCCGCAAGGTGCACGGACAGATCGTGCAACCTTGCGGCCGGCTTGAGGGCTGGATGACGCGACTTGACGCGTTGACTGGCCATCCGGTTACAAGAGGATGCACATTCATGAGCGGACCATACCCATTCCTAACGGTACACCCGGGCTGCATATTCCCCATTGTCAACGGAAACCCGACGCCGGCCGGAGAAATGTGTCCGGAGGTTGCAAACCCACCGGCCGGCACCTGAGGTGCCCATTGTTAGCAGACTGGCCGGTCTTGTTTTGAACGGACCGGCCGATGGCAGGGAAAATCAACAAGTGTTACTGAACAATGGTCCGGAATTTAATCTATGGTTGTAAATGGACCGGCCGGAGAGTGGCAACCACATTTATAACACTCCAGCAGGATTTCATCCCTGTGTTTGGAAATAGTCCGGCCGGAATGCATCCCTATGGTTTCAAATGGTCCGGCCGAAGGTCATATACCTTTGTTTATGATGTACTGGCCGAAGGTAATATATCTAAATTAATAACACACCGGCCAGAGGTGATATACCTACATTGAGAAAGAACCGGCCGGTCATAATGTACCCACGCACAAAACAAACCGGCCGGCCATGACATAGTTTCACTACACATTGACCGGCCAGGCATAGCATGCCTATATCAGAAATGAACCGGCCGGTCATATGGAGCCTGAATATCAATTGCTCCCACCATCCTGGAAACATATTCATTGATGCACTGAGTTTTCTGGACCATAAATGCACTGGACCCAGGTTTTTTGGGCTTTGAATACATTTTTAGCATCCCCATAGATGCTCCCAATTTTCCAGGCACATGCAAACCATTCCAGAGCTTTAGAATCATCAAAATTGAGTTTTCTGGGCTGAAAATAGACCAAAACCAGCCTTTCTGGGCTGGAAATGCATCAGAACACATTTATTGAGCCTCCCAATCCACATTTACAACAGCTCTGAGCCTTATACACCAAGTCCGAGTATTTTACACAATTGCCGAGATTCCACAAAGTCCCGGCGCCGAGGATGCACCAAGTCCCGGCGCCGGGGGTGCACCAAGTTGCGGCGCCGCAAGTGCTCCAAGTTGCGGCGCCGCAGGTGCACCAAGCCTCGGCGCCGCACCGTCTCGTTAAGCGCCGAGAAACATCGCTCGGCGCCGAGACTTGGTGCACCTGCGGCGCCGCAACTTGGTGCACCTGCGGCGCCGCAACTTGGTACTACCTCGGCGCCGAGTTGTGCTAAACCTGAGGAATAATGGTGTTTCTAACAATGATCACAAAAAGATTACTGATGTTTGTTACACCAATGACCTTTTGTAGCTCATCTTATAGGGAATGTTAGGTTCATTAGGAAATCTCCTAATGACACTACAAAGGTTTGTATGTGGTTACTTATAAAAAGTGATGTTTGTGTCTCATTGTGTAGGGAATGGTCAGTTGATAAGTAAATCTTCTATTGACACTTCAAGGATTTCCAATGGTCAGGCCGGTACAGCTGCTTTTCTTGTCTGGCTGGTAAGTAAACTTACTGATGACACTACAGTATATTGTATTCAATTTGTACATTTGTAGCTCATCTTATAGGAAATGTTAGGTTCATTAGTAAATCTTCTAATGTCATTACAAGGGTTTGTATGTGGTTACTTATAAAAAGTGAGGTTTATATTTCATTGTGTAGGGAATAGTCTATTGATAAGTAAATCTTCTATTGACACTTCAAGGATTTTCAATGCTTAGGCCAGTACAGCAGCTTTTCTTGTTCAGCCAGTAAGTAAGCTTATTGATAGCACTACACATATTTGTATCTCATCTTGTGGGGAACATTAGGTTGATAAGCAACTATTATGATGAGACTACAAGGATGTGTACATCTCATGCTGTTGTTATTGTACAGTAGACAGAACACTACATTACAAATGTGTAGTACTATGACAACTTCTGGCTGATCTAGCGCCCACACTAAAGTTGGTAGCACTTACAGCTTGGAAGATTAAGCTATGAGATTTGGCATATGTGCTGCTGGCTGTATGAACATACATTATAGCCACTAACCTAATGTGGGCAAAGAATACTGCCATGGTGAGGAGAGTAAGAAGGGAGCAGGGACATGCACAATTAGTGATATGTCTCTGAAGTGATAAGTTGTTGCCTTTATGTACAACTTTTGTGCCAACATGTGTCCAGATGAACAAGTACATTCATCAAGTCATGTATGGATGGGTTGCTGATACATGTCTCATTTATCCTCATACATTCTGCTATGATCATGATGGCCACACCCTACATATATATCTGTATGTAGAAACCAATCCCAGATGAATATGAGACATTCTATAGAATTAACACATGTGGTCCTAGGTACATTGCTCTGCTACAGCCTACATTTGGAACTCACTGACTTTTCTGTAAATGCTAGACAGTTCAACCTTGATGCAGGGTTGTAACTATGATGTATTCTTTTGTGATAATCAACCTCTTGTTCCTACAGTGTTCCTTTGTCTTAATTTCATTATGTACTAATTAAATACAACACACTGTAGTGTCATTAGTGAGTTTACTTACCAGCCGGAACAGGAAAAGCAGCTGTACCGGCCTAACCGTTGAGAATCCTTGAAGTGTCAATAGAAGATTTACTTATCAACTGACCATTCCCTACACAATGAGACACAAACATCACTTTTTATAAGTAACCACATACAAACCTTTGTAGTGTCATTAGGAGATTTCCTAATGAACCTAACATTCCCTATAAGATGAGCTACAAAAGGTCATTGGTGTAACAAACATCAGTAATCTTTTTGTGATCATTGTTAGAGACTCCATTATTCCTCAGGTTTAGCACAACTCGGCGCCGAGGTAGTACCAAGTTGCGGCGCCGCAGGTGCACCAAGTTGCGGTGCCGCAGGTGCACCAAGTTGCGGCGCCGCAGGTGCACCAAGCTGCGGCGCCGCAGGTGCACCAAGTCTCGGCGCCGAGCGATGTTTCTCGGCGCTTAACGAGACGGTGCGGCGCCGAGGCTTGGTGCACCTGCGGCGCCGCAACTTGGAGCACTTGCGGCGCCGCAACTTGGTGCACCCCCGGCGCCGGGACTTTGTGGAATCTCGGCGATTGTGCAAAATACTCGGACTTGGTGTATAAGGCTCAGACCTGTTGTAAATATGATTTAGGGAGCTAAACACATGTGCAAGAATAGCCTTTGAAGCAATTCCAGCCTGGAAAACCTGGATCTGGTCTGTTTCCAGGCTAGAAAAGCTCATTTATGGTGCTTTTGAAGCATGGGCATGGTTTGTATGTACCTGATAAAATTGGGAGCATGTAAGGGAATGCTTGTCAATGTATTCCAAGCCCAAAAAACCTAGGTCCAGTGTGTTGATGGTCCAGAAACCTCAGTGCATCTTTGACAATGTGTTCTGGGATGTTTGGCACAATTATCATTCAGATTCCATATGACCGGCCGGTTCATTTCTAATGTAGGTTTGTTATGACTGTCCGGCCCATGTGTAGTGTAAGTATGTCATGCCTGGCCGGTCTGTTTTTGGTGTAGGTAGACTATGACCGGCCGGTCCTTTTGCAATGCAGGTATATGACCTCCGGCCGGTATGTTATAAATGTAGGTACATGAACTCCGGCCGGTGCATTATAAGTCAAGATATATGAGCTCTGGGTGGTGCATTGATAATGTGAATGTATGAGCTCCGGCCGGTGCATCAATGATGTGGGTATATGAGCTCCGGCCGGTCTGTTATTAATGTGGGTATATGAGTCCCGGCCGGTCTGTTATAAATGTAGGTGCCTGATCTCTGGCCGGTCCATTTACAACCATAGATTAAATTCCAGACCATTGTTCAGTAACACTTGTTGATTTGCCCTATTGCCGGCCGGTCCGTTCAAAACAAGACCGGCCAGTCTGCTAACAATGGGCACCTCAGGTGCCGGCCGGTGGGTTTGCAACCTCCGGACACATTTCTCCGGCCGGCGTCGGGTTTCCGTTGACAACGGGGAATATGCAGCCCGGGTGTACCGTTAGGAACGTAAAAGTACACTCATTGGGCTCGAGGATGGTGGTGTAGAATTGGGGAGAGAGTTGACCGCCGATAGCCACGCGTTCGACGGGCAGACGGGTACATAGGCGGCGCGGGAGGAGGAGGAGCCAACGGGACTTGATGGAATGGGACCAAAACGAGACTTACGGCACCATGCAGCGGCATTGAACGTTCAGCGGCCGACCAGCCCGGTACTCTGTGGCCTGGTAGCAGAAAGAAAGAGCCGGCGCGCTGGCAGGCACTCTGGCAAGCCGTCTGCGGAGGCTCTGACCATGCGCTAGTCACGCAAGCTCCCGTTCACCGACGAATCGACCTGCACAAACGCCACATCAGCAGCAGCAAGGCCAGAAAACGACTTACCTCGGTAGTACCGAGTCCCGACGCAGCCGCCTGCACCCGCTCAGTGCGTGTCCCGCGCCCACGACGCACGAAGTTCGACCAAGTGTTCCCCGCCGCCCTCGCGCCCAAGATCGACCGGAGCGAGGGCAAAGCAAGGGCAACTCGCCACGTCAGCGCCCAGGAGCCCGCGCCGGGAAAATCCGAGGCGGGCGCTTGTTAAGTGGCTCGTGCGCAACGTGGCGGTGACTTCTCTTGCCTCCTTTCCACCACGACCATTGTGTGTCCGTCAAGACGCTCGCGCCGTCGCGCGTCTCGAACGCAAAGTCCAATAAGTCGAAGGTAAGTAGTCACTGTATGTGTTACTCATGATTTCTTTCTAGCTCGCTGACGCGGCGCCCTCGATGACCGCCTCGATGTCGTTTGGGACGTCGTTTGCGCGGCGCTCGCGCTCGAGTAGCTTGCAGAACTCCTTTGGGAGCACAATCCACGTGGAGCTGGACCTGGGCGAGCCCGCCAGCGGTGAGAATGGATGGCCATACATAGTCCGTGTGCAGGAACTTTATGGAGTGGATTACGGACTAGCAGGTGCGCGACTGATATCTGTGAACTGTCTGCCTAAATATCTTACTGACTTACATATAGGCACTCATCTGCGCAGCCTCCGACTTCTCCGAAGCAATGACATGTGTGCACGCAGATCCCCGCTATTGACTGGCATGCGCGTCGCCCGCCTGTGCGCCACGTCGTCTGTGCTGGTGCTCGCACTCCCCTTGTACGTCAACTAATTAACCTCCACGCCTGATCGTTGACTGATGCTGTGTATCCCGTGCCCTCCGGTGCGCTACCAGAGCCGGCCCTCACCGACGCCCGTGGCCTGAAGGCCTGCTTCTGCCTGTCATCTTCCTTTGTGCCCGCCTACACCTTCGCGTCCTTCACGACCGCGCCGGCCACCACGGTGCTGCGTGCTCACGAGAAGGTCACCGTAGCAGTGGGGTCGCTCTGCCCGATGAAGGTGTGCTGGCGTAGATGACTGTTGCAGGTGTGTGGATCCATTGTGTTTGATTTGACTGAGTGCGCTGACACTCTCCCTTCCGTGCGCGTGACAGTTGGCTAGTCAATGTTTGTGTGAGTGCCTAGCTTTTGTCTGTACTGCTCCAGCCTCTCCTTTGTTCTAGTACTTCCTGTAGATCTATGATGAGTATATCTGTGTGTTTGTTTCACATGGGCATACAGTCTTGCTGTCATTCTGTAGTGCAATATATCTCTTTTTATGTAATGTCATGCTGTGTGACAGTGAGCAGAGCATATGTGTACCCTTCTTTGTGATCTGATGCATGTATTGTGGACTCATTGCAGAGTGAATGTGTCTCATTAGAGTCTTGTTATGAAGGACTGTGTCTTACATAGTGTACATTGTGCCTCATTCATACAGAATTAGCACAGGATTAGACAGGATTATGGACTAATTAGAGCAAATTATTTTTGGGAGCAAGGAAAGTTCACTACTGGCTAATGTCCCTAATTATATCTAATTCTATGAAAGTTTGTCTCATCTGTTGTTATGAGACCTCATTAGGGAATTCAGGTTTTCCTGATGTCAAGAGACAGTGACAGAGTGAACGAAGCCGGTACGGAGGGTTCGACAAACATCATAGAGGTAATTGAAGAGGACAGAACTGCGCTGACTCTTCTCATATCAATGATGAGCGCAGCCTTAACTGAACTTCGGGTCGGTGACTGGTGCCTACAAGGTGACAGAAGGCAGAGCCGTTGCTGGTGTCGTTGTCAGTAATGAAATCTTACGAGTGCACTCGCCTATCCACGTCAACATTGCCCTCATGCCACGTTGACGTGTCGTTTATTGGAGCTTGAAAGAATTGAAGCCGTAGAGAGGGGGGAAGGTTCAGCGAGCCGCCTTAGTGCTTCAACCACTTGGGGATCCGAGTCGGACTCGTATTGCGTGGCCGGCAGAACTTCGTCCTATTTCATTGTCCGTCCTAAAGACAGCCATCACGCAGTTCAGAACTTCACGGCATTGCCAAGGGCTATGTCACACGAACGCTGCCGGCCGGGGGAAGTATTCGGAGAGTTACTTCGGATAGGTCCTTGCCGGGGTGAGATATAGCGTGATCTGCTATGACTGGAAAGTGGGTTTTCAACGATTTACATGTGTCGACGTCAAGAACATACCTACGTACAATTGCCCACTGACCTCTCGTCCAAGGATGAGATCTGAGTCAGCGGTATCTAGACAGACATCATCATTGCATCGAGGCAACCCAAGCTCAGCTGGACACGCAATGCAGCCGGGCAGTGTAGACGCGCTCCGTCAAGTCCATAACGGCACCCTGGCGTTCCCGGTAACTCACAATATAGTCGTCGCATATTGACGCAGTGTATCGCACGCTGCTTGAAGACCGATAATCAACCATGCCAACACACCAAACGTTCGTGTGAATGGCTGTGATGACACAGCTACGTTGCCACGTTTGCCGCATATTCCGTCACTTCCCTTTGATATATTCTCAGGGATGCCGACAACACTGGTAAGAAGGCTGTCAACGACATTTAAATGTAGGGCCCGAATGGGGAACACCCGCTCAGCATGTATACATCTGTGACATCAGATCAGTAGTGCGCAAACCCGTTTCTCAGCTGAGATGATGATGACTGAGCTTGATTGTGTTTGCGTCATCTGTGTATGACGTAGCAATGCGTGGCACAGTTGCTGAGCCTCGACATGTTGAAACCTCGCAGAATGGCAGGCCGCGCTACTTGTGACTTCAGGTTTGGCATGGCGACGAATGTGTCGCTGAGAGCTCTCGATGTCCGTCCGGGCCATAATGGAAAAGTTGGTCGGAGATCTAGATCTTCTCTTCGCCACAACTGAGATGTACGATGTCTGTTGACTGGCAGTCGGCGCGGGTAAGTACTTAGTACCTCATGCACATGACCGTCAGATACATTATGCACGGCCCTGATCATGTCATTACGAAGTGAGTAGTGCCAGAAATCTGCGTACAATCGTGTTTGTCAGTCAATACTGATGTTACCATCACGTATCATAGTACGCACGCACAACCTTATGTTTCCCTCGCTTTTGGCGTCCGCACAGCCGAGATGGTGGTCGTCAATCCCATCGAATGGTATCTCCGTCTGCCATCTGCCATGGGTCGCTAGGCCTCATGAACGGACATCTCTTCCGCAGGTTTGTCCGTGCTCTGATGTGCTTCTTCGGGCTCTCCATTGGCGTTCTCCGGGGCATCCATGCTTGCAGACAGTGTTGTGAATTCAAGGTCTGCACCCATGCTACCGACAATTGAATTGAATACCGGGTCGCTGAAGTTGTGTGATGTTGAGGTTTCCGGGCGTGAACCAAGTTGGTAGTCCTGACACGATAGTTGTTGCAAGTTGACGAGGAAGTGAGAGATCAGGATGGACGAAACCCTGCAAGATGCACTCAACAATGGAAGATGTGGTTATGGAGTCAAAGAAAGGCCTACGGAATAGCCATGAACGACGTGTACGCTACACTAGTCTGTCGTTGAGGTCATGGTATTGTTCGAAATCAGAATTCCACTGTGACAACGTTTGAGCAAATGTGCTCACCGTCGAAACGTTGACCAATGAGCGGACAGCAAGCTCCATAAGATTCATGAACAGAAGAGTGCTGATGAGGCACACATTAGTCCGATGACAATCATTCGAGAGCGTCAAGTTCCTGCTTACACAAAGTATAGAGTCCCTTCAATCATCCAGCGATGCATAAGCCTCGATTCATTCGTTCCATGGGACTGCTATGCACGCACCGTCCCGTAGAACCAAGCTGATCAACGGTGTGACCGTTCTCGACCGAGCTCCTAGTCGCCAGAGTCGGTACGTCCTGCGCCATGTGACAACAATGACGATGAAGTCAGACAATAATGCACACGCGCAGGCGACATAATACACTGGGGGGAGCAAAGGGCATAACCTGACATTTGAGTTACACCAGTTATACTGTATGCCTTCGAGCACTCACGGCTGTCAGATTGCTGTCAGCATTTCAGCTAATAACTGAGTGTCTATGCGGGAACACACACATGTTGGCGGCAGCGGGAGTATAATCACTTGCCGAAGCACATAGCCCATCCAACCCATGATACGTATATGACTGCCGTACCATAATGTACTGTCGCGATATGACGGTGAGTAACTGATAACGCACTCTCACAGAGCAGCCCACGCACCAAATTCACAATTGTAGGGACCATCCCTGTCATCAGCACGGCGGACCCGATCAATTTGTTTCCATTACTGATTGCATATGCCCGTAAAGCACCAAATACTGTTTAGAAAGGGCTAATCAGTTGATGTTTCGAGCAAGGCGATGTACGCAAGGCCTACTCGGTGCAATAGCAAAGAGCAGCATGTTGGCTATGTAGAAGATCAGGTCAATCGTCTTGCAACTGTACCGTCAAGATTCAGCTACTGATCTCTAGACATGCCCTAGAGTACAGAATCCCACCTCTGCAAGAGTCATTATCAGATGACTGATTGAATCAAACAGAGTCATAGCCGCCGCGGCGCTCACCATAGATGTAGTTGATAGGTGCACTTGCAAGAAACAGCTGAGCCCGTACACAAGCAGACTGTAACGATTGGCGAAGAAGATAACCGAAGAACCGAGAACTTTCTTGTTCCAGAAGAGCTCGACTTCGTGTCCCAGACAAAGAACGTAGTCATAGCAGATCATCACTGGTAATCAATACGGTCAAGACAGGCAAATGATGGCTAACGTATCGAAGACGACTCACTTGCGAACGCGGTGAACAAGTACTCAGTAGCGACGCTTGCGCGATTCAATCAATATGATAGCACTCTGAAGTAATGGTGTACTCACGAGTCAGAAGCTATACTATCGTCCATGACATTGATAGTTGCTGTCGACATGTTCACTGTCAATTCAGTTTCAAGTGGATCGACTCAGTGGTCAGGGAAGACGAGCTCGGCCTGGCAGCAGAGAGGAGGAGCATTTTAAGTACAGTGTTCAATGCCGAATTCGTTTCACGTCCCAGAAGTGATGATCGCAGCTTCACCTTTGACAGGTTATAGATTGGCGCACGCCATCGACCTCCAAGCGGACCGCTGGCTACCAATGTAATCCGAGGATAAAAAATATCCACGGATGTGTTTTGTCATTTAGGTCGCTCTATGGCTGAGCTAAAGCACTGTAGTATGTCCGGTTAGCGAACGTTGAACGTGCTAGACGTTTGGCTGCACACTATATCCGAAGGTCAACAGCACACCTAAGTACATTCAGCGATGCATTCACTCACCATGCTCATACGAATATATCTTGTCCCTGAGTCACCTGGCACGTTGTTCAAGATCACACACCCGAGCCCGGATGCTCCGTGCTTGCAGGGGTTGATTGACGACGTCATCAACTGGATGCAGGCGCCGCTGTTCCCTGTCTTGCCGATACGACGAAGAGCGTTAGGTGTGATCCGGTAAATGGTAGTCCGGACTTCTTCAAGGGAGGTATACACTCACCAGCCACCACCGCAATGGCTGAGACGCCCTGCAAGACTGAGAACGATGACACAGCAAAGTCCGCAGAGGACCTCATTGTGATACCCTAGAGGCGGTTAGACATTGAATCTGGGAGTTGACCTGATGAATGTAACGCACGGGCCTGGCTCCGTAGACCGGACATTCCGCAGAGTCGGGCTCTAGTATGGCATGGGTATCGTCTTTATGCCCCATAAGTCAGAACTAAGCGCTGCCACTCTACAGTCTCCAGCCGAATGTTCCTGGCCGCAACTTTGACAGCGTAGATTGTCGAGTCGTAGCGAGCAGTCACTCCACGGATGAGCGAATACTGGGTTCAATGATGCGTTACGAATAGCAGTATCACTGCAACAGATGTCCGGGCCAACGTTGTCAGAAGGCGACGACGCGTCCTCGCCACATGCACTTTAACTTAGTCCCAGCACGCATTGCTGCCGCGTGAACGTCTCCCCCCTCGCGAGGCCAAGAAGAGTCAAGAGTCGATGCTTGATGATTCGAGTAGTTTGAGAAGTGGCATGCAGCAGGAGGGATGCAGAGACTGAGTACACCTGCGTCGAGTCAGCGCTCAGCGTAGGCGCCGAGTTCAGCCACCGGTCCCACATCGGGGACGGAACCATTGTGGCTGGAAGGCGTCTCATACTTACGCGCCACCGCTGCGTCGCCGTGGCTCGTCGTGAACTCTGCGGCAACCTCCACTCTCTCCCATGAACGTCCACGAACGACAGTCCCACCACAACGAGCTCTCGAATCTCCGGATTCTAGTCACATCCTCAACATGTCGGAAGACGGAGTCCTCTCGAGTGTCATCTCTTTGGGCTGCATAGCTTGCGTCGATGTGCTCACGGGCATCTTGACGGACCTGGCTAGCGTTCGTGAGTTGCACGTTTCTGTGACATCAGTACCTTTCACACAATCCGTACCCAGGACATGCATGCACAGAACATTTCTGTCAATGCTCCTGCTGCCGGTGCGGCGGTGACCCGGACGATGCAGACGAGTCCTCTCTGCCCGAACCGGGAGAACGCGAGCCGCTGCTCGCTGCATCGGGCCAGAATACCGAGCCAACTCCCCAGCAGAGCATGCAGGTTCCGAAGAGAAGCTAGCACTCCGAACATAATGTTGCCATATCGTTGCACTGCCTAGGAGGACCTATAAGTTCGGGATCATACCACCGTCGCACGTCCTTTATCTGTATCATAGTATGTCTCATATTATTTCCTATTGCTGCAGCTGCATCGAGGATAAGTAACCTATCGAGGCCCACGTAACCCAGGGAAAGATAGAGACCGACGAGTAATACTGATGTACACCGGGAAGGAGTGTGAGGAAAACATATGAACACAGGATAGTACAGAGATACCACTGGCTCCAGATAGTCCTGTAAGTTACGACCACCGTGGTCTATAGACTTGTGCGAGATACATGTATGAGTCCGCATCACCCGAGTAAAGACGAGAAAGTCACTGTTCAATCTCACAGCAGCCTAGTACGAAAAGATCATGAACCACGGATTGAGTACGATCGGGTAGAGAAGGTGGCAGCCGACGGTGATCGCGAGAGGGAGGATGACGGCCCAGTCCCAGCTGTAGATCTGCCAGCCCGAGGGCACGGCGGTCGTGCTGAAGATAATCATGACCGCGACGATGGCGATGCAGATGATGAGCGCGAGCCAGAAGCGCTTGAGGATCTTGGGAACCTCGAGCCAGAAGTTGGAACGCTCGACTTCCTTCTTGGTCGCGCCCCAGGTGATGTTGTAGGAGAACAGATGCGCGAGGAGCGCCTGCGAGAGGTGTATAGAAAGGCCGCCGAAAAAGAAGAAACTGCAAGGGGTATGAGCGGGTCTGGGGGAAGGGAATGGAGAAAAGCATACTCACAAGAAGGGTACCCAGGTGAGGTTCTCAATGAGGGAGTCGAAGATGCTGCGTTGGCCGAGTCGGTATTCAAGAAGTGTGAAGCCAACATTACCCGCGCCCGGGAAGACCACAGTGCATGCCAGCCAGACCTCGAAGCTGTGCAAGTAGAAGCCATCGACCGTCAGGTTCCACCCGAGCAGGAGATAGTTCAGTATCGACAGGATAGCGGCGGCGGCGAGACCATCTAAAGAGAGCGTATGCATGAGCAAGCAAAACGCAGTGTGGAACGCCGTATAGCTCACAGTACGAAAACATATACGACAACATGCTGATCTTGTAGTGCATCGGGGCGGCGGACCAAATGAAGATGCGCAGCTGTTTCGTAATCGGCCCCAAGCGCCACCAGTGAATGAGGGGGTTGAAGATCAACTCATTGCAACCTGCTCGTATGTCAACCAGCAATTCAAGGAAAGCGGTCAGACACCACTCACCATACGAGTACTTCTGCCACCGGTTGAGCTCATCGTCGCATGTCAACGAGACACCTTCCTTGAACCCGTGATCCGAGTATGTCGACCACCGGATGATGTACCCTTTAAGCTGCAAGCGCAACGCCATATCGAAGTCCTCTGACACGTTCGACTCTGACCAGATCTTCTTCACGCCATCGTCCACATCGACGAACGCCGCATCCTGAAGTGCCGACCAGCGCAAGAACGCGTTGTGTCCCACGAATGGCGCGACCTCGCCGTTCGCACAGGCCATCGAGATACACTTGTTGATCCTGCGCGTGAAGTGCGCGATGCCATTCTCGAAGTAGTGGTGCGCGACCTGCATGACGTCCGACTCGTGCTGGATGATCGCGACCTCAGGGCACTCGTACAGCTCGCGCGCCGCGTCGCGGAAGCAGTCCTCGGGCACGATCGTGTCCGAGTCCACGATGAGGATGATGTCGCCAACGCGCAGCGACCGCCCGTTGCACGCCCACGGCCGCCAGCGCTTACCGCTCTCCTCGTAGATCTCCTCGACCGCCATGTTCATCGCCTGGTCTTCGAGCGACTCTTCGCCTTCGACGTGGTACGTGCCCCGTGCGGCGGCATCGGCCTCGAGTGCGAGGAGGTGCTTCTCCAATTTGAGCGAGAGCGCGAGGCCATAGTTCATGTTGGAGGCCTTCTTGAACCGGCCAGCGCGCTGAAAGCCACCGGGAGAGTTGTCGTGCGGCGGGCGGGCAACCCAGCCGATATTGTGGTCCGCGTAGAAGGCGATACGCGCCTGCCGCTCTTCCTCGCCGATAAGCTGGAGACCGTCGTCGTGGACGAAAATGGAGGAGGTGCCGCCTTGTCGAGCATACGTCTGTATCGCCTTCTTCAAAGAATACACCGATGGCGCGCTGTAGATACTCCGTCAGCGGCCGTCGATGACGACAAGGATGGTGCAGGTGTAACAGGGACCATGTGGAGAGAAGCTCGAGTTCATGAGCTTAATGGACACGAGCGTGAAGCTCGGTCGTGCGCGGTGAACAAGACATGATGCCCGGTTCAGCCGTTCCATGTGGTTTGCTAAACATAGCGACAGAGAGGAACAATGCAACGAGCCGACAGCGGCAACGGCAAGCTAATCTGCACGATGGCCCGACACGATGGAGACTATGATCGACATGTTACTCACATTGTCTCCTTCAGACTCTCCTTGTAGACCGGCATCTCGACCGTGATGTGCGGCAAATTCGAGTCCACGAGCTTGTTGGGTGCAGGGGGGATGGCAGAGTAGTACTTCGAGTTCTCATGGAACTGTGCAACGGGTCCGAGGATGAAAGAGATGTTCGTGATAATCTGCCCAGAGAAGAACTAGCAGACATCGATGTTGAGCACGTGTGACGTAATGAATGCTAGATCACTTTACCAGAGAAACGCAGAACAAGAACGGGATCGTCACGCAGAGAGCCCACCGAACGTACGTGTCGTCCAATACCGATTCCTCTATCATGGTGTTGATACCGCTAGCGATGAAGACTGTCATGCAGTATCAGCCACAGTCACACTTCTCACTTTGTGTAACCACTCACAGATCGACAGAGCGGCAGCCAGACCACCATACACTGGCGCAAACAGCCGTATTGGCCTGTTGCTCGCGGTCTTCTCCGAGTCCATGTCCTCCTTCGCCGAGACCCAGTAGCTGAAGATGCCGCAGTTGCGTTTCTTCGGCTTCGGTTCTTTCTTCTGCGCGAGCTCGGCGACCTCCTTCTCGGTGACGACGGGCGCCTGTTGGGTCTTCTCGGTCAGGTTGACGTCCGAGTCGGAGGCATAGGTCGACGGCGCGATCGACGATGCCAGTGAGCCGAATGCATTTCGATGCTTCCAGACGAGGTGGATGAGCTTCTCCTCGAAGTCGCGGCATGTGGGGATGATGGTCTCGAGCGCGTATGACCAGACGACCAGAACGCCCTCGTCGCGCTGTGAATTATATATGAGTGAGATGCAAACAAGGGAGAAGTCAAGACCTACAATGAACGCAGCACACTGCTCCTTGTCTGCCCGGGGTAGGAGTGCCATGGTCTCGAGGACCTGGATCCGGTTATCAACATCAATGAAGATGGCATCCGCATCATCCTTACTGTAGATATTTTATGTTAGCGTAGTTCAGGCCAACGCTATAAAAGGTATTTACACCGTGTTGAGCGCCGCATGGATGGCAGCACTGCGAATCTTGACAGCCACTACCGGGTTGAGTTGTCTTATGGCAGCCTCGAATGGCTCGAGGTAGTGGTTCTCGTAAGGGAAGACACGGAAGCGTCTGGCGTCTACACGCAGACAGACACCCGCGTGCACGTTCTCCTCCGAGGGCTTGAACCAGGCATCGCCTTGAGTCTACAGCAAGGGTCAGATAGGTCAGATGTAGGAAGTACAATGGACAGACCTGCTTGAAAATGTGGTGGAGCAAAGCGTCATATGCGTCGTAGTCCATGGTAGCAGGGCTATAGCTATAGGATGTGAGGGACAATGAATGGATTCCAGGCAGACAGGGAAGGTGAACGCTTGCTTGTGGCCAAGCTCACCGAGAACCGAAGGAGGTGGGCGGTTGACTCTTCACACACTCAAGCAAAGCTTATAAGGAGTCGCCCATCCGCAGCCAAACTGGACTCGACTGAATGCTCGTCGAATTCGTGCAGGTACGCAGGATGTCCTCCGCCGCGGCCGATCTCGGTCACAAAATCATACGAGCGAATCGGCAGAATGGGATACAACCGATATGCAAACCTGTTCCTCGGCAATAGAAATCATCCTAGAGCGGCATTGTGTGGACAGGCTGGATCGATGTCACCACAATGTGCCTGGGAGATTGGTCCGACGACATGACGGCCAACATGTGTGTAGCATTGAATGCAAATTCTGGAATGGCCTGTCAAACGTTCTTCGCGGGATCAGTCGTCGAAAGCGGATTGAGTGAGCCGACAGATCGTTACAATGCACCGCAAACAGGATTCCCTGACGCCTTCGTGCCGTCTACATGTGCAATTTCTCGTGAGCAACAAGACTGCCCTTACGGATTTTTTCCCACCAGCCTCCGATCTCCGCGAAACAAGACTACTTACCGGAGCGCTGCTGACAATTCAAGCATCATGACGATTGTCTGTTGACGCTGTATGATTTGTTACGCGCCCAGCTCCGCGTTGGGCAGGCTGCTCCCTCGGCCGCTCAGTCATACGGCTGTTGCGGCGCGAGGGTGATTGATCCTGTCCATGCAGAGCTCCGGTGCACGGAATGCTGAACTTTCCGCGACCGAAATCTGCAAGATCAAGGCACGTTCAAAGAGCGCGTATGCATCCTTAAGCCCTTCGGGCCTCGGCACCATCGAGGATGCCTAGGGGGCGGTGTGCACAAACACGTTCCCAGTCATGTCAAACAGCAGTCAAGAGTGGAGAGAGTCAAATGGTCCAAATTGAATGTATGAGCAGATATGCCCTCGGACTAGATTGGGTACCTACATACCGGCCAAGCCATAGTAGTGCCATAGTGTGGTACCATGGTACCACGATCATCAAAATGCCTACTTCGAGTCTTCGGTAGGCTCGCTCGGAGACGGCGATTTCGAACGCATCCGCCGTCCGCATCTCTGTCAGAATCCAGGTCGGACGCTTGATCTTCGGTGCATTCAGCAGCAGAACATGTCGCGCGCGACAAGGTAGATGAGAGTTCAGAAGGAAGACCGCAAGCCCAGGTCATCGGCGCTTGCCCGGAGATCGCATCCTTGCCGAAAACGGTAGTCCGTAATTGCCAACACGTGGTGCCGGTGGCGGTCCGCCTCGGCACCGACAGAAAGTTTAGCGGTCAATTAAACGTGGTGTTGTACTTACAGTGTTACACCTCAGGCTAGCCCACCCAATGCTTGAATGCATGCCTTCTGGTCGCTCGAACCTTCAAGAAAGGAGTAGCACATCATCCTTTCCGGCCGCGGCGGTGTCCAGGACGGGTCGCGGGGTTAGACAGGTTCACTGACAAGCAATGTCGCCCCTTGACCGTCGTGACAAGGTTTCACCTCCGTGCTAAATGTCAATCACTCACAGCGAGGCCTTTTCACTTCCACGACCTCGATCGACAGCAAGATGGTCTATCGAGCCTCCGGCGTGCAATGTACTGCACCTGAAACGTCAATGTGGCCTCGGGACCCTCGTAGTACCCTGCCAAGGCGCGCTCGATGTTGTGCAGTCCATGTCTGCGATATAACGTCTACTTGACATGTGTAGCCTCGTTATCGCCTCACGCCACCGTGGCGGTCATGAAGCTCCAGCGCACAAGACACGCTTCGACTGGCCACCACCTGCGCGTCAAAGTGACTAGTTTCCACATGTCTGTTCGTCGGGCAGATGCGTCTCGGTAAGGTTTCGTCTGTATGGGACGACTGGTCTCATACGGTACCGAAGTCCAGGTCGAGGTTCATGCTTGTTTGGCTGTCGAAGGCATCCTGCCGATGTTGTGCGGTTCCTGCCAGAGCCATCGCGTTCGTCTCGCAAACATCAGTACTGTCCGATACCTGACCCAAACGTTGGTTATTGGTTAGTTGCGGGGTGAGTGGTATTCACGGCGTCCCCTACCAATGTCTTGTCTCGCTATCAAGTACTGTCATCCACTCACCAACGGAATGATCCCTCGTCAATTCTTTGACACCTTCCAGGAATTCCAGTACAGAGGCTCTGGAACATCCACCTTCTTGGTTTTTCGTGTTCGCGGTCATATTGGCCATCACTCTGTGGCTCGTTCTGTGTCCAACATGGAGCTAGATCAAACTCAGAGCTTATGTCCGTTAAGTGTATATGCCTCTGTAAAATGTCAGAACAACCTTATTGACGAATTGCAAGTGTCTGTGATTGTTGGTTGCGCGAAATCACCGTCATGTACCAAGGCTGCGAGAGACAATCAATTGCGTCTGTTCCTCAATATTCACAAGCAAACAGCACGCTTGACACGACCGAGGTTACATATCTACAGCCCGTCGCGATATACAGTTTCGAGAATTTTATCTAAACGGCTACAGCGGTACGTCACTTCAGCTTTTCAGCCGGGCGCCTACTACTGCCCTGCCGTCGACCCCGCTTCTCATTGAACTGGCTTGTGTTGCATCGTCACAATAATGACCCGCATCACCATCATCATGGCGTGGTCCCGCTGATGATGAGTCTATGCAAGGCATTGTACCGTACGGGATTGTAACTTCGCGACTTCCTCGGAGCCATTGGGGCGGTTACTGTCGGTTCCTCCCTCGAGCCGTCACGGTGGAGTGGGAGCATGCAGCTATAGTTTGCAGAGGCACTGCTCCGTCTCCTCTTCGGAAGCCAAGAGCACCCGTACACCCTGTCATGTCGTAGTGTGTTCAAGCCCGGTGATGGCCAAATGACGACACAAGGGGATTATCGCGACTACGTTCGACGGCCCCCAGTAGCTCCGAGCTAAGTTCTGACGATCAGTAACTCACTTTGACATTACTGTTCGAAACCACTCATTCAATCCTTTGTCGATCTACGTACACCAGCCACGGCTCAGGCACCCACGGATGACTGACTGCGCGAACACAAGACTGGCGCTGGTTTTCAATGCTCAAAGAAGAGTTCCCGAGAGACGCGTCAGCATGACGGAACCTATCAAAATCCGCTCCGCTCTTTCTCCCTTCGGCCGCAGTGCTGTCTGCGTCTTCGATGCTTAATTAACGGCCGTTGAAACTTATAGAGCCGGGAGCAGCACGTAGAATCGGGAGACGACAAAGAAAATGAAGAGTGAATCCCGCGGATTCGCATTCTGTAACGCATGGTGGCTTCGATACATGTCATGAATGGTAGGAGTATCGTCTGCTGCTCCCAACCGGCGGTCTCGTAACTCGAGGACACCCGGAGGAAATGCCACTTCTGTAAGCTTCCACCCGAACGTCGCATCATGTTGGAAGACATCGCTCCTCAGTCTCCTGAACTCCCGCACGATCTGGACTGGTAGTCCCCGGGCCGCAGTACTCAACTCCCCTGAGCGGTCCCAAGTTAGACTAAGTATGATGATATGGCAACTCAGATACTTATGTGATTGATCACGTCGGGTCTGGCCTTGCTTCGGTGCTTCCTACGATCTTCTCAGTTCAATATGCTATGAATGCCGGAGATTGCAGACCTCAGGGCCCGTGTGACATGGGATTCGCCAGGGATTCACCATTTATGAAGATTGTGCCTCTGTCCAGACTCCAGTGCATCGGGTGGCCCAGCTATGGGCCGTGTACTGGGCCGCATGGACAAAAGAGTGCGAGGTAAGTAGCTCTAGTAGTAGTAGAACGAAACTCAAGTGTCGGCGAATTGTCCGGATGTCCCGATATGGCTGTGGATCGCCACCCGTATGAGTGATCGAGCCAATCGGACTTGCGCCGGACATTGAAGGTTTCCCAGGCCGCCCAAACAATGCCCAAAGGCTCAGTCTCGAACGACGTTCCTCCGTGTTCTGCTCTATCTATATTCCGACATGGCGCGCGAGCTCTGCGCTTAAGTTGGCCAGTGTCATCTTGACGGCTTTGTATGTCCGGAAGCCTTAGCTATCTCCTGCAGCCAGACCACATACTGATCATGACGCCCTACTAGCCTCTGAATCACTGAGGCCCATCGAAGAAGATTCGCACCAGCGCGGCGGCCATTCTGCATGCCCTGCGGAGAACATCGCCATATGCTTCAAAAAGGAACCGTGACTGGGCAGATTCGGAGCGATTGGACCGCTTCGGGCAAATCTCCATCCACCCACGTTGAACGTGTCTCAGCCGGTGCGTGCATTGTGCAGCAAAGTTGCAGCCATCAACCTTGGCGCATCCGCGTCGGAGTCGTGCCTTTTTTCGCGCACAGGTCTGTTCTGCAAGTTGAAGGGGGTGCTATGACAGCGTCGGTGAAGGTGATGACAAGGAACCCGACTGTCGATTCTGCCAGCGCGACGAGCGCCCCCGCGGAACGAAGGCTTCACCTGCCAGGCTTTACTGGTCCTGGAACATGACAGGCGCCTCATCGCACGCATGGTAAGTGTGATTTCATGACATTTCCTTTTTCGCGTCCTCTCCCGCATTTCGGCTGCGTCTGTGTACAAATCGTAAGCACGCCCATTGGCGTCTGCGGTCAATGAGATATGATCTGAGAGGCACCGGCGGGCGTAGTGCGGATCGCGAATGAATTGTTCCTGGGCTGACAGTCCTTACTGCTGGCAGATGTTCTTCGATTTATGCAGTGGAACAGGGATGCGTCGAGCGTCCGCATCCTCCGGACATGTCGAGCCTGGCCCACGGCTCGATTGTTGTATCGCCGAAACAGCCACCGCGTCACTCCATCGCTGACATTCTATACCAGGACCCTACATGGCTATGCATGCGTGCCAGGGACATGCAAGCCTATCCAGTCCCGCGCTGACATGTGCATTGTGCCTGGAGATACATTCGCAGTCCGGCCGTATTATCGCGGTGACAAGGTGAAGCCGTGCATTCCGTGCAGCGGTACTAAAGCCTTTGACGGACGCTCACATCCTCTCCTCACGCCTCCAACGAAGGACGGCCGCTTACTTTCCTTCAGTTCGACCTGTTTACCGCCGAGTCCCATTCATCTGCGATGTCATCGTCGTCCGCTCCGTCCTCACGAGCATCCTCCTCACACGGCTCGGCTTCGCAGGTTCCGCATTCCTCCACTGGATCGAGGCGCCACCCACCCTTACAGCCACCAAAGCCTCTCTTCTTCGTCGATCGCACAGTTGAAGATGCCTCTCGAGACCCCTTCCGCACTCCAGCGCACAGTATCGCTGACGAGTCCGTCCCCACTACGCCGAGGAGTGATGCCTCCAACCCGTTCTCACCTCCAGCCAGCGTCGTCACCTTCAGCGCGGAACAGACCGTTCCCGGGACCCCCGGTATCCACCACCAGAGGGTGTCCAGCGGTGGCTCGGACAACCTCCACCGTCCAAACACCAACGGGCCGCAGTCTTCCTCCACTTTGCGCCATGCTGCGTCGATCCCCTCTGTTCCCCACGTCCAAAAGGTGCTACGCGGCAGCATCCCGCGTGTAGACTCCATGGTTCGCAACTCGTTCATGTCGCCTCCGATCATGGCGCGCCGGGCGACGATGTATGACGGCTGTTCGGTTTCGGAGACGCTCGCCCGTCCCACAGCGAAGCGCCAGCGCTCGACGATGCTCACAGGCGAAATCGAGAAGCCTTGGACCTCTGACAAGGACGTCTATGTGCGTATATCATGGTGGGTCACCTTGGCCGTCGCCATGATCGGGGTCATCGGTGGAGCCATCCGCTGTTACTTCGGCTGGAGGGATGTTCCTCGTGTGGGCAACCTGTGCCTCATCATGCAGGACGACTTCAACACGTTCGACCAGAACATCTGGACGCGTGACGTGGAGATGGGCGGATTCGGGTAAGCGTCATAGTTCGTCATACTACTGGCAGAAGCTCACTACCACTTTGTAGAAACGGCGAATTCGAGATGACTACGGCCGCCTCGAACAACTCCTTCGTGCAGGATGGCAAGCTGTACATTGTGCCGACGCTTACGTCCGACGTTATTGGTTACGACCACGTCCTGAATGGCTACACCTACAATATCTCCGGCTGCACGAGCTCGAATCACTCTGCCTGCGGTGCCGTCTCCAACTCAAGTTCGGGCGCCGTGATCAACCCTGTCATGAGCGCGCGGCTGTCGACCGTCAGCAGCCACAACATCAAGTATGGGAAGGTCGAAGTTGTCGCGAAGCTTCCCCGAGGCGACTGGCTCTGGCCTGCTATATGGATGATGCCCGTCAACGATGTCTATGGCGCCTGGCCGGCGTCTGGGGAGATTGACATCATGGAGGCGCGCGGCAATGGTATCAGCTACCCAGCGCAGTGAGTACGAGTTCTGATAAATTGCAACTTCTAGGCTAATAGCTCTGCAGGGGTATCAACTACGTGCGCTCCTCCCTGAATTGGGGCCCCTTCCCCTTCTTGAACGGCGTCGCGAAGACGTTCGGCTATTGGACGAACCGGCGCAAGACGTACGCGGACGACTACCACACGTACTCACTCGAGTGGACGCCCACGTTCATGCGGATGTACGTCGACACACGCCTCGACCACACGCTGCAGCTCTCGTTCAACGAGCCGTTCTTCGAGCGCGGCGACTTCCCCGAGACGATCGCGAACGGTTCCAATTACATCGTCACCCCGGACCCGTGGGTGAACGGCACGAAGAACGTCGCGCCCTTCGACCAGCCGTTCTACCTCATCCTTGACCTTGCTGTCGGCGGGACGAACGGGTGGTTCCCAGATGCTGTTGGGGACAAGCCCTGGCTGGACGCGTCGAGTGGTACGTATATAGCTTGACAACAGTGTTGGGACAGGATCACTGACTTTGAGAATACTAGCCGCGATGCACGATTTTGCCCAGGCGCAGGATTCGTGGTATGCGACCTGGCCGCAGGACACCCAGGATCGCGCATTCATCATTGAATCCGTCAAGATGTGGCAGTCGTGTTAGAGTGGCGAGAGATTCGTCGTACTGCGTTGTCGACTTACTCTGAGGCTCACCTCTCGCGGATTCCCTGCTTGTCACCATCTACCACGAGCTCACCCCCGGTGTAGAGATTGCCAGAGTCGGAAGGTCCCGTTTTTGGTATACTTGCCATGTCGGACATTGTTGTACAGAGTGTCACGATACACCGTCCGGTCCTTGTTCCTTCGTAGCGCTTTGCCACTTTTTCGGGCGGGTTTTTCTTTCTGGAGTTCTCACCTGGTCAGCATTTTTCGTATCGTATACTCTGTCGGTGTCAGCCACCGTTATAATGTCCCTTCGACGCTTGGTTGTACTGTAACACTGCGTTCGCGAATCTCATAGACAATGTAGCTTTGCGTCAATAGAACCTGAATACACGGAGCACAAGATGTTCATTCGTGCCATCGGAACAGACTACCCGAGTATATGCACGAGGATGTACATCTAGTTTATGCGACAACAAGTTCAGAGACTACACGAATGTATTCGTACACCATCGAATGTAATCGGCGGCTCGAGCAAGACTAGCCTGAGCGGCCCTGCTCAACCACAATGCTAGGGGGTTCTACGGCGGCGGAGAATGAGAGCGCATCTGATGGACGTTATGCCTCAGCAACATGGTTACACCAGCAGCGGCGGCGGCAGCTACGAATGGAGCGGCGACAGCAGCCATGGAAGCGAATGTACCCTTGAAGCCCTGCTGCTGCTGCTCAATCGTCAACACCTTTGCCTTGGTCTCCTCTTGCGCGTGCTCTAGCTCTTCAGCAGTCTCGTGGTCCCTCTCGCGAAACGCATCCTGCATCTCCTGCTGTAGTTCGCTGAGCTCCTCCACGTACTTTTGCCGCTGCTCTTCGATGTCGCGTGCGAGTTCCGTGCCGGCAGCTGTCTGAGCGATATCCTTCTCTTGCTCGATCAGCTCGGCTTGGAGGAGCAGAGGCGTGGGGGTGTTCGGGATAAGCTGTAACATGATGGTGACGGCGGAGTGATACGTGTTATCGTGACGCATCATCTTCGCGCCCTTGTCGAGTGCGGGCTTGAAGAACATGGAGTCGGACGCGAGCTCGTCCTCGCGCGCAAGCCCGCGCTCTGCGTTGACCTCGCTCCACATGTTGGTCACAATGACGACGTTCTTGAGCGTGTCCTCGCCACATATCTTCCGGAAGAGGTGGAAGTTCCGCCTGGAGATCCCGGTCATACGGAAGTCGGAGATGCGCTGCATGTAGATGATACCGGTCAGCTTGTGGCCGTCCTTATACCTTGCAGAACCGGTCAGCATCTGGCTGTTTCACTACATGGACCACCCACATCTGAGATAACGCCACAGCGATCATCTTGAGCACCTCTGTATCGGACCGCGTAGTGTCGTCGAAGCCCGGCGTGTCGATCAGCCTGACAGTCTTGCCAGCCAGCCCGAACGCCCTTGAGAATTCGACCTCACTGGTGCACGACTTGAGACCATCGTTAATAGATAGGTCCGAGCAGCTGGCAAGGTTGATGAACTGCGTGTCGTGAGCATCAACAAAGTATCTAGGGCCGTTCCGGGAAGGCTCTGACCGTAGACTTCCCGGAGCCGGTGGCACCCATAACGCTGAGCGGATTATGAGTTCGTTTCCGAGCATGATCGAAGTAGTAAAAGCTATGCGTACGCGATAGTAACCTCCTTCTCGTCTGCAGCTTGGTCCCCGACGACCTCATAGCCATCTACAGCCAATGACGAGAGTACTAGTCGAGACCGAACTTGGGTACCAAAGTCATTCGACGGACCCCAATCGCTCTGCATGTTGTACGATAATAAATAGCAGAGGAGACAGTCAAGACGACAGATCGAGGCTGTAGTATCTGAAGGTGTGGGTTCGTGTGTATCCGGGGGCGCTCTCCATGTTGCAGCACTTAGCGCGCCGTCAACCCCGTCAAGCAGGATCAATTGCCTTTTACGGACAGATCACTTTCCTCGACGGATCAATCGTTCACGTGATCTGTACATACAGGCCGAGCCCGCTTGCCAGCTCGGAGTCGGCGGACGCAGCGACCACTCTCCGCCGTCCACGCACTCGGACAAGCCTCCGCGACGTGAGTACGAGTGCAACCTATTCTAGAGAATAAATTTGCTGACATTGTGCGGTTGTATGCGTAGGGCTTCCTGTGAACGGCAGTCCGGAAACCGCCGACCCAAAATTTAGCAGAGGTCGTTCAAGTTGAGCTGGCTTCTCCGTTTGCTTTGTCTCCGTGAAAGCATCTTCCGCGCGGGCTGGCGGTCATAGCACTGAGCCAGGATGGCCACGCAAATGTTCCAGACCTGTCTCCGAACAAGACCACGCTTCTCAGCCGCTCTCGTTGGCAAGTCCTGGGCAACGCGGCGACATGCAGCCACCGCTGCAGCAACCAATCCTGGCGAGAGTGACGCGCCCGAACGTCCTTCGTATCCTCTCTCGGACCAGGATCTGCTCCGTCTCAGATTTCAGCGCAACATTGGGGTGTCCGCACATATTGACTCTGGCAAAACGACATTGACCGAACGGATATTGTACTACACTGGACGCATCCGGGAGATCCACGAAGTCAGAGGGCGAGACAATGTTGGAGCGAAGATGGACAGTATGGAGCTGGAGAGGGAGAAGGGTATCACCATCCAGAGTGCGGCGACATACTGCGACTGGGTTGCTACCATGCCAGCGACCGGAGAGCAGGAGAAGTACGCCATCAACATCATTGACACGCCAGGTACGTCGAGCAGTCAGCACCGTTGGGTCATGCATTGACAGCACCCAGGTCACGTTGACTTTACTATCGAGGTCGAGCGGGCGTTGCGTGTCCTGGACGGTGCTATTCTGGTCTTGTGTGCGGTCTCCGGTGTACAGAGTCAGACAACTACGGTCGACCGGCAAATGCGGCGGTACAACGTTCCTCGGGTTTCGTTCATCAACAAGATGGACAGGTACGCAACAACCCATTGCATCGAGTGCGGCTGATGCTCAACTGCGTGCAGACCTGGTGCAAACCCATGGCGTGTCATTGAGCAAATTCGGACTAAGCTGCGCATCCCTGCGGCTGCTGTGCAGGTGCCCATCGGTGTTGAGGATGAGCTCAAGGGCGTCGTCGACCTCGTGCGCTGGAAGGCCATCTACAACGAGGGCGAGAAGGGGTGAGCCATCACCTCCGTGCATGTTCTGCCCCTAACCCTAGCACTACAGCAACACCGTCGTGGTCTCGGACGAGATTCCGGACTCCGTCCTCGACTTCGCCAAGCAGAAGCGGCGCGAGCTCATCGAACAGCTGGCCGACGTCGACGAGGAGATCGGCGAGATGGTCATCATGGACGAGGAGCCCAACACCCAGCAGCTCGCGGAGGCCATCCGCCGCGCGACTGTCGGGCTCAAGTTCTCTCCGGTCTTCCTGGGTTCTGCAGTCAAGAACACTGCGGTGCAGCCGTTGCTGGATGGTGTCTGCGCGTATCTCCCCACTCCTTCAGAGAGTCAGGTTGTTGCGCACGATACCTCACTGCCTGCCGACACTCCGATGGTTCCTCTCGTTCCCGCTGCTAAGGCGCCGCTCGTTGCGCTTGCGTTCAAGCTTGAGGAAGGTCGTTTCGGCCAGCTGACGTACATGCGTGTGTACCAGGGTAGCTTCCGTAAGGGCCAGTTCATCTGGCATGCGCGCTCCGGCAAGAAGGTCAAGGTTCCACGTCTCGTGCGCATGCACAGTAACGAGATGGAGGACATTGATGAGATTGGGCCTGGTGAAATTTGTGCGATGTTCGGTGTGGAATGTTCCTCTGGCGATACCTTCACAGATGGTTCGACGTCATACTCGATGGTACGCTGTCGTACCAGAGACCAGTTGATTGATCACTGATCTGTCCATGTAGATGTCCATGTTTGTGCCCGAACCCGTCATCTCTCTGTCTCTCACACCGAAGGGCCAGGAAACGCCGAATTTCTCTCGTGCTCTCAACCGGTTCCAAAAGGAAGACCCGACGTTCCGTGTACATGTCGACTCAGAGAGCAAGGAGGCGAGTCTCCCTCACTAGCCAGTCTGACTGTTCGACTCATGATGTCCTACCAGACGATCATCTCCGGCATGGGCGAACTCCATCTCGAGATCTACGTCGAGCGTATGAGGCGTGAGTACAACGTCGATTGCGTCACGGGCAAGCCACGCGTTGCGTTCCGCGAGACGATCACGCAGCGCGCCAACTTCTTCTATACGCACAAGAAGCAGACCGGCGGCGCGGGCCAGTACGCGCGTGTCATCGGCTTCGTCGAGCCCATGCAAGCCGACCCGACCACTGGCAAGGACATCGAATTCGTAAACCAGGTCATGGGTGGGAACATCCCGACCAACTATATTCCGGCCTGTGAGAAGGTGAGGTGCTTGCTCGACTGCGGTGGCACAGCCATCTGACGATCACCCTTAGGGCTTCTATGAGGCACTCGAGAAGGGCACACTGTCTGGAAACCCGATCTGTGGCTCCCGGCTCGTGCTGCAGGACGGTCTCGCTCACTCTGTCGATTCGTCCGAGCTTGCTTTCCGGCTGGCCGTCATTGGTGCCTTCCGCGAGACTTACAAGAAGATGAGCCCCATCATACTCGAGCCCGTAATGAACGTCGAGGTCGTTGCACCGGCTGAGTTCCAGAGTACGTTCCACTCAGGATCAGTATAAAAAAAGAGGCTGATGATGTGGTTCAGGCGCGGTGATTGGTGGCCTGAATGCGCGCCGCGGAACGATCACGGACAGTGAGGTCCGCGAGGAGGAGTTCACGTGTAGGGCGGATGTTGCGCTGAACGACATGTTCGGCTACTCCAGCCACTTGCGCGGCGTCACTCAGGGCAAGGGTATGTACCCCTTACTTCGCTCGGAACCTTCCGTCGCTGACTGTTTCTTCTTGCAGGTGAATTCAGCATGGAGTACAAGGTGAGGAGCCCTCTACTTGTCAAGTGTAGCGTCGTGCTGACTGGTCCTCCTAGACCCACTCGCCCGTCATGCCTCAGGTACAGAAGGAGCTGGAGGAGGCGTACAGGAAGACCCTCCCCCAGTCGAAAAAGTAGACACTATGATATCATTGTACAGCATCTAATACCGGTCCTTGCTTTCGTCGTCATTGTGGTCATTTCTAGACGCATTCCACACTGTGCTATAGCATATCATGCATCCTAACGTCGACGAGCCACTGCTGGCTTCTTGTGCCCACTTGAACCGGTACGCGCTTATGCTTTGAGCGCTCTATCTACTTGTGGTACGTGCATCTATAGGCAGTGCAGTTTCCACTGCGGGGTGGCCAGTGCAATGGCACGGTCTGTCACAGGCCCCACAAGTTGGTCATGGTACGTCAACATTCCCGGGAACTCAGTAGCTCTCCAACGACTGATACGTGCGGTACAGTATCTCGATCCGATTGGACTCCGCGTCACTCTGGGTCCTGCTACCTCGGCGACTACGTACTCGATCAACTATCTGCGGCGATTGGTATATATAGGAACTTATATGCTATTGGTGGTTCGCTCCTCGTGCATTCACACACAACAGTTCGTACCTCTTCGAACCTGATGATCCGAACAAGCTTGTCAAATGGCTACAGTTGGTGCTGCGACCTGACGCTAGATGCTATAAGAATGAAAGAAGATCAACACAGCCGTAGTGATCGTATGTTGGCAATGTGCTATTTCATGCCGCTTGGTTCTGCGCGCACACCCAAGCAACACTCCCAACCTCACCTCACCGAAATCCAGCTGCAGCATGTCAATGAGTTCAAGTGCACAGATTGCAGACCTCCAAGACGTGTGAGTTTGTTGTCTGGATTACTCGGTTTAGCTACTTACATGTTGCACTTCTCTAGCTTTGAAACAGACTGTATGTGTGTTGCATTCAGCAGTGAGTTTCCCTCGCGGACTGCTTGCGACAACGCGACTGAGAAAGGACAAGCATTGATCTTTTATGATCACATCGTCAACATCGAGGAAGAGACTCAGTTCATCTGGAGAAGAAAATTTAACGGCGCATCTTGGACCCTTCTCGCTAATCGCATACTCCTATTCGTGTACGCGATGAGTCTGTTGGTGCAAGTATTTGACTGGGACACCTACTTGGTACGTGACAACACCCTATTCGTTCCCGTCGAAGACTCATCGTGTGCAAGGGCTGTGCAGCAACTCTCTTTTTGTTCTATGCATCCAATCTCGCGCTGTGTGTGGTCGTTGCAGGTTTTGAGATTTCATCTTCTGGGTTGCGTCCACGCTGACTGATCTTATCAGTGTTCTCAGCCCTCCGGGCATATGCGATCAGCTCCCGAAATGTCTTTGTTGCGCTCTCAGTGTTCTCTTTCGGAGTAGCACCGATACTCATCAACATGGTGGGTTTTTTTTGGTCGGTATGATGCAACTTCTGACCATGCACATACTACAGTACACTATCATTGAATCATCAGACGTATTCGTCGGTTGGATAGGTAATGCTCCTATGTGCTACCAGAACTCCAGATACTCCGTTGGAACGGCTCAGCTGTGAGTCTCGTATCGTCGGTTGTGAAGTCATCTAATATAGTACTGGACGTCAGGTGTGGGTTTCTCGTTTGGCGACCGCATGTGCGCAGTTGACAAGGTTGCTCAGTATACAGCTTAGCTGGCTCGTCTGCGATTTTCTCGGATATGATTGTCATTGGCGCTACGTGGTCCAGGACGTACGCCGCTAGTCGGCAAGCGAGAGTTCACGCTCCGCTCATGGATCTCGTCTTTCGCGACGGTATTCTACAACCTCCATCACGTTGTCCTCACCGCTGATGTGACACTGGACAGGCACGACATATTTCTTGTGAAGCATACATGTCCTTCGTGCCATTGATTAGCTCATTGAGACTCATGTCAGTTTAATGTTGATCCTCAACATCGCACAGACTGGCGTGGCAACCCTATGGTTCGATGACGCGACTGTGAGTGTATTTGGCATGTGTGGCTGAAGCACGGCTGACAAGTATGATGCGCAACGCCAGACAGATAGCTCATATACCTCATACTTCATCATCCCGTGCGTCACAATGTCGCCCGGTCTTCATCCTCGACGTTCACAGGACTCACTACTTTCTTTGATACCACCCCGTTCGCCACTCTTGCGGCGTTGCAGTCTCGGTCCGATACTCATCTCACGCTTCATTCTCCACCTACGCCGGACCAGCCTGTCGCATGAGTCCTCAACACACGAGACATCGACCGCCGAGCCACGGAGCCGCTCGCCTACGATGCATTTCCGTACTAGAACACTCCAACTTGCATCCAGCACAGTCGACGATATGGGCAGCTCGCTTACCTTCATGTCCGGCTTCAGTGGAGATGTTCGCGAGGATGATGCAAATGCAGACGTATCCAACCACGAGCTCAACCCAGCAGTGGGGCTACATGACTTTGATTAAGTCTTCGTACTACGTGGTATCCCCCAATTTATGGTCCGATTCCGATATTCAATGAAACGTGTTAGTGAGACAAATCAACACATGCTCGGTGGGTTTCCAGTCACCATTCGACGTGGAGCACAGAGTTCGGTCGTGAACACGGTGATCGCTCCCTGATTGCGCATTGGTCTCTCCCATACGCTGCTGACGATTGACCATGTATCCGGACATAGCGTGGCTCACTAGCACTTACGAAGTAATGCTGAGAGTGCTACATATGCGTTGTGCGCATCGGTACGTGCCTCGCCTGGACCTCCCTCGCCGTTGTCACGATTATGTAGTGCATTCTTCACTAGTCTCCGACTCTCCGTTGCATATCATGATAACTTAGCCGGCAAGCGTCATTCTTCACCACAGACTAACAGTGTTCTCGGCCTCTTTTGGTATCTCCCTGCTTTAGTCGTGTCACAATGTACTGCGTCCCAGCTTTCGCGGAGGGGGTGGAGTGGACACGGACTTGCTCAGCCCGCAGCAGCTGGTCATTTCGCAAGAAAAGTGCGTTTTATCTATATCTTGTCAACGTGAAGACGTCTCGATGTTTGTGGCGTCTGTTCGTCTGTTCTTCAGCGTTCTGATGATTTGCGTTTGCAGCGCGTCCTCCAATAGGTCTACGCCAGATATGTCATACAAGTCTAGTGTTTGGCAACTCGGCATACCTCAGCAAGTCCATCATCTATAAACTGTGGCTACTGATGCATGCACGGCGACTCCTGGACGCCCAGAATCCCTTCAATATCTGTTTGGGCGTAACGCATGAACTATACAGCATGCACGGCGTTCACCTGTCCCAGTGAAACGACCGTTGTGAGACCGTCAGGGAAACATTCCACATCCAGGCTACTCACCGCGTCTCCGGTGCTACCTGCGCTTGCGAGCCTCTCCGTATTTCTAGGCTTGGACGAGGTGGATTCTTGGTCAACGGCAATCGGAAGTCGGACGCACCCCACCATCGGTTCGTAATTTCCTCCTCAGTTCCTGTTCCATTGCTCACTTGACCCTAGAGCAGACCGTTTGTCATGAAGTTTGCTAGCCTTCGCACGTTCGCCATCGCGGGGTTCGCGACCCTTCAAACCGTCTCCGCTGTACAATGGATTCAGGTGAGTATATGCGGGTGGCGCATCCGGCCTTTGTCCCTGATACGATTTGTCAAATATGAAGTACACCGACGCGAATTGCATCGGGAGCCTCATCGATGTTGGGTCCAACACAGGCGGCGACGCCACATGCATCCAGCAAACCGGCGACTCGATCTATTTCGAGGCGAGCCGCGGCGGTGTCGAGTGTACGATGAACGTATACAACGACCTGGCCTGCTCGCAGTTTGCCTACACCATCGGTGATGGTTGCCAGGACTTTGGAGGGTTCAGAAAGTCCGTCTTGGTCACTTGCTAAGGGTCATGCATGTATGATTTGGCGAATAACGCCTTCTGAAGGACGCCGGGGATACCTACGACGCAACACCATGTCAACTGGCATAATCAAGATTTCCACCACGTATCAGAGTTATAACACAATAGTAGACGGGACAGGCGAGTATGAAGCTCCCACATTGATGACATGTGGCGTGAAGCAGAGTTCCTAGCATAGCAAATCAACGACGCAGTGATGTAGACACCAGAATTCAGCATGACCCTCTTACGAAGCCATGAACGTAGTAGAGATATTACTCTCCTCATCAACCTCCATGGCGCCCGCAATTCCGATCATCTTCTCCGCGACCATCGCCTTCGTCGCCGCCCTCCTTACTTTCTTCGCCTCCCGCTTCAGCACACGCCTGCTCAGCGGGTTCGCGCTCGCCATCGAGCGCCGCGCGTGCTCCTCCACTGGTGCATCATATGTGGGTACATCATGCGATTTCCTCAGGCGCTTCGGCTGGCGTTCGCCCGGGTCCCGCACGCCACTCGCCACAGTCGACGCGGGCGACGGCGAGCGGGAGCGCTTGCGCGGTATCGCGGGCGCGAGGTCGTCCTCGTCCATCTGCTTCCCGTCCTCATCCATCACATCGACGACCTCCTCCGGCTCGAGCTCCATCGCGTCCGGTCCGGGGACCCCGCCGAACGCGCCCGCGTCCGCCGCGCCGAAGAGCCCGTCGAGTGTGAACGGCTTAGCGAACTCCGTGACGATCTGCGCCTGGCCGACGGACTCGGCGCCCGGCGCGACGGTGCGCTCGCCGCCCTCGACAATGGTCGAGGGGATGAGCGAGGGGTGGACGTCGGGCGGAACGGAGCAGTAGGGAATCTTTTGGTGATTCCAGTCGGTCAGGACTGTGCGGGCGGCGGAGAGAATGTCGGGCGTGCCGCCTTTGAGCAAGCGGCCGGTTGTCAGCGCGAGCATGGTGAGGAACTGTAGTGTCGGGCCAATCTCAGGGATGTTGTAGATTTTCTTGAGCGTCTCAGTATCTGTCCGACCGAGAATCTCTTCCACTACAGAGAAACGAGCAGTATTAACGAATCGCCCTCGGAATTGCAGGCGAAGAAATTCCTACCTAGAGCAATGGGGTCGTCGATGTCTTCGACTTTGATGACGTTGCGCAGTAAGACGTTACTCCTCGACTTGCTCTTGCCATCATCGAAGTCATCCTCATCAAAAACAACACCAGGCGAGTCGATCACCTTCAAGCCTCGCTCCAGCTGTATGGTCTGCAGCTCCTTTGTGTGGCCAGGCTGCGCGGCGACCGGGCAGACCTTTGCCCGCCTCAGAGTGTTGATCAAGCTGCTCTTACCGACGTTCGGGTAGCCGACGACTCCGACGGTGACAGTCTGAGCAGAACTGGGTTTGTATGCCTTGAGTAGGCGAATGAGAGCGGGTGCGGTGGGCGAAGAGAGCCTCGATCGCTGATTATTTGATGCGGACTTGAAGGGAAGGGTGGGCGTGGTATGGCGGAGGTAGCGCAGCCAAGCTTGCGCATTGTCACGGGGAACGAGGTCTGACGCAGCTGAGCACGGCAGCTAGACACCAAGAACTAGAGATACTCACCGATTTTGTTGAGAACAAACACCAGTCTTTTGCCTTCGCTTTCTCGCCGCCGCACCTCTTCTTCCACCAGCCTACTCCTGCATCCCTCCGGGTCGCGGGCATCAAGCACCATCACGATGATGTCCGACTCATCGATGACTTTGTGCAGGGCTCGTATGTAGTGTCTGCGGATTTGCTCCTTCGTCTTCGCTAAGCCACTCGTGGATGAGGACGGATCGCTGAACGCCAGGTCGTCCGATGGTATTGCGGCTTCCGCCATGGCAGCTAGAGACGACAGAGTAGGCTCCGTTGCCATCTCTGCATCGCCGTCCGTTCTGCGTGGAGGGATGGGGTGCTGCCGGGCTTCGTCAATCCAAGGGGCACAGCGGGTAAGATGAGGCTTTACTCACTGGATGTACCTTTTCCTTCTCCGCATTTCGTACCTTCAGACTAGGTAGACGCGGTATTCCAGGGTCCTTCTTCAGCTCTGCTCGCGCGAAAAGACGTGAGATGGACATAACGTTTGTCAAGCGAAATACTGACTGCTTTTGAGGGGAACGTCGACCTTGCGGTTCTCTGAGTAGCTTTTAATTGAGCAGCGGAAACAAGTAAGATGAAAGGTACGGACTGTTTCTGCCCATCGTTATTGAATTTTACTACTTCCGCGATGCGTGTAGCGCGAGCAAGAGCGACTGAGTTGAGGGACGAGGATACAATTTGGGCTTGAGGCGATCTTTGCACACATGCGGCAGCACGGGATCACTACTTTCCTGATTTGGCAACAAGTCGAGCGATTGCTCACTGGGCTCAAGCGCTCAGGCTCGCCGCTCGCTTGTACTTGTACCGCCACGTAGCTGCTCAGCCGCTTCACTGAACTTGCTACCAACTAATATCGAGCGATGGGAATTTACGAAATCTACGTATGGCTCAACGCAGATCCTACGATTCAGCTCAAGAGTTACTTACCGTGAAATGCAACTTGGAGACTCCAGCAAGGCTCTAGCAATCCTTTCGGTCCATCATGAGGTTTATTCTGATATTCAGACCCTCTTCCAGTGATTGCGTCGAAAGCTTCTCTTCCGGCTGCGGATGACAACAACACGCCGACTGCTTCAAGTTTTATCGTGAGTCTGAACGCCGCCGCATGAAGTCTTCCTCTGAGAATCAAGTTGATGGTCAACGGCCCGTACCTGGTATGAATGGGCTACTACAGTATCATTAGATTGCTGCACACTCAAGCCTTCAGAATATCCAACCGGTACGCAGCTCGTGTCGGGAACGACAACCACAACCACCAGAACGCAGATCTCGGCAATATCCGCCAGATTCAGGACTTGCCAGTGGTTGCCCCGGAACCGCTGTGCCTGTTGCTCTCGCTAGCCTCGACCTTTAAGTTTCACCTTTCCCTCGACCACATCCAAGCCGCGACAGTACCCACTTCGCTCCTACAGCCCCAGGATCTGCTCCAGAGCACTGTCTAGACCGCGTGGCGATATTGCGACACCTCTGGGCGCAAGCGGCATCTTGCATTCACCTGGACAATCGGTGCCGCGGTTTGGGGACTCACTGGCACCTAGGCGTACCCATGCCGTGCCCATAAGTACGAAAAACTATCCCCTGCATTGAGTTGTTCCGGACGCTAGCACAATCGACCACGTGTACTTGCATCGCGCAGCCCTGACACGACAACAGGTTGGTGTACACCGTGTACATTCGTATACGCATTGTGCGTGTGCGTTCGTCGGGTCTGTCATCCATCTCGCCCGGACGTAGCTCGGTTGGACATGCAGCACGTCCTTGGCATCCTCTCCATTCCTTTCCCCTTCATCGGTGGGTCCAGGCGACACGGTACTACAGCATTGGCACCTCGTACAGCACAGAACGTACTGAACTACGACCTCTGGTACAAAATCGCGACCTACCTCTCAGTAGAAGATGCGCGCACTCTATCAACGGTCTCCCGCGAATGCCATGCAGCGGCTGTTCGACACTCCCTGTCGTTCGTCAAGCCAACGGATAAGGCCCAACTGCAAAAGCTCTGCTCCTCTCTGTCTAATGCCGTATACTATCCCTCATCACTCTTGCATGAGCTGCAGATAGGGCGCGAGGCTCTAGGGGCGCTATCCTACTCCACCGTCTGGGTACCGCATCATTTCGATACGGCGTCACCCATCCCCGGTGGACTCGCGGACCTCCTGGGGCGGACAGTAAACTTGCAGGTCCTGTCGCTCCATTGCGCAGAAGGCCTCATTGAGGCCAATCCTAGTGTCGGGGACGCACTCGCACGGCTTGAATGGCTTGACTGCCTAGAGCTCATGGACATCGGCGAGAAGACGTTCGCCGTCACGATGCGGATGGCCAGTCGACCCACACAGTTCACTTTGTCATACGAGACCCGCAAGTCTTCCGCCAGCGACCTTCTCACTTTAACACAACTGCCCCTCCTGGGGCGCGTGCGCACCCTTGGCCTTCACGGATTCGTGTTCAACAACGCCCCAGTCAATGCAAACCTCACCGGCGCCGACCTCATCCGACCCTGGCCAGCTGTGCAGGACCTGCGCCTCTCGTTCTGCGCGTGGCTCCCCTTCTACCAGCTCTTCCCCAACCTGCGCAACCTCTCGATGTTGCGGGTCTGCGGGATGCCCAAGACGGACATGGACTTCGTGCGGTGGCCGTCGACAGTGCCCCTGGAGCATGTCGTCGCGGACCAGCACAACGTGCGCTGTATCATGGGCACCCCTGTGCGGTGGCTCGACATCCAGACGTACTTCACAGACAGCGATGCGACGCTCCGCGCAATACACGAGACCACACCTGTCGTGTTGTCCATGTTATGCACCGAGTTTGAAATGCACCACAGCGAGTTCTGGGAGGGCTTAGTTGCTACAGCGACACTACCACGGTCGCGACTGCGGTATCTGATGCTAACGCTCAAGTGTGTCCAAGCAGACGCTCTCCGATGGCTGGTAAGTCCGCAGTGCGAGACCTGTCTGTCTACCCTTTCAAATGACTGAGTGATCCCTGGTTCGCTAGAAAGACATGGCCCCGCTCCTCGCAGCGACCCGCCTACTCAGCATCCGCCTCATCGTCGTCGACGTAGGCTCGCTTTCCCAGGTCCAGGAGCAGCAGCACTACGACGCCGAAACTGGGGTAGCCCCGGCCGTATGGCACGGCGACCCGCTTCGCGTTCCGTCCTACTGGCAAGATTTCTTCCGGATGGCACAAAGCTCACTCGCGGGCGCGATACCGTCGCTGCGCCTCTTGTCGATGCTTTACGTGGCTAGACCGAACTTACCCCTGCAGATCCGATATTGTGATGACTACGACGGGGAGTTCTCGTGGTGGCGCGTGGCAGAGGGCGAGGGCGATGAATACCGCACAGTTGACGCTATGCCTCTGGATATTGGGGAGGCGGTTCATCGACATCTTTTGTCCGGGGAGTTCGAAGAGAGACTGGATTTTGATGGTGATTTTGTTCGTGATATCGCATTGGGATAACGGCTGACCCGTTATGTTCTAGGTGAGATGCTAACCCTCGGGCGGGCGGAGTGGACTGCTTGACATCTGGGCATCCCAAGCGCTTGTACATCTCAATGCAGGTAGACCACGATCTGACGTTGTCACCTTCGTTGCTCAGTGAATGCGACTGCGCTAACATAACGAATGCTCCTGTCAACCAATGCGACGTTCGTTGCCTACGGGGCCTGTATGATTCTCCATGCTCGTATTGCGTCGAGACGTTCCCCATGCTTGCATATAAACAGGCCCCTCACACGCGTTTCGTAGCTGTCACCTAGGCGGCGATGACCGAGGACGCCGCGCTGCTAACAACCGGTGATGTATGGTCGGCCGCCTGATGGTCTGTGTATACCCAACGATGCATGAGTGCATGTTCCTCGTGCGAAGACATGAATTGACACCGCAGTACTTGCAGGGCGCTTTAAAATCCTTCTTTTGGTTACCACCATACCGTGGCTTGCACTCGAAGACATGTACAGTAACACGGAAGCACCAGTGTCGGGAAATCCTGTATCGCGGACAGACCGGAACCTGTTCTAATGTAAAGTAATATGGCTTCCGAACGTCAGTTATGTCACCAACTATCACGATATCAATCACTTGCCATTCTATGGTCTTCGGTACTTGGGTATGCTTCTGTGCGAGGACTCATTCTGATGTTTAGGCAAGGTTTAGAAGACCAGAACCCGAGCTTTTCAGAGATACCACGAATAGTGTTACTGCGTGGCAGAGACGCGGTGGGTGGACCCTTCTTGCTTCTTACCTTCACTGTCGACAATTTTCCCACGGTCCCGACCTCCTAAGGGGTGAGGCAGACGGACGTGCGGACGACCTAAGGAGCTATATAGACTCTCTAAGGCAATAGACTAGTACTCCCTGAGTGTCTAGTCCTACTCGATGTCGCAGTCATCGAAGAAAACACCGGCGTCGAAAGACGCTAAGTCGGCAGGGACACGTAGCGCCAGCCTCCGACCAGGCGGCTCGCCAGCTAAGTTCGACGACTCGCCGGACATGGTTAGCAGCAGGAAGAAAGTGGACACGTACGAGAAGGCCTATGCCTTGCTACGTAGCAAGGACTGGATACCTGAGGAAGACCGCCCGAACCTAGACTCGATGGCGAGCGGCCTGCTGCACCTGGCTGGGCACGCATCGGCACCGGTACGGGAGGCCCTCTGCGCCTTCGCGACTTACACCAAAGCCATTTCGGACGACCAAACCTCCAACGCCCTACTCGCAAAACTCGGACCGACGATCGACAAGATAGCGGAAGCTACGCGAACTTGGGCGGAGGAAACCGAGGATGAGGAGCAGCGCAAGGCAACGGAATTAGAAGGGGTGATGGGCAGGCTGGTGGCCGAGGTGAGCAAATTATCGGACAGTCAGGCCCGTCTTGTGAAAGAGATGGAATCCATGGGGAGGATGCGTACGGAGTTCCAGGAGGTGATGCAGAAGACAGCGACAGCGACAGCTGCAGCACCTCCACCGGCGGACCACCGCCACTGGGGCGAACCGCCGGAGGATGGCGAGATACAGGATAATGACCAGAGGCGGTCCTACGCGGACATGGCGCGTCGCCAACTCCCTAGGGAGCACGCACCGACGATCGCGCGGCAGGAGAGGAACGCACGCCAAGTACTGGTGGATGTGAAATCCCGAGCGGATGCTGAGGGAAACCCCCTCACGGAGCAGGAGCTAGTCGAGAAGGCGAACCGCGCTCTCGAATTGATGAACAAGGACCCGGCAACGTACCCTGAAGGGGAACGCTTCACCGCGGTGAGCAAACTCAGGGAAGGCGGTCTCCTATACGAGACGTCGAGTGCGCGAATGGCCAAGTGGCTGCTGAAGACGGATAACATGGGCTCGTTCACGAAGAGCTTTGGCTACGAGGCGGTGATCCGGGAGAGGGGTCACCTAGTCTTCTTCAGAAACGTCCCTGCTTACTTCCTGCCCAGCGAGCAGGCCTATCGCTCGCTCGAGAAGGAGAATGACTGGGCTACGCGCAGCCTAATGACGTGCCACTGGATAAAACCAGTCGAGAAACGGAAGCGGGGGCAACTGACTGCCCACATGCTTGTTAAGTTCCGCACGCTCAAGGCGGCAAACGCGGCGCTAATGTACGGGGCTACGGTCTTGGGTCGCAAGATCAAAACCGAGAAGCAACCCAAGGAAGCGAGGCGCTGCCTCAAGTGCCAGAGATTTGAGCCGAGTCACCTCGCGGCGCACTGTCGCGGTGACGACACCTGCGGTACTTGTGCTTCGACGGAGCACAAGACGCAGGACTGCACGGCCACTCCTGTGGAGTGGAAGTGCGTGAATTGTGACGAGAATCACAATAGCCACGCCTCCTGGGACAGGTTATGCCCAACCTTCATCCGTGCTAGCCAGAGGTTGCAACAGGCTGACCCGACGAGCAAATACCGTCTGTTTCCTGATCTCGAAGACCCAACTACATGGGAGCTCCGTACCGAAATGACTGACTGGGAAACCTTCGCTGCGGCAACGGCTCCCCGGTCAGCCAGGCCTCCCCTCAGACACACGCCACCTTCCCAAGGTGTGGTGTCAGATGACTGGTACCGAGACGTGACGAACGTCCTTGACCCACCCAGAGTGGAACGCCCGAGGTCCCCGAACCGAGGACGTCCTGCCCTATCATCCGCAAATGCGGTCCCCGTTGCTACTGATCGCTCACGCCCTCAGACGCGCAACTTCCGACGCGATCCGAGCGGGAAACGACAGTCAACGTTGACGAAAGAAGGCGGGTTTGGACGGCGCTCACCATCAACGGCACGACCCAGGCCTCGGCAGTCAAACAGTAGCCAGGAACTATGGGACCACTATGATGAATGACGACACCAAGACCTTGAAGATCTGCCAGCTGAACGTCAACAAGTCGAACACCGCCCAATCCGCCCTTCTCCACAGCATAGATGACTTCGACATCGTCGCCCTTCAAGAACCGCACATCGACTTCTTGAAGAACACCCGCGCATCACAAAACTGGGTAGTGATCTACCCAAGTGGACACAAGGATAGCGACGCTACGTCCCGCTCGCTAACCTTAATCAATAAGCGTGTCTCCACTAACAGTTGGACAGCGATCCCAATCCGCTCAGCGGACATCACTGCTCTCACTATCCGTACCTCCACCACACTCCTGCACGTCTTCAACATCTACAACCCGCAAGACAGTGAGCTGGCGCAGGCGTGTCTAGCTCGAGAGACAAGGAAACTGCTTCGGGACGAAGAGGACGAGGACGTCCAAGTCCTCTGGCTTGGCGACTTCAACCGACACCACCCGCTGTGGGACGACGAGCGAAACATTCACCTGTTCACCGACCAGAACCTGGACCGAGCGGAGAAGTTGATTGATCTGCTAAGTGCTTTCGACCTTCACATGCTCCTACCCGAAGGGCTACCCACCCTTGAAGCGTCAAACACTAAAAACCTTACCCGTCCAGATAACGTCTTTGCGACCAAAGGGCTGGCCGACAGCCTGCTGGAATGCACGACGGCAATGGACCTCCGCCCTCCCTGTACCGACCACTTCCCCATCATCACCACCCTTCAGCTGGATCTCCCTCGCTCAACACCGAAGACGTTTCGGAACTTCCGCAAGGTCGAATGGCCCGAGTTCAGAACGAAGTTGGTGATCCGTCTGCAGGAACTCCCAGACGTCGAGAGGGGCATACCCACGAAGGAAAGATTCGACTTCGTCCTAGACTCCCTGATGAATGCGCTGACCGAGACCATCGAGGAGACAGTGCCCGTGACTAAACCTCCCCCATTCGCCAAGCGCTGGTTCTCGAAGGAGCTGAATACTGTGCGACGACAAGTCGGACGGCTGGGACGACAGGCCTGGAAGCTCAGAGAGTTCCCAAACCACCCAGTCCACAAGGAGTACCGCTCTCTCCGCAACCAGTACGGCGACCAGATTCGGTCGGCCAAGCGCGCCCACTGGGACGCATGGCTGGAGGAGGCGGACACTCGCTCAGTCTGGACGGTCGGGAAGTACATCCGGGCAGGCTCTTCTGATGGCAGCAAAAGCAGAATCCCGCCCCTCCGACGCCCAAACAGCACGACACTGGAACGGGATAACGAAGCGAAGAGTAGAATCCTCTACGAAACCTTCTTTCCCCAGCCTCCTCCAGACATCGAGATCCCAGCTGACGAACCCTTTCCGCCAGATGCGTTCGGTTTCGCCAACGTCTCCGATGCGCAGATCCATGACGCGTGCAAACGCCTAAAGGAGTTCAAGGCAGCAGGACCTGACGGGATTCCAAACGAGGTATACAAACGGTGCGCAGACTTACTCATCCCAATTTTGGGTCCTCTGTTCCGTGCTACGTTCGATCTCCAACATTACCCGGAGAGGTGGAAGCAGTCCATCACAGTCGTGCTCCGGAAACCCGGGCGGACTGACTACTCTATTGCCAAGTCCTATCGCCCCATTGCTCTCATGAACTGTATGGGAAAGATCTTATCGTCCTGCGTGACAGAGACAGTCGAGTACGAACTCGAGCGGCTTGGCCTGTTTCCCAAACATCACTTTGGGGGCCGGGCCGGCCGAACTACGACAGACTCACTTCACCTTCTGTCGAAGACAGTACATGACGCCTGGCGTTCCAAGAAGGTGGTCTCCATATTGTTCTTGGATGTGGAGGCCGCCTTCCCAAGCGCAATCCCTGAGCGACTATTCCACGAGATGCGCAAACTGGGCATACCAGAGTGCATCGTCGGGTGGCTTCGACGTAAGCTGCACGGGAGACAGACCAAGCTCTCATTTGACGATTTTGTATCTGAGCTCTTCGTGATACTCAGCGGCATAGACCAGGGGTGCCCCCTCTCCGTACTGCTCTACAAGATTTACAACCTGCTGCTACTCGAATGCGTAAACGAGCGGAACGGGGAGATGGCATTGGGTTTCATTGATGATGTTGCTGCGCTCACAATCGGGAAAGATCTGAAGAGCACTACGAAGGCTCTCAAGAGCTACATGGAACGCCGTGGCGGTGCCAAGGAGTGGTCACGCACGAGAAACTCACGTTTCGAGGTGTCCAAGCTCAACTTGGTACATGCAGACCACAAACTCGCTGCAGATGACATGGGACCGCCCCTTGTGCTAGAGGATGGCACGGTCCAGCCTACCGACGCCGCGAAGTTCCTTGGCGTGTGGATAGACCGAAAGTTCCGGTTTAAACGGCAGGCTGAGTATGCCCTGAAGAAAGGGACCACCTGGCTGATGCAGTTTGGACGCCTCGCGCGCCCCAAAGGCGGTATATCCCTGCGACATGTCAAGGCCCTGTATCAGCAGATGCTTCTACCAGGCATGCTATACGCGGCGAGCGTGTGGATCACCCCACAGCGCCGCGTCGAAAACTACAAACGGCTGTACGGATCGGTTGGAGTGATCCGCAAGCTTGCGCGGGTGCACCGACAAGCTTGCATTATGATGACTGGGGCGATGAGAACGACGGCAACAGACGTTATGGAAGCGCACCTTAACATTCTCCCTTTCCACTTGCTCGTTGATAAGATGGTGATGCGCGAGGCCTCTAGGTTATGCACACTGCCGACCACACACCCCCTCCACCGACATGTCCGAAAAGCTGCCATATGGGTCCAGAAACATCGCAGCCCACTCCATGAAGTTCTGGCGGCCTACGACCTGCGACCGGAGGAGATTGAGACGATAGAGGCGACTCGCCTTCCCCCCGGCTGGCGATCGCCGTTCCCACTATCCATGGCGGAGAACAAGGAGGCGGCTTTAGAGGAAGAGGAGAAATGGGCTTACAAGCCGGGACCCCACGTCTACACTGACGGCTCTGACTTGGACGGAGGAGTGGGAGCTGCAGCGGTACTCATACGGCCAGGACACGACACCAAGGTCCTGCGATACCACCTCGGACGCGCGACGGAACACACGGTCTATGAAGCAGAGATCGTTGGCTTAGTCCTGGGAGTGACCCTCATCGCGCGCGAGCTCAACGCCAGGGTCGCCTCCTGTGCCGCCGACAACACCGCATGCCTACAAGCCACGCAGAATCGCAAGCCGCACCCGGCGCATTACCTCATCGACAGACTCCTCGGGGAGGTAGACAAACTCCAGAGACGTCACCCCGGCATCAGATTCACGTTACGATGGGTGCCAGGGCACAAGGGAGTGGAAGGAAACGAGCTTGCAGATGCAGAGGCAAAGCGAGCAGCGAGAGGAGAAGGGAGCGAGGAGAACCAATTACCGAGATGGCTGCGGAACAGCCTACCGGTCAGCCTCTCGAAAGTGCGGCAGACGCTGAACGAGCAACTCCACAACCAGGCGAGGGAGGAGTGGCGAGCCTCCCCCAGAACGGAGAGAATGGACAGGATCGACCCCGACCTGCCCTCACGGAGATACGGGAAGTTAGTCGAGCAGCTACCGCGCCGACACGCGAGCATACTCTTCCAGTTGCGAACAGAACACGCCCCACTACAGCAGCACCTCCACCGTATCCAACGAGCCGACTCACCTACCTGCCCGAACTGTGACACCGCCCGCGAAACGGTCTATCACTTCCTCCTCGAATGCCCGGCGCACGATGACCACCGCGCGAGGCTAGCGCACGACCTTGGACCCGCCGTTGCGGGGTCGATCCGCCACCTTCTATCCGAGCCGAAAGCGTTGAGCCCGCTATTCCGCTACATCCACGCTACAGGCCGCTTCGCGGCCACGTACGGCGAGCTCACGCTGCGAGACAGCGAACGGAAATGATCGCCTACGGCGATCAACTGCTACGACACCCACACCACCTACTATACCCTGTCTCATACTGTACTAGTACCCCCTATCTCGACGGTGCTCGAGCATACACAGCGATTCATTAGACGACCAACGGACTCTACATTATGTACATCTTATGTCTACATAGGGCTACGCCCTCAGTGACAATAAAGGGAACAAACAAACAAACAAGAGACGCGGTGATATGGATTGAGTTTCAGTTCACTGACTCGAATCGTACCAACGGGGTGCCGCCGGTTCTTGCCACTGGACAGTGGGTAGGACGGGTATCTTTCGGACCCTCGCGCACCTTTCGCTTTCTCCATGTCCTTGCTAGCTTGTGCAAAACTCGGTTCATGGGCCGCGGGACGTCGGTTATGCCTTCTACGCATCAAGGCCGATGGATGGAAGCGGCCAGCATGGTCATCGTGAAGTGCGAGAGGGCCTGCGCGCGCTGTCAATGAGTAGCACTCGTTGCGCGCGACCGTCAGTACCTGGTCGGAAGTTCAGTACGTCTCGTATCCGCTCGCCCAATCGCGAGCTGAGGATTTTGAAGATGGGGTGACGCCTTGTATGTGCCGATATCATGTCGCGACTAAACATTGCTGATCGTGAAGAAGACGCAGTGGGGCCATGCAGAGAACGGGAAACAATCATGGCATGCAGGAAACCATGCCTTCGTCAATGAGACAGTCACGCAGAGGAAATGGACGACGCACCTGCCGCATGTTTCGTGCAGATTGACGATGTCAGTCACAGCTTTGGGTCTGCACACATGGCTCCGCCAGCTTCTGCGGGACGTAGCCTCCTTGGTCCACTTGATGTTAAGTTAGTTCGGGCAGACCAGTACATCGAGCTCGGGTCTCGGGTCTCGAGACGTTGTGACAATGATCGTCTGGTCTTGAATACCAGCCATTAAGTACTCGTTGTCAAAGTGCGTTTTCGGGTCTACACAGCAACAGTCGAGCGATGTTCAGAGTCGGCAGACAAGTGAGTGACCGTAGTACGCACCGGCCTGAGCCTCATCGAACGTCAAGTCGCTCCCCAAGATCTGTGCCTCCTTCCTCGACCCCGTCGGAAGAGCCTTACCTGCTGCGAGGGCATCCTCGAGCTTCTGCTTCCGCTCGTGTGTCTGTCATTCTTGAGCCCCTAGAGACTTGACATACTAGGTGTACTGGCGACGCTCACGGGATTGCCGGCGAATGTAGCGTGAAGTCGACGGCTCGAAGCAGGGCCCGACGGCAGCGTGCTAAGTACGGTGTTTTGTTCGAGCGTTCATTTTCCGTTGCCGTACCTTGTTCTCAAGTCTTCTGGTCCGCCACGAAACAAAGCGAGACACCAGTGTGGTTGACGGCGTCGATTCATGAGCAGGCTGATTATGGTCACGGCGGTCCAGGTCCTTGTGGCTTATATAGGCGCCGGTGAATTACGTAACATGATCTTTGCGGCGTGCCGCGCGAATGTTCAACTTGCCGGTGGCACAAGCGCCCATCCAGTCGAGCCCCGGTCTGCCGCACAACTCCTCCTCCTCCTCCGTTCATACTTCGTCTATACTGCTTATTTCCGCAGCACATACATCATGTCTGATCAATTGCACAGTGACCTGACCCAAGGCATGAGTCGTGTCTGTTCGACGGCATTTGGAAGACTTCCAAATGCCATCGAACAACAACAACAAATGGATCGAAGGCATGATGAGCTTATGGCGTCCATTGCGAGGCTCGAGAACAACCTGGTTGGGCGGATCGAAGATTTAGGAGAGAAGATGCAGAGAGGTCAAGAAGAGTTACGGAGGGAGATGCAGAGAAGCCAAGAAGACTTACGGAGGGAGATGCCGAGAAGGGACGTCCTGTAGGTTGTTGAGTGCTTTATTTGTGACAACTAGTAACGTGTTTGCAGTCTTCTAGTGAAGTTGTCCAACTTCTTTCTCCCTGTGAACAAGGCCTTGAAGTACCCGTCTGACCTCCCCGAAGGCGTCCAGCGTCCAGACCAGCCCGGTGGTATTCTTCCATACACAAAGGCGGAATTGTTGGCGTTCTCAGGTGAAGCACTAGTGACCTGGTCTTGTCACTCACTCGCTTACACGTCTTTTAGATGAACAAGCTGCCACTGCATCCCAAATGCTTGGGCTTCCTGCTCTGCCGGTCGGGAGTCGTGCTGACGCCAAGAAGAAACAGTTGGCGGAGTTCTTTGGTGTTCATCCGGATATTCTCATGTAACATTGTTGATTGTGACGCTTGGTAATGCACTCGGCGAGCCTCGCATCGTCATGAGCCTCGGTCCAAGCTTAGTGAACACAGCAACCCTCAATGTCCCGAATGAAACATGATCTGTATACGTTTTCCAATCATATCCTAGGCCTCGGCAGACTCGCACCTGTTCTCGTCGCGCATGCACTTCATCCCGAATCTCAAGCGGACAATATCCACCCACCCTACATGCGGTTCCGTTCAACCGTCGCACGGGATGGCTTCAGACAGAGACACGTCTGGCCGCGGCCGGTTCAACCGATCGCTCGTGTTCGCGCCGGGAATCGTCAGGGATATGAGCGGTTCTCTCAGCTTCGGCTCTGCGGCGACGACCGTCAATTCCAATACGGGTACCTATCTGGATGGTGAAAGGCTCTCCGACACGGATTCGGATGAAGCACTGGAGGGCGAAACTATACCTGCGGTTGAGGAAGTAGAGCTACAGTAGTACTTAGACGTGCCTTGATGATTGCCTTCCAATTGTCAGGCTAAGGCTGGGCTCGGCGGAATACGTGAGTACAAGCACACTTCAATGCGAATGACTTCGCAACTGGTACATCGCGACATCCCCTCGATAGCTTGATTTCTGCGATTCCTGTCCCCCTAGATATCTTTGCTTTTGACGAGGTCTCTGATGACCACCAACGTGTGCTCGATAGTCTCGAAGCCAAGCTTCTCTCTTTCCTTCTCCTCCTTCTCTGCCTCGGCACCCTCATCGAGCGGTCCATTCGGTCCCCACGCAAAGGCGAAGGTCAACAGCAGTTCGCCATCAGGCAGAGTGCTGATGAGGTTGGTGATGTGCGCGAGCTGTTCGCCCGTCTTGGGGTGGAACATCGTGAACGTCACCTGTAAACGGCATTCAGCCTGAGCATCGCAGACTCCGAGCTGACGACCCAGTGATAACCGACCTGTTCCGAAGGGAAGTACTCAACATTCTCGTGTACGGACTCCGGCTTGTTCTTGAACTGGACCTCGCGCAGAAGCCCTGTCGTATGCTCGTTCAGGACGTTGCAGTGCTCAATGACAGCCACGAATCGGCTGGGTAGAGGTATGAGTACTCTATGGATGAGAGTTCGGAATGCTCGACCTACATCGGATCGCGCGCCTTGACTTTCAGTCCGGCGTACACTTGCTCCTTCGTTAGTCGGAGAGGCTCATCTGTGTTGTTCACTGGGCGTGTTACGGCTACAAAGCGCATACTGATGGAGTGACCTGTTCAGGGTTCACAAGCTCCTTTGTGGCTCGATCGTGGTCGTATGTAACAAGTGGAAGCAAAGTGCGTTCATTTCAAATGATGGTGGGCGATGGAGTGCGGCCGGAGGGTCATACTTATGGGGGTAAGTTGCGTCACGAAAGGCGTTGTGGCGCAGGACCTAACCGCGTTTGACGGACCGTCACTTCGCCGACTCGTACCCTCAGGCTCGTACCTAGTCTCCGTTGCATACCATACTAGCCGGCAAGCGTCGCTCGTACCAACGATTTGACACTCTGTTCTTGACCAGGTTGCCGGTTATTACCCCACGTGGATCTATTAGTCTAAGTATAGCTAAGTTAGTTAGTGCTGCCGCGCAGGTACGATAGAGGAGCAGGCAGACAAGTCCGGAAACTATTCAACATGAACTGGAGACAGCCACCGGCAGCGATTCTTCCACAATATTGTCCTGGCTGTCATCTTGCTGTGACCCCTGCTCATCATAGCTTTGCCACACTTCCGCCTCACTATCGAGTAGAGTCGTTGAGAACAACGCGGAAAGTCCGCCGTCATCCGTCGAACCACCCATACACCCGACAATATCGAATCGTAGGATGTCATGACTCGGATCCCTCTCTACTGCGCCTTCGCGTTGTACGAATGACGGATCTGTGTCGCAATGTGCGGAGGTTTTGATGTTTTGAAGGTTCATCAGGAATCGGGATATCAGGATAGAGGGGAACCTATTGATTGGTTGTTCAAATGTGAGCGGGAGGCTGTGCACTGCTAACCACGAAAAAATGACGGCTCGTACATTGTGATAAACTCCGAGACGACACTGAAGAATGGCTGTAGCAATCGAAGAAAAGTTCAGAAAGAGCGTGAATCCATTTTTCAGGTCGCTTACCCCCTCTGACAATGATAATGCTATATGTATGGCATTCAGCGAGGCGAGCAACCTGTGATCCTCCATCAGGGAGATACATTGTACAAATAACGGCGACAAACAGGAAGTAGACGATTCCTTGATCAGGGTCAGTCTATGAATGACCAGATACAAAAGGCATGCCGACTTACCATCATTTAGCAGAAGCGTAACCAATGCCGGGGTCATACCGGCCTGCCTCGCGGCTGTCATGATTGGCCATGTCCTCATGCAGGTTATCATTATGACGATGAGGTCGGCAATGATTGGAAAGGCACGGGACATTGTGACCACTGTTTTGGGTCCAGTCAGCATTAGGGTAACCACGGGCTGCAGAGACGCACTTCTGCAGAGATGAGAATGTTAGATTGGATAGCTCGCCAGTCGTCAGGCACTCGGCACTCACTCTTCCCATCCACGATCAGATATACTGTTGTAGTTCCCACATTCAGGATAAGGACCGACCCATACCACGTCATCGTAGGACGTCTGGGAGAGGTTGTACTACTCTGTTGTTGAGCGACGGGGACAACAGTATTGGCGAATAGAAACTCACAATGCCTGCGATTACAGGAGCTAGCCCAAGAACGAGGACAATGATCGCGACCATGGCCCTTTGGCCATTGATAGCATAGACTCGCAACGCTGCGAACGCTGTCATGCAAAGGTCAGGAGCGAATTCAGCGATCCAATGAAGTGAACTAACCAGCTGTCAAGGCATACAGCATTAGTTGTAAGACGTCATATAGCACGGACATCGCTTCGCAACTGTGGAACACATTCGGAGGGTTGCATCAAAACGTCCAATTCGTACCACGAAGAGAATTACGTACCCCTAAGATGCGCATTCGTCAGTCCTATAGTGAAAGTGCGCACGAGACGAGTCTCACCATACGCGTATCCCATGAAAAGACATAGATAAGGTTTTCCGCTCCGAATAGGAGGAGCAAATAGCGATTGAGCAGAAACAGCAATACCGCCCCAGAATACTTGCGGGTGTGTAGCAGATGCGTTTCCTTGGATATCGTGATGACATGTTCGAAGATTACGAGAGCTTGCAAAGTGTCTCAGTTCGCATCACAACGCAGAACAAGGGTGACATTGATCCCACACCTGTTATCGACAACTGGCAGTAGTTGTTTAAATATCTGAAGAAACGTCAACAACGCATCGATCTAGCAGCCAATACCAGAGAACACATACGTTGCCTGTAGAAACGCAATCTCCTGAGCTTGCGCATCCATGGTCGTCGCAAAGAAGTTCGACGTTAGCCACTCGAACGCTCCTCTGTTGAAGCGCGAAGGCGGCAGACCTTTATATTCTACATTGACAGCGGCTACAGTGCCCTTCACTACAGCGGAAGCACGGCCAAGAGATCCCTATGTGCCCTAGCAAACGTTGGCAGCCCCATTGATCGGGAGGCCAGGCTCCTGGCTTCTGGAGTCTGGACGACTGTTCTGTCAATCATTGCTCCTGATGAACGCTGATCAACGTTCGACACTGGACATTGGCCGCCCAGGGATTGGCGTGAGTGTGGGCGCTCATTCCTATGCAGTGCATGTACACACACCCTCCGAAGCGCACCTCCGAAGCGCACCTCTGAAGCAATGGCAATGGATGACGGTATACGATAGCAGTCCTCAGGCCTGAGGAGCTATGGGCGCTCGATTCTGCGCTGGTTACGAGCGCATGGTCGGGATCATTACCGAGAAGGTTTGTGATGCGATGTAATTTGCTTTGACTTCCAAAGGTAGCTCGAGCCAATGTTCATATCCACTGGTAAAATGTTAAGGACAGAGCATCAGACGCCGAAGGTAACTCAGCTTTTTGCCACCAAGCGTGCTCAAGCAACATGATCTTCGCAATATTCAAGCTTCAACGCTCCTGTGGCCTTTTCGAGTTTAACTTATCAACACTGACAGGCTTTGTGATGCGACGTGTCAGCGACATCGGAGCTCCTCTGAGGCCGCTTGAGACCGTCTCGACCGACTACTTGGCCGTATTAACCTTCGTTTGGAGGCTCAAACAGACGATCTCTTGACATTGCCCCGCACCCACTGATAGAGTTCAGTCCGCTCAGCCTGTCGCAAGAGCAAAGCAGTGCGAACCCAAAGTCGCGGAAGCTCCGCATTGAGCGCTGAGCGCTGAGCCTCGAATCAAGGTACACACGTCATGATCATTGTCAATGGCGGAAGAAGCGCGTCAGTATGGACTAGACGATACAGCGACGATGATTTGCACACACCTAATCAAATAACGAATGCAGGACTTCGTATCTTCCATCCGACCTGGCATCCACACCGCGAGGACCCTCTATCATTGGACGCGCAGGAGGGACAACTTGAAGCAAGTTCTTTTTATCCTGGAACTTTACGCGTGCCACAGCACTGTTGCTGCGAGTCTTGTGCGTGACGAGAAACCTTGCGCCTATCACAGCTCTGTCGAAAGGACGAGTACGTGTGTCGGAATGCAAGGCGGTCCAAAACATCGAAATGATCATATCGTTGTGTCCCGACCATTGTCCGGGCAAATGATTGCAAGAGCGCCGACTTCTACACTTTACAACAAGACTAGATTACATTACCTACAATATATAGTCGATAAACCAACTTAATGGTGAGCCTGAGGATGGCCCGGATGGACGGTCTTCCGTCGGTAGTACATGCTGAGTTCTCCTCCCTGTCGCCACACGAACTGGCGCACGGCGGCCAAAGTCATGTCCAGTGGTAGAACGACGTCGTTGCAGACGATCTCGTACATGTCCTCCGCGCGTGGCCGGTGTTCCTCGCGGTGTCTGCCACCGGATACACGAGCATCAAAGGACGAACGAGGGGTGCTTGGGGATGTCGGCCCATGGGATCCAGCCATTTTGTCGAGCTTGTCTTGCACCTGGATGAGCAGAGTCAGCCGTCATATCAGCTATAGCTTATTAGGACACATCCGTACATGATTGGTTAGCTTGCGAACACGAAGGAAGCGACTCGCTGTCAGCTTCGACTGGGCCCTGCGTCGCATTGTCAACGACACGTACGGTTGCAAGAGAACTGAACATACGTGTTGAGAAGCTCAGGCAACATCTCTCGAGGATCCTTGTGAGGGAACGGTAGGAGGACGAAGCTGATCTTGGTCACCGTGACTGATGGCGCCCGGTTGGCCAGCAGGTACTCGAGTAGCCAGAAAGGCATGACTTCCTCCAAGGTACGAACGTCACTGGCGGCGCTGGCGACCTGTCCTCGGTAAATGGTCGTCCAGCCAGAAACCGCTTCCTCCGAGATGATGAGCGGCGTGTACGGAGAAATGGGGAGGGGTGGCGCATCACTAGCAGGCGGCGGATTGATCGGTCCGGACAGCAGCGATTGCGCGGGGGACTTGGACGCAGCTTGTGTAGTTTCGCCCTGTGGAAAGGGGATTACAATGTAATGGTATGCCGGTCATATGTAGAAATCGCCTGGACTTACAACGTTGGTGGTCGCCGAATCTGTTCCTTGGAGCGTCCCTCCAGGAGTAGAAGCGCCAGCCTCACTGGCTTGCCGTTTTGTACCTTTGCCGAGTGCCTTGAGACGCCCCATCAAGCCTCCCCCGCTGGGCGTACTCGGAGATTGCAAACCCGAATCCTTCACCCAAGGCGAGGATTCGTCTGGTGTCGTGGTACTGCCTGTGGTGCTGATGGACGGTCGACGGGCGCGCAGCGAGAAGTAGTCTGAGCTGGGGGGAGAGCTAGTGGAAGTGTCGAGTGTATGCGAACGTTGGGGCATGGGCATAGGAGTGACATCAGAGGGCGACTGAGGGATCGGTGATAGCGTAGAGGAATCTCGCAAGCCAGTGTTGATTGGGATCAGGGGGGTCAGGAGCGGTGTACGCGGCGCTGCAGAGATGGCTGGGGACATGGCTGGTATCATGCTCGGGGAGGAGACCACACTTATACTCCTTGGACTGTGTATTGTCGTATGTGAGTGTCGTGAAGCGTCCGAGATTGATCGGCGGCGTCGTTCTGGCGAGCCGCCGTTGAGGTCAATATGAGTCGGAGCTGTGCCACGGTGCAGACGACTGGCATTCTCTGCCTCTCGACTTCGGCGGGAGTACGCTCGCTGTTCTTCCCGTATGAAGCCAGCAAAGAGATTGCGTAGCACCCATTTGCCGATGTTCACTGCAAATCACAAAAACTGAGTCAAGTCACAAGTCTGCACAGTAAAAGGAGACCTACGTCGTTGCTCCTCTCCGTGTCGCCTATCGGCAGTATACCCTGCTTCGTCCGCATATATCTCCGCCTCAAAGCACCGCTCATTCAGGTGCACAGTGAGCACACCCGTCTTCGTATCCACAGTCGCCCACGACTGCACAACCGCCTCGCCCTCAATTCTCTCCTTCACCGTCTCCAACGCCTCCCTCGGGCTCCTCTCCCTCGCCGAGTCCCCATCCGCACTCACACTCGCAGCGCTGCTCCCTACACTCGCCAGCGCGACGTCCTCGCTGACATAGCGCCCCCTGCACACCCCGCGAATCACGTCCCACACCGCGACCTCGCCCGCGGTGTCCACAGCAAGCACGTGCACGCGGTCATTCAGCATTGCGCAGCGCACGAGCCCGTGTTCGCCGTGGATCACCTCGTCCGGCTCGTGATTGAAGGGCACGGCGTCCGCTGCGATCTCACGCTCCTCGTATGCTGCGCGCGCGCGCGTGCCCGGATGCAGGGTCTGCGCATCCTCGACGAGGCGTGTGCGCGAGCTGAGGAAAGGGCTGTTGCTGCGCTGCATGGCACTGGCCAGAGCTGTGGGTAGGGGTCGCGAGAGACGCGGCATGCTCACGACCGAGGCTGCCGAGTACAAAGTCGCGATCTCCGGATCGCGCCCCCGCGCGAGCGAGCCATGTGTGTTGAAGCCCGCGAAGGACTCGTGCGGCGACGTGAGACGCACCAGGCTCTCGAACGGGATCCCATACCATGTCTCCTCGCCTTCGCGCTCGCCATACGGGTCAGCGTCCTGAGGGGCAGCCGAGTTTGCTGACATGAAAGACGGCGAGAGGGACGCTCGATGGCTCTTCTTGGTGGGCGGGGGGCTACCAGTTCTTGAAAGCGCATGCAGCGTCCCGGGCAGCGGTGGAGTCCCTGGAACGCTTCGAGAGTAATCGAAGGAGCCCTGCGCGGCGGAACGTGGTACATACTCTTCGCCTTCGCTGGACGCCGGCGGGCTTTCGACAACGGACCAATCTCTCCCGGGTGAGTTAAGCGCGGCGGCCCTCACCGCCCTACGAGGTGGCACCTTCCAGCGGTGGAAGCTAGAACTCCCAGATGCGGTCCACAAGAAGCTATCGTCCATCGCCACAATCCGGTTCACGCCCTCCGGTGTACCAATGCCGCTGATACGTTCGCTCGTGTCCTGACATACGACAACGCATTCACCTTCGGATACATCGGTGCAGCCTTCAACGTCCACTTTGCAGACGATACCTGAGCGGTCGCCAGAATAGAAGATCTCCAACGACGGGTGTTGTGAGTCCAGCGACCAGACGGACTCCGTGTGGTGTGTGAATGTGTGCAAACACCGCTGAGATGACAACGACCAAAGCTTGACGGAGGCTGCATACAAGTACGTGAGTGGATGTGCTGAGTCGCCTGGTAACGATAACGTTACCGTCCGCGGATCCTGTGAGAAGCTGGATGCCCTCAGTTTGACTAGCGCGACCATACACTGATCACACTCACATATTTCCCATCCTCCGAGAGCAGCATAGCCCGTATGTTATCTGTGTGTCCAACCAGCTTGCCCACACGTTTGCCTGAACGCGGGTCCCACATCCTGATCACGCGTTCCGGGGAGCCCGACGCGACTATGGACCCATACGGGTCTGTCGCCATTGCATATATGGATGCTTTGGGACCAGACGACTCCGGGCCGGACAAGGTAACAAGAGGAGATGTCGGAGAGCCTCCGCCGCCGAGGTCCCAGAGCTTGATGGTGCGGTCGAACGAGCCGGAGGCAACCCAATTCTGTGTACGACTTGCGAAGGATATTCAAGGTTTGGTTTGTCACGAGGCTCGCGTAGAACATACCTCTGCGCAAGACAACGAACGTAGTCTCCATGCGTACCTATTGTCGTGGGCTCTGCATTGTCAGTTGCGTGTGGATTCCACGTACGGACAGTGCCGTCGGAAGATGCGGAAACCACTACAGCGTGTGTGAGTAAATGCATATGATACGCCACGGCAACATCCTAGTCATATCGGTGGATAGAATGAACATCAAAGGAATTGACACGCACAGGTCTGGTTCATATTGCACAAGAGAATATCGTTGACCCAGTCCGAATGAAGCTGTGCACATTGACGGAACTGCGTGGTCGGCGGGTTTGCCTTCAACAGAAAGCAATGGAGTCAGTCAGTCACGTACACAGGCAGCCAGCAAAGGTGAAAGTAGGTCAGGTAGATAGAGTAGGGCAATACCTTGCGTGCCTCCAGAGCCTCATCGTTAACCTCCCACTGTTCCTCTTCAAGGATGGTGTTCTGGTCGCCGTCAAGCCTTCGCCGCGAACGACCGGTGACTTCGCCTAGGACATCCCCGTCACTGGGCAGCTCCTCGCTATCGTCCTCTTCCTCGATGATGTCGTCTGCCCAGTTGGTCATGATCTCCCACCGACGCGAGCCCCTGCCATGGTTCCCTTCTCCGACGGCATAACGATGTGTCCGACGCTTGGTAGGAATACCCAGGTCCCAAGAGATGACAAGACCGTCGCGCCCGCCAGTATACAAGATGCCCTCCGGATTGTTGTGTCCGACCAGAAGCGTAGAGGAGTCGAGAGCAAGAGAAGCAACGCCAAGGCGATGTCGAGGATGTGAGGGCCCCTTCCCGCCGGCTGACGAAGGACCAGGAGAAGACGAATCGTTGTACGGGACGAGCAGGGGGCCGGCGGCGCCGTTCCGTGGTACGCCGTGCGGGGGCAGCTGGAGACGAGGGATAGGTTCTGAGGGAGGCGGGATCACGTAGGACACTCTCCGCCTCGCCGGCGGCATCGTTCGAGAGGGGCGCAGGACGTCGGGGACGGCGCAGACGATGGCCTCAGCGACGCGTTCAACGACTGTTCAACAGGGCATCTGCGAGAATGTGATCACACTTGCCCGCAGTGATGCCCAGGCACGAGAACCCGTCGTTGATTAGATTGCCGCCCGTGATTTATCTTCAGCGCCTGCGCAATACATCGCTCATTCAATTCGCACCCACCAACGGGTAGCACGATATGTGGTGGCCAGTTCATCAGGTGCATTGTACACTCTCGGCTGTCTATATATGGGAAGACGTAGTCTAAGTCGTATACGTTGGGTGGTACAACATAAATCGCGTAGCAATCATCGTCGGCCGGGACACCTCCGCGTCGCGGCGGGGCATCGGTAATAGTCGTAAGTCCCTACAGAACGTATCTATAGAGCTCTCAGTATGCATTCGATGCAACCAACGGACGACGGGTGGGGCACACCTATGATACTCGTTCTCAAACTCCGTGAGGTCGTGCATGCCGGCCTCTACCACAGGATGATAGTATGAGTACAACGACTAGAGGTGACTTGTACCCCGGCGTACCTTCGCCCTTGAGCTTGTCTTCTTCAGTAACGACTTTTCCGTACTTGCGATCCTTCTGCGCAGCGTGTCAACGACGGCAAAGGGCGGAGGGATAGGACATACATTCACGTTGCTCCTCCACATATAGAGACCGAGCAAAATGTGGGCAGCTAGCCCACTCTCAGCACAGGCCGTCACCTCGATTGAATATTACGCACCAGTTTTGATGCAGTATCCTGGGAGCTAGCGTCATGTACTGTGTCACGGAAGACTGCCGGGGGACTTACCGATGAACATCGCACGTGTCCCAGTGTGGTACGTAGGGGCCTCGCTTGACTGCGATGATTCATGATGAGTGGATGTGGCTTTAGATGTCTTCGTATGAGACTTACGATGAGGAAGTGGGGCCCGATGATGTTGCCCACGCAGTACTAACTAGTCATCAATAACGGATAACACATGCTCCAAGCTTGGGCACGTACGCCAATGAAGGTTAACGCAGTAGTGAACGTTCGTTTTGTGAAGCCTCCAATCTATTGTGTGGTAAGCGTATTGCACGAGGCAATGCTTGAACGGTACTCACGTTGTTGGAGATCATAACCAGCGACAAGGAGAATCCGACAGACTGCAGCCATGGTCAGCGAAGTCATTGCATGGCTGCACCGATTGGAGATACCTGGAAAGACGTGAACCAGTACGCGACCAGACGGTTCCACTTCTGGTCGGACGGCAAATACGTCAGACATGCTGCAGAGATAATGCAGACGATGTTGCCCGTAGCCATAGTGAACACACGCGCTACAAGACCATGTCAGCCTACGTCCCATGCGAATGCAAGACTTCACACGTACTGTTCTTGATGTACGTAGTGATCAGTCTAACGCAGTGAATAAGCAACGTATGGGAGTGGAGGTGGAGCCGGAACGCACCCAGCAGCAATCAGACTTGCGATCTGTACGCCGGAGGAAGCAGCATCGAGGAGGGTCGTTTGCAGGGTCGTGAACCCCATACCCTGCGCAAGTTCTGGTCAGTCGTCCGCGTCCCTAAGTCAATGATGCGGTGACGAACCTTGATGATGATAGTAGAGAAGTTCGACACAATGCTGTATGAATGGGCAATTAGAACGCGACACGCGGACTGAACAACTTGAATATGACACGCACCCGTTGGGGATCTGCGCTGCAACAGAGGCGGCGAAGAGCAACCATGTCTTGGGATCCGTGAGAGCCTGCTTGATCTACAAGCGAATGTTAGGATGCTTTGAACATGCGTCGCGGGTAATTCCCGCACCTGGTACATCTTGAACTCGGTATTCTTGATACCGTTCTTTGCCTCCGCAACCCGCTTCACGGCCTTCAACTTCTCGTCTCCACGTAGGAACTTCGCCGTGACGGGCGAGTCGGGGAAGAAAACCCCGAGCACGAGTGCGTCTAGGTTCCGGCAAGTCAGGCATGCAGCGTAGATCGGCAACAGCAAACACAGCGTACAGGACAGGCTGATCGCCCCAAGGATCAGGTAGATGTATTGCCACTTCTCGAGGCTCGCGTTCTTGATCCGACCAACCTGCGCAAGTGTGTAAACACAACGACCAGTAGAATACTTTGCCGTAGTACGCACTCCGTACGACATAAAGCCTCCGAAGATACCACCCCACCCGTTGAAGCTGTACCAGATCATGGTACGCAGCGGCACTTCGGGTTGGGCGTACCATACGGCGGTCAGGAGGGTCAAGCCTGGGGTAACCACAGATTCGACAATCCCTAAGAAGAAGCTGGCTAGCGGTGAACTGTCAGATCGGACGTAAAGGCGAGATGACTTACTATGCTGCGAGGGCACTGCTGAAGTTCTTCGCTCCAGCCACACTAGAAACCAACGTAAGCCGGTCGTGCAAACGGAGATATGGAAGCTGTAGGGTATATACGCGATAACGATAGTCCCCCATAGGAATGTGGCTGATGGTTTGTTAGTACGGACGCCGTCAGGCTGAGCATACCGGAAGACTTACTGATCGCAAACACTCGGCCGGAATGGTAGTGTTGCAAGAGCCAGCCCATGGGGTAGTTACCAATAAGGTAGCCGAAACTGCAATGATTGGCATACGGGATCATGATAATTGATACGCTTCAACTCACTAGAAAGCTATCGACAAAGCAAAATCAGGAACCCAACTCTTTGCACTCGGGAACACACTCACAGCTTGCGAGCCAGGCCCATTGCTGACCGGCGTGGAGATCCGTCTTCATGCCGTACAAGTTGCCATAGTTGAGTCTTCAGAAACAGTTGTTAGTCGAAGACCTACGTAGCCAGCGAAACATTTTACGCGGTCTTGTCCACTACGCAGGGCACCAAGTGTAAGCGATCTCTTTCTCGTAAAGTGTACCTGCAATACTCACAGTAGCTAAGGCCTTGCGAAATGCATAGCTATGGAGGGCCCACATTTAGAGGCTACATGAGGCAAACTCGGCAAGTCACTCCACCATTGGAAGAATGAACATGTCGATCTTCAGCGCGATCCTAGCACGATTGGCAGCCGTGTGTCAGTCGTCTCATCACCGCTCAGACTGAGACTGATCGACGATCCCATACCTGCGACTTTCCGACTTCGTAACCTGCACACCAGCTTCTTTGGCAGCCTCAAACTCCGACAGACCAACGTTGCCTTCCTCCGAGATGGCAGGAAGCGTATTCGCGATCACCTTCTCTGTGTCCCGCGTCTTGAGCTCGGGCAAGGACTCAGAGTCGGACGCGCGGTCACCCTTGTACACGGAGCCTTCGCGGTTGGACATGGTGAATCTGCTGAAGCACAGTCGTCAATGTGCTGGAAAGAGCGGGGTCAGCCAACCGTGCCAGAACGGCCTGCCCAAGCCTTTTGTACGGGGGTGGTCATTCAACTTGGCCCTCGACTCATATCGCGAACACGATCACGATCAGGAACGACGTCGACCAGCTGGCCTAGTCGATAACTCATAGAAGAGACTAACATTGAGACGGACGCTTGCAAACGGCCAGACGGCACGCGGAGGAGCGGGCAACCCGTGTCCGAGTTGCACATGTAGGCGTGCTCGGGGCGTGCTATCGCAAGGATGGTGGAACATTGCGATAAGGAGTGAAAACCCGGTATATAAGGCAGATCCGCCTGGACGACAAGCACCTCGGTCTGCGCTGCGTCAAGTGTGTTGTAGGTGCAACATCCGCGGAAGCTGAAAGCAAGTCGTTGATGACTAGGCCGTTAGCGGCGGATGCTTACGATCATGAATGTACACCACTCACCGGCGAGGTTGAATGAACTTCACAAAACAAGCTGGACATACGCCGAGTGTTGCCGCCCAGCGGCCAACCTTCGTATCTGATCTCGAAACGCTTCCTAATGACCGAGTAATGATAGTGTGAGGAGCCCTGGTCGCGCGTACCAAGATGTCCTCAATGGTGCCAATTGTGCATTTGGGCACCCGAGTGTTTGTCGAGAATCGCATACGCGTACTCTGTTCGTCGAGAAATACGAGGTTTCTGGAGGGATTATGAGCAAGTAGTCAGTGCTACGTGCGAGATACGACCGGCGGCAGCATCGGGCAGGATGGATACGTCGTTGCATGTTACATCATGCATGAATGAGCGAAACATTGACGACTGATGCGGCGGCTCGCCCTTGACTGCTATCTTCGCCGACAACGGCAATTAGCGTAGCTGCAAGGTCCCGGCCATAGTCCTGACCGGGCAGTAGCGTACGGATACGCATCCAACAGTTCGTAGTGATAAATAACGCAAAAGAGCACTGGTAAGTTGAGATGATAGAAACGTACACCTCAAGCTGGTCGGGCCCAGTACTGGCAGTTGGCAGTTACATGCCAGCCATGTCGTGACACGACTTACCAACGATGGCAGTACGCTGGAGCGATCCCAAATGCCCACGAATGCAGAGAGGTCGGAACGTCCATGGTAGTAGAACCAATGACGATCTCTCTATTTCCGCGTTTGCTTGCAACATCCACCAAATCACGATACCAGCCTTACGCTTTATGAGAGCCATGGAGAGAACCAACTGTCTTGCATTACAATGGCGGATTGCCCATTGGTCGACGTGTGAGGTTCCCGCGGGTCGTCGGAGGCCACCAGTAGGCGAGCTACGGATTCGGTTGCGGGACAATCGTTCAGGATGGCCTAGCTTGGAATGAATGGATCTCAAAGTAGAAAACATAGTTCCCCGCACAAGAATGATCGGTTGAGGAACTTGAAGGAAAGAGGGAGACCTGAGACTTCGAAGGAGGACATAAGTTAGAGCTACTTACTGTATTACAGTGCAAACAAGTGTCGGACTTGTAATACTCAATGCGGAGTCTGTCAAAACATATTAAGACTTGCATCTCCGAACCGGCTGTTATGCCGTAAACCTTATGTGCGCACCGCGTGTCCCCAACGCCACCATTGCCGCAAATTCTGCGCGCACAGGCCGCTTGTCATCGACGACCACCGAGTCAACCCATTAGACCTCTCGCAGGCGAATTGCTCCGTCGAAGCGTGCCAAGTAACGAGTGAGTCGTTCTTTGTATGCGTAGTGGAGGGTATCTGACGAGTCCTGGCAGAAAAACGAAATCACCATGGCGCCGTATTCCAAGCCAGAGGCAATCCTCAAGCAGGCCGAAGGCCTCGTATCGGTCGGGCAGACGCACGCAGCTCTGCAGGCTTTGACCGAGATGTTTTCGTCAAAACGATTCCGCTCGTCACCCCTTGCATCGCTCGAGCCGATAATGCTTCGTTTCATCGAACTCTGTGTCGACATGCGCAAAGGACGCACAGCCAAGGAGGGCCTCATGCAATACAAGAACATCGCGCAAAACAGCAGCGTTGCATCCATCGAAGTCATCATCAGCCGCTTCATCCAGCTCGCAGACGCGAAGGTGCAGGAGGCGCAGGAGAAGGCGGAGAAGGCGGTCGCGCTTACGGATGTCGATGATCTTGAGGCGAGCGAGACGCCAGAGAGCATTCTCCTTGGTGCTGTGAGTGGCGACCAAAACAAGGACAGGACCGACCGCGCTCTTGTCACGCCATGGCTCAAATTCCTGTGGGAGAGTTATCGCACAGCATTGGAGACTCTCAAGAACAACGCTAGGTTGGAGACCATCTACCAGGTGAGTGATTCGTGCTCCATTGCTTGCTCTCCCGCTGATCCACGGTGCCTCCGCAGCAAATTGCACAGCAAGCGTTCCGTTTCTGCTTGAAGCACGAGCGTAAAGTTGAGTTCCGACGGTTATGCGAGACTCTCCGTCTCCACCTTGCAAACGTCGCCAAGTACGCACACCAGACGCATTCCATCAACCTCACCGACCCCGACACTCTCCAACGTCACCTCGACACCCGCTTTGCGCAGCTCAACACCTCAGTAGAGCTCGAGCTCTGGCAGGAGGCGTTCCGTTCCGTCGAGGATGTGCACAATCTGCTCACCATGGCTAAGAAGGCTCCTCGTCCGGCGATGATGGCGAACTACTACGAGAAGCTTACCCGCATTTTCCTCATGAGCGGAAACGCTCTCTACCATGCTGCCGCCTGGAGTCGTTACTACTCCATCGTCACTGCGATGGGTGGCAAGTCGGAGGAGGAGCTGAGCCGACTCGCCGGACAGGTACTCATAAGTGCCCTCGCTGTTTCGGTCGGCTCCCACGGCGAGGAGAGTGCGGCTGAAGAGGGTAAGGGCAAGAACGCGCGGTTGACTGCATTGCTCGGTCTGGCAAAGACGCCGACTCGTACTGGCCTCCTGAAGGACGCTGTCAGTCCCCATTTTCCCTCCCATATAACGTCTACTCATGTTCCAGATAGCTCGCGCGCAATGTTCTCAAGCTATCGCCGAAGTCGATCAAGGAGCTGTACAATGTTCTTGAGGTCACATTCGACCCGCTCAGCCTCTGCTCTTCCGTCGAGCCCCTGCTGAAGGCGTTTCCGAGTGATAGTACTTACGCGTCCTACCTCCCCCTCCTCCAGCGCGCGCTCCTCTCGCGCCTGCTCTCGCAGCTGTCCCAGGTGTACTCCACTATCCAGATCAGCACCCTCCACGAGCTCGCTGCCCCCATCCGGGACCTCGGCCTCGAGAGTACGAAGGTCTACGACGAGGAGCAGATCGAGGCGTATGTCATGGGCTGTGCGCGCCGCGGAGAGCTAAACGTTCGCGTCGACCACGCTGATGGCACCATTACCTTCAATGACAGCCCCTTCGCCGCCGTCGAGGACCCGAGCTCGTCGACGTCCACGGCCGCAGGCGCTGTGCAGCCGTCGACATCCGAGTTCGTGCGCACACGTCTCAGCAACCTCGCGTCGTGTCTGCACAGCTCACTCGCCACCCTCTACCCTCCCGCGCCGCTCTCCGAGGAAGTTCAGGAGGCCAAGTTCGCCGCCCTCGTCGCTGCCGCACAGGCAGAGCGCAAGGCTCTCCAGCTGCGTCGGGCAATCGTCGCTCGTCGCCGGGAGCTCCTGTCCGAACTTTCCGTGCGGAAGGAGAAGGAGGAGGCCAGCCGCCGCGCAGAGCTTTCCCGCCTCGAGAAGGAGAAGGAATCCCGGAAGGCAGTGGAGGACCTTCGTAAGAAGGAAGTCGAGCGTGCTAGGAGGGAGATCGAGACTATCCGGAACGAGGAGGCGAGGAAGCTTGCCCAGAGTCTCAAGGAGAAGGGTACCCTCAAGGTCGACATCGACGTAAGTGTCTCTGTATGTCACAATTCTCCTAGATACTGACACATGAACAGGACATGGAGAACATCAGCACGGACAACCTCATGCGGCTTCAGGTCGAGCAGTTGGCTAAGGAGAAGAAGGAGCTCGCCGAGCGCATGCGTATCGCCTCCAAGCGCCTCGACCACATCGAGCGTGCGTACCGCAAGGAGGAGCGGCCTCTCCTCGCCAAGGACTACGAGATCCAGCAGGAGGACGACAAGGCGACGTTCGAGATCACCCAAAAGGCTCGTCTCGAGGCTCACCGGCTGGCGCACCAGCGCGATATGGAGACGAAGAAGAGGCTCGCGCGTACGATGCCCGACTACCTCGCGAAAAAGGAAGAGATCATGAGCAAGCGGAAAGAGGAGTTCCAACGAAGGCAGGAGCTCGCTCAGAAGAAGATCGAGGAGGAGAAGGCGAAGCGCAGAGCAACCATCCTCAAGCAACGCGAGGAGGAACGATTGCTCGTCGAAGAGGAGGAGAGGATCGAGCGCGAGAAGGAAGAAGAGCAACGCCGGCTGGAAGAGGGTACGTTTGCATTGACTTGCATTGGTTCGCATAAGCTGACTGTGGACTGCAGAGCGCATCGCGGAGGAAGAACGCCGCGTAGCCGAGGAAGCGGCGGAGCGCGAGCAGGAGGAAACCAAGAAGCGAGAGGAGGAAGAGGCCCGGGCCGCGGTAATCAGGAAGCGTGAGGAGGAGCGGGCAGCCTCGCTCGAGCAGGCCCGCAAGCAGCAGCAGCGCGAGGAGGAGGCGCTCGAGAGGGCGAAGGCCCGGCGCAACCAGCCCGCTGCTCCCGCGCCTGTACCGTTGCGAGCAACGCCTGGCGGGGGAGACACCTGGAGACGCTCTGGTGCTCCCGCTGCTGCGCCCCCAGCCTCTCCACGCCCTCGTGCGGTCAGTCCGCCCCGTTCAGAGAGCCCGGCACCAGCTCAGAAGTTCCGTCCTGGTGCGCTGCAGGGCGGCGGTGGATGGCGTGCTAGGGAGGCGGCAAGGAAGGACACAGACACGGCAGGCGCAAATACCTCTCGTCCTGCTTCGCCTGCGCCTAGGGCACCCGCCGCCAAGGAGGAGCCACCCAAGGAGCTACCCAAGGAAGACGGTTTCCAGACTGTCGAGAAGAAAGGTGTCTGGCGGCCACGCAGGGGCAGGTTCTGAGCGTTTGATGACCTTCATGTTCGGTGTGTTGTATATCAGTTGCTACGAGCCCAATGCCCATGCATCATGCATCATGCTTCAGTAGTCTCATTTCACTCAGAGCGGCGATAAGTTACACAATAAAGTTTTACTCTAGTACAATGCCTTGGTGTCTACAACGATGTCCGGTATGCCTACAGTCTATTTTGAGTCCCTCTAGAGTCCAATGAATTATATGCAGCGAAGTTATGGCCCTATGTTTCCTCCTCTTCAGCTTCCAGCATCATGTCTATCCGCCCGATGTCAGCTTCGTAAATTTGCATAGTTTCTGTACATACCATTCCAAATAGATCCTTGCATCGCGGCAATAATGTTCTGCGCATCATCTACTGGTGAATGAGGATCGCGCGCGGAGGTGTCGGGCCTAGGGAGTTGTCAGTATTGGTAGATGCGCTTCTATGTTCACTCCAACTTCACTCACGAAAGTCCGGGACTCAACGACAGCATGCTGATGTCGCTCACCCTCCTCCGTGAATACGACCGCGAAGGCGACTCGGGTGTCAGCGTGTAATCTGGGAAGCGGTCGCCGAAAGTTGGGGACATTGGAGACTCGGGTTCAACAACGCGATCGATGGAACTCCTCCGTCCCGGTGAAGTAATATCGCGAGTCATGAGAGGGGGAGTGGCGAGCAGATCACCGACAACAATGGCAGGTATTTCTAGGTAATGCCCGACTCGTGAGCGGTGCGTGAGGGTACACCACCACGGATGATTACTCACCTTGATCCACCATTTTCTGACGTCGTATTTCGTCGCGCATTGCCAAATATCTTCGCCGATATGATATCATGAGCAAGAGGGACTGAACACGGTCAAAATCCACAAGGTCTGTGACTAGCTTGTTCGTTTCTGTTCGTATAACCAGATCCTTCAGCCTATCAAGCAGTGTTAGTACGGCATCCTCATAAAAATCTCATCACTGACACCAGGGCATCCCTGTCAACGATGAGCTTGTGATGCGCCAGGAGTAAAAGCATATTTGTGAACGATATGCCCTTTCCAGGTTCGTGGGAGATACGAGCTTCGTGGTAGAGTCGATTGTACAAGTTCTTCCTCCGCTTGATGGCAGCACGGTCTATCCCGCTGAGTGTTACGTTCAGCTTGTCCAAATCCATGCCTTCTACCACCGTCGTCGGCCAAGGAGAGTTCGAAGATTGGTCCGCCAGCGATCGTGCCATTATACGGCGAATACTGAATTCCACGGGGTAGATCCGGACCTCGAAGATCCCACTCAGTTTCTACCAGTAAAGTTCAGACCACGGATTTCATACTTTCACCAAAGCAAGTACTCACACCGAAGAAAGGCACGAAGCGATCCCGCTCCAGGTACCCTGTCTTAGGGTTCGCGAACTCGGCCCAGACCTTCTTGAAGTGACGCATCTCTTCACGTGTGATGGACTTCGATCCACCCGACATTTGGAACACGTAGTAGAAACTCTCGACAACGACACCTACATAACGTTAATAAGGACCGAATATACAGCAGAGTGAACTACGCACCGACGAAAAGGTTGGCGAAGATGTACTATAATATAGCGTGAGATGAGATAGCACGGCTGCACATGGAAAGTACTCGCCATGCTGAGCAGATTCCAAGCGATGAACAAGGTGAACGCCCAACCTGCACTTCCACAGTCGGAGTCGCCATTAGGCAGTACGGTACAGCGAGGATACTCCAGTGCACTGAGGGAATATTAACAAGGAACAGCGACGTATGAGCGGTTGACTCACAAATCATGCATGTATTGGTTCCAACCTTCCCTGCGCGGCAGAAGGACTTCAGTGACATGACACAACACATATGCAGAGGTACGTACCCTGTCGTCATGAACGCCAGCATGACCAACGCTCTTGACATGGTGCCATAGTTTTGATATCTTGTTTCCGCGGAGCTCCACTTCGTCATGCTGAAAACCTCCATATACATGATAGCAAAGAAAAAGAAGAGGATGACCCAGAGGAAGAGTAGGCTGATAATCACTGGCAAGCTTGCCCTGCATCGGATATGAGTACAGCATTATTTGATTCGCGCATAGCTACTTACACAGCTGTTTTGAAGAACTTGTTCAAAGAATTTGTGCGCTGCACCAGCTTGAAGGCGATTGAAGTGATGAACAGCTTTTGCAGCTGTTGTGTTGCGTAGCCACTGGGGCCAAAATCGACAACGAAGGTTGTGATAAGACTTCCTGCGGCTATAATGAAGTCGAAGATGTTCCAGCCGTTGGCATTAAAACTGCGCCAGCCCAGGCCAAAGAATCGCACAAGCGTGTCGAGAGAGTATATGACGGTGACTACGAAGAAGAATGCGTCTACGAAATTCGGCGTGTCAGGATGACCATGGCCTGATTCAGCAAACATCAAGACTTCGTACCGCGTGTACGATCAAGCGTTGAAGTAGTGCCCAGTGTCTGCGTCCTAATACCCGCGTCAGTGAGAGAAGGTCTCGCGAAAGAATGAATACCGGGTACGCACATCAGAACGATAACGTGCAGAGTGAATACTACCGTCATCATTTTATGCCACCAGCCATGTTTGTGCACTGCACGATCGAAGCACCAGGCCCTGATCCGCCATGAAGGTCGGCGTTTTGGTCGCTGTGAGGGTCGTTGCCGCTTGATGAGCTTCTGCAAGTCAATCCATTCGCGCTGCGGTTGAGTAAGATATGCCGACCCGGTCTTCGAGGTGAAATTTCCGATGATTATACTTGTTTAATTGTGAGCTTGAGCTGCTATACACCAAGACGACGTCACATACCTGACGAAGAGGGTGAGGATAATGACCGCTCCCAGAAGGTTGTAGATGAGAAAAAAGATCGAGTTGAACTGTCGTGCGTTCATTTGGGGCTGTTCGCCTTGCCCTATGAGGCTCACTGCGACCGTTGTGACGTCGATCCAACCTTCCAGCGAAACGATCTCGAACAAGATAAGCAGAGAAGCACGGAAGTTGTCGAACGAGAATGTCGTAGACGGCGAGGGATCAGCCCACACCCGAGGAACCACGAAGCCAAAGGAGTCGCCGTAGATGGTGTTCGAGTATTCGCCCACGCATTGCCCTACGTTGGAAACGTTGTCGTCGTTGCACTCCTTCATCAGTCCGACGAATATGTTGAGCCCCCAGACAGCATAAGGAATCATGTAAAGGATGGCCAGGAGACCCGCGTCCATGATTCGTGCGACGCCCGATATGATCAGCGACTCGAAGGTCGAACGCATGACGTTAATGAGAGTGATGAGACGAAGGGCTCGCAACGCCTTGAGCGACCTGGTGAGGCGACTGAGACCGGCAACGAAAATGAGGCTGTTGAACAGGTTGACCAGGATGCCGGCCAAGATGAGGAAGTCCAGGATGTTCCATATACTGCGCACGTAGGCATTCGGCGTGAAGGCGAATCCATCGGCGATGACCTTGATGATGAACTCCAATAACAGTGTGAAGCCAAATGTCGCTTCTGCGATGTCGAACCAGGATCCGCGCAGCTCCCCGTACTGTATCTGATAGTTGCGTCGATAGGTAGGAGTGGCTATCCATTCGACCACAATTCCGCCGATGACAGCCAGGACGAGGACGATCTGGAAGACTGGATGCGCGATGGGAGATGGCTGCGCACCGAATATACGCTCACCCCCTGCAGGAGACACTAGCTGTTGACAGAACCGGCGGAGGACGTTCTTCTGGGAGAACAGCCAGAATGTCTTGTCGTATGTGGGGTGATCGCGAATGAAGTCTGCTCTTTGAGCACGTCGCTCGTAGAGGATGTCAGTCAAGTCTTCCGCCGCGGCTGCTTCCGAGTTCAGCGTAGCCAGCAGTTCTCTATGTCCTAGTCAGACGCGGAAGTTGACCAGAGTAAGAGGGCACCTACAGATGCCGTTCAGTCTCTTCATCTATCGCATCCTGAGGTGCTGCAGAATCCCGACGATTCTTACGGATCGTCGCGAGAGGTACGCGAACGGCGTCTGTCTCGCCGGCAAACAGTCTTTGCAGGTGACGCAAGTAAGATCTCGCACTCTGTTTCTCGAAGATGCTCTGTGTCAATGGTTCCTATGAGGCGGTCACGTTGAACAAGCGATAGATGCAAGTATATGAAATGACCCTACATCTGTCGCAACCTTCTCCTGCATGGGATATGCATCCACCAGGGTCTTCTGCATCGGAAGGATGAGTTCCGAGGGCAGCTGCTCCACCGCAATCGCTTTCGGTTGTGCCTTCAGCCATCGGTACGGGTTCAGCCTATGGAGCCAAGGCATCGGAGTCTCCTGAGGGCGGTGCGAGGCCCAGTAGTGGGACGCCTGTCTGCTCCGCTTCGAATTCTCGGCGATCTCGAAGTTCTCGTTGATAACCGCGATGAACATTTGCAGCACGATGACTACAATGAAATCAGGAGAGGAGACATAGACGAGTGAGACAAGACGTACAGTTCGCAAGCCCAAACCAACCGGTCAGATACAGGACTATGACCGGTGCCTGTCGGAGGGGGATCTCGGGACCACCAGCGCCGTAGAGTACATCCGTCCAGTTCTCCGACGAGAAGAGCTGATATGCGGCGAGGAACGAGTTATATATCTGACCGTAGTCGATGTAGTTTCCCCGGGGGATGTCGCCCCGAAGCAACTGAACACCCACGAGCGCCGCGATGAAGTTCAGCATGACGAGGAACAACGTCATGTTGGCCAGACCATACATGTTTCCGAACACGGCAAGCTGCAAGGATGCGTTAGTTGAGGCTTATGCTGTCATGAACATACTCACGAGCAGCGGCTTCATCCTCGGGATCTCCAGTATGACCCGGTAGAATCGTGCAAGCTGGAATATCGTGAACCACGGGTAGACGGTGGAGTTATGGATAGCGGGGATCTGGATGACAGTCGAGACGATTGCGAGCAGCAGATCAAGCAGGTTTTGTCCACGAAGGAAAAAAGCGCGCCAGTCCGGGAGATACGCGCCCACGCGGATGAAGATCTCGATGTCAAAGGCCACGGTGATCACCAGCTCGCCTATGTTCAGGATTTGTTCGTGCGTGTCGCTCATGCTCACTTCCCGAGTGGCCTGCAGAATGAGGGAAGCCAACGCCAGTGCCACCCAGCACCAGCGAATGCTTTCGTACACTTCCTTGATCCGGTTCCGCGTCGAGACGCGCCTGCCATCCACCATTGTCCAGCCTTCGTTATTCTCGTCGATAGCGGGAGCTTCGCTGAATGCCATGGTTCAGTAACAATAAAGCAAACGTCAAGAGAATCTACGCACATTGCGGCACCGAATGCACTCTTCTTCGTATCCGCCCGGATGGCCGCAAATGTGTTGGTGATGACCGCAATGAACAAGTTGATGAGCCAGAAGTTGAGCACAACGATGCAGGCGATGAAGAACAAGCAGGATACGAAGAACTCTGCGTCCATCATGTTGTACATGATCGGGGACCACTGCAACGTTGTCTGTGAGCAGGAGATCGGAGCGGGTACAGTCGGCGTTACGTACACCGTTGGCAGAAGCGACGATGAACACCTGCAGTGCAGAGTAGTAGATCGTATCGAAGCTCTCCATGTTACTGTCCGGATTCGTTGGGTCTTCCTGAACGACAGCTGTGTGAGTGACATTACCTCAATGAATATGGTGGCACTGACCATGCAGATCTGGCCAGCCGGACAAATGTAACCCTTGGCTGCACCGTAAGTGCCATCCTGCTTCAGGTATCCCATTACTTCAAGAGTGGTGGCATTCACGTAGCCACCACAATATTGACCTATATCGGTGTAGTCTTCTCCTAGAGTGGGCAGTAGATTGCACGAGCGAAGGTAGGAGCCTTTGAAGGACTGGATCCCAATAATGCTGGATGTGCGTCAGGTGGAGAGAACCGTGTGATGACGTTCAATGGACTTACGAGAACAGTATCATAGCAAACAGCACGAAGTAAGCGACACTCGCGAGCAACGGACGAGCGGTTTTCAGTGATCGCATGATCGTCTAGGGATAGCAAGGGTTAGGCGATGTTAAACAGGTAGCGTTGCATCGCGACTCACTGTTGTACCGGATGTGATCGCTAGTAGCCTAGCAGTGCGCAAGACACTCAGCGCACGGAAGATACCGATATGATACTCTCCCCTCTCGACACCAGCAGTGGCCAGGGCGAAGGAGACCCAAAAGCCAACGATAGCTACGAAGTCGATGCGGGTCCAGCTGTGCCGCAGGTACGGCACATTCCGTTGCGTCTGCGTGCGCGCATTCGCGACACTGAGACGAAACGGGAGCCCCAGGACATCCGGGTTGTCCGAGCGCAGTGCCGTCGAGAACACCGTCGGCTGCGAGGGGTTCCGCATGTGCGCGTAGGCCTCTTGCGCTTTCGCAACGGCAGGCTCCAGGATGGCGGTCCGCGAGTTGGTGGTGTCGGATCGAGAGTGCTGGGTGGACGGCGTGCGCTGCGGGGTGGAAGAAGATACGGGGGTCGGCTGGGGAGGGAGAGACAGGGCGTGATGTTGCAGAGCAAACGGACGAGCAAGATTGTGCGCAAAGTGCTGCAGTTTGTGGACGACGTTGGGACGCGAAGCGGTGCGAGCAGAGGAGTGGCCGTGAGATGCGTTGCGAGAAAGCGACGAAGGGTTGCGGGAGAGTGGTGTTTGCGTTTCCATGTGCATTGAGGGTATCGAAGGGTGCGGGTATGTAGAGAACGAGAGTGACGTGAACAGCGATGATATGGGGACATCAGGGTCCAGCAGAAAGCCCGAAACGCTCATCCGGGCAAAGGCCTCGAGCCTAGTAGACGTCAGCAAGTCGTTAGACGAGGAGTGCAGGGGACCCACGTGAAGAAACAGAACATTGCGAACAACGCATAGTCCTCCCACTGGTGGAAATAACCTCCTATCTCTGGTGGATGTGGCGGGTTGGATGGGTCTGGGGCATCGAGAGCTATCGATATATGTGATTGCATCGTCAGCACTACTGCGTTGAATATGATTAGGAGAAGTATGAAAGGTTCTGTCCATCTGTGGGGGAGGGTTACCCTGCGAACATCCATACAGAGAGGGTGCACTCACGGATATACTAGGAAACGGTACATCGCCATACGAATCCCGCTCGTCGGACCCAGACAACCCAGCGTGCGCCCCCGAATGGGGAGACTGCGCGACAGGTCCGGCAGGGTTGCAACCTCCTCCTCCTCGTCGCCCGCGTCGTCCGCTTGTCCCTTGTCTACAAGCGTGTGCTCCGGAGATTCGTCTTCTGCGTCCACAAGTCGCACATGCTCCTCGAGGCCGAAGCCGGCAAAGTTCACGACACGTATCGACGCCCGGCGCAGGTTGCCCGTCATGAGTTTGAGCGTGTTGCCCGTCTTTTTCAACGGCGACGGCGACGCGCCGTAGCGACTTGCCCTCCGCCGCGAGCGCGCTGACGCGCCCAATCGCTCCGGGTCCTCCCCGTCTGACAGAGCCCAGCCAACGCTGGCTCTATTCGCGCCCGCGTGGTCCATGTTACCCGTTAACCGCGCCTCGTCGTCTTCCCGCTGCCCGTCCAACGTGTCCCCGGACCCACGGAACTCGGAAATGAGAGACACAGAAGAGGGACCTGCCTGTGTTGTCTGGAAGCTACCTGTAGCGTCTTCGTAGCGAGTGCGGGTGTCGCGGTAGGGCATCTCGTACGGCCGCTCGTCCACCGGCGAAGCAAAGGGGTCGTCGTCGAGTCTCCAGCTCGACTTTGGGGGCGGCGGGTGCTCCATGTCGACGCGCAGAGGATCCTGCCCTGGTTCGACGCGTCCCCAGCTCGCTCGCCGACGCGCGAAGCTGCTCCGGGGTTCCGAGGCCATGAATGTAGGAGAACTCGGGCGGGAGACGCCAAGTCCAGCGGGGGAGCCAGTGAAGTCTAGGGCGGATGTAGCAGAGTCTTTCTTCGGCGAACGAGAGAGCCCATCCATAAACGAAGATGGTCGGGCGAGAGAGGATACGTGCCGCAGCGTACAGAGTGATGGGGAGCGCAACGCCGTCGCGGGATCTGAGGTGAGCCAGTTCACTTGGCGCCCAACAGATTCTGCTAGCTGGGCGCTCTGCCGTCGTCGTTACCCGTGTCCGCCAACCTCCACGCTACTGTCCGACGATTGTCCAGCCGGTAGTGAACGGCGCAGACCAGTGGGTCACCCAGTCGCCGCATCCAGCATTCGGACGTGTTCGTGTACACACTGAAACGCGCGCGCACCGGACCGCCGCATCAACACCCGGCTTCTCCACGACTGCACTCTGTCTTGCCCTTGCTCGTCATGCTTCCGAGGTCCATGCTCGCACGCAGTGCCAGGAGCACACAAGTCGCCCTTCGACGACACGCTCGTCTGGCCTCCTCGACACCACCACCCGCCCCGCAGCAACCGCCGCCAGCGGAACCGGTCCCGGGCCCGTCGACCGCACCTCCACGCGAAAAAGCATGGCTCACCAGGAAAGTAGAGGCGTCGCCCGCACTCAAACGCGTATTCCTGCGGGCTGCGAACATGCTGGGATACGGGAGTCCGAAGCAGGTCGCGGGGAGACGCGCGTTCGCGATGTATGAGCAGTTGTGCATCGTCAGACCGGACGAGGACAGGGCGTTTTGGCAGGACGGTGCGTGTCCGACTGTGCCTGTGCCCCTCCCTTCATTGCCATCCATCTTCGCGCACCGCCGAGCTCTGCGTGTATGCGCGTTGAACACGCGTGTACCTAAGGTTCGCGAAGATCCCTGGCTATGAATGAACGGCCCGTGGCGAGGCTCCGCGTCCCATACCCATACTGACGACCGTCCCTCCGCAGAGTGCGACCTACCGCCCACGTTCCAGTCCTGGTTCACCGTCGTCAACCTGCACGTCTGGCTGCTCACCGTCCGGCTGCGCGCGCTCCCCCCGCCGCACGGCATGCACCACGTCCAGGCGCTGATCGACCACTTCTTCCTCGACGTCGAGGACCGCGTCCGCGCGATCCTCCAGCCCGCCTCCCCCGGCTCCGCCGCCACGCCCACGTCCCTCGCGAACCCCTACACCCCGCCCTCCGCGTTCTACACCATCGCCAACCCGAACCGGAAGCGCGCGAAGGGGCGCGCCCCCGAGCGGCTCGTCGGGCGGCAGATGAAGATCTTCAAGGAGCAGTGGGCCGGCATGGGCATGTCCCTGGACGTCTCGCTCATGCGCGGCGACACGGACATGGCCGCGGCGGTGTGGCGGAACGTGCTCGGTGGGCGCGGCGCGCGGGGGATCGTCTATCCCGCGGACGTGCAGGACCCGTCGAGGCCGCTCTTCCGGCGCTCCGTGAACCTCATTGGAGGGGAGGTGGAGAAGGTGAAGAAGCTTGACGAGCGGGGCCTGGAGGTCGAGGAGGCGCGCGATGACGGGTCGGGCGTGCACGACTACGCCCCGAACGAGGCGGACAAGTACGTCGCGTACCCGGAGCTGATGGCGGCCCTCGTTGGGTACATTCGCCGGGAGCTCGTCCGCCTGCAGGAGATCCCGGACGAGGCGATCATCGGTCCTGGAGTAGCCGGGAAGGAAGTGGATGGCATTCAAAATTTGCGATTCGGGAGAGTGGGCGGAGGCGACCTCTTCTGATGATCTTGCCTGTGCATAACACAGAACCAAAAGTGCCTACCAATATGTGTCAAATAATGAGTAGCTCTAGATGCTCGGAATGGCTAATAGTGGTCCTTCTCTTGGTACAAGCTGAACCGTGACTACTACTACGATACGTCTACCTCGAAGCCTGTATGCGATTCACGGCCCACGAAGCTGGTACGCATTGATATGCCACTCGCATAGCCAAACCAAAGCATTCATGGATACACTCGCAGTTGACTCTACTGTACATGTGGTTCGTGCTTCTCACATAACTTAAGACCCATGCCATAGCATCAACTCTCCTCTTGTTCCCTCAGTCGGCGTCTACAGGGTTCCAGCTGATCGCGCCCTTCTTGCCCTGGTCGAGCGCGTCGATCTTCGCCAGATCCTCCGCCGAGATCTCAAAGTCGTAGAGGTCCGCGTTCGACACGACGCGTGCAGGTTGCGACGACTTCGGAAGAGGGCTGAACCTGCGGGGGCGTTACGTACGCTTAGCATAAGCACACAGTGTGAGTGTCGGAAGGCGTACCCGCGTTGGAGGGACCACCGCACCAGTACCTGGGCAACGTCCTTGTTGTACTGCGAGACCAATATCATGAAGTACTCCGCCGTGGAGACAAGAACAGCGCAACGCACCTTCTGCGCAACCTCCCGCAAGACCGGGTTCCCAAACTGCCCGCGCACAAGCGGGCAGTACGCCTGGATGAAGATGTTATTCTTGCTGCAGTACTCGACGATCTCCTTCTGCTGGCAGAACGGCTGCAGCTCGATCTGGTTCACCGCGGGCGCCTCCAGCCCGGCCTCGCGGATCTCCTCGAGGTGCTTCACGCCGCTGTGTCTCAGTTGTCAGGTCTCCGTGGCGCAGAGGATATAGGTGTGCGCGGGGCGTACTTACTAGTTGGAGACGCCGACGGTCCGGAGCTTCCCCGCTTTCTTCGCCTCGAGCAGGGCCCTCCAGGTCTCGAGACGCTTCTGCTTGCCAGAGAGCGGGTCGTGGATCAAGTACAGATCGAGGTAATCTGGTGCACGGCGGGGGTTCATCCACTTGCTCTCGAGGTCGAGGGGTGGAACGACGCACCGAAGCCGAAGCGCTGTAGAGAGCTGTCGACCGCCTTGAGCGTGCTCTCATAGCCATGCTCGCCGCTGCCACTGCCGATTTTTGAAGCTATCGGGAAGATAAATACCGGGTCGCAGGGCTTTGAACCGAGGACACGCACTGACGAAGACCTCGCTCCTCGGCACGCCGCTCTCCCGCACTGCCCGGCCGACCTCTGCCTCGTTGTGGTACAGGCGGGCGGAGTCGATGTGCCTGTAGCCGTGTTTCAGGGCGGCGACGCAGGCCGGGAAACATTCGTTGTTCAGGTAGACCCCGAGGCCCAACAGGGGCATGGTGTAGCCTGCCATGTGCGAGCAGTTACTGTTAGCAGATAATCGGAGTTGACATCCCAGGGGGAACGCACCCGAGGATAGGCGTACAGACGTCGTGATAGACAAAGCCATTGGTGACTATCGAGACGAGGGGTTGATGGTCACGACGAAAGATGGACAGAGAGCTACGAGGATAACTCTGAGATTGCGATACTTATTTATGGCAGGGCTGAGTGGTCCAGATATACGCAGCCTGTCTCGGCCGCTGTGTGGGATTGCTGACAAAAGCGAAGACAGCGAGCCTGTGCTGTGTGCATGTCCGAGGATCCGAGCGAAGTGCTGACTGATGATCGCTGTTGATTGAGCGTTACCTGGAGTCTTCATCTGCGCAGGACTAAGAGCTGGGAACGTGGGCGAAAGGAAGACAACATATCGGTTACAGTATGTTTCTCTTGCACTGTGACGCCAGATTCGGATGGGAACAAACAGTCTGTTATGCGTGTGTTATGCGCCGGGCCGGGCCTGTAAGACGATGCAGTAGTGGTAAAGGTGGAAGCGCCCAACATGGCGGTGGGCAATCGGGCGCTCGGCCCGCCACGGGGACCTTGCAGGTACTCGATATGACGTATGTACTGGGATTTCTGCGCTGCACCCGCCGTATTGCAGTACTTCTAAGTACTCAGTAGCCCACCCAAAGTCCTTCATTACGAGCGATGATTGGGCTAGTACAGGCGAGTCGGAGTACTTGGATTTTGTCATGAAGTGACTATCCTGAAGGCTACTTTTAGTTTGGGCGTGCCACACGGCTAAACTATACGGAGTAGAGGATGTGTAAGCTGTAGGTGAATCATCTTGCATTGGCACTCACTTCGTCTATAATTATAACTTCGAGTCGTGTCGATCCCTGCTCATCCTCCTCCTGGTGCCAACTTCAAAGATGCCAGTCGCACTGAAGCTAGACACGACTGTGAAGCTCCCCTCAGGTGTGTTGCATGCATTCGTGTTCCGCTGTGAATTCTGTGAATTCGAGCCTGAAATTGACACATCTGCGACTAGGCTATACCGTGCCCCTGCTGGGTCTGGGAGTCTACCAGAACGACGATTGCGTCCCAGCATGCCTTGCTGCGCTGAAACATGGCTACAGGTATGTGCGACCCATATACCGTGTTCGCGAGACAGGCTGACCATCGACCATTCCGACTCTGACAGGCACATCGACTCAGCCCGCATGTATCGGAATGAAGACCAAGTCGGGCAGGCAGTGCGCGAGAGTGGCATACCCCGCGAAAAGGTCTTCGTCAGTGCGTGACAAACTTTCCTGTCCAGGCTGGAACGCCTGGATAGACACTGAAGTCCGCGTCTATCTGGGTACTAGCGACGAAGATATACGATCCTGACCACGGATACGAGAGCACGCTGAAGGTGGTCGACGAGTCTCTGCAGCGCTTCGGTTTTGGTAAGTCAATTCAGTCAACAACTCGCTGGACTTCTGGCCCATAACTCGGACTCGGATCGCCAGACTACATCGACCTCTACCTGATCCACAGCCCACTCTCAGGCAAGAAGCGGCGCCTCGAGACCTGGCGCGCCCTCCTCGACGCCCAGAAAGCTGGCAAGATCCGCACCGTCGGCGTATCCAACTAGTGCGTCCCCGGCCAACCCCACCACACCCCGACCTAACGCTCACCACTACTCCCCAGCGGGATCAAGCACCTCGAGGAGATCCGCGAAGCCGGCCTCGCGCAGCCCGCGGTGAACCAGATCGAGGTGCAGCCCTTCTGCCAGCAGCGCCCGATCGTCGAGTACTGCCGGGAGCACGGCATCTTCGTGCAGGCGTACTGCCCGCTCGTGCGCGGCCGCTTCGACGAGCCCGTCCTCCAGGAGGTCGCGAGGAAGTACAAGAAGGACGTCGCGCAGGTCCTCGTCCGGTGGTCGCTGCAGCACGGGTGCGGCAGCCCCCTCTGTCTCTGCGTTGCGACGATCATGCTGAATGCGTGTGTGCGGATGTATTGTAGGTTCAGCCCGCTCCCGAAGTCGGCCCGCCCCGAGCGCGTCGTCTCCAACGCAGATGTGTACGACTTCCAGATTTCGGAGGAGGACATGGCGAAGCTCGACGCGCTCGACAAGGGCGCCGCGGGCGCGACGAGCTGGAACCCAGTCGATGCAGAGTGAAGAGATCTCGCATGGTCGAAGCATGGTCGAAGAAATGACATACGTACTGCCGAGCCCAGCGACGAGGCGCGCGCCGTCGTGCACAGACCCTAGATGATCGACGAGAGCGCGACGTAATGTAGAATAGACTTCGCAGTATGATGTACGCCTGGTGTAAGCGTGAATAACGTTGTAGAGATACAGAATGAGAACGTGTCCGTGTCAAAACATCACTGTCCTGTCTGGTATGAAAAACATGTCCAGTAAATCATGGAGGGTCCGATGCTACCCAAAGTAGCCACCCGCTTTACGTCTGAGGCGACCATTCCAACGACGCCCACAAGCGCAACCAATCGCGCAGCGAACTCAATCGCTGCACGGTGAGCAAACCCATCCTCGAGCCCCCATCGAAGCACCGCCTCTGCTCCATCACCAAAAGCATCTGCGCCACACCAATCCCGTTAGTCAAGCATCACACACTGACTCAACGGGGTACGCACGTCACAAACGAGATCATGCGCGGCCTCTTCGTGCATCATGCATACGAGCGAGGGGAGGCGCGGGAACAGGCTCGAGATTTCCTGGAACACCTCGTTGAAGAGCCCGTAAAATACCGGCCAGACGGGGTCGGGGATCGTCCGCGCCGGGCTGCGCTGGCCCGCCTTCCGAGCGAACTCCTGCTTGACGACCTCGATCCATGCGGCGGCCTGGCTGAGCTCCGACGGGGAGGGCGAGCGCGCTCCGCCAAGCGCCACGAAGGGCTTGAGAATGCTCTGGTAAGGGATTGGCTGATCGTGCGGGGCTTGGCTGCTTGAGGGCGTCGAATGTCCGCGGTTTTGCGCGGATGCCCGCGGGTCGCTGGTGTGCGCCGCCGTGGGATCGCCGCTCGTAAATGGTTCCGAACCATCCTCTTCCGCTCGTGGTAGGCTAGCGCCAGTGCGGCCTTTGCGGGAGGACCCTCGAGGTTCGGCTGGTGAGGACGAAGGGACCGGCTGGCTTGTCGGCCGCGCACACTTGTCGGCCGCCTTCCCGTCCAGAGGGGCCAGCATGGCAGTGCGCCGATGGCACTCTTGCCGATTGCGAAGAACATGCCACAAAAGTGGCCTCGTATGCTCCAGCAGTTCAAAGACACTCGGCGAGACGTTCTGGAGGCTGAGCTCCTCCGGTGAAAACGGGATCTTGTTCAACAAGTCGTCCATGAGTGCCCACGCGTCGTTCGGGAGGTGGCCGACAGCGTTGGATTCCGCCCACTCCGTTACGATTCCCCGCGTGGCATCTTCGATTGCCCAACATTCCAGATTGAAGAGGTAAACGTCGTATACCTGTTGCAGCTGACTCCCGATGATGTCCCTCGATTCTGCAGATACGGCCGTCCAGCGTGCCGGGTGGTCAATCAGTCCTAGCCTCGCCGCGACCATAGGCCACTGTCGAAGGCGAGTAGTCTGCGATTTTTGTGAGTTACGCGCGTAGAGAGGAGTAGCATCACATACCACAAGATAGCCATCGCATATGAGGACTTCGAGAAATAGAGCATACAACTCAATCGAGTTGTCCTCGAATAATGAAACACGCTCCACGACGGGCCTTTCGTGCGTGGAGCAGTAGGTGGCAAATATGTGATGAAAGCTCTCCTCGGATGGGAGAAATCGTACCGATGCGTCGGACATGGGCTCAGGAAGCTAGAATACAGGTTACAGTCTGAGGGCGGGGTAGGAGCGAGGCTTTGGAAGGGGGGACCCCTCAGCGCCGACGCCTGCAGCTTTAAGGCTGCACACGAGCCACTCGTTGCTACGAGGATACCATTCATCGCCCAAGTAGTGGCGAACTCGCACCTCAACCTCTTTGTCTGCAGGACGGCCACCCTTGCATTGTCGTTGCCACTGGGCCTCGGCGAGCGCAGCTGACCACCCGGAAAGTCAAAGGAGCTCCGTTATCCAGGACATGCATGTCATGAATACAACCCCGATTGCTGGGTGTAAGATAGACTCGCGAGGTACATGAACAGCTGGCTCGCGTTGCTCGTCCGTGTCAATCTTGAGGCAGCCGCAGCAACTTCATTTGCAGATGTAGAGCGGCTGAAGCCAGTGAAGCCTTGAGGGCGGAACCAGATGAGTATAGAGACAATTCCTAGACAGTAGTTCCGCAAACATGGAGGCAATGGATGGCCTACGAGAGAGGCGGGTGCAGAAGAGTTCGGCAGATTTGGAAGGTGCCCTGCCGTAAGAGGAAGGTTTCGTGCATCAGGGTCACGTGGATACCCACCACCTCGCGTAACTGGACAGTCTGGACTTGCCCGTGGGGGCCTGACGATGGACATATCCTCTCTCCAGATCCCTGTTCATCCCTTCATTCATCAGACATATGTATGATCACGATCAACGCGAATCCATCGTCCGGATTTCTTGGAAGTTCAGCTCTCTTAAATCTGCAAACTCGAAGACGCGTATGCCACCCATTGGGCACATGGGTTAGCCTATGATTCGTGTCCAGCGGTTGAAAGTCACAGTTGCGAGCCCTCGTTACTGTTGGGCCACCCTCCTCCCAGTGAGGCGCCTAAAATGAGCTCGTGAGTCAATTCGAGGCAGGAGGGCTGCTAAAAGGTCAGTAGGAAGATATCTTTGCGATTGCGCCGATAACGAACTTGAAGCGCGGTGCATCTGACTCTCAGTCTCGTTCGTATTCTTGACCAGGCCCTACACCATCGGGTTTCGTCCGTGCGGAAGGAGACGACTGTAGGACTGCAGTACTGGCGCGGTGTTCATCGCAACACCGTACATTCGCGCTTGCGGTCCTGGACCCACTGATGGCTGCCTCAGAACCGCCGAAGTATGACCTCTCTAATGAGAGCCCAACCGAGAAGCGCTCCTTTCTGAGGGAGGCCGCCAAACGGGCAGAGCTGTATCACGGCCGTGTTGCATTCCTGAACAAGCTGCCTTTTTCTGCGGTCACCGTGATAGTCCTGGTTGGTCTCGTTAACGCGTTGGTATGGATCGCCGTGGGCATCGTACTGGTACGTCTCCGATCCACAGTTTCATTATATACTGATGTCTATCCAGCACTATCATCCGTCAGTAATGCGAAATTACAGCCCGGAAGTACACGGACATTGACCTGGTACACCGTGACAGGGCGCTCATATCCACGGCGGTACTGTCCTATACCCTAGGACTCCGACATGCACTAGACGCAGACCATATTTCTGTTCGTCGCATCTCAAACCCATCTTCTAAGCCGTCATTGATTATTTGTCCCATAGGCTATCGACCTGATGACCCGCCGTCTCATCGCGTCCGGACAAAAGCCCGTGACAGTCGGGATGTTCTTCTCTTTGGGCCATTCGACGTAGGGCACACCGACTTCCCCGTCCAACCACAGCTGACAGTACATGCAGTATAGTGATCGTTACATCCCTGGTGGTAGCTGGTACCGCCGCGGCGGTGTCAAATAGATTCGACAGTTTCTCGCGCGTAGGCGGTATCATCGGGTCGTCCGTATCAGCCGCGTTCCTGATCCTTTTGGGGATTATGAACATTTACATCCTCTACAAGCTGGTGTGCCAGTTGCAGCGAGCCATCGCTGCAGATTCGGACGAGGCAGACACAGGCATGCCATTCTATGGTGGAGGTTGTCTGTTCAATATGTTCAAAGGACTCTTCAAGATGATCGACCGGTGCGTACTGCTCAGCACATTTGATAGGGCACGTATTGCATATTGACCCATTGACTGTCTCACGCAGGCCATGGAAGATGTACCCTCTCGGCGTGCTCTTCGGGCTCGGCTTCGATACCTCCAGCGAGATCGCGCTCCTGGGCATCTCCTCGATCGAAGCCGCGAGCGGCACGTCCTTCTGGCTCATCCTCATCTTCCCGCTGCTCTTCACCGCGGGCATGTGCCTCCTCGACACCGCCGACGGCGCGCTGATGATGAGCCTCTACACGTCTACGACGCTCGCGCACGACCAGATCGCCGTGCTCTATTATAGCATCGTCCTGACGGTCATCACGGTCATCGTCGCGCTCGTGATTGGAGTCATACAGCTGCTCACGATGGTGCTCAACGTCGCAGAGCCGTCGGGCAGGTTCTGGGATGGCGTGGAGAAAGCGGGGGATTGCTATGAGATTATTGGTGCGTCAAGACCTTGTCAACCGGCCACTTGTGACTCGAACCATTTGATTCACTGCAACGCGAACAGGTGGCGCCATCTGTGGCTCGTTCATCGTGTTCGGCACGCTTAGTGTCCTACTATACAAACCTTGGCGCCGCAGAATCGACAAGCAGCGCGACATCAATCTCGCTCTGCTCAAGGCTGAGGATCCGGAGGGAGCGTCCGGAAAACAGAGGTGCGATCGGAAAGACGACGAGTGTGGGAAGGACCCATCCCAGGCCGGGGAACTGGTCATCTCGGAGAGCATGTATCAAAGCCATGGGGAGCAAGCACGAAAGTGTTGATTACGATATTGTCTGTGCACGAAGTAGACTAGGTGTGAACAACGTAGAGAGGCGACGGAATCGTGCAATACAGCTTCAAATCCGCAGAGACCGGCGCAATAGCCAGTACTTACGCGAGGCACACTGGTTCGCGCGAGGATGGAGGTCCGGCAATGCTCCTGTATGATGTCTGTCGCATCTGGTGGGCACCGGTGACGCTAGTAGTGGTAGTCGATTCTTCAAAGATCGACTGGCATGTCAGCCAAAGCAAGAGCGCAGCCCATGTCCCACATACACTCACAGCGGTACGTAGGTCAGTCGGAGCAGGCGCCGCTTCTCCCAAGGCGCGAACAGCACGCGCATGCCATCATAGTCTGGCGGATCCCCTCCCAGTCGCCAACGTTTGTTGCCGGAGCTGTCGTGCGTGAGCATCAGTCGGAAGGCGATGTTCACGTCTAGGAGGCCTTCGTATTTGCTGCTCTCCATGATTTGGTGCAAGGGATGGATTATATATGGATCTGGCAGACCTATCGGGAGAGCGAACTTCTCTCCAAGGGACCGATGCCATATGGATGTTTCTGCGAGTGTGTCGGAAGAGTGAGCACACGCAGGTTCACCATCGGGGAGGGACCAACCGATGTTTTCAATGCATGATGCGTTGATGCCGGATAGTATGGATAGGAGTTGGTCGACGAAGTGATCCCAGCTGGGTTCACTAACCAACGTGAAGCGGATGTGCACGAGGTCCTCATTATGCGAGAGGTCGTAATCGGCAAGGGACGCCACTGTAAGTTCGTCAGCGCGAAGGGAACACCCAGCTGCAAATCAAACACGCACAACAAGCAATATCGAGCTGAAGTGTGCGCAAAGACCGACCGGCACGCTGGATAAGTTGGTTGATCTCGCCAGTCAGTCCCGAGTCGATCGCGCTGCCCGCTATGGCGCTTTGGTGCACGTCGTCCCTGAGGCGAATGAATGATACCGAGTCGCAGATGGGCGTGCTGATCAGCCACCGGATGAGTGCGACACGGTGCGAAGGCCGCGCGTCACGCAGAGGCCTCTTTGCGTAGAGGCGTCTGGGACTTGCGTCGAAGGAATACAAGAGGAGAACCAAGGTCCGCAGCCGCGGGAAGGCTGTATGAGTGAGCCGTGAGGGTGACGCGGTCCCGATTGCACGCGACTCTTGTCTGAAGTCGACTCGGCCGATGGTCAAGTGGGTGAGATTACTTAGCGATAGTAAGAGTCGCTGTAAGTCGTGGATGTTGTACAAGGAAACCATCCGCAGGTCCAGTTCTGAGATAGTCGAGAGGTGGCGCGGAAACGCTCTGAGGAAATCAGAACGAAGGATCAGTTTGGACCAGGGGGCGCCGTCGGTGTCGACCAACACCACCTGCAGTGAGGGTAGTGCGGCTGCGAGCACCAGAGGAAAAGTCGGGGTGCACGAGTTGTTGTGCAGATACACCTTCCGTGTCGCTACCAGCTGCTGTCTGACTCTGGGAACGTTCAGTACCAGCCATGCGAGTTTGTCGACTTGTCGGGAGTGTCTGAGCATAATAATCTCGTAGAACACGGTGATCGCGTGGGGATACCATGCACGACAAACCATGGCCGCCTGGAGCGTGTATATGTGGCCTTCGTAGAGGAATCCCATCATATACTCTTGGATCTCCAACGGGACTCGATCGAAAGACTGGGAAATCTTCGCTGGACGGATCTCTTGATCAGGGATTATGACATCAAGTGGCCCTATAGAAGGTGTCGGGACCCGGTAGAGAACTGGTTGTGATCTCGACGTCGGGCGAATGTCTTGATTACTGTCGGGGACTTCGACATCCGCCGGTACCGTAGGTCTTGACTGCGAGTTGCGAATGCGACCGATTATCGTCAGCGGTAGCCTCGCAAGGCGCCGCAGAAGCCCGTGCTTCTTCACGTTCTGTCTGCCTTGAGAGGACATGACGGCTTGGCGGCGCCGGACAAGACTGAGCGACCTGTCGGATGTCAACGAGGACATGGATCATGCTATGAGTATCTGTACCAGAGAGCGACTCACCAGTTGGCGCAGATGGCGCGGATGGTACGGCGCACGAAAGGTGCACTAAGACGGGGTAGTAAGTGGCGGTGAGTTCTGAGATATGATATGACTGAGCGGAGGTACAAACCGTGATTGACCCCGGAGTCGGCACCGCCTAGAGTAGATGACATGGGTTCAAAGACTCAGTACCACAGCATACCGTTGTCCTCGTAGACCTCCTACATTCGGATAGTCTGTATTCGGAATCCGGATAGCTTGGACTCTGATGCACGCTCTCACGAGACACAGAAGGGTGGAAGCCCGGCCCTCTTGCGCCAGCTTCAGATGCTATGGGCATGATTAGTATTGGTACGCGGTCCACTGGCAGTCGCCCAGCACAGGAAGTGACACATCGACTGCAGATCTAATGCACTGCTCTTGTCCACATCCACTCGTTCCTAGGGACGACCACCACGTGTATCTGTGAATCGACTACATTCTCGTACACCGCTTCTAGTACTGCTCACAATTCAGACACCGTACATACGCGTGCGTGACCTCTGCTTAGGCGCCGACCGCAACACCATTGCTCTGAAGGTTCTTCAGGTAGTCGATCCTGAACGGGTTCGTGTCGGTGTGCTCGCCGCGGTAGTGCGCAATCCACTTCGGCTCGTCCTGCATATATGTTGTCAGATCACACGCCGTCCATCACAACGCACTGTGGCACACGCACCTTGAAGAGACGCATGGTGCGCGACCTCATGTTCGTGTCGAGGCCGAAGCGGTGGTAGATGCCAGCCGGGAGGACGATCATGTCGCCCGAACCGAGGTGAAGACGGATCCAGGAGTCGGTCGGGGACTCTGTCAACCAATTGTGAGCCTGAGGTGAGGCGGTCGGCGTGAAGGAGCACATACCCCGGACGTCGAAGTAACCGCCGCCCTCGATGATATACCTGATCTCCTCATCCTCGTGCATGTGCCTGCATGCGCGCGTCAGCTCATGATAGCCATGATCTAAGTACGTACGACACGTACTCGTGGTAGAACTTCTTCAAGTTCGCCTCGAACTGGTCGCCCATGCCCTCCTTGGTGACGAAGACGATGTCGCGGTTGCGGTAGCTGCGCTCGTCGGCGATCACGTCGACCTGGCTCTCCCACTTGCCCTCGGCGTCGACGGGGATGTACCAGCGGAGGACACCGAGCTTGTCGAGGATCTCCTCGGGGACAGCGACCCCGCTGTCGTGCGGGAGGCGCTGGTCGCTGGGGTCTTCGTCCATGTAGTACGCGCGCATCTTGCTGGAGTGTGTTCGCTGCGGGGCAGAGCACTAGAGGGCCCGGTGGGTGTGGCGGGCTGCTTTATATCAGGATGAGACCGGCAGCGGGGAGTCCCATGATGAGGTCGTGATCGCGTTCTTCGAATGGCATGGGCCCTGCTCTCCTTCTTCCTCCCATCTGCCCCCTCTGCGGCCGCCAGCGGAACTTGTCTCGACACCACGCACCACAGTGCCCGGAGGGTCGCGGATGGCGCAGAAGCCTGCTGGGTTACGCCTGAGCCATGCCGGTGGGTACACCCTGCGACCTTCCCGAGTCTAACTAAATTAAACCAACAGTAGATGGGCGGGCTGACCCACTGCATTGTCCAGCGGACAGTCCACGTCGGGTCGACGGCTCCCCGTACGTGTAAATAGCATGCGCGAGTGCGGTGATTGTGGCTATAGTATGCGCCCAGATGACGGTGCAGCTCTTGTTCGCAGTGCAGCAGCATGTTCACGAGGACATATTTCACCCGGCGACCCACTCCCAGTGGCGGCAGCAAGGCAATTGCGGACTCAGAGGGCCTATTGTTGGCATTAGACGTGCTGCTATGTGAGTCGCCATTCGCTCTTCAGGTTGACGAGTTCGCCGCGAAGTGCTCGGTCACGCATACGACCTACGGACGACTCGTAACATTGGGTTACGTACTAAGGTCGTCGTTCGCTTCTCGGGCGGTGGCAGTAGAGCTTGTAAGTTTCCAGACGTATCTATTCTTACCTTTGCTAAGAATACCTCAAGCCTAAGTATAGGTATAATAGAAACGCATCGTATCGCCAGACGGGACTGCAGTGGCCGTGTAAGCCCGAGATCCGTGCTCCAGCGATTGTGAGAGGTGTAGTCGTTGTTGCCTGGCTTTTATGTAGGGTGCTCATCGCGGTTTTCTGCTATCCTTCTGTCATTTACATTCCGAGAAGGGGTCTCCCAGGAGTGCTTACGTCTTTCTCACCCATTGAGATAACCCTCAGGCTCTAGTCGGTTCAGAGCGTGCGCAAGGATCCGCACGATGATGTATGTTCGCAAATCTGCCGCAGGCACCCTTGCTTCTCAACCCGTTGTACGTCCGCATGGTATCTCGACTTCCCGAGGTTGAACGTTGAACCGTCGCGGGGTCTTCGAAGTCTCAGGAATGCTCCAATACTACGCTGTTTCTCGCGCATTCGCGCAGGCTCTGCTGCGAGAGGCTTGACCTCATGGAAGCAAGGCGCGGCAAGGCTCTGCGTGCATTGGCAAGTGTTAAATAGTATTCTTTCACAGTTCGAGTCCTTGGGATCATCCTAGACGATAACCACTGTCCGCACCTTAACGGTGAAGTTTGTGGGATTGCAGGTACGCTACCCGGCTCTCAGAATAAAGGCATATGCGAGGCATGATGTTGGGATAGGCATGCCGTCAGCACATCTTTTGCTAGCACTTCCACTTCTGCTTCACCGAATCCGTCAACGCATAACATTTGAGATCCAGCATTCCAGCGACCAAGTTCTTGTACCCGATTCAGCTCATGGGATCCTCCACATAGCAATCCCTGCACGCTCCTTATCAATCTTATTCTTAACCTCCTTACTCTCACCGCTCTGGACAGCAGCAGCAACCAACACCGCCACCGCATTGCGCACGGCCGCCCTCTGCGCCGGCGTGCCGTTCTCCTCCTTCTGGCCGTCCGCCGGCGCCTCGCCGGGGACCTCAACGCGCGCCCAGTCGACGCAGAGGTCGACGTACTCGAAGAGCACGCCGACGAGCCCCGCGAAGGTCTTCGTGACCGCCTCGTCGTCGCCGCTTGGCACGGCCGGCGCGTCCAGCGCCCCTGCGTCCGCACCCTCCGGCGGGAGCCGCACGCTCCAGATCTGCTCGAGCGTCCGCCCGACCCATGCGACGAGCGGCGCACCCACTGCGTTCGCACCGCCAAATCAGCTTCGAAGGCGACGAGCGAGATAAAGGAGCGACTCACCGCGCGCGGGAAGGACGATCGCGGGGCACCCGTTGAGGAGCGTGTAGTTGATGACGCTCTCGCTCGGGCGCTGGCTCGTCGTCCACAGCTTGCGGTGCGGCGCGAGCCCGACGACGAGTAGTACGAGGCGGCGCGGCTTTGGCGGCGCGGGGAGCGGTGTCAGCGCTGGTTCGGGAGAGGGCGTGCGGGAGCGCTGCATCATGTGGGAGAGGCTGGGGAGGGAGAGCGAGCTGTGCTTGGCGCTGGCGGGGGCCGTTGAGCTGGACTCGGTGGCTGCTTCGGCCTCTGGCGGGGCGGTTGGAGAGGAGGATGGGGGAGGGGCGAAGGTGATTACGGAGGCGGATTCGGCGAGGAGAGTCTCCCCAACACGGTAGTCGCCTGTGTGCCATGGTTGGTACATCATGCTACTGCTCTGCTCAGTGTACATACCTGAGAGGAACGGCCCATGGCAGAACACTACGTCTGGTTTCATCTAGCCATAGTGATCAGCACCCTCCGCAGATCCGATGCTGTGGACTCACCGAGCGAGGGATAATCGGGCGTCGTCCGCTCGCGAATAGGTATGGCGAGAACCAACCCTTCTCTACGGCTAGGTAATCCATGACCGATGCAAAGAGCGACAGATCTCTGTTGGCGTGTACAACACATCAGTCGAAAGGTCCCCTTCGTAGTAGGTAGATCCGCGTACTGGTGCACAGAGCTCCGGAAGAACCCCAGCGCCGCGTCCTCGACGATATGCTTGTACTTCAGCGTGATCAGCATCGTCTTCACGCCCGTCGTCTGCAGGCGCGCGGAGTGGATCGGTATGAGCGCGTTGGCGGTCTTGTCGAAGACGAGGTCGTTCGCCACTTTGGTGGTGAGCTCGAAGCCGACGTGCGTCCCGAGCTCGACGACCAGCGAGTCGCCCACGGTGCCTATGATGATGTCCGAGATGGGGCCCATGGCTGGCGCTGCGATGGCGGCCATGCCGCCCTAATAATTGTGTGTCAGGTTATCGGGGATGTGCAGTTGGGATCACGTACGGTCGCTGCGATGACAGTGTGCACGGCGAGGTCGCGGAAGCGGATGCATGGGAGCAACAAAGGCGAAGAGTCTCCCCACTGCCAAAAGTAGCGTCAGTCCGTGCACAGATGTGCGGTGATTGCAGAGGAAGTGCGATCATCAGCTCGCGAGGTCCGTTGACTAGAAACGCAAGACAACGAAGCTCAACAAGGGTCGACTGTGACTGTATCGGGGTCTTGCATCCCTTCAGCACCGGCTTGTTAAAAACGCAGATAGACTTCGAGGCTGCCAAACGGCTGTGCCGACAACAAGTGCATACACCGATACTGGCATGCAGGACAGCACTCTTCTTGGCAGTTGTTGTTCGTGCAAGATCGTCCTACATCACTTCCACTACCAACTGTGGCCGCTACGAACTGACAAGACATGGCAATGGACATACCGGGGAGAGACACACGACACTCGTGCCCGCACTGCGCAGCGTCTCATAGCTCGACATCACGATCCGGCCCGTCATAGACTATGGTATACCGAGTAATCAGACTCTTTCCCCGCTGCTGCTCGTATAGACAACCTGACAGACGTACCCCGACCAGCTTCCTGACGATCCATGGCGCCGCCTTGTCCTCCTCCTTCGTACCGAGCGATTCTGGGTCGATCGGTCCTAAGGCAGATGCTTGGGACATCGCGGATTACGAAGCCAAGGTGCAAACACTGGCAATGCAAGGCGATGCAATTATGATTGCAGTACACACTGTGTAGTGTCTTCGCTATCGCAGATCAGATTTCTAGCGTGGACTCGCTATAGCTGCTACATAACGGCCTTAGCGATACACTTGCACATACATACTGAGTATTGCGAAACTCAGGATTGCAGTGCGATGCAGCGTTTTGTTTGCGGAAAGTGAACGTACGTGGGAGTCTGGACAGCGGACAGATCTAAAATGATCCCAAAAAGCAAAAAGATACGACACCAGCAAGACTTGAACTTGCGCTCCCATAGGGAAACAGATAACCCGAGTACTCCTATTGCAAGGCGTGATATTCGAATCTGTCGCCTTAACCACTCGGCCATGGTGCCTTACTCCTATTAGATCTACTGCATTGTAAGTGGCAGTGTAGAGTTCCATCACTCATTGACCCTGACCGACACCCGCTAATACGCTGCCCCACATATGGCGATATTCATACTCAAGGAAATTTTCGCAGTAGCAGCGCCCCAGATGTGTTCACTTATCCGTAAGCAGCGCGATATGATGAGGTGGTAGTCTGGCTACTGCGGGTGGTAGCGAATTACATAATTCAAGTTGTCCAAGATGGATCCTGGCTCTGAGCTAGGGTTTCTACTGCTCGGCACGGCGTTTCAGGCGTGTATACAAGGCATTCAAACTGTGGGCCCGAGGAGTGTGTTGCATGCATCTCGGGCTGCCGACGGAGAATCAGAAAACTGTTTTGCAAGTCACGCGGCAAGCGGCAAGCCCATCCACGACCGCATTAGTGACCGTCGGACGGACAACGAGTTCCTATCTTTCAATAGCGAGAGCCAATCCTAGTCAGAAGTATTGGGAGGACGCTTCTGTCGGACGTAAATGCTGAGGTGAGTGTAGCCCGGACCGTCAAATTTGTCGATCCAAGTCAGCCTGAGGTGTCTGATGTTTCCCACCATCTTCAAGTAGCTGGAGGACATTGACATGGCAGCGATGGCGAGTCAAGGAATCGTGGTTGAGGTGCTGCAAGGGCCGGTGCAGGTGGATGACTGTGATCATAACCAAGGATATTGTACGATAGTCTGCACTGAGTCGGTGTTCAGCGTGTCCGTCATTGATGATGAATGAAGACAGGGACTCACCGCAAATACGACCACAACGAGCAAATGGATATGGTGACGCAGTTAATGGGTCTCCCAAGCAACTTCGGCCCAATCCTCGTTCTCGCCTGCCGTGATTGTGAATCCAATCTTGCTGTACAGACGAACAGCACTCGGGTTGCTAGGCTCAAAGAACAGGCAAACACTATGCACTGTGCCGTCCTCGAACACTCTGCGAGAATATAATTGTTCCGTCAAACCATTGGACTCGAAAGAGGAAGAACACAAGCACCTTTGCAACGCATATCGGACAAGAGCTTCTGCGAGGCCCAGCCCACGAACCAGTGGGTCCGTGTAGGCCTTCGAGACGGCCCTGACCCCAGGTGTCTCTCGCGTGATCGAGACAATTGAGCGTAGGACACCGTCTACACGCGCGCCGTACAGATGTCTACCGTCGATCAGCTTCTTCGCATGCACATACGCTGCCGCAGCATCGAGTGGCGGGGGGACTGGTTCGTCCATGGGATGGGTGGCGCGTTCAGACATAGCCGCTGCAACGCCTAGGTCCGCGGGCGAGCAGAGGCCGAGAGTGACGTTCGAGGCTAGGGATAGCGTGGAAGGGCGTAGTGTAGTCCGCGTAACGTGCGTGAGCGCGAAGTCCATGATGAGCTTTGGCCGAAGTCCATATGCGGAGCCCCAGGCGTCCGCGAACGGCTCACAAAGGGCCTTGGGACCCATGATGCCGAAGATCCTTGTTCCAGCTACATTCGCCTCTCTAGCAGCGAGAAAGAGCTGGTGCATGGCATCGCTGACGCGAGCCGGCGGGAGGCCTTTAAGGTCGACGGACGACGCGAGTCTACCAGCGTGGTTTCCAATAATGGCGAGTGCGAAGAGTGGTCTTGCGTCGTGCGGACAATCGTCGCAGCAAAGAATTGCAGATATCCAGAAATCATCGCCGCTTCCTGACATGCCTTGTTCATTACGATGCTCCTCTAAAGCATACGTTGTCGTGAGCGCGAAGTTGGCGGAGATGCTACGCGTTGCCACAAGTGCGGGTGCACACGCAACCAGGAAGTCATTCGCACTACGATAGGTTCGGATAGCGAAGTCGGCGCCCATTGTGAACTATGTGAATCAGTGTTGCGCCACCGTAGCGATGTATACCAAGTGCCCTCTTGCATGACTTCAGCCGCGGTTCTGCGATATAGACGAGGACTTACCGTACTCCGTCTTGTTACTCTACCAACCTGTGTTCAGCATGTTACATCGCAAGCACGAAAAGAAGACATACATGCAACAAGTGCCAATAGTATGTGTGTGGCTGTCCTCAGGTAAGTGATGCGACGTCGAGTCATTCGACCCGTCGCAGTACCCCAGACGGTGATTGCGCAATACATCGGTTACATAAGCAACACCATACCTACTTACGTTCCGTAAGTATCACGCTGCCACATTTGAAGGGCATTGACAAGAGGACGTACAATCAAACCGTTGCGCTTGCAATGCGGCAGTGTCACCTGCATACATGCCGTTCATAGCCACGCATTGTGAATGTCCTAGGCCCGAATGTGGTGAAAAGGAAAGGCGGCGAGCGGCATAAACGAGACTGTACGCATATATGCGTCGGACGTGCACGGTACCGGTGACACGCGAGATTATAGCTGTTAGTACCGAGTTGCTATCCACAACAAAGAAGAGGCGTCGCCGATCCACTGTCCATTGTCGGAGCTGTATCGATGTTGCTTCACTCGACGAACCCGACATCCAGCTTCCCTTGTAGTAGGCAGCTGCAAGTGATTGGGATCGCTCGAATGTAGATGGGTAGGAGAGCCAGAGATCCATAGAGCACTTGCGCGGTTGAAGCACAGGCAACGAACACCTCAGCACTTGCTGTAGAGCTGATCGCTCGTGCACGCCGGAACGGGCATGCGCAGATGAAAGCAGGGTCCATTGAGCAGCTGAACTAGGGGCTACAATACAGTAGTGAACAGAGCAGACCACAGAGCATTCCGAGACGACATCCGAGATACGCGACAGTTCATCCAGAGAGACCAGTCAGAGCAGCGAGCGCGAGCTTGATCCGGGTTACAAATTCGTTGAGACGTTGCCGAGTTTTCTCTTGAGTGTCAAAAGATGGTAAGCATAAAGTCAGCCTCGCGGAACGATGGCAGGACGGGATGTGGTAGAGAACACCAGCCTACCGATGAAAGACGACATGCCTTGTTCTTTCTCGAGCTCAATGACCGTCTTCACCTCTTTCTCCAGCGCGTCTGCAGTTGTGTCGCTTTCATGCGCGGGGCGGGCCGTTGACCATGCGTGAAACTCCAGCATCAGTTCCAGTAGCATGACGTTCAGCTCTGGAGCGAAGACGAGCACCGGTGGTCAATAAAACGGCCTAGGCTGCGCGCAGCCATGCTATATAGTTCAGAGACGCGCATATACGCACTTTCTAGGAACTCGACGTCTCTCCGCGACTCGCTGTCGAATGGCTCTACGACAGTCGCCCGATGGTCAAAGGATGGGTATGTTTTTGATATCACATCTGCGATAGCGCGCCGCCGAGAATTCTCAGAGATGATGACCTTTTCTTGACTGAGAGGACTTGATCCCTGAGAAGACATAGCCAGCCGTCGCCAGTAGGATATGGTTGCGGTACAGGATGTAGAAGCGTTCGTGCTTGGGACGCTCACTGATGCCACCTGGAAAACCACGTGATCGCGTGTCAGCAACGCGACGCCGCGCTGGCACTCTGGCAGTCTCGGTTTTCGGAAATATCCAAGAAATATCTCTGTGCACAGCCGTATAGGTTTGCATGCTCCCCTGGCGACATAGATTTCGCACCTTCTGATAAGTAGGTCAAGATAGATGTCATTGCTTACACGCATTTCGGATCTACTACTACAGACAGGCATTGAAGGACACAGGCGTTACTAGTATCGTGAAGAGAGAATATTCCTACCTACATCATGGACGTACAGCACCGTAAGGATCGTGTCAACTGATACAGCTGAGAGGACTGTAAAGCTACATTAAGATAAGTCGTTCCGTCGTTTGACAGAACGCCGAGAGAGAATGTCCAACTCGAGTCGCACCAGTGTACACGTAAGCCCCCACGCAGACGACGCACCAAACACAGCACTCCGCAGGCTGAGCCGGATCCATCTCAGGTACGCTGGCGGAACGGAGGGCCCAGGACTTGTATCGACTTGGGGATCGCACTACGCTCCAACCCGCGAATCTTGGCCTGCGGACTGACTATACGACCCTTACTCGGACTCCAGGACGACATCGTCTCGGCGTGCTGACGCTGCCTCTTGCGGCCCATGTTCGTCCGAGTCGGCGATGTGGTCTCCAGGGAGCGGAGGCCCCTGGACCGAGCAGGAACCGTCTGGAACTTGCGCTCCTTCGGCGATGGCGGTGGCGACCGCTCCAGTCGAATGGTGGAAGTGGAGAATGCCCGCTTCCACGGCCGGATGAAGTCTCGCGTGGCTTTCTTCAGATTCTCGTTGTACCGAATACTGGGCCCCGCACCCACATTGTACTTGCGCTTGCGCTTCCTGGGCGGCGAGGGTGCCAGCGCCGCAGGCTCGAGCCGCAGGAAGGGCGCCACATCGAAACCGCGAGCGTGCGGAGGACTGGGCCCTTTCCCTGGAAGTCGCGAAGGCGAGTGCCGGGGCGTGACGAACAAGAAGTCCTCGGGGGTCTGGGCGCCGACCTCGAGCGAATGCGAGTGCTCGAACTCCCTGCTCGATGCGCCACTCCGCGATGGAGACGAATTGCCGTCGGCGCGAGCCAGTAGCGGCTCACGAGACTCGCGGTGGGGAAGGCTGGTCCTCGCCATGGTACCTCGGCGGGGTGGTGTACGGAACAAGTAGTCCGACATTTTGACTGAGAGGATGTTAACGGTTTGAGTGGCGAGGAGACCGAGGGCGCTTACGATGGTTGGTTTTTTTGATAGCACGAAACGACGGGTAGTCGTAAGAACGGGAGAGAACGAGGGGCGAGAAAGAATGTGTAACCGATCTCCGACCAGTACTGATGGTCGACGAGTCTCTTTATATATTGTCGCGAGGATACCTAGTTAGTCGGACAATGCAATGGGATAAAGCAGGTTGCATTGTGATGATAGGGGGTCTGGGCCATGACTGGCCAAAGCAAGTGATCAGGTCAGGCTGGATTGGGCCGCGCTTAGCAAACATAGGAGGATCGGACATAGCTTTGTTCGTACGCCATTGTGGCGCCGTAAAGCGGTGGCGAGCCCAAGGAGGTCGCCCCTGTGAGAACAACAACGTCGTTTGTATGTGGTTTGTTACCCTTCGTCTGCACAGTTTTAGCCTTCAGCTTGTCCGCATATTACCTAGGGTGAGACGTAATGTTCGTAGCGTGAGGGATAGAGGGAACCTACTACTACTAGTGAGTCATGAGTATAGTCGGTAGGTGCGAAGATCGTTGGTCGACTTACCGTGCGCTGCAATCCCCCACGACAGCGTTGCTTCTCGCTTACCGCCTTTCGAGCCCCTCGTCCCTCTATCCTCACTGCGTCATCCACAAATGATAACCGTTTCGACAGCAACACGCTCAGTCGTTGTACACTACGCTGGGCGCAGGGTATTGGACCGAAAAACAAGGAAACTTCAATAGGCTATATCTACAATGCTGTGAATACGTTCTGATAGTGATGATACACACGCCAGCTACATCCTGTGCCGCGTCCGCAGGGTACATTCGCAATATGAGACGACCCGCTCATGCAACAGTTGCGCCGCCGGACTTGTGCCTGAGCTGCACATCAGATTCGTGCCCTCACTTTCGCTTCACAGGACGGCAACGAGAGACTCACAACTGCCAGGCTACGGCGACGAAGGGCAGCGAGAAGCCTGTGAGGCAAAAGACCGAAAACTTGACGGCGAACGCCTTCTTGTTGTAATAGGTGAAGGGCAGGTGCTAAGAGAGCGATGAGTAGTGGACAATCGAGGGTGAGAGGTATGTCTTACGTGGTAGGGAGCGTGGCCGCCGTGGTGGCCATGCGCAGCGTGGTCGGCCTCACCATGTGCAAACCGCACTTGGCCCGCAGGGCGTCGAGATGCACGGGCAAGGGGCAAAAGTCGCATATTTGACGACGACAAACGAGAGAAGGACGACATGGCGACTGCGCTGTGTTCGACGGCTACAAGCCTGAGCTGACCGAGGGCGATGTGGGGAAAGGTCGTGGTGATTCGCAGGTGGGTATTGGGCGACCTGGAGTTGTCCTTCGCGAAGGCAGGTGACTTTGGGTCGGTGCCTCTAGACGAGAGACTATATGTACCCAACCGGGGATCAGCCCACAAGGTATTACACACCGTCTGGATGCCACCCAGAGCTAAGGCAGCTGACCCAGCCGGGGCGCGGCTGGAGGCTCGGTGGGAACGCAAACATAGTACAGTGTGCGCAGTGGAGGGCTATGCCGAACGAAGTTGATGCGTTGCGGGGATCGAGAAGGGCACGAGACCGTCTATGCAGCTGGCCAGTCAGTTCCAGAGCGCAATGCGAGCGCTGCAGCCTGTCGGCCTCCAGTTTCTGTGAAGATATTGTCCGTCAGCTCGACATTGGTGAAGAAACATTGCGTATATCTTACCCGTTGCGCAGTTCAGCGCAGGTAGAGTAAGGTTATATGGGTGGCGGGTCTACAAGACAGTTCTTGTCAGTCATGGTGAATTCTGTCAAGGACGGGATCAGGATGATCGCTTGAAGTTGTGGCGGCCCTGTGATCGAGATTCGAGACTCGGTCACTCGGACTTCATGGGCGTCTCACTATGTTTTATTCTCCGCAAGTCTATCCCTCGTCGAATACAAACTCAGACGACACTTACAGGATTGCTTATTTGCTTTATAGCGCCGGGCATCATCTGGGCATCATGTTGTCTATTCTATGCGACTCCTCATCGACATAGCATTACAGTTTCAACTGGTATGCCTTTGCTAAGGTCTGCACTCGGACAACGTACTGAGAAATCCTCAGTCCTCCGATCTGCGATTGAGGAAGGACCAACGTAGCGAGTCCTATTTATCAGACTGCTTACTCATATATCGCCGCATTGGCGTAGTGGTATGCGCGTCGCACTTGTATCGCCAGTTCCTTACTGCCGAGCAATGCGAAGGTCACTCGTTCAACCCGGGTATGCGGCATTGTATTCAATTTTTGCACTCTGTTCACATCGCTTTTCGGCAGTTGTGTGATCAATCTTGCTACTGAGTTGCGGGAGATGCGGAGTACTCACATCGTTGCCTCTCACTGTCAGACACTTGACTCATCAATGTCATTTCGTACCTATGCCTCAGTTCGTAAAATGACTCCATAGTGGAATATCTCACACTATAGGACACGCGGTGACTAGTTATCGGAAACTCCAAGGCTCAGAGTCAATCCAGCCCACATTCCCAAAGTCCCCACTAGGCGGATACTGGAAGACCTTCTCCACATTCGAATACGGCTCGTACTCCTCCTCCGTCATGAGTAGCGTCACGTTCCCCTCAGTGCGTCCCGTCAAGTTGAACCCCGGCCCGAAGTCCTCGTACTCCGCCATGGTGGTGTTATAATCGATCCGCGGGTCTGTGGGCTGCCATTCAATGTAGCCTGCGGGCCGGATGCTGTCGTCGAGGTAGCAGTGCGCGAAGATCGCGCGCATCTGTGCGTTCTGCGCGGCAGAATGACGGTTAGACATGCGAGTAAAAATAGGACAGCATGCTTGCGTACCCACGGCCTCCCGAGCGCACACTCGCCCGCGATACTCAGGCTGTTGTTCTCCTTCATGATGGCGGAGTCATGAATGTACACGCCGTACTTGTTGTCGAAGGTCGTGTTCGTGCCCTTCCAGGCGGTGATGCCGCCCCCACAGGAGCGCATCGTGACCAGCGAAGACTGAACCCACGCCGTGCCGTAGCCGTAGAAGAAGTCGGTCTGCCCGGCGATCTCGCTGTCGTAGAAGTACGCGTTTCCGAGAGTCCCGACATATATCTGGCACGCCCTGGTTAACGTCGTATATCTTTGCAGAAACGACAACAATTACCGTATCTTGGTAGCTGTAAAACCCGGTATAATAAAAGCTCGCGTTTGCATAGCTCACGTCAAGCGCAAGACTGGGTGTGTCCGAGTATGGCGCGTAGTCGTTGATGAAGTCCATGTTGTACACGCGGAAATCCGTACTACCGTACGGCGCACCCGCAGGCGCAGCGGTCAGCGTGCTCGTGCGCGCGTTGTTATTGGGCCCGGCAACTTCTGCCCAGTAAACGTGTACGGTGTTCTGCGTGCGATCATTGGGAGCGGTCGTCTGTCCGAGTAACGTCACAGGGCCGAGTCGAGTAACATTGACCTGCTCCGTGTAGTTGCCCGACGTGACCAGAATGATGTACGGCGACGTATCGTTGGGAAGACTATGAACCGCGGCCTGGATAGTTGTGTAGTTCGTTGAGGGGCCTACAAGGATCGTCCCGGCAGGACAGTCCTCGAGGGGATCGCTCGTGGGATACTGGCATGCTGCACGTTTATAGTCGAGAGGGGTGCACAGGCAGAGACAAGCCGCTAGAAGAAGGGCCAGGGCACGTAGAACCGACGTATAGCGCGCCATTGTGAAGATGATATCCTGGATACCTATGACCAGGTTTGCGGACCAAAGGGGCTAGGCTATGGCAACCATGCAGCACTAGTAGTATATATACCGGATGTAAGTACGACATGGTCCCACGCAAGGAGACCTACAATGGGTCATTGTGAGAACGCTCCGTGCACTGCGTCCTCCTCGTCGGATGCGCAGACACACGGGAGGCGTGTCGTGACAGCATTCCGGGCCGCTGGGGATTCTCGTTCCGGACGAATGGTGATTGAGCGTGCGACATGAGAAGCTTCGCGGCGCGGCGGGCGCTGCCATGGAATGACCACAACTGTATTTTGGGGCCGAGAAATAGGCAGCCGCGCAGACGGTGTTGGTCGGGATCAAGCCATGGAGCGTAGGCGCCCTGGACGGACCCAGAAACGCGTCAGAATACGGTCACGTGGATATCGCTTATTCGCAACATAACGTACGCGTAACGGCGGCGCGTCACATATATAAAGGCGTTGGAGTCTTACTAGCGCTAGGATTCCGCTCTCTTCTCATCCTTCGACCACGACAGTCCACGTAGCTCAGGTATCGCACTCACCCAACTTACAAAAATGTCCACGGCCGTATGTGTGCCCTGCTTTGTCGTCAGAACGCGGCCTGCTAAATGCTGAGACACTGACCGCGACGCGTCTACAGAACGAGACGTCCGCTCTCCCGGCAGGCTACACGCTCCTGAACAAGAAAACCATGATCTCAGAGCAGGGCAAAGAGCTCGCGATGTCTGCATTCAGGCAAGCTGACAGCCGCAACCCTGATGCACACGACATGTACATATACAACGGTCCGTTTCCATGTTTTTGAAAGGTGTTCTGGACGTGTCTGACACGTGTACCCTAGACTACTACGCCTACGGCGTGATAGACATCATCGATAAATCTCTTAGCGCGCTCCATAGCCGAATGACGAAGAAAGACTGGCCTGCCGTGATGGCGCAGCTCGAAGCGCTCACACACTTCATGGAAATGGAAAGCGTATGGGGCAGTGCGTGACACTCCTCTTTACATGAACTTATACTCACTTTTGATGATACTTTTAGTGGCCGATGACGGAGAACGCGTAATTGCGATGGTCCGGGCATACGGGGCGTGCCTCGTCGCCACCCTTCGCGCGCTCAAGAAGAACGGCGACCTCACGCCCGAGAAGTATCCCTCGCTTGAGTATATGCTCAAGGCTGCGACGAGCCTTGGTCAAGCTACGCGGGGACTAGGCGTAGACTCTGAATACGACCGTGTCTGCCAAGGGATCGGCAAACGCCTCTTCAGTGGTCACCCTCGCGAGGAGGCGCGCGCACTGCATGAGGCCCGCCACAAGGCGTGGCTTCAGACACTCCCCGCGGACGTCCAGAAGGAATTTGAAGAGGAAGCGGATGATGACGACGACGAAGAGGAGGATGAAGACGACAAACCCTGGTGGCATGGTGGAGTGGCGGGGATAGAGGACGTGAAGGACGAAGACTTCGTCCTGTCGCGCGTCTGGAAGGAGTACAAGGACTACCTCTCCGAGTGCCCAACCAAGCCGCTCCGCGGGCCGCCAATCTGGGACCTCGACAAGTGGAGCCAGGCTGACAAGGCTGCTTTCAGCTTCGACGCTATGTCTGACGACTGAGGTATGGTGGGAGTTGCCATCACAGCAGGAATGTGAACTCATTGATGTTTGCTCAAGTGTTCACGGATTTGTGATGCGGGGAACGTTTGCGGAGCGCTCAATGTGTATGATAACAATGTGAGTCCTCAAACGCGGCGCCCTGTCATCGTATGCAGCCTCAGTGCTCATTGTGAAGCGGTATAGGTCGCCGTTGATAATACCTACAAAGCGAACAATCCACGTACGTCGACCTAGGTAGCATTGACTCGCCGCAATGCTATGATAGGCACAGACTTTTAGAAACTCAAGGCTATGTTCGGTGTAATACAAATGTAGTGCTCCCGATGGCGCGGCAGACATGTTCAAGTTGGACTAGATGTGCTCCATTTGACTGGGCCAGGGCTTGCGCCTCGCGTGTACATATGACTGGACATAATATCATGACTCCTAATGCTTACAATTCATTTCGGTCTGTCGTCAAGTTTCAAGACTCGAAATCACGACTGGATTTGCCAAGGATTCGCCAGAAGGTCGGCGCGCAGTGCGGCCGGCGGCTATTTCCGTAGCTTCCAATTTACTACCGACCTACTGCCAGTGATGAGTAGAGTGCGCGTCTCCGAGTCGGCAGTATGGTGCATAGACCCGCTGCCCGTCAATCTGATCTACGTGCGTACGGTGAGATCAGTATAGTGAGTTGCTTACTCCTGAAACACTGGGTTTGGTGCATTGAAATTTTCTGCAAATACAGTGCCTCTCAGTTACTAGTACTAGCTGGCTGACGAATTAGCGGCATCCCAAGAGCATAGACGGCCAAGTTCCAACGAAGGGCTCGTATCGCCTCATGATCAACTCATGGCAATGCCTATCAAGCTTGGACGCATTCGCTGTCCATGGCCCAAGTTTCGAAGCACCAAGGCCGACCTGCAACCGTCAGTTCCGACTTACTTTGGACCGTGTAGTCTTCACCTAATGTTTCAGCACAACGTCTTAGACTCGCTTCCCGGTACCTCTAGCCGATTGCCCCTCGAGATTCAAGATAATACCATCGCCTTTCTATCTCCCCCGTTACAGTCACTGAGTCCGGCGTTCATTGCGATGACCATGCCTGTCCAGACCTGGAGTCTGAACCTGTCGCCTTAACGTGCATGTGGTCACGGCCATTCCGGCATGCTATGCTAATTCACTGGGCCCTGCCCTTGGCTCATCGGCACGTCTGCTAGTCCCTGTCCACGTTCTACGAACCGCACAACATCTCCGGGGAGGTGGTGCACCTGATAGATCGTCTCTTCAAGTTCCGAGCCATTGGACCTTCCCTGCGAAAGCTCAAGGTTTCGGATTGTGAGCGAATTCATCGTTGTATTTTTGATTGACATTTATTCACAAAAAATGCATTGCAACAGTGCCCGTCGATACATACAGTATGTCTCGCAACGTGATTTTGACGCATCTCACCTCCCGACTGCCTGCATTGACGTGGCAGCCCATCGCTCGCGATATGCATGTCGTACTTTTGAATATTCGACGCAGTCCGCACATCCAGGGGATCAGTGAGCCACGTGCACTGCCATTCCGCGTCGACGATTCTGACTGCGTTACAGCGACGTGTGTATGACTGGGAACCGACGGAGATGCAAGGCCTTCTCGCGGCGGTGCGGGAGCTCGAGTACCTGCATAAAGCGCTCCACGGCACTGTGTTCAAGAAGCTCTCCACTAGGGAGATCGATAACAGCGTTTCGGGCGCCTTTCTGGAAACTTAGCGTCGAGAAGAGGAACCAGAGGATGCTTTTCAGGCGCTCTTCGGTCCATGGCAACAAAGAGGTATGTATATTATCCCAATGGAAATTGTGGTAAAAGCACAGCGCTGATCGAGCGGGAGGCTGAGAGCCCTGCTTTCGCGTCAGACTAATCCTGTCCAGAGCTGGTCATGTGTGGCGCCGTCTTTCGCGGCTCATCTGGGTTTATAGTCACGTCTTGGAAATGCACAGTCAAGAAAACGTTGATCCAGCGTCTGATTATCGTTCATCGTGATTCCATTCAAGTATCAGCATGTGGCATGGCGGAAGAGACAAACAATTCCACGTTCGAGACTCATCTGCGCTCGACACGCAATGAACGTGAGCTCTCATGATTTAACTGCATATGCAGTGCGTTACGCTGGTGTCCTGCTAATGTACCGTATACTCACAGGCTGGCAAGAGACGAGCCATGGTTATGTCTGACCCTACCGACGGTACATCTGTACTGTATGCAGGGGCCCAAGCTCCAACTGCTCTGCAGCATATCTAACTCGAAGTTTTGAATTGATACCCGGCTTGGGAACAAGAAGGTCATTGAACTCCCGACCGTCTAGAAGTGAACTGAACCGCATGTTGCACAGGTGGCCGTGGTATCGCCTCGTCTTCGGCCTTATCGTCATGATAGTAGCTCCGACTGTGGGCGTATATATTCAACACACAATGGTCACTCTTGGTCGCCTCGCCTCAAGTGATCTCGCTGCCGCCGTTCAGTATCAAGCTACAACACGCGTGGTCAGTCGCTCATCGTAGACTAATGTTCTCCTGCTCACTCGGCTACTCAGACATCTATCACAAGTGCCCACCGTACTCACCTACGTCGTACGCACAAAGAGAGAACGCACCTGGCAGCCAAAGAGACGCATTCAGACCCACCATCGTTTTGAATCACGGTGCTGTACACGACGAGTCAACAACGCGTTGCAACCGCCGCCCCACTGATGGTGTTGCGTCCCGTTGCGTTGCGTGCGTCCAGCCGCGTCCCGTTGGAGGTCCAGGAGCATATTTTAGAGTTCATTGACGAGCAGTGCCTCGCATATCGGGCGACTTTAGTCTGCCGCGCTTGGTACCCAATCGCGGTGAAGCTGCTCTACCAAGAGCTTGACTTCTCCCACACCCACTATACCGCTCGTTTGATGCGAGCAATGCTCCGTTTTCCACGAGTCAAGGAACAGTTGAAGGCCACCCGCAGGGCGGAATTCTACAAATCTAGCTTCTTTTCCTCTTTTCCGCAGGTCTTCGCGGCAGCATTACCATCTCTTCGGTCGCTGCACATCGTCGGACTCACGGACCCGCTGCACCCGAGCTTCGTTAGGGCGCTGTTCCACTTCAAGACCGTCACCCATCTCAGGTTGTCCGCCCTTTGGCTTGACAACTTTCACCAACTGCGGCGCGTCATCTTTGCGTTGCCCGCACTCGTGTCCTTGGATATTGGCAACATCAACTTCGGGCGCAACGGACGATTATTGGTCGATGATCCGCTCAAGCTCTTGCCCCCTGACATATTACCGATGTCCATCCCAACCCCTACTCGTTTGCAGACACTGCTGATCGATTTATCAATCTCAGGCGGTCATCCCAAGAAAGAGGTCGCCCTCGTACGGTGGCTCAATTGCACATCCCTCTGCCAGTCATTGTCAAGTCTTGATCTCACGTTGTTCAAATTCAACGTGATCACGAAAGCGTCATCTGATGCCACCGAGGTCGTTCGGCAGTTGGATCGTCTTCTCATGATTGCTGGACCGTCCTTGCAGAAGCTCAGTCTGCCAGTTTCTTGTGCGTGACATCCACTTGTTCTTGATCTCCCTCAGGCCGTTGTGAGCTGAGATGGAATTGATCCCCAGTGCCTATTGACAAGTTAAATCTATCATACAACCTGGGTCTGACGTACCTCAGTTTTACACTCCCTCCGGCACTGGGATGGCAATATTTCGTGGATCAGCTGCACTCTGCGTTGGATCTTGTTCCTAGTCTCTGCTTAACGGACATTCGTGAGCCAGGATTTCATCTGAAAGCGGGGTGTATATGCTGAACCGCGTACAGACATCAATGCCGTCGTCCTCACGGTCCGGCAAAGCCAATCAATGCCAGAGGCAATCCTCGCACTTGATTCGTTGCACGAATCCATGAACAGCGCAACCTTCGCTGACATTGCGAATGCACACTTGCGGATCATCAGGATGCCGTTCAGTCTCCGGTCTACAGAACTGGAGGCGCCACTCGACGTGATCCTCGCGCCATGGGCAGAGCGGGGAGTGATTCGTTGGTGAAACCCAGGCTGGTGGTCGCATTACACAAGTTCATATAGTAGACGTCAGCGCCCGACTGTAACACGCGAATACCAATGATTGAGAGCAATTGTCACCATTGATACTACGCTACACTAGCCTCCGAATGCCGACAAACAACGAGGATGATAAACGAACACATACAACACATACAACACAAGGTAAGTACAGAATATACGAAGTCGCTTTATATCGTCAACGTCCGCCGCGCACTCTCCGCGGCGCCCGAGCTTCACTATCTTCACCATCCCTGTCCCCCGTTGAGTAAAGCGAGGAAGTGGATCGCTGCGCGGTGCGCTCTACGATGGAGGTGCCATCACGGAATCGAGTCCGGAAGAGCACGTTGGCATTGGTGAAGAGACCCTCCTTGAGCGATACTACGATGAACTGCGAGCCTTTGAACCTTGTCCGGAATAGTTGCCCAATATGTTGCGTATGTGAAAGATCGAGTGCAGCGTCAATCTCATCCAGGATGTACATCGGAGCAGGCTTGAATTGAAGTAGCGACATGATGAGAGAGAGGGCGATGAGCGAGCTGTGCAACAGCCGCCGTCAGGGTAGCGCTCTCAGAACACTTGTAGAGTGTACGTACCGTTGCCCTCCGCTCAATTCTGTGAGACTTTGCTTCCATACGGAACCCAACTGAACCTTGACCTCGAGACCTTGGGTAAGGTCCTGACCTTCCGGGGGTTGTAGCTTGGCAAAATTCCCGGGCAAGAGTTCAGCGAAAATGCCACCGAAGTCACTGTATTAGATGAAGTAAGCCTCAGCCCTGAAGGAATGGCTCGTGTGCTGACCCGTTCACTTTGCTCCACGTCTTCTCTAATGCATCACGTTTGTAGCGGTCCAGTTCTTCGATGGTCTGCTCGATCTTCTCCTTGTCCTTAAGTACGGTGCCAAGCATCTTCTTCAATGATGCTTCTTTCTTCTCGACGCTGGTGACCATACGAGTCAGACTCGTACGATGTTTGTGAAGTTGTAGACTTACGTGTCGATCATATTGATGACCTTCGGATTGATCTTCTTCTTCATGCCCTTCTGCTGCGTCTCAATCTCCTTCGCCTTCTCTCTGAGGCTGCTGACATCGACATTTCTGAAGTCATACTGAGAGCCCGGCTTGCCGAAGGACCTGCAGCTTGTTAGTATTCTGCTGGCTCTACGTAACAGGTAACCTACTCGTGCTCCTCCGCTATCCAATCATATTGCTTCTCTAGGTTAGTGATGAAGTTCGTGGCAGCCGTCTTCTCTTTCGCCAGTGCCTGCAAGTCGTGCTCCAGCTTCTTCAGCTGCAGGTCGGCATCTGAGATGGCTTGCTTCTTCTCCTTGATCACACGCTCGAGCTCCTTAAGCTCATTATCGAACCGCGACAAGGTGGCGCGCTCCTCCTGCAGCTTCTTCTCTGCCTTATTGAAGGATTCCTGTCGATCAATGGAAGTAAGCTGACTGTATAGGAAGAAATTGGGGGCGAGGAACCTCGCTCTTCGACAATTCTTTCCTGAGCTTCTCTAGCTCCTGTCGAAGATTGTCTACACCAGCGCGTGCTTCAGTGATAGTCTCTTTCGCCGACTCGATGTCCTTCTCGAGTTGCTCTACAAGCTGTATCAGACTGACGGCGGGCTATCACTTCCAACGACGGGCATACCTAGCTCCAAAGATGCAGTCTGAAGTTCCTTCTGTTGGGTCTTGACCGTGACCGAGTGTTTCTGAAGAGCTGTCTTCTGCTTCGAAACATCAGCCTGCGGTAATATTGAAGGTCAGGTCCGACGAAAGCTACATAATCAGTGAACCAACCTTCAGCTCCTCTATTTTCCCCTCTTTATTGTTCTTAAACTCGTCCATGTCCTTCTCCAACTTCTTAATCTCATCCTTAGCGTCTTTCTGCTTCTGCTTAGCAGCTTCTACAGCGGCAGTGAGGTCCGCGATGTTGGCCTTCACCTTCTCAACCTCAGCGCCGACCTATGCGCGAACCAGCTTAGTATTGTCCGCTAACAAGGCGAATATTTTACGTACCCTCGCTGCGTTGCTACCGTTGAGTTGTTCCTCGAGAAGTCGCATCTCATGCTCCTTGATCTCAAGCTCTCGCACAAGGCTCTTCCACTTGTCTCGGCCCACCTTATCTTGCTGCTCCTGCCGTTCTAGCATCTGAAGGCGGCCTCGTGCCTCACCCAGTCTTCCTTCAATCTCCAGCAGCTCTTGGACCTTGATTAGGGTGCCGTTCCCGCTTGGCGCCGAACCACCGCTGAGCATACCCGACGGATCGTAGACGTCGCCGTCAAGCGTTACAGAGCGGACGCCAACGTCGCGAGAGAAGGTCACGAGCTTCGCGGACTCTGCATCATCGCAGACGAGAGTGTTGCCAAATACGAACGCCATGGCATTGGCAACTTCATTTGGAAATCCGATGAGCTGCATAGCGAGGCGGACCTTGCCGGGTGCAAGTCTCATAGCAGCTTGGAGTCTCTGAGGAATGCAGTAAGTACTGAGAAGTACAACGAATGCGAACACGCACTGAAGCAGATAATGTGGATCTTTCAATCTTGTTCAACGGAATGATAGTGACGCGCTTCTTCAGTCGACAATTTTGCAAGAGCTCCTTGCCGACTTGTTCGGTCTCCACAACGACGTTGTACAGCCTACCCCCTGCTGTGATCTCGAGAGCAGTACATTTGTTGTAGTCCTCCTGTTTCAGCGAGACGAGGTTTGCTACGAGACCTTTGACCTTCGCGTCGTCGAAATTTGGGGGTGAGGTATATTCGAAATTCAAGTTCGGTCCTAAATGCCTCTTCATCCCGTCACGCTCCTGAAAGGACAACTGTCAAAACGGCGATAGAAGTAGACGAGGAACACCGACCTCCATCAGCTGTCGGACTTCCGCTTTCGCATTCCTCAGCGCCATCTCGCCTTCGCGCTCCTTCTCCTCGCTCCAGCCAGCCTGGGCGACCTTCTTCCGGAAGCTCTCGACCTCGGCGTGCATGGCTTTCAGCCGTTTCTGCCCCTCACCTGCCTCACGCTCAACCTCCTTCCATCGTGACTCCAACGCCTTGAGCTCCTTCTGACTCATGACGAGCCTCTGCTTGCTCTGCTCCTCCTCCGTGCTCGCCTGTGCCAGTCGAGCTTTCGCGTCTGCGAGCTGGCCCATGTACCCACCGCCCGAGTTGCTCGTTCCTTTGGATGTAAGACCTGTGAGCAAGGTCTGTAGCAGCTCCTCCGAGTTCGTGAGTGCCGTCTGGAGCGCCGTCTGCTTGTCCTTCACGTTTGTGTGCGCTGCCGTCAACTCTTCGACTTGAGACCCCTTCCGTGCGAGGGCGTCCGTTAACTACAGCACATCAGCACTCGCTCACCAGTATGTACTGGGCCTTACCTCAGCCAGCTCGTTCTCCAGGCCCTTGATCTTCTCCTCCTCGTCCGTGATCATACTTATCTTGATCTCGACTTGCGTCTTGATCTTCACGAGCACCTTCCCTAGCTCCGCGACCTCGTCTTCGAGCTTCTTGAACTTGCCGCCTTTCCGCAGCTCCTTCTCTCTCTGTGCTTCCACCTCCTGCGCATCCCTCTCCGCAGCCTCAATCTCTTTCGCGCACCGCTCTTTCCCCTTCTTCACGCCCTTCGTTTCCTTCTCCTTCGCCTGGATCTCGGCCTCTTTCTTCGCCACCCGTTCATGGCCTTCAGTCCATTCCCAGGCTCGTAGGACACGCCCGATGCGCTCCAGCTCTGAGCATGACTTCTGCCACTGCAAAAATGAGCGCTTCTCCTCCCGAAGGGTATCGAGCTTCGGCTCGATCTCTTCCGCGAGGAGCGAAGTAATTTCCTGCACGCGCTTGTCTTTCTTTCCCATCGTCTTCTTGGCCTTGTCCTTCCGCTCCTCAAACATGCGAGTACCGGCAGCCTCCTCCACCATCCCGAGGATCTCTTGGGGGCGCATGTTGAGCACCTATGTCTAGGTTAGCTGGCGCACGGTTCGGAGTTGTGCTAACGTGCCTTGGTGATCCTCCCTTGCATAATCAGGAAGTTAGGGTTGTTGATGTTGAGTTGGACGCTTTGAAACAGCGTCTGGATGGTATGTTGTTGGGACTTGTGTCCGTTTAGCAGATACTTGGATATGTTCGGAAGGGCGATCTGTAGGCATTTTCAGCACTTGTCCATTCCGTGAGTCATAACAGTAGCCTCTGTCGTAACCTAGAGCCTGTTCAAGAGAACCCCATGTCAATCAACGATGATGTCCAATACAAGGCCCATGTATGGCCCCGACGCGAGGCAAATCTTGTCCATGTTGTCTGCTTCGTCTCGCGCACGAGCATTCAGACTTGAGGGCAGTGCCTTGCGACACCGTGTTACAGCGGCACATTGGGCCGATGCATAGGACGATGAGTGAACACTCTCATGACGTGCCCTCAACGGAGCAGCCGCGCCACCGGCGCCGTTAAGCACACAGACAAGATACGGAGTATATATACCAGATAATAGCAAAGCACTCGATCATCACGGCTCAGAGGATCGCGTCTCGAGACGATCTTTGAGCGGTACGCGTGACCGTCATTGCTACAATGACCGTCCACTCCCGTGGCTGTGCATCCCCAAGCAAAGGCGTTCTGCGTTTTCTTCCAAGCTCAGAGACACGCGACAACTCCCTATTTTGCTCCACCACACACAGCCTCCTCGCACGCGACATCTTTCCATCCATTGAAGAGCGCCGTATTCTGGAGTATTTGGGTGCCACAACGCGAATGGGGGGCTCACCTGGCGCGTTACCGTGATCTGCTTACAGTTCTCCAAGCCCACAGGACTTGTTGAGCGGTCGGAGTTGTCGAACACGATGGTGACACTTGCTTTCGTGATACCTGCTTGCCCGCGTTTGTAAATGAGGTCCTGCTGGTTTTGGGCGCGCATCTGGGACCATTGTCAGGGTTCAGCGCACTAGCAGACTACGGTACACGCACTGAGGACATGTTCGTGATACCCAACACGAAACATATCGCGTCAAGGATGTTGGACTTGCCGGAGCCATTGAGACCCGTAATCGCGTTGAATGAGGGATCCCAGCCCGTGATTTGAGTCCTGACAGGGTATGACTTGAAGCCTAGACATCCATGAGTACCAGAGTAGCGTCATTTCGTCAAGAGCATGACCTTCGAGGACCAGTTCTTCTATCCGCATGTTGGGCGTTTGAGGGAGAGGAGGTTCGGGTCGCCGCGTCAAACGCGATCGCGTCGCGAGGCGCGGGTCAATGTCGCGTCTGTCACGTGGTGTCTCCCGCCTAGGGGCATCCCGCCCGCGTGCGGCAGCTGCCCTTTCTCTCAAAAGCCCTTTTGTTCGCAGCTTCGGCCGGGCCTGTGGCTCTGCTTCTTCCAACTCGCTGCGATATTTTCTCATTTTCTCCTGGGCAATAATGCTCTCAGACTGGGAGTCGGATCTAACCGACTTGTCCTCCTCCGACGAGGAGGAATACGTCCCGCCCTCGCAGAAGAAGAAAACTACAGCCAGGGCTAGGAACACCGGCAATGACTACAAAGTGTGCCGCACGGTTACATTTGTCCTTCAGTATTCTTACTCTCCGTTCTGCCAGGTTACCAATACTCTACGGCCTCCGCGAACGACTCAGTACACCGCTAAGAGTCTCTTTGGTAGCTACAGCCGCCACTCGCGCTCGAGTTCTCAATCCTGACACTGCAGCACAGATCAGATGATGGATAACACCATTGATCTCGACCCTGAGTATCAGCGAGGTGCGTAGTCGTCTTGCATTTCGGATGGCCACCACCTGCCTAGTGGTGGCCTACTGTTCCAGGAGACAAGTCCTACGCGATCTGTCTACAGTCCTCAAAGGGTCAAGTCCTGGAAACATCCCATCCTGCATCTTCACCGCAATGGTCCCCCGGCTTCATTGCACCTCGGGTTTACAGTCATGCAATCGCCCTGCGGATCGTCCTGCCTACAGTGTGCACGTAGCATGCTAGAATCGCCCTACATATCCTTGATGCTTGCCGCAAAGACGCAGGTCGTGGAGGAGCTGGATTGGCTCTCCCGGAACAGTACAATGAGACGTGGTCTGTCTGTGGTTGCTGACGACGCGTGCAGATATTGTATGGTCGGACTCTAAGCAGTCGGGGCTGATCGATTCGATTCTCAGAAACTATTACATCCCGCCCGTCATCTTTGGTAACGTCCGACGTTTGCGGGATCGACCTGATAGACTAATGATGGTGGGTCACCGGTCAACAGCTGTAACTGCCAAAGAAGACGGATCAGAAAGTCGTACTTGCATTGATGGCAAACAGAGGCTGACGTCAATCGCGAAGTAAGTCTGAGCTTCACTTTTCTGCGATGTTTTTGACAATGTACTGCAGTTTCTTCAATGGCGTGGTGAGTGTACCGGAATGATTGGAGTGGCGATGTCGTTTGATGAATCGCCTTTGTCCCGTGTGGCGGTGCAGATATCCCGTGAGTATTGTCCTTATCTTCCCCGTCGGTTACGAGCTGATGTCCAGCTGATGTCTTTTCAGACAGAGATTCGTAAGTGGTGCCGCAGTCGCGGATGCGGCACGTGTTGACCTTGCCCAGGAAAACAAACACGAGATATTGGTACAAGGATGGACCTGCGCGAGGTGTAAAACGCAAGATATTGCCGAAGCAGTACCAACAAGTGTTCGCCAATAAGCAGATTACCTGCGTTGAGTATGAGGGCCTGACGGATGATCAGGAAAGGGAGATTTTCCAGGTGAGCTTCGGGACGTCAGTTTGATCCATCTCAGCTATTGACTGTGATCATCAGCGTGTGCAACTAGGTGTCGCACTCACGCCTGCAGGTGCGTAGATGGCGTTCATTCACAGGGAACATGATTCAAACGCATATGCGTCTAGAACGGCTGCAAGCACTCACTGGGCATCGAGCGACTCTCATCAGAGAGATACAAGTGAAAGTCCTCGGTTCAGAGGGTTTCGGTAGCAACCTCGAATGGGCCAACGGACGTGGTCGCGACTTCCAGTGTTTAGCATCTATAGTCTATCTGATTGAGCAACAGTCGCAAACGTTCCCCCACGTAACACAGCTCGAGAAGTGGCTCCAGTCCGTAGGCGCGCTCCCGGTCAAGTTCGAGAGCGACATCATGGAGACGTTCCAGGTCTGGGTGACCATGGTCCGCGACGTACACTTCAACACCCCGTTCTCGAAGCCAACGAGGGTGTCGCCCATCGAGTTCACCATCATAGGCGTCCTAATACACAAGCATCGGTCGACTTTGTCCATGCTCCAGCTTTCCAATGCTATTTCGCAGATGAGGGCGGACGTCCGTTCGCAGCACGTCGACATCCGTGCTAACAGCAAAGTCACCAAGACCATGCTCACCTTCATCAACAAGAAGATGAAGACGATCGATATTCAGGGCGACGGCAAAGGCGATATTTCTGCGACCACTTTTGTGAGGAGTAAAGCAGGCGAGAATGGTACGGCGACGGGCAAGCGAAAGCGAGCTATCGTGCCGAGTAGCGAAGAAGAGGAGAGCAGCGACGACGAAGACGACGTCCCGCTTCGTAGGAAGGCCCCGGCCAAGAAGAAGGCTGCCACCACTAGAGCAACAACGACGAAGTCGGCCGTAAGCGCAAAGCCTGCGGTTACGTCGACGTCTAGCAAGACTGCTGCTACAAAGACAACGATCAAGTTGCCGGCCAGGTCTGCAGTGTCGAAGCCTGCCACACCTGCTAGCACCGCCAAACCTGCAACGAGTGCTAGCAAGGTGACAGTCAAGCAAGTGACTGTGAGCACTTCGGCCAAGTCGGCCAAAACCTCTCCTACCGTCAGCCAGTCCACTAGTACCGTCAAGAAGAAGGAACCCTCAGCTACAACTGCAGTGACTGGGACGCCTACCGCGACTCCAACCATGCCGTCAAAAGCAGTGCCGGCGGCAGAGGTCACACAGGTCAAGTCATCTCCGAATACCACCTCTCCCGCTCCCCTTGCTCTTCCCAGAAGGACGCCTCTTCCGAACGGAATGGCAGCCAGCGGTAGTCGATCAGCTTCGGTGTCAGTCAAGACCGAGCCAGGAGTAGAAGCAGCTCTCCAGAGCCCAACCGTGAATCGTGGCGGAGGTATTGCGGCTTCGCCTCTTGATAGACTCGCAGCCATCCGGGCAGCCAAGGCGAACATTGGTTCACGGAGCGTTTCGGGACCCGCTGCTGTTCCCGCAGCAGGTCGATCGGCTCCAGCGGCGGCTAGTTTACCAAGGACTTCCCCTCCGAACATCCTCGACAATGTAGCCCCTATCGTTAAGCAGGAGAGGCCGCAGCTGTCGAATATCAACACGAATGTTGCGGCAAGTATTCATCAGCAGCCCCCGGCTGCTCAGCCGGGACCCTCGTCGACATCGTCTAGCAGGCTTCCCACACCGGCACTCCCGCCTCCCTCCACCGTGGCGAGTTCCGCACGGTCAACGCCTTCTGTGAGCACGCCTACAGGCCTTCCCGCCCCGCCTGTCCACATTCAGCAGACAACTGGAAAGCAGCCCTCATTTGACGCTGTGTATCTCGGGGACCTGTTCAAGGAACATAGGATCGGGATATATGCCCATCAGGCTTTCCCACCTGCCAACCAGCCACAAGCTCAGTTGAACCACCAGCCTACGCTTCCCGCGTCGGCTCCGAATGGATCTACCGCGGAGGATGTGGTTATGGGGGACGCCACCTCCAGAGCGGCCTCGGTCATGCCGCAGTTGAGTACAGAGCAGGTGCTCAGCACCATCCCGCCTCATGTCCTCAGCGCCATTCAGCTCGCTCAACAGAGTGCCTCCGCTCCGCCTTTCCCGAATAACGGGATGCCCACGGCTCCTCCGGTACATGCCTTCTCTTCCATGCCATCAGTACCCATGGGATCTCAGATCCCCAACGAGGCTCTCAAGCGCAGTCCGTCCACGCCGGCCCCTGCGATGCCTCCAACAAAGCCGGCTGCCATGCGGACTCCGCCTCCAATCCGCCCGCTGGGTCCCCGACCGCCTACGTCTGCTGCGGGTGAGGTGAGTACGAGTACTCAGTTCCACCCTTCTCCGTCATCGCTCCCGCCGCCTCCGCCTTCTCTTCCACCCCCACCTCCTCCTGGCTTGCCGCCCCCGCCTCCGCCTACATCCCCGAGCCTCAGTGTCAAAAGCGCTGGCTCAGGCACTATCTTAGCCCGGCCCATGTCCGAGCACGACGGATACAATGCCGGGAGAAGCGTCTCACCCAGAAGCTCGCTGAGCAGGGGCAGAGCCTGGGGCGAAACGGATTGGGACATGGATCGGAACCGAGACAGGGACGGAGAACGGAGCAGAGAGCGTGGTCGTGATCGTGACCGGAACGGAGACTCACGTTGGGCGCCGGAGAGGCCCAGGGACCCCAGACGACGAGATTCGGGTGGTACGCGCAATTGGGAGCAGGAGAGGACGGAGAGTCGGGATTGGGGCATGTCGCGGCGGGGACGGGGGAGGGAAAGAGACAAGGGGTGGCCGCGCCGGTAGAGTGCCCCAGCAGGCATGCCGGGATTAGCCTTGATGTGTGGTTCGAGCTTAAGGTGTGTGCTCGGAAGGCGTGCATGACATGCTACATGGGACACTGACATCAATACCAGTCTAGAGTATGTGCTTACGGCGTTGCGCGACACGGGCTGGCGGTGTGTCTTTTCCGTTGAGCTTCTCTTGTCTTCTTTCTCGGCTCAGTCTCCCTGTTGTCGTCATACCCGGTACTATTCCGTACGTTATCCCTGTTTTGGTACTGTACACTAGCTGTACAGTCTTGTGTCTCACGTAGGCAGGACCGCTTCTCCGGTCCGGCCATGCTGGCTCTGGTACCTCAAATGCTCTTTAGTGCGTATCGTATTCGATGCCTTCCTCGTTAATCAGAATATGTATATTGAATCTCATGCTGCGATGTTGTGTTGTATTCCGTCGTTGCCCAAGTTGACCCAGCGAAACGCGCTGTCCTGCTCGTGAAGGTATCTCGATGTATACGTAGGACATTACGCTTCGCGTTGTTTGTAGCCTGTAGGACCCTTGGCAGCATGCACTCTGCTTTAAAAGGTTGCACATAACTTGGATGCGACCGAGAACGCGATCCGATCTCAAGTTATCTAATCTGCATGTGCGCGGTAAACACGTCGCGCGTGTATAGCGGCGACTCGCGACGACCGCGCGCGCTCGCAACTTGAACGTGTCCCCCACCTCCGCCACCGTGACCAGACTGTGACCGACGACGACGACGACACAACATCGATTTCCGAGGGCTCAAAGACTTCCGAAGCATGGTATGATAGATCACCACCCAAAGCTTCACAGCGTTTTGACTTTACCCTCTTACAGTCGGCACTGTTCAACTTTCAATCCCTTCTCCTCGTCATTCTCCTCATGATCTGCACATGCACATATGTACGAGCCGTCGCGCCGCGGCTGATCGACCGGAACAAAGAGGGGTGAGTGTTATGTGTATGAGAGGACGACGAGAGACGTCTTATGCGACTATGGTCCGCTATGAAGGTTCCTGGGTCTCTTCTGGATGTCCGCACGAGTCGGTACGTTCGCACCGTTATGTCCCTCTCCTCTTGTACTGACAGCAGATGGTCCGCATTATAGGCGAACGGCTATCACCATGGGTCGCTATGGCATGTGTAGCAATGGCCGTAACATTACTTGCGCAATGACCATATACGCCATCTGTCTTCCTCCAACCGCCCACTCGCGCGACAAGGATCTTCCGCGCAGAGGACACGTTCATTCGCCGGTCACTCACATTGCCTCTCGGGGATGCGACGTTGAGTCTCTGGCGGGATGGAGTCGAATGGAGTCGAGTTGTCGCTGCGGACTTGAGCGCTTGCGTGTATGGGATCTGGCCTGTTCACGTATGCTCCTATTCTTGCATTCAGGAGATAACATCGTGCATCTCTGTTGACCAGTGCCATGGTGGTCGTGTACTAGTATAATCTGGTGCTCGCAGCCAATGCGGGTTTCGATGTAACGTGGTTTTGTCACTGCCCAGATGCTGATCATACCACTCCTTCAGAGACGGAAGTACAAAAAGATTCTTCGAATGTGTCTAGAGAGAAGATGGCGACGATACCATGAGGTACAGTCGCCTCGTGATATTGCGCGTACATATTATCAATATGTGTGCCTGGTCTGGCCGGTCTAGCGCACACCGCAGTTGCTCGCATCAGCTGCTGGGATGCCCTGTCGGCATGTCGCGACGTCACAAAGGAGGGCTACAGAATGTAAACTTTCGATTCAGCTCAGCTCAGGAAGCACGTCTAAATCTCACATTGATTGAGGGAAGGTGAAGACACTGTCCGGGTCTACCTGCGTCTTGATCTTCCGAAGGCGGCGATAGCTAGGCGAACACGGTACATTCAGCGAGTGAGTGTAGTGTTCCGGTATCATGACATACTTGGCCCCATAATAGAGCTTGTGCCATTCCCTCGGCGTCAAGCGTGGGTCAACGTAGTTCGGATATGCGCTATTGATCCATCAGTGTCGGGTTGCACGAACATTGAAGTGGCCGAAGGGGTAATTACCCGTATTTGTATGTAGGGGGTACGTTGTCTGTGACTGCATTGACCAGGCCGTCCGCGAACGCAAAGCCTTCCTCAGGGTAGGGCGGCCGGAAAGTGGGGCTCGTTGCCCGGAACTGTTGTCACAGTGAGTAACAAATATAATCACCGGATCCTGAAGTACCAGACCTGTATGATCCACAGAGCGTTTCTGTTCGCATACGCCGTCGCGTTCGAGGGTAGCGCATCAATCTGCGAGTCGTGCCCACCGTACAGCTCTAGTTGGACAAACCAGTACTGCGCACGCCTATCAGTACGCGTCGTTCCGTCACCGGGGGTCACATTCATGTGATGCACACCGTTGTGGTCTTCCACCCTTCCGAAGACATCCAGCTTGCCAGAGCGGCTATGGCCTCTCGCGGCATAGGCGCGTCAGACGGCGTCGTGAGGCTCTTGGTGTAGTGCGTGTCGTGATTGGCTGCTTTGCGGGACGGCGTACTCGCGAGCGGTACACCGGGTCCTGCGAGAAGTTCCATATTCTCAATCCAAGTTGTCGCTTCGACCTGCGGTGGCCACGTCTGTTTGGGCTACGGGTCGTGTACAACATCCAGGGATGCGTCAGTGAATCTTGTGAGATCAGCAGGGCGCACTTACCATCACGTCTAGGAACGGTCTGACAATGGCGTCGTATTCATCGGGGTCGCCATAGTGCGACCCCAAGAAACTCAACAGGATCTCTCCTTGCTCGATGCCCTTGTATAGGTTCAGTTCGAACCCGATCTCCTTCGGTATTGCCGGAGAGAAGCAGAAGTCCTGGTACATTGATATGGCTTCAACGGCCTGGCCCAGCGGCAGGGACCAGTTGTAGTTGAAGTAGGTCGGCTGTGCCGGCGCGAAAAAGGTTTGAAAAAGGAAGTGTGTGATGATACCGAAGGAGGGTGCCGCGCCGCGCAGGGCCTGTAAGCAAGTGCATTCAGCGATGAACTCCAGGCAAGGAGGAGTAGATTGAGCAAGATGATGCGTACCCAGAATAGGTCAGAGTGTTGTGAAGCTGAAGACTCAACGACCGATCCATTCGCAAGAACAACGGTAGCGCCGACGATATTGTCCATGGTGAGTCCCCACAGACGACTGTTGAACCCATACCTGCCAAGCCAAAGTGAATAAACGCATTGATGTCGTTTGCAAAACAGTCAAATATCACCCTCCGTGACTCGCATGACCGCCTATACCGACAAGAGGGCATACCCCATGCGGTAAAGCGCGGCCTCCCTGGTTGAACAGTTCGACCGCGATATCCCCAAGCCGGTTCCCTGCGCCGATGGTAGCAACACCCGTGGAGCGGTCGACTTCGATTGTGTTGATATGAGCCAGGTCTATTACCAGGTGGCCATCCTCGCCGCCGAGGCCGTAAGCAGCATGGGAGTGGCCACCTGAGCGAGCGGATACTAAGTGGGGAAATTTGTGAATATTGATTGCTAGAACGAGTGCGCTAGATCGTACCAGGAATGCCCAAGGATGCGCCAGCCCTTACTATATCGGAGACTTCATTGGCATTACTTGGATATGCGATGGCGGCAGGCTTGATCTGCAAGCGGAGGTTGAACGCCCTGGAGGCGTTCTCATAGCCCGGATGATCAGCGAAGTAGGTCTCCACGCTAGTTTGAGCATTGCTGGAAAAGATCGACTGCAGAGAAGCAGCATCTCCTACGACGACATCAGCGAAAGAGAAGATACAAATTGAAGCGATCAACAATCGCCCCAGAGTGATTTCCATGCTGGACCTGGCTGCGAAGGTCGGTACGAGGCAGCGCAACCGTCGCTTGCACTGTACAGTGCAAACCTGATACGAGACTTTAAGGACCTTCTTCGGAAGGTCATGTTCAGAACGCTATCTACATAGCGGGAATCGACTCGGAACTCCGTCCCCTGCCGACGTCACGTTGTTGCGTCCCGACATAACGCATGTCTTCTCGTCCTTCCTTATCTCAACTCGGACGCAACATGGCTAGAGAACCCGTGGCTGGTGACGGTACGGTCCCATGAGCACAGCGCAGCGCATTTCAGGAGGTTGGCAGTTTCCACAGGCTGCACAGCGATGCTCACGAATTGTTGGCGAGCGCTGAGCATGAGCATTGTCTTCGCGTATACCAAGCTTCTGTCATTGAGGGATTAGAGACGATCACTGGATCATTGGAGAGGCAGAGTTCGCTCAGAACACGTACTAGAGGGTGAACGGCCGGATATTGGCACAAGACACTAAGATTGATGACTTCGGATTCGTTGGTTGGCCCCTGGATAAATAGCCAATGTTCTCTCTCGAGCGTGTGTGACGATGCCGCCGACAAACCCTATACTAGTAGCTGATTTCCCTCAGCCTGAGCTCATCCCCAGATAGTCCTGATTGAATATTGTCAAACCAGGAGCACGACTGCGCGAACGCTGAGTCTGCGACATATTGGCACCTATGTCATGTGGCGTACTCTACACTGATACTGCCCTCGAATAGAGTCACACTACGAAGAGGCTGTCAGATGGACTAATACCCGTTTCATCTGTGAGGATGTGATACACAATCGCGAAAAAGCGGCCGACTCACATGGATTGCGGGAAGGTGAACACACCAGTGGGATCAACTTCCGACTTGATCTTGCGGAGTCGATCGAGGCTGGACCCATGTGAGTGGTTTACGGTATATGCCGCAGATACAGAGTACCTACTTTGACCCATAGTACAGTGTTTGCCATTCGTGAGGAGTCAGGCTCGCATCGATGTAGTTCGGATACGCTCTAATTCAGTCGTTCAGCGTGAAGCGCGATTCCGGGGTGGTCGAAAAGGTGACGACTGACCCGTATCTGAATGTGTCCGGCTCGGCGGCAGTAATCGAAGCCACAAGGCGGTCAACGAACGTAAAGCCCTCTTCCGGGTAAGGAGGACTGTAATCAGAACTTGAGGCATAGAACTGCCACCAGCAATAACTTTGAGTAATGAACATCGCTCGTGAGGCGTGAGAACGTACTTGGATAGTCCACAGACTTTGTCGATTGAAGTACGCTGTCGCATTTGATGACGTCATGCTGATCTGCGAAGAAAGACCGCCGTACAGCTCTAATTGAACAAACCAGTTCTGCATCGAACGCGTCAGCGAAGTCGTTATCCTGAATATGTTCGGAGTGTAGTCATACCGTACTCGTATTCCATCCTTCTGTAGACATCAAGTTAGCAAGCGCGACTATGGCCTCTTGCGACATGGGCGTGTCTGAGGGCGTCGTGAGACTCTTGCTGTAGAAAGTATCGTGATCAGTAGCGAGGAATGCTGGCGTAGTAGCGAGCGGGGTGCCCGCAAGGAGGGCTAGGTTTTCAAGCCATGACGTGACATTGACTTGCGGCTCGGACGTTTGGTTCGGCTACAGGTCATAGAGGGACAATATGGCGAATCAGCACCACGAAGGCAGTCCAAATGATCAGAACTCGGTACACTGACCATAGCAGAAAGAAAGGGGTCTACAATAGCGTCGTAGCCTTCCGGGCTGCCATAGTACGAACCCTGGAGGTTCACCAAGATCTCGCCCATAGCACTGCCCTTGAACAGATTCAACTCGAATCCAATCTCCTTCGGGAGAGAAGGAGAGGAAGAAAATTTCTGGTAGAGCTCGATCGCCGTGATAGCCTGATCTAGGGGCAGAGACCAGTAATAGTTGAAGTACGTCGGCTGAGTCGGCGCTGCAAACGTTTGAAAGTGGAAGTGGGTGACGATACCGAATGATGGTGCTGCGCCGCGCAGGGCCTATACAAGGGCTTAAGACAGGCTATACGCTATAATAGCCGGGTTACGCGACGCACCCAGAACAGATCGGAATTCTGTGAGGCTGAAGTCTCGACAATGGTTCCATTGGCAAGGGCAACCGTGGCACCGATGACAGCATCCAATGTCAGACCCCATTGACGGCTTGTGAATCCATAGCTACAAACGGCTAATCAGCATCTGCATTAGACACTGTGAGTTGGAGAGGTCATCTCACCCTCCGTAACTCGTATGTCCGCCTATGCCTACAAGAGGACATGTCCCATGCGGCAGCGCGCGTCCTGCCTGGTTGAATAAGCCAGTTGCGACGTCGCCAAGCCTGTTTCCTGTCCCAATAATAGCAACACTAGTAGAGTTGTCGATGTGGATGTCCCTGATCATAGACAAGTCAATGACCAGGTGCCCATCTTCTCCTCCAAGGCTGAAGGCACCGTAAGAATGGCCACCAGAGCGAGCACATACTTTGGATTGAGTTGAGAGCTCTCATCCTTCACTGTTCAAGCAGTACGAGGGCTCACCAGGGACGTTCAATGAGGCACCGGCTACAATTGCACCGGCAACCTCCTCCACGTTGCTCGGATACGCGATCGCAACGGGCTTGAAGGGCAGACGAAGATTGAACGGCGTTGAGGCATTTTGATAGTTTGGTTGGTCCTCAAAGTAAGCCACGATCCCCTCGCTTTCAAGGATGGACTGAAGAGATAAGACGTTTCCCAAAGCAATGTTCGAGATGCAAAGAGCGCCAAGCAAAAGTCGCCGTCTGAACATAATGGCGGCCATGGCCCGTGTTGAGACCAACAGACTCAGAGGAGGAGGGAGAGGGGAGGGGGAGGAGGATCCATATAGTCATGCCACATGCGCGTGTCAAGCGGTGCATGACAGCGGGTATAAGTAGCATTTGCATGCCCTGTCATGGCTTTCAGCCGCGTTCATAACGCTAGGCCGCGCATCTGTTATATCGCAGGTAACAGTCAATGGACTGTGTCGCATCGGTGAGTGCTGCCCGGACGGATCGCTTGGAAGAAATGAGTCACATACCTTGCACATACCTCGCCATATTATATTGGACATCGCGAACGTCAGATGCGCTGACCCGCAGATTCGGTGAACTGTGTTCTCCCGGCGACATTCTCGTTCCTGAAAGGAGCGTCTCAAGAAAAGGGACCGTATTCTCGGGCTACTGTTACTGTACAGTCTCCGTGATACCTTTGACATATTGTGATAGCGCAAGCGCTGCGTTGACCGCCTCATAGCTCATCTCGGGACATACAATCGGGGTTTTGGGTCGTATTGAGTACTCACATGAAATGCAAGAAGCCATTGGTGTGGATAAGGCGGAACGGGGATACCGTTGTTGTATGCGCAACTGTGAATTTATGGTGGCGGGTAGAACCAAGTACGGTAACGTAGACGCGAGGTTCAAACGTGCACTGATCGACGCGTTTGTGGCGTGGGACAATGATGGATCGGCGCCTTCACCTGCCTTCCGAGTCGGTCAACTCAGCTGCGCTACTCCGAGTGTCCAGAGGCGCACTAGGCTTGTGGTTCAAATGGTGATGCAGCGACCATATCAATTTCGATCATTCACAGTGGGTCACAATCCGCTTTACAGAATATGATAAATGATGATCACACCGCGATGACCTGCCAGTGCCAATAGATTCCTGCCGGTCGTCAATAACATATATAGTACTCTACACACAAATTGATAGTGTCCACGGATTACATTATCGTGACATAAAAAGGAACAATCAGTGTCACAGAAGAGGCTCATACGGTGGTCTATATATGAATAAATCAGACCAAAATGACAGCAAACAAGTCTGAAAGGACTTACATCGACTGTGGGAAGGTAAACACGCCGTATGGGTCCAGCTCCGTTTTGATCTGTCGGAGGCGATCGAAGCTAGGCCAGCGATTTTCCGTGAGTATCTCTTCGTGTTGTAAGCTGAGCAAACACGTACTTTGACCCGAAATACAGTGTGTGCCATGCATCAGGAGGCAAGCGCGGGTCGACGTAGTTCGGATATGCCCTGGCAACCGTATCAGCCACATATTGATCGCAGGAATGGACCCATAACCAACCCGTATGCATACGATTCCGGTTCGTTCGCAGTAATAGAAGCTACAAGTCCGTCGAGGAACGCGAAGCCCTCTCTGGGGAAGGGTGGCTCGGCATCGGCACTCGAGGTGTAGAACTGGTAGCACAGCCGACGATGAGCAACACATGTAGCAACATAATAATTGCATGCACATACCTGGATAGTCCACAGATCATGTCGGTTGAAGTAGGCAGTAGCGTTCGAGGGGATCGTGTCGATCTTCGAGGTATTCCCCCCGTAAAGTTCCAGTTGGACAAACCAGTCCTGCTCCCAGTCTTTGTCAGCAGCCGATCTCATGATGCAACCACCCCGACAGACGCACTGTAGGAGTGTACCACCCTTCCACCGACATCCAGCTCGCAAGGGCCGTTATGGCCTCCTCCGACATCGGCTGGTCCGATGGCGTCGTAAGGCTCTTCGCGTAGAACGTGTTGTTCTCGGAGGCCCTACTCTGAGGCGTGCTCGCGATCGGGCCGCCCGCGAGGAGCACCAGGTTGTCGAGCCACGACGTCACATTGACCTGCGCCGGTGCCGTCTGGTTCGGCTGCGTGTAGCGCGGTAGTCAGTCAGCAATAGCGCTTGAAGGGAATGATGGCGCGGGCTTACCATGGCGTCAAGGAAGGGCTGTACAATGGCACTGTACTGATCCGGGCTGCCATAGTATGATCCGACCAGGTTGAGCAGGATCTCGCCGTTGTTCGTGCCTTTCGTGAGGTCCATTTCGAAACCGATCTCCGGTGGGATCGAGGGCGAGAACGAGAAATTCTGGTAGAGCGATATGCCGGAGATGGCTTGCTCCAGCGGGAGAGACCAGTAGTAGCTGAAGAATGTCGGTTGCGCCGGGGCGACGTACGTGGTAAAGTTGAAGTGTGTGACGATGCCAAATGAAGGCGCCGCACCGCGCACCGCCTACATGGACAGGCAGCGTTCAATCATACGCTTGGGGGAATCAAATTCGGAGCATGACAGACGTACCCAAAATAGATCAGGGTTTTGCGTTTCAGAGGCCTCGACGACCGTCCCATTAGCAAGGACGACAGTCGCACCGATGACATTGTCCAGAGTGAGGCCCCACTGCCGACTTGTAAATCCATATCTACAATCCGACACCAGTGAATACATGCTCCCATTGTGGCCCGTATACAATGGCACATACCCTCCGAAGCTCGCATGCCCGCCTATGCCAATCAAGGAACACGTCCCATGGGGTAGAGCGCGCCCTGCCTGGTCGAAGAGAGCGATGGCGATGTCACCGATCCGGTTACCCGTACCAACGGTGGCGACTCCGGTCGAGTTGTCCACGCTGATTTCGTTGATGTTGGCGAGGTCAATCACCAAGTGGCCGTTCGCGCCTCCGAGACCGTAAGCGGCATAGGAGTGCCCACCCGAGCGCGCGGTGACTATCGACGGATGTGAGTACACTTGGACTGGTCGAGTAAATGAACAGGACCCACCGGGAACTTGGAGAAATGCACCAGCTTTGACTAGTTCCGCGACCTGCTCTGTAGTGTTTGGGTACGCAACGGCGATGGGCTCGAAGTGCAGACGGAGGTTGAAGGCCTGCGACACGTTCTGATACCCCGGCTCACCCGGGAAGTAGACCTCGATACTGTTGTTGCCGAGGATCGACTGGAGGGATGGAGTGTCGCCCAAAGCACTCTTGATGGTGCATAGGGCGAACAGGGAAAAGGTCAGCAGCTGCCTCATCATGTCTGTTGTACCGCAACCGTGACCGGTTGGGGTTCTGGCAACAAGAACAGGCCAGCTTTATACACTCGCGCTCGCGCATCGCATTCAAACGGCGTGTACTAGCCTGCTAGGGCGGTAGAATGGGTGAGTCACTGCGACCAGACGTGCCCAAAGAGTACGGTGTCGCACCTCGGTATACTCTCCGGACGCCACACAATGACATGCTGATGCGAACATACACGGAAATTAGCCTTGACAGTCAGCCTAACTGTCAGTATTGCCTCGACGGATTAGTCCTAGTGACAGTCAGTCGGTCGACCGGTCCAAGTTTGCAGACTCACATTCGCGACGCACTGCTGGTGGGTTTGAATGTGTGCTGCTTTAAACTGGACCTGCATCATTCAGAAACAGGCGTCATGCGTCCGAAAAACCCTGATGACCATATGTGAGTACGGCGCTCATGACCTGAGATCCAATGCGGCCGCAACAAGTATACAAAAGATGCTTTGGAATACGAGACAACATGCGTGGACAGAAGTGAAAGATCCGGGCTGCGTAAAGCTAACGGCGGGCGACGCGCGCGCGGGGCCGCGGCCATAATGCGGTGCGCATGTCGGCGTTACGCTCGCGCACCCGGCATCGCTCGGTCGATACATTTTGAAACTGCCTAAAGTATATGTAGCAGATGACTCGGATGGAGTTTCAAGTCTGTGCTTGAATGAAGAAATATGGGCTAGTCTAAGCCTGAGGTTAGGAGCGCAGGCCGATGTGAACGGCGAGGGGATCAGCAGTCAGTCGACGCAGGTACCGTACTCATTCCGAGCGCCGCCGCGTCCTGTCGGTGTTACGCAGTATTTCGACCCTAAGCCTAACCCTTGAAGGTAGCCAGGTTGAGGGGTTCGTCAGTAGCGGGCGCATCTGCGCATCCGATCCAATGGCGACTGCGTGAGTGTATGCAGGATCACGACATCGTTGGCTGAAGAAGTAAGTACTGCGTACTCTGGCTTGTTAAGACACGCTGACTTCGTACGAAGTCGGAAGGGGCAATGCTCACCGGAGCCGTCACAACCCCCGCAGGGACGCGTAGGTGTCCCTAGATTGAAGCTTTCCCATAGTAGGTTGCTCGCATACTCTATAGCACACGGAGGCTGCTGCTGGAGCATTACAGTATTGCGATGCTGTGGCGTATCAGATGTGGCACAGACCTACTGCTCGTATGACGGAGCACGGAATCAGCTGATAATACTCTTGCTCCGGGAAGAACGGGGTGAGGAGATTTCAGGCACGAAGTCCCAAACCGTACAAAGTGCTCGTCGATGTCGCCAACTTGTCTACCACATGATCAAGCCACCTGCATACAATGGAGGAGACGAAACTCCTCAGTGGCAGTTGTCTGTGGTTCTCCGCTCGCAATGGCATGCGAGCCTATCCGGAGGTGATCGAGGTCCAGTATGGTACTGCATGGTACTTACAATTTGCAGCCTCCGACACCGACATCGTGCAATTTGCGATGATGTACCATGTCGAGTCCGAACAAGTCCAAAGCCGTACCGTTGTGCAGAGGCTCATGCGCGCGCTCATGGGCCACAGTCGGTCTGAGTGCACCGAGCGATGGCGTACGTGGGCGCATGGAGGGTGACAGAAGGCCCAGGGCTTCAGTACCAATCGGAACGGATCCTTTGGAAATGATAGGCAGACACCGCCGTGCCCGGGTGCAAACTGTGCGCAGGCCACGCGAGGTGGCTGACTATCGGCGCTGCTCGTGTGAAGGAATGGTGAGGGGAGCTCAAGAATGGTACAACTTACTCGAGAACAACGTGCTTGCGCTACTCGGCAGGCTGAAGCGGCCGCTCTCGACGGAACACATTGATACAGACGACCCTATAGTCGATTCCTCTTGTCGGGAGAACCTGCTGTTCGTGATAAGTACATCGCAGTCTTGCATTGCAACAGACCTGTTAGGATCTCGGGCGTGGAGGTCAAGATAGAGCAGCTGTGTCTTCACAGGTGGGGGGTCCAATCGAACACAGAGAATGAGTTGGATCCAAGCATGAACACTGTCGGAACAAGAACAAGTGTTGGTGGCGTCGCAGGAGCACTGATGCACCTTCATTACGTAAGGTGTGGGATCACGCAGTGCCCCCGGAAACCGCTGCCCGTTATCTGGTGGGGATATATGGTCGTCGTGTGCGGGAGGACGACCTTCGCAGCGTGCGCGGGACTCCCATGTCCGTCCTCGTTCTCGACGACAAGCCCCCTCTCAGCCCCCGCAGCTCGGTCGTGGAGAAGCTCGACAACGAGAAGCAGGGTCAGTCCTCATCCGCATGCCACCCACTCGCCTAACCCACCCTTCACAGTGTACGCTGTGCCAGTCGCCGAATTCGATGACCCGAACATAGACTTTGACGCGGTCGGCCTCGGTGAGTCGTTGGTCTCATTGTGTGTGCGCGGTTGGTGTGCCTCGCGCAATGCCGAGGGTCGGATACGAGCAAGGTGGAGGATATGGACGTCGCGACATACGACCTACGGATCAAACCAGCTTCGCCCACAAGCCTTCTGTGTGGACGAGGACGGCCATGAATGAATGCGGGACGGCACCAGCATGCTTCTGACCTATGTGCACTGTTTCCGATGGTGTTCAACTTGCTTCGACCCTTGTGATTCGCCAGGGTCTGACTGCTGGCCCCTTTCTATGGGCCTCGAAGCTCAGATCATTGCGGTCGAGTGACTGCTACTGCAGAGGATATGGCCATCACCATACATATGGCGCGCCGCGGAAGGAAGGGTTGTACTTGCTCCCGGCGTAGAGACAGTAGGGCCGGAAGGCAGACAAGACAACGTGGACGCGCTCCTGGACATGCGCGTTTCATATATACGTCCTCTCTAACTGTTGATGCGCTGCGGCCAACGATCCATCGGAGGAGGGCATCGCAGATTGACCGCGGTTGTTCTGTTGCGTGATTGAGGTGTCTACAGCACAATGCAGACCGGCTCGGGCATTGTCGCAATCCATTGTCCTCCAGCCAGGTTGTGCATCACTCTGCCTCTCCGCTTCGGCTGATCATCCATGACACACTGCGTGTCTCACCTTCTTCCGAATGCCTGCATATGGACGCGGAACCTCATGCTGACCATGTCTTCTCCACAGAGGATGATTCACCATATCCCGAGGTCCGCTCCGCGGTTGCAAACACAGACGATCCCGACATGCCCGTGAACACCATACGCGCATGGTGCATCGGCCTTTGTTGGTCGATGATCCTCCCCGGGATGAACCAATTCTTCTTCTTCCGATATCCCTCCATCACCGTAACCGGAGTACGTAGCGCTCCTCGTTCGTCCGAGTCGTCAGCCTGACAAGGCGTTTAGGTTGTCGCCCAACTATTGTCGTTCCCTGTCGGGCGGTTATGGGCGAGATTGATGCCCAGGGTCAAGTTCTTCGGGGCGTCCTTGAACCCTGGGCCGTTCACTGTGAAGGAACATGTGCTGATCACGATTATGGCCACCGTCGGATATTCGTCAGCCTATGCGGTAGGCCTCCTTCTAACTCGCATTCATTGTTGCATGACCCACTCTGTCGTAGACGGACATCATCGCGGTGCAGCGCGTATACTACAACCAGACCTACAACTTCAGTTACCAATGGATGCTTGTAATGTCCACGCAGCTGGTAAGTACCCGTATGTCCGCTCCCAACCACCCCTGACGTGTGGTGGCAGATTGGCTTCTCGATAGGAGGTATTTGTAGAAGATACCTCGTACAACCACCATCCATGATCTGGCCAAGCAACCTCGTCACCTGCGCGCTGTTCAACACTCTTCACTCACAACAGTATGTCGGCATCGGCAACAGAGCCGGTCTCTCGCGCGAACGCTTCTTTGCGTACGCGTTCACTGTCAGCTTCTGCTGGTATTTCTTCCCGGGGTACATCTTCCAGGCACTCAGCTACTTCAGCTGGGTATGCTGGATTGCCCCGAACAACATCGTCGTAAATCAGTTGTTTGGATATGAGTCCGGTCTGGGTATGTCCCTGATCACGTTCGACTGGAACCAGATTGTGGGTGCCGTTGTGTCCGCTTCGTGGCTTATGGCTTATGTTGTTTTTAGATCGCGTACAACGGCTCGCCACTCGCGACACCTTGGTGGGCCGAAGCGAATGTCGCGTTCGGCTTCGTATTCTTCTTCTGGTTTATCACGCCCATCCTATACTACACGAACACCTGGTACGGGAAGTACATGCCCATGTCCTCGCGCACGTCGTACGACAACCAGGGGCAGGCGTACGACATCAGCCGGATCATCAATAGCGATGGCGGGACGTTCAACCAGACGGGCTACGAGCACTACTCGCCGCTCTTCCTCTCGACGACCTTCGCGATGTCGTACGGCCTGTCGTTCGCGTCCATCACGTCGACCATCGTCCACACGGTACTTTACTTCCGAAGGCAGATCTGGGTCCAGTCGAGACGGTCGCTCTCGGAGCAGCCCGATATCCATGCGCGGTTGATGAACCGCTACCCACAGGTCCCTGAGTGGTGGTACGGTACCATCCTTGGTGAGACAAATGGCATGTCATTTGCTGAGTTGCATACTGACGTGTTACACAGTGTCCATGTTTGCGTTCGCTGTCATCTCGATCGAGGCTTGGGACACAGAGTTCCCCGTATGGGGCCTCATACTCGCCCTTCTCTTGTGTAAGCTCCCTGGTGTTCTCCGGGTGAGCGTGGCTGACCTCAGTCCCAGCATTCGTTTACACCGTCCCGTGTGGCATGATCCAGGCCATCACCAACCAACAAATCGCTTTAAAGTAAGTTCATCCTGTCTCGTGGAACGACACATCACTAACATTCGTTCTCTAGCGTCATAGCGGAGCTCATCATCGGCTATGCGCTCCCTGGCAAGCCCATTGCGATGATGATGTTCAAGACATGGGGTTACTACAGCATGTTCCAAGCGCTGCAGTTCACGTCCGATATGAAGTTGTGCCACTATATGAAAGTTCCGTGAGTCAATACCGATACCATGTGTTGACTGTTTGCTGAAAGCATCACCTAGTCCGCGAGTGATGTTCTGGGCCCAGGTCATCGCCACAGCTGTCGCCGGCACGGTGCAGCTTGCTGTGCAGTCGTGGATGTTCACCAATATACCAGACATCTGCAGCCCTGATCAGAAGGATGGCTTTACGGTCGGTGTGGTCGTTTCTCGTGACCAGTAGCGGTGCTCAAAGTGTCACAGTGCCCATCGACGCAAGTGTTCGGCACGGCTTCCTTTATATGGGGAGTTATTGGGCCCGCACGGCAATTCTCGAAAGGTCAGATCTACTAGTAAGTTCGGTCGTCTCGTCCATCTTGCAGTCGCTAAGCTCTCTTCAGTGGTCTCGTCTTCTTCTTTATCGTGGGCGCCGTCTGTCCACTGGTCTCCTACGCCATCTCGCTCAAGTGGCCGAACTCCATCTTCAAATACGTCAACTTCCCCGTAATCTTCAACGGCTCGCAGTGGATACCACCCGCCTCCGCACTCAATTACGTTCCCTGGACGATCGTTGGGTTCATCTTCAACTATGTCATCCGCCGGAGACATTTCTCATGGTGGACGAAGTACAACTGTGCGTCATCGATTGTCTTCCCCAATCCAGTCCCACGGCCTTCGGTGAGCTAACGCTCGGTGTACGCAGACATCTTATCGGCAGCGATGGACTCCGGCGTCGCGATAGCTGTCCTCATTATCTATTTCACACTACAGTATCCCGCTAACGGGACCATTGGCGAGAGCACAATTCAGTCGTGGTGGGGAAACACCGTGTACAAAAACACGTTAGATGCCAATATGACGACGTACTACAAGCTCTTCGGAAACCAGACATTTGGGTGCGTGTACCGTCACATGCCGTGCTATCAGGAGCTGTTTCTGACATTCAGGCTCGCAGGCCAAAACAACCTTGGTAGAGCTTACCGCGTAGCGTCGTGCATCATCTGTCAGCGCATCTACAGTCCGCCCCTGCATATCCATATACTGCTCATTTATTGCGCTCTCGCATATCCTAGTGTTATAGATGTAGGTGATTATCTGTACGGCATGTTGTGTTATTGGATATTTGGAACGGTGTGTGCGTGTTACATAGACGTGCCCAGAGGATGCTTTCTTATGTACTTGTACTATCACATTATATTTTTGCACAATCCACGCGCGGTTGGCTTAAGACCCCTCTTGTGTGGTGGTGGTGGGCTGACTATCACAAGGGCGTGTTTTGCTGATCGTACAGTAAACATTAGCGGCCTGATAATGCAGCGTCAGACTGCTTATGCCCTGGGACTTGGAGCTTGAAGCCTAGGTCTTCTGTCAGGCCCTTGGAATCGGAGCGTACGATGGTGAGCTCATCTGCCTCTGGTTGTTCTCCCGGCTGTTGTCGCGCGTTAGTGTTTGTCGAGATCAGGCATGATGCTTCGCGTCTTCCCGGTTCTAACTTCGCTTTGAATCTTAGCATCGAACCACGTAAGTACATGACCGGAAGCTGGCGCTGCGCTGTACGTTACCGCGCACCACTACGCATGGCCCTCATACCGCCCCGCAAATTTTCCAGTATTCCATCATACCCAGAGCTGTCATCTCAACTCGGACGCATTCCTGAACCTGGATGAACATCGCCGGCCAGAACGTTCCCTTTTCCATTCCGTCTGGGCCCTGCACAACAGTCTGGATCGCTGCTATGACGCCGGACAGACACACATACGTGGACACATATCCAGTACACCGTCCTCGTGGCGTCCAACCGTCGAGGATCGTAGCGACCTCGGAGCGCGCAAGTGTTGGAGAAGGCCTTGACCGCCCGGGCGATGTACGTCCTATCCGATTGATCGCTGGCTAGAACGCAGGACACCGCTAGTCATGGGGCGCGCGCGGATGTGCGCGAACCACAGAGCGCAGTGCTCTCTGACCGCGGCCGGCTCCGCGCACTGCGCCCTCGTCGCCTATCTCATCTCTGCGCGCAGGTCGCTGGCTCCGACGATCCCGCCATGAAAGTGCGCTCCGTCAGTTCTATGGGCGCATCGGAGGCTGACCACTCCTCGCAGACTTCGCTGTCACCGGGCGTATGGAGCTCCAGTGGGCCTATGTGACGCATACCGCGCTGGGAGCGCATTCCCATCGTGCCCACGATACCGCGCGCCTTGGACGCGTCCCATCCGCCTAAGCTCCTGCAGCATTCATCAGGACGGATCATCCGAACCGCGGTGAACCCTGCACGTTGTATGGACTGGAGTGGCCGGATCATCTACCGCGTCAGCGGTAGGTTCATGCAGGGTCGGCTGCTTCGCGTTGGACGCACCTACTTATCACCCTTCTGCGGGTGGGGAGTATCATCGTCCGGGAGGCGGGTGGCGGAACAATGCGTTCGACATGACCTGTATCCGGTGTGAAGGCTCCCAAGAGTTGGTCCTGCCATACCTTGTCTACCATGAGATACCGGACGGTTCGGCGCCCACTGGGACGCCTCGAGGATGTGCATGTTCGGTTATCCCAAGTCCGCGCATACTCGTTCGTGATGGAGTATTCGCCTCGTGCAGCGGCCGCTATGCATGGAGACGAGTACGTTGCTCGAGGGAACAACGTCTGGCCCCAGGAGCATGTGGAGCCTAGACAGTGCTAACGCTCTCGTTCGCAAGCAATGTCGTGATCTCTGCCACGGCTGCTGCCGGAGCTCTGCAAGTCTGAGTCCTGTCGGTCCAGTAAAGCATGTTCCGCATAAGTATTTGCCTGCCGATAGACTAGCGGAACGCCATACGATATAGTCAACGCATTGTCGCACGTTGTCTCTAGAGATTGTGCCGTTGGTCAGAGTTAGACACACGTTCGGCACTCTGCTATCCTTGCTGCTGCCGTGCATGCCTCCTATGTGGGAGTGCGAATGCAAATTCATATCAACGAGCGCCGCGCATACCGTGAGTACGCAAGTTGGGCTATGCCTTCTCTGCGCATTGTTCGCGATCACGCAGAGAAGCTCCCAAGCGGAGCACCCAACGTTACTGAACGCCTATCTAGAGTGGGAAACCGGAAGAAGATCATACGTCATGACGCTTACGACATACCATGCTCTGGGAGAGATATACCCTGTATTGGATGGTCGGGTGGGGCGTTTCCCGCGAGACTCGACGGGGGATAGCTGGAACGTGGTGATCCCTCAATGACAGAACCCGGCCAGTAGACACAGATAGACGCGCTCGCACCATTCGTTATACAGCGGATGCCAGTAGCTTCTCCCAGCTTGCCGAGCGCACTTCAGACTTCGGCTTCTCAGAGTACCAAAGGAAGCGTTCGCGTTGTGTGACACAAATAGGACAGCTCACAATTCACTGCATTTCGGGTCGAACGATATGATTCTGCGAAGAGAATTGACGGAGCGAAGGGGATACCAAAGCGAGCAGTCAGAGCGTCGACGATTATGTATGGCGAGGTATTAGAAGCGTAGTGCAATAGTGTCGAATTAGACGATGCCAGAAGAGGTGATGGTGACCTTCTGCTTCGGCCGGCCCGAGTCGGTTCCAACGGCTTCGACCGTCTTCACGACATCCATGCCCTCAACGACCTCGCCGAAGACAACGTGCTTGCCGTCCAGCCATGACGTGACTACCGTCGTGACGAAGAACTAAGCGGCGCAAGTCAATTGAGTGGGCTCATCAGGTCTTCGCAGCGGAAGCTTACCTGGGACCCATTTGTGTTAGCCCCTGCGTTTGCCATGGAGAGCAAGCCAGGCTTGTCATGCCGAAGCTTGAAGTTCTCGTCTGAGCCGCATCAGCATCTCGGCCGGGGGTCGTGAGTAGGAGAGCACCCACCTGCGAACTTCTCGCCGTAGATAGACTTGCCACCGGTGCCATTATGACGTGTGAAGTCACCACCCTGAAGCATAAACTGGTGCGCGGTACGAGATGAGACGTCTGTGGTGAGCAGATGCGCTGCCAGACTCACGTTGGGGATGATCCGGTGGAACGAGCTACCTGCGTAGCCGAATCCATGCTCGCCCGTCGCGAGTTCCCGGAAGTTCTTCGCTGTCCGAGGTACGACGTCGTCATACAGCTTGAAGACCACCCGACCCGTTGGCTTGGCGTCGATAGCAACATCAAACTGGAAGATGGCGGTCAATGGATTGGGGGCATCCAGTGGTGTGTCAATGTACTCACGAAGACGTTGGCCCTGTAGCGGCGGGTCGCAGCATGGTCAGTATTCCCCGGAACCTCGACAAAAAGACAATATCTACATTGTTTTCCCTCCTGTTGAGGCAGAGGTCGCGAAGCGGCGCAGGAAAGAGGCCATTTTGAAGAGATGAAGAGCGAGCGAGGAGTCGGAGGTAGAGTCAGTGTCCGAAGCAAAGTGTGCGTGCTGGCGCCGAGGAGCGCGTTTACTCACGTGACTATATTGCTAGATTGGGATGTGAGAACGTCGAGGGGCGAGACGGCGGGTGTGTTGTCGAAGAGTGCGGGCTTCCCGAGGAGGGTATATATACGAATGCCCGCTGACATGGTTTGGACAGGGAGTTCTTATGAGATCAGAGCCGGAAAGGGGAATGTTGCTGCGGCGTGCATGGGTTTGACCGAACGCACGGCAGACATCGAGCCCGGACAAACAACCAGGGTGCCTTCTCCGCGCCAGCGAGCGCTCTGGGCCGCACGCCTGCCCATTCTCGAGGACGCACACAGGCATCGCGGCACACCCCAGGGCACGTGTTGATCCAAGATCCAGCGTGTTAGCACCAGCGACCCGACGTCTGCGCGCGGAAGATGGTTCCGCAGGCTCGAGGTGCTCCCGTGGAAGGGCTCCTCAGGCCTCAGGCCTCAGCACGCAGTGCCGCGCGTTTCGACGAGCTAGACCCCCGCCGCACTGAGCCGGTCTGGGCTCAACGAGGGACATACCGCACGAATATAGCAATTGTCACAGCGAGTCACTCCTATCCGATCCTATAGGCGTCGCGGACGCGTCGCGAGATTGGTCCACGATAGCCCGGGAGCAGTAGTCCGCCGACGATGCTGGTCACACGTCCGCACAGGAAGCCTCGACGACCCCATCATCAATATGATCGCTCGCCACCCAACAATACGCGGCGATGTTCGCCCCGGTTTCCGAGCATACCGGGCTACTGGCGAGAGGTACTAGGTTATATTCAGCATGGCACCCGGGTAACTACGTCGAGAAACGCACCAATTACTCAATGATCTGCAGCTAGCACGTTTATGGTAGTGCACATTCGCCTTGAGCAGCAGCGGCAACCTTGGTCGACCCGGCACGATAACCGAGGGTGACGAACGGGCTCAGCCCAACATGAGTAGGGCGGCGCGCACTCACTAATAGTAACGGTCTAGGCGCGCCGACGACTTGCATTTGCACTTACAGGGTACGAAATTGTTTCCTCGCTGTCGGGCTGGCGCGAACAATAGCAGGATGCCGTTCGATCCGGAGAGATTGCTATCCGGACACATTTGTTACGGAAAAGGCGCAGGAATGTGGGAGTGCCTGCAGGGCCTCAGGCTGCCGCCGTCGTTAACTCAGCTCTAGATCTACGATGGGAAACGGACGCCGAAAACATGCTTACTTTCCGTGCATCGCGGCGCCGTCGCCTTAGGCTTCAGGCACTCCCTGAGCATGACTGCCAGGACGGAGAGTTGCGATCAAGGAGTGGCATTGAGATGTTACGGTTGTGACACGACGGACGGGGTAATGTGGCTCTAGATCGCAGAGATACAGCCGTCTTCGGCTTGCGTAGAGTTTCCTGCCGCTGCATATACGATCCATGCCGAAGCGAGGAACCTGAGAGCTAGCTGGCTTATCTCGCAGAATTGTGGTACTTCAGGTGAAGATGGTTCTCATAGCGTCATGGTTGCCGCCCGATAGCTAGATCGCAATACTCGGGCCTTCTTTGCAAATGGCTACGTCAAAAAGCAGCAGCGTGAGTACGTCTTGGGTCTCTATGGTAGATAACCAGTGCTTACACTGATATTCGGTACTGACTTAAGCTCTCAGTACTTCAGTCCGCATCGCCGGTCGGACATCGTCGCTCTAATTTTCCAATGTACGGCTGACGCGTCGACGAAAGCAGAAGATCTCACTACGTGCGCCAAGGACAGCTGAGGGTAGAACCAGACTGCCGACTTCCCGGGAAACCTTGAGGAGTTGCCTCAATCAATCGATGCAAAGCTGGCCGCGGGAAGAGGTCGCAGAAAGCAATCAACTGAGAGATATCCATTCATGTTGCGGCACGGCGAGCTGCGAGACCGTCTGCGTGAGAGCGCGACCAGGGTGGTAGAACGCAACTCTATTTCCTTACCTCGACCGGCATATCGACATAATGTTCCGGAGAGCATGATTCCACGCACAACTTGACAACTTGAAAACGGATCATGGGGCTGCGTAGAATCCGTGATCTGGGTGGCCGATAGAACCTTCGCTCTGAGAAGTTCAGCACAAAGACGGCGCTGACGACACACCACTCGGAGTGAATCCGTACCCAGGCTCGCCGTGAGTCTATCGGTCCTGATCGTGTGTCTCGAACCCATATGTGGGATGCAGATCCTAAGTCGTTGATAGTGGTCATGTCTGTAAAACTGCAGCACACATACAGGACCGCGCGCTTCCACACCGCACGGCCCGGCACTGTCATGGAAGAGGGTGCGGTGATTTGTGTCCTGGGACAATCCCAGCACAACGCGCTCATCAGCGTCCAGGCTTCGTGAGCAGCACGCATCGCATATATCAAAATGAGCGGGACGCTAGATGCTGTCCACAATGATGAAAAAGCCACTACGTTGAAGTGGGCGTTGCGCCCATATCATAGCGCGCCATGGTCTGCTAAACCCTGCCTACCAACGCCTCTCCTTTTTTGGGTCATCAGGGTAGCGGCGATCGCGAACTTTGAACCTAAAAGGATAAAATCGTGGGATGACGAAACGTGCTGGGCACCGTTCATCGACATCTGAGAATCACCAGCTTCGCACTGCGGCGACTCGGCACAGAGCGGCAGCAGCTTCACAGTGCAGGAGATACCGTAGTCTCCGTTGCTGACCAAAAAGAGTTACTCGAGATACCGTCAAGTGAGACAGTGGCGTTTCCGTTGAAGCTCCGGGCTTCTCGCGAGAAAAACACGACATGGAGTCTTCATGGACGGGGATCTCTGCCGTGCCGAGTGGTCATACCTCTGGAAAACCTGAGTAAGTCAGTCGACAGCGTATTGTAGTAAAAGTGAGGCTATACCCGAGAGCTGCTGTCTGGGACTTGCTTGGAACGTTCCCGGCACCATCATCTCTGGTGAATGCGATGTACCCCGAGACGACGCCGAGGACATTGTCATTGCCAATACAGGCATTGATACCCGTCAATTGCCCGTCAAGGCAACGAATGAGGGCCCTTAAAATGGAGTGACTGCTCATTAACGATATATCGCAGTTCATGAGTATATGCGACTCACCGAATTTTGCTCCAGCCCGAGTATCGTCAGATTTCTCTCGGTGACCTCGCCGCTACGGCCTCGGGCGTCCCCCAGTTCGAAGATTTGAAACTCCAGGCCTCAGCCTGAGGCCCAGGTCCGTAAGCAAAGTACCAAAGCCTACCAAAAGCTTATGAGAGTGCACAATATATCCGACGCAAGAACACAAGGAAAGAGAGTCTGAGTACAGCTTGAAATGGACCAAGTCGGGCAGTGTCTCGCTTCAGAACATGAATCGGTAGGGTTGCCATATTGGGAAGAGAGGGGATGACATCACGTGCGACGGCGCTCAGATGACAATGACAGAATTTCAATGGGCTTTCCATGGCAGCGGAAGCGCCGGTGTACGCTGTGCACAGCCGGGAGGGCAAGCCCCACGGCCCAAGTACCTCATCTTGCTCTCATACCTTCACCAACGACCTGTCCCCTCTTCACGAATTCACCTTAATTGCTTTGTTTTTGTGATGTGTACGTCCGTGAATGATGCTGGAAGCAATGCGAAGATGCTGACTTCCGTCGGCAGCGAGTCACAGTTCCCATGTTCTCCCGCTCCTGGCAGCGGCACTGTTGTTTTTCTCGAATGTAGGAAGTGTGCGGGCACTATACTGTGTGGAAACTGGGTGCGTCATGATCTCATCGGCCGTCGATCGCACATACTAACAGGCCGTGATTATCAGACGCGGATTCCAGGAGTGTAGCGTCCTCTCCCCCAGCGCTCGCATCGGCATCGGCATTGCAATAGGCAAGCACTGTAGCCTTTGTGACCATGCCTCGGAAGCTCACAACGACCGTAGCTATTGCTGGTCTGCTCCTGATCTTCGCGGTCGGCATCATGCGCCAGCGCCGTATCAAGAGGAACAACCTTGCCTACGTGAACAACAACATCGGCATGCAAGGCGCGCAGTACGGCGGTCCTCCAGGCTACTACCAGGCGCAGGGGTACAACCCACAGTATCCTCAGTACCCGCCAGCAACGCACAATGGGTGGGATCCGCGCACTGGCTTTGCTCCTGTGAGTCTTTGTCCTGTTGCCGGCCGCCCGTCGCCCATCTGACATGATATCACTGCACAGCCCTATCAGTCGCAGCAGCCTCCTCAGTACACCCCTCCCATGGGTCCTCCGCCGGTCGTGTCGGACAAGACCCGCCCGCTGAGCCAAGCATGATTGCTGCACGATCTTAGGTGCACCATCTACGTGCCTTGTATCTCCACTTCTTAGTTTATTTCTCTACGACATGGACTAACACACTGGATGTAGCCACTACTTGTACCGTATAAGCACGGAATATGACCCTTGCTAATGGAGCTGCCTGTGAGAAGTGTGCATGTCCTCGTATTGCCGTCATCTGAGCGAACTGTAGTCGCCCCACGTATGCATCTAAGACTGAATGGCAGGGCATCGGCAAGAGTATGTACGTAGATCTTACAGGTACAGAATGCGTACAGTAAGGTATATCATGTAGTTTACGATCATGAGGGCAGAAGAGGAAGTAGTTAGAACCACAATTGATGAGCGACTCGGACATGGCATACAGCTACTTGATGTCCTGCAAGGCTGCACCGCCCGCAGCTCGCTCAATCGCGTTATACACCCTCTCCACCCTCTTGCGCCACTCTTCGTCCCTCTCAGCCTCAGCATCGGCGTCCTCCTCGCTTTCTGCCGCGGCACCCTTCATCTCCATATCCACCATGAACTCCGCGACAAACCGGGTCACGAACTTCTCGCCAACCTCAGCGTGCGCACGAGGGCCCCAGCGCCACTCCCACTGTTCCTCACCAGTCGCATTGCCGTTAGGTGCTTGGGACGCAGCAGGAGGGCCACGCCCGCGCTTGCCCTTTCCTGGCTCGCCGACGCGCTGTCGGTCGAGGTAGCCTTGGCGGACGAAGGAAGAGAGCAGCTGGTCGAATGAGAGCTGGGCTGTTGAGCGCGCGCTCAGCGGCATCTGCGTACTCGGCCCCAGCCTGAGCCGTTTGAAGACCTGCCGTAGTTCGTCTGCAGCAGTGGTGAGCAATGAAGACGAAAGGACGACAGAGTGCCTTACGGTCCCGCCCCACTCTGGCGTCTGTGAGGATGAGCCCAAGCGTGATGTGCAACACGCCCATACTCGCCACTTCGTCGCTCTGCTCCCAGGCCAGTATGCTGCCAGTAGCCCGCGCCGTCGCATCGGCGTCCTCGTCGTCGATGTCGTAGAGGTCTGCGAAATCCTCGTTCGTGATGTTCGCATGCGTGGACTCGAGACGGCGAAGCTCGCGGTCGGGCGCGTTGGCGCGCGCTATGATAGCGGTGTCTAGGAGGGAGCGGAGAATATACGACTTCGGGCCTCCTGCAGCGGCACGCTTCCCGCCTGCTGCCTTCTTTCCTTTCTTGCCTGCTCCGCCGTTGGCCGCTTGGGTGGGCTCGGGCTCGTCGGCGTCTTGGGCAAGAGCGGCGCGAGATTGCAGCTCAGCCATTTCTATGCCGAATGTCTTGCGGAGAATTTCTTGTGCTCTGGCGAAGACCACGTTGAATTGTCGCGAACTAGAGCCCAAAACTACACGGAGGTAAAATCCTGTAAGCACTTGCAGGCAGCTCGGACGAAGCACAATAAGAGGAGATGCATATTACACAGAAAGACATTCTCGTTGTCTCACAGTTCGTCGCAGTAGATACCAGGTAGGGTTGGCTCACCTTTCTTCGAGATTTCATCTCGCTTCAAGGGCACGCGCCTGCTTTCTGCGGACAGCGCCAACCGTGCAAGATCGCCTGCCTTGCGCTCCAACTCTGTTTGAGAGGCATCTCCTCCCTCGCCATCAACGTCCATTTCATCTGCGTAACCTCCCGCGTCAAGGTCGTCGTCTTTTTCATCGTCATATCCATCGTCGACAGGCTGCGACCGGCCGTTTGTTGCGCGCCCTGCGCGTTGCCGCGGCTGAGACTGTGAAGGTTGAGGCTGAGAGCGCGTTGCACGAGCCATGTTGAATCAAAATCTCAGTTCTATAAAAAAAAACCAGTGTTAGACCGGCCGCCGTGAAGTCTAGGAGTACTGGGCAGGACGCGTCGAGGCAAGTAGCGGAAGACAGGAGAAAGTCGAGCGCGCTTACACGCGTGCCACAAGCGCGTTAGGCGCTCACGGGCACGTGCGATGTCTGCAACATCGCGGCGGTGGCGGCGTCGCGCGGTCTGACTGCTCTTGTCCCGAACGTCCTTGTTATTGTGTTACTCGCGACATGGCGGACAAGTTCACGACACCGGTGAGCAAGCAGAGCCGGCTGCCTGCGTCGCTGTCTCGCTCGCAAGCGATGAAGCGTGACTCCCTTGCGGCCGAGCTCGAGCGCGGTGAGTGCCACTTGTACGTCTTACATTGTTCGTGCACTGACGGCTTGGCGTCCCACCAACGGGTCTCTCACCTACCATCATGCCAGACCCTCAGCTATCTACCGCAAAGCGACAGCAGCGCACGCAGACGTTCGCCTCGCATCTCGCACATTCATCGCTGGAGCGTCAGCTTATGGCTGCGCAGACGGCACGCGCTGATCTCGAGACGAAGCTGCGTGAGAAGGACGTGGTCATTGAGCGACTGGAAGGCGACCGGAGGTGGCTTGCGGAACGAGAAACGGAAGAACGCGAGGAGAAGGAGAGGGAGCGCGTCGAACGTGCTGAAGAGAAGGTGCGTCTCGCGCCACCATTCGATTTCCACTGTGTTGCACCTCTACATGCGCAATCTTGTTGTGCTCAGCATACCATCTAACCCACTACTTGATTTCAATAGCGCCAAGCGGATGCCGAGCTGCGCACACTACGTTCTACCCTTGCGACCCTCCGCGAACAACATGCCGAGCTCGCCGACGAACACGGCTCACTCTCGCGCTCCACAGCGCAGACCCTCTCCGCCCAGAAGTCACAAATTACTACTCTCACACGCCAAGTCTCGCTCCTGCAAGAAGAACTCACCGAGTACCGTCAGATCGCACAGGAACGCTCGCAGGCACTGGAGGCGCTGCGGAGCGAGCTCGACGAGGCAAGCGCAGCGAATGAGAGCTTCTCTCAAAACGTCGCGGATGAGGAAACCTGGGCGGTCGTGCGTGCGGAGCTCAGCCGCCAGGCGGAGTATATGCGTACCCTTGAAGCCACGAACACAAAGATGAGCACAGAGCTTGCCGTGCTGCGCGAGCGTCATGCCAGCGTCGAGGTGCTGAAGGAACAAAAGCGTGCGTTGGAGAGGAAAGCTCAGGGTGCTGAGGAGCTCCGCGAGAGAGTGGTCCGACTCGAGGCGGAGCTCGAGGCGGCGCGGCGCGAGCGGGAGACATGGTACGTGGGTGTGCGTGGTAATTAGTAGCTCCGCTCATTAGGTTTCCACAGGGCCTCGGAGAATGCGCAGCCCTCGACGCCTTCCAAGACACCGGTCAGCGTCACGAAGGCGCTTTCCGATTTGCGCCTGAGCTACGCAAGCCTCTTGGAAGAGCACGGGTCGACGACCGCAACACTCAGGCGGCGCGAGGCTGAGATAGCGGACGCAGATCAACGCATTACCGAAGCTGAAGCTTCTGTAGAAGCTCTCCAGGCGGATGTACGCACGCTCAAGGCCGAGGTAGCACGTAAAGAGCGCGGGAAGGAGCTTGCTGAGAGGGAAGTCTCCTTCCTTCAGGCCATGGTGGTGCGTAGTGTCATTTGCGATTTCGGTACTTTCTGCAGTCTCTTACCATCATTGCTCACGGTTACAGGCCAGCTTCACGGCTGAGGAGTCTGCTCAGAACGGTGTCGACTTAGATGAGCTGGCTTCGGACCGTCTGCAACACCTTGAGTCCCTTGTGGTTGACTACAAGGCCACCGTGAGGGAGCTCCAGCGTGAACTTGACGCACGGAACAAAGACGGCGTAGTCAAGGGTGGGAGCGCCGCATTGAAGCGGTTGCAAGAGGAGTTAGAGGCCGAACGCACGGTAAAGGAGGAACTCCAAGCCGGTACGCTTCTACTGGTGTTCATCGTATGCTATATTGGGTTGTTGACTTCACATGTTGTCTAGCGCTTGACAAGGCCGAGCAGGTAGCCACAGCGCACGAGGAACAGATCGAGAACCTTGAGCAGACGCTGTTCGAGCTTCGCGGGGAGATCGGTGCCGGACGGCACCTTCCCCCTGGCGTGCGCGTGCTGAGCTTGCGCGACAATCCTGCGCAGCAGTGGATGGACATAAGCCAGGCTGCTATGGACAGGCTGAAGAAAGAGAACAAAGCACTGATGAAGCGGCTGAAGGAGCTCGAAGATGGAGGAGCACGGGTGAGTGGACAGATGGGTGCTGGCGAGGCGAAAGAAGGCACGGTACCCGAAGGAATGGTCCCGCGAGAGAGCTGGGAGGTCGTCAACAGAGAGAAGGCACACCTTGAGGAAGAGCTGAAGCAGAAGGAGAAGCGATTGTTGAGGCTGCAACAGGTAGAATATTGAATCAGTATATCGCCCGCAGCCTGCCGTGCGTGTACTGAAGCAGCTCTCAGGTCTTCCAGTCAAAATCGGCCGAGTTCCGGGAGACTGTTGCGTCCATCCTCGGTGTCAAGCTCGCCTTCTATCCAAACGGCCAGGTGCGCGTCACGTCGCAGTTCGACCTCAACGCCGCATTTGTCTTCCAGCCTACAGGGCCCGTCGGGAGCAACGACGGGTCCGGCGGAATGCGCATGCAGCTCGTCGCTCAAGGGGACGGCGGGCCGGAGGACCTGCCGCAGCTCATGCGGTACTGGGTCGAACAGGAGCAGTGCATACCGGGATTCTTGGCGAGCGTTACGCTGCAGTGTTACGAGAAACATAAGATGGAAATGGAGAGGGCAGACCGCTAGGAGTGCTGTCGATGTACCGTATACGTTATGTAAGTATCGTCATTGTTTAGGATTTGTACGCATCATCTACCAGTTGCTCAATCGGAGCGTTGGATCTGCCTTGTCCCTGCTGAATGTTGATGCAACAGACGGCCACTATACAATGTTCCCTATGTTACTGCAAACAACCAAAGCATCGGGGCGAGAATCCTTCTCGTAACGCTTGGGCCGGGCTCGACGTGGACACATTCTGCTTGTGAACCATTGCACATCCTTACGCGAGGGTCTGTAGTACTATGATACGTTCTAGTCCTCCGTTCAGCGTGCCTGTGTAACATATGTCAATTCGGACAAACATATACAAGCGGTGTGGGCAGGGACCGAAGAGGTCGGCGGATGCCGAGGAGTGGTGACGGATTCCCAAGGTTATGCGAGGCTTCATTCCGTTGTATCGACTTCTTACATGGGTTTCTGCCGGTCTGGTCATTTCTAACTCCCAGGCCTTGCTTGTTGTTCTCGCCGTCCTTCAAGCTGTTCAATACCACTGCTGCAGCCGACCGCGTGAAACCCAGAGGCAGATCGGATACCTCGCTGTTGTCCGGACGACGAAGCGCCATTTTGTTGTCTCAAACCTCCACTCCCTTGTCGCTCTCCTGCTTCATGCACAGCATCTTCTCGCGTGCACGGACAATCTCTACGCCCAAGAAATCGCACGAACCCGCCACCCTCGACGAGTTTGGACGGATCAATAGCAGAGGATCAGCCCGCGGCCTCACCGCCTCCCCCGTCCCGTCCAAGAAGGACAAGAAAGATGGCAAGGACAAGGGCAGGGCGCGCACAACGTCTGCGGTAGAGCCAGACGGCACAGAGTACGCCATCCCCGACGGCACCTTCCTCCCGCTCAACCTTGACCCACCGCGTTTCGAGGCGACCGCCGGCCAACCCGCGTTTGAGCAGCAGAAGGGCCACGACTACGGCCATCTCTCGTACCAGCGACACGTCGTCCTCGGGCTCGAGGAGGTCGCGCGCCTGGTGGACGTGGTCGGGAACGAACTCACGCTCCGTGGCCTCACGACGCCGTTCATCTTCTCCGCACTCGCCCTCGACGTCTCGTCAAACGCGGTCAAGCGGCTCATCCGCGCGTTCTTGCGTTCCTGCAGCAAGCCGTCGGCGGAGGCGGACTTTCAGTGGCACGAGGAGGCGCGGCTGGCGGGGCCGCAGGCGCTGGGGATGTGCCTGCGGTGGGGGCTTGCACGCGTTATCCGTATCATAAAGGGCCAGGAGGTGCGTGGGATTGTGTCGTACGAAAACTACCTCGAGTGGCGGGAGACGGAAGTAGGTGCGTGCGCGATGTTCGTCGCCGAGTCGTGTGCGTGTGCGCTGAACGATCTGCGCAGCGCAAAACTATGCAGAGACGCACTTTGGGGCCTTCCTTGCGCCTCTCGCCCCGCTCGTACGCTCGATCCTCGTCGGACTGCTGACCCTGCTCTCTCGTTTCATCGCGCACTCGGCCTCGTCCGGGCACACGCCGCCGACGCTCTCACCGCTATTCGGACCGTTGCTATTCGGCTTGGGCCCGTCGACGCTTTCCTTTCATCAAGCCTACGTCGCCTACTTGCGCGTCACGACGGCGACCGAACACCTCATTCTATCATTCATCCGGTGGCAGGACACCCCGAGGCCCGGCGCGGCACCATTTGTGGGCGTGCCGACGCGACTCAAGGCATGGATCGAGGGCTACCCGTCCATGCTGCCCGCTGTCGGCAAACATGAGCGACGACCGGAGCCGCGGCGGGGTGCGCGCACGGTGCGCGTCGTTGCCGTGCGGCGGAACGTGCGGATGTACTCGCCCGACCTCGTCAAGACGGCTGCAAGCTGGGCGCAGCGCCCGCGTGGACCGAGCTCAAACATGGCGGAGCGCGCGTTTGCAGGCTCAAGAGAATGGGAGCGCGTCGCACCACCGACCCTAAAGCTGCCACCGCGCTACTCGGACGCGTACCACAAGCGGATGGACCTTGCGCCCAATTTCCATCCCGACACAGGCGCGGGGTCGACGTCGTCGTCGGTGAGCGCACCATCGCTGACATCATCCGTGTCGTCCGCTTCGTCGGGGACGAGCATGGACGAGCATGGCCTGCTCGCGCGTTCGGGCGAAGAGCGCTTCCGGAGCCTGACAGACCTGAAGTGGGGCGAGTTCGAGATGATGGGCTTCGGTGACCAGACGGACGACAAGAAGCTACAGTTCGACTTGACGGAGGGCGCCCGGGCGGTGAGTGCTCCTGAGATTCATCACCGATTGGGAGTTCATAGATAGCGGGCTGCATCCACAGGCACGCGCCGCGAAACGCGCGACATTGACATGGCAGGACTTCTCGTCCTCGGGCTTCTCGCGGACGGACGCGCCGCTGAACGCCACGCTCCAGTTCAGCACGCCTATCGCAAATACGGTCAGCTCGTGGCCTGCGCATTCGGTGGAGATCCATCGCAAGCTGAAGAAGGCGCAGAAGGCGCTGCCGTCGTTCGGCTGGGACACAGAGCCCGTGCTTGGCGCGGAGGAGGTGATCGAGGAAACGTTCGTCGACGTGTTTTGTGACCTCGTGTATGGCGGAGGGTGGCTGGACATTGAGAGGTGTGAAGAGATTGATCGGGAGTGTAATTGGGCCCTGGTGAGCGATCGACTCGACTGCGTAGAAGTGTGACTCTGCTTATCGGCGGTTCATATAGGTGGAGTTCAAGTCGCTCCCGGTGGCAAAATCTACAGTGTCGGGCACCGCTGACCCGCGCACGTCGTCTACCTTGTTCCTTTTTGAAGAGTTTGTCCCGCTTGAGTACCGACAGCAGCTAGCGTCATCAGGACGCGCGCGACGACGGCTGCCCTCCCTCTTTGGCAATGGATCCAAATCCAAGCAATGGAAACCTGCTGCGACGCTCAACGGTCGCCCTTACGTCATCGGGCACGTACCGAACAGCCCATCGTACCGCGAAGTCGAGTTTGAGGGCTTATTGCGCGAGAACGGTAGCGCGACGAGGATCATTTCTCTAGGACGTCCCGCCGAGTTGGAAAACGTCACGTCACCCAGCACGCTCGCATCGCCAGGCTCCGTTGCTCCTACGCCTGCCCCTACTTCTGCTCCCCCACCGACCACCCTTTCACAGCCCACGATACGGCTTGATCCCGCACCTACTCCTCGACCAAAACGTCATGATGCTTTGGACATCGCCACCCAGATACACCGACGGACGTCGCGCTTCAGGCTCCCTACAGGACTACCCGTCAGTCCGGGCGGTGCCCGAAGGTCAGGGATGCCTCCGGCCGAATACGAGAGTATCGACTTCGACGCGCGTCTGGCCAGCTTCTCTGACGACGACTTGCTCAGTGGTGGGCGCGATAAGCATGGCCGGCGGCGCTCGCGGGACGATGCATGGGTAGATATTCTCGTCGCGAACAACCAGCGTCGGATGGCAGGCCAGGACGCGGAAATGCGCAATGGGCCAAGGCTCAGAAGCCGGCGCTCGGATCCGGAGCTGGCGAGCCAGGAGCTGTCCGAGGTGCTCGCTGCTGTGCGCGAGCAGCCCTTCTCCGACGACGAGGATGTGGGAATGGAGCCTATGTCACCGCAGCAGAGGGACGACGACGATACCACTACCATGGATGGCTCCGTAGTCCAGCACTCCATTGGCCTCCAAGAACGAGATTCCTACCTATTTTCCGACGAGGAAACTGAAGATGAGGCAAGGCCTCGTAGCCAACGCCGGCCGACATACTTCGATCTCCACCCTGACAGGCGTCCGTTGCGTTCGATCGACGGTCAGTCGTATGAGCGGCAGTCCTACGATAGCGACGCCTTCTCTACTGACTCGTATGGCCAGTTTGACGATCCCCCGCGTCCTCGCCTCAACGCGCCGCGTCGAAGCGATGCGGCAACAGACTCCTACATATCGGAGGCAGATTACGAGACGACGCCAGGCAACTCGCAGGTGGACGTATCAGATAGCAGTGCACAGGAGATCAGGAGACCGGCGTACGTCGCTATGAGCCCTCCCTCTCCGAATGTTCCCAACGCGCCAGCTCCGCCGCGGCCTCCACGTGCGATCCCAGTCACTGCGTCAGCGACTACCGCTGCAGATGCTGCGAAGAGCAAGACGGCTTCCCTCATTGAGATGTATCGTGAACGCGAGAAGAGCACGGGCAGCAGCCCGGGTCCTGCCGCTGCACCGTCGAAGCTACCCACGCGCTCCGTCTCGTTGCCTCAGAATCCCAAGTTACCCGCCGGCGCTGCCTCACCCAGTGTTCCTGGAGCGAAGACATCCGACCCTGCGACCCCAGGGCAACCAGCACAACCAGCACAACGTACGGAACCTGCAGAGTCGGATGTAGAGTCTATCCTTGAAGAGCTCCCAGAGCCCGACCTCCCGATACGGTACGTGCACGGCGCGCCGCTGCATAACGTCCTGGAAGAGGAAGAAGAGGACGACTAGAACCCCGGCGTGCCGGTAGGCTCTATTGTTGTCAACTAATAGGGCCCCGGTGGCTGGTGTACATGTACCCCGCCCGCTCACTTGTTTGCCTGTACCATATGTACAGGCCCGCTGGCCGCGCGCCGCACAGACACTCGTACATCGTACATATTTACCACGACCCCGTCTCCCGCCTCTCTTATCGTGCATCGCTTTCTTGTTACTTAACGGCCCGCTGTTGCGGGTCCGTATCCTCCATTCCTTTGAGTCCGTAGCGTCCGTCCCTGACTCAGACACGTATATTGAGTCTTTATCCATATGCATAGGTCGCGATGGCCGTGTTTTTAGTGCGATACCATACGCCGTCCCGGCTGATATCACGTATCTACAGCATTCTAGTGTCTTTATGCTTTTCTCGTTATGCACCGGCCTTTGTGGAAACATGTAGTTGATATCTATTGCTGAGTGGGCAATGGGATCATAGTTGCAACGATAACAACGGCACGAAGTCAACCTGAGTACCTGTAGACCTTGAGGGTTGGGTTACAGCGCAGGCTGATACTAGGTCCCCATGTCATGCGCGATGAGTAGGATGATGATTGCCTGAATGCCATCCAGGTGTCAATGCGTATATTATGTCGTAGTGAAAGTGAAGACATTACATAACATACTTTTTCCGTGAAAAGGGGCTCGCTACAATCCGAGGGCGCAGTACAGTACGTCAGATTCATAGCGAGCCCCGTGTGGACACGTAAGTCTCCTGTGGGCAGAGTATCCAATTCATTCAACCTCCTAGAGGGACGCGACGCGGTGGCCGCTGCTGGTCGGTGAGCGCTTACTCGAACATCGCGCGCGCCACCTTTCTCAAGAGCACGACTGCGACATACTGCACGCGGAACCACAAAGGAGGCAAAATTTAGAGGGGCGTTCATGTGGATTGCTATACGCACTAGCCTGCACATGAAAAGCGAAAGGAATGGAGAGACACGACACGGTGGCCGCTGCTGGTCGATGAGCGCTTAAGTTGAACATCGCGCGCGCCACCATTTTCGAGAGCACGACTGCGAAGCATTGCCCGCAGAGCCACAAAGGAGGGCACTTCTAAGGGTAGTACTGCATTGCGCAAATTATGGGCATTTTTTCGAGAATACTAGGGCATGTTTGAATGCGCGGGACGGCAGTCTTTGCAGCATCGCAGGAAATAATGATCTGGGTTACGTGAAATTTGTAGTTGTTTGGCTCCGGGCTGCACCCCCTAGGCAATGTATGCTCGCTCCGCTCGCAATTATTAGCAGAGTGACGACCAAGTGCTTTGCAAGACTCATATTGCTGGATTACACGTCCGGGTCGGGCCGTTCACATACAACATACTCATAGGTCATCTCATAGTCCAACAGTACATCGCTTGCAGACATAGATTGGCACGCCTCCCAAGTGCCCATATCCCCTCTCTCCCGTCTCCGGTCGTGTCGACCACCACTCCTCGCCCATTCCCGCGAGATGAACCTCCCAAATAGTGAATAATACAACAGATAGAACGAAGCGGATAAGTTATCGTCCCTCCTGCGAGGAACGCAACACAGCAATGTGTAGGGAAAGGTGTGGCGCGTTATGCGGCTCGAAGTCCGGACTAAAGCGTGCTGTCAAGGGGGGCAATGGCTTGTCAGTTGCTTTGCGCAAATTGATGAACGGTCTTGAACTTCACTCACCGGAGGGAGAGTGCGCGCCCAGGCAGAGCGTGCCTACGCAATGGTGCACGAGTAACTGGCGTTGCCATTGCTATGGTCGTAGTCGGAGAGGACCTTGTCGGTCTCAACCTTATCGGAGGGGACGGGAGCAGAAATGTCGAAGAAGGCGTCCATTGCGATCTGTGAGCTGTTGGGCCGCGAGGAAGAGGAGGGCCTAGAGGATGAGGCGAATGCGGCTGCCTATGTCTCGGTGTCCTGCTTGCTCGGCACTGCTCGCGATGTCCCTGTATTTATATGGATACCGCCAGAACAGCGGTGGGCCTGCGCACAGGAAAGACAATAACGCGGCCCCTGATAGTCGTTCAGTGTCCATGTTCCGAAGCGTCCACTGAATAGACACTCGGGCCAGACGTCTCGGAGCAGAGCGGCTGGAGCCCCGGTGACTCAGACGTCGCAATTGTCTCTGGGTTCGTCTTGCTGAGGGAACATCGGATGTCAGTCATAAACGCGCATTGGCCATCCATAGTGGCCCGGGACAACACACTGTACGGACCACGGAAGGCCAAATGACACATGTTTGACGCATACCTGCCACGGTCATTGCATCGGATGGACCCCCGCAAGCTCCTTTCGCTGAACTTATTGTCTTGCGACAACAAAACGTGGATAAGCAAAGGGGGCATTTCACTTTCCGTACCTGACTGACTGTTCATTGACAGCGCTGTTCCGGTCGGCGTGGTCGACCGTTCATTGCAAGACAATAGGCTGACTTCCGAAATGGGTCCTTCGTCATATCTTCCGCTCAGGCACTATCTCTGCGTCTAAAACGAGTTCAGCAAGTGTGAAGCCGGAATTCTCACCTTATTGTGCACCGTGGCCGTGTGCCTTGACAGAGTCAGCAGTGTGCGTAGTAAGAAGATCATCGACACAAAAGGAAGGCGAGGGCTTTAGATCCTAACAGATGCAAACAAACGTTCCACATCGAGCAGTAACCTCAGGCCACTGCACTGCCACCGGGTTGCCAGAGAGACTTAGCTTGGTCCAAGCACTGAGCTCAGGTATACACTGACGTCTATTTGCTTCCGAATAATCAACATCTTCTCAATATACAGATCTCTCAAGCTTATGATGGCGTCATGAACACATCCAACGGTTCTGTAAGCACCACCACTCTAGACCACAAAATTGCTCAACTTCGTAACGATATCCTCCAGCCGTCGCTGATCCGTCGCGAGCTGCACGCGCCGATTCGCAATCACAGGGTTCTCCTCGAGCAGCTTTTTCAATCGGTCCGACGCATCTGCGCTCTCTAGATCCAACTTGCTGATCAGGCGTTTCAGCAGGTCGTCGACGAAGACCTGATTGAGGTCCCGCTGGATTGTCATCGGGATATTGTCGATGATCCTCTGTGGCGAGTCAATGCGCAGATCCAGTGCATCGATCGTCGTCTACACACCTTGTAAGCGACTTGGACATACGCCCGAACATCCGCCATTACGGTCAGCTCGTCTTCATACGCACAACGGAGTCGTCCGTAGGAATCTGTTATTATTAAGGAATAGTAAGTTTTGAGGGTCCAGGCAATTGCAAGGGGGATGGCACTGAACGCAACTCACCATATGTTGTCACGGAAATGCCGTAGGCCGAGCGATAGTGCTGCAGCCAACTCTCTCTCGCCGAGTGGAGGTAGTGGAGATTCTGAGTGATGTACGGCAGTTTCTCCCGTTCGACAACATCGCGTACAGCTTCCGAGACTTTCTTGTGGTGCGCCTGATGTTCATCCCTGATGAGTTTACTGTGTATATTCATCAGTGACTTTTGTCTCGGTCGATAATCAAGTAACGGATGTACCCAATGTAAGACTCGAGGGGCTTGAATTGGCCAAAGTGGTCACGGACGTTCGAGTCGATGTACTCGCGCGAAAGTACACGAATCCGCTCGTAGCACGCAGCAGCCGGAGCGGGCCACTTGTCAACAGACAGACCGATGAGTCGCTCCTTCGCTTCATATGGGATATGGGGCGGTAGCTGCCAACCGGTGCATCTAACGTGAGCCCGACCTAATTAGCGGAGCACACGATCCACACACAAGCGAGACGTACTCTTTGATCACCCAGCGTACATACTCGAGGTCAAAGGGTCCGTTTTCGAAGTCGACGACTATGTCGTGAGTATCCTGGTCCATCTGGTCACTCTGGGACGGAGGGTCGGTAGGCTTCTGATGTTTCGCATGATCGATGAAAGGCCGGAAATCGGGCAGAGTCTTGTAAATCGCGATCTTGAAGTCTTTGTACACTGCCTGGCTTTCGTGAACGAATTCCTTGTCCTCGCTGCGGCCATACACGTCGTCCTGCATAGCTGTACAGAACTTGGACATCCGGCTGAAGACTTCAGTCGTCGGATCCGCCGTAAGCTTCTCGGGCAAGCCTGCAATATCGTGGTTGATCTGAGCGAGCCGCGCCTCAGCTTCTTCTCTCAATCGCGGGATGCTATCGTTGCAATGTGTCAGGAGACTCCTAAAAGCGCAGCCCATACAGACTGAACTCACGCATCCTCGATTATACCCATCAGCAGTTTACTGATGTCGTTGATGAAGTTGCGCAAGCCTAGCCTGCCCGAGTTCAGCATCTGGTTCCACGGCAAGGTGGTCGAGAACAGCTCGTCGGCGCGCCGATCCAGGTCTTGACGTGTGATACCGCTTCTGCGCTCGGTGTCATTGGCCAGGCGGACAATGTAGTAGCCCAGGCGCAATTCGTGATCGGGCACGCGTCCTTGCAGGATGTTCAGCCATCGTTCCTGCGCTCCTATCTCTCCGTCTGTGAGGCTGTCGGGCTTGGTCACGACAGCTATACATGAATGGTCCATCAGTAAATGTGTACGACCCTTGACGAAGGAGGGTTTACCTATGGTTCGTTCGCCATCGGGATCGGCTTCTCTCGCCAGACGAGCAGCCTGTTGGTTCTCCATGTCGTCTGTCATGCATATATAGTATGATCAATTGCATGTACATGCACGGTTGATGTACCCACCGTTCGCTGGGACAGTGATGAGAATGATAGTGGAGTCGTCCGCGATGTAACGCTCAACGAGGTCTTTCACAAGGTTGATCACCTCGTCATCCATGTTTTGCACGAGCCCTATTGATCACGTCGTCAGCTCGACACACCTGACATGTCATTGGGCGCATCGTCAGCTATCCTCACCAGGTAGGTCGATGAACGACAGGTCCGTCCCCTGCGGGTCGTTGATGTCGACGACGACGACATCTCGCGCGAACTTCAGCATCTGCGGATCGGAAGCGGTGAGCTCCTTGAGCTCCTGGTACGTCTTCGTCTTGAAGGAGTCGCGCGGCACGTGCGGGCTGAGCAGCGCCGTCTGTGCGCGACGGACCCAAATCTCGACTTCTGCCTTGGAATTCAGCACCCCACTGAACGGCTCCCTACGAGTCTGTCCGTCCGGGTCGTACTGCAGGGATATCTGACATTGCCAGTCTGGCGCTGCCGTGGAGATTGTGCATTCCATCGGACATCTAGACGGTTCTCGTCAGCCCAGCGTCGGCGGTCGCGACGGCGTTCGAGTTACCTTGTGCATGTTCCACTATCGCGAGGGACGTTGATCTGAGTAGGGCTTAGCACAGGGAGGCGAAGCATCCAGTCAGGCTGCACTTACGCCGGTAACTGCTTCCACTAGGGAACTCTTGCCGGCTAATCCGCGGTTAGAGATGGGGAACGGTTGACAGACTCGCGAGGCGACTCACTAGACTGAGCACCTATCACTGCGATTCTCGGGATGCGAATGTTCGACTGTGCACTGCATGGAAGCATTCAGCACGGGTCCCTTAGGCTCCTGACTGCGCAGCGAATTCCTACCCTAGTTCCTTCAGATCCTTCAGCAGTGCGTAGACCTCCCTTCGCTGCCGGGCGTATTCAGTATCTGCAATGTTAGTGCTTTGTGCGGTCGCCATGACTGGCTCGGGGAAGGGAGTTGTGCTGGCTTCAGAGTGAGTGGACCGTGTAGTCTTTGAGCGTCGTCGCAGCCTCTTTAACATCGCCCGGGCTGTCACGGTGCTCTGGGGGCAAGTGTATGGCACGGTCTCCTAATAGAGACCTTCAGAACGCGACCCAGGTCGGGGTCTGGGTGGCGCATATCTGCACGCCGGGTGGCGCGATCTCGGTGTTGTGCGGGTCACGCCGGGGGCTCCAACAGGCTGTTGACGCCGTTCCCTTTTGCCACCGCGACGGTAACTACGGTTTGGAGGCATTTTACATCGTAGTCGTTCGAGTGTTCGATGCTATACTACGTGTACTAGCCTGCCCGCCCGCGGTGGCAGCAGCCTTGGAGCGGGGTGCGTGGTGCATGCTTGTCATGCCCGAGCTGGCCCCACAGCCAGGTTGCTGACTAATCATGTCTGCGCCACCCGGCCAGAACCGCGTTTCTGAAGATCTCTAATGAGGCAGTTATAAAGGAGCACCTTCTCTGTGGTAGTACCCTGAATATGTCAACCACACTGCAGGATGTCCCTACTTTGTCAGCGCTCTTGAGGGACGTTCTAACGTGTACCTTCTTCTCAGGTGCGTGGTCTTGTTGTGCGGTCGTACTCGGAGAGCTAGTACAAGCCATTACCTGCTGTTCGCTGATAACGCGAATAACCATGGTATAGAAGCACCGCGTTCAGGATGTATATCACCTACATGAGTGATGAAAAGCTTCGTCTGTGGATGGCCAGCGTCGCCTTGTCACATATGGCAGACAAGGTTTCACTTGTTCAACGCGGCAGATGGCAAGGATGTGCAAATGGAGACCGGCTGAGGATCGTCGACAGGCGCAAGAAGTACACCGCGCGTTACAACACGCACATATGAATTGCTGGACCACTCTCCTGCTATACAGAGAAACGCGTGGATATAGAAGGGACTCAGCTGCCCTGTTGTCCGCTGCCGCCCACCGTTACTACCAGATGCTTTATGCGTGCCAAACCTTGGCGATGAGCTCAGTGAGACCTGTTCGCGGTACAAGGTTAGCGCGGACAAGGGACGTGATGCGCAACATCTTACCGATGTCGTTGGTGTTGAACTGGTAGACACCGACGAGTACGCCGACGGTGGTTGCGCGGAGCGTCCAGGTGAACACGCGGCCAAGGATGGGGAACTTGCGTGGGTGCAGGTAGTCGACGACGATGGAGTCGAACTGCGGGGGGAAACGTGGATGAGATACGCACGCGAGCTATTCAGAAACAGTCCGTTCGTACCCCGATGTGACTGTGCATCACAAGGCTGACGCCGAGGATGCCGTCGAGGAGAGGATAGCTGCTGCTGCTTGTGGCGAAGGCAGCGACGGTCATGGGCACGAGGCCCGCGGAGAGGAGGCGCTCGAACGCCCAGTGGTACGACCCATGGGTCTTGGAGGGAGGAGGGAAGTCCGTTGGGTCGTTTACGGTCCCCTTGTAGATGGCTGGGTACCATGTCAGTTCGAGATGTGCGGGGAGGTGGTATTTCAGGCAACTTACGTCCACCCGGCACGTATGCAGCATCGGACACGCTTCGAGCTGCATCCCGAGATGTTCAAGGAAGGCAAGAAATTCGTTCATTTCAGCGACCAGACGTCGTCCATCCAGCAAGTCGGGGTACACAAGCATAACGGGGTGCGAGTGCGTGAGATGAGACATTCCTTCCGTTCCGCATATTTGGACGCACCGTGAACCGCGAGTGGGCGCAGCGACCTGCGGGCGAAGGTAGAGGCAAGGCGGGCGTTGATGGCAGAGCGGGCGACGAGGGCGGAGGACATGGTGGTCGACGACGATGTCGGTGTCGACCGCGTCGGCGAACGTCGCAGGGCGCGGGTCTTTCACGTGCCTCCTTGACCGATTATCGCCGCATCCGCTTTCGGCAGGTGCGGAGGATCAAATGAGAGCGTTTGTCCCTCCGCCTCATTCGCTGCCCAAGGCCACGGGAAGGCTGCAGCCTCATTAATCATTATCCATTGGTCGGAGGACGGGCGAGTTACCCCTCTTCTGCACGAGACACCACGCCGAGTCCGTCTCCTCGAGACGCGTCCGTCGGCCAATTACTCACCCTGCCCTACCTAACCCTGTACTAGACATTCGCGCGCACCCGCTCGTAATATCGCGAACACAAAGTCATTGGCTTGCACGTAAGTGATCTTACGCTTACCCATGACCGTGATGATAACGTAGGCACCTGCAGCAGTGGCTGCGGCCAAGTCATATAACCCACAGGGAGTGCTCTCAAACATGGCACCCATAAAACTAGCTATCATAGGCGGCGGGCCATCTGCCTTCTATGTAGCTTCTCGGCTACTCACATTGTTGCCACACGCGAGCCCACAAGGATCCATGCTCAAGATCCACATGTATGATCGCCTATGGGCGCCTCATGGGCTGGTACGGTATGGGGTTGCTCCAGACCATCCAGAAGTGAAGGTATGCCTGATGCGCCGTTCGTGCGATGTGAAGCTGACTATCCCCAGAACTGTACCCATAAGTTCGACGACGCTGCTGAGGACCCTCGATTGCGATTCTTTGGCAACGTCAACATCGACACGCCTTCGCAGAACCCCGATGCAGTGACACTCCCGTTGACCTCGCTTTTGCAACACTACACGCACTTGTTGTTCTCTACAGGATGCACAGTGCCCGTCTTGCACTCCGCGTTGCCACCATCATCCTACTGCGTACCAGCACTTTCACTTGTTCACTGGTACACGCAGCACCCCTCGCGGCCCCCAACACCGCCTCTGGAAAACATCTCGCACGTCACGCTCATCGGGCAAGGCAACGTCTCTCTCGACATCGCGCGCATGCTCCTCACACCACCCTCCGAGCTGGCAAAGTACGACGTCCCGGCGCCCGTCCTCGACGTCCTCTCGCGGTCCGCAGTCGAGCACGTCTCCATCGTCGGGCGGCGCGGTCTCTTCCAGGCAGCCTTCACCACCAAAGAGCTGCGCGAGATGATGAATCTCACCGACGCGTCCATGGCCCCGCTCGACCCCGCCGTGCTGCAGCCCAACGACGGCGCGGCGCTCACCCGCCAGCAGTCGCGCGTCCTCCAGCTCCTCCAAAAAGGCTCAAAGAACACGCCCGGGTCCACGCGCAAGACATGGTCGCTCGACTTCTTCCGCTCGCCCACGGGGCTCACCCTCCCCGACGACCCTGCCTCCCCACCCGGTAGCAACACCCGCCCGCCCGCGCACCTCACCCTCGCGCACACGATGCTCGACCCCTCCTCCCTCGCGGTGCCAACAGGCGCGACATCCACCCTCCCGACCTCGCTCGTCGTCACCTCGCTCGGGCACCGCGCGGAGCCGAGCGCGCCGTGGTACGACCCCGCGCTCGGCCACCTGCGCACGCTCGGCGGGCGCGTGCTCGACGCGGGCGGGCGCACGGTCCGGCGCGTGTACGCGAGCGGGTGGGCCGCGACGGGCGCGCGCGGCGTGCTCGCGAGCACGATGATGGACGCGTACGCCGTCGCGGACACCATCCTCCGCGAGGCGTTCCCTGGCGAGGACGTCCAGACCGTGCCTGTCGGCGACGTCGACGTCGGCGCCGGCGCGCGCATGGAGGGGGCGGGTGTGCAGGCGGAGTTTGCGGAGGACGTGGTGCCGGCGAGAGTCGAGGGGGAGGGTCCCCCGCCGGAGGTGGAGAAGGCATGGCGCGAGGGGAGGGTGACGGACTATGCGGATTGGAGGAGTATCGATTCAGAGGAGCTGAGGCGGGGGCGCGAAAAGGGTAAGGAGCGGGAACGGATGACTTGGGAGGAGGCCCGGGAATTCTTGGTCCCTCGATGATTGTGCTTGTCCTGCCTGAGGGTGGTACAAGGCTCTACTCCACTCGTGCAAAGCTCTAACAGTCTTTATGCTGCATGTCAGTGATACGCGGCATCTGAGCCGCAGGGCGCGGAGTACTTCGCGGCTAGGGTTTTGCTTGCTCGTATTCATGCTCTAGTAGCCATGTGCCAGGATCCGAAAAGACGGAGGGTCTGTTCAGTCCTGCGGTGGACCGCCGGTAGATCTCATAAGTACCAGTGGTATACGCCGATCATTTATCGTGTGTGCCTATCCATTCGTCAAGTCGCACTCGTCGCTGCCAAACTTGTCATTCCGAGTCCGTGTTTATGTCGCATCAATGTCTGAATCCAAATTACTGTACTCTCGAGCATTTCCTAAGTTTATGTTGAGGTGGAATGACGTGCACGGCCAGTGCTTAGTCAGCAGCACTGAGGAAACGCGTCCGAGTGCGCGTCCTCCTCCTTCGACCGTCCTCCGTCCTCGCTACGAACGTCCACGACCTATCCTCCGCTCTCAGCTGCCCAAAACATGTCAGACAGCGATCCCCGTCCAGCCAAAGTCTGGAGTCGTCCCTCGGGCCAGATAGGCCGCATCGGTGGCTGGGGCACGTCCTCGTCTTCATCCGCGCAAGTCCCGCGCTGCACTCCCGCTTCCACGCAACTCACGCATCCCTACCCACAGAGGCAGAGGCGCCCCCGCACCCCGCATCGCAACGCTGGGCAACAGCGGGCCCGCCGTGCCCGCCGCCCCCGCCGCCGCCCCAGCTGCTGGCCCCAGACGCGCGCCGTCCAGTGGCGATGACGACGATGACGACGAGAACGCAGAGGGCGAGAGCTGGTTCGCAGGCGGCGAGCGGAGGTGTGTGCGCTCTCCCGTGCGGACGACCTGGCGGGGCTAACGCATGCGGGACGCCAGTGGCATAGCGGTGCAGAACCCAGACAGACCCGGGGCCGTCCCTGGCGGGAGCTTGGTGCGCGATCTCTTGCGCCGTGCAGCACAGTGAGTCGCTCGTGAACTGTGTGTTGTGTCGGTGCGGCGCTGACTCGCGTGGGAAGGGCGGGCCCGCCCCAGGAGTCGGAAGGGTCGTCGCCCTCGTCTGTGTTCGCGGGAGGCGGCCATAGACTCGGGAGCGACGAGGTCGAGAGCGCGTACATCCCCGACCCGAACGCGCCTGCTCGTACGTAGAACTCATGCATCCCTGGCTTTTCCAATTATCCATACCTCGCCTATGCAGGCCCTGAAGAAGTGACTGCGATACGACACCTCACCTTCTGGCGCGAGGGGTTCAGCATCGAGGACGGCGACCTCATGCGCTACGACAACCCTACCAACTCCCAAATCCTCAACGAGATCAACTCCGGGTACGTCTCCCAACTTCCCTCCACCCTTGCACGTCGCACATCACGTCGCCCGGTACTGACCCGCGCCCACAGCCGCGCGCCACCGCACATCCTGAATGTCGCCCCCGGGCAGCCCGTCGAGCTGCGCGTCGTCAAGCGGCTCGGCGACGACTACGTCGCGGCGCCCAAAGCGCGGGGCGCCTTCTCCGGCGAGGGCAACCGCCTCGGCTCCCCCGTACCGTCCATCGCCGAGCTCGGCGGGCCCCCCTCCTCCATCAACATGCCCGGCAGTTTCCCCGTCACCGCGAGCGGGGGCGCAAGCACCGGTGCGAGTGCAAGCGGAAGTGGAAGTGCAAGTGGGGCCGGGGCGGCGCGCTCGGCGGAGAGCATCCAGACGCGCTTCGAGGTCGACCAGAGCCTGCCGACGACGAGCGTGCAGATCCGCCTCGCGGACGGGACGCGCATGGTCTGCCGGATGAACCTCACGCACACCGTCGGCGACATCCGCAGCTTCATCAATGCGTGAGTCGCACTTACGCTTCATGTCGTCGTCGTGCGTGCTGACGGTGGGGCGATGGCAGGTCGCGCCCGGAGAACCTCACGCGCCCGTATACGATCCAGACGACGTTCCCCGCGAAGGTGCTCGACGAGGACACGAAGACGATCGAGCAGGCGGGGCTCGTCAACGCCGTCGTCGTCCAGCGCTGGGTGTAGGTTGGGGTGGCCGTCAGGTCTGTGGCCTGGGTTTGCTCTTGGAAGTCTGTTACGTGTGCAAGTGTATCATAGAATCGTTGTCTGACACGAAAGCTCGCTGTGCTTTGAGTTGCAATTGCATATACGGATGTGGTAGTTTTGTGTGCGTGGTGTTGGGGTCGCCTGTGCAGGATGGAAGAAACACTCGGTTCCGTTCGAGCCTTGTGTGGGTGTGACCGGGGGTATGTTTCGTTCCGAAAACAAGTCGTTGATCTCATCCATGGTATGGTCTAAGAGTGAAGGTTCAAGGGAGGAGGAGCGAAGCAACTGTCCCGCGAGTGCGCCAAGTCACATGACCGTGAAGACGACCGGCGCGTCGCGTGAACTGGCCTTCTCTTCGTCCTCCTCCTTCTCTCCATATCGGTCTATCGCCGCGTCCTCTGCCTCCCTCTGCCTCTCCCCGCACCCGCTGCCGCTGCTTTCTGTCTAGATCAATACCTTGCTCAGCCCCGGTCGCAGCATCTGCAGTCCACGGCATCCTCCCTGAGCGTACTGCGCGCGACAAAAGAGAGACTGCCCTACGTTCTACAGCTGTTCTGAGTATACTCGCGAGGTAAGTAGTCTGCCTGCCATCGCCAGTTCGATCCTGCATCGCGTCCGCGTATACGCTGCGCGAGAGGACGGCTACGCGCAGGACGTGGCAAGCAAGCCCGATCGCCACTGATGCAGCGAGCCCGTGCCCCGCGACCCCGCACATTGCTGACAGTCGCTTTCTCTCTCTCAGTCGACGCCGACTCCCGCACCGCCCACCATGTCCTCGCCCGACTGGACCTCCCGCCCAGGCCCCGGCCGCAATTCCTCCGGCTACACCGGCGCTGGCCCGCCCTCCACGCCCCGCGTGTACAAGTCCAAATTCGCGATGCGCCGCGCCGGCCGCAGGCTGAGCACCGCCGAGTCCCGCACCTCCTCGCCCACGCCCCAGCCAGGCGCGGGAAGCCCCGTCGTCCAGTCGTCCGAGGCAAGCGAGGCGAGCGAAGATGAGAGGGGGAGGACGGCGAAGACGGGGCCGGAGAAGAAGGCTGTGGGGCAGAGCAGCAAGGTGTCGCCCAAGAAGGGGGCATCCCCCAAGAAAGCCCGCGGGAGGCCGAGCCGAGACAAAGGCAGAGACGACGAGGACGAAGACGGCTACGACGCAGGCGACGCAGGCCGCGAAGAAGCCCGCGTCTGGCAAGAGACCTACCGCGACATCACCGTCGCCATCCCCATCCGCACACCCTCGCCCTCGCCCGGCCCCGCCACCGCCCGCCGCGCCCGCTCGCGCTCCCAATCCCGTGGCGCGCGCACCCGCAGCGTGAGCCGTGGCCGCCGCACCACCCCCGCACGCGCCGCAAAAGCTCCTGTCTCCCCCGAGGTCCCCGTCCTCGCTGCTCCGCCGCGCGGCCAAAAGAGAAGCCAGTCCTCGCTAGCGAGAGTCGGCGCGCAGGTCAACGTAGGTGACACAGGCCCCGCCCGGCGCGCCCGCTCCGCCGCGCGCGCCGCCGACACCGACGCGGGGACCATCCTAGGCGTCCCCGTGAAGGTAGGCCCGCCGTCCCGAGCGGCCTCGCGGGCGGCGAGCGTCGCCCGCCGCGCGAGCGCACCCGAGGCTCCCGGCCCGTCGTCCAGGTCCAAGTCCCTCGGGGGAGAGCCCGCGACGCGCGCCGTCCTCCCGAGCGGGCACCCCGCGGCGCACGCGTCGGGCTCAGCGTCGACCGTCCCCGCCAAACGACCCCGCGGCCGCCCCCGCAAGAACACCCTTCCGGGACCTGGACCTGGACCGGTGCCTGCGCCCGCCCCCGCCCCGGAGGCGTCCCCGCCGAAGAGACCCCGCGGCCGCCCTCGTATCCATCCCCTGCCCGAGCCGAAGGCAGGCCCGCCCGCGCAGGTAGGCCCGCCCGTGCAAGTAGGCCCGCCCACGCCAAAGAGGAGGGGTCGCCCGCCGGGCAGCAAGAACCGCCGCAAGAGCGAGGGCGACGGGCCGCAGCCAGCACCGGTCGCCAACGCGGACAACGAGAGGGAGTGGGCCAACAGGACGCGCTACGTCCGCTCGATCGTGGATGCGCTCGAGGGACGCAGCAGCCCGTCGCGCACCCGCGCGTCGCTGGGCGCCAACGTCCCGCGCGCTGGGCGGTCGAGGGTGAGGGCGGCGGCGGCGGGCCCCGTGCATGGGAAAGAAATCATGGAGTGCGTCTACGTGCCTGTGGCGCCGTACGACTTGCACCCCTCGAGGCGTGCGCGGGGCAAGGAGCGTGCGCGCGACGGGGACCAAGACCAGGAGCGCGAGATCCCCGTGGCGGCGTACGACGACGAGCAGCAGCCGCGCTCGGGTTGGTCCAGCGAGACGGTCATGGTCGAGCGCAACGGATGGACGGCGCTCCAGACGGACCCGGACGACGACGACGATGTGGACCCCGACGCGCTCCGCCGAGAGGAGACCCAAGTCGAGGAGGAGCTCCGGCCTCTGTCCACCCCGAGGCCGACCGCGGGCGCGAAGCAGAAGGCGAAAGGCACGAGGGCAACGAAGGTCAATGCGAAGGCGAAGGCGAAGGAGAGTGTGCAGGAAGACGAGCAGCCCCCTGCGAAGAAGCGGCGGATGTCCCGCGGACAGCAAGCCGTGGCTGGTCCGAGCGTCCCGCGACAGGCCCCGCAGCAACCAATACCGATGCCGGCCTACTCAGCATCGTCGTCTGCCCCTGTGCAGCACGGGAAGCCCAACTCTGGTGGTCCTCGCAACGGACAGCCTTCGTGGTACCCCGGCGCAAGTGCGCAAGGGACTTTCTATAACTTCCGAGTTTCTGTTCAGCCTTCGAGTGCGGCCCGTTCACCAACGACAAACGCTGCACGTCCGCCGGTCTCTGCGCCTGCGCCCGCCGCCGCACCCGTCATACCCCTGCCCGCAGGAGCGGCGGCGGTGCCGGTTATGCTGGTGCCCGACCCACACGAATACCCGACGCACGAGGCGCTCTTCGAGGAGCTGCTCGAGCACGTCGACCAGTGGAAGACCGAGAAGACGGCCTTCCGCTTCCAGGGCTCATGGATGGTCACAATAGAGCCCAATGCCATCATCGACGAGCAGCTTGTGCGCACCGCTGCGGAAGAGGTGGGCAATCTGACCGAGATGCCGTTCAGGTGTGTTTCTGATTTCCTATTGGTCGTGTCGTGGATGAGGCTCATGCAACGTGTCGTGGTGCAGCACGGACCGCAACCATACCACGGTTGTCCTCCGCGGAAGGAGTGCACAGGTGCACCTCTTGTGTGAGTGCTCCGAGGACTGGGGCTTGGCCCGAGCTTGTGGAGGGCGGATGAGCCTCAGTTTGATGCAGATGCCGGAGGACCAGGCGTCAGTGCGCTGTATGCTTGAGGTCTCCCATTAGAAGTAATCTCGTGTTTTGCTGATCAATGTACTTGTATTCCCTGTCCGATATGTCGTCTATGCTTTGTTTGGTTTTGTGTTGTGTCCATTATGTCACTGTCTCGTATGCTTGGCATTCTTGATTCTCTAGTCACTTGATAGAACCTTGCTCCATGTTGGAAGTCTGGTATTACAGATGCAAACCTTGTGGTGTTTGAGCGAGAGTCACTGCTGTAAGTACTCGTTGCAAGCTGTGCAAGAGCAGAAGTAATGTCTGATATCAGACTCAAAGTGGGCTCAATTGGTGTGAAGCTCGCCTCGGCCTGTTCACTCGACATTGACATTATTGAGAACATTACAATACATCTGCCAGTGAAAGTGCTGCTGTAGCATAGTTCTTGGCACATAACAGCTGTGACATATATTTCTACACCTACGTTAGCAAGAAAGAGACCAGTGCTCACGTACGCTACCTCCCCTCCCCGTCCCTCGCCGGCCTGCTCCATTTGCACCCACCGACCTCGCTGCACTCACACGTCCCACCATAGAACGCCGGCAAGTTCTCCGCGTCGACGTGCTTGAGCAGCACTGCCTGGTAGTCTCCGCCGAGCACGTCCATCTTCTCGATCGTGCGCGGGGCGAGCCAGAGCTTGAGCAGCGACCAGATCGTCGTGAACGACCATGGCGCGTTGATGATGAAGAACTTCGCCGAGCTGCGTACACATTGGGGTGGTGGATCGTGAGACGCGCAGGTGGGGAGAGCGGAGGCAGGACGTACAGCTCGGGGTAGTAGTCTTGCATGATTTGGAACGCGGCGCGTACGAGGTCCTTCATCTGCCAGAACTGTCCCAAACTGATGTCACCACACAGTCAGAATCGCATACAAGTCCTATGCGAGTCTCGTCGGACGGACTCACGAATACCCCTTCAAGTCTACTATGAGGAACGTCCCGTCGACCTGGTGGCCCGCCGCCCGCGACGCGGTCGGTATGATCTCGCGCGGTATGCTCTCCGCCATCGTCACGACGTACCACCAAAACCTCTCCGGGGTGATGTGCTTGTAGAGCTCCGGGATGTTCACCGCACCGTAGTGCTGGATACTCACCGGCCGGCCCTCCTTATCCGTCTTGTGGAACCACATCGGCCAGTATTCGAACACCTCGCGGCGCTCGGGGAACTGCGACGGGCTCGTCAACGGGCGGAGAGGGGGCGGAACGTGGGGTGGGACGTACGTCGTATGCATCCATCTTCGTGTACAGCTCGTCGATCCCGACGCCGTCCATGGTCTTCCGCCACTCCTGGCACTTTGCCCACATCTCCACGCTCGCCTTCACGTCGTACCCGCGCGCGCGAAGAAATCGTCTGTGATCGTCAGTTCCGTCAGCCTGCTGAGCTATCTCCACTAGCGCGATCGTCAAGACCTACAGAAGCGTAAAGTCGTCCGTCCCGATCGTGTCGCCCTCGTGCATGAGGTCCTGCTTGACGAGCTGCGCACGGAGCTGCTCAAGTATCACCTCCTGCTCTTTGGGGCTGGGCTCGGACATCTTGGCGGCTGGCAGAGGGGTCAACGGGCTGGGCGATGGGCGGAGAGTCTCGCAACCATCGCGTTGTTCGCGAGCAAAGTGCTCCCGCTGCGATGGACACGGCGTGGGAGGGTGATTGTGCTAGGAATACGCCTGCCCAATGGTGGATGCTCGACGGCCGCATGCGGTGGACCAGATGGCTGTCTGACTCAGGTCTGCATCTCGACAGCCAGTCTTCGCGCCTTCGGTCAGTCTCACGCTCTTCAAGCGGAAGTGTCAGCTCCGTACAGACTCACCGCCTTCCGGTCACAGCGTTGTGTGGGGATTGCATCGCGCACGGTGAGCATCCGCGCCCAAATCAACACGCATGCAACTTGTTCGGTACTGAGCGCGCTGCGATACTGGATAATCGATCCACTGGTGCGGCCGAGCACGAACTCCGTCGCAGACGCTCTCTTTCTTCCGACAGTCCGCATGTACACCACGATCGGTGCGTGACTCGACGCCCCGGGCAGTCAGGTATCAAGGCGCTGACAGTGCTCTCGGTGCTCTGTCAACATTGTTGCATCCCAGAACGTGAGCAGCACCGGTGCCCCTTGCGATCTGGAATCGTTGACGAGTATATAAATCAGATATCCATCTGTACTGGCACACTTCGCCACCATGAGCCAAAGGGCTTGGGTACCTTACGTCGCTGTGAACGCCTATGCAACGTACGTGTTTGATTGTCCTAGGAAAGGACTCACTTTGATGCCATTCTGTCCAGACTTTTTGGGCCACTGTCCCGCAGACCATCTTCCACTTATGGCACTACCGGGAAGATCAGTTCTACTGAAGGGTTTCGTTCGTGCATTCAGTCCAGCTAGTTGCCGATTTCATGCAAAGATAAGCTCACGAGAGCAAGCAGGTTATTGACTTTCGAACGAATCGGCAAATCACGGAACGAGAAGCATAGCTCATTCACGACGTTCGCGGTTCAAACGTTCAATATCACCGAGCGCCCGGGGCTCTCGAACCAGATCCCGTTCTTACGTAGCGCCTTCCAACTCGAACTGTTGCCATGGTCAGGGCCCATCCAAATGCCCCGCTTGGTGGTGACAAATTCGGCTCATCCTGGTGCAGGCAGGCAGGCAGGAAACGCAAAACGGTGTCCCGGTTGATCTCCTTGACGCTGCGTGTTAGCATTGATCATGCGGGGGAGGCTGACATGGGCCGGAACCCCACGTAGCCTCGCTCTTCTACATATATATTGAATGTGTCGCCAGACTAAAAATGTCTCCTATGTTCAGTTCTTCTTTTCTTCATGCCCGGTCTCGCTTTTGCCGCAGCCACTGCCGTGCTGGGCGCATCGTTCGTTACGTCTCCGTATGCCCAAGCACAAGGCCTCACCGATGCCCAACTGGACGAGGTGAAGGATAACCTCTGGTTCGCTGCACAGCAGACGTACGCCCCTCCGTTCCAAACCTCTTTCTTTACTGGCTGACCTCACCCTCCACTATACAGCTGGGAAATCGGCACAGAGGCACAGGCCCTTGTCGAGTCCGACGCCCCCGCCTATGCCGTTTTCGCCGACGCTTCCCTCCCGCCGCCCACCGGGAACTCCTCCTCGTCGTACAACTACACCGCCCTCCAGCCCGTCCTTCAGATCGCCTACAACACGGCGTACAACCGCTCGAACATGACCGGGCCCCAGCCGCTCATGTACGTCGAGCGCGGCGCCGCTGGCGACCCTGCATCCATCGGCGTCGCCATGCTCATCGCGAATTGGACGGGCACCCCCGAACCAGAGCTCGACAGGCCCGTGAGCGTGGACAGCCCCTACGGCACGTCGGTCGGCCAGGGCGTGACTTACGCACGCGCGGCGGAGGAGCAACTTGAGTATTTATTGACTGTCGTGCCACGCACTAGTGACGGCGCGATCAGCCATCGCGTCGAAACGACCCAGCTATGGTCAGCTATTTCGTCCGCTGCCAGCGTGGCAGACGGCTGACGTCGTTGCCTCATATAGGTCTGATTCTGTTTACATGGTACCGCCATTCCTGGCTTATTACGGTGTTCTCTCCAGCAACCAGTCCCTCGTTCAAGAAGCATACAACCAGGTGAGCATACCCGACACATTGCCTCGTAGTGTCTTCGAGCATCTGCTGACCCGCAGTCTACAGGTCAAGCTTTACCGCTCGTACCTATACAACTCCAGCGAGTCTCTCTGGCAGCACATTCTCCTCGGAACAGGAGCCTATGATCCCGGCTACTGGTCAACTGGTGGGTATGACTAACCGCTACATAAACCATTCTTGGAGGTTTAATCTCGGTCTTGCGCAGGTAACGGGTGGGCCGCCGCCGGTATGGTCCGCGTTCTCGCAACGATCCAGCACTCTCATTTCGCCGAGATACACACAGGGATGTACTCGCGCCAGGTAAGCATCGACGTCCACCCACAGCAACCCCCCAAGTGGCACATCACTCACACCCGCATAGGACGCCTCCACCTCGCTCTTCCACAACTACGCCAACAACGCCACCTGGTTCCTCGACAGCTCCTCCACCGCACTGCTCGCCAGCACCGTCTACCGCCTCGCCGCGCTCCAAGGCGTCTACACGCACATCCCGCACGCCGAGGCCGCGCGCGCAGCGCTCTCCGCCTCCGCGCCCGCTGGCGAGTCCGAGTACACCGCCTGGGGCACCGGCGACGGCGTCGGGCCCGCCACGAGCTTCACCCAGACCACCGCCACCGCCACCACCGCGCCCGCCTCCCGCTCGGGCACGGCGACGACGAGCTATGCGATGCCCACCCCGGCGGACTCGGAGAGGGCCTCAGCCACTTCTCCCCGCAGATGTGGGTTACGCCTGTGGTCGACCCGTATAACTGGAACGCCCAGGGCGGGTCCTCGCCCGAGGGCCAGGCGTTCGTCGTGGAGATGTACGCGGCGTGGCGGGACTGGGTCGAGCTCGGTTCTCCCGGCGCGAGTGACTCAAGGCGAAGTGTCAATGAGCTTGTGAGGGGAGCGAGTGGAGGCGTGCTTGGTCGGGTGGCGAGGATGTGGCGGTGGCGGCGGCAACATCATGGACTGTGATGAGCCCTGTGAGCGTTGTGGAGTCAGTTTGGGCCCCCGTTCACTGTTCTTTGCGAATCCCTCGTACAACTTCCTGTCTAATTCAGACTTCTTGTGGGCGAACCTGTGTGATCAGCACAACAGGACATCGAGATCGATGGGTACATGTCATGCCAAATTGAAGTGGAGACGAGAGATGATTTACAGCGGGGAAAACACCAAATTCGAAAGCCTGATATGTACAGTGACTACAAAAGGTGGGGCACTTAGTGAATACATACACTTGGCATGAAGTCTGCTATATGCACATACCTGACAGATGTCCGTACACAAAGCAGCCGTCGAGCCTCTGGGTTAGGTGGTTACGACAGCGAAGAGAAACGATGATACGCCGATGCCGGACAATCTGTGAATAGGGCGCCGGTCTGAAGGAAGCTGAGTGTTCGCACATGTACAAGCCGTCGTGCGCGCTGCTCACAGCCGCCGTCGTACGCAATGACACCGCGACACTTGCAACTACCTATAGCACCGAATACGCGCACCTCGGGCCCCATCCTTCAAGGCACAGAGGAGATGGGTGGAAAAGCCGCACGACTGTCAGAACGTGTCACGCCACTACGTCTCCGCCCGTGCCCGGACGCGGACGTCAATGTGGATCGCAACTCGGACACGGGCATACAGCAGAGACTCTACCGTGAGGTCCACCAGGCACGGCTGACCTGACACGGATCGTCCGGCGGACTGATGTGCCGCCGCGGCGGAGCAGCTTCCCACCGCAGTAGGTGGACGGCCAGTAGACCACAAGGGAGGCCGCCGTGACCGGGTTCGCGGCCAGCCTGAGCAGAGCAAGACGTGAGCGAGTAGAATTTAGAATGAAAAGGGAGATCCACCGTGGGTCCGTGATTCACTTGGTGCATCCTCGTTCCGTGATTGGTGCATCCTCGTTCCGTGATGCCCCAAGTGAACCGATGTACGGCGAGCGCGGGTCACCACGCTCACCATGGTACCTGAAAAACGGACCGTGTCAACGACATGACAGAGTCATAGCGGACGCACCGCACAGACGCAAGACACGCATTGCGTACACGACGTTGACCCACTCAGACAGGTGCTCGGACAGCCCCCGCACACACCGACGTCCCGAGACCCACGATGCGTACCCGCGCGCCCACAGAGTGGAACCGTAGCAGGCGTGCAAGGAAATTTTCGTCTTGTGGGCCCCTGAGGATGTTCGGACGTCGAGGTGGATGCGGCGGGGTCTTGACAATCCGGAGGGTACCGTGGATACATTCAGGCTGTTGACGCGAATCTGTGTCGTAGGTCCGGCGTGGCTTCCGGTGGCGGACGATCTGCGAATGGAAGGGAGGAGTAAGTGTGATGTGTCGGCCTGACTGTGGTAAGATGTGCGCCGGTGGGGTGAAGGCGGGAAGGTTCGAACGGGCTGCTTAACGAGAGCGGGCATGAAGAGAAAACACGACGTGCCGGCCGTGCGTCAGACTTCATCATCATGCATCGGGGCTCGCGTCGGCAAAACCCTGGAACGATGCGGGTCGGACTCATGGGCAAGGCCGGAAAGGGAGATCTAAGGCCATGAGTCGACGTCAGAGAATTGAAACGCGGGCGAGTGCTTACCACGACTTCAAATGAGATGTCGAATGCCGAGGAATTCGGGAATAGCTGCGGTGAGAACAAGTGAACCGTCGGCCAGCCTGGGGAGAACACTGATTCATCATCCGCACGAGGATGGCGAGGTTGTCCGCCTGTCCGCGGCCTCGCGTCGACGATGCACTGTGGCTGAGTACAATGTACGGGTTGCTTAGCTAAGTTTTTCAGACGGCAGCGCACCGGTGAGTCCGCGCAGGCGAATGTTGTTCGGATACTAGAACATGCCCGTTGGAGGACGGTGGCGGCGGTGGCGGCGGTGACTGTGAGGGGCTTCCATTTTGGGAAGACCGCCCGATCATTGGCCGGGGAGCCGAGGGCGGCATCGGAACGCTAATCTTAGATCGGGCGACCCACTCGCAGCCCGCGACGGCGTCCAGCGCATATAGTCGCCCTCGTCGCTGTCCTCGCCGCCGCCGCCCCCCACCCGCCGTCGTCGCTGCGCCCGCCCGCCCGCCCGCCGCCGTCGCCGGTGCCGCCGAATCCGGAGTGCCGCTGGACCCACTTAGTCACCGACGGCACGAGCCGACCCGCGCACAGTCATCACGCGTGCGTCCGCCGAGCGTCCCTCTTTATTCGGAGACAGGCTGCTGACGATGCCTGCAGTGTCCCCGCAGCCGTCGCACTCGCTGCCCCCGCACGCCCCGCCGTCTAGCAGCCTCCAGCTCGCCACATCTGCGGTCGCCTGCCCCTGCCGCGAGCGCCTACCCTCCTCCTCCACAGCCGCCATGCCGTCCCAGCCCCAGCCCGCCTCCGTCCACGCCCTCCCGCCCGAGCTCACCGAGCACGTCCTCATCCTCACCGCCCGCGCAGGCTTCCCCACCGCCATCGCCGCCCTCGCACAGACATGCCGCGCCCTCACCGCCCTCGTCTACCACTCCCCCGACCACCATCTCTGGCGCGAGGTCTTCCTCGCCACCTTTGACGACCCCCGCCGCTCCCCCAGATGGGTCCCCGCGCGCGAGCGCACCTGGGACTGGGGCGCCGCCTTCCGCGCCCGCATCTGGGCCGCCAACTTCTTCAAGCCCGGCCCGAGCCCGTCCGCCAGCAGTACGTCGCTCTCTTCGGCCGGAAGCGACGACGACGACGAGATCGAGCGGTGTACGCGCGCCCTGGAGACCCTCATCGACGTCGCCCACACCGCCCTCCCCTACCCGCCCTCCATCTCCTTCCTCCCCACCCCCCAGCCGTCGTTCACCGCCGTCAACACCATCCCCGGCTCCGCCCCCCAGCCCGGCTTCCCGTCCTACCCCATCTTCCCCCCGTCCCCCACCCCCGATCCCCTCCTCGCCGCCCTCCCCTTCGGCAACTGCCCCTGTGCCCAGGGCTACTGCGAGCCCGCCCGCACCGACTCGTCCAACGTCAAGTGGCTCGAAGCAGTCGTCGCCCATGGCTTCCCGCCGTACCTCGCCAGGAGGCTCTCCGGTAAGAAGTGGGAGGGCGGCATCATGGGCGAGGACCTGCCGCCGAACGAGGCCCGCATGATGCAGGCCCTCGCCCGCGTCGTCGCCTTTACCGGCTTCCTCCCCGCGCGCACGCAGGGCAGCATTCGCAGCGGGAGCTCGTCCGGGAGCACGCGCGGCAGCGACGCGAGCACCACCGGCTCCGACGACGAGTCCTCCGGCTCCGAGGGCTCGCACGACGAGTCCGCCGACGACGACGACGAGGAGAAGCAGCAGCGCCCCTCCTCATCGACCACCCCGGCCCGCCTCGCCGCCGAGACCTTCATCGCCGGCGCATCCGTCGTCGCCGGCATGTCTCTCGACACGAGCACTGCCGCACAGGCCCGCCGCGCGCGCCGCCTCGCCCGCATGCGTGTCTACAACCTCCGCTTCCTCAGCCCCTGGCGCGCCTGGGGCCCCTTCCACCTCGTCGAGCCCACCGACATGCCCCGCGCCCCGCGCACCCGCCCGTCGCCGCCACCCGCCCCCCTCAAGACCAACGGCAAGGCCCGCGCAAGGGAGAGCGACGAGGAACCCGCGTGCGGCCCGTACGACGTCGACTCGGACGACGAGGAGACGGACTGGGAGCCCCTCCCCGAGCAGCTCCGCCCTGCGTCGCACGCACGCCCGCCCCCGCCGAGCCTCCCCCCGCCCGCCACGCTCACCCCCGACTGGGCGTTCCTCGCCGCCGTCCGCGTCGTCGTCGAGGCCAATCTCCGCGAGGCCGTCGGCGCCGCAGAGCTCGCCGGCCTCACCACCCTCGACGGGCTCCGCAACGGCTCCGCCCCCATCGACCTCAGCGGCGGCGGCGACACCGGCCGCGTCCGCAGCGTCACCGCCCCCGCCGGCCCCCTCGAGGCCTTCCAGGGCGACTCTACCCGACGCAGGGGCAAGGGCGTAGACGACTTTGGCGGGCCCGCCCCGAGCACCGGTCTCCCCGCGACGACGGAGGGCTGGGACTGGGCGGGCGTGACGGGCATCTGGAGGCGGTGCATCTGCTGGCTCGACTACCGCGACCTCATCTCGCACAACGTGAGTGCCCCCATCGCCCGCGCCGCGTTCCCCGTGCTGACCCCCGCAGCTCTCGTCCGACTTCAACGACCCCGACCTCACCGAGGCCGTGCGCATCGTCCCCATGCGCCTCCGCGTCGCCTCGTACGGCCCGCCCCCCGTCCCCGCCTTCCCCGACCGCCCCACCCTCCACATCGAGGGCGAGACCGCCGCCAACGGCGCCACCGGCACCGTCCGCCGCCTCCAGGGCACCGTCTCCGTCGTCAAGGACGGCTCCGTCCACTGGCGCATCGTCCTGGTGAGTGCACCCCGCCCCCGTGGGTGTCGCCGCGCGCTGATGCTTGATCCGCAGCTCGGCCTGAATGAGGGAGAGCCCACCGAGTGGGTGACGGAGGGCGTCCAGATCGGCGGCCAGACGTCCGCGATGGGCGTCCTCGGCCTCTGGACCGGCTCCCAGCACGAACGCATGGACCCCCTTGGTGCGTGGAAGCCTCGTGCATCTCGTGTCGACCGCGCTGACGAGTGTCGCTGCTACAGGGCCGTTCTGGGCGTGGAAGGTCGGCTGAGGCGCGTTCGGGTTTGCTGTCCACTCCTGTTGTGTGCTTGCTATGTTTATGCAGTTGCCATATCTATACGTTGCGCTCGACTGCGTTCTGCTGAATCACTGTTGCGTGCGTGTCGCCCCGATTCACGCATGCTCATGGCAGGGCACATGGGCGCGGATGTGACAACGCCATCATCATTGGCCAAGAGCATGTACATTGCACGTCGGTCATTCCGGAGACTGTAGCTACGTGTGCCATGCTCAGTCCGTTTCATCGTTATGCCCTGAGTGTCGGCGGCCTATCTAACATGAATATCGTTGAGCGGGCGATTTCCGTCAGTCATTACAACCCACAGCCCGTCGGCGACGCGCTCACGGTCCACGGGAGCGTTTGAGGACACAGAATGGATACTCTTCGTGTGTAGAGACACGCAGCTCATTCATCATTCGAAGGAGATAGGATGGTAGATCGTGATGGGCGGGGGAGCCAGATCGAACGGTCACCGGTAGTTGTATGTACCGTGTCCGTGCGTTCGACCTCCATGTCAGCGGGCGGCGGTACTAGTCGAAGGAAATCCCGTGTCTGAGCGGCTGCAGTGATCTCTTCGTGACTTGGGGGATTGTTAAAGGCAACGTTGCGAGTGAAGAGGAAGAAGACTGACGGATGCGTGGACCTCACAGCGTGAGGGGACGCACAACGGCTGATGTGGCTGCTGGAAGTGACGGTGCACAGTATCAGAGCTAACATTGGACGCACTAAGGATGGCGACAAAGTTTCTGGGCGGCACGAACGTTGTCAACGATTTGTGAGAGGATCATCGGAGGCCGTTCCCCTAGAAAGGCATCGTTCGTGTCCGATTCAAGCTCCCTGAGATTGTCCTCGGATTTGACCACAGGCTGAGGCAGTTTCATGAGCTGCAGGCGAGAAGGTGAGTGACAGATATCTCGGGCCAGTCTCATATAGCGTACCTCAAATGAATGGACCTTCATTGTGCCGTCTATCTCTGTGGTTTCACGGATTATATCGGGTACAGTAATAGGCGCGTTGGGATGGCAGATATTCGTAGGAAGCGTACGCTAGGTACCGATGCTTTCTGACAGAGGAGTCTGTGTAGAATCGTTGGGACGAGCAGCGAGTAGGCCATGGTGGCTCAAGGCGAGTCGAGTGTTTGAACTGAGTGTTCAACGTTCAACCTTTCAAGTATATCCAAGTGTTCAAGTCGAGTGTTCTGGGATAATCCCAGGATAATCGGGATGGGTTGAGGACATGACCGACTGGGCGCTTCCGCGAACTCTTCCTGCAAACGGCAATGGGCGCGACTCTCACAAAACGCTCACTGCAAAGTGAACTGCCTCTCCCTCCGCCGCACACATCCCGCCGCTAACTGCTCCTCGTCGCTGTTCACTCTCGCCATGTCCGACAACGACGACTACTCCGACGGCGAAGACGAGGTCCCCCTCGCGAAGCGTTCCGGGCGACCGCGCAACGCGACTCCCGCCGACGATGGACAATACAGGATGAAGGGTGCCCTCAAGGCTCCCAGGCCGACGAGCTACACCACACAGGCTCTGTTCGGTGTGTGTCCCCCTCTTCGAACGCGGAGCCGCACCAACGTTGACCGCACCTCAGACCAAATGATCGCCGGCGACATTGACACCAACCCTGACTATCAACGAGGTGCGCCGCCGTCGCAATCCTAGTCCGTGTCGCGCAGGCTCGCTCACCGGCCTACAGACGTCGTTTGGCCGGAGACTAAGCAGATGGGTGCGTCTGCATCCTACGAAAGAAGGGCGAATGGACGAAACGTGCTCCTCCACAGGGCTTATTGACTCCATTTTCCGCAACTTCTATGTACCTCCGCTTATATTCTGTAAGTCCCCAATCTTCGCTTCCGCGCGTGTTGACTCAGTGCGAGTAGCGGTGACATACCGGGACGACGGCTCAGAACGTCGCATCTCAATAGATGGCAAGCAGCGGTTGACCTCCATCCGTAGGTAAAGACTACGTTTCCTACATGCCGCGCCCGCAAACTTACGTTATTTTACAAACAAGATTCATGCAGGGCGAAGTGAGTGCTTGCTGCTGGCATGTATTGTTCACTCGCTAACAGTGCTCCTTCAAGATTTTGTGTATGTCTGTCCCCTACTTCGTCCCCATCTCACTGACCTCAGAGAATGTGGGCAGTCAAGGATCCGTGCGTATTCAACAGGGAACGGCTCGCGCATACTCACATCTCTCTAGAAACACAGGCGAGAAATTCGCATATGAAGACATCGGCGCATTCAAGGGGATCAAGGTGTTCTCTGAGCGATACAGGAAGATCTTCCGCACGAAGCAAATTGTGAGTCATCACGTCACTGCATAGACGTCAGTCCCAACACCTGTATCAGGTATGCATAGAGTATCAAGATCTCTCCAACTCGAGCGAACGGGAGATTTTCCAGGTATGGTCCATTCGCAACCGTTTTGGCCTTTCATGAATTTCAGTCTTCAGCGTGTCCAACTTGGAATGGCACTGACTGCAGCAGGTATACGTCGTGCCACAAGTCCGACATGTTCGTAGCATCTGACAGTTACCTCCAGAAAAACTGCAAGCCATTGCGTCGCCAATGGGCGATTTCATCCACGAGCTGCAGGCGCAATACGTCAACCCGAGCGACGAGCTCGGCCTTAGCTCACTCCTCGACTGGGACGTCACACGAGGGAACGACTTTCGGTGTCTCGTGCATTCGGCGCACTCAGTCGAGCGGTGGCCAAACGTGGGCACCTTCCCGAGCCCGGAGACACTGCGAAAGTGGCTGGAGCGCAACGAGGAGCCGGTGCCCAAGTTCACCGCAGGCTTGCACCAGACAATGGAGATCTTCCTCATGCTCGCGCGCGAGCAGAACGGGGCGATGTTTAGGATGACTGACGTGAAGAAGCTCGCGCCCGCCGAGTTCATCGCGATCGTCGTGCTCATCCACACGTGGAAGGCCAAGCTCAGCGCGAGCGCGTTCAAGAAGGCGATCCGGGACATGCGCAAAGGCGTGCGCGAGAAGGAGCACGACATTCGGACGAACGGTCGCGTGATGACCTTGCTCTGGGACTTCATCAAGTCTCTGAAGCCGGAGAGGTACATGGGCCAGGACGCCACAGAGACGCCGGTAGCGAAGGTGCGGCCGCTGAAGCGGAAGCGTAGGCAGGACGAGGACGACGGGATGAGCGTGGACAGCGAGGATAGGAATCCTCCGGTGAAGAGGAAGGTGGAGGCAAGGGACTATTCGTCCCTCCCGACTGTCTCCCAAGCGCATGCCATGGCGTCCCGCCCGTCCCCTGTACCACGCCCGCCGTCGCATTCCAGTGGCCCGCCCACGCCTGCGCCCCCTGCTCAAGCACCTCGTACCGCGGCTCCCTATCCCACACCGCAGGCTCACGACCGACTCGCTGCACTACGGGCGGTCAGAGAGATGGGGCGAGACATTCCGAGCTCCCAGTCGCTATCGCCGTATCAGCCGTCGCCGGGCGCGCCGTTCTCTCCGTCACAGCATGTCACATCGAGTATCATGCAGCAGCAGCAGGGGGTCCCGCAGACCGCCGATGCTGCAATGGCGAGGATGGCCGCTCAACAGCTGATGAACAGCAATCCTGCGTGGCCTACGCAGCTTCCCGGGACACAAGCCAACGGCCATTACCAGCCTTCCCAGCAGCCAACACATCGCTACTAGGTGTGTGTGTGCGCGCGCGTCACCTTTGTTTGTCCGAGTGACGGCCGTTAACCCTGCTGCACAGGCTGGAGAACATCCTGACTGATACGAAGATGACTATGTACACGAATGGCTTGGGCCTTGCGCATTGTAACGTATATTTCGTAATGATTACCTTCACGTTCCTGTAAGTTCCCGAGCCGTGATGCAGAGAGATATGGACAATTGGAGTACAAGGATGCAGAATGACTGAGCAAGACGTACTTGTGAGGAATCCAGCCCGTCGCCGGCGCGTTGCGGGTAAGCGTAGCCTCGGCGAGGTCGGATTCGGACGCGGACACAGTTGAGTAGGCAATGTCCTCGTATCGAAGCTTGGGCTCTCTGCCCATTGTAGGTATGGTTATTATACATGAGCAAACATAGACCGTTCTAGACATTCAATTGATTGGCACCCCTGGTGTCTACTGGTGCTTGTCCCCACCCTCTGAGATGCAAATGCAGAACATTGGGCCACAGGATGCAACCTGCCATGCTGGACAACATTAGGATCCACACAGTTGTAATAATTTCCAAGTCTGACAGAAGCCTTGACAGCTTGGATATACTTGGTGAGGTACTTGTACTGTGCAGTGTTTTCTCCACAGGGGTGTTAGGGATAGAGGCTTGATAACCTCAGAGTGCACAGAACTTGTTAGACATTTTTACTATTACTGAGTGGCTGCATCATTGAAGGTTTGTTATGTGCTTATCTTACTTTCCTTATCTTTCCTTTTGTGCCATTTGAATGGACATCAATGTAGCACTTTCATTGTTTTACTACAGAGGTATTGGTTACCGATGTTTTGATGCTTTATAAGCACTTGTTGCTGTATATACTAAATGGACTATTACTGAGTTTATAGTGTGTTCTTACTCATTATGACCAGATGCTTTCAGTACTGATACAAGAGCTATTGTATGCTTTGTAAATGATGTTTATTCACAATCAATTACCAAGTCATAATGGTTTTGTATTGGTATACAAAGGAATGGCTGTGCATCAATTACTGAGCCATTTCCAAAGCCATGTCGGATTGCTGTGCTCTCCTTAGGCTGCACACCAAAATAGTGGACTCTTGCATGCCTCAGTAGTGTTGAACAAGGAGTGAAAAAGGAAGTGGCAAGATGAAGGGCTGAAGAGACTACAAGACCAATCAAGGACAGCAGTCAAGAGGAGGGCTTACAAGGTCTCTGAAACCTGTGAGGGAAGACACAAGCAGTGTAAGATGAGTGGAGAGACTGATACATTACAGGGGCATCCATCCCAGTATATATACACATGAGAGAGAGTCATCACATGATTGTACAGTAAGCATAAGTAAGCATTATGTGTAAGCCTGTAGCAGGATGAGTAAGGCGTACACATGTCGGGTCATGATGATGCAATATAGTGCAATGAGCGAATACATCAGGATGGTGCAATATGGCACTATAGATAGAACATGCTGGAAGGCACTGGAAAGGACTGGACGGGCCTAGATCAATGATGTGATCAATGATGCAAAGTGATGTGATCAAAGAATGTGATGGAACATTAAGGAATGATCTGGAATATGATGGAACCATGTGGAATGTTCCATACAGGTCTAGAACATGGAATGTTCCATACAGGTCTAGAACAAGTCATGTGCTACAGGTCTGGATCAAGTCCATCAAGAATGTACATAATATGTATGTTATGGTTCTGTTTTTGTTTATACACAGCTAGTTACCAAGTTTATTGCCGAGTTAATAGGAATAGTAACCTCACTAATAGAGATTTGTATTGCCTATACAAAGTGGCAACAAATGGTAAAATCTTTGGTAATCTTCGGCAATGCAATTACCGAGACAGCACAAAGTTGAGCTGTAATGAGGATACCAGATCCACAACAAATACAAAAGAGGGTGGGACTTTAGTCAGTGCTGCTATACAAGTATGCAGTACTGCTCTTCAACTGGGAAGAGTAAGCTAAAAATGGATTTGAGTCGGCAATGAATTGCCGAGGTTTAGAGCTTTTTAGAATAGAGGATGAAGTCTGAATATAGAGGATTAGTATCCAGAGGTTGATTCCAAAGGAATGGGCTTTTTCAGATTTGAAGTCACACAACAGAAGTTGAATGGAAGTCTGAACAGCTAGCTTTGACTGCACAGTGACAATGGCAAGTTACAAAACCCTAATGTAGCAGCGTGAGGCCATGCTTCAAGAGGGGCTCACTAAGGTAATTAATCCTCACTTGCTAATGGCTATAAGGCTTGCTTTAGTGTCAAGTGAGTTGCTGATTAGGCTAACCACCTTAATTATAGTAATGCCACTGAGATGTACTAGTATGGAACAAGTTGATACAGACATCTATTGATGGTGGTAACAAGTTTACAGAATGAGATGATGACTAAGCACCTTCTCTTACTGAACCCAACTTGTGAAGTCAGTCAATGAGTTACTGAAACCTTACTAGTAGCGTGAGCCGTTGACACATTCAAAGTTGTACCTGTTCATCAAACAAAGAGTAAGCAGTGAACAGTTTGTAGGTGTTAGAGTCCACCTTCTTGTGCTTCTCGCCGGCCTTTGGAGATGTGGGCTGTGATATGGTAGGTGTCTGCAGAAATGTGGGCATGCTATGCAATTGCTGGGATGACGTCGGCCAGTAGAGGGATGTTGTGGGCGGACAGAGCCAAATGTGCTCTGTATGGAATCTGCAAGATATGCGAGCAAGTAGACATTGCATAAGTATCTAGTGTCATGAAGTATACAATGATTGTTTGTAAGGTACGTTGAGCAGGGCAGTCACACTTGATACATAACTAGCCTGTTCAAGTGTGAACATTGGGTACAAAGCGTAGTACTTGTCGCTCTGATTGCGGAACAGAAGGTACGCCTGTGATAGAGAATCAGTGAGGCATGGTGTAAGAAGACCGAAAGAACTTACAGGTCTCATCTTGAGAAAGTGTATGTGTTGAACTTCCGAGTTTTCAGTGTTCTTATCTTATCAGTTATGTACGGATATGGACTTATGTTCTGCGATGTCAGATTACATACGTTCTTTGATGGACTTTGCCTAGATTACGTCATGTGACTTTAGTCCGGATCATTCCATGATATTCCACGACATTCCTTGATGTTCCATGACGTTCCATATCATTCCTTGATATCCCATCACGTCTTATATTACTCTTTGATGTTCCATCATGTCTCATATTATTCCTGATGTTCCATCACGTTTCATGTATCTCTCCACATCAAACTCCGAGTTTTGGCTTACTCATGCTGCTTACCAGCTTACTCATATCCCCAAAACCTCGGACTTAGTGCTTACTGATGAACCACTGATACAGCATGTGACCTGTATCAAATGTGTATATATACTGGGCTGGTTTGCCCTGTAATGACAACGATCCTTCGTCCTCTCCTCTGCCTGCCAGCATAGGATCTTCCCTTTGGGACTGGTCTGTTCACTCACTCTTTAGTCCTTCACTGCCACTGGGCTTACTAAGCCTAAAACCTCTTTCTTCAACAGTATGAGCATCTCGTAGGTACTGCCCCATCTTGTGTGAACATCCAGTATTAGCTGCACCTCTCGGAGGTGAGGAAGGAACCACCCATTTGCATTCCCAGTGTGAATGGTCTCATCCCAAGCATCTCTGCGAAGAGGGGAGGAGCGGATGGAGCGAACAATGTTCCTGATGCCTGGGATGACATGTGCGTCAAGGTCGAGCATAGGTGGATCGCCAGGGGCAGGAGGATGACCCCCGGGTGCAGGAGGACGACCCCTGGGTGCAGGCGGAGGACCGCCAGGCGCAGGCGGAGGGCCAGGGTTGCCCTCGTTGCTGCCCACATAGTTGTCTCTGTCCTCAACATCATCACCATCCCTGCCATTGTCGGGAGCCAGAGTGCCAATGTTTTGATGAAGGCCTGGCTGCATGTGTTGATGGTATGGTCCAGGCAGTGCACATTGGAGTTCACGTCATCAAAGGTTGTATTGGGGGCCTTGAGCACGAGTTCGTTGCCGAACTGCATCAGCATAGTGCCATTGTTTGCCGCGCTGTCCATGGTGAACTTTCCAACCTGCAGGGAGAAGAATTAGACCGATTTAGTTCTATGTAACAGAATGACTCACTTTCTTCATGATGCCAACTCGCTCAATAACGTGGGTCAGAACTGTTGCCAAGTTTATCCCCTGATGATGACCGTACACTCTCGCAAAGCCAATGACAGCCGATTGCATCACAATGTTGGAAGTGATCCAATGAGCTGTAACAGCCATGTATGACCTACGAGCCTTGGTATCCCATACATCACTGGTAAATGAGATCTCCCCTGCAGTGGCCTAGTGTTGAACTTCCGAGTTTTTCAGTGTTCTTATCTTATCAGTTATGTACGGATATGGACTTATGTTCTGCGATGTCAGATTACATACGTTCTTTGATGGACTTTGCCTAGATTACGTCATGTGACTTTAGTCCGGATCATTCCATGATATTCCACGACATTCCTTGATGTTCCATGACGTTCCATATCATTCCTTGATATCCCATCACGTCTTATATTACTCTTTGATGTTCCATCATGTCTCATATTATTCCTGATGTTCCATCACATTTCATATATCTCTCCACATCCAACTCCGAGTTTTGGCTTACTCATGCTGCTTACTAGCTTACTCATATCCCCAAAACCTCGGACTTAGTGCTTACTGATGAACCACTGATACAGCATGTGACCTGTATCAAATGTGTATATATACTGGGCTGGTTTGCCCTGTAATGATAACGATCCTTCGTCCTCTCCTCTGCCTGCCAGCATAGGATCTTCCCTTTGGGACTGGTCTGTTCACTCACTCATTAGTCCTTCACTGCCACTGGCTTACTAAGCCTCAAACCTCTCTGTTGTGTATGTAGAAGGAAAGGGATGTACGGCCAATTCCACCTTCAGGCTCTCCAGCTGCTTCTTGAAGTTGGCCATGACAAGGGTTGTCACCTTCGTACAATGAGGGATGTCGTCATCCATCATATCCGGCCTGCAGAGCAAGAGAAGTCTTCAAAACTCAGGGTTCTCGACGATGTTGATGGGCTGCATTTATCAGCCATTAACTTGGGATGCAAACGAATCACCAAACCTCACCTGGTCGTGCGCAACAATGAAGTCAACTAGATATTGCTCAAACAACTCTTGACTGAAGATGATACGTGGTCCCTTGGCGGTGGCTTGTTTGAGAGCAGCTCACATGTTCTTATAGCTCACCAGCTGATTGGGGAAACCTTTCTCCTCGATGTGCTTCATGTACTCCTCACGGTGATAGTTGTTGACATGCCTGCGAAGGTTGTCTGAGCCAGTGAGACCTCCGTAGTAATAGCTGCGGCCATCCCAAGGGAGGTTGTTGACCTTGACCTTGGCCTACGCCTTCCTGTGTCATTCTGATGAACATATCATACACATAAACAAGGCAATCAGACTCACTCGCACAGCGAGCAGACAGCCATCATTGTCTTCTCAGCTTCTTCCCAGTCATCCTTCTCTGTCCACCCAGGAACTGGGACATCCAGGTAGTTGAAGAATGGAAGAAGGTCAGCAGGGGCTGTCTTCTCCGACACATTCATGGAGGGTGGGACTTCATTTAGAGCTAGGAGATCCAACCTATAACACAGGATGACCCCATTGTGAGTGTCAGCCTTCCGCAGGCATAATTTGCCCCTCCTGGCTACAGGAGCCTGGACAGCAGGCATGGGCTGCTCTTTGGGCCCCTCTTTGTCGCTGTGAACGAACGTGGATGTCAAAGATTTTGCCTGCATGGTTGTCCGCAGCTGCAGGAGGCTGAGGGAGGTCAGGTGGTGAGGCGGCAGGGACCTTGCATGTCTTGCCAGTTCCCTTGCGTTTAGCCAGCATGGTTTAGCAGGAGGATGAGGGAAACAGCATACCTGTACCCGCCTATGTTAAATAGTGTTGCACCGACACCCACCGCCTCCTTGTCAAGCTCATCCCAGAAATCATGTTGACAGAATGGAGCAGCGTGTCCCTCAGTACGTGTACAAGAAAGTTGGAGCCTGCAGACCAAATGTTTGGTCAATGGGGAAGCCAAGGGGAGCTATGAGGCTGGACACACCTGAGCACAGCAAAGATGCACCGTTCCATGGGCAGGTTCTGTCAATGGCAAAGCAGCCAGCTTCCATTGGACTATCCACACCTGGTGACATGTGTTCCACCCTTACAGAACCTCACCATGCCGGAAAATGGTGTGTTTCTGTGGGAATGGAAGAGGGAGGCAATGTAGCCATGTAGCCATAGGATAGAAGGCCTTTAATAGGGGTCAGTTAGGAATTAATTACAAAAGAGGGTACTGGAACTTTGGGCTGAAAGTTGGTATGTAGGACGTCTATATCATGTAGATGATGGGTGCAAAGTTTCAGGGAAATTGGCAGACCGGTTTTTGAGCAGTGGGCAATGCTTTCTGTTAACAGGCACATTTTTGCTATGTGCAGAGCCACAATAACAGCACTTGGCAGGAAGCTTGTTTATAGCAAAATGCTTCATTTGTATGTGTGAACATTGGCACCAAGCCGCTTGGCAATTGGAGGTCTGATGCCAGTGCTATGGGCAAAAAATGCATACCATGGGCAGGAGGGCGTATTCTAGGAGACCAAGGAAGCAGATTTGGGGGTAGCTTCTTTATAGCTAATATGGTCCATTGGTATGTAGGACCATGGGTACAAAATTTGGGAGCCATAGCTGCAGCGGTTCTTGCTTGGCCGGCAGGCATCCCAGCCAAGGGGGGAGGTAATGACCACTAGCATGTGAACCACTATGATCTTGGGGTAGGTTCCTTATCGTCGATATGGTCCAGTCCTATGTAGGAATACGGGTACCAAATCTGGGACCCATGTCTGCAGCCATTCTTAATCTGTTGGCGGCCTGTCAGCCAAGGGGGAGGGCCATGACCACTAGCACACAAACTATGACAATTGCAGGGTAGGTTTGGTGTAGCTAATGTGATCCATTCCGATGTATCAATATTTATACACAATCTGGAAGCCATACAACATTGTCACTGAGTACATACCCGTGCTGTACAAGCCTATGTTACAGACCACATTCACAGTATGTCTATTGTCAACAATAGTGAACACTGAGTTTCATTTCCCTTGCCCATATTTGGACATGGTCTGGCTCAAGACAAGTGTGTTTCCTTTTTCATCAAACACCACCACCCATCAGTGGCAAATTTGTCGGCTGTGATCATGTGCATGGCTGTGAGGATGGTATATAAACCTGGCCGCTGTCTGACCACCTCCCTCGTCTCTTTCCCTCTTCCCCCCACCATCCGTCATTGACAGTAAGTAATTCTCATATCTAAGCATCACAAGCCGAGCTAACAGTCCATAAGACAACACTGTAATGTCCTCTAACAATGCTGCGGTGCCTGAGTTGCCCAAGTCCTT